TGTTTGATTTATTCTGGGGATTTGATGCACGTAAAATGCACTGAGATAGCCGAGATTTAACAGCCTTCCTAACTCCATTAGGATTGCTCCGATGAAAATCATTACCAATGGGATATACGAACGCGCCTGCAGGATTTCAGAAATGTACGAGCTTTGTACTGCAGAATGAAATCCCTAAAGTAGCCAATGTTTTTATTGATGATCTTCCTGTCAAGGGACCAAAGACCATCTACCCTGACAATGAAGGAAATCCCATGGTCTTGAAAGAAAATCCAGGGATTAGACAATATATTTGGGAACACGTGAACGATGTTCACCGAGTAATGCACCGTATCAAAGACGTAGGTGCAACATTTTCCGCTACAAAAATTCAACTATGCCTTCCTAGTGTGCTTATCGTTGGACAAAGATGTACACCAGAAGGAAGACTACCTGACACTGAGAAAATATCGAAAATTCTGAACTGGCCAATCCCTTCCACAGTCAAGGAAGCTCGAGGATTTATGGGCCTCTGCGGAACTGTTCGTATTTGGATACTAGGATTTTCCGAGCTAACAAAGTCTACTACTCAGCTCTGGAGAAAAGACACCCCTTTTATTTGGGGAGAGAAACAAAACAAAGCATTCGAAACTTTAAAAGAGCATGTATGTTCAGCCCCTGCCATGAGAAGTATTGACTACACCTCTTCAAACCCTGTTTACCTCTCTGTTGATTCCAGCTTCATAGCTGTGGGAATCATCTTGTCACAAATTGATGATGATGGAAAAAGACGTCCAGCACAGTATGGTTCTTTACCTATGGGAGAAGCAGAGTCATGTTATTCCCAACATAAGCTGGAGCTCTATGGTCTTTTCCGTGCATTACGTCACTATCGACTCCACATTATTGGAGTACAAAATCTTCATGTTGAAGTTGACGCAAAATATATTAAGGGCATGCTTAACAAGCCCGATCTTCAACCCAATGCCACGATTAACAGATGGATTCAAGGAATCCTATTATTTGATTTCACACTTCATCACGTACCTGCTACCAATTTTAAGGGACCAGACGGCCTATCTCGACGCCCTCTTGGTTCAGACGAAGAAATCACACCCAAAGATGATTCTTGGTTAGATGAGATTGTTTTATTGTCATCTATCACAAGTTCTTCCACCAAATCTGACATTTTTAAATTCCTCACCACATTGGAAGCACCAAGCTTCGAGAGTACTGCAAAACGAAGGAAATTTGTCAAGCGAACCACTAGGTTTTTTGTTCAGAATGGCAAAATTTATAAATGCCTACCTGACAGACCACCTTTACTTGTCATCTTCAACCCTGAGAAACGAATTTCTATACTCATGGGTGCACACGAAGAATTAGGCCACAAAGGTATTCAATCAACCTTTGAAACCATACATTACAGATTTTTCTGGCCTCACATGTATACTGACGTCAAGCATCACGTGCAGTCTTGTCATGACTGTCAAATTCAAACCGTTAAAAAGATGCACATTCCTATCACTGTCTCTACACCTGCTACAATTTTCACAAAGACATATATCAACATACTCAAGATACCTACCGGGAATGGTATGAAGCATCTAGTGTTAGCTCGTGATGATCTCTCACGATTCGTAGAAGGAAGAGCACTACGATCTGCGTCCGCCAAAGCTATGGCCAAGTTCTTCTGGGAAGACTTGTACTGCCGATATGGTGTGATTGGACAGATTGTCACAGATAATGGCCCCGAAGTTAAGGGAGCATTCCAACAGTTACTTGAACAAGTGGACATTCCACATATTCAAATCTCACCCTACAATTCACAAGCCAATGGGGTAGTTGAACGTGGACACTTCAATATCAGAGAAGCACTAGTAAAAAGTTGTGGAAAGCACATCTCATGTTGGCCTGAGAAGGTTCCTCAGGCACTCTTTGCCGAAAACATTACGACCAGTCATGCAACTGGATTCTCACCATTTTACCTCCTTCATGGTGTACATCCCATCTTACCTTTCGATCTTACTGAGACTACATTTCTTGTTGATGGATTTCACGTGAATATGAACTCCGTTGATTTCCTCGCATTATGAATACGCCAAATCGAAAGAAGAACTGAAGACTTGAGACGTGCAGCAAAGACCTTGAAAAAGGCGAGATTTAAGTCTAAGCTTCAGTTTGAACAAATGTATCACCTTAGGATGCATAAGAAATCATTCCATCCTGGTGATCTTGTCCTTGTCCGAAACACTCAAGTGGAGAAAGAATTGAATCGCAAAACCAAACCAAGATACTTAGGACCCTTTGTTGTTGAGAGACAAACCAAAGGAGGATCTTACATTTTACGAGAAATGAATGGAACTCTGTCTAGACGTGGTGTAGCTGCCTTTAGACTGATTCTGTATGTCAGCCGAAGTGATCCTGTTTTATGCGAAATTGCTGATACTCTTGTCGATGCTCAACATCGGATTATTAAACCATTGCACCGTCAACAGCAAAGACCACATCAAAATTTATGTCCATGATGTTCAATTTTCATTGAATTTTTTTCGACCCAATCTATTAAAAAAATCTACTACGCACACAACTGGGGACAGTTGTAATTTATCATGCTTTATAAGATAACACTGTATTTATAATGTATTTAGTAAACAAGCTGACTCAGCACACCAAATGGTATGGTTTGTAAGCACATTCTTACCAATCCATGTGATGAATGATGCTTAGTAATCTGGCCTCCAAAAAGGTATAAAAGGAGCCCATTTTACACCTGTGAATATAGCTTCCCACTTTACACATAAGTGCAGGCCATTGGTGCCTTGAAGACATTGAAACTTCCCACTTTAAACCTATCCCACTATTTGAGAGTGAGATTAAGGCAAGACATAGTGAGGGTGCAAGTATCATTTCAACAAAGTAACTGCTAGTTATACAATTAACTAGGTTGCTCGCTATTACTATTTTATTGAGCTAAGCTCCACGTATACTTAACAATTACCTCTCTCTTTTACGGCTAGAGAGACACGAAACAGGAGAACACGACAAAGTTGAAACAGACTTTCATAGGTCGAAACACGACCTACTAGGGTGAAACATACCTATCATATTTCTATCCACGACAAACCCACAGTTGCATTTCTATATAGTTTCTTCAAACAAATAGAGGTAACTTGTTTACTCTTTGACCACCCATGAATGACACGTTATCAACCGAGAAGTAAAAAAAATCTGTTGACCGTGGACTTTGAGGAGCTGGCAACTTTTAGTCTTATGAAAGTGTAGTTGTGATTGTCACTGCATTTTTACACGCTTCTATATAAGACCCTCAAGTAACAAGACAACAGATCCGGTGATCTCGTCAAGTTTCTCTGTACGCAAGGATACCAGTCAACCAGCATTGAAGAAGAAACTCATACTACCTGCATTGAACGTGTTGTCACCTACTTTCAGATGAAAGACTCTCATACCATTCACATTAACATGACCAACAGAGACATGACCACAGGAGCTGTATTTGAATTCCATTCCACCTTAGCAATGAACTTTGGATCTCACATCGGCATCTTTTGTGCTTATCCTGATCTCACCACAGAACACAAGGGTCTCCTCAATCCTCTTATGTGGCACAACAAGATGTGCACGCTCAAGTCTCGATTGTCAAAATATACCTCAAGAGGGTTTGACATTCAAACCACCGGTTTCAGTGTATGGGGGAATCATATCTGTCAACAATCTTCACAATGTCCCCTCAAGATTCGCACTTCTACAGATCACACGTGTCTTCGCTTCACATTCAACGTCACTCCAAGGCGAAACAACTGGTGTTTCTTAGGACTGGAGGGATCTCACTTGATCATCTGGTGTCTCGGTGGCAGTACGTGTGGGACTGACACGGACTCTGTAAAGCCAGTACTGATCTATGAATATAATCTATGGATACAATCTATGGTTTAGTAGTAGTACCAAATAGTTTTCACTCGTTTCTCAGGTGTCTTGGCAGTAGTACTCTTGGGATAGAATCGGACTCTGTGAACCCAGTAGTCTTTACAATCTATGGATCAGTAGTGGTACCATTTAACTTCGTCTTCACATCTAGCTGTTCTAATTGTCTTATTTTGTCTCTTGTGTCAGCCTGCAAATCACTATTCAGCCATCGAGAGGTGAACCAATGAAGCACCGAACATGTCATGTTGATTGAGCAGTATAACAATTACACAATTAGTACAATCAACAATTGAACCAATACTAGTACGTGCCCATTGAGCTACATCATTGAGAGTGATGACATCACCGTAGTGGCTAGCACAATATCTTCTTACTCAAGAGCCTTATATAGATTGTATGTAAAATGCAGTGACAATCACAACTACACTTTCATAAGACAAAAGTTGCCAGCTCCTCAAGTTCATGGTCAACAGATTTTCTATTTCTCAGTTGATAACATGTTATTTGTGGGTGGTCAAAGAGTAAATAAGTTACTTTCTTATTTAAGGAAACTATGCTGAATGTGTCTTTGATTTCTCTTCATAAAGAAATGTCTCTTAGGTATGTTTTACCCTAGAAGGTCATGTCTCAACCTATGAAAGTCTGTTTCAACTTTGTCCTGTTTCATATCTCTCTTCCTGTAAAAAAGAGAGGTTTTTGTGATGTACACATAAAACTTAGCTGAGTAAATAAGTAAACAATCTGTTATATAGACAACCTCTCTAGAGCTCTACTATAACTTGAAAATTGGTGTGATGCAATCTTTCTTCAAGGCAACTTATTGGCCCATACTCTTACTTTAGTGCAATATATATGAATATGATCATTGTAAGGTTAGCACCAGAATATTTACCACATTACAAAGGAAAAACTTCAAGGGCTTATTGTAACTATAAACATTGATACTGACAGTGCTCCTGATAATGCAAAGTACAACATGATGATAAAAACTGCACTGCAAACAGCACAAATTGAACTCTACAGGCAGAGTAAATTTTATGGAACAAGACATTGATTCTCCTACACAGTACATACACTGAATACACTTGTCGGATATTGATCATCATCAAGCTTTTGGAGTGTTTTCCAATGAGACTGCCCTTATAGTGGCAAATGTAATTGGCATTTAGACACAGAGCATTGAGTCTGTCCTTTGCAATTGAGTCAAGATGTGTCTGAAAAAGATCCAAAAGTTTTACCTTCTCAAGAAGATTAACCGTCTGACCCCAACAATACTTTACCACTCCCAATAACAATGTATGGAGTATTTATGTTGGCATGTCTTGATGAACATTGAATCCTGATGAAAGATCAGTATGCAGCCAACCATATGAACTCAATACTTACCCTCCACACCCAGTAAAGGGTTTGACTCCAAAGCCAAGAGCCTTGAAGAGTGACCCCAAGTCCCAGCTGTGGAGATTGGCACCTTCTGTCACTTTTGTTGTGAATAAGTATCTCCTGTTCAAAGACACAATTGTGTGCAGTGCGGAGCCGTCATTTGCGAGCAATGTCTTGTCTTCCCCACAGCAGTGGGTGCATATATCTCAAGACTGTGGAGGTTGGAAAATCTGATTTCCTGTGTCCCTTCTGTTTGGCACCACTTTCAATTATTCAAATAAAATGTAAGTGGCATCAACATAGCTGTACTTCCCATGTCAAATATATAACATATACATTCTGTAGTTATTTGCAGCTACATTACATATGCATGGAGGCGCCCATGTGTCTGAGTCCAGGAAGCTTGCGCCTGGGGTAGAGTTCTTCCTTCATCATTGTTGACACCTATTCCGACAAATACACTAACATGTTGCAGAAGACCAGTGGACACACTGGTGGCACCAGCACCACCATCACCAAAATCCTGAAAGGGTCTTCTCTTGCTGCCAGGGGTGACAACACTGTGATGAGCACTGTGAGGGGCTATGCGCCTTGGTGCAACCTCTCTCTCAATGCCAGAGGTGTATGGAGGGGACTATTCATGGTGAGCTGCAGCCCTGCTAACATGAAACACCTCTTCGAGGCTGTAAAGGCATTGGTGCAGAAGTGCGTACTTCTGCTTTAAATATGTCGCCCTTGCTCCAGCAATGTCATTGACTTTGTTCTGGCATTTGGAGGATCTGGCACCTTGCCATTCATGATATCCAACACCATCCATACTTTCATTGCAGAGACCAGTGTCTTTGGACAGACCAATGTTTGCTCAGCAGTTTGCAACATGGTGTCCTTGTCCTTCAACTTTTTAGACTACACTACTGCAGTGGTTGTGTTCACCAGCATAATTGATAACAGGCATGTCTTGGAATGCCGTCAAATTGGCAAGGCCATTGCGGGAGATCAGGTGTTTGGATTTGAGTTCAGATCCTGTCCTACTTTAGGGTGTCAGCCAATGCCAGCGGACATGTATGTGTATACTCGGGGTGTCAAGGTGTTCCTTTAATGCTTGAAGTCTGTAGCTGTTAGGACTGATGAAGACAACAAGCACTTCAAGAAAGTGAATGTTGTGTCTGCCAGCGAGTTCAACCCTGAATCACTGCCGGTCAATGAGGTGAAGTGAATCAGTTACATTGGGCATTAGTGGAGGACTTATAAACACAGTTCATCAACAACTTCATTGGTCAAGACAATTTGAGAGTTGTGACAAAAATGGATTCGGTGGTCGTGTTGGTGCTGAATCGGTTCATTGAACATGTTTACATATACAACATGCAAATCTGGGATGCATTGAGGAATCATTTGGGGAAGACAGTCTGTACATACCCTCAGTGAGTCAACCAATCTCTCATCATGATCTTGTTTGCCGACACGTTTGATCCTGCATGCACCTCACCGAACTTGCATGGTACATTGATGTGTTCAACCATGCCTGCCTCATATAGCTCAACTTGGAAGGTAGTCACAAAGTCCTCTGCAAATACACCATACTTGTTTTGCATTGGTGACGGGAGGTAAGAAGGATATCTGCAGGTACAATACTCTCAGAGACACATAGAAAACGCGAAGAAGATACACACCGGTGGAACAGTTGACCGAGGATTCCATACCCTCACTTCTGTGTTGGACACCCTGCGTCGAATGGACATTGCCCTTCCAATTCATTCCAAGCATATTTGTATGGCCCTACATTTCATGTCTTACCTTCATGCTGACACATGCAACTTTACTAGCACTCTACAATAGATGGCTCCTTAGTCTTTGCATTATGGCAAGGAAAGGAAGGCAGTATCGTGCAATTGGAAGCAGTTCACACACTGTGGACAACACAGAGACCTTGCCAAGCTGTGACATCTCCAACGTCATTTGTGAATTCTTAGGGGTCATAGGATGTACCCCTGCAGGAGATATCTTATATGTTGGAAATCAGTTTCACCCAGGTGCCTTAGTCAATTGCACCAAGCTAGACCAGGTGCTGAGAGCATTGTTGACATTGTAGTGATTTTGCCTCAGCATCCACTAGGTATGTCACATGTCAGTCTCCCTCCTTGACTAATTGTTATACATCTCTATCTCCGTAAACGAGAAGCTCGATCTGGCCAGGGCCCTTGAGCTCAAGGAGCGCAATACTGCCAACAAATGCAAGAGAGAAGTGCTGGAGAGGAACCTGCAAGCTGCACCTGACAGCACCAGAGGCAATTGTCCTCCAAAATGTTGGCACACTTCAACAACTGAAATGTTGTCTGGTCCTGCCGGTCCCTCCAACACGACCGACGTACCCCTCGCTGAATTGCCCTCTGTACTGCTCAAGCAACCATGCCCATAGATCCTGTCCTATTGGACCAAGAGACCACTACAGTCTCCTGTGTACTGTGCAACATCGAAGTTATGACCGAAATACCACACTCCCTGATCCACTCCCCCTCCCATTCACACCCCCAAACACCCCCCTTGCCTGCCTTGTCTACACTTACCGACCTTGAGTCCTGCGATCTTGCCACACCAATAATTGGCAAACAAGTTCATGAAATGTCGGAGACTGTTCAATGGTCAGATGGATCCACTACCATCCTTCCATGCATCATGAAGGACAATATCAATATATGTCAAGAAGATGCCAATGCAGTCTCCCTCTTCGCGTCCCTTCCAGAGTCCCTCCCTGAAACGTCAAACCATGTCGTCCACATATGCTATAGCGACTGGTGGTACAAAAATCGAGAGCTATGCGACAAGATTTCCACAGCCCTTTGGAACAATAAAGCTGTCATAATACGGCAAGTCAGCACACCCAGCCTCACAACCCTCAATCTAGATTACCTTGAAGATTGTGGCATGTCAGACATAATGCGTGTGGTGGTACATAGTAAGTCTTATCAAATCTTTAATCTTCTTACTTGTTATGATTCTGTACCAACACCGAACAACGGTCGAAGGATTTCACATATCCTCACCAGCACACTACCCTTAGCCAATGCATGAACAATATACATGACCCTAACAAGATCCAATGTATCCTCGACGTCCCATATTCACAAAGCGGTCTCCCTTTGTTTCTGAGGTGGGTAACCAAATACTAACACCTGACAACGCTAATTGTTCTACCCTCAGCACTCTTGACAACGGCGTGGTCAATGGATGGAACCAATCCACTGTCGATAATCCCATTGATGAAACAGTCCACCCGGACAACTTCACAGTACGTTTATAGGCTCTGCTCCGATGGCCCGCCTTCTCGACCAATGCCCAACATGACTCTGATGGGGGCGCGACTCCATGACAGTGTCCTAGAGAATTGGCATGGAGAAATCATGACGATCCTGCCTGGTGACATGCTGTACACGTGCACCAGTATACAACCCGCAGGGCGGTTCCATGCGGTTTACACTAGAGTCCAGAGTAAGTTGCCAATGTATTGAAGTGTTGAGTAAAGGTATACAGTACCTAGAGTCCAGAGTAAGTTGTGAGCTCAAAGATGGTTGTTTGGATGTACGACCTTGAGCCGCTGTAGGTTTAGAAGAAGTGGACCAGTCAGGCCCTGCATGATGGCACCAAAGGCAAGTGCAGTGCTATTGTTGAGACTGTGGTCAAAGGCAGAAATTGCCTTAATGAGGGGGAGTGTATAAGCATAGGTGTTGGAGTTTGGATTCTAAAGGGCTGCAGATGAATCTCTGAAGGTGATGTAAACATTGGATGTAGTTAGAGGGAAATCAGATGTACATAGTACCATTTCCTGTGTTGAAATTGCTTTTCAACTGCTTGGTCAGGGATTAGATGGAGGAGGGGGGCTGCAGATCGTAATTCCCTCCATAGAACTGCTGCGGTGATTGTGAAAGAACACCTGTTAAGGCTCATGAGGGGGAAGAATCCGCGTAGAGGATTGTCAACTGTGTTATCAGGAATGGCTGCTACATAGAGAAGTCCTTGTGTATCACAGACTGTGGATCGTTACAGTCTTCAATGCTAGTAAGTAGTATACGCTCGGAACCACAGCTACTGACCATCCCACCATAGATCAGGTAGATGCCCTAATAGGAATCCTCCTGAGGAGGGTCTAATACAGTGGTACAGGGTACTAGAGGCGAATGAAAAAACATCACGGGACGTAGAACACACCCCTATGGCCAAAGGTTCGGTGGCCAAGCAGACGGAGCTGTTGTCCCAAGACTATGTCTTCGATCACATTAAAAACCTCGTCTCCTTAGTCACCCACTACATCCACTCTCCCTGGAGATGAAGCTGAATCAATTCCACAAGGTTCTGTTCTCAAGCTATGGAGGGGTGCGTATGTTTTAAATTCTACATTTATACCATAGCACTCATTGTTGGTCATCGGCGCAGCTCATTTCCTATGTGACTACTCACCTTGAAAATAGACTTTGCCTGAATTCTGGCAAGACTTGTCCATGGGTAGCCCAGTCAGCACTGCCAGCACTGGCTGGCGCTTCCATTTGGATCCACTGCATGGCATGTCGCGGTCTGAGCTAGACTTTGAGCCAGACTCGGAAGAAAGTGATTCCTTCATGTCCTTCTCAGGTTTCGACCTTCCCAACAATCCCTACTCCCAGGCTGGTGAAGAGTATCCGAAGCTTGTGATGTGGCTCAAAGATATATCACAGAAGGAGAACAGGCCGCCAAGCGCTTTAGAGGGCTTTATGCCGGTACTGCAAGGTACATTGGAGTCTACATACATGACAGGATGACCACTCCCTTGCCATCGAACTTCTTGCATCCTCTGTCATCACCTGTGATCACCTACAAATCTCGACACACTCATGCTAGGCACCAAGCGTTACTGGACAGCTCCTCCCAGGGTGTCTCTCGCAGGACTTTCTGCTGTCTTGCGTTATTGCCCGGAGTTGAAGAGACTTGGGCTTGTGTTCAATTGCAGTATTGGAACCTCGCAGAATGCTTTGGTCCCCATGAATAGAGCCATCACGAATCTGCTAGTGTGTTAAGACCATTGTAGGGAACTAGTTTCCCGTGTTGCCCTTAAATTTCCTAGGGTTAATATAATGTCTGGCCGGCCGAGGTTTACAGGATCTGGCTAGATATGGGCCAGGGATGTAGGTAACAATGTAGGACTACACTAGGCAGAGCCTAGAGTAGAGTTGGCCAAGGTGAACTACCCGAAGTTAGAACCGGAGGTAGTCTTTACCGGGAATCTGAGCAGAGTCTAATGTGATATTCAAACTGAAGATTTCAGCTCCCATTGCAACAAAAATCCCCTCCTCCACCAATACTCGCACAATAAGAAGGCACTGTCCAACCTCAAAGCTGCGCATAATTATTGTCTTTGCCCTCCTGCTCATCGCATCATCAAGCTTGGATGGCCATCCAGATGATGTTCGCACAAAAACCAGGCCAAAATACCATTCAACATGAAATTGCACATGATCTGGAAGGTTACTATTATGTGCTCCTCACTCTTGCATTCATGTTTGATGCACCGTACAGATTGAAGAAAGTTCCACACCCCAATGCAGTCAGCGGAGGGGAGATGTGGGTCCATTGTTGGCTTGAGAACACCATAGAGAAGGAGATCTGGCATGAAGCTGTAGAAAAACAACACTATCTGGCTACTGATGCAGGGTTCACTATGGTGGACGGAGTGTTGGGTCACGACTGGGCAAATGAGCCTGTCAGGACAATGTTGAAGGAGATGAGGACGATCCTCTTTGTTGAAAGCGCACCAAGCCATTCCCACATGCTCGATGTCATCAACACTGCACTGTTCAAGCTCTGTACTGATCATACACTAGCCAATCTCTGCCAGCCTCAACAGATGACCAACGAATGGGCCAGGGTGGTCAGTGGTGGCAGATTTGCCAAAGGGCCACAGATGCTCCCTGCCTTGCGAATGAATTTGTTCTACCACAAGGATCGTCAAGATGCCGATCTCAATCTCTTTGCTCACATGCCCTGTCCCCTAGTCCAAGAATGCAAGCCAGATCACATTAATGTAATGGCCGCACCTGTGGTGCTGAAGGACCTTCGGAAGGAATGGGCATTTAGGTCCATGATTTGCTTGAAGCATGGTCAGACTTTATCAGACTTTATTCTTATGATTTCACAGGACAACCCATTATCATACGTAACATGCTATACATATTGCAATTGTATTTTTGGCACAACATTTTGACACTTTCATTGCAGTAGACGCTTGCATAGACACTCCTCCTAAGACTCTTTCTGCATCCTCTTGTTTTTCATCCAATGGTGCTCAGTATGCGTGTTATTGCTGAGGCTTCAACATCTTATAAATTCTCTGCTCCAGGCTGCATTCGCACATTTGGTACTACACAAGGACTGAATTCTCATCTACGCAATCTGCAAGTTGTAAATGGTATAAGCTAGGGAAGGAAAGAGAGCGGGATAGGGCGGATGATGAAGGTACACATGCCTTTGAAATGGAGGGACTACCAGATGGGATAGTGGTGCTTTCTTGTTAAGTTCTTACATTATTTCTAGTTCATGAAATGCACTACGATAACCAGAACATAATGGACATAGACCAGGAGCAGGGAGAGCCCGTAGCTGGTCCATCTACGCATGGATCCACTTTAGCAGAGGAGGAAGATGCACGTGTCACAGAGACTCATCCTACTACTGGGACGGTCATACAAATGGAGGAGACAGTGCATGCTAAATGGCAGAGACATTTTGGATTAGGTGATGGAGAAGAGGCAGAATCAGACCTTTCTGATGATGAAGATGGTAATTTATTCTACCCCTTTGCATCACATCTGGACTGGCAGGTGGGGTGTTGGGCTGTGCAAGAGGGAATAGGACACAAAGCATTTGACAGGTTGTTTGCTATACCAGGTGTACGTCAATTCATATATTTCCTATCTATATCTTGGCTGATATTGTGCAAAAAGGTTAGAGAGCATTTAGGACTTGCATATTACAATATCAGGGGACTCCATCAAACCATAGACAGCATCCCTCCTCGTGCTAAATGGCAATCAACTTACTTGGCCTTCAACGATACGCCGGACTATACAGAGGATGGCCCCTCTATATAGTCAAACAGTTTTTCCTGATGTTGTTCTCTACTGGAGGGATCCGCTCGAGTGCATCCGTTATTTCACGACTGTATAGACCTCACCCCTTGCACAGTGTATACCACAGCACAGAAGCTGTCTGGGGTATATACTGAGTGGATGACAGGAGAACATGCTTGGGACATGCAGGTTCGTATTACGCCCCCCTCGAAGTCATCACCTCATGTATTCTTGAAGTCGGAGCTACCTCGTGATGCAACTCTCCTTGGCATCATGCTATCCTCAGACAAGACATGTATCACTGCATTGACAGGCAATCGTGTTGCCCATCTGTTGCTTATCAGCCTCGCCAATATTCACATGAATACACGATTGAAATCATCATCGAACACTTTCCTCCTCACGGCCTTGCTTCCGGTGCCAAAATTCGTTCATAGGAAGAAACAGATGAAGGGTGTGTTGCAGGATCGGCTTGTTCACCAGTGCTTGGATGTTGTACTAGAACCACTGAAGTCGGCTGCTCAGCTGGGCATTATGATGTCAGATCCAATCAGACACAGTCACTATTGCTTCACTCCACTTGCTAGTTACATCGCCGATACCCCGGAAGCAATGATGCTCGCATGCGTTGGTGGAAAGACGTCTCCAGTGACTATGGCCATGTACAAGCAGTTTGGGGATGCCTTTTGACACAAACCCAGGACCAAATCAACAACTCTTGCACAGCTGGACATTGTGCACTCACATGCTGACCCACATAACCTCGAGGCATTCTTCCGTGAAGCGCAGAAGTTCCCCCTGAATGGTGTTGAGAAACCATTCTGGAGTGACTGGCCACTAGCCAAACCATCCCATTTCTTCACACCTGAATCACTGCACCACCTTCACAAGCAGTTTTACAACCATGACATCCAATGGATTACCAGCACTGTAGGAGATTCCGAATTAGATCTTCGGTTCTCAATTGTACAGCCCAAACATGCCCACATCACAGAGGTCAAATACCCTGCAAGATCGACCAACAACAATAACTACAATCCACAAATATGTTGTTTTCTTGACCATGCTGATAAATGCAATAGGTTTGATCTTGCCACCAATCTTTTGGACCACAAGCTGAGCGTCGAGGATCTGGAGGTTGTCCGAGAGGAACACGAAGATGAGGACACTTACATTGATGCGGACGCAGACATCGTCCCCGTGGATTCTCTGTCCAAGACTCAACAACCTGGTCAGCCACGTCCTGTCACAGACTATTTCACCATTGCCAAAATGCTACAGCACAAGGAAGCAGAATCGAAACCCATCCCACTACGCTCTTTCATTGTTGGCCGCACTGCCCTCCATCTTGCATACAATCCTTCCATTAGGAATATTAGTGTCGATGAAACTGCCGTCATGTTCAACTTACCAGACCTGCAATATTCGCCCAGCTCAGACATTAAACTATGCACCACCTAGTGGCCTCTGGACTTCAGGCCATTATGACACAGTCATTATCCAGACCAATGCAGAGCAGTCATGGCCTACCAGTGGTCTTTCAGGTGCGTTATATCTGTTTCTCATTGCAATATTCACTATATACTAAAGAATGAGCTCCGCAGGTCACTCCGTAGCCCAGATCATGGCCTATTGGCAAACGTGGCACACCATGGTCATGGACAGATCAGTTCATCACTTACGTCCAACAATTCAATATCTTGAGCGAACATGATCCAGCTAGTCAGCTGCATGTGCTAAAAAGATTGAAGCACTCTAATGACACTCAGATGGGGGACATCATTCCAGTCTCTCAGCTGAGAGCGCCTGTCCATCTTGTCCCCCGCTTTGGCGCCACTGCGGATATGTGTTTCACTGCCCACAACAGCATGGAGCACACCACCGAGTTTTGGCTAAACTATTTTGAGGACAAAATATATTTTTTGCACTGTCAGTCTAATTGCACTGAGTTTGTACCTGATAAGCAACATTTTCATACACGAAAAATACCCACATAGTAGAATAGTACCATGTTGAATGGCATCTTTGTTTTCTACTGCACAACAGGACATGGCACCAGCTGGGGCACACAGCAAAACCATAGATTATGGGATGAAGCTTTCATCGCTGATGTCGGCACCCATTGTCAATGATGTGCCTACACTGGACAGACTGTGGCACCGCTCTCAAGCTCAATTGCTTGATTTTGCATGAACTGGCACCACAAAATGATAATGCAGAGCTCAGTTATATGTTGTCACAGATTTTTGGTTCATTTACCTTTCGACTCCCAGATGTGACAGAGTTACAGGTTCAATTACATAAAATTCGCTATCGGGACGACAGACTTCATAGCAAGTTCGTCGATTTCCAAGCTGTACAACCGGTTTTAGACCGCTTTAGACCAGTTGTGACAGGAACCAGTCTAAAACCGGTTGTAAGACTGCAAGAGACTGAAAATATCGGTCTGTTGAGGTCCAGTCCAAGGTTGCCTGATATTGTGGGAATCAGGCAACCGGTCCTGGTCCGGTTGCCTCCAAATAAGGCAAATGACCGGACCCAACTGGACTTTTAAACTCTAGTCTGGACTCACTCATGTCACCACTTCACTTAGATCTAACTTAGAGCCACAGCGCTGAGCGAAAGTGATTCCGTGTAGCCTGTTGGTGTAGACTACCAATCCGTATGAGTGCAAGTATAAATGCTCATCCCAAGGGGATTGCTACTGAAGGAAGTCTTTGCAATAAATGCGAAGGAATCAACCCTATGGGCTTAAGATCTATGCAGCAATGCACAAAAGCGGGCAGAAGAATCCAGTATAAGAAAGAGTATTTTTGGACAGGAACAGACCTGACGGAACAGATGTCTAGTTGTACAACTGTGACTACCAAGGTGTCGAGGTGGCAAGGTTTTAAGGTCTCAATGTAACAAGCTACCGGAAGGGATCTGTTATGACAGAAGAGAGTTGACTTAAGTATATAAGGTGGGAGCGCAAGTGTACGTACTGACATCTGTTACAGAGCGGAAAGCTAAGGGGACTTGATCATACGGACTTAGACACTAAATCCAAAGGAGTAAAAGGAAGTGATATTGTTAGACAACAGCACAACTATTTATCCTGATCCATAAGAACTCAGAATCCTCTTAAGCGGCAGTAAGCACAGGCGAGTTTGTAGCGCAGTAATATGTAAAAGACAGCAAGCGGCCTCATGCATGGGAACGTTCATGTAATACGGACTGTGGGTGATCAGAGTGACCAAAAAGAGACAAATAATGCACCAATGGGGATGGATGGACATGGATGGACAGGGACCAAGGGCAACAATGGTATCTGTTACGGGTTGGGTATCCACATAGTACAGTAACTTATACCCGTATTAGACGGACAGCTGAGGGTGACAATGTACCAATACAGACGGGCCAGCCCATGTGGGCCGAGGCCGGTGATTGTACCATGATAGACGAGTGGGCCGAGGCTGGTGATTGTACCATGATAGACGAGTGGGCCGGTACATACTATGTGCAATGGATGACGAGTGGGCCGAGATGATGGGGCGCAATGGAGACGGGTCCAAGACCGGTTTCAACCAGTCCATTGTAGAACCGGTTGCCCATATATGGGTAGTACTCATCTAGATGATTCTATTGGTGGTCTCACCTTGAAAAATGGTCGAGATTTGGGAACAATATAAGCATTTTAAGAATAGCTCGTATAACTGTCAAAGACTAATTTTTCCGGTTGTTTGCAGTCCTACAACCGGTGGTACACTGGTTGCAACCGGGACCGGTCCTGTGGCAATGTAGTACTTCTTCCTACAATTCTAATGGTGGTCCATTTGTATTAAACAGTTAAGATTTGAGTGAGATATGAGCATTTTAAGAATGGCTTGTATAACTGGCAAAGACCAGTATTTCCGGTTGTACACTGGTTGTACACTGGTTGCAACCGGAACTGGTCCTGTGTCAGTGTAGTACCTCTTCTCACGATTCTAATGGTGGTTCATTTGTATTAAACAGTTAAGATATGAGCGAGATATGAGCATTACAAAAAAGGCCTCCCAAACCCCGCCCTGCCTACTAGGATTTCTGCCACAGGCCTCACAAACATGCCACAAGGTTGACAGGGCTTACAAGACTAAAACTACTAAGTAGTAGTCTAGTAACTCAATAGTTGAATGTGATAGTCTATGCTCAATAGTCTTATCAATAGTTGTGTGCCTGAACTTTCTTGAACACACCACTTTGTAGTATTTTGCTTATAACTCACTAGGATCGACTACCTTTGACAAGGGCTACAACTTTGATTTCCATCGAAAATATCCCACAGTCTACCCCTAGTCATTCCTTATCGTGGTCCTTAATCAAAATCCTAGTCCCTAATAACCAAAAACTCGGAATTTCATAGTCTTTCTTTACTATTTGCTGTTTGATTATCACTGATGTTTCGGATTTCTGTAGCTTGTATCTCAATCATATGATAACCAATTGACAAAGTAAGACTACCAATACACTCACGTTGACTAGGACTACAATCAGTGTTAGACTAGGACTACAATCAGTGTTAGACTAAGAATACCAACAGCAAAATAGTAAAGAAAGACTTTATGAAATTTCGAGTTTTTGGTTATTAGGGACTAGGATTTTGATTCAGGACCATGATAAGGAATGACTAGGGTAGACCGTGGGATATTTTCGATGAAAATCAAAGTTGTAGCCCTTGTCAATGGTAGTCTATCCATAGTCTCATGACATTTTTTGAAGGAAGTTCAGGCACACAACTATCAATAGGACTATCGAGCATAGACTATTGTATTCAACTATTGAGTTAATAGACTACTACTTAGTAGTTTTAGTCTTGTAAGCCCTTGAGAAGAAGTACTGCACTGCCACAGGACCGGTCCCGGTTGCAACTGGTGTACAACCGGACTGCAAACAACCGGAAATATTGGTCTGCGCCGGTTATACAAGCCATTCTTAAAATGCTCATATCTCACTCAGATCTTAACTGTTTAATACAACTAGACCACCATTAGAATCATAGGAAGAGTTACTACACTGCCACAGGACCAGTTCCGGTTGCAACCAGTGTACAACCAGTGTACAACCGGAAATACTGGTCTTTGCCAGTTATACAAGCCATTCTTAAAATGCTCATATCTCACTCAAATCTTAACTGTTTAATACAAATGGACCACCATTAGAATTGTAGGAAGAAGTACTACATTGCCACAGGACCGGTCCCGGTTGCAACCAGTGTACCACCGGTTGTAGGACTGCAAACAACCGGAAAAATTAGTCTTTGACAGTTATACGAGCTATTCTTAAAATGCTTATATTGTTCCCAAATCTTGACCATTTTTCAAGGTGAGACCACCAATAGAATCATCTAGATGAGTACTACCCATATATGGGCAACCGGTTCTACAATGGACTGGTTGAAACCGGTCTTGGACCAGTCTTTCGTTTTTCACAAAAGTTAGGCAACTGAAACTGGACCAGCCTAAACCTGCCTGAGGCAACTGGCAAATGGCAACTGAGGTCCAGTCTTTCTTTATCCGGTTGTGGTCCGGTTGTGGTCTGGTTGTGGTCTGGTTGTGCCCACCCATCTTCCATTACACTTTGCATACCGGCCCACCCGTCTTCTATTGCACCTAGTTCCCCCAGCCCACCCGTCTTCCATTGCACCCGGTACCCCCAGCCCACCCGTCTTCCATTGTACTTCGCATACCGGCCCACTCGTCTCCATTGCACTGTGTACTCTTGGCCCACTCATCCCCATCACACCCATCTCCCTGGCCCACTCGTCATGCATTGCACATAGTATGTACCGGCCCACTCGTCATGCATTGCACATAGTATGTACCGGCCCACTCGTCTACCACAGTACAATTATTGCCATGGGCCCACATGGGCTGGCCCGTCTGTATTGGTACATTGTCACCCTCAGCTGTCCGTCTCATACAGGTGAATTCACTGAAGGGGCTCGGGTATCTGTTGGGTGTCCGGAGGGGACAGATGTCGATGGAAGAGGTTGGGTGGATGTGGACATGAATGCCTGACCAGGTGAGCTCTGGATCATGCATAATGCACGACTGTGAGGATAGTGTCGGAATGTTCGGTACAGTGTGCATTAGATCTTATCCTATCACTTAACTCTGTTAGAATAGCAAACTTGTCTCAACATGATCATACATTTTTACCTTCATTATGTACCGTATATCTCACTCTTTGAGTTCCTGCAAAATCCACAATGTATTCCGGTGTTCACACTCTGACCTTGTTATAGAATCATGTGAGATTACAATCGTGTGCCAAACACACTAGTAAGCATAGTAACTCAAGCATTGCGGGTACAAGAGGGCCCCAAGTCAAGATCATCCAGCTCATGCCATGATAACAACTCCATTGGAATTTTTTTAATTGGGCAGGTCCTATGGCAACATACTCAGTTGCTCTCAAATGTGATCACAAGCTCACCATATTGTAACTCCGAGACTTGCATTGATGCGCCTGCAAATGCAGACTGCCATGTCAATTTTCACCACACCTATTGGGTTAATTATATAGTACCCGACACACAGCACAAGCATGTGTACATACTTTGACAAAGTTCATGCTATGATTCATGTTGGAAAACATCAATTTGTCAAGACAGATGTTGTGCACCTGTGGAGATCACAGTGCTTACTTTCTTGGTGAGTGCTGTGTCAGTCTGATCTGTCGATCACCTGAGCTGATTCAAACAGGACATCAATGTTCAACTGTGCTCGTCTATACAATGTTGCACTCTCCAAAGGTACTAAACCTTCTGAAAAATCCTCATTTGGGTTTGAGCTGTTGGGCAACCATGTGTGGAGTGCCATCATCCAACTCTCCCTTATTGAAGACCTATTAATCACTAATGAAGTTTTAATCATCCACCATGGTGGCAAGCATAAGGATTGCCTCACTGATGCTATCCAGGCACAAAATATGTGTGTATGGCTAAGATGAACTTCACTACCACTGTGCAACATACACAATCCTCTATGATGGTGATAACCGCAGTGGTCCTACCAGCAAGCTTTCTGTGGTAGTTGTTGATGGCGTTACAGTGGGCCATCCTTGCTGCAGCATTCACAATTGCCACACCCCACTCCTCAACAATCATGATTGCTTCTTTCCAGACTACTTTGCCCTTGTCAACATGTGTGCCATCATAGGATGCAATTGCACAGTTATTCCCCTTGTTGAAAACTTGTGACCTGCTGAACTATCAAGATGTAGAGCGATTTTACACAGAATGTGAACAGTCCCAGTGTCAACTCCAACAGCAGCTTCAACACAGTCGTGTGGCCAACCCATCAGAATCTATGCCCCAAGAAGCAGGGTAAAGCTTGGTGGATGACATGCCAGATGAACAATTTGACAATGAGGAACTTGTGGAGGATGAGAGTGTAGGAGTGTTGCAACTGCTACAAAGCTTTATGTATAATATGAACAATATGTCACATAGTGCTAATACATTTGTGGACCGTCACTAATAGTTCTCAATCCTGAAAGTGTAAGATTTGTAGGTGTCAAATATGACCTTCTGCACACAACAAAGATGGTAAATGTACTGAAGAATGGCAATGAACATGTTGCTCATGTCAAGCTGTGAATGTGTGATGGTAATGGGTGATGCAACATTTGCTCAAACAATATACACTTTGTGATGGCCCCAATAGCAATAAATACAGAGTTGAAATATTTCAGTAGGTCAGTGACATATTCTGAAATCCCGGTGTTGCTGCACAAAACAAACAACCATTCACAATATGAATGAGTTGTTGAGAACACCGTCCAAGATCATTATGTTATGTCCCTGGCCTGAATGAACAATAACAAGGAAGGAAGGAACACAATGTACACTGTTGACAGTGAATTGGTGCATAAACACAAAAGGCTGACTTTGATTGTTGATGGACACTGCATGTATGACATGACATGTCTCCGGAATTCAACAGGGGGGACATTAGAATCTTGAGGGGGGTATGTATCAAAGCCGAACAGACACAGATCCACATGAGCTTGAGCAGATTGGTGAACATGACAGTACATACCCCCATCAGCTGTTGTGAGTTGAGTGCAAAACCGTCATTGAGGAAAGAGTTGAGTTTGAGTCGTGAAATTCGGTTTCAGGTGGAGTCTCGGCATTGAAATGAGTGCGTGGGATGTGGTTGCAAGTACAGGGAAATGTGCATGTAGTCAGGCTGTTTCCATCATTGGAAATGTGCAAACCACCAGTGTAGAGAGCTTCAAGTCCTGGTTGAGCATCAGGTTCACTGCCGTCGTGTGCTGACTCATCATCATCAAGCTTGTTGTCATTATCCAAGTCATTGAGCATCTTTTTGGTGTCAAAGAGCGGGGGAATCTCGTCTACTGGTTCTGTGGGTACCATATCAGGCTTTTCATCTGACAATCAACACATATTTCGGTGGTAATCTGTGAGTTTTTGTTGGTCTTCCTGTGCTGTCAGAAAATCAGGTACAACACAAGTTATCATGAGGAGGACCCAGTAGTCAACATGTGGGGGTCGTCCAGAGTGCATATAGTGAGTGAAAAATGTCTTCTTCAGGTGGCAGTTAAAGGACTCAAGGTGGTTATTAGTGCGGATGACTTCTTGCATGGGAACTCCAAGACGTTCGGCAGCAATGAGAACACCACCTGGAGACCAGGACAGCCAAAAGGAACAAAGCTTGAGGTAATCAAAGAGATAGCCAGAAAGGCTAGGCCAGCTTTGGATTTTTTCCTCAATACGTCGTCATTCTGCCTGCTGAGTCCATGAAAAAAAGCCAACTCCTCATTATATGCATGCACAGCCTCTTCATATTCAGTGATCTCCTTGAGCAGTCGCATGAGAAGTTGACCAAGACGAGCTCGAATCTCTTGGCGTGCAGGTCCTTTCGGTGCAGGCTTTAGGTACCTGTTGAGACCATTTTGCCAAGATTGCCACATGTGGAAAAGACATAGAATAAGGTGAATTGATGGCCAGTGCTTCGTGAGAGCATATCGTTTTCATATATCGTTGTCTGTGTTTCCAACAGCAATGTTGAATGGTTCGCCAGCATTGTTGAGGCCCATGGCTGCTTTCCACTTGTCCAGTACATCCTCAAGAATTTTCCGATCATAGTCAGCATGGACAGCTTTTGCTTCTTTTCGCGCAGTGAAGATTAAGAAGGCAACAGGAATGCCGATATGATTATCATCGATTACGAGAAGGATGAAAATGAGCACTCGTGCAGTGCACACACCAAAAGTGCCATCCATTAGGACCTGATTATTGTGGCCATACTTCCATGCCAATGCTCGTTGTTTGGGTGTAGAAAAGATGAGGATGCATCTGTTATGGTGACCCCATCATTTTTCCTATCATCATTCTTCTCTGATCTATTCCTGCTATCTTTGACTGCTTATCAACATGCTCCGCATGAACGTTCTAAATACTTCTGTCTATTCTTGTTATCTCTGACTGCTTATCAACATGCACTGCATGAACATTCCAGATAGTTCTATGATGTTCTTCTTTGATTCCCTTACTTCCATAGTTGGCCTGGTCCGTGCTTTTCCTGTTCACTATAAATACTGTGATAGTTACACTTGTATTTCTCTAACTTGAATCTACTTGGTTCTCTCTGATACTTGATTATCTTCTGAGGAAGATACATTCCAATCTAGCTCTTGTAAAGAGGCTAGCCTATATTCGAACTTCGTCTAGAAGGAGAGCCCTTCAGACGTCTGAACTGAACGTCGTAACACGTTGAACTCCTTTATTGGATTGGTTACGCAAGAACTATCCAAGTCGTAACAGCATCAATCAGTGACTCCATCGATGTGGGCCTGAGAAAACATGAGTGCATGGGAGAGTGCAGGGTCAGGTGGGTGTGGGTCATTCATACGAAACCATGAATCTAAATTTGCTTCTGCAGCTGATCATTGGGGTATTCCAATCTCTCTCGCAATTGTTCAGTAAAGAGATGTTGAATCATGACTCATAAGCGTATAACGTGCATGGGTGTCACCAGCCAGATCACCCCATTTCTGTTTTGCAAAGCCACAACAATGTTCCTGCAGCTGCGTCAAAGGAGTATTCAGGTGTAGTAGAGCTAGTGCAAACTCTCAGAGTTCTGGATGGAGTGGAATACGAGGGTCGTGGTCCATCTCGAGCTCGGCTTCGCATGCCGAGGAGTGATCAAAGATGCCCGAGACCTCTTCAATGATGGCCAGAGAACTGTCTGCATATATTGATGTGTTAACTATGTGAGTCTCAATTGACTCATATCATTACCTGACGTGAAATGTGTGGCAATAACCTTGACCCAAACCAAACACCCCACATCCTTCCATGGAATCTCTCGCAACTTTGATCCATTAGTCCCAGCAGTGTGATCAGTCCCGCATGAGCATTGCAAGAGGCAAGTAACACGGGAGTAAACACTGGGCTGAAGTTTTCCATGAGGGCCTTTTGAGTTCAGGACTTTCGTATCCGTGTTACAAATTGCTAGCTTCAACTGAACATCACGGTGCAATAGAGTGGGTATATGCACATGAAGACGGTCAAGAAGCTGAAAAGCAAGATCTAGCAGTCATGTTAGTTTTGATTTGATTTACGAAGTGATAACTCACCTTGGCTTTCAACGGTACAGATAAAATGTTCTCAGTCAATGCCTACAGTGTCGATGTGCTGTTCCATGAGTTTTTGTGCATCTGGTGAAAGTTTAAGCTTTGTTGGCACCGCAAATTTCTTCATCTGATCTGAAAGCTGGAGAGGTGGTATATCAGGGCCTGAGGTGATAATGCCACGACTCCTGGCAGCCTCCCAGAATACTGTGAATTGATTTAAAGTAGTCATTATTACAATAGAGCCATGAGGGTATACAGATGGACCTGACGACACATTCCATTCTCTGCCACCAGCACATCTCACATTTCAAATTCCGCCTTTGGTGGGTCGAGTCCTAATTCTGATGAACTGTGAAGTGGATCCGATGTTTAGGGGTTAAGTGGATCCAAAGGTTCAGTGGACCCGAGTGGGTCCGACAAATAAGGGTCAAGTGGGATCCAATGTTTTAGGGGTTGAGTGGATCCGACATTTAGGATCCGATGTATAGGGGTCAAGTGGATCCAAGTGGATCTGAGTGGGTCCGACATTGTAGGGGTTCAGTGGGCCCGAGTGGATCCGATGTACGACTGGGATCCGACAAATAGGGGTCAAGGGGATCTGAGTGGATCTGATGTTTAGGATCCAATATTTTTAGGGGTTGAGTGGACCCGAGTGGATCCGACATTCAGGATCCGACACATAGGGGTCAAGTAGTGGAGGAACATCTAGACAAGAAGGGTCAATGATGTATGACATGGTAGGGCAGACTAGCTGCAGGGATCTGGACTTTGTGTTGACAGGTTAGGGGTAGCAGGGCGGATCCTGCTGAGGGGTATGTCTAGTGAAAACTGGGACACGGGGTTATCCTGCTGAGGGGTAGGGATAGGGTGAAGGTATAGCTTGGCTACATTTCGGAGGTCTGGACATTGTTTGTCAGGAGAGATGGGATATGATTCAGGGGCTCAGTGTACAATATATGACACAAACCTTCTCACCATTGGGTGACACACATCTTTGAACAGCTAGAGGATTACAGTCCTGTTTACGGCTTCTGGACATTTCTTTTTGAGCGCCTCAACAAAGTTCTCAAGAGTTATCCAACAAATAATCATGGTGACGGCGAGATTAAAATTTCATTTATTGTGCTTTTACTCGCGACACAGAACTTCAAACTATAATAATGTCATTTTTGTTTTTGTTTATGCATACTCTTCACTCAACCGTGACATCCAAAAGATGACCAACTTACTTGCTCAGAATGCTGGATCCACAGAGCCTCCATCAGCCGAAGATCTATTTCTCTATGATGCTGTCAAAGCCATTCTAACTACTGATAGTGACACTCGCGCAACCGTAGCTTCACTTGCGAGTGAAATCAATGATGTTGCCCAGCAAGGTACATGTTCCCTGACCTTGCCAAGCTACCCTGACTTACTTCTTTGACCCAGCTGGCACTTGTTTTTCATTGAGTCCTGGGTCGTCATCATCACTGGACCTTAAACAGCAAAAACATCTCCTTTGCTACTACCGGATAACTCATCCACATGCGAACATCATAAGTGTCATATTGTATGCACTGTCATCTCCAAATTTCCTTCAGTCACATGCACAATTCCATGACTACGTGATCCTCAATGGACATTGTGTCATGTCCTCCCATTCCCGGACACATGCACCAAACTCAATTGTTTAAGTCAACATCAATCAGAAGTGTTACATCGGTCAGGTTCACACCATCATTTCCCACTGGCAAATTGGCATAGTGCTGGATCTTTGTCTGCTTGAGGTTCATTGGTTTGAAGAGGCTCAAGACCTTGAATTTCGACACTAGATTCAATAGTAACTTCTGTTTTTTGTCATGTTTTGCCTCTGCACTGATTAATATAAGTCCAGAATTAGAGATCTACTTCTGTAAATTTGACCACTTCCTGGACAGCATGAAGGACGGGCCCCCACACTTTATCCCTGTTGAATCAATCTGATCGCAAGCATATCGTTTGAAGATCATGTGTCACATTGAGGATCCACAGACAAGAAATCATGTAGTGAAACCATTTTGGGCAACAATTGGGTTGAGCCGAGTATGTCTGCAATCAACATCAACTGGAAACTTAATTGATACACAATGGTTCAGGATGTACAGGTGGTATAGGATCGATAATTCAGCAGCAAGACAAATCCGAAGGTGAGCCTATGAATATCTAGAGTCATGCATCCTCCACAGTTTCATCTTCCCCGTCAGTGCCATCACTATTCACATCCATCGTGTCTGTGGCTTTTGCTCTTGGGTCATCAGCCAGCTTGTTCGGCTCATCTACTAGGCCAAATCTGATGGGATATTTCTTGAGTACGACTACATTTGTGCCAAGGTTATAGTCAACATAGGCCTTGTACCAGTCTGTGTTGAGCATGAAAGGGAAGATTAGTCATTGAGAGGGTGCCGTATTCTTGTTGTTGAGGTTGATACGTCTGGTGTGAGTCACTTTGTTGCCTGCTTTCTTCCGCTGCTCAGCCCATATCTGATCAAGTTTGTCCATGACAGAGTTAAACTATTGTGATTGGCAGGCAGGCTGTATAATCTCCCAAATCGCAACACCATCTTTCATATCAGCAGTATTCAATCATGCGTCCTTTTCAAGCTCTCTGCAACACATGCTCTTCTTTATGTCATTGTCCGTGTCCAGTTGCGAGAGTTCTTCTGACATGAAGTCAGTCTCCATGAGCGGGGAAGGATCCTGTCCATCATTGCGCTTCTTGAAGAGTTTGACAGTGTGTATACAACAAATCTGCTGAAGTGCAGAAAGTGTTGGGTCTTGCTGCCTAGCTGCTATGTCTTGTAGGACAGTGTCAGACCCTAAAGGGTTTCTGAACCAAGCTCAGAGCTCAGAGAAAGAGAGAGGATAAGGAAACTGCATTCAAAGTCACTCCAGGTAATAGTAAGGGTAAAGACCAACATGATTATGTAAGCAGTACAAATGCCAACATAAGCAAAGTAGATAGGGGTAAAGTAAGCCTAACCAGGAACTAGTTCCTACAACGGGTTTCAAATGTCCCTCTTTCATCTACCATGGGTGAGTGTGATGCATTATTGTCATGGTACTGGAGCTTACAGACCTTTCATTGACAGTGTTTTGTTTGCAGTAGTGCTGCCGTGGTCCGGTTTGGTCTGGTTCAGGGGGTCCAGGACAAGAACTGAGAGACAAGAACCGAGAACCAAACCATGGTCCAGTTCTGCAAAATCTTCGAACCTAGAACCGGACCATTGAGAACCGTTCTTTGTGGTCCAGTCCGGTTTTTTTCTGGTCCGAATTCGAACCGAACCAAATTTTTTTCTATAGTGAGCGCAAAAGAAATGTTGACTAAATGCTAGTCTACACATTGAGTAGCTAGTCTAACATAGCCGCAAACTCTTCTGCCTCTGTAGCTGCTGAAACATGACCATTGCGGTAAACTGCCTTCAATAATTGGAGTGTGGAGAATGTAGCTGGGGCCAGTGCATTGCGGCAAAGTGTTGATGTGATCCCCCCGCTAGAGTTTAAAAGTCAAGTCCGGTCTTTTGCCTTATTTGGAGGCAACCGGACCAGGACCGGTCTTTTTATTCCCACGATATCAGCAAACCTGGACTGGACCCGTAAAGACCGATGTTTTTGGTCTTTTGCGGTCCTGCAACCGGTTCAGTGTAGTACCCCTTCCCACGATTCCAACAGTCTAATTTTTGTAGTAAATGGTTAAGATATGAGCAAGATATGGATATGAGCATTATAAAAAAGGGTTCCTAAACTCCGCCCTGCATGTGAGTCAAATATGAAATGTCATTACTATACTGAAGTTTCTTGACAAAATATGTGCTGGTAGTCAAGGCGATACTATAGCTAATCTTATCTTGTCAATAGGGTAAGATATAAGCAAGATATAAGCTTGGCAAAAAATCGTTATCAGGCTTGTCTTTGAAAAATAAAAGTTGTTATAAGGCTTAGGTGTCTTGACGAAATATGTGCTGCTAGTCAAGGCGATACTATAGCTACTCATATCTTGTCGAACACTCAAGGTTTGGGTAAGTTATGAGCCAATCAGTGATTTTGACTGATTTTGACTTGCCATTCTAACATGTCTGATCTTTGTGCTAGTCTTGGAGCATGATAAATCATCAAGAGTTATCTAAATTTGATGTTCCATACCATTTTTGATGTCTACAAACACACTGGTAAAGGTTTTTAAGCTTGGAAATCAATCCCTGGTTCAGTGCCAACAAGCCTAAAAACACGCCCCACAGATTTATACGAGCCATTCTTAAAATGCTTGTAACTTTCCCAAATCTCAACCAATTTTGAAGATCAGACCACCGATAGAATCATCTAAGTGAGCACTACCCATATATAGGCAACCGGTCCCACAATGGACCGGTCTTTCATTTTTCACAAAAGTTAGGCAACTGCAACCGGACTTTTCTGGACGTGAGGCAACTGGCAACCAAGGTCCGGTTGCGGTCTTTTTTCGGTCTTGCAACTGGACTTTTAAACTCTACCCCCCGCTAGAGAAAGCATGTTCTGAGGGAACCGCACTGCCCTGAATTGGTAGATATCCCACAATGGACCGGTCTTTCATTTTTCACAAAAGTTAGGCAACTGCAACCGGACTTTTCTGGACCTGAGGCCAAGGTCTGGTTGCGGTCTTTTTTCGGTCTTGCAACTGGACTTTTAAACTCTACCCCCCGCTAGAGAAAGCATGTTCTGAGGGAACCGCACTGCCCTGAATTGGTAGATAATTGCGCGCAATACAAGATAGTGTTGGATACTGAAGTGAGTGTAGCTAATGAATAGAGTGAGCTCAGAATGTGATAATACAAAGAAAAATGTACCCCCCACCACACCACAATATTATCTGTCTCTTCCAATGGCGAAGTGAGATATGATGAGAGTTCTTGAAGTGGGTCACACGTGCAATTGTCTGCTGCTTGACGTGCTGTGACAGCATCATGCATCCAGGATTGGCTGTACCAAACACCCTGCAACACTTTCATTGGCATGGCAGCATGTTCCATGGTGCACGACATTGGAGGCGCTTCGTAATATTTATTAAACTACACAACAATCAGCCGACAGAATATTAAGTGAAGTAAAACTTACCAGGGCTTGAAGACGAACCCTCCCGCTCATGACCTTTGCAGCACTCCAACGACTTTCAACATACACCAACTTGTAGTTGGGGTCAAGAACTGTAATTACATTAGAAATACACTGCAGGAGAAAGAAAAACAAGTACTCACCCAGACAGACGAAGTATATATTGGAGTTGTTAGTTTTCTCATAGTACTTCCCCACATTCTTGAGGCCTTTCTGAATTGCATCAGTGATCAGCGAATATTCTGCGCTGTTGGCCATTGTCTGCCACGTATTGGCGAGACACTCCAGTGTAGGTATGGTTTGGGAGGCTATTGGGTGTGCGGCTGAAGAGAATGATTGTTGCGCAGTTCTGGGCTCCTATTAAACATAAGTAAGTAAACAAGTAGACAAACAAAAAAGAATAGCTACCTTGAGGACATTACACACAAGCCGAATTTTCTTCCAGTCAGTCCAATCAAGCTTGAAGTCGCTGTAAGATTTATTGCGCAACGTCGGGACTTCGGGACTCTCATCAGCAAGCAGGGTGAAGCGGTTGATGGCAAGATGAAGAGACATGAAGTGTTCCAGGAATTTGAAGAGAGACACCCAGCACATTCTCACCCAGGCCAAGATCTCGCAAACGGGGATGCCCTCCTCCTCACAGGACTTCTTCAAGAAAGTGTGGGCTTGTGGGGATTTGTGAATCTAAATTTCGTATCAGAAAACAACTCAAAGACGAAAACTAAGACTTCACCTGTTCAATGAGAGCAAGTGCCTTTCCAACGGTATCCCCAACATCAAACCCATCCTCAGTTATAGCCTTGGGATCATCCTCCAGTGTAGCGAGCTGTTCGGTCAAGCTGTCAATGTCAGTCTCATCACCACTATCAATAGTGCCACAGATCTTTTTGAGTAATGCTGCTTGAGGGGTGGGTGCGACTGTGTCAACAAAGTGATGTGCAGTGAGATTGAGGATGTGTTCTTGACATCGGATGCAGCGAGAACCCAGAAGCCAATGAGTGCTGTCCTTGTTAATGACCTTCGCCACTTCTTTCATGGCTGTGTCATTGTTTGAGGTATTATCCGATGTCATCCATCCAACCTGTACATACAAGTAAAGTTAGTCTAATGTCAATGTGAAAAATTAAAAAAAAAACTCACCTTCTTGTGAATGCTGAACCTATCTATGGTCTCAATAAGTATGTGACCAATGTTATGGCCACTGTGGTTGCCTTCGACGCGGCTGAAATCAAGCTGCTCGTTTTTCAACTCCCACTGCAGCGGCTTGTTGGGAGGGTTCCAAATGTATTGCTACTGATGGAAAAAAAAATGGTTCACCAATAATTGATGTCCACAAGTCAAATGTCATGGAAACTGCGCTGTCAACATGCTACCAAAATGTTTTGAAGAACTAGTCACAATATAATTAGAAAAAAACATACCGCCAGACGTTCCTTGATAGTTTGAACAATAGAGGTTGCTCGAGCCTTGATGGTATCTGTCAACTTCATGCGATGTGGGATATCTTTTTTGGTAAGAGATGGACGTGCATACTGCAGCAAACATCAAAATGCTGGCTTGTCTATTAGCTGGATGGCCTCGTCTTTAGTCACAATGAGCTCCATGATGTATTCCAGTAGGCCGTCCTTGGTAAATGCAGGCGGCCTCGAGACAAGGCTGGCATCGAGAGTCATTTGCATCTCCACGAGATCTTTGCTGGGTGGGATTGCACGAGGGTGCATTATAATGCCCCCTGCCTCACACCATTGTTTGTATACCTGGAAATGAGTTTTCTTGTTGCGAACAACATGTGTCCACAACATTGAGGTGCCACCACGGAATATGTGCTTTTGGCTAGGTTCACCAGCGGCCCTTACACAAAGTGAGAAACAATTGAAAAATAGATCAAAAACTTAAACCTTACTTGCACAAGTTGCAGACCCACCCATCAGAGGTGTGAGTGAATATGGTATGGAGATCTGCTGTATGTTCACTTTTGGAGACCTAAACACGAGTGTTAGTTAAGAAGCAATGAATGTAGAGAGAGATATGTACCATCGTCTGAGAGGCATCATCTCCATTCCCAGATTTGGCTTCATCATCATCGTTGCTGTCTGGGCATGGAACAAAGTCTTCATAAAATGACCCTTCTTGGGTAGGGTCATCAGTGTCCAGAGGCGACAAAAAATGTATGGTGGCGGCTTTCTTCGGTGCTGGAGGATCAGTGGCGCTGGATAATGCGTGCTTCCTTGTGCTTGAGGACACATTGTCAGCATCCTGAACATGAGCGGAGGGCCTTGATGTGCGAGTAGAATGTCGGGAACCAGCCACAGTTAGCACTGGTGTGCGTCCAGATTGGAGCAGAGCAGTGAAGGCGTTTTTCTGTGGGACCTGTGGCAATGGTGCGTGATCATCGGGATCATTGTAAAATACAATATCTGAGGCATCCTTGAAGGAGCCATCAGAATTCAGTGCGCATGAGTCATGAGACATGTTGAGGGAGATAACTCACAGATTCATTGTTGGGACCCCATTTTGTACATGGAACAGGAAGATAACACCTGTGCACCCAAGAACGATGATATTCCAGGAGATCAGGCAATGTGGAAAGCCGGTGGAGAATCATAACTATCGAGGAAGATGTATAGACAGAGATAGCTGCAACATAGTAAAACATATGTCAGTGGGTGGGAAATGCAGTCTGAATAGTTGGTACTTACATTCAAAAAGGCTAAAAGGCAGCCTGACCAACCAATCAAGTGCAAATCCTGAAGGTCAGCTTGACATCGAGGCAAATGATGTCGAAGCCACAGTTCAGAACAGTTCAGGATGACCAAGAACCAAGAACCATCTTCCGGTCCGGTTCTGGCTGATGCGAGAACCATGGACTGGACCAAGGAGAACCAGACCAAAAGTCTGGTTTGAACTGTGGTTCTGGACTGGACCGCGGCAGCACTAGTTTGCAGTTTCATCACCTGGTGTTTCTTACCCTTTTCTACATGAGCTCATCACACGGTTTGAGGTTTCACCTGCAAGTTGCATGATTTTATTGATAACCCTTCCAACAGATTCCTGTGAACACCCTGCATGCACCAGGAATCATGTGAGTGAGTGTGTTTCTGCGGAGTAAACACCCTTATGCAGCAGCTTGAAGGCATGTGTTTTGTGTTGCATGAATGAAGCATTAATGCTATGCTCTGCAGATCTGCGCAGTCACATTTTCAGTGCACGAACCTTCTGACAACACTCTCGCAACTGATTGCCGGCATGAACCCACTGTGCTCTCCACTGCTCAGCAGTTACAGAAATCTCCGATGCCTCCCAAGTCCATGCCTGCCTCAGCTGCAGCATTTGTGACACACTTTCTGCGAGCTCACATTGGGTAGCAGCAAACTCTGTTGACCATTCTGCAACATCTCCCTTCAGCTCTGCAACTGTTTGCAATGCCGTAACAAGTCCCTGACATATGCTGTGACCTTTGCTGTCCTGCTTCCAATGTCAAAACCCTTCAATCAGTGTGTTGTGTTTGCTCTGCACTTGTCTTGATGCAGGCCATTGATCTAGAGCAAACTTAGGAGCAGCATGCACACTGATGAATACAGAAGTTAATATTTGCATAAAAAATACAAAGAGGTCCTTACCATAAATGCTCCTGGCAACAGACCATGTCACCAACCTCAGAACCCTTTTATCTGTCATGAGTTGGATAGGTACACCTAGGACCACGCTGGTGAGCACAAACACTAGTTGTGGATAAAAGTACACGCACAGCTATACTCCCCAACAAGATCAAGAAATACATGTCCAATGACATTTGAAAGCCTCACATTAGGCAAGTAACACATGTAAGGAACGAAAGTCGAGAACTGATCCTTGAATGCATAAATTGGCAAAGTTATGTCTCCCATCCTCAGAGCCTGAGCAAAAAGCTTCTCATGACCATCAGTATGTTGCTGATGCCATGGCCTGAGGCAGTTTAATGGCACACGATCGATTGCATCTTTTGACCCTACACATTGTGCATTAAACTCAGCATCAATGTGATCATGAAGAATCTGCCTGAGTTCATCACTGTTGAATTTAATGTAGTTGATTTTGTAAATAGTATGGAAGAATATACAAAACTGACCATTTCACTAAGGTGCCTTGGTTGGCTAACCTTTGACAAACTTGTGCAACACCACACTTCCCAGCGAGATCATGGCATTTAGCATCAATGACAGCTTGTGTTTGCTCCTTGGCTGTAGAGCTGACATTTTTCTGTATGCTCTCAATACTGAGTCGCTTCCTGATGTCAGAAAGTTTGCATCGTCTGTGTCTTCCATCAGATACACACCATGACTGACAAACTTAAATGAACTTACTTGATTTGAAGACCGAACTCCTTTTCAATGCGATGAGTGAAAGTGATTCTGTGTTGCCTGTTGGTGTAGACTACTGATCTGGATGAGTGCGAGTATAAATGCTCGTCCCAAGGGGATTGCTACTGAAGGAAAGTCTTTGCGTCAAATATGCGAAGGAATCAACCCTATGGGCTGCACGAGACTTTGCAATTGAATGATACCTTGGCCAGGGGGTGTGTTGGCACTCACATTACCATTCTTGCTCTTACCATTATCTTACACCTTCAATACTACTCTTCTCAACTTCTTGCATGCATGGTCTCCTCACAATCACCTTACCTTTCTGTAGAGGGAAATTCCCTAATACAATTGGTCTATGAGACCTTGAGACCTTGCCCAGTATACCTGGTTACCTGCTCCTTACAACCTGAACCCTTGCCATTCCTTTATCTTGACTCCTTGCATCAGATCCTGATGCTATCTGCTTATTTCCTTCGACAATTCAGAAATATTTGAACAGGGCTGAGTGTCAAACAATATGTGTTCAATGACAAAAAGACTGGGCAGAGGCTCGTGTCACACACTACACATTCAATGACAAAAAGATTGAGCAAAGGCTATGTGTCAAACGCTACGTGTTTGATGATTCATTTGAACAGGCTGAGTGTCAAATGATATGTGTTCAATAACGAAAAGACTGGGCAGATGCTTGTGCCAAACACTACACATTCAATGACGAAAAAATTGAGCAAAGGCTGGTGTCACACACTAAGTGTTCAATAATGATGAGAGTATAAAGGAAAGAGGAATACTATATGATCAATATTTGCAGTAGTGTCATCAGACCTGCACTTTCCCACACATCACCCTATTTTCTTCAGACCCAATGTTTCATAGTAGATCCCTTTGATTTCTCAATGTTGATGAGTTGTTGTTTAATATTGTGTCAGGAAGAGATATTTGATGGGCCGCAGGCAGTGCTGGAAGTACTGGTGGCTAGGGTATCGGCGATGTGGTTGTGTATATGAGGGAGGTCATCAGTCATTGTATCGAACATCATGATAATAAGGAAATCATCCTCCTTTGGAAGGCTGATAGCATATATGTGGTGGACAAGATCATTAAGCCAGGTACTAGCGGATGATAGACATTCAGTGTAGTGGTAATGTACGGCAAGAGCTTGTTGAATGAGAAGCATCACTCATCAATGTCAAACACATGCATAGATAGCTTGATCATCATTTCAGTCAAGATAAATGATACCTGACCCAGCTTCTTTAGCAGCAATAGTAAAGAATAGGTCACCTATAAAGACTCAGATGAAACTTGTGGTTACATTTAAACAGTCTAAGTACACATATATTGACTGTAAAATGATAAGGAAAGACCAGTAGATCATCACTGTTTAGTACCAAAGCACACTGTAAAATATATTTCCATTGAACAGAGTCATGTTCTTCAAAAGTAGTCCTGATCTTAGGTATAATGTAGGCTTTCATAAAGAGAAGAAAATTGTCTATGGCTTCAATAGATTCATCAGATTGTGCTTATATTTCTACAGTTAAGCAAGATTTTTTGGCAGTTATTTTCACACACCAAGGTGAAATGCCTCACTGATGGAGCAATTTGCATTAAGTTTCAAAAGATACTTTAGATCAGAGGTTATAAAATGGTCCTATCAAGCCAAAAGATCATCTTGCTGATCATCTATTAAAAATGTTCAACTCAAATGATCATGTAAAAGGAGATTTCAGAAGAAACAAAGCTATATAAAAGATAGTAAAAAGGGAGGAGCAGTTGCCTCAAGTAGGGAGCAGGACCAATTTTTTATATAAACATGTTGTTTTGTACTCAGTGTTCACCACTTCATGGACCTCTTTTCCACTGGTATTAATAGTAATAATATTTGTAGGAAAGGTCTTCCAGCCAATATCACTACTAGCTTGCACAATGTCTCAAGCCCTGGGTGTGCTAGTTATGTACTCTGCAAATGCTTAGACCATCTGTCATATTCAGGTTCTAGTTACTTTCACTAAAAAAACACAAGTATGGTCTAATCTCACAATAAGTCTAGACCACTACCCAATCATTTCTCATCATACCTGATGCTATCTACACATAACCTGATGAACTCAATACCTGAAATCATTAGATCCACTGTACCTGACACATCAGACACACTCATACCCTCCAAAAAACTATTATTTCCATCCATGTCTAGTCTGTCCTTGTGTATCTCTATTTGTGAGTGGCTATTATTACTCATAATTTATCTTATAGATAGTACAGGGATGTGATCCATGACTTTTTATTTGAAATGCCAAAAGCACTTTCCCTACATGATATATGAAAGGAGATTCCCTCATATGATGGTGATGTTATTTTATTTACTCAGATGCATCTCCACCTCCCTATACCTCTTAAGCCTTGGACAACTGGATATATTATGATAATCAACTCAAGTTTGAAATAGCCAAATTTATATATATAAAGGTTCAGAGGCAACATTGATAAGCTTGTGTATTTGCAGGTTATCATGCAATCTAAACAGAATGATGTCCCTCCATTTCAGACTATCATAATTTGCACTTGACTAGCATATAATAACTAATGGCTATGATATGAGAAATGCACAGTGTAAATCTTGGATAGAAAAGACCTATACTTCGTGGTTTCATAACCCGCACATGCCCTAATGTGATGAATAGATTGTAAAGAGATGTTAGTGTGAACTTACTAGCATGTTGCACCAGCCTGTAACATTTAGATATATTTATGTTTGCTCGCTAAATCACTTCATCATCAGACTGCCATACTTTTTAATAGCTCCCAGTTTATATGTTCAGATGTGTTTTATTACCTATGTGAAATACAAGTCACAAATTTAACAAATCAATGCACATTTTCGATTGTTGGCTCTTTCTTCTGACCATTACTTATATGACAACCAATTGTCCTTCAAAGACAAGGGGTAAGACTGCCATGCATAAGCCAGCTAGAGGATTAGGACTCAACTCATCAAAACTTTTAGCTGCTAAACAACTCAACATTGCAACTGAACAGTTTTCCATGTTGGTGTTCAGTTTCAATCTACATGAAGAGAGTCAAGACAGTATGCAGGAAGGCTAATAGATTATTGCTTATATTATCCACACCCACTAGTGGTAATTCTGCTACAAAGAAAACAGTGCCTATTCTTTCTTCACAGGCTTCACAAATAATTGTGCAGACATCCTACATATTACACTATGTATACAAACTCAGATTTCTATACTAAGTCCTAATAGAGATATCATTAGGACAGTGTCTGTGTGTTAGTTAGACTTAGTGACATGAGTTAGCAAGTGAAGATAGGATAAAATGTAACTGTTTAAAATTTCAGACATAATGAAGAGTTTAAGTCAAGTCAAGTAATATAAGAGTGTTCTTGCTCAAGAAATACTACATTTCATTCAAATACTGGATAGATTCAAGTCAAAAATAATTTGGCCATAATATTTTTTCTGCCATCTAGTCAGCTTTATGACTTCATATGTGCACTTAAAGTGACCCTGACTCTCTTTGAAACTTCTAATCCAACCTAATTAGTTACCAGCTGATATTTAATTTCTTTTAAAGGCTTACCTCTGTGATTTTCACTAGAGTAATATTTTATTATTATGTATGATAATATAAGAATGTCCTGGGATGTTCTCCTAGATTTGCTAATGAGTACATTATCACAATGCTATATGTATATTAAATCCTAAAAAACAACTATATTGCTTCATTTTCAAACTTCAAAATTTGGTGTCACAACTCCTTAAACAACTTAACGCTAGGCAGGAGACTGGGACTCAAATAAGACTATCACAACAAAGAATATGAATATAAGCAAGTATGCCTAGACTAATATAGAATATATAGACAAAAGGATTGAATGAAAAATATACTAATTACAATTGTCCCAACTATATGATATTGAGTGATAGTGTAAAAAATAAGACAGATATAATGACAACAAGCAAAACAGTTCAGAAACTATTAAAGCACTACACATGGCTCTCCACAGTGGGACACTTTCAGACACCTAAGCTCTGATCCATTACCATCCGCTGTTAACTTGTGGGTCTTGGTCTCTGAGCACCAAAGGCACCCTAAGAAAACTCAAGTTTTATATTTTACTCTTCAGATGTTTAGGTGAGGTGCTTGACGTAGCTGAAGGTCTTGGCACTTGTACCAATGAACCCTTCATCTACTCACTGGTAAGTCCTTTTTTTGTTTTCATCATACACTCTCTAATGTCCATTATATGTAGATTGAACTAGTTGTGTACATGCAATATTCCATGAACTTCAAGAGTGACTTTGAGTTGCCTTGACACAGCTTTCAGATTTAACCTCAGTGAAGCTATGGTCTACACTGACAAGTACTTATCATAAGCTAAGTAGTTATTGCTTTAAGATTGACGAGCCATCTTTCTATGTCTAGACTTGAAGTATGTCCACTAAGCAGGCTCTTTCGAGGATGATAGTCTCCGACATTCAAAAGGTTGACTTTGTAGTAAGATATAAAAAACAATTAAATATTTCAAATAATGATTTGAGCAGTACTTGAAACTACTGTAGGAGAATTTTAATATTTTTGACTTCGTTCAATAATAAATAAACTACCATACACAATTTTCCAATCTCATTTTATGCATAATATTCTTTCAATCTCTGGTGTTATATAGCCTATTCAAAACATTCAGATTTAATTTTTATCTTTACACTATTCAGTTCAATGAGGATACCTAGCATTTTTTACAATTGTAATGAGAATGAACAAACATATATTTGGGGCCTTTCTTCATAAACTGATCAACCAAAACCTTTTTGATACAAGACTGCGACGAAATATATGATGACCGATATACAAACCAAAATATATGGATAAGCTTGTATGCATTAAAATGCTATCCACTTCCTTCTTGAGTGTGACAACTCCTGTAAATTAGCCAATTACAAAAATAACACAACAATAATATTGATAAATTGCTTACCTGCACCCTTTGGGCCGTCAACCACTTTTGGATGAAGTAGCCAAGGGCCAAGAGAAGTTACATAATTTAAGCATTTTTACTATATTTAGAAATTGAGAGTGCACATACCTAATCCCATTAGGGATATGGAAGTGACCAACATGCTAGTTGCCAACTTATTACCCCAGCTGACCAGCTCTACATTGACTCCAAACATGATCTTAACCAACACCAAAAGCAAACCATAGACTGGAATGATTAGGAAAGGTTTCTGTCCTGTCATGTAATCTCCCCATGCCGTATCTGAAATTGTTCCCAATCTCATCTCTTCCCAATTTGTTGTGAGAATGAAAAATGTGCCTACACAGCCTGTCAGGCACATAACATTAATCTTAAAGTATGTTACTCACAATTTGAAAGCATCCCCGATGTCTCCATCAATTCCATATTTGGGATCAGTGGTTTCGGCATCAATATTGAAGCTACACATTCATTGTACTTATAAGTTTTTTGTATTTGATGTTTTCTATAATGCATATATATATATAACTTCCTCATGCTAAAAAATTACATATTCCTCCAACACTCTTATATTGATTAATAGAACTCCTCTCATCAATTATTTCTTCACACACACAGGCTTTCTAATTTGTGATAGCAGCATGATATGATACAGTCAGATTTGCCCATTTATGATGGTATACACTATCTATCCATTTATATTGACCTCCATTTATTTCTGCATTGGGCCCCAGTTTTTGGGGGCCTATATGTCTACTTACTTATAATTTATTATGCAGCTACATTGTATGTCGGCTCCTTGAAGTTTATTTCTGTCATTACTGATTTCACTAAGATAAGATTGGTAAAAAAGGTGTTGATCTCTTCTAAGTTCTACTGGGTCTTGTGCTGCTAAGGACCTGGCTTTCATGTTATGTTGATGACTTGTATCTGGATAAAAATGATAACAGCAGCAACTGCAAGCCAAACTTGCTGATGATGTTGGAGATCTTTAGAGTAAGGTGGCTTGGAACATCTAGTTATGGTCAGAAGGAGAGTGAGATGAAATCCAGCATGCAGCTTGTCATTATACCAGGATTTGGCTCACATATCACACAAGAGTAAAGGAAGATGACTAGTTGCTCTTTGAGTGAAATATCTCACAAATCTATATGATCAAGAGCACAGAGCTCATTGACTAAACTCTCAAAGACATCAACATGCATCCCGAGCTCACAGTGGATGTGCTCAGGATGACCTGGAACCAAGCAGAGGCTGTATGAGCCTCCATTTGAGACTACCATCCTGATTTTTGCATGACTGCTTGCTCTTGGCCTTCATTCTTGTACAAGGATGGATGCTATGACCCTCTGAACCCTATGAACGATCTGTTTAAAGGTGATCTATTCATAAAGGTAGGCTTAATATGCATTATAGAGGCTATACTGAAACCAGTCTACAGACATTTAAACACCTATTCACCTCTCTGAGTTCCACAGATAAGGAATAACCTGTTGACTTGGTGACTTATTCCACCCCCAGAAGGAACAGCCATGAGTGTCACACTCAGCATGATGTTTTAACACTACTAAATATGCAATCTATTTAACCTCAAGCCACAGCTTATGTATCTATTCAGGTACAGACCTACTTCACTCACAGTACCTGCATGTTTTGCTGATTAGAGCACTTAGCTAAGATTTGCATTATTGAGCTCCGGATCATGGTGTATCATTGATGATGAATTCAACAAACAAGAGTTTCATGACACCACAGTTGACTATCTTGAGCTTTCTTCAATGTCAGAAGTATTGAAAGAAGTTGATGATATCTTACTTTGGTGGAATCAGTAACCTTGACTTCTTTACACCACCTTCCATTGACACATTAGGGTTTCATTTTCTGAAAAATTGTTGGAATGAAAATATGTATCTGACTATTGCCCACAGCAGGCAAATCAGATGTTAGTTGAGATGACTCTGGCCAAGCAACATTGCATCTAGCTTCATTGAGTTAAAACTTACTCAGTAGTGTTATATTAGAAGCTGCCTGTAACTTTATATTGTATAATTTGTAATAAATCAATAGTGGGATTCATATTAAAATTTTTCATATTCATGAAATACAATGAAAGTGCATTGAAACATATTTTGAAAGAGCCATGAAACAAGTCACATCACCGAAGGATTGTCATCCAAGGAGATTGGCCAGGATGACCTCTATGTAGTCTTCTCTAATCCCACCTCTGGCCTTCTTTTGGCCTACCAATACTTTGGAACAGGTCCAACAATCCATTGCAGAGTTGCAGCAGCTCACTGGATTCATTGGTGATCTGCTGTTTAACAATAGTGATGCTGCTTTATTTTCCCATACCTGGGAATTAAAAAATATTGCGCCTACCTGGAGAAGAAGTCCAATCCATTCTGGTGTCTTCTTACTTGAGGGTCTTATATAGAGGCATGTAAAAATGCAGTGACAATCACAACTACACTTTCATAAGACTACAAGTTGCCAGCTCCTCAAATTCACGGTCAATGGATTTTCTACTTCTCAGTTGATAACATGTTGTTTGTGGGTGGTCAAAGAGAAAACAAGTTACCTCCTTTATTTGAAGAAACTATATAGAAATGTATCTGTGTTTCACCCTAGTAGGTCATGTTTCAACCTATGAAAGTCTGTTTCTATTTTGTTGTGTTCTTCTGTTTTGTGTGTCTCTTCCTGTAAAAGAAAGAAGTATTTGTTAAGTATATGTGGAGCTTAGCTCAGTCAAAATAGTAATAGTGAGTAACCTCATTATTTATAGACCACCTCCCTATGGGCTCTTATAACTCAAAGTTACTTTGTTGAAATGTTACTTGCACCCTCACTATAGTGGGATAGGTTTAGAGTAGAAGTTTATCTTAGTCTTACTTCACCTTCACTTTAACTATGTCTTGCCTGATCACTCTCAAACTTGGTGATAGGTTTAAAGTGGGAAGTTTATCTTACTCTTGTTTACTAAGTACATTATAAATACAGTGTTATCGTACAAAGCATGATGAATCAAAGGTATGAGTCATCTCATGGATTGGTAAGATTTTGCTTACAAACCAAGCCTTTTGGTGAGCTCAGTCATCCTGGTTACTAAATAGATTATAAATGCAGTTACAAGTCTTATAAACCATGACGAATCAATGATAAAACATGATGAGTCAGGCTGAATCTTTACAAATCAGATTATTTCCCTTTCACATGACATGATTACAAACATGATCAGTCAGCTAGTGAGAAAGTCTGATGAATAAGCCAAGAAAAATAGAAAGATATGCAAGGACGCCGTCAATATTCTGCAGGCCACGCAGATGCGCTGTGAAAGCTACAACTTCTCAAACCTTTTTGTAACTTTGCATACCCCACAGAAGTTCTAAGGCACATGGTTCATATTTTCATAACTTCGGTATTGTACATACTACCTATCTCATGCATCGTCAATGTTTTCGCAATGCAGCTCATTAAGAGATGGTCCATCATCCTCTTCGACAAGTAAATTATTATTTAAACCTGAGGCAACGAGATCAGGGACTTTCCTCCAGCTCTCTTTGAAGATGGCTGCTAGCCTGCGACGAGTGTGAGCTTGCCGGCAAGCATAAGCTATAAATCCCTCCTCCTCATTTGGCTGCATGTCAGATGATCCTCGTGAGTCCCACTGCTCGGCTTGCCAGTCCAAGAATTTCAGAACATGTTGCATTTCTTCCAACAATAGGTGGATTTCTTCCGACCACCTGTTGTGACGTGCATGGGCCTTGCACAATTCCACGCAGAGCGCTATCCTCAGGCTAGATCAGTAATAGTTAAAGACAATTAAATTACATTACTTACAGTCTTGCAGTCCCTTGTTGTCATTGGTGGATATACCGTGCGTCAACCAAATCCACGACATAATGGCTGTCCCTTGGGTCTGACCCCCGAAGTCTCCTATAGGTCTCAGGTGAGCCTTTTTCAAGGGTTGCAATTTCTGCTCCCAGCCTGCGCAATACAAAGGAAGGGGCAAGGGAAACCAGTGCCTTGTGGGCGCTTGCATACTTCGCGTGGCTTGACATTAGGCATTCTTTAATGGTGTCTAGCGTCTTCCATGCGTGTGCGCTTGCACCTTGTCCACGTACATGCTGGGTCTTGTACTGATATAACTGGCGACGAACTCGGATGTGTGAATGACACTCGTTGAGAGCATCATTGGCTTGCATGTGTTGCAGGGACCATTCCATCTCGAGCATTTTTTGATTGCATGCCCCGACATTATAGATTTGCAAAGGAAGAGGAAGAAGCAGTGGGAAATCTTCCGCATTACTGGAATTCAGGTTTAATGTCGGACAGCCGCTATCATCATTAACATTGTCATTCAGAGATAGGAGGGATACAGAGGCACGAAGATTTGGCACCATAGGCATGTAAAGGACTTGAATGTCAGTCCAGGCGTCATATAGCTGGCCCAAGACACACAGACACACATAAGATCCTGCTACAGGAACAAAAACATAGAAAATCACATTTTTGACACTTTTGATTTTTTTTAGTCCCTTATACTTGCATAAATGACCAGACCTGCTTATATATGATCAGTGCTACATTCACAAATATAGTTTGTGCCAAGGATCAGCCCTACATAGGGTGCAAATGTGATATATGATGTACAGGGGCTTTTTCTACTGATAAGAAGCCTACATAGTAATCAAGCCTGTGATAAGTGATCAAAGACCTGGGATATGTCCTGTATATGCTCCAGATGATAGATTTGAAGATTTAGAAAGATCCATCGAGGACTGACTGAATGACAAGTAAAATCACATATGTGTGAAAAGTGACAATTGACATCTTTTCACACAAAGTTACATTTATATATGATACAGGTCAAATATTTCATTAACAATATGTAGGATACATTTTAGACTACTGAAGGAACCTATACTACATACTGCCCTGAGGTTGAAGGGTGGTGGAAGGGATGTGGTGTATATCTGAGTTGACCTAGCATTAAAGTGCTACTATTGCTCAACTGACCATTTTCGATGTTTTGGGTCTTTGAACTTTCCCACACTCAATTTCTTATCTATTTCACTTCCTCAGGACTCAATTCTTGTTGGATTGTTCTGTACATTTAGGCCTATAATATTGAGTATACTTGAAATCTACTCCAGGTGTCTGATCATTAAATTTAGATGTATTCAAAGTGTGGACTTCTTATCAGTAGAAATAGCAAGCATTCACACTAACTCAAACCTCTGACCTATTTTGAGCTGATCCTTGTCACAAAAAGCAAGTATATATACTATGATAAGATATATGTACAGGTTATATTATTTATGCAAGAGTAAGATACTGAAAACATCAAAAGTATCAAAAATGTGATTTCTATGTTTTTGTTACTGTAGCAGGATCCTATGTGTGTCCTGGGCCAGCTATGATAGACTTACCTCAAATAGGTCCGCTCCTACAGGAAAAAAATTCACAGGGGGTAAACCACCAGGAGACTCGTAGTGATGCTTCGGGCCTGACCTGGCCTGAAAGCCAGGGCTTGGGCCTGGCTTTAGAGGGCTAGGGCCTGGCTCAGGCTTGGCTCAGGCCTGGGCCAGGGCTTCTAAGGTAAGATGAAGATTTTATTTCACTACCCTAATCAATTAGAGACCTAATCCTCAACATCTGATTCACCTGACAGTATGATGTTGTTATCACAGCCACCCTCCTCTCTATCATCCAGTTCCTCCAATGCTAATTCTACAGCTGAAGAAAGAGGGGCCTCTTAAAAGATTAGATCATGTTTATACATCATATGAAGTACTTGAATTGCTTCAACTATATCACCCTTCAAGCAGTTGCAATGCTTCGTGACAGTCAGAGCAGCAGCAGAAAATGCTCTCTCACTCAAAACAGAAGTGGCCATGATGGACAAGTGATCACGAGCGAGAGAGGCCCAAACAGGGTACTGCTGACCATTTACCTACAATATTAAGCTACATCAGTAATAATACAGTTCACATGAAATAATACTTACCCCCCACCATTGGATGATAGACATGTTATCGGGAACTGAAGTACGTGAGTTAAGATAGAGGTGGAACACCCTCAACCATGGCAACTGTGGATACACCTCCGACTCTTCCGGCTTGTCATCACCACTCTCGTCATCACCATCACTGGAAAGCTCTCGGAGAAGTCCATATACCTTACCTGACTTCTTCTTCAGTGACGACAGAACACCATGCTCGCCATACAATTTAATGTGCTCTTCCTTAAACTAGTCTAGATGTAAGCTTATACTTTCACTCGAAAACAGACAACCTACAATTCATTCAGCTTCCTTGAGAGCCTCAGCATGTGTGACCTTGCCCCAAAAGTGTTTGATGTGGGAGTCCTTCTGTGATGGGTCAAGCACTAGATACAACAGGCCCAGGAGTTAGTATTAATAATATGACAAGCCATGTCACCTACACATTGCGATGATGTATGCATCACACTCTGAACTTTGGTTGTAATACTCGTGGATCTTCGCAACACCTTGTTGTAAGGCTTCCTGAAATTGCTCGTACTTGGGATTCTCAGAATGTGTCGACCATGCCTTATGTAGGGCCTCGAGAGCTGGCAAAGCAAGGTGAAGGGACACTCCTTTGCCCGATGAAAAGCTTTGCTGAGCTTTGTCAGCATGCTGAAGTGATAATCAGTGTCGAAAATGACAAAAAGACAACCTAATACTCACAGCGAGAAGAGACGTGAATAATGCAATGCAAGCCCATTCATCTTCATGCAACTTCAACTGATCAATTCTGGCACATTTTGTAAGGTTAGTCTCACAAAGGCCGAGCTCGTAGACAGATGTATCAACATACTAAAGAACAGTTAGTTTCGACTTGTTAGTTATATTATCATACTCACAGCTCTCTTCTTCTCAGCACGGTCAAGCATAACATAAGTTGAGGACCACCAGATGGGCATGTTGAGTAGTAGTTGTGAGACAACAGGGCTCGGGTTAGGCTGACAGGTCTGGATATCCTTCCAAAGTTGTTTTCGTTGGGCAGAAGACCGTGCCTTGTATCATTAGTCAAACAACATTAAAATGTTTCGAAAATGACATACCTTGACTGCGATGGCTCGCACGAGGCCAACTTCGTCACAATGGCCATGTACTTGAGGGATAGACAAATCTGGAAGCTCAGGGTTATAGTATGGGGCACTGCTATACGAGGCAATGATAACTTGTGTCGCAAGATGAATGACGTGAGCTAAACACCTGCAAGGTATACATCAGTACATGGGTGAAACAAATAGTTAGTTAACTATACCTAATGCGTCACTTTTTTGGGATCCACGTCATACCTGTCCCTTGCTTTATCCAAAGTGCCAGTTCATCGAGCATCGTGTCGTTATTTGAAGCATTGTCGCACATAATATAGCCAATCTAATCCCACATGAGTACAACATAACAAGGCATTCCAATGTACCTTACCTTATGAGCAATACCCACTCGGTCCACGATCTTAAACAATGCTTGACCAAGGTGTTGTCCATTGTGCGAGTTGTTGAGTTGCGTGAATCCCAAAACGGCACATTCAAGCTGCCAAACACCAGTGAGCGAAAGTGATTCCATGTAGCCTGTTGGTGTAGACTACCAATCCGTATGAGTGCAAGTGTAATAGCTCGTCCCAAGGGGATTGCTACTGAGGGAAGTCTCCGCAATAAATGTGAAGGAATCAATCCGACGGGCTTAGGATCTGTGCGGCGGATGCGCGAAAAGTAGTCTGATGTAAGAGGAGGATGTCTGGATGGAAGACAGTTCTGACAGAACAGATATCTAGCGGTATGATCTGTCAAGTATCGAGGTAGCAAGGTGTTGAGGTGGCCTGGTGGTGAGGTGTCAAGGTTTCAAGGTCTCGATGTAACAAGCTACCAGAAGTGATGAAGTCCATTGCAGTGCGGAAGACTAAGGGGACTTTTTGATCACACGGACTTAGATATGAAATCCAAGGGAGTAAAAGGAAGTGATATTGGCAGAATACAACACGACTATTTATCATGACCCGTAAGAACTCGGAATCCTCTAAGTGGCAGTAGTACAGGCGAGTCTGTAGCACAGTAATATGTAAAGGACGGTAAGCGGCCTCATGTATGGGAATGTACATGTAATATGGACTGTTGGCTGATGTTAAGACCATGTTCAATGGGTCAGACCAGAGGGGCTTAGCTTCAGCTTGTGCGCTGCGCTCTTTACCCGAGTACGTGCCCCTAATTTACAGGGGGGGTAGATATCGTCGGCCGAGGGGTATGGATGGGCTGGACGAAAGAGGGAAGGCTACCCGAGACTTCATCCGGGTAGAAACTAACACGGGACGGACTACCCAAAGGTAGAGGCGGAGGGGTTTAGCCTTGGAGATATAATCCCGAGGCTCGGAGGATCGGACTAGGATGACAATCCTAAGAGCTGAGGGAACACGAGGAATGAACTGAGTCTAAGATGATATTCAAACTGAGGAAATACTACGGGTTACAAAGGGTTTATATACTGTAGTGTATTCGATGGGTATCCGGCTGAAGTGCAGTCTTCGGATCAGAGGGCTATGTAGAAAATGTACTAATGGACATGAACTGCTACAGACGATCGAGAATGGAGCCGGAGATTAAATGAAACAAGGGGGACAAGTTTAAATGAAAAGGAAATGAATAGACTAACAGACAGATCAGAATGAACCCGGACATTAACTGTCAGAAGGATCCGGGCATATAGGGGCATCAAGAAGCATATACAAATGGGGACATGGGGAAATGAATTCTAGAACGGACAGACCGGACCGGACGAGAAGTTTCAGGTACGGAATATGACAATGTCTATTGATGTAGGACACTTCAGGGGGTGAAATAAAGATTGGAATCTACTCATATATGCTCATAAACATGCTCTGAATATAATAGAACACACCCCTATCAAAGGGGCAAAAGTGCGAAAATGTTCTGTACCCTATGTTGAATTGCCCCTGGAGGAGGAGCAATCACACAAACAAACAAAAAAGCAGTCTATTATATTATATTATACATATATATACTAAACTACTACTTATATATAAAGGGGGAGCTATTGTGGTGAGGTGGTGAAGTTGCAGTGAGGTGGGAAGGGTGTGGGAATAATTATAATTATGTAGTATACCATATTGGGATGATGTTTTGGGTGTTGTGGGGTAATTCCCACAGTAGGTGGCTAAAAATGCGAAATTGCGGAGTGTGGGAATAATGTGGGAAGGCCCTGATATGAGGAGTAATCTATTTTTAAGTGTTGTGGCCATAGGGGGAGTTTCAAAATTCCCAAAACTGCGGTGATATTGACCAGTAACATAAATTTGGCCATGACTAAGCCGCCCAATATTGTGGGTACAAGCCAGGGAAATAGGCATTGGCCTTGGGTGGTACTTAGTGTGCAGTTTGGCATGTCCGCCAATGGCTATTACCATATAATAATGACCATATCCTACAACTACGGCTCTCAACCCGCTCCCCCCAATCAGCTTGATCAATTCGAGGTGGACTCTGATCTCTTCCCATGTATGTACGGTACATTCACCACCATATGCCGCTGCATACAAAGCCGACCCCCTGGATCCCAGGCAGCAGTACACGATATTGCCGAAGTGTATCAAATGATACTGTCACACCATTCCCAATGGGCCGGTTTGGTGATTCACCTACCAGGTGTCGACACTTTCGCAGTTGACACCACCTTCTGTTTCAATTTTGGGCCATCTGCCGGAACCTATGGCAATGTCGCTGATGCAGGCGCTGATATCCTTCACGCCAATGGACTCAGCCCCCTGTCCACATGGGTGTACAACCACATCTTCTTCTGCATCATGCAAGAATTCCTGGATGAGTACAACTCCAGACGCACTAAGTGGGCAAGCAAGATCACCTCCAATGGCGGGTCCATCATTGAAGGCGGCCGGAAATGGTATAGAGGCAAGACCCTGCCTGATGACACATTGGAGGAATTCAACGAAGAATGCACCTTCCCGATCAGACACTTCTCAGCCGCATCGCCACACTCAGAAGAGGACGCACATTTTAGTTGCTGCATGGCAGACACTGATCATTTCTCCAACCCCCTGGGCATCATCTGGGAGAGCTCGAAGAACAAGCCCTTCAACTCAATCCCTATGTTCACAGGTATTCTCTGGAACATCCCCAGCCTATCCATCGCCCTCCCTCCCGAGAAAACGGCCAAGTACTTGGTGGCCATCAACATGTGGCAGACCAAGTGTAGTCACACCCTTTGCATAGTCCAGGAACTTTACAGTAAGTTGCTGCACGCAACCCTCATCGTGCCCTCAGGACGTGCTTACCTCACCAACCACAAATCCATGCTGGGAATCTTCAAGGACCACCCTTTCCTCCCACACACACCTCCCCATGATACACCCAAAGACCTCAACTGGTGGAAGGGCACTCTCAACACACCACACCTATCCCAGCCCATCCCAGGCTTATGCATCGTCCACGACTTCCATGCTTATTCAGAGACTAGCACTAGTCACGGGATTGGTATCATCGTCAACGAGAGATGGAGAGCGTGAAACCTCCTCCCAGGATGGAAAAGAGATGGGAGAGACATTGGTTGGGCCGAGAGTATCAGTTTTGAACTTCTCGCCCTCTCAATCATCGATGTGTGTCCCCCTGGCATTCATTTTAAGGTATACAGGGACAATCACAGAGTTGTCAAAGGATGGTGAACAGGCCATAGTAGGAACAAGGCCTGCAACAAAGTATTCAAGTGCATACACCTTGCCGCTGGGCAAGCAGGATGCACAATCCTCACCAGATACGTCCCCAGCAAAACCAACCCTGCAGATGGTCCCTCCTGCAGGATATATCCCCCTGCATATCAAATGCTTCCACCAGTTTGTATCCCCAACGAACTCCGCCCCTTCATTGCAGACATCCCCAGCGACGGTGCCAAGCCAAAAGCACAGCAAGCCAAACCCGTACCTCAACAGGTTTACCCAATGGACAAAGACCACCTCACAGAGGAGCTCCAACATCACGCTTTCCTCAACCGCGAGCTCGAGCACCGTGGAGAAGAACTCTTCGAAATGTTGAAAGACTAGTATGTCCACGGCTTCAGCACCCCAAACTTAAATTTTTATGCCCCTTAGCAGTGTATAGCCCTGACTTAACACCACTGCCCTCCTCCCTGAGGCCACAGTGCCCTGCCAGAGACAGGCTTTATTTATGGAGCCTGTCAACCTCATGTTCCCTGAAAGACATGCAAGGGAAGCAGTTGCCATTATCCCAAGCAGAAATTGAGAAGATCTGAGACATCATGGTACACACCTTCACCAATAGCACCTATAAAACTTATGGTTCAGGTTTGCTCATATTCTATGTATTCTGTGATAGCAAATTAATTCCAGAAGGCCAATGCGCCCCTGTGAGTCACATCCTCAAATCCTCCTCCACCACTCTGGAAAAATGGTGTCCAACTACGTACACAGCATCCGTGCATGGCATGTCCTGCATGGAGTCCCCTGGGACCTTGGAGGAGACATAGATATTGACACCTTGTTCAAGGCCGCCATCTCACTGACCCCACCCTCCTCAAAGAAACCCAAACACAACCCTTACACCATCCCATTAATCCTAGCCATCCACGAAAACCTAGACCTTGACAGCCCCCTCAACATAGCTGCATTTGCATGCCTCACAACAATGTTCTTCACCTGTGCGTGAGTCGGCTAGTTCACAGTCCCACGCTTAGACACCTTCGATCCCTTATGCCATGTCAAGCCATCAGATTTTAGCAAAACCCACAACCATCAAGGCCTACAGATGATGAATTTCCGCATCCCTCACACCAAGGCATCAATTGAGGGAGAAGATGTCTTCTGGGCAAGTCAACTCAGCCCCGCCAACCCACAAGAAGCCCTTAACAATCACTTTAGCGTCAATGAACCCCCGCAGGATGGCACCCACCATCCCCTGACAAAGACTTGTTTCCTCAAGAGACTTGCCATTGCAACAAAAGCTGCAGGTCACAAGCCCTTGCAAGGGCACAGGATTTGAGTAGGCGGTACCCTTGAATACCTCCTCCAGAATGTCCCATTTGATGTTGTGAAAGTTAAAGGTAGGTGGGCAAGCGAGGCTTTCCTCACATATTTCAGGTGTCACGCCCAAATACTAGCTCCATACATACAAGCCACACCTGAATTGCACAAAGAGTTCCTTTGATACACCTTGCCCCCCATCCGTTAATTTTAATCTGTTCCCCACGTCAGTATCTCCCACTGAGTCTGTTCGCCCTCCTACTAAAAAATGGGGTCCCCACGGCGCTCACTGCATGCGTCATTGAACTCCTAATAATTGGGATGGCAGCTTGCCCTTTTTCCTTAGGCTAAAACCTTTTTGAGGCCGGTGGGCGCTGTGGGCCCTTGCCCAAAATCCTTATCATCTCCCTATAAAATGACTTCATTCAAATATAGTGCATTCTGTCAATACTTATCTAATTCAAGTTGTTATTCTTCCCTCCACGAACAATCTTGCCAGTGTGAACCTCAAAGACCCCAGACCATCATACATCCCTGGTGTCCAACAACTCTTTGTCAACCTGCGAAAACCAGTCCACGGATCCATTTTAGCACCCCTGTGCACCACAATAGGGGCTGTTATATCATCACTACCACTGCCATCGGCGCTCAATACTACCCTCCACATCCACATGAATACAATGGTCAAAAGGGGGGAGCTAATGAGGACAAAGAAGACAGATATAATCTAGGCATCCCCGACATTCTCATTCAATGTGAGATGAGAGACACCGAATTCCATTTATTATGGCCCTTCGAGCTCTCATTCTCTCAATCTTCAGAGGTGGCATAATCCAAGATTCAGTACTTCGTGGACAAGAACCCCCACATCGAGAGGGGTACCCATTTCCACATCGCCGAGGTGGAAAGACACACATGACCAAGTGACAAATGGGCAATTGAGCAGGAGTTGGACAAGAAGAAGGTTGGGAACATTAGAGAGGTTGGTGGGACTGCAGGCAGTGACAGAATCTCGTCTTGCTCGCACACTTGGCTACACCTCCTCAAAGTAACTGTTACAACTTTGCTCCGCCCCCCGACGGATGGTTGAACATCACCAACCATAGTGCACAGTTTGACGCCACCGCAGTACATAGTGTTTGTTGCCACTCGATAGCAACTGGTTTCTGACTGATGTCACAATGTTAACAGATACTCTTCCCGCAGCAAGATGCTGCTGGACTTCGAAATGTTCAGTGTTTACTCAAGTGTACTTTTGTACTCTTCAAAGAGTTCACAACTCAACAGCCCAGCATCTGGACAAGGAGCATCCTCCAGGCAGTAACGACCCTCTGATGTAAGTACCATCAATCTGTCAATAGTTCTACAATTTATGCTTTTAATTTCAGCCCCTTAATCAAAGCACTAAAGCAATGCACTGTTCCAAACACATTGGTTGATTGGGACACTTGTGTTGACAGCTTGGAGACAACCACTAAGCAAATGGGATACAGGAGGTATCATACATGGCACAAGAATTTCTTGAAGTGCACCATTGATGAGGTTGAGGATGCCGAGTATGTCCCGCCTGCAAGTGCCAACAAGTGAGGGAGATGCAACTAGTTAATCATTCAATGTTCTAATTGCTCATGCAAGATTTCCATTCTTGTATGTACTACTACTACTACTACTACTACTACTGTATATTTCGGATGATGTGCTACATGTTCTGTTGTACAATGTGATGTTTTATGGACTAGTAGCCCTATTCTTTGCACCTTTCCCCAAATGGTAATTATTTGGTGTTTAGTCTGTATAAATGTCCGCCTGTTGGCTGTAGATACAATGACATGAAAATTTATCAAGGTTTTGAGATCCAGACTGTCTGTCTCTTCTGCTGATATGAGAGTCTTATGTTTCTTACAGTTGTTTTGTCTGAAATTCCTAAAAATGCTGCCAGTCTTGGGGACACATAGTCTGTGCTGCTTGAAGATAAGGAAGTATGACCTTATGCACATCTGATCGAGCTGTAATTAGTGACCATCTGAGGACAGATATACTGTGCTGTCTGAAATAATGTATTTGGGACTAAATGATTATATGATCAGTCTGCATGTATTGATATTCTGCCAGGTAGAGTGTCTGACTTGCCTGTACAATCTGTTAGGTCTGACCTCAGACATACATCATATCATGCACATAGGTTGGCAGCTTATCATTCACTTCAGACCTCTCAGCTATATCTGTTACATGAACATGTTCAGACTAACCCCCTATCTTTTTCTCACACCTTGTACTGCCTTATGACATCCCCATCCAGAACATACAAAATAGGTCTACAGTAGCATAAATTTTCTCTGTGTGTGTCTGTACAGATTCTCGCAATTTCACAAATTCGCGCAGAAATGACTTCTGTACTGGACTTCATCTAAGAATAGCACAATCAAAACCATAGATTGAATCACATGACACCGACTAAACGATGACAAACAAAACATATAAAATGATATATGAGGATACTAGTAAGAGCGGTAAATACAATGCTCGATCAAGCTGGACGCAGAGGTGGCAGCACTTTGATGGGTCAATGCTGTCGAGCTTACAGGACTTGGCCCTTGAGAAAAACAATTGTCAGCGCCAAAAATTGTAAAACAGATCTTGAGACTCACCATCCAGCTTTGGCCCATGCATAAAGCTGCAGCACCAGCCTGGGACCATGATAAGGATCCTCCATAACTTCACAGAGAAGTTGCAACATTGTAAGATAGATAGGTTTGAACTCCTTAGCCATGAAGTTCAGGAAAGATTTTCCGTTTCCATTCTTAATGAGGCCATTGAGGACGCAATTGAACTGAAAAAGTGTCAGCAGATCAGCATTGTGCCAGTATCAAAAAAATACTGTTGTGCAGACGAGAGCGAAGCAAGTCAATGGTATCTCCTTCCGAAAGATCTCTGGTCGCCTACAGCAATATGATAAGACCTGGTGTAGAGGAAAAGTATGGTGGCCTCGTGAAGCCCAGGGTGAGCGAAGTTCCTGGTTTTCCCCAGCTCGTCTACTCCATCATGAAGAAACAAGGAATCATCCAGCCAATCTATAGCAGCATTTTGAACCCAAGCTGTGTGCTCCTGAACGGGGATGGTGGCTGGGGGGACAAGACTGTACACAGAAGGTGTGATGGCGATAGCGATCTTTTTTATGTCAGAACACCATGTTGCTAAATCATCATATAACTAAAAAAAATAACATCAGGCATGAGGCGCACGACAACAGAGATACGCACCAGCCTTGACATGTCAGACTTGTGAGCAGGCCACACGTCTAGTAAATGCCCTGGTTAGCATAATATCTCGAGAGAAATGACAACATACCAGGTTCAACCTGACCACTGTTTTTGAGCCATTGTACGAGAGATGCTGAAAGAGATTTGGTGACAGTGTACAGCAGATCCTCAAGCTTCAGGAAGGGGTTGTCTAATGCTTGCTGCACACAACACTCTACCTTGGCATCCTCAAGGAAACTTTTCCAATGAGGACCGTACCAACCTAATTGTGTAGCATTAGGCCCTTCAGATGCCTTGGATTTTGCTGCAACTTTGACTGCCTGTGTGTTTACCTTTGCATTGCTGGTGTTTGTTTCAGCGCATCGGAGAAGGTCCAAGAGTTCAGGATTAGGCATCTGGGGACGGCCATTCTTCTGGTGGTGAAGGTTTAAGATATTGTCCGGCTTGAAAGGGGAAAAAAATTAGTGCACTCCATTTAACTGGTGGGCATATACCTTAGGAGCGATCCCATCATCCACTGATGCACTACTATCGCTCAAGCCGGTGCCAACAGATAAAGCTTTCTCCACCATTCGGCCATCTTCATCACATGAATATTGAAATTCAAAATCTGGGGGAAGAAGGGACACAACCCGAGGTTGGAATGGTTGCTCTTCCCCAGAAAAACCTAGCACTTGTCAGTGTGATCATGAATGGTGAGGGCGAGGACTTACCAGGGTGTGTGCTATGACGCCCTTCAACTGCCCCCCAACCAATCTGCTCATCTTTGTCATTGTTGTCAGATGACTCGGAACCGTCACACTCGCCAGAGTTGGAATGTTCAGATGCTGTACTTTGTGATCTGGTTGGCCGGAGCGTAGGGTCCAAATTCTGGTAAAAGAGGGTGTCTGCTGCCATAGTCGAATTTGTCCTCAAGAACACTGGTTGTGACAAATCTCCACCACTAGCGAGACAACTGCCAGAAGGATTAGAAGTGATGATAGGAAAGTGATGTTGTGAGGCATTGGAGGCCACGTGTGTCTCCTTAGCTGCAGCTATGAAGGAGTTATTTAGCGTCTGGAGGTCAGGCTCCGTGCCAGGGGGGACGATGGGCTGAGAAAATCCAAACTGTCCACCATCTTTGCATTGCAAAAAAAAGTGGGCTCGTTGCTCCCCGACTCCATGCTCAGGGGAGGAGCAACAGTCTGTGTAATAACAAATTAATTGTTGATAAGCCATGACCGAAAACTCACCTTTGTCTTTGGCCGTGCTCTGGGAATTGTGGCATTGGGAATTGGAGCGTTGATCGTCATAGTGTTCAGAATTGGTTGCTCCAAAACATTGTATGGGGGAGGGGGCTGCTTTTTTCTGCTAGATGATTAGTATAGTTACCTACAATTAAGAAAACATACCTTTGAACAACTACTGCAACCCTTGTGGGGTGGTTTGGGAGCAGCAGGGTTTGCAGGAATATTGGAATCAAGAGAGTTAGAGCCTTTGGGCTGGCTAGTCCACGCTGGAGCATCCAAGATAGTGTCTAATCGCTCTAGTTGAACGTTCCTGCCTCCCTTCCCTGCACCTAGACATCCCGAACATTGAGTTTCTTGACATTCATCCACAGTAGAAGCCATGACTGAGGGTGGAGGTACTACCGAGTGCTGAGCGCGCATTCTCTTTGGCTTGGCGGCCTTGAGATCAATGTCGGCAACTTTGCGCTTGGTACACATTTTCTTTGGGCTATCAGGCATGACTGAAGAACACAAATTGAGCTCCCAAAGTGACAATCAATGAAGACTCACCTTTTAAGTTCTCTGCCGAGGGCAGATATGAGATAATAATCAACTCATGGTGCAAAACCGACTCAAGTCCTCCGATGTGATCCAAGAGGCAGTGTCAAGAAAGTCCTCGTGTGTGACGGTGAGTCAGAACGAAAGGCGCGTCATGTGCAAGGGTAGAGCATGATTCTGACTTTACCCTTTGCAAACTTCATGTCCGAATTACATCATCTGATCTGACTTGAACAGTGTGGGAATCTACTCGGCTGACTGTAAAATCTGACTCGGACAAGACCAATGATTAAGAAAGATTGTAACAATTGTGCACATCATGACATATGAGTGAGAAGAAAAATACATATTATGTAGTTCTGTTCCGTTTGGGCTGCAGTGTAGGTTCCATCGTCCAGATCCGACCCCCATGTGTCATGTCACGAACTGTGATTGGCCTGGGTATCTCTACTATATCACTGTCTGACAACTTTTTCTTCGAGCTTTTGCCACCAACTGGAGAACTTGGAGTATCAGGCAGCGGGAGTCTTTTGAGGACCTTCCGTGCAAACAGAAGCTCGGGGGAAAGCTCCTGCAGAAGTCTGGCGAGGTGGTTGTCCAGCAAATCAAGGATCTCCTGGAAAGTTATTGCATTTGACAGTCCTTTATTCCTGATCAATTCATACCATTCCACCACGAGCGGGACGAGGTTTTTGAAATAGGGGTGGAATTGCTCCTCGAACTTGTGTCCATGTGAATGGTAAAAGAATGTAGTCTTCTCATTGTTGCAGGCCTTGAATGTGGTGGCGGACCATTTGTGCAGTAGCCAGTCATCGCTTTTGTCAAGGACACACTTAACACCGAGGGGACCCCTGTATCCAATACAGATCCATATGAAGATGTAGAAGACTGACTCAAGACCACCTTCATAGTGGTGTATGATAAGGTGGGCTGGAGTCACATGGGAACTCGAAGCAAAGGGTTGCAACACTGCTGACAGCCTCGGAGAGCTGGAACAGGAGCGACCGTGACATGAAAGGCAATGTGCCCTAATCATTGTTGTCAGTATGTGAATACATGCTCAGGAGAGTATAAAACTCACTGTCCCACCTCTAGTGTATTTTTGACCTTGAGCGATAAACACAGCAAACTCCCAATCAATTAAGGTTCCATGGGATCTGTCACCATCATCTTTGATCATTGAATTGTTGAGACTGCAATCGCGATGAAGAATGCCCTTCTCTTCCACCACCATCTGTTGAACTGAAAGATTGGGTCAGTTGAATATAAAAGTGGGAGGGTATTGAACATATACTTACTTTTGATGATGTCCCAAATGGCGCCCAGCAACTCTACCTTTGTCCGGAACATATGTCAAGGTTGTGTGCGAGGCTTCAACACCAAATGAATGTGTGTGCGGATGACACTTTGAATGCTATTCAACAGCTCGTAATGATATAGCCCCATTCCATCAACCTCCCCAGGCCTAATCTCAACCAGCCAATGGTCAACGAGTTGTGGCACACTGCAGACACCTTGCATTGCCTGCAGCATCGTGACCTCATTCAAGGCATCATATTTACTCCCAAGAACCCAATAGTCTTTGATTATATATTCTTCATTGTCCCTCCGTGCGAGATAGCAAATGGTACCACAACTTACAAGCCCCTGACTAGAAAATATGACTTCAAGAATGTTGTACATGTGATTGTGGACTCGGATTCGGCCGATTGGATTTGGAAGAGGAACACAAAGAGGATCGTCAGGGATATTTAGCTGACGCACAGGACAAGGATCATCGGGGATATCTTGCTGAGGAGGGTCGATCTTGGGATTGCTTTGGGGGGTCTCGCAGGTGTGTCGTCGATCTGGGGGAGGGGGGGGCATACTAGTGGTCTCAGAGACATCTTCGGTCTCGGGGAGGGGGGGAGATGCCCTTTATGATGCCTTCCATTGTGTCCGGTGCATGTGATCTGTTTATACTGGGGTGGAGAAAAGTTGACATGCTTTTGAGTTGGGCAGGTTGCAGTGTCTTCGTGAAGATGACAATTGAGGGATCGTACCCCAGGCACTCAAGTTTACCGAAGACAAGGCACGAAAATATGTGCAAGTAATTGTTGGGGTGGGTATAAATATTGATGGGAGGTGTCACAACAGCACCTGAGTGGTCGTACATATGGACTCGAAGTTCGCGATACTTTTTTCTCATGGACATAAGCAAAACGAACCATCTCCATGGCTGGCGTCAGAAGAGAAAGTATGCTTTGTTGTCCAGCGTCTTTCCTATTGTGCTCGTAGCTGAGTACGGTTGTGATGTCAGCTCGCAAACCACCTTGATAGTATCCCATTGAGCTTCTACATCATCCAATAACGCAAGGCCGGGCTTTCTTGTGACTTCTTCATCTTTCACAGGGTGTGTAGCATTTCCCACACTCCACATGCGTGATACTGGGGTCACGTTGGTTGCCTGTACAATCTTTGGCACCTTCTGGGTGATTGCAAAACAAATAACATTGAAGAACATCACAAAGACTCCCTCGAACGGTGGCGGTGGTGTGTCCGGCATGTCATCGTCTGCCAGCTGTGACCCAGAGGCAGGTTCTTCCTCCAAGGATGGACCATCATCATCTCCGCTTCCAGACTCCGTGCCTGCCATGGTGCTCTGCTCCTCCCTATCTTCAAGGCTCCCATCACCAGGTCGCTTGACCTTATTGTGGTGTGAGTTTGGGAGTGGCCAGTTCCACTGGTGCTGATCTGCGTCAGCTCGTTTTTGCCTGTGATGGTGAACTTGCTGTGAAGTCTGTCGTCCCGATAGTGAATTTTATGTAAGGGAACCTGTAACTCTGTCACATCTGGGAGTCGAAAGGTAAATGAACCAAAAATCTGCGACAACATATAACTGAGCTCTGTGTTATCATTTTGTGGTGCCAGTTCATGCAAAATCAAGTGATTGAGCTCGACAGTGGTGAGTCTGTCCAGTGTAGGCACATCATTGACAATGGGTGCTGACATCAGCAATGAGAGCTTCATCCCATAATCTATGGTTTTGCTGTGTGCCCCAGCTGGTGCCATGTCCTGTCACACAATAGAAAACAAAGATGCCATTCCAACATGGTACTATCTCTACTATGTGGGTATTTTTCATGTATGAAAATATTGCTTATCAGGTACAATGTAGAGAGTGATCTCTCTACAGGCTCATATCCCCTGATTTCTACATCGACCTCATCCCTATCCACAGGTAGGCACAACTTTCCCGCGCCATGCGCTGACTATGCGCTGACTCCCGCGCTCACGCTTCCATCAGCTTTCATCGGGTCCATCCATCCATTGTCTATTCAGTCCATAGGTGTGTATTACATACATATATTGGTTTTTTGACAGCCGCTGTCTCCTTACATATATCTGTGACATTCCTCAGGTGCTTTCCCGCGCTTCCGCGCTCTTCGGCCACTTTAGGATGCTTTCCGCTCGCTCTTCGCTAGCTATCCTCTATATCTACTGGGCTTTCTGACAGAAGGTTCCGGACTTATGCAATCACCCTTAGTAGAGTTCCGCAGTTTGTGCTATGTCTTAGAGAGCACCTATCTATAGCCAGGAGTCATGCTCTCCTTCCCTTATCAGTCTATATCCATAATACATTTGCTTGATATCCATTCCTCGTGTCATACACAATCCTAGACATCCCTCCACATTTGCATTCAACAAGTGCCGCTTTCCTGCGCTTTCCATGCATTTCCCGCGCCCTCGTGCATACCTCACGTGTTCCCATGCTTCGAGTGCACTTAGTCAGCTGACTTCTGCCTGACTCAGCTTCCCCTAGAGGCCGAACATATCGCCCTCACATCAGAGCAGATTCCTACAAGTCTGTTTTGTTGTTCCCACAATGAACTCAGCGCAATTAGACTGACAGTGCAAAAAGATATTTTTGTCCCAAAAATAGTTTAGCCAAAACTCGGTGGCGTGCTCCATGCTGTTGTAGGCAGTGAAACACATATCCGCAGTGGTGCCAAAGCAGGGGACAAGATGGACAGGTGCTCTCAGCTGAGAGACTGGAATGATGTCCCCCATCTGAGTGCCATTAGAGTGCTTCGATCTTTTTAGCACATGCAGCTGACTAGCTGGATTGCGTTCACTCGAGATATTGAATTGTTGGACGTAAGTGATGAACTGATCTGTCCATGACCATGGCATGCCACATTTGCCAATAGGCCATATGACAAGCCTGATCTGGGCTACGGAGTGACCTGCGGAGCTCATTCTTTAGTATATAATGAATATTGCAACGAGAAACAGAAATAATGCACCTGAAAGATCACTGGTAGGCCATGACTGCTCTGCATTGGTCTGGATAATGACTGTGTCATAATGGACTGGAGTCCAGGGGCCACTAGGTGGTGCACAGTTTAACGTCTGAGCAGGGCAAATATTGTGGACATCATGAAAGTCCATTTCTTGTAAATGAATTTTGAACCACACTTGAAGCTTATTGAATGGAAGTTCAGCATCGGGTCCAGCTCTTCTAGGACCACCAATCACATGAATATGGTGTCCAGATGTCACCTCATGGTGAAGAAAATCAGCGAGAGCTGGGCGAAGGTCTGGTAAGTTGAACATGATGGCAGTTTCATTGACGCTAATATTCCTAATGGAAGGATCGTATGCGAGATAGAGGGCAGTGCGGCCAACAATGAAAGAGCGTACTAGTGGGATGGGTTTCAATTCTGCTTCCTTGTGCTGTAGCATTTTGGTAATTGTGAAATAGTCTGTGATAGGACGTGGCTGACCAGGTTGTTGAGTCTTGGACGGAGAATCCACGGGGATGATGTCCGCATCCATGTCAATGTAGGTGTCCTCATCTTCGTGTTCCTCTTGGACAACCTCCAGATCCTCAATGCTCAGCTTGTGGTCCAAAAGACTGGTGGCAAGATCAAACCTATTGCACTTATCAGCGCGGTCAAGAAAACGACATATTTGCGAATCATAATTATTGTTGTTGGTTGATCTTGCATGGTCTTTGACCTCCGTGATGTGCACATGTTCGGTGGCATCAGCAGACCACTGTCCTATAATGCCAGAGCTACGGATGCTAGGAACGATCATCAGGAAAAACCCTCTGGCTATATAGAACTATATGACAGGACTTCAACTTTAGGGAACTTTCAGAGCAATTATAGATTATGAATAAATTATGAATAGTTGGCATAATCTATAATTGCTTTGAAAGTTCCTTGAAGTCCTGTCATATAGTTCTATATAGTCATCAGCAAATCATTGTGTTCCTTATTGTTCCTTAATTTACTTAAAAAATTTACCGAGGTGGCTAAGGAGAATAAGGAGAATTAAGTAAGTGCAAATTGGCTAAGGAAAATTAAGGAAACATCAGTCATATTATTTGCATGCCTGAACTTTCTTGAACACACCACTTTGTAGTATTTTGCTTATAACTCATTAGGATCTTAACTAAAAAATGTCATGAGACTATGGAAAGACTACCCTTGACAAGGGCTACAACTTTGATTTTCATCGGAAAGATCCCCACGGTCTACCCTAGTCATTCCTTATCATGGTCCTTAATCAAAATCCTAGTCCCTAATAAGCAAAAACTCGAATTTTCATCAAGTCTTTCTTTACTATTGGTATTCCTGTTGGTATTCTTAGTCTTAATAAGCAAACATAGTCACATTACTTGTGTGCCTGAACTTTCTTGAACACACCACTTCATAGTATTTTGCTTATAACTCATTAGAGCCAGTTCGGCAACAGGATGTTGGCCAACATTTGGCAAATTGTCAGGTGAGAAGTTGTTGGCTTGAATTTTGCCAAAGGTCGGAGCGTGAATAGTATGGACACATTTGGACCAACCCCCAATACTACTGTACGCTGTTATCTACATAGGTGCCTGTCCTTGGATTCAGCCAGAGTCCATGCTGCAATGGATCGTCGATCAGAAGTCACGTATTTTGTGCCCCAATGCCCAGAAGCTCACCGCTGCCTCATCCAGTACTCTATCCTTCTAATCAGTATCTTAATCAGCGCTACAAGCAGTGTCCTACAATCCATGTATTTGAAGGATCCAGAGCTGTATCATACCTCTGCTCTCTCGGGCGAAGCATGGGTCATGGAGTTATTGTCTGGTCACCCAGAACAAATACAGAGTGAACTTGGTGTGCACACACACATTTTTGCAGTGCTTATCTCTGAACTTTGTGCCCTTGGACACACCAACTCCAAGTTTGTTTCACTAGAAGAACAACTTTCGATTTTCCTGTACACTGCTGTCACGGGCTTGTCTATCAGGCACGTAGGCGAACAATTTTAATGCTCAAACAATACAATTTCTCGGTAAGTACTAGTATATGCTAATAACTATTGGTAGACTGATTATATATTCTATATATTTATTTTCACAAAATGCTCACCATCTTCTCGTCCTCCCCCTTCTATATGAAGTATGTTCAGTTGCCAGATGCCTCCATCCCCAACAAAATTCGCTATAATCCCAAGTTTTGGCTGTTCTTCAAGGATGCCATTGGGGCCATTGACGGGAGCCACATTCACGTGTCACCTCGTGCATTTGAATGAGGCCTGTATCGAAACCGAAAGGGTTTTGTTTCCCAAAATTGCCTCTTTGCCTGCGACTTCGAGCTCAATTTCACATATGCCCTCACTGGCTGGGAGGGCTCGGCCACAGATGCACGTGTCCACGAGGCTGCAGAGGGTCACGACCTTCACATTCCCATAGGGAAATACTTCCTTGCAGATGTAGGTTTCTTTCTGCAGCCTGAACTACTCATTCCTTACCATAATGTGTGCTACCACCTCGCCGAATGGGGCCGCGCAAGTGTTCAGTGAGTTTACTGGCCATTATTCTTCCCAATATGCACTGATTTCCTGCAGGCCAACTACCAAACAAGAATTATTCAACCTCCGTCATGCATTGGCTCGAAAAGTCATCGAGTGAATATTTGGTGTCTTGAAACGACATTTCCGCATCCTCCTTCTATCCCCGTCATACGCTATGGGTATACAAGCTCAGATTCCAGCTGCATTGTGCGGCATTCACAATTTCATCTGCTTTCACAATCCCACAGAAGGTAGACTGCCTGATGATGCACCTGCTGCAAACTCAGAGGGCACACCAGCAGAGAACTGCGTGACTGTGCACAACGATCTACATTTGATGCGCAATGGAATTGCTGAAGCAATGTGGGTGGACTATCAACACATTTTGCGGGAAAGACATGCTCTCAAAGATGACGATAACGACAATCTATCAGACCAAGGTATCTCAGAGGATGAGGGTGGACTGGGCTAATTCTCACTAGTAGCACGTAGTCAAACTTGTACAATATATCATGATATGAAACATGTGCAATACAGGATGTTGGATACATACTGTGCAGCATACTGATTAAATGAATAGACGAGAGAAGCCACAGAGGGTTAGTACAAGAAATGTGACAGGTGGTCATAGCTCTACGCAGACGCAAGGAGTCCCAAGACAAATTCACAGTGCATCTCGATGTCATCTTCCAGCTCAATGTAAGCAGCGAGATTGTTCTCGCCTCCTGAATGAGAAAAGATCCACAAGAGGTGGGCTCTCTGAGCGACTGACAGGTCTCCATCTCCACTGTGCATAATTGCCAGGCCATGAGAAATCATGGTAACAACTGGAACAACAACTGGCGCTGGTACCGGCTCAGCAGCCACAGTTTTGTCAATGTTTTTCTCGATAACGTTGGTGAGGCGATTAATAGTACCTTGCATGTTCATGATGGCGGCCGCTGGAGTAATCTTGGCAGTTAATTTGGCAGTGCTGCTCATCCCCATCTGCGCACTTTCATATGCTGACACTCGAGCCTTCTTGAAGGCTGGTGACTGGGATGATGGCACCAATGTTGGCGAAAGGGGGAGTGATGAGTGGTGACTATCAGCGTAGCTGGACTTGGGAGTGGCATTGGAATTGTAGGATGACGTCTCCAGGGTGTCAAGCAGGGTGTTAAGACCGTGTTCAACGGGTCGGACCGGAGGGGCTTAGCTTCAGCTCGTGCGCTGCGCTCTTTACCCGAGTATGTGCCCCTAATTTACAGGGGGGGTAGATATCATCGGCTGAAGGGTATAGACGGGCCGGACGAGAGAGAGAAGACTACCCGAAGGTAGAGGCGGAGGTACTTAGCCTTAGGGATATAATCCCGAGGCTCGGAGGATCGGACTAGGATAATAATCCCAAGAGCCGAGAGGACACGAGGATTGAACAGAGTCTAAGTTAATATTCGAACTGAGGGAATACTACAGGTTACAAAGGGTTTATATACTGTAGTGTATCCGACAGGTTTCCGGCCGAAGCGCAGTCTTCGGATCAGAGGGCTATGTAGAAAATGTACTAACGGATATGAACTGTTGCGGACGATCGAGAATGGAGCCGGAGATTAAATGAAACAGGGGGGACAAGTTAAATGAAAGGGGAATGAATAGACTAACAGACCAATCAGAATGAACCCAGATATTAACTGCCAGAAGGATCCGGGCGTATAGGGGCATCAAGAAGCATATACAAATGGGGACACGGGGAAATGAATTCTAGAATGGAACCGAGAGAACGGACGGACCGGACCGGACGAGAAGCTTCAGGTACGGAATATGACACAGGGTATTGGTGCGCAAGCATTTACTGGACTGGGAGCCAGCAGCAGTAGAAGAGGTCCCATGGAACAGGGCGCTAGGTGGCATCATCAAGTCAATGCTCATGTCCGGCACATCACTAAGACCAGCGGTGCTAGGACCAGCAGTGCTAGGGTCTACATCCATATCAAGAACGTCAAGGCCCCCATCAGCACCCTCGAGCACATCGTCTATATTGACGGAGGCAGGGCCTGCTGTGGCAGGGTGGAAAGAGTGGCATCCACGGGCACTGCTGTTCTTGCCCAGGATAGTCTGCATGTCGTCGTACTGAGGCCATCCTGTGTTGTGAAGAAGGCATAGTGTAGCTCGTGACTACTTCATAGTGACATACCTTTGGTGCAACATACATATCCCAGACACTGGCGGCAGCAACACCCTCGATTCCAGCTCCTTGTACGTTGTCCCAGTGGAAACCAGACACATTGCGGTAGATCTCGATTTGATTGAAGGTTTTTTTGAGCTAAGATCTGGTCAACCCATGATCAATCAAGATAAGATCATATACGTACCAAGGTCCACTTTGTCTTTGCCATCTTGCCTGTCTTTTATGGGCCTATAGTCTGAATCACCTCGTTAGTGTTGATAGCAGCCACTGTGCTGTTGAAGATAGGCATCGGGAAGTTTCCGCCATCACTGCCTGCTGCCTGGTTCTTGATCAGGTGTTGAAGTAGGACATCCACCTCCGATTCTTGCCAATGTGCCTTTGTGCTGTTGGCAGGTTGTGTTGTATGAGTCTCGGGTTGAGCCATGAGTACAGTTGCGAAGTTTGCACATATGGTGGTGAGGGCAACAACACTAGTACAAATTCTTTGGCGACAATGACAATCAATAAAGTAGGGAGAATTCATGGTACAAGTAGGAGAAGTAAAGTTTGAAGTCCGACGTCTGGGATGCTTCGTGCCGAAAACCTCTCACCTGACATTTGCCAAATGTTGGCCAACATCCTGTTGCCGAACTGGCTCTTAGAACCTCAACCAAAAAATGTCATGAGACTATGGAAAGACTACCCTTGACAAGGGCTATAACTTTGATTTTCTTCGAAAAAATGCATAAGGTCTACCATAGTCACTCCTTGTCAAAATCCTAATGGTAGTAGTCAAATGTGCGAAACTTTTGCTAACCTAATGAGTTGCCTTAACTATTGTGGGAATTTGTGCAGGATGCTGCACAAATTCCCACGGTTGACTTTTACCGTGTAAGTCCTCTCAATTGTCTTCTCTTTCTTCACTCTTTTCCTTATTTTTGTTGCACCTCTTCCTTCTTATTTCTTCTGCCAAGTCCTGGGTGTTGGTGGTTGGTGGTGTTGGTAGTGGGGCCTTTGATGTTGGTTCCTTCTCCCTTTGCTGAGTCTATTCTTTTTGTCCTTTGTTTTTTTCTCTGACACTCTTGCTCTGCTTCAGCTCTTGCTCTTCTCTGGCCCTCTCCCTCTTCTGCTTCTCTCTCCTCTCTCTCTCTCCTGCTCCTCTTCTCTCCTGCTCCTCTTCTCTCTGGCCCTCTATCAATTTTCGAGTTTTTTTGGCCTTTTGGTAACATTATTTTTCTTTCTCTTGTTGTTTTTCTAACTCTATTTTGCTAGCTGTCTCCCTTCCTCCTACTCTCTCTCCTCTCCTCTCCTGCTCTTTCTGCTCTTTCTCCCCCTGACCTAGTAGTTACAAATTAATGTAGAAGTTGTATAGTAGATAGTTGAAATATTACTGCTTTGAACAATTTTCCTGGTACTTGAGCGCTATGATGAGAGAAAACGCCTTTAGTATAGTTGGAAAACAAGGATCTCTATAGAGCTATATAGTAGAAGGTCCTCTATAGTCAAGCTGTATAATTTGTAATAGTTAGTTACAATAGGCACCTTTCTATAGAATCTATAATCTCTACAATGTCTATGTAGAGCTATATAGATCTATATAGACAAAGGGGTTTTCCCTGATGATGTTCTGCATTAGCTTGAGCTTGGGTATGTGCCAGTTGTTGATGGCTGTATTGCCTTTCCCCGGCAAATGCCAGTGGTGATGATTGCATATTTATTCGCATGGAACTCGTCCAATGCAGCCAAGATGCGGGCAAGATCATTGTCATCAATGTGTGGTGACTGCACAAGGTAACGGAAGTGCATGAGTGCGCGTACAGAAATCATAATACCAGGAGGCATTGCATCCACACTGAGTGCGATGATCAATCACTGAATGTCTCTATGACAGAGACTGGTAACTTGTTTGAGCTTCGATATGCCTCCATGAAAATGCCGGTAACCAGTAGTGGGCTGTAAAATTGAGAACCAAAAATCTAATTTGGAATCTCCTACAGTGCTGGTAATCCATTGGACATCATGGTTGTAAAACTGCTTGTGAATGTGGTGCAGTGATTCAGGTGTGAAGAAACAGGATGGTTCGGCTAGTGGCCAGTCACTCCAGAATGGTTTCTCAATGCCATTCAGGCGGAACTTCTGTGCTTCATGGAAGAATGCCTCGAGGTTATGTGGGTCAGCGTGTGAGTGCACAACATCCAGCTGTGCAAGAGTTGTTGATTTGGTCCTGGGTTCGTGTCGAAAGGCATCCCCAAACTGCTTGTACATAGCCATAGTCACTGGAGATGTCTTTCCACCAACGCATGTGAGCATCATCGCTTCTGGGGTATCGGCGATATAACTAGCAAGTGGAGTGAAGCAATAGTGACTGTGTCCAATTGGATCTGACATCATGATGCCCAGCCGAGCAGCCAACTTCAGTGGTTCTAGTACAACATCCAAGCACTGGTGAACGAGCCAATCCTGCAACACGCCCTTCATCTGTTTCTTCCTATGAACAAATTTTGGCACCGGAAGCAAGGCAGTGAGGAGGAAAGTGTTCAATGATGATTTCAATCGTGTATTCATGTGAATATTGGTGAGGCTGATAAGTAACAGATAGGCAACATGATCGCCTATCAATGCAGTGATACACATCTTGTCCGAGGAGAGTTGCACCACGAGGTAGCTCCGACTTCAAGAATACATGAGGTGATGACTTTGAGGGGGGCGTAATACGAACCTGCATGTCCCAAGCATGTTCCCCTGTCATTCACTCAGTATATACCCGAGACAGCTTCTGCGCTGTGGTATACACCCTGCAAGGGGTGAGGTCTATATGGTCTTGAAATAAGGGATGATTGAAAATACTGGTGATGCACTCGAGTGGATCCCTACAGTAGAGAACAACCGGCATCTTGGTGGAATGGGATTACTTGTGACTTCCAACATGGACCACCGGCAGCATTTCAGCTCGACCTTGTAACTCTTTGGCTGAACGGAACAACAGAGGTAAATCATTTATCTAGGCGCTCCCTGAATCAAGCTGTCATAATGCATAGGAAGGTTAGAAACTGACCATCTCCAGCAACAGGAAAGAATCTATCTTGCCCATACTCAGGCCCAAACACAGAAGCCATGATGCAATCTCCCATTCCCTCTGACTGCTGAATGGATAATATAGGTTCGTTTTGCGATGGACACTCTTTTCATCAGCATCAAACAAGCTCAAGAATGTGTAGCCCTCCTCAAAGGCTAGAGGGGGTTCAGGGAAATAATTGGTTACTTCAGCCTCACAGTCTGTGCCCCAGTTTCCACCTCTGTTAAAATATTCTTCTTGTTCATGGTAAGAATTCTCTCCTTGCTCACTGGCATGGTGAGAATCAGGAGGTTGGCTGGTGCCGTCTTCGCTAGGTGGGAGGGTGGAGTTGAATTTGATTAACTCGTCTAGCCATGTATTGCACCCAGACCGTGGTTGACTCATATGACAAGCAACAGAACTGTGATCTGCAAATTCTTTTCCGCATGATGGACAATGAGCTCGTGGCATGCTTGTGGAGAAAGACGATATACTTAGCACATATTTGCAGATTCAGCATTTTCCGGGAGTCCGTTCTTTCCATCATGTTATCCTCGTCGCTCAAGTTTGACCTTGCTACTTTGCAATCACTATCAGCAAGTGCTTCCTGCTCTCATGCTGCCCCTCACATCCACGATCAAAATTGTGATGACAAACACGACAGCAGTGGTATATGCAAACTACATGAAGTTCTTGATGTTGTGAATGCTATGGTGAATTGTCCTACTATGACATCCATCATTCTCATGCAATTTACATTTTCGATATAGTCTGTCCAGCCACCAACTGAATCCGAGGTGAAGATCATGATAAATCTCGTGAGAGCCAAGCATGATGTTTACCGGGCCCAAAAATACTTGCAGATTGTGTAGTGCAGGAAAACGAGGCATTCACAAGCCTGCTGAAATTCCAAGCGGAAGCTGCTGAGAAGAGGCTAGACGATACAGACCTCGGGCTGGGATGTATGAGAAACATTTTCAACACACATGGTTGGTCTGTCCCTCCTAGTTGTCTTCCTCAGGGACAGGGTGGATCACATTTATGTGGTAGGTGTGACACGCTCTCTGCGCTATCATCGGTTTCTAACTTCTAACACCACTGTACAGGTACAACATTGGATGTCTCGCGTGGACGATGTCCCATGGTTCAGCTTGATTGATTGTTTTACCTTACTAGTAGAGTATCTGATATCTTCATGTCATGTTGTCCTGTCCTGTCTTCGTTATGATCGTGTTATGTGTTGTATGCCAAGCTCATGTATAGAATTTGTGTCATTGAATCAAGTCCAGTGTGTTATATCGTGAAGCCTCGAACTTAGCTTGATGTTGAATTGTATTGCTTATCTTGTGCCAGTACATTGATACACTAGTACTACACTTGGTACTACTAATGTTTCAGACTTGCGTGAAATCTGTGGGATTTCAACTGGAGTCGCTGTATCACTCTGTGCACTGTGAACCTGTGACTCTGTCAGATCTGTGAGAAAATTGCTGGAGCTGCTGTATCACTGGAGTCGCTGTATCACTGTGTACTGTGAACCTGTCACTCTGTCACATCTGTGAGAAAATTGTTGGAGCCGCTGTATCACTGGAGTCACTGTATCACTGTGTACTGTGAACCTGTGCAAACTGTAGGGCCCTGTGACTCGCTGTCGAAAAACCCGAAGTTTGTCACCTCTGTGAGAAAATTGGACTTTACTGATGTACTTGGACTCTTCATCCTTGTATCTGATACTCGATTGATACCATCATTACCATCTTTACTTGACGACTCTTGTCACCAAGTCTAGATACCAAACAATACAAATGACCCTCTGTTCTATTGACGTCTCTTGCAAGACTTAGCTCTAGGGATCCGCAGGGGTAAACCTGCGGGTGTCCAAAGCGCAACCCACACCTGTACCCCTCGACTACCTGTACCTGTGCACCCAAGGGTACCAAAGGGTATGGGTCTTGAAGAGGGTCACACATGGGTGGAGGGTAAGAAGGGTACACCTGTACCCACAATACAAATTGTGCATGTGATTAACAAAAAATGTACTAGTGTGACTACCTAATTCAAAATAATACTGTCCCGCCCATCATCAAGCTCTTTGTCCTCGCCGTCGACATTGGGAAGGCTCGCGATAGACTGAATCTCCCCGTCCTTGACCAGACCTAAGTGGCTCCACAGGCCAACACAAATAAGTGCACATGTCGTCTGCACAGTAAGTCTGTTTTGAACGCGGGACAGTAGTAAGCGTCCACGGCTGAAGATGCGCTCCACATCAACTGATGTTGCTGCAGTAAAACACAAGAGGTGTGGGAAATTGCAGTTTCGGACATGGAGCTGGCGTAAGTTGGGACACGCCTCCGCCTACCGTGACAGTGTTATTGTCATGTTAATTAGACCATATATAGTAGCTTTGTCATGTCACTTCGCAGACAAAGTTCAATGCAAGTTCAATGACACGAAAAACATATGAGGCAATACGAGTGTGCAATTTGATAGCAGGCAAAACATAACAAGTACATAGGACAGCGAGCAAAGCATGTGGACTACACAACGACAATTGTAAAGCATGAATCCGAGAATGAGTACGATTCAGAGGCAATCGAGAACAAAATTCAACAAATCGAGAAGCTATGCAAAGTAAGAGAAGCTGTGTGAGGTCATTGATTGACGGATCAAAAAATGACAGCGGAGGCAACAAAATCAATGGAATGATCAAACAACTAATGTACGGGCAGTAAGAAGCGGCTGAGTACCTACACGAACTCGTTTGGCAGGCATAGATGCCGCATATACCATTCTAATGACTCGGAATTCATAGTGAAGAATAACAATAGTGCATATAGGTTGAATGAGACGTGTCAATGACGACGACACGTTCAACGTGCATATGTTCATTGACTTTCGTCACATGACATCACTCATGACATCCAACATACTGGATTTAGAGGGCAGCGCCCTTCGACACGCATTTCTCATTGAATTAACTATCTAGATGTATTCTATAATATCAAAAATGCCCCCTTCTCAGTAGTCAGCACAGGATTTTATTAACATACTGCGCCGGTATTGTATAACTCAGATGGACTGGCTCGAAAGATCAAGTGGCTGTATATTAAAGTTCAAAATCTTATGTAATGATAAGCTACATATCCGGAATTTCCCTTTCGCACACCTCTTGGTAAAACATATCAATCAGTAATATAAAACATGAAAAAAAACTTACCTGGGATGGTAAGGTAATCTAATGCCATTCGCTATAGCTGCGGATAGGTTTTGCGGTGCCCATGCCACCATGTGATCATGTCTGTAACATTTTTTATGTCGGTGTTAAGGTAAGTGTCAAGTTCATTGATTGAAGTTGTGGGATTTGGTGCGAGAGAAGGAAGATGGTCGAAGATGTTAGTAAACTCGTCATCCTGCATGTTTTAAAAGCCGTTGTCAATAATTAAAACTAGTGGGACAATAAAATCACGCACCTTATCATCATCCTGGGCTCCTGCGGTACCTACATCTGTGAGTGTGACTGAGTGGGAGGCATACGAGCGTCTGAATTCTGAGTGAACAAGTTGTTCAGCAGTTTCTATCCACTGTGGCTCCCAGCCCACAGACCTGAAGTAGGATAGTTTGTGCTGTGGATGAAGAACTAAGCAATGGTCAGAACAATGGTGAAATAAGGGAAAAAATAATGCACCCATTGCAATCTGGTATACCTCGGATTTGTCTGTGAGCGAGTAATATCGATTAAGGGTGTGTTTGGCGAGACCAAGCGCGGCACGTATAGCAGGCTCCAGTAGCTCCTTCTTGAGGATACAGTTGGTGAAGACTTGGTCAATGTGGTCCATAGCGGGTATTACCATAGCTAAGTTTGGTGTTGAGTGTGAGAAATACAATGTTGCGTCTTTGAGAATCTGTGTGATACATTGTTAGTGTTGTGACTGTGATGTGTCACATTTGTATCCCAACCTTCAGCACGTTGCGCAGCTGTTTTACCAGTGGCCACTCATCTTCGCTCAGCTCATACTCTCCCAATCTGTCATATCCCATACCTGAACCTTCTTGTCCGGTCTGGTCCACCCGGTACCTCGGGCCCAGTCTAGAACTCATTCCCCCTGAGTCCCCATTTGTACACGCTTCTTTCTGCCCCTATGTGTCCGGATCCTTCTGACATTTAATATCCGGGTCCATTCTGATCCTTCCGTTAGTCTATTCATTTCCTTTTCATTTAACTCGTTCCCTTTGTTTCCAGTTCACATCCGGCTCCACACTTGATTGTCCGCAGTATGTTTTATTCACTAGTGCATTTTCTACATAGCCTTATGTTCCGATGACTGCGCTTCAGCCGGATACCCGTCAGATACCTTACAGTATATAAACCCTCTGTAACCCATAGTATTTCCTCAGTTCGAATATCATCTTAGACTCAGTTCATTCCTCATGTTCCCTCGGCTCTTAGGATTGTCATCCTAGTCCGACCCTCCGAGCCTCGGGATTATATCCCCAAGGCTAAATCCCTCTGCCTCTACCTTTGGGTAGTCCGTCCCTTGTTAGTTTCTACCTGGACGAAGTCTCGGGTAGCCTTCCCTCTTTTGTCCGGCCTATCCATAAATTAGGGGCACATACTCAGGTAAAGAGCACAGCACACGAGCTGAAGCTAAGCCCCTCCGGTCCGACCCGTTGAACATGGTCTTAACACAATCCCAATTTTCGCATGTCCGTTATCGCATTAATTCCCTCTTGATAGGTAAGTGCAAAATCAAGCATATTGTAAGTTGAATTCCACCGTGTGGACACATCACATGGGATTATTCTGATGGGAAGATCTAGGTCCTCGAGAACTGTCTTCCAGGCCAGCAGAATGATTGTCATTGAATGGATGACTTTGTATGCAAGTTTCCGGAGCTGTGAGGTAAGTCTGTTAGCGCAAGTGAGTTGCTATTCACATTTAACACTATCACCTTTGCTAATACAAATTTTAGTGGATGGATACTGTCCATCAGTTGCTCACACTCCTCCTCTTCCAACAGATATAATTCATCCACCCATCCCTCATCATCATCCTCGCTCTATGGCTTCGTTCGGGTGAGTACCACTACCTTCGGCAACTCGACAATATCCACTATCATAGAAAACGGCTGACCCTCGTGTTCCAAATGAACAGATACAGCCACATAAGCCCTGTGATTTGGTGAGGTCCAGGCATCCGTCGCAAAGTTAAGCTCTCCGTCATAACTCTGCTCTCTTATTTAGTTGATGGGATCATTCGAACTAATTTATCTTACTTGTAGCATCTGCGCTATGCGTTTGCGAGTCTTTACGAAGACTTGCTTCACATCACGAGCAACTGTCGAGGGCGAAGGTATGTGGTATTTGGGCCATCCAGTTTTCATTAATACCTGAAATCCTCAATTGTTTACAGTTTTGAAGGGTCTCAAGCTCTCCACTACCCAATGGACAATCTCCACCCTAACCCTAATCAGTGACTGCAACATCAAGTGAAGACAAACAAACCTCGTCTCTGTCCGAGTGTGCTGACAATGTGAGTACACAACCTTTCCTTTCCCTTTATGATTGAAAGATGTTTGTATTGATCTGGTTTCGAGCAGGCTCTTGACAACTCCATCTTGCGCAGCAGCAGTATTTCGACACTCCATTGCTGCCTGCAAGGCTGCTTCACCCCAGCACAATTTTACATGCTTGCGCATGTTGCCTGTGGATTTTGCGTCCTCCTTATCCAGATATCACCAGACACAGTGTTTGCAGCCTCGCGCTGCACACTTGAACACATGGCAACAATGGCTGTTGTGATATTTGATGCCTGGGGTAGGTTCAAAGAATGCATATATAGGAGATGTCCAATCCTCCATTAACCTTTCTACAGTCTTTTTAAGTAAGTTTCTCATTGATTTTTCAACTCGGACATACTTAGCTCATCATCAGAAGCTTCACCAGGGTCTTCGATATCACTCTTCTCAGATGCATCAGAGTCAATGATGTGCAAGTTATGAACTCGTTTCGCGTGGATCTATATCAAGTAGATAGCTCAGATTGTGCACGCGGATGCGAACGTCTGTAATATTCACCTATATCAAGTAGATAGCTAACACGAAGTAAGTATAGGTGAATGTAAATGGAAACTAAAGGTCTTACCTCAGATCGTGCACGCGGATGCGAACGTCTGAGGTATACAAGCTCGATACTGCGAGTATAAGTAAGAATGAATGCTCTTGTTCGTAGAGATAGGGTATGAGACCATAGACAAAAGAAAAAGGGGGGTCCTGGTCTAAGCAGACAGCCAACATCAATGAAAGACAGACCATATCAATTGAGACAATAGGTAAGCGAAAAACAAGAGCAGTGCTGCTGTTGCCGCTGGATGTAGTGCATGCTTGACTAAATCCAACAAATGACTATGGTGTCTGTTTGAAGGGATTCCTCTTCTTCCTCGCTCCGAACTGTAGCTCGATAGTTGGGTGCTGATGTAGTATTACTCATAGTCTGTTCAAGATCAATTGATGCCGTGGATTTCGTATGTTTCAATGTCACTGTGGGGATAGGAGGCTTATCAGTGGCCTTCTGTTTGGCTCGGCTGCCCCCGGCTGCCATGGCGAGTACCTTCTCTGTGGGCTTTGTTGTCCTTTTTGATAACATGCTTCTGTGAATATGTGAAAATAGAATATTAGACTCGAGAATCTAGAGTTTGTATGATTAATGTGGTACTGTCCCTACCCCTGAGGACCCTTACCCATGACCCCCAAGGGTTACCCATACCCCTGCTGATCCCTACTTAGCTCAGAGCTCTTACCTGAGTCTACGCTTTCAGTGTAACAATGTCAGGGAAATTGCAGGTTTCCTGATGTAGTTTGCTGATGTTGCTGCATGGCCACAGCAGTAACTATTCACTAGTGACTCTTGTGACGAGTCAGCCCCACCAGTGCCAGTCACAGGCTGCCAAGCCTTTGCAGGGCCAGCCACAACAGCTGCTTGCACACTTGCACTTTTCAGCTGGAAAAAAGAGGTGAGTGGTCAAGTGTTCTTAACTGTGTTGGTGTTTTTGCTATGCTCGAGGCTCTCATATGAGCATTCCAATTGGCCTCACCACCGGGGCCAGTGTTTAGATCCTGGTTGCAAGAGGCACAATGGCGGGAAGTACTGACACCCTGATAAAATTAGGTTCAGAGAAGCACTCATTTCACTACAGAGAGAGCCTCATACAGCCATTTGGACAACCTTTGCTTTTTTCTTTGACATCCCACTGGGGTGTTCAGAGCACACATTGGGTCTCAATCAAGTCAATCAGCTTGATTATCCACCTGTGACTCCCACGTAAGTACTGTAATTAGTAGTGATAGACCGGGCCCTCCGCACCTCTAAGTAGTACTGGATATAGTGAACCAGGGCTTGGTTCAATAATTGTTCAATATATATTCCCAGGGACTTGCAGTTTCTTTGCCCAGCGGTGTGTGGTAACGGTAGCCGTGGCTATAATTAGAGATACCGCCGGGTAACAATGTCCGTTCCTGACGCCGGCAATGTCCGCCCTTCGTGCTCGCTGTGCGCAACAGTGAGCACGTCGTTCTCGCTCATACCTGGGTCAATTTGCAGCGCGTTTTTTGTACTATGGAGGGTATAGTAGATAGAGTAACTTAATGTCATTGCAGGGATACGAGCTTGCGAGAACGAAGGGCTACAAAACATACTAATTGAGGTACCTACAAGTGATGGGAAGCAAACTGTAGTACTATAGGGAAGCATCAGGTGGGGTGAGAGGAGCTAACTACTAATCCAGGTCTTCTCCATTGACGGAAGCCTCTTCATTGCTGCTCTCAATAATCTCGCGACTCTTGGGTTCCGGACGTGACACTTTTCCTGTCTTGTTGGACCTCCTCGACTTCTTCGCAGGACGCTCACCTTCATCTCGCTGCGTGTTCTTGCGTTTGCAAGACGTCCCCGAGTCGGAGCGCTTCTTGCGAGGTTTGCCAACCATTTCTCCTGCTGCCCGACGTCGCTCAAGATCCTCCTTATATTTTTCGAGCTCGGTCTTTGTCAATCTCTTCCAAGCGCAAGTCCCGGCCTTAAGAGCATCACGCAAGTCCCGTATTTCACAGACAGTATGGATATTCCAGGGCGATGTGAAAGGAATAGTTGCAGGCCAGCCATCGAGGACTATACTGTAGGATAGGACAATTGATTTGATGTAGTTTGGGTAATTCATGCCGATGTTGTCCTTGCCCGTCATTTGGCCTGCCATGGTATGTGAGTTGAAGCATGCAATATGAAAAAAACATATGTAACGTACGTAGACCGCTGAGGATGAGTCGTCCAACTTGCTTCTGCATGTTTTCGAGGCTGTCACGCTCTACAATATCTGTGAAGGTGAATCAACAATGATATACAGTTTGAGACGAGTGGTCCGAACGTACTTTTGCCCTGGCTACACGCCCATTGTTCAAACTTGCGCGCAACATCATTCAACATGAGGTCCAAGACATCTTCCCAAAAGTCTGCGGCATCATCCGTCGCATACCATGTTGCTGGTGTCTGATCGTTTACGTGCCCTCCTGCAATAAAGAATGTGGCGTAGGTGCCACATCGCTCGCGTAACCCATCAAGCTAAGCAACAGTTAGCAAAAAATTGACACCAAAGTCAAAACGTACCTCTCGTCAAATTCTGTCAGTAGTAGCGTTAACATCTCGTGCTGCAGCTATGTTATTGCTGTGCAAACCACCGGTTTTGAGCAACTGATGCTCCTGGAGCTGAGCTATATATTCTTTGATCTCTCCGTCGGTCAAATTCTCCTTCTGCATGGATGGATCGGATGTCACCATCTGGTGAATCTCCTGTATCTTCAACTTGCTTCCGACCGGACGAGCTGAATGACTGTCAGTGAGAGTTAATAGTTCCGACACGCAAAACAAACCTCCATTGACCTCCTGGTTCTTAGCATGAACCAGTGCATTGAAGAGTTGAGGTCCGCGGGACTTCTTGTAGTGTGTGTGGTAGGTGATCAGTTTCTTGATGTGGGCCTCAGTAACGCTGTGCAATGCGCCAATATCCTTCATTTTTTTGTCCTGGTCGTCAAGGAAACTACTGATGGTGTCATCGAGTGCCTTCTCACTTTTTTTACATTGGGCTGCCTTGAGGGCACGTGAGGCTTTTTCTGCCTGTGTCAAAGGTGCACCCTTGAGACGGGTAGGGATAACTGGACGACCGGGGTTGCGCGCGGCCCAAGTCGAGTCGTCGCCTCGCTTATGGAGCTGCAGGTCCATGTTTTGAATGCCTTCCTGGGCATCATCAGAAGAGGTGACTTGCGAGTGGGAGGCATCACAATCTGAAGGTAGAGCTGCTGAATCATGCGCTGGAAGGGAGGGAGGGCCATCTGCAGGTGCAAACGTGAATGGAGAAGGGTCGCTCCATGCTGGATTGATGGAATCGTGCGCTGGATGGGAGGGAGTGTCACTTGTAGGTGGGAACGTGAACGCTGGAAGCGAGGGTGTGTCACTTGTAGGTGGGAATGTGAATGCTGGAAGCGAGGGTGCTGGAAAGGAGGGAGTGTCACTTGTAGGTGGGAACGTGAATGCTGGAAGCGAGGGCGCTGGAAGCGAGGGCGCTGGAAGGGAGGGCGCTGGAAGGGAGGGCGCTGGAAGGGAGGGAGTGTCACCTGTAGGTGGGAACGTGAATAGAGAAGGGTTGCTCCAATCCACGGACAAGAAACCGGGGTCGAGGGGGAAGAACGGAGCAGAGTTGCTGCGATTATTGATACTTGCCTCCCATGAATAGATATCTTCAGTTCCTGGTCCAGGAGGGAAAGATTGCGCATCCACTGTCTGAGCAGGTGGGAGAAGCGAAGCCTGAGGCTCATCCGCAGCTGAAGATGGCCAGGTGGAAGTCTGATGAGTCGCTGAAAAAAAATCAATTCCAGTGAACGGTGCGAGCTTGTGTGCAATGCAAATCACCTGTAGATGCTTTCAATTGATTGGAGCCGTACGGACAGAGGGTAGTATCCATGTTGGGTCTTGAGTGCGGTGGTAAGTAAACCAAATGTTCATAGCACGTCGGATCAACTGGATGTGTCGCGTCTGTCACACTGCATTTTTCGAATGTCGCGTCTGTCACATCGCGTTGTTCAGGAGATCTGGATAACACAGTCACAGATGATTTTTGCAATAAATTAATATTAATATTGTACATACCGTGCATCAAATACCTGCCAGATCACGTGCCATTGTACTGGTGTGAAGTCCCCCTGTTTCACATTTGACTATGGCACTCACCAGAAGCATTTGTCCAATAGCTGATATCTTCCATGGTGTCTTGCGCAAGACTGAATTAACACGCGCGAGTTAAGTATATAAGCGGAATGATCGTGATATGACAATCACACTTACATTGCTGCGCTGGCTCTCCACAGCCCATTTGAATCAGATGCATCGTGACCTGAAGTCCCCATGTCTCGCGTTTGACCATGGCAGCACCAGAAGCATTTGACCAATACCTAAGTGTTCGAGTTAAGTTGTGAAGAACAATACAACAATAACTTACCTTGTTGTGATGGCTCTCCCCAGCCCACCTGCACTAGATGCATCGTAAATTGTAGAACCTGAATTGTAACTTGTGAGATGTTGTAGTTTGTAAACAAAAATCACCCTACTCGCACCTTGTGGACTTGTGTTCACAAAAACACGTGTCCAAGTCATGTCCGAGGCAGTTGGCAGTTTGGGGACACTGTGCAAGTACTCGATCATTATCAGTGTGCACTTACACCTCACCAATCATATGTTGCATCTCTAGTAGAACTGGTGTGTGGCCTTTGGACCTACAGATGCTGATGAGTTCGACCTACCAGATGAAAATAGGTATCAGTGTTGTAGCACGTGGGGCCTAGACAACTTTGCTTCCGTGACACATTACATCAACACAGGAATTTGCTGTGTCCTGCTTTGTCAGCATCGGCATTCAACACTTCAATGGCTGGTGATATCCGTCTTCGGCATACAACTCATCAGAATCGACACTCACAGAGTCGCAAGCATAGTAAGCATCGATCTCATTTGAAGAGAACCGTCATATACTGATTGGTGTTAGGGCTAGATGCACCGAGGGCAACGCCAGCATGCTGCAACTCAGCGCTGGATGTCTAAACCTGTGTGAGTGACAAATTTGTATTCCAGCGAAGGTGATCTGGCTCACGTTATGCTTCTTACAGGGTTCGTACAACTCAAAATGAGAAAGCTCGTGCTCGTATGGCAAGGTAAGTTCATTTTTCATTTACAATTCATAGCTGATATTTCATATTCACTCATAGGCTTCGCGCAGCGTACGTTCTGATGAGAATGATCAGCGACAGCACAGTGTGCTTATGTTTTGCAGGAGAAAGGAGACACAGTTGAGCACGAGTCAGCCTACGGGCTCAGATGACGGCGGTTCGAGTGCGAGTCAGCCTGCGGGCTCAGACGACGGTAAGCATTTAGTATTCTCTTGAATGGCATCCAGCTCAAACCATTCTGTGTCCGCCAGATCACGAAGTCAAAAGTATGGCCGAAATGTGTCTGTTGATCGGTCAGTGGCAATATTGTTGGGGCCCCAACAATCTTTGGGAAAAGACGTTCAATGAGAAACTGCAGTCTGCGCAAGATCGGGGGAGCGGATCAGTGAACAACTTTTTCAGCCAGTGCGAGGCACACACTACTGATGGTCAACAACTTCTCAATGAATTGAAGCGCATCGCTTATAGCCCGTGTAACAGGAGGCTGGCGAGGGACAAGTGCATTCAATTGCATGATCTTTTGTCAGTGGTGTTGTCGGAAGTGAGGTTTTTTGAGGTAAAACTTGATGAGTATGCCCCAGCTGTACCATTATCTAGAACGTCGTCTACACGATATTATGAACAAGCGTAATATAATGTGATTTTCCGATCTTTTGCACGTCTTTCATCCCAATCAATGTGACATGCTGCGAGGTTGACTGAAAATCAATAGCGAACATAGCGAACATCATAGCGAACGTGTTCGGTATTAAAATGTCTTGCCCTCGGTTTCAATTATCAGAGTGATTTATGGTCCAAAAATGCTTGGAAGTTATAAGAATGACCTATCTCTTGGATTTCATTGATGTCCGAAAGGTTAGCATTTGTTGTGCGAACAGCATATTGAGAATTCTTGTTGGACGGCTCAGTTTGCATAAGTTATGTCGGAAATCCCCAGGGGTGCCTTGGAAGCATTCTATATTGGGACACAATTGGTGTGCCTGCCAACTGCATTGCGACCGAATTCCCAGGGGGCGTGACTTAATTTGAGGCACTTGCAAGCAAGGCACATGCTAATTTTGGATTCCAAGCAGTGGTGTGATTCGACGTTGACAAGTCTAAGTAATAATAAGGTAATCAATCAATCCTCGGCTTCACCTCCTCCCATCATCGTGTCTTCAGCTGCCTTTCTGTATATCTGTGTACTGCTAGATGGCCCCAAACAGAAACGCAGACCCGGGGCGTAAATATCTTGCTTCAACATCGACCAATAACCAAGTTGATTGTCAATACTGTACCAGGTCATTCGCAGCACGTGGGATCAAATCTCATGAACAGAGTTGTTTGAGAAGACGGGATAAGAAGAATGCTAATAAAGATTTCGCAGCACTTGCAGTGCATGCAGTAGAGGAGGAGCTTCAAAGGAAAGGTACGTGGTCATTGATCAATTTAAGTACTCATTAATAATATTGATACCTTATCGCATGATTGTTAGAGGCGCGTCGAGAGAAACGGCGGAATCGTAGGAAGCTGCAGCAGACAACAGCTTCTGCTGCTGCTGCTGCTGCTGCTGCTGCGTTGGTCCCTTCGGGATCGGCCCTGGATGACGCAGAGTCCTTGCCCGCTCAAGATCAGCAACCTGATTTTACTGCGCATCCATGGTCTGAAGGTGGTTCAGATCTCGTCGATATGAGCGTCAGTGGAGATGCACGCCAACGTATGTGCTACTCTGACTCTTGATGCGCCCCCCTCTAAGACCATCCAGGTTCGGCATCAGATACAAGCATGGGCACCGCGCCTATTCCAAATACCCTGTCATCACTCCCAACTATGCCTTCGGCTCGCTCCAATCTCGACACCTTCAAGACAGAGTACCACCCGCACAGTGGCCGCGCGACTTCTGTGGAGACGTTCTCCACTTTTGGACACAAAGAGCCTTCACAGCTGCCCGTCATTGACGAACAACCCTGGCAACCCTTCGCTTGTCGCGCGGATTTCGAGTTCGCCGAGCTCGCACATGGCGCTGCTTTGAACAAGAATCAGACAGATGAGCTCTTGCGGCTCATCTGGAGGATTGCGGACGGCCAAACGAACTTCACCTTCAAGTCGCATGGAGATGTTTCCAAAGCCTGGGATAGGGCAGCCGCTCAAATGACACCAGTGAGAGAATCACAAGATGTTCTTACTTTGCAGTCATATTGGTTGCCTTAGTTCGAGAAACATACCATCACCGTTCAGCACAAGCGAGAGGAGCTCGAGTACAACATGTATACGCGGCCATTGTGGGATTGGGCGCTGGACTTACTACAGGACCCTTTACTGATGCCCCATTTCGTTTGGGATGCGCAGCGATTATACAAGCATGACGGTACACGCTATGAGCGCTTTGTACACGAACCTTGGACTGCAGATAGGTGGTGGAATGTACAAGTATGCCATGTCTTACTACTATTGTTCACTTGTATCTAAGTAACGCCGTTTTCCGTATGTTTGAATCACAGTCATCTTTGCCCGAAAACGGCGTGCCGTTTGCGTTTATATTATACGCAGATAAAACACATCTCTCCTCTGCTGGCACAGTTAAGGCATACCCGGTGTTCGCTCGATGCGGAAACTTGCCCGTTGGTATCAGAAATACTGATGGGCTCGGTGGTGGGCGAATGGTTGGGTGGCTACCAATAGTGAGTTATAGTGAATCTTAGTTCCGTCGAGTTTCACTGGCGAAACAATTCTTTCGCGCAGGTTCCTGATGACTCTGAGGAGGACGGCAAGCTCACGTATGTCAATCTCAAACGGGTTGTATGGCACAAGTCATTCTTCAAGCTACTCGAAACTATTATAATGTATGCCCAGATGGGGTATGCGTATGTGTGCTATGATGGCATCATGAGGTGGCTATATGCGTTCATTCTGCTGTTATCAGCTGACTATGAAGAGCAGTACTTCATTTCGTACTAATTTCTGATGTTGTTTTCTGATTTAATCTCTCAACAGATGTGTTATGGCGCTTATACGAGGGACCAACTGTCACTGCCCGTGCCCTATCTGTCTTGTCCCTTCGGACAAGCTATACGACAACGCTTCCACTTACCCGATTCGATCATCCGACGATGCAAAGGCTTTCGTGGAGTTATGGACCAGGGACCGTGCGGCTGGAGAAAAGGCACTCAAAGAACAGGGCCTGCGGCCTGTTACGGTCAGTGCTTCCAATTAAATGTACTACTAACAGTCACATCTAACTCATTACATTATAGAACGTCTTTTGGAGTGTCCCAAATTCCGATCCTCAAGACACGATTTCACAGGACCATTTGCACGTCTATCACATGGGCCAATGGAAACATTTGTTTGGTGAACTCAAACGGCGCATCGCGGCCCTTGGACGCAGCGCTGAGAAACAAATGGATGACCAGTGGGTTTTTAATCATTTATTATCTCACTCCGCACTATCAGACTAATCCTATTTATCAATTGCTCACAGATTCGATGCCTTCCCGCGATGGCGCAATTTAAACCACTTCGATCGGGTTACTAACATCACATATAGCGATGGCAACAAGCTTCGCGATATTTCCAAGGTACGCCGTGACTTTACAGCTATCAGTTCTTCGTATTGATGAAGTCGCTCCTCTGATAGCAAGTATTGTACGCCGCCCAGAACATACTTACGCACACAGAGGATGAAGCCGGCTATGTGCTACTGCAGTGCATAGCAAGCTACTTACATATCGACATGTATATTTCACTCGAGGTCCAAACCGAAAGCACAATTGCTGCAGGGAGGGCTGAGGTATTTGAGTTTCAGAACCGCTTAGAGGTATGTGCCACTGCGATTCTGAGACTAGTTCACATATACTAACTATTTATTCACTATCTCAGGAGTACATCAAAATTGTCAAAGAGACCGATCCTGACACGATCAAAAACTGGAACTTTCCTAAGATTCATTCCGGAAAGCACATATTCGATGACATCATGGCGAAAGGCGCCGCCCGCAACTTCAGTACTCGACCCAATGAAAAGCAACACGGGCCAATCAAAAAGTGGTATCTACGGCAGACCAATCGTAAGAATATCGCTGATCAGGTATGTTAATTGGCATTTCTAACTTCCAAACGAGTCGCTCCACACCACTGACTCTGTAATATTAACTAATAGATCCTTGAGCTCGACCATAGGAGTGTTGTCTCCGAATTCATTCGTAGCCGTATCGAGTACCTTGATGAGGAACGACGCAAAGCCCTGCTCTCGCGGGATGAACTCGAGGATACGGATGAGGATGATGACGAGCTGTTTGAAGAACATCTTCATATTGGTTCACCCCTCAAGAATCATACAAGCTTTGCGCAAGTGGAGGAAGAAAACAAGTCATCGCGCGCCTTTCACCAGTTCCGGAAGAAGCTCGCAACATTTCTCAATCACTTCCTTCCCTCCCACAACATTCCATTGCCAGATGGAACAACATGGTTGAAACTTAGAGCACATGACCAGGTGATTATCTTTCCTCGCTGTTATTCAAATCTGACTTTGCGTGTATCAACAGATCCATGAACATCGTTACTTAAAAGTGCACTATGAGTCTGCCGCTGACTGGAAGTTGGCTACCGACTACCTGCGATGCAATCCAAGCTTCCATGGCAAAGAACGGCGCGACTACGCCCTAATACGCACACAGGACAAGGATGGCCACGACAAAAATATCTTTGTGCAGATATTATACATGTTCAAGCACACTGTCGGTAGCAACACTTTAGATCTTGCGCTGGTCCTACCCATGGATGCCTTAATTGGCCCATTGGCACGTCGGCGTATGGATAGGGAACTACGACTAACTCGACTCCGTGCACGGCCCACCTCTTCGTCTGAGTTTATCACCCTTCATTCCATCATTCGTGGTGCCTTGGTCGTCCCCGATTTCGCTAACAAGGGAGATTATTTTCTTGTTGATTATGTTGATACCGACATGTTTCTTCGTACCAGACGTTTGCTACAGTAGTACCGGTTCATCACCCACCTGTTTCCTTGCGCCATCCAATGCCCCCCTCCCCATCAAGATCTCAAGTAAAACTCCCGCATTTCATCGTGTACACCCTCCATCACCCTCCTCATCTAACCACCAAGTCAAGTTCCCGCATTTCATCGCATATGCCCTTCCCCACACCACCCTGCACTCACCCTCAAATCCTCAAGTCAAGCTCCCGCATTTCATCGCATATGCCCTTCCCCACACCACCCTGCACTCACCCTCCAATTATCAAGTCAAGCTCCCGCATTTCATGGTATATACCCTTTCCTGCACCAACCTGCACTCACCCTCCAATTCCCAAGTCAAGCTCCCGCATTTCATCACATATACCCTTCCCCACAACAACCTGCACTCACCCTCCAATTCCCAAGTCAAGCTCCCCCATTTCATCGCATATGCCCTTCCCCGCACTGACCTGCACTCGCCTCAATTCCCAAGTCAAGCTCCCGCATTTCATCGCATATACCCTTCCCCACACCAACCTGCACTCGCCCTCAAATTCCCAAGTGAAACTCCCGCATCTCATCACATATGCCCTTCCCCGCACTGACCTGCACTCGCCTCAATTCCCAAGTCAAGCTCCCGCATTTCATCGCATATACCCTTCCCCACACCAACCTGCACTCGCCCTCAAATTCCCAAGTGAAACTCCCGCATCTCATCGCATATGCCCTTCCCCGCACCGACCTGCGCTCACCCTCAAATTCCCAAGCGAAACTCCCGCATTTCATTGCATATGCCCTCCATCACCCTCCTCGTCTAACTCCCAGGTGAAGCTCCCACATTTCTTCACAAACACCCTCAGAACTTGACACTGACTCGTTTTGCAGGTCTGTTCTTGCTGCCTCATGTTGATGCTCGGGTACCTTCAGCACTGTCAATGATTCATTTCCGCTTTCTGCATGGGGACTGTAACACGCAATGCTTGTATTATGTATTCAGGTAAGCCGCAAAATATCATCACACAGGGTATCATTGGCATAACTGATATTATGTATCTGAATCAGTCCTGCAACATGTCAATGACGCACCGCACTATGACGTGCATGCCTGATGTGATGAGTCTCCATTTAATTTGTGCGTGTGATGTTGATGCTGATGCTGTTGCCTTATTACATCAACCGACGGGTCTTATTCTGACACGATCTAGACGACGCTGCAGTCTGAATTAAACAAGTCTAAGGTGTGTGTTTTTATCTAATAGAACAATGTCACGCATTACAGTCAACGTTGCGACGGCCCCCATAACGCATGTCAATGCGAGAGTTGATTTAAAGCTTGTGCGACTGACTGAGACTCCAGTCTGCCATTCTTCGACTCTGCCTCACTGCGCTCTCTGCTAATACTGAGACTGATATTATGCGTCCAATTCAGCAAGGCGAAGACTTTACGCGAGAAATTGAAGACATCAACAGCAACTCCAGTGACACAGACGGATCTGATGGTGATGATTCAGATTCAAATGATGATGCAGACTTATTGCGGATTCGCGATGCAATTGTCGCCCCTGCTGCTAACGCATCAACTCAAGATCTTCGCAAAGTAAGTTAATTCCGTCTTTTCATTACATACGGACAAATGTTTGTGATAGTGATCATTGACATATCTACTATAGGCACTTGAACTTGCGCAAAGACTTCTTCTGGACATGCGCGGGAAGTACCGAGAGGCTTTGAAGAAGAACGCTTTGCTTGAGGCAACAGTTTCAAAAGGTCGGAAGACGAAACTAACCAAGAATGACCTTGCCCTCGCCGCCAAGGAAGACAGCATCAGAAATCTTGGACGCAAGTTCTCTGTCACGCACTGCTTATGGGTCGAAACGTCTATCTTCCCTTTGCGTGGGCCACCTCCCAGAATCGACCTCTCGAGCAAGGAGCGGTGGCTCTCACCGTTATCGATTCAGGATGGCGTTAAAGCCGAAATTTTCCAATTCATTCCCCCAGTCGACCACAATATGATGGCTCACAAAAACTTTGGCTCCCATGTATGTGCCATAATCTGAGACCCTCCTCAATCAACTGACCGTCTTTCCAGTTTGTGAAAGGTGTCAATAATGTTCGCGCTGAAATGCTCTCAGACATCAAGTCATGTGCAGCAGCGATTTTCAGTCTGGATGCCAAGTTCTTCATAAGAGGTTACGCACGGGACACAGAGCCAGCTTGCCGAACTCTGCTCCTCAACCCCCAAGGCATATATACCAAGTTTGCTCCAGTTCTTTTCCCGCGTCCAGACCGTCTCGCCAGAGATGATTTTCTGAAAACATCGAAGCTTGTTTATGTAGGTTCTTCCCTTCCTTTAATTCCGCTAAACTGAATCACATTCATAGGTCTTGAAAGCATCCCTTTTTGGCCGATCTTCACTCGCTGCCAACGCAGTCCCCACTCCAAAAACGAAGGCCAAAATATGGGAGTTACGCGCTGTAACACCTGGCCTCATCGCAGCAGCAGCCGTTATTGTACGCTTCTTCTTCTTACACTGCGGAACATTGATATTTACGCGTTTCAGGCTATATTTGTCCTATCCGGCGACAAAGAGTTGGTTGAAGTCGGCGACAAATCCCGGATTCCATACAAAGACTACCATAACTACTACCGACAATCGCTGCTAACCGGAGGTGCCTGGGCAAACGGGGTCTTCACGTTTTTCAACAACGCGCTGTTTGCGACATCTCATTCTGCCTCAACTATCCTCGGTTCAGACCCCTCACACGACTCGAGCGGTCCACAGGACAGCTGGGAAGAAATGTTTGAGCACGCAATGGAAACCGGAGGCGAACTACCAGAACTAGATGCAGTTGGCCCTGTCATCGATTCAGAGGCGCCCACCACACCTCCTGCTGCACCTCCTGCTGCACCCCCCACTGCACCTCCCGCTGCACCTCCTGCCACACCTCCTGCTGCACCTCCTGCTATACCCGGTCCCCAATCAATCTCTGCCGCCATGCAAGGTTTAGCTTTAGCTGAGGACGGTCGTCGAGACCCACCACCTGCAGCGCAGCCAGTACTTGATGAGGACGAGCTGGAACCACCTGCTGTCCAGAAGCCGAAGCCAAGGCCAAAGCCAAAGCGGAAGGGCAAGGCCGCCAATGATACTAATACTACTACCAGTGCTGACCCGGAGGATCAAGCTCCTGGAAAGGAACCTGAGGTTTTGTTGTCAGTAGTCAGTGGCAGTGGTGTGCGAAGGGGCCGATCAAGGATCACTAAGTAGACTGTCTTCATCCTGCGCTCAACGATTGTTATTACCTGTAATTCAATACCTGGACAATCCCTTACTTTCAAATAGAATTGTCTGCTGGTTAAATTTTCACGCAATGCATCATCTTAAATCCATTGATTGTGACATTAGCTAGACATGCAACTACAATACAACTAAGTAGAGATTTTGAATCCGAATCAACAGAGCGACGTCGACTCGGACAAGAATTCAGCCATCTGAATCAATCATTGTCATTGCTATGTCTATGTTGACGCCATTAATTCAATACGTAATGATTTATAATAATAATTAAACAGTACCAAACAATAACCGAACTTGGAATGTTTTGGAATCACTCTCATTCACTTACATTCCGACTACCATGTCCCAATGGATTCCCTTCGCCACTGTCACTCAGCAATCTTCTCAACAGAATGGCGCATTGCCCCCAATGCCTTCGACATCACAACCTATTCCACCTGCGCAGCCGACGAATTTCCCTGAAGCAACATGTATCAGTGGAAGCGCTGGCAGCCGCGAGCTCTGGTATGTCTGCCCCATTTCCCTCTGTCTGACCCATCTGAATCCAACCCCCCTGCAGGAATTCGGTATCGACATTATCGGTGAAGACAACAAGACCACCATCCACCACAAAGTCGCTGCCCACGTAGAGGCCATCCCAACATCCGCCTCTCTTCCTCCCAACATCCAGGCGAACTCCAGAAGAGCCATGACACTGGCGCAGAACTGCACTCCCTGAGCTCTTCAATGAATGACATTCACGACACGCTCAGTGGCTCGGTGTAAGTGGTCTGTCCCCGCCACTCTCTTTATTCCTACATACTGACTATCCCCCTTCCCCATAGCCCAAAACCTACCACACTTCCCCCAATTGCTCCCTCCCATGCGTTCACAACAAGCCTCGACCACCTCTGCACCCACACCCGCATCTGCCGCGCCCGCAAACCCAGAACCCCTGCACCTCCTCCCATGCGTTCACAACAAGCCTCGACCACCTCTGCACCCACACCCGCATCTGCCACGCCCGCAAACCCAGAACCCCTGCACCTCCTCCCATGCATTCACAACAAGCCTCGACCACCTCTGCACACACCCGCATCTGTCGCACCCGCAAACTCAGAACCCCTGCACCTCCCCCAGAGCACCCTGGCCTTTCTCCTTCGAGCTCGAGTCATGCTGACTCAAGTCGTTGCCCACTCTTCGCAGTATGTGAGTGTCTTGATCCTCCTTTGAGCTCGAGCTATGCTGATCCATGTCGTTGCCCACTCTTCGCAGGATGTGAGTGTCTTGATCCTCCTTTGAGCTGCGCTCAGAGCTACATGAGACCCAAACCAGCCTCGCAAGCCACATCGACAAGGTCCGCGCCCAGCTCCGTTTCGTTTCGTTTGACGGAACGGTTTGCTGATGCGGCTGATGTATTTAGGATTCGCATTTACAATACGCGGGTATTGAGTCTATAATGTTGCAATACCTATTTACAGTAGCGATTGTATTATGTATTTGGATAGTATTGCAATTTAAAAAAATTGATTTCAAGCACACGCAATGATTTTAAGGCCTTGGATAGTATTGCAATTAAAAAAAATTGATTTCAACCACACGCAATGATTTTAAGGCCTTGGAAGGACATGTGACTGATATTTGACTTGCAATTTGCTCTTAAATTGGAATGGTCTTGGGACCGCCTTGGAAGCCCCCTGGTGTCGCTTTCAAGCGGCTTCCAAAATTTTCGGGTTGCCTTCCAAGCGAGTTGTAATGCCGCCGGCAAATTGAGGGCTTCCAATTCATTTTAAGGACCGCCAACCAAAAATAGAAATCTCCGACATAACAACATCTCATTCAAGGTTGTCTGCGTGTGCCGCCGCACCACACGAAATAGCCTTGTGTTATCTCCTGCCTCTCACCATTCCATTGCCACAACAGCATTATCGTGAATATCAATGGTGTGCTTAAATTTCTATTCTTCAAAACGTGGGTACACTCGTAGTATATTATTCTATGTACTTAGTTAGACCTGACTCATGTGCTCAGATAAGTCTTCAAGATAAGACCAAAGATCCTCGGAGTTGGTAGATGAGGCTGTAGTGGTCGGACTAGGAGGTGGAGTAGGGTGTATGATTCCAACTGGCCAGAACGGTCCTCCAACAGTGGGAACTGCACGGAGCAGTCCCGTATTGTAGTGGCTCGTGTACAACTCCAGTGCGTCAGCCCAATGATCGTATCTGGCATGAGATGCGCCGCTGATTCCGTCAACGCGTGCTTTGGCGTCAAGCCTAACAAATCAATTGTGAGCAACAGCATTAAAACGTGATCAAAACATACCAGCGAAAAAAGATACCAACTTCCTGACCAACAGTTACCACATAGTATCCTTGAACTTGAGTGCCAGCAGGCAGATACAGCTCATCAGGATGGGGTGTGCACGAGGCTACAGTTGCTTGTTGAGTGGTACTGAATTGCGCAGTATCCGACTCTGCAGCTGATCGGCGATCACGATGCTTTGGCTTTGCCACATCCGAACAAGTACGTGAATGAGAAGGCGATCGTGGTGTGCGGTGTGGATCCCCAATTTTGAAAGTGACTGATTCCTAGACTGTCTTCTTTGAGTACGTCACGGAGTTAAAGCTTATATCTGACAATGGGTGAGAGATACAGCAAGACTCGGATACTGTGAAGTGAGCAAACAAAATGAACCTGAAATCTTCATTGCGCTCAGAAAATCTTCAAGTCCACCACTACTGACATTATTGCTTGCCGTGGAGCGGGAAGACTTAGTAGAGGTCGCTGTTGAATAGCGGGACCTCATGTCTTTGAGTGAAAAAGTCACTGGCGGGTGCGTAACAAGTGTTGTATCATATGTCACGTGAGTAAAGACTTACCGTGACATTGTCTATGCAAACATTGTTGATTGGTCAAGACCGAAGACATTGATGGCCCCAAGATCTTCAAGACTGCACAATCGGACTGGACTATCCAGTCAAAAGGTCCGGCAGCTGGGTTCAACACGCGATCGGAATGGTCGTCGGTTGGCAACTAACACTCTTGCAGGTCCTAAAGCCCTCTTGCAATGTGCTGCTCGTGCGCAGGCTCGCAAGATCGAACGTCTGGAAGGTGAGCAATTTGAATTTTTGGAATTCTTGAAAAACTCACAACCTTTTACTAGCAATGACTTTAGAACAACGCCAGGCATTACAAGCCTTGGTTGAGCGTCATGATGGTGCCGACGATGACATGAGTATGGACTTTTCGTCGGATTTCAACGAGATCTTGCGAGGAGATCAGCAACTCGAAATCAGTCACAGCGGGAGAGAGTTGGAAGACCTTGCTCAGGAGATAATGGGCGACTTCTGGAAAGGGTGAGTCCATTATTCTATGTTCCTTCTTGAACTTACCTTGGCTGCAACCATGCAGGACCACACCCAAGGGCCATGGTCCACGACGTAATGATCATCGCACACGCCGTGATCGAGTCCAACACCGTGTAGACGCATTTGATGCCCAGCTTCCGGCGATTACAGAAGCTTACCTTGAATGGAGTTTGCAGCGTGTTCGAAGTGGGACAAGACCTGGCTTTTTCCATCAAATGGCAAAGGATGCTCTCACTGAGGTAGGAGCAGACTCAGGATCATGGACTGCGACTATCGTTGATTTATTTTGTGAGTCGCTCATTTGTTTTGTCAGCTGTGAGCACCTCACGGCATTGTGATAGGCGCTGAGAAGGTAACTCTCACCCTCAAGGCCACCGACTCCTTTATCGCTTCTGCCCTCGTTCGTCAGGGTGTAATCCCTTGTTCTCCGATCTCTCCATCTGTTGCTGTGACAGTGGATGCCCTTGAGTTCTACCGAATCGCACATCTACGTGACCTGCATTTCTCGATGCAAGCATTTGCCAAGACTCTTTGTGATTTGCATGCGGTACATTTTTGGCCCTCTGTCTCACTAATTATTGACAAGACTTAAGGTTGAATATCGTCGCTACCTCTCACGTCAACTGACCATAGCGTTTGATCTATATCTACAGGTCCGCTCAAGTGTTGATGCACTCGTGGCTGAAGTCCTTAATCGCAACACGCCTGATTGGCGCCTCAAGCATGCATGTCCATCATGCACTTATACATTGGCGGACGAAGATCAACTCACATTCAAGCTCCTGTACGCCATGGATGGCAACGACTCGTTGAAGCGCATTCTTCAGCGAACGCTTGGTGTAGATGACGAGGACACTCAGTCATCTGAACTCCCCACAACGCAACAAGTCCGAGGTGACCGATATCTCCCTCGCGACTATGTCAACAGTTGGGGAAATGGTCGTCAAGAAGAGGCAAACACTACTATAGGCACCGATGACACAGTGCGTGCCACATGGAGTACTTTTTTTTTTCATTCAATGCTTATGTTGTAACATCAGGAGAATCCGTGTGCAGGACGATGGAAAAACATGGATGACGAAAAGACTAAACGGATGTGGGGAGTGTATGATGAAACAGGTATATTTATTGCCGTCTGCCACCATGGCTTTAGTCTGGTGATGGCTGATATGGTACAGAGCAGGGAATTGTGAGTTGCATCTTCTCCAATGTTCAATCATTAACTAACAGCTTCAATCATCTCTTATGTCAGGGCAAAATATCCACTTGCTGTGGTTTCGAAGCTTCTCGACACATTTGGTAGCGACCTCGGTGGTGGATACGACATCGGATGTCAATTCAAGACAACGCTCGACAACAGTTCATTGGGTACCCGTGCACAATCCCTCAACTACACATCGCTGGTCGGTGCTTTTCACGGGCACGCTCACAAACGGCTTTGTCAGCTCGACCACCTCGCAACGTATGTTTCTGGTCTAGGGCTCGAAGACTTGGAGACATGTGAACGTACCTTCTCGAAGTCAAATGCATTAGCGTCGACAATGCGCTATGCCAGCATCTTCCACCGTCAGCAAGGTATTACAAATTATTTTGAACACAATGATGACTATGAGGTGTACGCGAATTTATGTACGTATTTCGCTCTCAATTGTACCGGAGTGTGTTCTAACTAGTCTCACAGCAAATTTTCTGTACCATAACTACAAGCAAGCCCTCGATATCATTTGTGACAGCCAAATAACGCTACCGAAGCTCATGCAAGATATCAACGTTACCGAGGAATCTACTTTCGATGAGTGGTTGAAAGAGGAGAAAGTTTACCTCCAGGGTCTTTGCACCGAGCCCGAGCTCGAGACGTTGCAGATGGAGTATTGGCAGAAGTTGGTCAATCTGAGCGCCAGCAAGTAAGCTTCTTGGATTCCACACTAAGCCACTGACTCACTCTTAATTTTACAGGAACGAACTGGATACTGCCAGCTCACTGTGGGCTATGTCCACACCTTCAAATGCCCATAGCTTGGCATCCGACGAGAGCGCGACAAGACGGCTTGAGACGACCAGAAGGCATGCCCTGGAGAATTTTGAGAAGGACTTGGGAGTCGTGCAAGAGCTTGAACAAAAACTCGGGATCTTGCATCGCTGGACACCCGAAGACGCCGACTGGCAAAACGCAGGACGTCTCATTGCTAACCGAAAATACCAGCGCTCGCTTGACCAGTTGGAAGGCCTCATTGTGGCACGGATTTTCGAGCTCACCAAAATGAATAGGTCTGGCACGGGTGAGTCTTTCCTTCACACTACTGCCACTGCTAATCAAAATTTTATAGGCTATAAGATGCGCAAACACATCGCCAAGGCATTGCAAACTCGTTCTATGGCAATCAGGAATGCTCTTGACCGCTATAACGCTGCAGTGCGTGCATTGTCCCCTCCACGCCGGATGTTGAAATGGGAGGAGGTGGTGGAGTATGCATTTCTTGCAGACTTCGACCTCCTTCGTGACTCACGTTCCGACGTCTCACAACGGCAATGGGCAACGCCAGCAGCTCGCCAAGCCACTGACTTATATTTCAAACACTGTCGTGCTAAAGAAGAGATCACCCGACTCAATGTTGAGGTGCGCTGCCTTGCCTCATATATACATGATGAGGATCACTACCTTCGCGAGTGTCAGCAACAAGCGGAGGCCTTTAGTCCAGCTCTCGCACATCAGATCAGTTTGCGGCGGCAAGCCCGAGGCAGGTTCAACTTTTGTCACATCAAACACTTGCAAGACATCGCCAGACTTCCTGGGTTCTCTGGCACCATTGTCCCTGGAGTGTGTGTCCTTAGAGGCACCGGAGAGAGTACAAGCCTACCGCACGCCAGCATTCCTGCAAGGCTGACATCCCTGACACCCAACACCCTCATTTCCTCCTCCAGCTTGAAGCCGCTTGCTACAGAGTCCGCGGATGATCTTGACGATAACGAAGAGGAACTAATGAATATGGAGGAGGCTGCCGAAGCCCTACAGAACGTTCTGCATATCGCCATGGACTCATGAGTTGGTTGGAGTGGGTGGGAAGGACTTATTCATTACTACTTTGATACGTAGTTTAAGCTTACCGTGTACCACCTGCTCTTTATGTACCTGCTACGCCCTATGCAATGCAAAAAACGCGCCACAAATTGACCCAGGTATGAGCGAGAACGACGTGCTCGCTGTGCGCAACAGCGAGCACGAAGGGCGGACATTGCCGGCGTCAGGAACGGACATTGTTACCCGGCGGTATCTCTAATTATAGCCACGGCTACCGTTACCACACACCGCTGGGCAAAGAAACTGCAAGTCCCTGGGAATATATATTGAACAATTATTGAACCAAGCCCTGGTTCACTATATCCAGTACTACTTAGAGGTGCGGAGGGCCCGGTCTATCACTACTAATTACAGTACTTACGTGGGAGTCACAGGTGTGATTATCATATCTGTCATCTCTTTCCACAATCTGAGACAATCTATTTTTGTTACAATAATATATATTTGGTGCTCATACTGGTGTTTGAACCCAACAGGAGGCATTTTGACACCCCCAAGGTCATGCCAATAAGGACCTTTGGGGGAACCCCCCCCCCCCCCCTCCCCCCCTCTTGTTCAGCATTTCCCAAGCAGGTACCCCTTGCCAAAGTCATTAAGTTACTTATTGGGTAGCCCAGGTGACCAGGACCTTGTTTAGGTCCAGGAACACACTTTACAGAGTTGTCATGTAGTGCTATGGATATGTTCTCGGGATGGTATCGAGAACTCGACCCGACATAACATACCACACGAGACGAAAAGGATGATAATGATTTGCCAATCGCCTCCATAGCTCCACTGTCTTCCATGTTAAGATGCAATTTTACCGACCACATTAGGGAGACGCACCATACTGGCTGAAAGTGACAGCAAGAGGCAATGGGTGGCTCTGTGAAACAGAACTACTAAGTATCGCAATCACGAGAAAGTATGGCCCACCTCGACAGAAACATCTACGCCATTTCCGCCCTTGGTTGATTTCACCCTCATATAAAGGTCACCTAGGGTTTTTCCTTCAGTGCATACACCGACTAGTCCTAAGTCACTAACCAGGTGATCGCTGTGAATCTTTGACTCTCAGCATCAATGCAAAAAGTGGAAAATAATTCATGAACGCAAGCGCCGTCTCCAAACTCGCATACACTAAGATGGTCGAGACACGCATCTAGTACCCAAGTGAGTTAACATACGCCACCAATATTGATGCTAAGACTCACTGTAGCGAATAGAATGTAGTACACCAGAACGGTAGGAAAGAGATAAGCGACGAGAGTGAAGAGAATAGTCCCAAAAAGTAGCTGATCAACATCGTAGTCCCAAGGATCTGTCCGATTCCTTAGGACGTTTTGTCGTCGCCCTTGATTGTGTTATTGCTAGCTCTCATTATAAAATCGCGGAAGGCCTCACCTCGAAAAAGATTCCAAAGCGACGCCACCAAGCGTAACAAATGGCCATACACGGTCACCGAGACCAAATAGCACAGTTGTACATGTGCCGTAAAGACGCAGATGATATCACACGCCATGGCGAGCGCCATCGTCACCCCAAATACACTCCCAAGTTCAAGTGCACTGAATAACATGGGAAGGAGAGGTATGACGATCCGGAAAATTCCTGTACACCAATGAGGATTGTGCAGAATATCATGCAGAGCCGCGCGTCAATACGCACTATTCCAAAGCGCGATCAATCCCATGAAGCTGTGCGAGTAGAATCGGCTGAGCTCGGTGTTGAGCTTTAGGCCGGCAGGCCAGCTGTCTAGCCACAGAAGGATCTGTCGTATTTCATGGACGGCCTTATCCTAGACATTTATGTCAGAAAGAGTATGGTGCAATGTTCAACACTTCGGACCTCGAAGGTGAGCTTGAAAAAGTGCAGAAAAGCCTCTGGGTCCTGACGTAAAAACTGACGAAGCGCGATCCCAATGATGAGATCATTCAAAATGATCCAAAGGGTGTTGTAAAACCTTTGAAAAAATAAATTTGAGCGTGTTGAACTAAAAGTATCGAACAAGGACCCGCACTCAATATATTGAGAAGACTTGAGGCCCACGTCCCCATTTGGAACAGCTTGCACACCACGGAGCAAGCGACGCAACTTCCTCGCCCTGAATTCAATCTGCTGGACTGGGTGCAAGCTGAGCATCAGATCCCGGTAAATAACACAATGCCTACCTATGATGCTAAATTCTCTCGAATAGATGAAGACAAAGGACGTGACACGCCAGAAAAGATTAGTCGAACTTTCGATTCTGTCGATTAAACATTGGATTTTCTTATCGATAGCCGTAAACGTTGAAAAATCTTGAAAGCGAGCATTGGACTCTTGGATGACGGTAGTCTGAGCACGTTGCTCATGCTCTAGGAAGTGCTCGAGAGATTTCGCAGAGTTCCACTACAGCAGGCAAGCTTCAGCAAATGGCGCGGGTAATTATTGGAAAACATGCTTGATTGACGAGAATCTGCCCTGTATTCGACGCGCTTTGCGATGGCGGTGTCGCGATATGAGAAAAATCGTGCTTCAAGCTCGAGCGCAAGACCTCATCCTCAAGATCGAAAAGATGTGTTCCATTCGAACCCAAGGCATAAAACCTCAAAGAATTTGTATCATGACGATGGTAGTATATGTATGCAGTAGAGCATGCCCTGATATCAAAGTCAGTTGTATATCGGACACGAGAGGAGCATCAAACCGTGAGGGGCCGCAGAACATTTCGACATCCGGTAGGGGGTATGATGACCTCACGAACGAGCTGAATAGACAACGTCCGAGAACGCGTGGAGTACCGCAAGTTTTAATCAGGGCTTGGGCTTCCTCGGAACGAGCGACACGTTGGAGTAGAGCGTCTGCATGTGAGTCCTGTGCGGGGGCAATCACTGATTACGACAAAGTTCAAACCGCAAATATTGTGACCATCTGACGCACCTCCTCGACATCTAGTACACCCGCTACACATAGTGCGGGATGGTCCCACCCGTAGCAGAACCCGCTCCTTACGACATCGCATGGCCAGAAAATAGATGACATGCATCCTTGTAGATTGCAAGGGCTGTTCATGTACCTTCGTCATCACGTGACCAGTGGTGCATTGGGACAACGCGTTTGGAATTGTCCGCTTTGAACGAGCAACGAATTAAGACTTCCTGAAGACTTCCTTTATCTGTTCCAGCTCGCTGTCCATCCCGTCCCTAATCTCTTTATCCATTGCTCACCCGAATCATAATTCTATCCGCTGCCAATGGACTCCCGAAGACCCGACATGAAGAAGAAGCTGGTGGTGGTTGGAGATGGTGCGCGGACCCTTGCCCTTGTCTCTTCAGTGTCCGTGCCCACGCTCAATCCACTACACTCAAGGCGGATGCGGGAAGACTTGTCTCCTCATCGTATACGCAGAGAATAGATTTCCTGAGGTATGCATGAGTTACGCCTGTCGCCCATTCATATGTACTCATTCAGTCGTCCACGTATGACTGCAGTCTTACATACCCACTGTATTCGAAAACTATGTCACGCAAATCCAATTCGACGGCAAACTGGTAGAGCTAGCACTTTGGGACACCGCAGGGCAGGAAGAATACGACCGACTACGACCACTATCCTATCCCGAATCCGACGTCATCCTGATCGTGTTCTCTATCGATTTTCCTGTCTCGCTCGGAAATGTGCAAGATAAGGTATGTCGCTGACCAGCGCGTCAAGCCCAGTCATGTTGACCAAAAATTCCCAGTGGTACCCTGAAGTTGCCCACTTTTGCGAAGGAACACCTCTTATCCTCGTTGGAACTAAGACTGACCTGCGGCGGGACGAACAAACACGGCGCATGCTTGGCGCGCAGGGTCAGGTGCCAGTGACACCTGAGCAAGGTGGCACGGTGGCACGAGAAATCGGTGCCAAGTACATTGAGTGCTCAGCAAAGACAGGAAGTGGTGTGCAAGACGTGTTCAACCTTGCATTACGAGAGAGTATGAAGGGACGCTGGGGGAAGATGGTGAAGCAACGACGGTGTGTGATCGTGTAGGGGAGCGGTCGCTGATCACGTTCACGCGTTTCATTGGTTGGTGTGGTTATGGGACTAATATTGCACTCGCCGTTCTATACTCTGTGCTAAAAAGAGCTATTGCATCTTGAGGTGTGCAGAATGGAGGATTTTGGAGAGTGTCCTTGAACAGTGCTTGGCAATGTAGACAAAGGCAAGGAGGGTAACAGTCGCAGTACATAACTCGATATAGAGGATGTGATTGATGTTGCCGACAGGAACGTCGAATGAGATATGCGATGAAGTTGTATGTTGAAGGATTTTAAACTGAGTGGAGGAATTGAGCATGTGGAATTTGGGTGACTGGGGCGGGAGTGCGCTGTGGAGTGATTTGTCTTTTTTAACAACAAAAAGTAAGATTTGGGCGACAGAAGATAGTTTGAAACGTACATGAGGAAGGACAAGCCCAGAAACAAGTCGGAGGAGGGAGCTGGATGATGTGACGTAGATTACCCTCGCGCGGCATACCGTACCTAACATGGAGAGGCACGTCCACCATGACCAAGTCTGTCTCCGGCTTAACGGCGACCAGCAGCCAGCCAGATTCATTCGCTACCCCCGACGTGGGTAGCTCCAGATCCGTATTTCCCGCAAATTGGAAGTGGAGTCTATGGTCATCGAGCTCAAACGAGTCAACGATAATGTCGGGCGGGAGTTCGTGGAGGACAAACAAGTTGCATGCTGCATACTCATGCCGTGCATGGAGAGGAATTTCAGTTGAAAGCGTTGAATGAAAACCTTTTGCTTGCATGGTCGACGTCCAGTTGCATGAGGCACGTGCTTGAAGTTCAGATCATCAAGTTATCATATCACCAGGAGTCGATCAAGATTCAAGACAGTACTTGAGAGTCACAATCACTGCTTAAGCTTACTTTTCAGCGCCATGGATCATCCGCACGAAGATCACAACAGAGTTCACTTTCCCATTATCTCCTCAGAGCTTACCGCAGCCCTCGGTGCCATCGAAGACATGGCAGACAATACAGACGCCGTCCCAGACAGTGTCGTTCGCGGCCGTCCACCTGCCATATTTCGTGCTGGTGGGCCAATGTCAGTCCTCAGTCCTCTATCTATCTGATTTTGTGCTCTCATCTCTAAGCTATAAATTGACGATTGGACATCTTGCACAGGCTAAAGCAATTCGACGAGTCCACTGCCTCCAGTCGGAAAGGCTCTCAGGCCCCGACACCCCCACGCTCCGTCGTTGGTATCGGGAACAAAGGTTCGTCTTGTCACGCCCCTCTTGTTCCTCACTCATTTATCATTCTATCATGCAAGTCGCCAAACCAGACTACTCCGAAGCAAAGATCGTCCTTGCGATGGTAGGATTGCCCGCCCGTGGCAAATCCTACCTCAGCAACAAGCTCATGCGTTATCTCAAGGTTCACCCTTCTCCCTGTCATCAGACATCCTACTTACCCTCCCTAGTGGCTAGAGTATGACGTACAGGTCTGCTACCCTTGTCCTCAGGCTAATAAGATACTTACAGTCAATTAGGTCTTCAATGTTGGTCAACTTCGCCGCTCACGCGCGCACCACAAAGCTCAGCAGTACGTAGTGTTTCTTCGTCCATTCTATACACTTCACCTCTTGCAGGAGTGGCATCCTCGAAGATCACACTTCTAGCTACTTTAGCCACAACAACGTAGAAGCCACCAAGCTTCGCGAGCAGCTCGCAGAAGACAGCCTCGAGATGCTCATTAGATGGCTGAAAAGGGGCGGCAACGTCGCCATACACGGTATATTTTCCCTCTCCACTCCAGTCATACCATTCACACCCTTCAGACGCAACCAACAGTACCCGTATGAGACGGTACGCCCACCATTCAACGTGATCATCTCCCAGCAATAGCTAATCCCTCCTCACTCAGCGCCAAAATCTCCGCCCGCGTTGCCAAAGAAAAGGGCATGTCCGTCATCTTCCTCGAGTCCATATGCAACGATCCCGCTGTCATTGCCGCCAACGTTGCCCTCAAGGTATCCTCCGGCGACCCGGACTACAAGGACCTTCCCCGTGAGGTGGCTGAACGGGACTTCCTCCGCCGCATCAAGGAGTACGAGGCCGTCTACGAGACCATCACTGAACCCCACCTTAGCTATCTGCGAATCACAGATGTTGGCAATGAAGTCACGCTCAGCAGAATCAATGGTTACTTGCAAAGCCGCATTGCCTTTTATTTAATGAATCTGCATGTGAAGCCACGCAACATATTTCTTTCCAGAGTGCGTCTTTTGAAAATTTAGAAACTTTGACTCAAGTCTTGTTGTAGCACGGCGAAAGCCAATTCAACGTCGACGGCCGGATTGGCGGGGACTCACTACTTTCAGAACGCGGTCTTGCATACGCTCACGCGCTCCCTGAGCTCGTACGAAACAACATTGGGGATGCACCACTTATTGTACTTGTCTACTTCTGGTCATGATACAGAACTTTATCTCAAACGTACAGGTCTGGACTTCGACCCTTCAACGCACGATCCAAACCGCTGGAGAACTTCCCTATCCCAAGCTTACTTGGAAATCTCTTGATGAACTCGACGCCGGCGTCTGTGACGGTATGACTTACGAGGAGATTGAGGTGCATACCGCTTTCTGTCAATGCTTCTTACTTGACATTTTAATACAATTTCCTTTTCGCACTTCAGCAAGCCTACCCCGAAGATTTTGCCAACCGTGATGAAGATAAATTCAACTATCGTTACCGAGGCGGCGAGTCCTACCGAGATGTTGTCGTGCGCCTCGAGCCTGTCATCATGGAACTTGAGCGGCAGGAAAACATATTGATCTTTGGACATCAAGTACGTGTGGATTCCCGCCTCTAGAACACAGCCTCGCTATATTCAAATTTATGCCCTGATTCTGCTACGTTCAATTCATGGTAATAATTTGTGCTGACTATTACGGCAGGCAATCCTCCGTTGCCTCTACGCGTACTTTCACGATCTCCCACAAGCTGATCTGCCTTACATCAATGTACCGTTGCATACCGTAATCAAACTCACTCCGAAGGCATATGGTTGCGATGAGGCACGGTGAGATTTTCCTCTTCAATTTCCCCTTCATTTTTCCTCCACCTGCTTTCTCTGCATTTCGAAGAACTTACAAGCCACAGGTACACTCTCCCTATCGACGCCGTCGACACGCACCGCCCCAAACCAGGGTCTACCGTTTCGCAGCCCGATGTAGTACCAGCATCGACGAAGAGGGAATATTTCGGGACCAATGCATAGCATTTTGTAAGTAGTTGAGCAGTCACTTCTGGCGTCGATCATTTGTCGCGAACGTTCACTAGGGAGCCAGAGACAACAATTGTTGAGAGTTTGAAAAGAGCATGACGATGATGTGTTTTTTTGGGAGAGCAAATAGAATTTTTTTAATAGATACCTGTAACCTGATTACTTTCTGGTCGGCGGCTGTGCTACCGCCAAGTATGCAAGTCACGTGTTACTTCATTTCTGACCAGGACCTTGAAGTTCTTGTATTGAATACTGGCATTAACTTACCAACTACTAGTACTTATCACGGCTGACATGGAATCAGCACCCAAACGACGTCGCATCTCGCGCTCTCCGTCACCAACGTACAAATTCGATGACGATGATGATGACTATGTACCCTACGTTCCTGTAGCCCAACGACGAGAAGCCAAGCTCGCAAAACTTTCTTCGTTAAACACCGTTTCTGACAGGACGAAAGCAAAGAAGCAGCTAGAAGAACTACTAGAGCGCGAAGATGCAGAGAGGGAAGAGGAACGTCAACGCGAGAAGGCACGGAAGGAGAGGCCATTGCTCATGGAGGCACAGGAAGTGCATGAGCGCAAAGCTGCAGAGAGTGCGTATCTTAATGAGTTGCGAGTTGGATGCTTACTAATATCGTCACAGATGCAAAGAAGACTGAAGTAGAAAAAGCAGATGAGGCAGATGCAGAAATACTCGCAGCCATAGCAAGTCGCAGGAAGCTCGCATCTGATCTAGAGCTCGCGAAAGGCATATCGTACACAGACTCTCTTGCGACGTCGTGAGATTTGCACTATTGAGTGGAGAACGAATGCATTCTAACGTGCGCTACAGATGGCGGCCGCCGAAATATGTTCGAGAGCGCACAGATGAGCAGCATCGACGACTGCGAGAGAAATACCACATCATTGTGGATGGAGAAGACATACCTCCTCCTATCGAGCACTTTTCTGTATTTATTGATGGTCATCTCAGTCAACCCTGAACTGATTATTTTATAGGACATGAAGATACCAGAATCGATGCTGCAATTTCTCAAGTCCAAGAAAATCACTACACCAACACCTATCCAATTACAAGGGATACCCACTGCGTATGATCTCCCGCACTACTTTATCAAATCCCTTTGACCAAACTCGTAGATTTGCGGGCCGAGATATGATTGGCATTGCTTTCACTGGTTCCGGCAAAACCCTCGCCTTCTGCCTTCCGTTGATCATGCTCGCACTGGAAGAAGAGACGAAGCTCCCATTTGTTCGTGGAGAAGGCCCAGTAGGTGTCGTTCTCTGTCCCTCGCGCGAGCTGGCTACACAGACATATGAAAATGTGCTTGCCTGGACAGGCGCACTGGCGAGGGATGGGAAGTATCCACAGCTCAATACACTCCTCTGTATTGGCGGCATATCAATGGGCGAACAAAGTCACGTGCTCAACAAGGGCCTTCACATCGTGGTAGCGACTCCTGGCCGTCTCATTGACATGCTGGAGAAGCGAAAATTCACATTTAACAACACCAAATTTTTGTGCATGGATGAGGCAGATCGTATGATTGATCTGGGCTTTGAGGACGACGTACGGAACATCATGAGCTTTTTCAAGGTATGCATTGGTGATTGTTTATTGGCTTTCGTTTATCCATTATGTTATAGCGACAACGGCAAACCTTGCTTTTCTCCGCGACAATGCCCCGAAAGATTCAAGATTTTGCGCAGCAGTCCTTGATCAAACCTGTTCTTGTGAATGTCGGCCGTGCTGGCGCCGCTAATTTGGATGTTCTTCAGGTGGTGGAGTACGTTAAACAGGAAGCGAAGATGGTTTATTTGTTGGAGTGCCTTCAGAAAACTGCTCCTCCAGTTATAATCTTTAGCGAGAACAAAAATGAAGTTGATGGTAGGCTACTATCCTCTCTTTCACACGTCGAGGGTCTCATCTTATTCTAGATATACAAGAATATCTCTTGCTGAAGGGTGTCGAGGCTGTGGCAATTCACGGTTCAAAGAGTAATCATTATCTCTTCGTCGCTAATCATGGAGATGCTCACACTTGTTTTTTAGCCCAAGAGGAACGGCAATATGCTATCAAATCGTTTAAGTCCGGCGCTAAAGACGTTATGGTTGCGTCGGGTGTCGCCTCCAAGGGCCTTGACTTCAACGATATTCAACACGTCATCATCTTCAGCATGCCCAAAGAGATCGAGGACTATGTACATCAAATTGGCCGTACGGGGCGTAGCGGAAAGACTGGCATAGCTACGACGTTTGTGAATATGACAACACCAGAGCAGACACTTCTAGATCTGAAGTATTTGTTGATGGAGGCTGGACAGAAGTATGCTGCCTGTCTTCCTCCAATGTATCTTACTGACATGTGACAGGGTTCCACCGTTCTTGCGGACCATCGAAGATCCTCGAGCAGCACAGGGCGGCTCGCTCAAAGGTTGTCCGGTTTGTGGAGGTATGCATAATATTTAATTAGCAAGATTTACTTGCTGACACCAGCATCAGGCCTTGGACATGGGATATCGAACTGCCCGAAGTTGGAAGATGCTCAGAGACGACAGATGGCATCGCATAGAGCTGCTGATGATGGAGGGGGTTATTGAACCTGTGTACGGGGTTCTGAATTGCATTGTCACATTTCACTGTTATCAATTCTGCAGTTATCTTCCTTGCTATCATCTTAAACGCCTCCCGCTGGCATCCGCAGTGCCTGCCTCCAAGCTACCTATGACATTCCAGGGTGCGTATTTGCTGCATACCAAGAAGCTCCGTTTGAACCTTCCTCGCTGGGAAAATTATGATATTTCTGGTAAACTTTAAACTCCTTCATCCGGTTGAGACCCATGACTTTTCTTGTGAATTCACTGAGGTAGTTCTCAATCAGGTCTAAGCTGTTCGACTTGATCGAACCTCGAGGTCTTTGCAAACGGAATGGATAAGATTTGAACCAACCAAGACGCACCATATGACTCAAAAAATAAATACAGTCCACTGCAAGGAGTAAGCACGCTTGCAAGCCAAATCAGCCCCGTGCGTTTGCTGGTCTGCCAGTCTCTTCGTTGAGTCCCTATGGACGTGCCCTTATTAACAGGATCGTCCTTTCGAACATACCTGACGACAAGGAGCATGCATATAGACATGAGAGATTCTCGAGCAATAGGGGGCAACAACTCTTTCCCGCCATGCGCTAGGCAATCCAACTGGAGAATTATAGGTTTAGAAGCGTAGCTCCATGGTCGTTCTTAAGGACGGGGGAGAGGTATGTATGGCTAAAAGACACGAAATACGAGCTGATATACACGCACGACAAGGCTGATACTGGGGAGATGCGTAAAATTCAACTGCGAAGGGGCTCGTAGAATTCTAGTGTTCGTTGAGTGCTTAAGTCGGTCGACCGTGGTGTATTGAGACCAGCATCTTACTGAAATGAACAAAAAGAACCAGGTGAGGAGGTCGAAGTAGTTCTTATTCTCCAAGTCGGAAGTGGAGTTAATGTAGAATAAGTATCGGACAGAGCTGTCTTGAAAGATTAGCCTGCGAACTATACTATACTGAGCCTGCGGCATTATTGGTGCTTACCGGTACCAGTAGCACCCTTCTCCCAAGCTGACATGTCGACATACCCGACAGGGGAAAGAAACATCATGACCACCACGCCACCATCTACTGCTCACATGATGACACGACATACTCCAGACAGATATTGTCAGGGAAACGTTACATAGCATCATATTATAAATGCTAACAAGGCAGCTAAGAAAAAATGCAGGTGAGGATAGGTCATGGGTTACAATAAGTCAACAACGCCCCTGGTTTCAAAAAGCACAAGTTGTACAGGTCATCGTCATCCGAGTCATAAGCCAAATCAAATGGTATCCATACAAAACAGAAAAAGTCCTGGATCATGAAGCAATTCCAACTGCCTCGGGTTCCCCAGACGCGGCGGGGGTAGCCTCGTTGGTGGTTGAAGTGGTATCAGCAACCTGAGTGTCATTGGCCGGGCTGGAAAATCCAGCTGCAGATGGACCTCCACGTCCGCGCCCGCGCCCTCTCGATGAACCTCCTCTGCCACTTCCTCGTCCTCTCCCTCCCCTGTGTTCAGACGGCGAGACACTTGGAGCTGCTGCAGATCCATCAGCTGTTGCAGGGTTCCTCGCCTGTTTCCAGTCAGCTGGGGACTTTCCAGAGTCCCATTCACGGTTTTGAATCTTGTCCAGTTTTCTCCGAGCATTCTGCTCACGGGTGCGGTCAACGCCCTCCTGCACTTTGCGCTGGTAGGCTTGACGCACACGGTCGGCTTCCTGGGTCTTCTTGAACGCGTCTTCGTCCGCTTGTACGTCCTAATCATACTATGTTGGTTAATTGACTTTGCGAATATGAGCGTCACTTACAATTCTGCGTTGTTTGATTTTCTCGTTCTGCTCCTTGATACGCTGCATCCGTTCAGCAAGCGCTTCTTCACTGAGTTTTTCCTATAAGATAGTTAGCAGGACATAGAATACTGTCCTAGCATTGCATACCCTCTGTGCTCCACCCGTCTTGACGCGCTCAGGGTTCACATAAGGCTTCTTTTTCTCCTTCACGTCCTTTGATTCTACATCTGCTGACTGATTTTCTAGCGCCTGTGACTCATCTGCATCAGTCTGAGGAGGTTCAGCTGTCTCTTTAATGGAAAGATTGTTGAAGTCAAGGCCAAGGGAGTTTGTGGAGGACTCAGCCATCGTGGTCGACAGCAGACGCGACCAAGGGAAACCATACTGCCGCGGAGAGGACATGGAGATGTCCATGGACAGTCCGGGGATGACGTGGGAGATCAGTGCCTAATTCAATAATCTGTCCTGATAAGATAAACGGTGCCGATAAACACTTAGATCATCGCCCCACTGATCCTAAAGTCAACGACAACCATGTCTCTCTCAAACAAGCTCTCTATCACAGATCTCGACCTCAAGGGCAAGCGCGTCCTTATCCGTGTCGACTTCAATGTTCCCATGCAGGATGGCAAAATCACTAACCCCGCTGTGAGCACTTCCCTCGTCACCCATATATACATTATACTCTTGCTGACAGGACTGTAGCGTATTGTGGCAGCGTTGCCCACCATTAAGTATGCTCTAGACAACGGTCAGTGCTATCTATGCATGCGGGGAGTGTCATTGCGAATAAAATCGTTCGATCTGTCTAGGCGCGAAGACCGTTGTCCTCATGTCCCATCTCGGCCGCCCAGATGGCAAGGTTGTCGAGAAATATTCCCTCAAACCAGTCGCTGGCGAGTTAGAGAAGCACCTCGGAAAGCCCGTAACTTTCCTCCCCGACTGTGTGGGCCCTGAGGTCGAGAAAGCCGTCAACACTGCCGAACCTGGCTCCGTCATCCTTCTCGAAAATCTCCGCTTCCATATTGAGGAGGAGGGTTCTGTCAAGAACAAAGATGGTACAAAAACTAAGGCTGACGCTGCCAAGGTGTCGGAGTTCAGGGAGGGCCTTACAAGACTCGGTGACGTCTACGTCAACGATGCCTTCGGCACAGCTCACCGCGCTCACTCGAGTATGGTCGGCGTTAAGCTGCCCCAGCGAGCCGCAGGCTTCCTTGTCAAGAAAGAGCTCGAGTACTTCGCAAAAGCTCTTGAGAACCCCGACCGGCCTTTCCTTGCTATCCTCGGAGGTGCCAAGGTGTCTGACAAGATTCAGCTGATCGAGAACATGTTGGATAAGGTGGCGTGATTTTTCTCGGCCGCAAATCGGCCGTTCATCTATTTGGTCTTCTGCGCTTGCTTGAATAGGTTAACTCTCTTATTATCTGTGGTGGCATGGCATTCACGTTCGCAAAGACATTGGACAATGTGTCCGTGAGTTATACAGGAATTTTCGATCAAGTCTGATCACTCACAACAACATTATCCAAGATTGGAGACTCCCTTTTCGACCAAGCCGGTTCTGAAAAGGTTAGGGCTCTTGTCGAAAAGGCAAAGAAGAACAATGTGAAACTGGTCTTCCCCGTCGACTATATCACGGCAGACAAGTTCGATAAAAATGCAAATGTGTGTATTTTGCCTTAGGACTGCCGTTCGTGTTGACTGTTCTTGCAGACTCGGACTGGGACTGCTGCCGAAGGCATTCCTAGTGGGTGGATGGGCCTTGATGCCGGCCCGAAGAGTCGCGAGCTGTTTCGCCAGACAGTACTCGAGGCCAAGACTATTCTATGGAACGGGTGCGTGTAATGATTCACGAAGCAATATTTTTTCCCCTCAATATCCACAGTCCTCCTGGTGTGTTTGAGTTCCCTGCTTTTGCAGAGGGCTCAAAAGCTCTCCTCGATGCAAACGTCGAAGCTGCGCAGAGGGGTGCCACAGTCATTATCGGCGGTGGTGATACCGCAACAGTCGCGGCGCTATACAACGCTGAGGACAAGATAAGTCATGTCAGTACAGGTGGAGGTGCTAGCTTGGAGCTGTTGGAGGGCAAGGTGAGAACTACGAAGTATCTCCACGGAGAACCAAGTTGGCTGATTGTCATTCAGATCCTACCTGGTGTGGCTGAGCTTAGCGAGAAGTAACTCGATGATGATACTTTATAGAGTGGTTTGTACCTTACTGCCGCATGTCAATAGAAATATGATTGAGTTGTACTATATCAGTTGTAAAACACGTATTTGAGTATAAATTCGAAAGCAGCATATGCGATCACTGTGACAGCTGAGCGCGAAGAACAATTAGTATATTGTCTGATATCAAGAGTCTGTGACTAACTGCCCTTCGAATTTTGAAGTGAAAGTCTGACTCAAACCTGGAAGTTATTTTTAGTAGCACACGGCCTAAACAGGAAACATTAGATAATCACTTAATTCGAGACTTAGGGAACTCGCGATCGACATCCTCTCAGATTTTTTGGCAACCCTTCTTAACATTATAAGCAACAAATGGCTCGAAGTCGACGTCGCATTACACGTTTAGCAACTCAAAAGTCGCCAGAGCGCTCGCCAAGCTCGTCACGTTCGTCGTTGACACCGATGGAGGACGAACCAGAGCCCACGCAGGCGGAATCTGCAGATTCCGCACCAACCAAGACAAATGAAGACGTGTGCCCATCATGCAGAGAAGGTGTGCAAGGAGAAAAGAGCAGCTGGATACGCTGTGATGCTTGCAAGACTTGGTTCCACTGGGCATGCGCAGGGGACGGCAGTGACCTTGAGTTGATTAACAAATGGTGCGCACTAATAGGCGTGGATCAAATGTGTATGGTATATTTACTACTGAATCTCATGAAACAGGTTCTGTGAGCCCTGCATGATAGAGAAGCCGTCGCGTGCGATGACGCTCAAAGTGCCTGCACGCAAGTCCTCACGGAAGCGTACACAATTGGACTACGCGAGCCTCAACGCAGGAGTCGAATCCGACCCGAGTAGATGGTTACGAGTCATCCAGAGCAAGCCGATTAAGGACGACAATTTCAAGAGAATGAAGGGTGCCGACGTGGGCCTGGAGTGGTTGGAGAACGACGAAACCGCGATGCGTGAGCCAATCGTAGTGGAGAATCCGGAGGGACTGAGAATGAAGATGCCTCCACCGGAATTCTCGGTTCAAGACGTCGCGGATGAAGTTGGTCACGAAACCCCTGTGGAGGTCATTGGTGAGTGTGTTAATTACAGAATGTCTGCGTTGCTGATGTGCAGCTTAGATGTTGCCACACAGTCAAACTCACCTGGATGGACGTTAGGGCGGTGGGCTGAGTACTATAATACAGAACCTGCAAAAAGAGACAAGATCCGCAACGTGATATCGTTGGAGATTTCAGGGACGAAACTTGCAGACCAGGTGTTACCCCCGAGACTTGTGAGAGAATTGGACTGGGTCGAAAAGTTCTGGCCGAGCACACGTAAAGGGAAGGGACATGCATACCCCAAGGTGCAGCTGTATTGTCTGATGGGCGTTGCTTCCGCATGGACAGTGAGTGATCATTGTGTTTTGTGGGTAGAGATGCTCCAAACATCGGTCATAGGATTGGCACGTAGATTTCGCTGGTTCGTCAGTGTATTACCACATACTTCGTGGATGCAAGGTCGGCCTCTAATCTGCAGGCTCCATTCGGCTGACAGGTTGGACTTCTGCCTAGGTATTCTACTTCATACGACCCACACCATCCAATTTACAAGCGTACGAAAGGTGGTCCGGGACTGAGATGCAAAGCAATGTCTGGCTAGGTGACATGGTGGACGAGGTCGTGAAGGTCACTCTTCACGCAGGCAATACGATGATAATACCAACCGGTTGGATACATGCTGTGGTGAGCACTTCTACCGACATCGCCTCCAAGGTTGTGAAAGATCAGTTGCTCCTTTAGCACACTCCTGTAGATTCTCTAGTCTTCGGCGGAAATTTCCTACACTCTTACAATATTGCAACACGTAAGTTGGCTTCTTGCCACTCTTTTGTCATGCTATGAACTGACGCTGGACACCATGACGCAGAGCTGAAAGTGATTGACATCGAGAAAGCAACGCATGTGCCGAAGAAATTCAGGTTTCCGTTGTTTGTCAAGTGAGGTTTTTTCTTCATTTCTGCCAAGCTTTCTGAGCACCGATTATTTAGGCTCTGCTGGTATGTAGGCGATAAATATTTGCGAGACCTCAAATCGAAAGAAGAGTTTCCTCCTCGTGTTCTGGAATCCCTTGAAGCTCTTGCCCGGTTTCTTGTGTCAGAATCGCAAGCCATGGAACGCGGGATGGAGGTAGCCAAACGGGAAGCCAAGGAAAACGTCCCAGGTGATCGTGTAAAGGACGCACCGGCGATGGCTCGTGAGCTGAGGTGGCGCGTGCGGCTTGCAGCAGGAGCGACGAGCGACGATGAAGACCTCGGGCGCCCTGTCAAGAAGAATATGGTGAATGGTCACAAACGGAAGCGGTCGCCTGCTGGTACAACTGTGGGCGTACAGTTCAGGAACTTCCAACCCAAAGGATGGGATGTAGTCAATGAACTACCCAGGGAGTCAGACGAACGGGTCGTGAATGTTCACCCCCCAAATACAGTAGACATGTGGGAACGAGAATGGACGGAGTGGAACAAAGAGTTTGAAGGTCAGGAGCAGGAGGAACAGGCGATCGTGGAGAAAACGAGAGATGTGATCATCAAAGTCAGGAAGACCGAAGATGGGGTGGAAAGGCAGCGGATAGAGCGGGTGATGGAGAGGTGGGTTTGGAAAGGCGTTCCTTCGAAGGCAGAAGGGGATCCCCAAGATGTTGAGATGAAGCCTATGGAAGACGAATTTGCGGGAAGCGAGGAAGTGACAAAGGAAGAAGAACAGGGGGCTGAAGTTCTTGTCACTGCTGTGCCGTTGGAGACAACTCAGGCGATGGAGGTGAACACATAGCTCGAAGCTCATTGTCTTTCTTGCATGATCAACATTGCTCTGCCCTGATCTATTAGGAGTGTTGTGTATATACTGTATATACATAATGCTGCCTATATATTGTGAGGACGATAACTGAACTTAGTGTGAATTCATTTGCCCTGGGAAATCAAGTCGGACAACCTCGGTAACGGTAAGTAAGTCTTGCTGGCAATTCTTCTTGTCTGGCATTAGCCTGCCTTTGCTGGTTGGTGTAGTCTCTGCATCGTTGTGGTCCACTCTCGTCAAGGTTTCCTTAATTCCCTTCAGTCCTGCTCAATTACTGAGACGTTTGTTTCGACAGGTTTTTCTCTGCTGTCTGTCGGCTTCTTCTTCTGCTCTGCTAATCATGTCCGACCCCGACTCATCATTGGCCTATGACCAGCCCGAATATGACTCGCAAGATCACTTGCCCGTCGAGAGTGCGCATTGGGATCACAATCGCTACGGAATTCCTCCAAACGGCCAACCAAACTGGCCGCCGGCTCAGCACGCACTACAAGATCATGCTGATTACTATGGCGCAAATAATCATCTTCCAAACCCTGGTCAGTGATGTTCAATTGTTCTGTGACTTATCGTTACTTATCATTTTGTCGTCTGCCCAACAAGCCTTTACGCGGCACCCTAATCTCTCCGTTCCTTCCCTACCCTCCCACAGTCAAAGATCAGAATATGACGACGTGCCACCACTCCCCAACTTTAATACTTCAACTCTCGTAGACAGCATGAACTCAATGCGCTTAAGCGACCCCGTACCCCGGGGGACAAGCGCGATGTCCTACAGCTCTGACCCCGTTCCTCGTGCAGGAACTTCCATGTCAATGCAATCCCTCTCCCCCGGTCAGCGCGGTCCATACCCGCCGCGACATGCGAGCACGTTGCCATCAGCGCCTAACGTGAATGTTACCCGCCCTCTACGGCTTCGACAACCAGCCGAACGTTCACACACAGTCGATGAAGCCTCACTTCACTCTAGCAGTGATCGCCATAGTGGCGGATACAGAGATGCCGCCGAGATGAGTGGCCTCTCCGTGGATACGGATTTTATGGACATGCGTAATTATGACAATCAAAGCTCTGGGGCAAGTGCATACTCTGCCTCAGAAAGTTCCGTTGCACCCTATTCTCAACCCCCGCCGTATCCACAGAGACAGTTTCAAGTTGGGCGGCAGGGTGCACAAGCTGGTTTGCCCCCCGCCTATTATCCTCCTACTCCTGGTTCTGGTCCTGGCCCTGCACACCCTAGCCCCTCTCGTCCGGATGAATATGACTACCTATATGCTGCCGCATCTGACGTCCTCGGTATGGCCCCGCCGCCGCCACAGCACCACATGCCAGTCTATCCCGCTGGTCCTGTATATGGAAGTCAAGTATCCCTTCCTGTAAGCCAATCTGCACCCTATCTTGCTCCCCCCGGTTCAGGACCCTATGGCGGTAGCGCCGGGATGTTGCCCTATGGCGGCCCACCTAATCCATCAGTGCCCCAAGGGCTGGATGACCCCGAGTTCGAGCTTCGACCCCCCTCATCGTTACAACGTTCTGCTACCTCCGCATCAGTTGATCCACGCACCAGGAAAACAAAGGCAGTTGATCTTACGGCCCCTCCGTTCACTAAGGAGTATATCGACCAGTACCGACAACGTATTAAGGCTGATCCGGACCCCGAGGCTCATTTCTTATATGCAAAATATCTCATAGATGCTGCTAAGAAGATAGGAGCGGACGCCAAGGACCAGCGGGCTGTAAAGAAGTATCGTGACTTGCTCCTCCAAGAATCTCTCAAGACCATTCGCCGATTAGCGGAGCAGAAAGAAGCTTACGATGAGGCACAGTTTTTCCTCGCCAACTGTTTTGGGACAGGTTCTCTGGGTCTTCAAGTGGACCATGAGCGCGCGTATCACTTGTACCTACAAGCCGCAAAACAAAATCACGCAGCAGCTTCATATCGCGTTGCTGTCTGTAACGAAATTGGAGCAGGCACGCGACGGGATCCCCAGCGGGCTGCTGCGTTCTATCGGAAAGCAGCATCGCTGGGTGACACTGCCGCAATGTACAAGTTGGGCATGATTCTTCTACTTGGGTCTTTGGGAGAGCAGAAGAACCCAAGAGAAGCTATCAACTGGTTGAAACGGGCTGCGGAGCAAGCCGACGAGGAAAATCCGCATGCGCTTCATGAGCTCGCCATGCTTCACGAAATGCCCAACTCGCAATTGGTTATTCACGATCCCGCGTATGCCAAGTCACTATATGAACAAGCAGCACGCCTAGGTTATACGCAGTCCCAGTACAAGCTCGGACAATGCTACGAGTACGGGACGCTGACATGCCCTGTTGATCCTAGGCGATCAATAGCGTGGTATACCAAGGCAGCAGAGAAAGGGGACGCCGAGGCTGAGCTGGCTCTCAGCGGATGGTATCTGACAGGGAGTGAGGGCGTGTTAAAACAGAGCGACTCTGAAGCGTATCTGTGGGCGCGTAAAGCTGCCAACAAGGGCTTGAGTAAAGCAGAGTATGCCGTTGGGTACTATGCTGAGGTGGGGATTGGAATCAAGCAAGACATCGAGTTCGCCAAGAGGTGGTATATGAGAGCAGCAGGTGTGTCCAAGTGTCCTATCTGCTTGTTGCTTTTGTCTCAAATTTCTGTGTAGCGCAAGGGAACAAGCGAGCAATGAATCGACTGACGGAGATGAAACGTATGGGTAATAAGCGCTCCAACGTTGGACGCCCGACGCGACAGCAAGCCAAAGACGAATGTGTTATCTGCTAATAACCCTTGATGATTACGATCAATTTCGCTGTTGTGTTTCTCCTTTTTCCTAATGGCTAGCCTTCCTTAATTATTATCATCAGTTTCTATCGGCTGATAACTTGAACACTAGTACTCTGGATATTCAAATTTTGTATCTGCTGTTGATGTTTTGCAGCCCGGCTGTGTTACTAGTTACTGAGTATGAGGGAATCCATGCCATGTGCCACACTAGACTGTCACGGTAATGCTGGCGTTCAGAATCAGTACTTGTTACTATCGACACTCTCATCATACGTTCTCATAACTATAGCTATGGCATCTTCAAAAAGCGGCATGCAAGATGTGGAAAATAATCATTTGCGCCTCAGTCCATTGCTGATTCGCTGTATTTCTAGGTTTCTCTTCTGGAGCACGTTGCCAAAGCACAGTGCTTGAATGAGCAAGACGAACACACGTTGCAATCCATACTTTCTTTGAGAGCACGAAACACATCGCCTTCATATCTTGACAGTGATGCAGATGCAGAGTTGCTATTGAACATCGAGGTATGCACTGTTCGCATCACATTGCTCTAAGCAGTGTTGACGCCAGGTCGTGGTAGTTCAACCAGGCAGTTCGTGTACGATCACTGGTCCTTCAGGCTCAGGAACGAGGACCGGAGAAACTCAGGCTTCGCATCAACTGCTCCGCTATTGACTTCACCAATTTTGAGGACTCGGAGGATACCCAAGTTATCGAGTTAAAGGCAGATCAGGTATCGAAAGAGGGAACAACAAAGTTCATTCCACTTCATCCTACAAAGTTCAACCATGTGAACTCGCTTCATGTGAGTCCTGACCATCTCATGGAAGGAACTCGACCTTAGGGCATACCAAACAGGTCCTCATCAACTCTGAACACGACAATACCAGGATCGATGTACTCGATATCTTGGGTACGCTTGTCCAGTAAGTTGTTCACATTCGGGTGTTAACTTCATGTATATTAACGTTGCCACCGTGAAGCGCAACAAAGAATCTTAGCGGACTTGCACAACAAGAAGACTAAAATATTACTGGTTTACGCTTCGCAATTTTGCGACTTTCGAGGCAATAATAGAGACTCAGTGCGTACTGAGTATGCCGCTGCACGCACCCTTCTGCAGCTAGATTCTCAAGCCTGTAATAGTACTACTACTGGTACGCTGGACTTTCATTTCCCGTCAATCTGAAGCCGCATACTCCACCTTCTTCGTTCCTCCTCGCAACCTTCGAACACCCAATTAACCTTGATTATTTCTGAAAAACCCTCCATCACTTGGGGCTCCTCGTAGTTGTCCTTGAAACCTATGAAAGCAAAGTATGGTAGGATGTCGCGTCTCAACTACTGAGGTCAGATTCGGGCAAGGGATCGTGAGGTGCCTTGAATTTACCTCTGTTGAAGGATGGACATATGCACGGTAGAGGTTGTTGTGCCACGCTAGATCGATTGAACCAATGAACACAATACACCTGACGCAAAGTGTCAGGTTCCTGTGGGCATAAGTGAGCAAAAATACTCACCGAACAGGAAGCTCGAGTTTCTTCGCAAGATCCAGGTAATACTTTCTAGTCGCGATATCTCTATTGGTATTATCTGACGGACTGTCATGTATTTGGTCAGTTCATGGAAGAACTGCTTGTGCTCACCAATTACACAGCTTGTACCGGCTTTGAGTGCCACTTCAGCCGCTTTCACGCATTTGGAACGACTGCCTAATGTATCTTGATTGATGTGGGTGTACCCAGCAGGCGCAAAATGCCTCCGAAAAAAGGATGATTTTCCGAGGCATGGAAAGCCCGAAAATACGACTAGCTCTGTCCCTGCAGTATCAGGAATTATCTGTGCAATAGGGGGGTCAAGTAACGGCACTGCTTCATGAGTCAAGTTGTGCAACACTTTTTGAGTTTCAAAGAAAGCGGCGAACACTTAGGGAGACTAGAAACATGGAAAGAAGGAAGGGTATACGGTGCCGAGGGTAGCTGGAGAAAATATTCCTGAAGAGTTTCAACATGACAAGAATACTTTCAAGCGATTGATTCTCACTTCTGGGGTAAAAAAGGAAATGCCTATGTTAAATGCCCATTTCCTATCAGTTGATGCAAAATCGTTGGTACGACCAGCAGCATCTCCAACAAAGAATGAAACCTCTTTATCTGAAAGCGACGAGCATAAGATATTCGCAATGCACCCAAAGTTCCTATGCGACTCGCCTATCTGAATACCATCTACTGCAAAAATACGTTCAAGCTCGTCCCACATCCCTGGCATAGGCTTGCGGAAGCCGTCTTTGGCAGACGCAGCAAATATTCGGAAAGGTACACTGGGAAGCTGTTCTCGTCTATGAAGGAATGCATCAGGGAAGGTATATCAGGGCTTACAGCAGCGGAGATGAGGGGAATCTTCTTCTTCCAGTCCTCCAGTCGTTGTTGCTTTAACGCTTGATTGGATACCAATATGATTGAGTATCTGCGAGAATTAAGTCGTGATCTGGCCTGGCATACTTCGGACATACCCTTCTTGATGTAATTCCTCCAACTTTACGGGTACACAAGCTCTCCACCACTCCCAGTGCAATGCAGCTTCTCTGCTTCGATTTTTGTGGTTTGACTTGATCACGGTTCCATCAAGGTCGAATGCAGCTACTTTCGGCGTGCTTTGTGGTATCAGATTGATCCCGTGGAGACACGTGCGCTTTGGACCTAGAGCAGGTTTCAGCCATTGGAATGAGGGCGCTGTAGAGCTGCTGGCGCTTGGCTTGCTGAAGAATGGGTGTACTGGAATAGCGCGTCAGATGGAAATTCACACATAGCGACTTTGGCTCACTCTTGGCTAATTTTCGAGCACCCGACATGGAGCTACTGTTATCAGACTCGTTACCTAGATCTGAAATGTCTCGCTTTCTCGATTCTGCAGTAAGTTGATGAGCAAACAAGGTACAGGGGTCGTTGCTCTCGATTCGAGGGCTGGGGCTTGAACGAAGTAGAGTAGAACAAATTGACACAAACCTGGTTGCTGCATTCGCCCCGAATCTGACATACCCTTCGGAACTGTTGACATGTCGTACAGTTCCAGACTGCCAGTAAGTATTCTATGTCGCTGCGTCACGGTGAACCCACCTGGTTACCCAATAAGTCGGGATATTTGCGCAATTTTATGATTAGCTAATGTAAATCCTGTAATTAATTAATGACCAGGCTGCTCAATTCTAAAAAGTCGTTGTCACACTGCGGCGGTTTCTGAGTTTTGCCTTGGGCAAGATTTCAATCAAAATGAAAATAATACTAATAATACAAGCGTTCATTTTAGTGGTTTTGCAGATAGTATATCATTCGACAGTTTTAGTAAAAGAAAGGAAGCAAGGAGTTAAGTTGTCAAGGAAAACTGCAACTGAACTGACTGTGTTACATATCCACAAACGCGATGCCAAGGTATATCAGCCATTTCATGGCGTTGCAGCGTGTAGCTCAGCATGCTCATACCTCCGAGTCATGCTGCCGGCAATCAGTCAGCAAAGCAATAAAAACGTAAGCACAACGATGCCCATCGTCTGAGATGAAGCACCAATAGCCTTTCTTGAAGAGCAGTATAGATCACGCATGGTATTCACGCGGAAAATCCCTGCAACGAACATCATGTTTTTACCGTGGATTCTCCAACATTTAAGGATATCTGGTTCTAAGTGAGCGCAAAGGGTCTGCAAGGAAGCGTCGGATGAGTTCTTAGCTCAATGAAAAGGAATGGAATGTAACGCGCCTAATACCCTGTAGCTAGTCAAACTGCCTGCTAATGATGTGCCTCCTTTGCAATCTGAGCACCGTATGGGTTTTTAGGATCCTTAGCGTACGTCTCCGCTGCAACACCCTTTCATGATAGGTCAAGGTAGAGAAACCATATGACGTACCACGAACACCCATCTCCTGCATCTTGGAGACGAGGTAAAAAGTGACTACGCTTGCTGCAAGGAAGGGCGCCATGGGCCTCAACACCTGTTAACACGGTCAGTTAGCCGAAGAGCACTTATAACACGAGAAATGGAACATGCAGGAGTGGACCACTTGCGAAGACCGAGAAATGCCATGAGTGTGATCTAGCTCGAGGTTATTTCAAGTAGAAAACAAATGAGTCCAAACTCACTGGTAAGGCTGGAAGTAGGAGTGAACGACGTGCTGAACAGGACGAAACCGGGAACAGACATATCACGCGCATTCGGAAGTCATTTCTCACGGGCGTGTACAGATCAATACATATTACAACCTAGTGCAACTAACGCTCGAGCTCACAGTCTGTCGCGTCGTCTAGGTCATCATGGCAGCAGAGGCACCATGTTACACAGTCGTGTTCGAAGATACTACAGAGAGCCCATCTACACAGGAGCTTAGGGCGTCTCTCGAGAAAGGTACAGATGAAGAGAGACTGGACACGTTGCGCAGGATCATTGTGTCAACGATTAATGGGAACCCTCAGGTATGCTCCCTGATCTTTCTTGCAGGGCACGCGATGCTGATGCAATGATGATGGACTAGCCCACGCTCTTGATGCCCATTATACAGTACATTATGCCCTCCAGAAACAAGCAGCTCAAAAAGTTGCTTCACTTCTACTGGGAGGTGTGTCCCAAGTATGATGAGAACGGGAAGCTCAAGCAGGAGATGATTCTCGTTGTGTACGTGAATTCATTCATCTCTTACTGCGCACATACTCACTGCCTTGCCAGAAATGCCATCCGGAATGACCTGGTAAGACTATTCCCCACATTCCTGACATATCGTTCTTCATACCCCATCCCTACAGCAACACCCTAACGAATATATCCGCGGCGCTACTCTACGTTTCCTTCAGAAAATATCCAAAGATGCTGAACTCCTCGAACCCCTCATCCCCACCTGCCGCAGCTGTCTTGAGCACCGTCACTCATATGTCCGCAAGAACGCCGTATTCGCCGTGTACACTATCTATCGCGAATACGAGCACCTTATCCCAGATGCCCCTGAGCTCATGCAGACTTTCATCGCTGCAGAGTCTGACGCAACGTGCAAGCGTAACGCGTTTGTGTTCCTCGCGCACTGTGCGATGCCAAAGGCTGTCGAGTGGTTGATTAGCGTGTATGATCAGCTGACAAGTCTAGATGAGCTCTTGCAAATGAGCATCATAGAAGTTATCAGGCTGGATTGCAAGAATGATACGACGCATCGAGTAAGTCCTCTTCACTTGGGATATCTTGCTTCTCCTCACGCTTGTCGTCTTGTAGCCACGATACATAAGATGCATGTTTGAATTGTTGAATTCATCGTCGCATGCAGTAAAGTATGAAGCTGCTACGACGCTCACCACACTCACGCAGAACCCCGCTGCTGTGAAAGGTACATTCACGATTAGGTCCTGTGCGCATGTCTGCTTACTTTAATTATTAGCGGCCGCATCGTGCTTCGTGAATCTGGTCGTCAAAGAATCTGACAATAATGTTAAGCTAATCGTCCTGGATCGCTTGGACACCCTACGCTCTAAGCATGGGCATATTCTGGATGGATTGACCATGGACATCTTGCAGGTCTTGTCGAGGTATGAACATCGATCGAGTACTACTTGAAGACAGCTACTGAGTCCTATTTTATCAGCGCCGACATGGAGGTCCGAAGGAAAGCCATGAGCATCGTACTCAGCATGACCTCGAGTCGGAACGTCGAGGAGGTTGTTCTCTTCCTCAAGAAACAGCTACAACGGACACAAGAGCGCGAGTTCGAGAAGGTTGGTCTCGCAGTTCTTCACGTTACTGTGGACTAATTCTGGGATAGGCCACGGAGTACAGGCAACTTCTCATCCAGTCGATCCACGTATTAGCGGTCAAGTTTTCTGAGGTAGCTGCAAGCGTTGTCCACGCACTCATGGAATTCCTCGGAGACTCGAACAATCCCTCTGCGCTGGACGTCGTCGCCTTCGTCCGGTTTGTTTTTTTTCCTTTATTTTCCACATCTTATATGACTAACGTACTCACAGCGAAGTGGTCGAGAAGTTTCCGCACCTCCGGCAGTCCATATGCGACAAGCTTACTCAAACTCTGACAGAGATCAAATCTGGCAAAGCTTTCCGCGGCGTCCTCTGGATTCTGGGCGAGTATGTTGAAAACCTGTCAGACATCCAGGCCACATTCCAGGATATCCGCAAAGTGCTTGGTGAGATCCCGATTCTTGCGAGCGAGCAGCGGTTATTGGACGAAGCTGGCGGAGAGGAGGATAAGAAGGAGGATAAGAAGGTCGAGGGAAGCGGGCGGCCAAAGGTGCTTGCTGACGGAACGTATGCGACGGAGACGGCGTACACCAGCACCAACTCAGCGAGATTAGAGGCTGTCAAGGCTGCGTCCAAACCACCATTGAGAGGTACGTGGTATGCCCGTTCATGTCGTTTGGAGTTCTTAAGGATGTGATTTCAGCCCTCATATTGGGAGGCGACTTTTTCACTGGTTCAGTACTCGCCTCGACGTTGACGAAGCTCGTGTTGCGATTTGACGAGCTTACGAACGATCGTCCAAAGGCCAATTCTCTCCGCGCGGAGGTGCGTACTACTGTTTTAATATTTCTATAGTGTTCACCGACGCACACCCAGTCCATGCTGATCATGACATCCATTATCCGAGTCGGGCAGTCGAAGTTCGTCACGGTACCGATCGATGAGGATTCCAACGAGCGCATTCTCAACTGCATACAAACCCTGAGCGAGCTCCAAGAAAAATCCATCGTCCACGATATTTTCCTGAAGGACACGAAAGCGGCATATACTAAGATGCTCGTCGCTCAAGAGGTGGGCACTTAGTCTCCTTCAAGTCGTGATATCACTGATGTGCCAACAGAAAAATGCAGCGGAGAAGAAAGAATCGGAAAGCACACAGGAAAGTATCGTGCAGGTGGATGACTTGCTCACGTTCAGGCAGTTCTCGAAGAAATCGGCAGATGATCCCATCGATGTAAGCTTTTGACATTGGTTGATTAAACGCCGCTCATTTTTTCCAGTATGTCGAGGACTTAGGGAAGGCAACGGGAGCTGCTGAAGTCCGGGAAGACTTCATATCCAACCTCAGTCGCATATCCCAGCTCACAGGTACGTCTTGTCGTGCCGCGATCATCTCGGCTTTCAGGGTTCATCGTTTTCAGGTTTTTCGGACCCCATATATGCGGAAGCATACGTCAAGATGCATGGATTCGACATTATGCTTGGTGTGTATACTTCCTTAGATTAGCTATGTTATTGGTGACACCCATTGGCGGTACTCAGATGTGCTTCTCGTCAACCAGACGGCTAATACGCTACAGAATCTTTGTCTTGACTTCGCAACGCTCGGTGACCTGAAGTTGGTCGAACGACCTGGTGTCTATACCATAGCGCCTCACGGCTTCCAGAGTATCAAAGCCACAATCAAGGTAATAGCAGAAGACGCACCGCCGCTCATCCATGTTAATTATGTATTGTAGGTCTCGTCCACAGAAACTGGTGTCATATTTGGCAGCATCCTATGGGAAGGCCCTGCCCTTGCTGAATGCTGCGTCATCTTGAATGACATCCACATCGACATCATGGACTACATCAAGCCTGCATACTGCACTGAAACACAGGTATGTCTTAATTGCCAGCTGTGGCTGTCTAGACATTCACTGGCTGCCTTCCTTCAAGTTCCGAAGCATGTGGACAGAGTTTGAGTGGGAGAACAGGGTGAACGTGTCGACGAACATGACGTATGTCTCCCTGGCTCTCGTCTCTAGTCCACTCCCTAGTTAACGCACTCGCGCAGGAACCCTCGCGACTACTTAATGCACGTCATGAAGTCTACGAACATGTCTTGTCTCACGCCAGAAGGAGCCATGTCGGGTGATTGCGATTTCCTATCTGCCAACATGTATGCTCGAAGTTTGTTCGGTGAGTTGTTCTCCATATTTTAGTGTCAGCGCAGGTCTTATTGGGAGGACACAGGCGAGGATGCTCTAGCCAATCTTAGCATTGAAAAGACGGAGGCTGGGATCGTCGGCCACGTTCGTATTCGGAGCAAAACGCAGGGTATCGCTTTATCGCTGGGGGACCGTATTACAATGTGTGAGTGTGTCCAATGTGTCTGAAGGGGGCGTGTAATGACGACTCATGGTTGTGTATTTGTAGCTCAAAAGGATAGCAAGCCATCAATATAGAGCGCGTGGACATGGAGCATGTTGCTGAATTGTATACGTAGGTGTTCGTGCAATGTTGGTACAGTGGACCTTGTAATCGTTCGAGATACTTGAGAAGGAAACGCGTGCGCTGGGAATGCTTACGGCAAAGTCATGTTTAAATGATCAGATGCTTTCGGACGGATGATCCTTGTCAGGCTGCCTTTTGCTTCACGTCCTTCAAGTTTACGACTTGACGACAGTTAGTTCAAATATGAAGAGTGCTTACAGGTAGTTTCCCGCACGCAGACAGCCAGTGGCTAGGCTGTTCCAGGAATCTTACTCCCTAGCTGATGGAATCATACTGGACATCCGCTGGTGAGTGACGCGATAATATATTGACGGAGACGCTCAGCACAGGGACTTTGCTATATCATTTACCTCGATGGTATTACGTTTTCGGGTCTCTTTTCCCAGCAATGCCCATAAGTCATCTATCTCACTTCAACTTTTCTACCCTCCCAGTCTTCCAGCAACCTAACCTCGACAAGCTTGTCCAGGTTTTTGACCAGAATGGAGGCTACGTTAATTAATCGTAGGACTTCCTCTGGTGCCGTCGGAACTCCCCCTGCTTTGTGTAGGACACATATCTCGCGCTGAGCATTCATCGCTATGCTCATCAAACCTGCACTCAGCCTCTGCTCAAGCAAAGATGGGTCCACCACGGGTCGCGTCAATGCATCCGGGAAGAAAGCGAACGTCACACAAAATGGGGTGTGATGTATTGCAAGTGAGATGGGTGCGCGTTCGGATGGTGAGTGCTGTTAGAGAAAAGTCAACAATATGAACAGTAAAGTCACGTCAATACGCACGACGATAATTTCGTCTCCAATGACTTCCACTTCAGGTTTTCTGAAGTGCTTAAACGCTACTATGCCAGCGAGACATGAACAGTCGAGTATGTTACCGGCATCAGCGAGAACATGAACCGTCAATCGCAACTGCCAGACCTGAAATTTTTGTCGTTGAACTCATTCAGCAGTCATCTTACTAGCTAGACAAGGACTCGACCTACACGTTGACCTGCCAATATGCACAGAGATTCCTTGTCAATAGCGTCACTTCTTCGGAGGACTTTGTCCAACATGCGGGTAAGGGTGACCTCTTCTTCTGAAGGCCTATTGTAATTTCTGCTTTTGGCAAAAGAAAGCATACGTAGATGTCACGCACCTACCGACCAGGTTCATAGTCTGGAGACGCCATAGGAGAGATTTCAGAGTGTATTGTAATAATGCCTTCAAAGGGTCGTTCTGGCAGCGGTTTGACCATTTTAGCGTCTAATTGTGCGATTACACTGGGACTTGTCTTGTAGTTGATAACACGCACGAATCCTGATTAATGCTCACCGTGTTTTACCCATGGCGCATTCTACCCAGCCCAATTCAGGGCCAAAAGTTAAGGTCGGCACTCGGAGATCAAGCATGTCGCGACCATCTAGTCGCAGAGATTGCTTCAGAGCATCATAGAGAAACTTCTTCTCGGGAATTGATGGCGAGGGTGGACGCATGAAAGCACGAGAGTAATTGAAGTGTGTATGGAGAAACTCAGTGGCTCGTGACAGAAACTGAGATCAAACTTTTGACCTAAATCGATCTTGTCCTTTCGTCACTGTTCTTCGTAGCGGTCATGGTCCGGCTGATCACCCACAATTTACTTGCATGCCACGTTAAAGGATGCACTACAAATAATTTTCCACTCGTATTCCAAGATGTCCAAGTCGAACTTCAAAAGGCGGAATTCAACCCAGACTTCATCCGGAATATGTTGTCTCGATTGGAATGGACTGCGCTGGTAAATGCTGCGAAGCAGGTGCGTGCAAATCATCTGCATAACAGGTCATAGCGAGTGAATCATTGTATGTTAAGGTCGGAGACACATCGCTGCCTCTAGAAGAGCCAGACATGATGGACGACGAGCTACTTCTGAAACTTCATCACGTTTTGATGGAGGTACTCAGGTATCTTGATTACTTCTCCAAATCTGTGTTGACTTTTTCCTAGATTCACGTTACTGATGGTGCGATGGTCTGTCAAAATTGTAGCCATGTATACCCCATATCTAACGGGATCCCAAACATGGTGAGCTACAACATGTCTTGAGACTCTCAACTGAAATTCTGTGTAGTTATTGGCCGAGCACGAAATTGGCTAAATCCTGAATAAAAAAATTGTAGTTGCCCTGAGATCTTGCTGAGTGAAATGAGGCCCTAACCGTTGGACTCCTCTTGAACTCAGCGCTCAGCATCTATACATCTACCGTGACCTTCAGGAGAAGGGCGCAGCCTTTATGATAAGTTACTTCTAGACCTTGATAACATTGATGCGGTCTCTTAGTTTGTGTGAACACTAGTGTAAGTCGATTGACTGTTACTGTTATACACGTGTGCACTTGTGGATCACATGGGTGGATCACATGGAAGCTAGAACGTGGATGCTACATCTTGTCCCGAAAACCTTTGCTTCCCGCAATCATCAGGCCTCATCGTTTCGGTTTGAGTCCCTCTTCGTTGTTCGAAGGTTCGGCGCTTCTTAAATATTATGGAGCCCTTTGATCCGACTACGCATCCACACAGACGATGTAAGTCCTCTTATTGATCACCGTAAGATGACCTCAGCGACACAAATGACTATGATGCGGTCACAGATAATCCATTGACTAACACACACGTTCTCGTCTCACCTCATCGCACCAAGCGTCCTTGGCTAGGCCAGACTGAACCCGCTGAGCCATCAAACCTCCCCCAGTACGATCCCGTATGTTACTTGTGTCCCGGGAACACTCGGGCGGGCGGTAAGGTCAACGAAGTGTACACTTCTACCATAGTGTTCGAGAATGATTACCCTGCCGTTCTTCCAACCCCTGGACCTGTTACACCTCTAGCTGCACATCCACTCCTAACTGCCGAGCCAATTCAGGGCGGATGCGATGTTGTATGCTTCCATCCACGGCACGACCTTAGTCTACCGACCCTATCTCTGTCGGACGTAGAGAATATCGTGGATGAGTGGACTCGTGTTTACATGAGGAGGGGGACTGAACCTGGCATTGAATATGTGCAGATATTTGAAGTATTCGACTTTGAACAGATCATCCTGCAAGCCCTCATTTCATAACAGAACAAGGGAGCAATGATGGGGTGTTCCAACCCGCATCCTCACAGCCAAGTTTGGTCCCTTTCCACTGTGCCCACCCTCCCCGCGAAGGAACTTGCTTCTCTGCACAACTATGCCTCTACCGCCCACGTACGCTCTGGCGTTCCAACTGGGCCTGGCGGGCGGGCCTGCCTATTATGCGAGTATGTGAATCACGAGCTGTCTCTTCCAGAAAACGAAGGGCGCATAGTCCTCACGAATGAGCATTTCGTTGCGCTCGTGCCGTGGTGGGCGTATTGGCCCTTCGAAATCATGGGTGTGTTACTTACTTGTCGCAATACTGGCTCTGAACCCGATATCGCAGTGCTCTCTCACAAACGACACATTTCGTCCCTTGTGCATCTTACAGTCGATGAGAAGCACGCATTTGCAGACATCATGTCGCGCGTGACGAAGCGCTACGATAACATATTCTCCTGCTCGTTTGCATATGCGATGGGCATTCATCAACGACCCCTTCCCCCACCTCGCGATGATGATGGGATATATGTACAAGATGCAGACGATATTGCACATCTGCATGTGCACTTTGAGCCCCCACTCCTACGGAGTGCTAGCGTGCGCAAATTTTTGGCAGGGTGAGTTCCGCCACAAGCTGTTGGCTTTGTCAACACACTAATATTATTTAAAGATTTGAAGTCATGGCAGAACCACAGAGAGATCTTACTGCAGAGCAAGCTGCCAGGACACTGAGAAATTGTTCTGAAGTCCACTACCTCCATGCCACTGCAGAGCAGTGACATGATAACTCCCCGATGGACAGATCACTTCTCGTCACTCGGTCGCAAACCGCCACTGGCATTTGATTTAAGTAAACCTCATGCACGTATCAAACGCATCAATTTTTTGCTTGCTCCTTCGTATGAACTCGAGCTAAGTAGAAGGTATTAGTTCGGCTTCTTGCCTGTACATCATGATTCTGTTGTCAATCTCAGGCTTATAATGAATACCTTTTCAGCCCTCATATATATCAGTTGTTCGTGCACTACAGCCCAACGAACGTAAGAACAGGTGCAGTAATTTCGATCACGCATGTCACGTGATTTCATACGCGACGCGTAACACTGCAGTGAAACTAATGTTTTGGCTGGGAGGGGTAGTGAAGAATAGCGATCTTCACATGGTGTGATAATCAGGTCACAGTAAAAAAAGCCTTGATGCAGTCTCAGATTCGCAAAGCAGTGTGTTTCGGAGTGACAGATCATTAGGCAAGCAACTCATCAAGAAAATCTTCCATCTCCACTTTGGGTGCCTTTGGTGCATCAGTGGGAAGCGCTGGGGCCTCAGAGTAGTTGTCATCTGGCCGATGCGTGAAACAAAACGTCAGCGAGATAATGTGCGTTGAAGAGAATACTCTACCTTGTTTTCTATCGCGTGCAAATAGAGGTTTCGCTTTAAGTTTCTCCGACTTTGCACGGAATCGAGCCTTCAGATCTATCAACCATGATCAGTCTTCTATACACCTACTATCGTCAGTTGCAAATCACCTCGACTTGCATCTGCGGCAGCCTTCTCGCGACTCATCTCCTCCAGTTCTGCATCCCACTCAATCGCCTGTACGCGTCCCTTCTGAGAAGTCGGAGGTGGAATACGATGAGACGAAATATGTGCGAGTTCATGGTCAATATCATCATCATCGACTTGAGGCAGTGCCACTACAGTCGTCTCCGACACGTCCGATAACCGCTGTCTCGCCAGAAACGACGAAAGGTCAATCTCCGGTTCACGAATCTCCTCTCCTACTTAAAGTCTCAAAAAAACACGCTGAACACATTTTCCACTTCATCACTCACCGTCAGAATCCAACTCGGGCTCGAGCTCCGCATAACGATCGGCATTAGATCCAAGTTGTCGTCGTGCGTACTTCTTCTGCAGCTCTTTCGCCTCTTCAGAATCAGGGTCGAGATCGACCACTTCTTCGTCCTCCAGTACGAGGCGCTTGTGAAATTCCGCTGGACGGCCGCCTCGACCACGGCCTCGTGCACGGAGGTACTTGCCTAGTCCACCTCGGGACTTTCCACGACCTCTGCCACGAGGATGCGATGGTTCGGAGGTTAATGTAGATGGAGAATTCGATTCTGACATGTTACATTAATACAACAAGAAGTGTTCAAATGGCACGATAACTTGACATCTGCACATCTGCTGTTGAACATATTTTCAGGATAATTATTGTAGACGGGTATGCACAGCCGCATGCGAGTGATTGGGGGTCTGGCAGCTGGGGAAGAGCCAAACAATTGACTTTTTAGTCTCCAGCTGATCACTCTCGCGAAGCTGATCATTCCCGCTTTCCATATGATACTCCTTACAAGGAAAGAACCACCTCTATTACTGTACACGCAATGGAGCCTCACCAAGGACAGAAATTGTCTCCATTCTCCGTACCATACAATAATTGACCCGACAACATTGATAGACCGAGGACGTGCACGTGTGTCCATAGCAATACCTGATGGCTCTGCCGGTGTCATATAACTCATATTATCCGTTTGACATATCTTCCCTTGCCACTCCTACGTGAGGTCATGAGTTCCAAAGAGTCTACCAGAGAATATGAGTGTTAGCCTACCGTACTTCACTCTCAACCTCTCCCAATTTCTGTGCATACATCTCTGCGGCACGTCGGTTGATGTCAGATGTCTCTTGTGTGTCAGGGAATCCAATATCCCAGTAGCCAGGTGGTGTCTTGGCACGATACCAATGGTGTCGATGTCGTGATATCCTTTTCTTGTGGTGCTCGATGTCTTCGCAGTTTTCTTTGCGGTCTGAGAGACTGTCAAAGGAAAACCGGCGTTTCTTGGTAGGTGTTGAAGATGGCGAACGCCAAAGCGGTTGCTGGAGAGGCTTGGGCAGCTGTCCAACAGCTTCATAGTACTGTTTAACACACACGGAGATTGAGTTGACAATGACCTTCTCGAAAAATGAATTACGCACACCACGACAACATTCACAATCGTCAGCAAGCATCTTTTTTCGCTCGTCGCGGCTCTTGACCACTTCATCATACTGGTAGTTTACGCCGTGATTGCGTTCCTCGCATATAGTGAAGCGTGAATTGATAGTGGTCGCATCACTAGTTTTGAATCAGGGTGAGTCAGTATGCATGGTCTTGCGGGGACTTACGTAGCTTGAGCGTATCGCCCGCGTCTCTTGTGCAGATCCCGACATGAGTTGTTACTCTGTAACACAGATGTGCCTGCATTTAGATTGGTACATGTTACCCAATTATGTGAATCGGCAGGAACGCACCGGCCGATATGTCTTCGTTGAGGATATCTTTGCCAATAGAGTGTCCGTGTAACGGGAGTTTGATTGCAGTGGCGGGCTGCTCCTCAACTTTGGCTGAAACAGTTTCTCCACGCGTAGCGTAGACAGTCGATGATACTTCCTGCTGCTTGTCCAAAGCATCAGGAACTGATCCGAGATCAGCCGAGTCAAACGACGCGTGAACACCTGAGTACGTACGTGTCTTGGACTCGATATGCTCCTCTGAGTTGTCAAACGCACATAAGTCCGGACCTATTTCGTCAAATTTGCGTCGTTTGTCGATGCCAGAGACTCTCCGATATGCGTCATAGTTTGTGTCCTTCAGTAATGGATGTAGCCCTTTGTCACAATCAGAGCTCTCGCAAAGCCAATGTTTGAAGGATCGCCACTTTTTGTAGTCGGCCTTGTACCTCGTAGCGGCGCGCTCTTTGGTAGCAAGTAGAGCGTCGTACCGGTGTTGGAGGTGTGAAAGTTCGAGCTGTAGAGAAGATATCTTCAACAACAAAGTGGACGTGTCGTTGGTGTTTGATGCAGACATTTAAACAGTTTGGTGCATTCAGGGTGCACCTGCCAGGTGCACTTGCTGAGTATTGTGCATTCCCAAACTTGTCAATGTGTTACATAATCGAGTGTGTTTAAGCTTGGCTTGTTTGGGTTACTAAGTAGTGGCCAGAGCCGCTGCCAGACCATATAGAAGGAACTTCAAGGAAGACAGTCGTTCCTTTTTGATCATCTATAGCTAATCCCGTTGTAATAACTTAAAGGTTGGGCCGCAGACCAGGAAACAACTGCCAGCTGGGCTAGCTATAGCCTGAGGGGTATGGTTGAATTTTGAAAAGTTGATGTTTATAAACTCAGCTGTAAAGGGGAAAATCCGTATGTTCTCTGTTAGACTTGTGCGCTCTCATCCACCGTCGTCTATCTTCGGGCCTGCGATCCTTGGGCATAATCTGAACCCTTTCTCTACCATGCCAGCCGCTAAAGTCATTAGTGAGGAGCTTTTAGATAACAAAGACGCAAAGTGAGAACGTTGTTCGTGTAGGTCAACCACTAATATATGCATAGGTGGATCCGTCTCAAGAAGATCCACTACGCTGATCAAGATGGCAAGCACGTATGTTTTTATTCTCTCTGGGGCTGAATGACATTGCTTCATTAATTGTTAAGAGACTCTGGGAATCTGCCGAGCGAACAACCCGCAAAGATTCTGGAATAGATGGTGGGCAGAGTCATGGTTTATCCTCACATAACTGTACAAACGCCCGCCCTGTACAGGCGTCGCTGTCCTTGCTGTCCTTCGCTCTAAGACCAAGTCTTTCCCCCTCTCGACAGTCATTATAGAGCAATACCGTCCTCCTCTCGACAACATCGTCATTGGCATGATTTACTTCCTTGTTTTCATCATCTCATACGCTGATTGCTTTCTTCTGTTTCCATGATCTATCGTAGAACTACCTGCTGGCCTCGTCGATGCAGGTGAAACAGCTGAGGCAGCTGCCATTCGAGAGCTGAGGGAGGAGACAGGATACGAGGCCGATATGACCACCGAACCTGAGTCTTCGCCGATCGTCGTCAGCGACCCAGGTCTGCACATTCCCTCAAAAACAAATGGTACATCATGATATCTAAGACATTCTTAGGAATGACCAATGCCAACATGAAACTCGTAGTAGTAAGTGTCCTCCTGGAAGATCAACTCGAAACACCTACCCCGCACCTTGATGATGGCGAACATATTGTTACCCGTGTCGTAGAGCTAGATAAACTTGATGCTGAGCTCAAAGGTGTGTCCAATCATCCAGCCCACTTCGATGGAATGTGTTCCTAATCTTGAAATATTCAAGCATACGACAAGAAGGTGACACCCTAAGCCGAAGAAGTACTGATCTTTGCTGACCCCAACACCTAGGGCTTTGCAGTAGATGCCAGGCTCTCTCACTTCGCTGCTGGCTATGCAATGGCGAAGAGGATATGTAGTGGCGCATTTCCCTGAGAATGGTGTTCTGACGAACTTGGTCTCCTCAAATGATAAAATGATAGAGAAACTTAGTATTTCCAGCCTTCAGCCTAGCAACATGTAGAACACTTGAGTACTATAGCTAGTGATACGATTTTTTTGCACGTTCGATGTGTGCCCTCAACTTCTGCTGCTTCTCCCTCAATGACGCCTTCTTCTTTCCCCGTACCGCACCACTGCTCAATATCATCATGATCGGTTTGTTTCTTGCCTTCTCGCGATTTGTGGAGCTGCTCGGCGTCTCTTTCTTTTTCTTACCCTTCAGAGAACCAAACTTTTCCCGCCCTTCACGGCCCTTTTCTATACTCGCAATGCGTTCCGCATAGTCAGCTTTAGCCTTTTTACGCGGACCAAGAATATCGTTCTCAGAAATGAATGCGCCATCGGATGGCCCAGATTGCATAGCCTTCTTGTTAGCTTCCAGGGTCGCCAGCTTCCGTTTTGCCCTGGAACCACCACCTGATTCGATGGCTTTTGTGGCAGCCTGTATGCGCAGGTCATTCAGTAATGCAAAGTCTGCCGGCGTAAGAATCTGTGATACATGTCAGAACGTTGCATGAAGGGTATAAGGAAGGATAATTCACTTTAGTTGTTGCTAAGGTTGAGATTCGATCAGAATTTGCATCGGTCCCCGGTTCTTTCTCCCCAAGCGGTTTGGGAGCTGACTCCTGCTCGTCCTCACTATCACTAACTTCCACATTGTCTTCACCTTCTGAGTCGACCTCTATCCACCCTTCCGACTCGGATTCCGAATCTGAATCGGTTTCGACATCCCAGCCCTCCCAAGCAGCCGCGTTATCGCCATCGTCCTCACCATCGTCATCGGCACCACCAATCTCCTCTTCGCGAAGTTTCTGCAGATGGTCTTCCAGAAGCTGTCGAGTAGTTCAGATATATTCTTTGACTGAATGAAAATGTCCGGATTACCATTAATCCATCAATGTCGACTGCAGCATCCGCGCTGTGTCCAAATGGCAGTGGTTGACCACCTTTGCTCATACCTATACTAGCATCTTTTCCCTGCAAATACACTTAACGTTGGCACTGCAGATTTGAGAAGGAAATCGCTCACTCTCTCCCGGCGTTTGAGCATACCAGGGTTCACCTCGCGGTACAACTGTAACAGTCCTCTTGCAGCAGCTGTAACCGCCTTGTCTCGACTTCTCCTGTACTCTACAAGATCACCCAACAAATCTTCCTCCATTGCCCAAGGTTGTCTTCTACAAACCTCCCTGATCGAGTTGATTCCAGCAGCAATTACCTCGCTTCCCACTCCAGGATGCACGAATTCGGCTGCAAGCTTCTGCACGACTGGGGTCAAGGCATCTGGCGGCGTAAGATCGTGAACAGACTGCGCCAGCGCAACGAGGATTGATGGGACGCGAAGCTGGTGGTAGGCGAGGTATTTGACAATGTAGGTATAGAAGCTCAGGACGCAAAGTTTATGAGCACCCATGACTCGCGAGAGGAGCTGCATGATGAGAATTTTATGTTCAAGTGAGAAACGTTTGTCGTAGCGGCTTAGGTTGTCATAAAGCTTCTCGGCAAACGTCTGCGGGTCATTGAGAAGCTGGAGTGCCGGAAAATTCGGTGTCGTGGGGGCATTTTTGCTATACTTTTTCTGCATACGAATTAGCAATGAGATGTTAGAAAAGTATTCATGAATAAGCGGGTACCTTCTTTGCAGCATTGAGTTGTTTCTGTAGCTTTTTATCGCCGCCCCGTCTCTTTTTGTTGACTTCGCGACGATGGTGAAGGGCTCTGACGTCGGGACCCTAAAACAACGATGAGTAATATTTTGGCTAAGTAGACATTACATACTTCGTCCTCTTCATTGTCGCTGTCATCCTTTTCATCGTCACTTCCTAAAAAGAAGTGAATGGAAGCACTCTGTACTTTCATCACGGGATGGAAGCATCCTAACGCAACGATAGACACAGGCTTGGCGTCAGTCCTATTGAGGGACGAAAGTCATGTCTATCCAGCTGCATCAGTCAAGGATTGCGTACCATATTCCCTTTCGCCACAACTCCTTAGTCAATATCACCGACCACATAGCATCTTCCCCATTATTGGCGGTTTTATCACTCGTAGGGCCTGCTGATCTGAGCTTTCCCTTGTCCCCAGCAACTTCGGCATCCATTCCCCGTTCGACCATGGTGAAAAGCATGGCTTGCACAGCACGATTAAGTTTGTGATTTTTGGTGCGGAGGTTGGCAGTGCGAATGTCGGAGAGGATAGTTTTGCGGATAAATGCTCGTAAAGTAGAGGAGGTTGTGCGAGGGAGGAGGGGAAAGAGGGACTTGAGGAGTCTAGATCGAAAGTTTATTTAGAGGACGGAATGCATCAAGACACTTACTCGATAGATGTGATGACATCCTTGTTGCGCAACATAACAAGGTTCTGAACGAGATTTTTTCTGGTATCGGGCGTGAGGGTACCATAGTTGTCTAGGAGAAGGGTAGATAGATGTAATGGAAAGTCTTTAGTTTCCTTGGGGTAACATTGTGCGACCTGAAATCGCAACGTCGTCAAGCAGTTAGACTGTGTGATATCTTCAAAGACGCACTTGAGATATGAACGAGACAAGTTCACGAAAATGCTGAGCCTGTTCATCAGGATTTATTCGAAATATCTGTCTGATGCTGTCATAGTGGTTCCACTGCTGAAGGAACTCCTCCTTGTACGCTGCTGGGTCACGTTTGATGAGGTTTTGCAGCTGAGGGAGATTTGAGGTGAGAAGGACACCGCGACCACCCATTTTACAGTAGACAGTTAGATTGAGCGGCGACGGTAGATGGTCGGGCTCGTAACAGGAGTTTTACTTGAGGAGTCGATGTCCTGAAATCGAGAATATTTGCGGCTTACATAATCAGTAATACAGATATCAATCATGTGATGCTTAGTACAACACTGGTAAGTCATCCAAGCAAAAAGTAGACTACGATGCCCCATTGAAACTAAAAGCATCACGCAAATCAGAAATCCGAGCTTGAATTTTGGAGCTGTATTGATTCGTCACTTCGATGCTATCTGACGTAGCGTTGTCACTCGACCTCACCTCGAAGCTGTTGTTGATGTAGCATCCGAGTAGGCACTCCAAAAAGACTTGCCAAAAATTGCTGCTTTCTCCCGTGATTTTGGTTCGTCCGAGTTTGTGATGCACTCTTGGAATGACGCGCGATCTAGTAGCATAAGTATAATTATCCATCGATCGAGCCTCACTCGTTTTAGATACCCACCTTCTATGTCCATGAGCGATAGAAAATGGATTGTTTCGGTGGCGAGCACATCATTTTCACGAAGGATGTGTTCTTTTGCGAGCTGTGAATGGAAATAAGCCAGTGACTTTGTTCCACAGAACCGCCCTCACCTTTTCCCCTCACTGCCATCATTGCCGTGAGACGCACCTGACTGTGATCTTGCGGCGGCTCGGCTGCAATTGTCGGTCTCATGTCCACAGCGTCCTTGACTGGTTCGAAGTCAGACACAGGGTCAACTTCGTCGTCGTCTTGGTACAACGGCATGTACGCCGACACAGCCTTCGTCTTCCCTTTGGCTTTTGCAGAAGCCTTGGAAGAAACCATATTCTTCGCAACTGAGCGTGATGATCCAACGCTGGGGCCATTATCCCTGAATGTCAGTTCGACAGGGAGGTTGCCGCTGAGGCACGCATCTGCTTGCGGCCCAATCTTTAGATCGAATTGTAACATCAGGTCACCGAAACAACGAAAACTGAACTTTAAATACCTTCAGGTAATCATTGGTCCAGCCAGACGCAGAGGCCTCTCGTGCAATCGCAAAAATATCAGCACCCATCATCGCGCTTATGATACGGTCTCCATCGACAGCCTTGCCCACCCCAAACAATGACAATTGGTCATGCCCACTCTCACGAACCTTCGCCCTATTCCGGCCCGCGTATACATCTTTGAAATGTCCGGGGGCGATCCTATCCATGGAAGCTGCCATCTGTTCAAATAATCTAATAGCTTGTTGGGCCTCCAAGGTATACAGCTGGCGAACAACTGTTCCACCTCTCGAACAGCTATCACACCCTTTCGGACACAAATGCGAGTCGAAACGCTCGTTGAAATGAGCAAGAATGAGCGATCGTCGACAGTCGACCTCGTTACGGCAGTACTGGACCACGGCCGACAGGTCTTCCAGTTGCCGTTTCTTCTCCTCTGGAGTGCGAGCCGGCCCTTTCTCGTTGCGGTCGTTGTTAATCAGGTGTTGTCGCGACACAGCGTCCTTGAATGCATAGTCTGAAAGTGTATAACACATCAAGATAGCACAAGGAATCGCCATTAAAACCGCTTACAAAGGATGCAGTCTGCGGGATCGCCGTCGCGTCCTGCGCGTCCAGTTTCCTGATAATAACTGAGGCGGTAAGAAAGACTTCAGAGAAGCGTACTGGCGACATACCCATCCATCGACTTCGGTAGTGTTGAGTGAATCACGAAGCGCACTATTCGATGGGGTCAGACATAGGCCGAGGTGCAGCAACAAAACTTTACCATCTGGTTTATCGATTCCCATCCCGAACGCGATCTAAGAAGATGTCAAAACTCGGTGGGGTCATACTAAGAACGCCATACCGTTGCTACAATAATCTTGCAGCTGCCGCTTTGCCATTCTTCCTGTGTGGCACTGCGCTCTTGTGGGTCCATACCGGCATGATAATGTTTCGCAGACAGGCCATAATCGTTACGCAATTGCTCAGCAAGCTCCTCGCACTCAATTTTACTGAAGCCGTAAACAATGCCAGTATCGGCGGCGTGCTGTGACTTGATGAAGCCGGCAATGGCTTGAACCGCCTTCTTTTTGGTGGTCGGTTTAGGCTGCACTGCATAGTACAGGTTGGGGCGGTTGAAAGATTGTACCAGGCACACGGGATCGCGCAAACCTAACCGAGTGCGAATGTCCTGGATCGCGGACTTGTTCGCGGTTGCGGTGAGTGCCATGATGGGCACGTCATGGTACCGTTCGCGCAGCATATGGAGCTCAGCATACTAAATATGGAAGAAAGAAAATGTGAATGCGCTCATAGACCAGGTTGTGCACGCTTACAGCATCGCGGAAATCCCGCCCCCAACTCTGAATGACATGTGCTTCATCAATGACAAAGCGTGCGATTTGTTTGTCTTCATAGAGCTGTGCTAGAATGTCTTGCATAGCGTTGCTCTCTCGTAGCTTTTCCGGGGTAATATAGCAAATATCGGGTTTTTGCTGACTGCGAAGGCGGCGCATAACATCCCGTGAGTCGTCTACGGACCTCAGGGACGACATGCAATCCACATTGATATGCTTCTCTCGCAAGGAAGCCACTTGATCCGCGATGAGCGCAACGAGTGGAGATATGACGAATGTGACTCCCTGGGTCCTACCAGTCTTACAGACTGCGGGAAGTTGGTAACAAAGACTTTTTCCACCACCGGTGGGCATTAGGACGAAAACATCCTTGCCGTCGAGCGTAGCGTTGATCGCTTCGAGTTGGTTTTGCCTGAAGGAGGACAACCGGAAGACGTTCTTCAAGACCGAAACTGCCTCGACATAGTAAGGAGTTGACGTATTATCAAGACGTCCGGTGGGCGCAGAGGGAGTACATAGTGGTGCGTCCACATAATCGAGCGTCGGAGTAGTCGAGGTCAGGTTGGCCAATTGGAGTGTTGAGGGCTCGTCAAGACCCTCCCAAAGGTCATCACTGCCAGGCACAATCAAGGTTTCCGCCGACACGTCAATATCTTCTGGCTCAAGCGGGCCGTCGACATCGGCATCTTCTGGCTCGAGCACACTCCCAAAATCAGTAGCCACAGACGACATGAGAGTGGAGATGGATGGAGCAGAAGCTGGCTCGCTGACGGGGCCGAAGCGAGCCAGGCGTTCTTGGATGGCTTCGATGCGACCCTCAACATGAACCCTAAGTAGAGTTAGCCAGGAAATTCACACAAGACCAGTATACTCACAGTAAGAACGAGACTTCAAAAATGTCCAAGGGATTGCTGCCGTGTTCTGATATCAATCTGAGAAAATAATCACGAACTTGGCGGTTTCGGCCAAGTATCAATCTCAAAAACCCTTGCGATCGCTGCAAAATAAAGTCAGGGTCATGAGTATCTGAAATGAGAGCCAACAAACGGAGTCTAGGTCCGAATTCTTGACGAGCTGAGTGCCTGGATCAGATTGTACCGTTTCGGAAGAGGCCGGTGGTGCGGTAAACAGATCACGACGAGATGGTACATTTGAAGTATAGTTCGGATTCGATGCTTCAATGTCACTAGAAATGTCGGGTGTCCATTGTCGAGAAACAGCGCGAGATTTTCCCTTTGAAGACAAAGGGCCAGTGATGAAAATATTTTCTTTGTTGACACGATCACTTTCCTTCAGACGTTTAGAGGCTGATTGTCGAGCTCCGTCGGGGACATCGAGGGACTGGCGCTTTCGAGAGGGTACTGGGCCTTCCATGATCTCAATGGTGGGCTCACGACATAAATCAATTAGATCTCGGTGGGGCGGGGCGGACAATGGAGCTGGACGAGGGTTCATCGTTTTCCTTCCAAAATTGGGTGTTGCGAATGATGGAAGCGAAGAACCCGACGTTTGGCGAGCTGCGAGTTTAGATGAATAGCTGCTGTCTTCGTCATGAAATATATACTTACAGGTGGGATTAGATGCAGAGTGAGAAACGCCTAAGGCTGGCTTGAACTTTGATGATGATGAGGTCTGATGACGGGAGATCAGAATGATGGGCAGTAATGGTCGGCTCGAATTTGCAATGGCATACCTTTGGCAATACGCTGCTCGAGACCAGGTTTCTGTTGTACTGAGACTGAACAGTCTTCCTAACGCTGTCTAGGTCATTCTGTGGCCCCGGCATCATGATAAAAGTCGGATGAGCAGATAAGAATGACCGGAGGAATTACTGGACAGGCCAGCTTATAAGTTGTCGGCGTGACACGAGTGGCTGAAAAAGTCAGTGAGACTGGATTGATTCGGATAATCGATAGCGATACGAAAATATTGCCTCGAGGTCAAGTCGTAACGCGCGCGGGTCACGAATTCGAATAGTGTTTACCAAGTTCCTGTCCCATTCATTAATGTAAAGTCGTGATGTTCGGCTCATCCCGATTACCGAAACGCGTCAGTTACACGTGACCGTGACGTCTCATATTAGAATCTCGACGTTCATCACCGACATCGTCGTCCACGACGACGACAACATCAATCATGTCAGGGCAGTACTGGTTCCCAAATATGCCAATACCAGAGATTATGACGGCCCTGTCAGAGTGGGGCTTGAACGTCAGCAACGAGCAACTCGTCAGGCCCTCCTCTGACTTTGTCATTAGCGTGTATAACGCTTGCTTGGAACAAGTCACGTCCATATCTCCAAACGTGCTTCACAAACCAACGCAACGGGCACTTGCCTCTCTCGAAGATGCCAACCCCGTGGGTTCATCGTCTCTATGTCCGGCCGTCTGTGTCTGATGATGTGCGTACTCAGGATCTCTACAATAACGCTATCTCGCACAATATCATGCTCTACCACCTGTATGATCTGCCCTCTCCTCCATATTCTCACTAATATAAAAGCAAACAGAACTCGCTTCGCGACTTCTGCACGCATTATGGACTTTAGCTCACGAGACCTCTCCGCACCTGAGCCAGAGCGTACACGCTTCATTCTCTCAGCATTTATCAACTTTGTCAAGTTCGCGGAGCAATGCACTACATTTATCAGCAACGTCCGAGAGAAGTCTGCGCAGGTCATTGAAGAGCGCGAACAAGTCATCCAGGAACTCTCAGAAGTTCAGCACAACCTCGCAGTACTCAAGTGAGATCCTTCATAGTTCTATAGCATCCCTTTAACTCACGACTCCTAGAGCGCAGCGTGCAAAGGATGAACCAAAATGCGAGCAGCTCAGGGAAGAGAATGCAGTCGTGACTACCCAACTCCTTGCAGCAAAGGAGGTTCACACAGGACTCACCAAGGAGATCGAAAGCCTAAAGATTGAGAGGGCACATCTTCAAGCTCGAAACGAAACAGTCAACTCGGAGTCTGCTCTCCTAATGGACAACAATTCTCGTACCCGATCGCGCATTGTGCAATCTCCAGAGCGTATAAGGCGCAATATCATGACAATGGGGGCTACAGCTATTGAAGACAAAAGGGCGGTTGCATTGCACGAAGCAAAGGCACGAGATTTGCACGCAAAAATCTCGGCGCTCGTGAATATTGAAAAGGTCACAATTCCTCGTTGTGTCAACACTATGGTCTCGTCTCACTTATCTAGTCAGGATGTACGATCATGTATTGAGCAGCTGCAGACGACAGAGAAGGAGGTGCAGCTCCTGGAAGCTTCACAAAAGGAGCTCGCAGAACTCAAAGACAGCCTTGAATACAAGAAAGTAGAGCGCGGCGAGCTGCAGAAGAAGACTGAGGCAGGTCATGACATATTCTCTTGAAGTATACCTGTTAATGCGTGATCATCAGCGCGTACACAAGCAACTTGGAAACGCGCAGGAGAAGCTTGAGAGGGCGCAGAGACACGCAGAGGAAAAGCGACAGGCCAGTCAACAGACGGTTGACCGCCTCCAACGAGATTACGAGAAGATGGATGTTGAGCGACGAGAGAATGACAAACAGGTGGAGGAACTCCGGATAGAAGCGGGTGACATAGAGACAAAGGTGGGTCTTGGGTCCCGGTCTCCTGCACACTCGTGTCCTAATGGTCCCTGGCAGATGTCGGAGCATCTGAAGAAGAGCGAAGCGGAACTCAACGAGTTACTCACGGAATATTGGAAGCTCCGTCACGAGACGGGTAATTTTTTTATTCTTTGTTCCCGCTCATCGCTCATCAATATCCAGAGGTGTACATGGAAACACTCGCGAACAAACTAAACATGAATGTGTCTTCGGACTGAAGGGCGTGCGGGCCTTCATTCTTCAGGATACATGGATCGTCTTGTATTTATGGTACCTTGTCACGCTTTATCAATTACATAGTCAGTGTACAGTAGCAATGGTGCAGACAGAGACGCAACGAAATCATCGTTTTTTCCCTTTCTGTGTCATCTTCAGTATGCAACTCTGGCAATACCATTTCTGCCTTTTACTGGGCAGTGCACTAAGGCCAGTACACGGCAGGTGGAACTGAGAATGAGTGTTAGTGATTGTCAGGGGAACACCTAATCCGCTTACCCATTCCAACTTGCAAGTGTCGCTGTCACAAGCGACCATCTGGGATACAAGCCGTGTCAACTTCAACCAAGTAAGGTCAAACACGACGCTACGGACCGTGTCATACGACACCTGATTGCAATAACAATACCGCGGTTCATTTGAATCTGCTTGAGCTGGAATTGTGAGCTTCACACTCCTCGTCGTGCGAGTAGGTGGTATTTTCAAAACTTCTTCAGGAAGTGGTGGCGGAGTCTCAGATTCAGGTTCTGGTTTCTTGCGCGCCTTCCTGCCTCTACCGGGTCTTGCAGACTCTGCAGGTAGCTCTTTTGCGGGTTCTTGAGGAAGAGAGATAGCGGAAAGCTCTGGGGAAAGTGAGGGTGTAGGGCTATGTTCTATACGGGTCGGGCGTGCCCAGCGCGGTACGACGAGGTCAGGAAGAAGTATCGGGGCGAGATGTGTCCCTGGACGAATTCCAAGGGAAATGGACGCCTCTTGCTCCTTGATAGCTTGGTCCAAAAGACGGATATGTCGGTCAACCTGTGCAGCAGATTAGAGATAGGAAATCAGAAGAAAGGAGGGAGTACCGTTTCGTAAGCGGTCTGTGCAATATTGACTTTCTCCTCTGAGGCACGGAGGGCCTCTTCTGATACCTGCGCAATCTGTTGCAGCAATATGCGAGTTGTTTGTCCTGCAGCGGGTAGCTCGATATATGAAGACTCCAGGCTGTGCGCGACGGAAGCATCAGGACTTGCGTTATTTGAATCATTCGGTATTTCAGCGGGCGAGTCATTGTTGACATGTTCATCTCGAGGTGGTGAACTTGCTACCTGAGACGGGTCCGCCTGCATGGCCTCTGGATCTGATACAGTCGGTATGTTCGTCTTGTTCTGCTTGGCATCGACGATCATGCCCAGTCGCGATGAAAGTTGTATACGTAGCGCGATATATTTCCGCACATTGTCCAATAAGTCTGCGTGATAGGCTGAAAATGCTGCAGCTCCAACTTAATCAGACACAGGAGCTTGGTTGCACGTACCATTGCTTTGGTCATCTAGTTCACGTATGAGCGTGTACTGGCGGTGAAGAGACAATGGAAGTTGTTCGAGTACTACAATATCCAGTTCAGTAGCTTGGCCTATCAGAATAATCTTGATTGGCGTACTCTCATGATGTTCCTCCTTGAATGCATCCCAAATCTCGAGTTCCTTCCTCCGTTCTTCAGATCCGTGTCCTTCTCCAGTAATATCTACATCTGATGTGTGCTCTTCGTCGTGCTCCTCAGCAGGAGCAGCCTGAGAACGTCGGCGCTTGCGAGACATAGTGGTTGTTTCACAACTTGAAAGTTGCGGACCGCTGCGGGCCTTGACTTAACAACTTAGCACGTGACTGCTAGCAAAATATTGCAAATTCCCAGGATGCCATCATGGGGCTCGACCTATATATAGCGGAAGTTGACTTGATCTCGTGTGCACACGCGTACAACACGGTGCATAGCTGGTACTGCTAGCCTCAAGCTTCGACTTCGAATTTCCGAGCACTGCGTTTCCCGCCTGCACAGTAATTAGGGCCTCATTGTTAGCACTGGATTTCAGTACTAGAGTCAAAGGCGAGAACCCATTGTAAGCTTATGCGTTACTAACGAACATCATGAAGTTGAACTTTGGCGGAGAATATTGTCTTTTTGGGTAGGTTTCTAGTCGTAGAAGTCAATTAAGCGCCAATCCTCACGTGTCAGGCTGGAACAAGTCCGGAAGTTAGTAGATCCCCTGCGGACAGCATGCACACACAGCATGTCGCTTGCCCGAAAAGCACGCCGAGAATTCCACTGTTACAGCTTATAACAGACACTACCTATCAAACATATCCCCGTGTCCTGTAGGAAGCTCGCTCATGGGTTTATTTAATACCCTCGTGAGCCCAACATTGGGAGCTCTTGAGATAGCTGGTGCCGCATCTGGTGTCCCGTACGCCCAGGGGGCTGGGATGGCACTCCAGGCCATCAACACCGCTTGCAACCAAGTGGCCATACACAAGGCGCGCTTTTCTTGTTTTGACACTTGCTCCAGCTCAAGACAGAATATTATCTCTGTTAGCGCAAGTCTGCCCAACTTGCTCACAGATGCACTTCGTTGCTGAACTTGATCAGTGAACACGCAGTTGGACCCACTTGCGATGAGATGCGATCTTCGTTAGAAGAGGCTGAATTGTGCGTCGTCTGGGTCCCTGATCTCTGTTGAATAGCTGTTCATAGTAGTATTGAGACAGTGTTTTGTATGCTGTACGAGACCGCATACAAAAGTGGTCGCGATATAGCAAAATGAAAAGCTTCTGTGCGTGTTCCAGCTGTCACGAACTGTCGTGCGCTCATGCAATGCCTTAGTCAAGAGCTCTCAAATAGAAAACGACCTGGATAGGTGCCTGAACGATGTTAATGTAACTATGGAGCGCCTGCACGTACGCCCACTGCTGCAACTTGCGCTTATACTTATGTTGAAGCTTTTCACAGGTCAAGAATCCCCTATCTGTCATGATCATGCAGAAGCAGTCTATGGACCTTATGAAAATGAATCAAGATCGCATCGAGGAAAGGCTGGCGCAATTGATTATATCCCCACAACAGGTTTGGGATGCCGCCCAACGGCACAACGCCGGCGGTCAGGATGCCCTTGATCTCATGAGAACCGGTCAGGAGGCAAGTTCTAGTGGTGCTTGATGTTTTTCATTCTTAGATCCTTAACATCCTTTTACAGCGCTTGATACAACTGCACGTACAATCACCGCGTGAGAGCTCCCAGTCACCAGACCGAACTTTTTTTGAGGGACAAATGGTCGAATCTCCAGTATCCTCGCGTTCTTCGCTAGAGGTGACGGTGCAAACTCAGATTCAAAGTGCTTTGACAGATTTGCGACGCCTGACAAAAATACCTCCGACACTCAAAGTCCTGAACAATCAGGTCAAAAAAGTCAGCAGCTCTACTCCGATATGCTCTGGAACGTACAGCGACATCTGGCTAGGAGAATTGTTAGGAGAGAAAGTAAGCCAGTTCTTGATGACGTTATGTGACTTGACGACTGACACCTCTTTCTAAGGTCGCACTCAAAACTTTGCGCAGTATCACTGACCCTACGAAAGCCAGAAGGATGACGAGGGTATGTCGTGGTATTCGCTTGCATGACTCAACTACCATTGATGTGTCGCATAGCGCTATGAGCACGAAATAAATGTGTGGGAGAAACTTAAACACGACAACATTCTGACAATATACGGCGTTATCACCAACTTGGGACCTATTCACATTGTAGGCTTTCTGCTCCTGTAATAATTTTCATCGCCTGATAAAAACTCTGCATTCTACGCAGGTGTCAACGTGGCAAGAAAACGGCAATGTACTAGAGTACGCCGTACTGAAATACAATACATCGTCGTTCTTACTTAATAGCACCCAGATATCGTATTAAGAACCCTGCCATTAACCCCCTCACTTTGGCAAGTATGCTATCAGCCTAATCATTGCCTCGAAACTCATCTAAATAACGTTCAGCTCACACAAGCCGCAAGGGGCATCGAGTATCTTCATGGAAGCAACATTGTCCATGGAAATCGTGAGTGCATCTCTGTACTTCGTGAGGACAATTTTCTGACCTTGCGAGTAGTGAAATGTGTAAGTCGTTATGATTTACAAGTAGATTGTTCGTTTACAGTTTCAATCCAGAACAATATGCTGGTCTCCTCCCAAGTGCGTGTCCTTTCCACCTCGACTAACGTCAAGGGTCTAACACAGTTCTCGGTGCAGGGCGTAGCATGTATTAGTGACTTTGGACATACTCAGGTCCTAGACGAAGTGCTTGGAAGGGACGGATTTACTGCCTACACTGGGTCTTCCAACGTGCGCTGGAACGCCCCAGAACTCCTGGGTGGTGATGATGTGAAGCCCACCAAAGCCAGCGACGTCTTCGCGTTCGGGATGTCTATCCTGGAGCTTGTAACCAAGCAGGCACCCTATTCGCACAGAAAACGTGATCTCACTGTCATCATGGACATCAACGACGGCCATCTGCCGCTTCGCCCAACTGAGCCGGAAGATATTTCGCGGTGGATGCATGATGAACTATGGGAAGTTTTGAACAGATGTTGGTATTTCGCGGCTCAGGAACGGATGAATGTTGGAGAAGTTACAATCTGTCTTGAGGGACTGGCCGAGTACCTTGGTAATCATCCAAATTGGCAGACGGAAGAGGGTGCCGAAATCGTTCAATGAAATGTTGCCCTCTCCTAAATTGCTCTAGAAGTTACATATCATGACCTATGCTTGTACATATTGTATCTGGTTTATCAAAATGATCTCAAAGAGATCTGCGGCTTCATACTCTGCTGCACTGCGGCCGCTGTGCCTTCGACAGCCTTCCGAATTGACATCTCGAGTACTTCCCGCACAGAGGGATCCAGCTGAGTGGTGGCCTCCTTGAAGGACGTGGGCGAACTAGCTGCCAGGGAAAGCAAGTGTGCTATGCCACTAGAGTGTATAGTCGATGGAGGATTCTGAGATGGACGTAAAAGTAACGTGGTTGTCGGTAGCAGGACACTCAAGAGGCGGGAACCTGCACAATTAGAATTAGCTATCATGCAGTATTATACCAAATCCACGGCTACTGACGTTGTTCGTCTTTAGCTAGCGAGACGAGAGTCGCAAATGTTTTCCAAACCTCGTCTATCGAAATGGCCTGCTGCTCTGACACTGTTCCGTCGTCCATTCGAGGTACCATTTTGGCAACATATTGGATGAGTGCGGGAAGAAGCAGCCGAACGCAGGCCCGAAGCAGTTCGCTTCCAGACGCAGCGATCGTAAGGGTTTTGGCGCAGTGAACAGCTACGATAGCCATCTGAAACGTATCGCTCAGCGCCACAATTGAAAGCATTGAAAGACAAGAATACCTCATCGCCTTCTTCAAGTTTCTGAGATATAAGGAAGAACAGGTGTTCCACCACATCACGAGCAACCGCCACTTGTGGAGGAATGACGGTCAAGATGAGGACCGCCGCGAGAAGGTTGGTTTTGACTTTTCTCGACGAAATCAAACCTTCCCGTCCCCTATATTGCTTTAGCCTCCCACAAACATGTAGTAATTTCAAAAGCAAACCTCATTTCGTCCACATTCAGTAGACATGAAGACAATAAGCCGTGGATGAGCTTCCCGTAACGTTCGCGGACACTGGGATGGCACGAAACGGCCAACAAGGATCTGAAAGCCGGAAGGGTAGGAGTCACCAAATCCGCTTCCGATGTTTCGTCTTTCAGCAACTCTGGAAAGAGGTCATGCAAGAGAAATCACTGATAAGATTTTCGTACCGCCATAGAGCATGCAACCTATTCCCCGTACATCCTCTCGAACAGCGGATTCTGTCCTCGAGGCAACGAGGTGGAAGGCACTCAAGGAGCCAGAAACCATCTTTGTAATATTAGACAGATCGCCTTCTGCAAACATGCGTCGTATTGTGCAACAGAGTAAATACCAAAAGACTTACGAATCGACGATGCTCCTGGATTATGACGAGAGTGTCGAAGGGTGTAGGCAAAAATCTTGAGACAATGAGCGTAAACCGAATCCGGAAGAATGGTTGCGTTGCTCTGACTCCCGCTGCTGCTGGACTAAGTATGAGATTCTCATGACGGACATTTTCTGGGAAGACTCACTTGATCTCACTTCCGGGTACGTATTGGCCGAAGTCTTTGGCAAAGGAAGTCAGGACAGTGATAAGGTGAATAAGTATCTCTGCGGATTCTGTCATAGCCATTCGATGACTGAGACTCATGAATTCTTTAAAAATAGTAGGCTCCAGGAGAGCTTTCCCTGAATAGCGAGGGTTGAGAAGGCATTTCAGTGCCCCTAGGCAGGCAATCACTGTGTCAACTCGTGAAGCGGTGTCTGGCGAGGACGTCGCGAGTGCTTCATATATAAGGCCAAAAAGAGGGAAGAAAAGGGGTGCTGTCCCTTCTGCTGCGGAGTCGATACCATTAACGGACCCCACCTCCTTCCCAAGGATAGCAGCCGAGATGTATTGGTCGGAGCGGTTCATGGCATTCGCGACAGCTTGTAGGATCGTGGCCCAAGACGAAGCGTAGTACTGAAACAGTGAGATTCACTGATAATAATCGTTATAATCGGAACTTACTGGGAGCAGAACTACTTTGCCGAGGCTTGCATACGACGGGTCTAAAGCCACCGCTGAAGCATCGTGTATGAATTCAGAATCTGCCCGGATGACAGCATAATCCCGAAGGCACGCAATCCATTGCGGTGCCAATATCAATCTGTATGGTTTGATGACATCCAGAAGGTACGTCTGCTCAGAACTAGCAATTTCCAGACGAGCCCACGCGGAGAGGATAGACACCCTTAACATGCCTGATGCATTTGGGCTCAAGTCCACAAAATTACCCATAGTTAAATTGCCAGATTCTTGGTAAAGCATGAATATCTTTACGGATGAGATATTTAGAGACCTACCATCAACCTCTCCGAGTGCAGTTGTGAGTTGCTTGAGAATTCTCCCCATCCGACTTACATCTCTAACGACGCCACAGCCAACAAATACTGCACAGGCATCGATGGCAGAAGACAGAATTTCAGGAGTTGAATCCGGAGAGAAGGCGGGAGTAAGTGCAGCTGTGATAGGCGCTTGGTGTTGCTCAAGCAGAAGAGCATCTGGATAGTCAGGGTCAGGGGCATGGCAAAACACCTATTGAAATACATTAAAAAAAGCGACCCCATCTTTCATGCACCTACCTGGATGACATCGCGCAATACAACCAACCCTTCTAGCCGTATCTCTGTGACATATGCCGCAGACGCAGTGAAGGCCATTTTGATCAAGTCAGGAACACGGGATACAAGGAGGCCGTTCACTGGAATGCCGTGGGTACGAGCGAAAGGTATGTCGAGGTGCTCTCTGCGTCCAAAGCGCGCAACTAGGGTGCAGATTTCGTGTAAACATCGCAGTGCAAATAGTTGCGTCCTCCAGCGTGATGTAGCAACCATAGCTGTGTTGCCTTGCCGTGTGTCATCGTTTGACATAGATGCACTCAATGATTGACCTTCATCATCCATGAGACTGTTGGCCGTATTGACCACTTTTTGGGATGCATTGATGCGCAACATGATCCTCTGGCAAAGATCAATCCAGGCGGATGGATTGTGAATCGCTGTCTGAAGAAGCCAACTCGAAATCACGTTTCTGACTCCATCAATCGATGGGTCACCGTCTAACATTCCAAACAAATCCTCCACAAGGCGATCTCCGCCTAATCGGGACATTGCTAGAGCGTCTTTCTGAACCAATTGATAAAGGGCATCAATTGCTGCGAGTTTGAGGCATCTTCTAGATGAACTAAGGTGTTTTCTGAAACGATTCACGATCTCCGGGACGTCCACATGCTCGGGAGCAAACATGAGGAGATGCTGGATGCACCTTATAGCTTCCACTAGGATGGGTTCATCATCTTCCACTGAAAATTCGTGGACAAGGTCAAGTACAATTGTTCTCGTCCTCGGAGAGTCGTGAATATCAGGACCGAGGATAGTGATGATCGCATCCAGGATGTAGCAGACAAGGGGATAAGCTTGCAAGTCACCACCAATATTGGCGTTGTTCAGTGTCCCTCCCTCCGCTTCGTGAGTGTCCGACAGGTATATCTTGAGCAGCATTCCCAGGGTGCTGGACACGAATGGAGCGAAGGCCAAACTAGCGGCGTTGATGACATGTCCCAGTGCGCGGAGGGACCAGAAGTGGACCAACGGATGAGAATCATTGCTCAATGACATGAGAAGGTTCACGGTTGTTTTTAAAATGGGGGCTGCCGCAAGTCCACCGACATGGCTGTAAAGAGACCCGAACGCCAGCGCACAGCCGGCTCGTCCTTGGGGATCACGGTTGCTAACAATATAATCGACCAATACTTTGGTTTGACTCGTCAAAAAGGAGCTTCCAGATATATTGGCAAGGCGCCCAATGGCCTCGCTGCTAGCAGATCTTAGCGCGGGGTCACCATCCACCAGAGCATCCTGCAAGAGATTAAGAAACTCATGGCTAAACCGCAGTTTAACGGTAGGCTTACTTTCAAGAATGCTCCAAGAGCTGAAGTGACTTGAGAGTGCCCAAGGATATCCTTAGATTGTCGGTGATGCGAAATCATGGAGACACGCAATGTCCGTACGATGGCCACAACACTATTCAACATCACGGCGGCCCTCCTCCCACTGTTCTTGTCAAGCTTCGGAGACCGATTGGACTCTATCAAGTGACTAATCGTGCGCAGAGTAGTGCTTAAGTCCTGCACTGGCAGCAACTGAGAGAATAGTTCGATAGCGGCGTCACAGACTGACGACACAGGTGGCGGCGCATTAAAAGGCCGGTTCTCCTCTTCTGATGGGTTGATCATAGAAAGAGAAAGTGTATCATGCTCGCAAGCTCCTAATATCGGCTTGCGTAACTAGATGCGTAGATCAACATTGGATGAAAAATCCACAGATGATTATGTCCTACCAGTGCGCTTATTGAGTGTTCTATGCTATCACTGTTGCTGTGGCCTCGGCGAGGACTTTCAGATGGTGTGCTTTCGTCGACCCCGTCTTCAGATATTTCGAGTGTGGTAAGTCCATATGCATAACCGTCTGTCATCTGCCAGATCGATGTGAAACTGCCGGAGGTAGACGCAATCGAGGCTTGCATGGCAGATATGTTGTCGATCTCGGGACCCGCAAAAACAGTAAGGACGGACTGCAATAAGCTTGATTGGACAGAATCCGTCAAAGTGGAAGTTCCAAGAGCGGAGAAACACTGGTATGCCCTACGTCGAAGAGAAGCCTCGCGAGTTCGAAGAGATGGACCAGTATCTTCATTTACCGAGGGTCCGGAAACTTCTTCAATAGTCTGTGACAAGAATACATTTGAAAACGAGAGGGCATTTCCAAGCAGAGATGAAATTCTCCGGGCGACGTCGAGAGTGGTGAGTTGGTTATTGTGAAGCAAAAAACAAAGGATTGCCCCAAGCGCACTTTCGCGGACATGCAGGAGAAACTTCCACTCGGCAGCTGACCGACCCGAAACATTGTCTTTCGCAGTAGGTTTCGGTAATGCATTACGCCAAAGCACCAGTAGCTGAGGCAGATGTGACCGGACAAAATTTGGTCCAAGCAGCATCAGCGATGCAATCAATGTCCAGGCCACTTCAACCTCTACCCCTGCAACATGAACATCATGGTCACTAACGCGTTTAAGGAGTTGAGTAGCGGTATCAAGAACGCTGGCTGACACGTCAAAAGACACGTATAGGGGACGATGCGGCACAATGGCGACAAGGGCTGCCAAACCATAGGAATGACCGAGTGTCCGGCGACCAATGTCCGAAGGAGCTGCAGGAGATTGGAGAGATTCAATGTCGCGCTGTAAAGACTCCGCGATCGCCAGCATTGCCTTCGGTAGACGGAGGGGGGTAGAATAGCAGAAGCAACGGAGGGTCCAACTCGCATTGACACGAACCGAGTGGCTTGGGTGCGTAAGCAGTGTCATTAATGGTGCAGAGACAGCATCCTACATCGAGTTTATAGATATGCCAAAGTTCCGACTTCACACACGACTTACCTGAACCGGCGGAGGTGCATTGCCTAGTTGTTGCAATAGACCTGCAACCTCCTCAAGTGCTATTGTCAGAATACCTGAAGATGGGGCCACCTGCCCCGGCATCAATGCTGGCCATCTTTTCAAGTATGACGAGGAGAGATCTTGAATTGCAGCTATTTGACCCTGCTCGGTCAGCATTCGCACTGCAATTAACTCTCGTAAAAGGGCGCCGACAAGCTTCCGGATGAAGAGTTTGTCATATCTCGTGGCTCCATTCTTGGGATTGGAGACGATCTCGGTCATGAGGTGACCAACAAGTAGAGAATAATTGGTTTCCACAAATGCTGGTCCAAGTTTTGCCAGCAGTGCGACGTAAAACATGAAGATTCCCGCACGAGTTTTGCGGCTGTGAGCTTTGTTAAACTGGGTAGAGATTTGTGATAGCATATCTCCTGGCATCAATAGGACTTTGGTGTTTTCGGCTGCGATATGTGCAGGAGTAGAGATATCGAAGTCTTCTTGTTCCTTCTTACCCTTTTGTGACTGCTCTGAGACTGTCACGGCACGTTCCACTTGGGTAGCCGCAAGCATATGTCCCACTAGCTGCGCCAGCGATTGCGTTGTCACCTGGTCACTGTTCTCAAGACTTTTAACGCAAATATTCATGATCGACTCCACATCTGCGAGCGTGACGGAGTCTTCGGGAGTATATACGATCGCTAAGACCTGCGCACAGTTGAGTTCACTAACTGCAGTTCACAGGCGAGAATCTTACAGCAGTGGCAGCTCGCTGGACAGGGAGGGCTTTATCAGTTAAAGCGTTCTTCATTTGCTTAACTATGTCCTTTGCGAGAGAGTCACTCAACGCCTTCTTGGCTGAAACCAAGGTTTTCCGGAGCATGGTAAGTGCATGATATCGGACGTGCGGCGACTTTGATGGTGATGAGAGAACGAAAAACGAATAACATGTAAATGTTCAACGCACCGCAGATGACCTCAATGTTTTTATTGCGATAGTGGCGGTTTCAGCCATAAAGGACATGAACTGCCTCGAGCGATCAGAGCGTTATTGAAAAAGAGGGAAATGTCGAACCTGGGAGCCGAAGGCCTCCATCAACTCTCCAATGGTCCAGAGTGCGGCGCTGTAAGCGGAATGTCATTCAAAAGTACTGGTCAAGCACGGATTTCCTGCTGACATTCGAGTCGAGTCCTTATCCGTGGCTTTGATGTCAGAGGCCGGCTTGAGCAACGCCCTTAAGGTGTCAAACAATGACCTGGATTCTCCACGATTATACAGGACTAAAAGGCATCTTGCAGCCAGATTGCGCAGCGGTCGACCAGGAGAAGGGTATGTCTCGGAAGGTATAAGCACTTTCAGTAGCGTGGCTTCTACTGAAGATTGGGTCTCCTTGAGCGTTTCCTGTGAAATGTTGAATTGCGGTGAAATGCAGCCATTTTGAACCCACATACGGTGCTTGCATCCCTGAGTCTTCTCTCCAGATTCGACAACCATTGAAATAAGTAAAGCTCGCCACTGTCGGCTGTCAATTGATTCTGCCTGCTGTGTAAGCGACCTTTCACGTCTACTGTGGACTATTGCATGACATGCCTCATCCAACTCTTCGATATCGCCCTTGGACGCCATGATCTGTGACGACGATCAAATTTGAGAACTCTGGAGCTGCGGCGCTGAAGCTTGAGGCGCAAGGAAGTGAAGTTCTCGACCAGTACTAGTAGTGATGCTAATGGCGGCAGTACAGCCATCACAGTAAACACGACAAATTTAGAACGAATGATCTAAGCATTACTGCATGATGCATGATGTACTGTGTAAGTAGCTTGATCAAGCGCACACATCATGGATAATGTTATCGATTCATTCATTTCACATACAAAATGCAGTTTACGATAAAAATGCGATACGGTTGGGAAAGTGGGGGACATCAGTAAATGTTTGACAGATTATACACCCAGATCAATCAATCTTTATTGGCGCCCGTTTCACCAGGTATCGGCCAGACGTTAGCCACCATGTTGCGACACAACACAGTCCCATCCCGACTCCCTGCGCTACATGAGATATGACGACTGTGGAAAGAATTGCTCCGCGGCCTTCTGTTTGAAGTAGAATAATAGCCTGATGATGTATTGAGGTTGTGGAAATCGCCAAGTAACATATCACGGCAGCTAGAAGGAATTGCCATGTTGGCATTGAGGCATTCCATCTATGAGCAGTTTTATGTCTGTTAAAGAAGGTCGACGTGTATTGTGCGGCGTGGATTATCCGGACCGCTAGGTTGATTATGTTTGCGTATACCAGAGAGACGTCACCGAAACCCGAGGTGTAAAATCCGATCGCAGAAAGAATGAATACGACGGAAAAGCCAACGAGCCATCTTATCATTTGAATCAGGTTAAGATAAATTGTGGTGGATGGAGTACATACCTGCTTTGTCTTCGAAGATCTTGAGACGTTGCGATGCTTGAGAAGAAAGCTTCAAGTACACCATTGATCGCGAGGGCAGGAATATACCAAACCCAAGCTGCGAGAACTTTCGGGGCGCTTGTTGACAGGTACTGGGACGGGAGCAATAGGTGCAGAAAGATTGGAAGGTAGACCGTGGCAAATACAATAACAAGGACGGAACATGCTAGTTGGATGGAGACTAGCGACAGCAACATCTGTGAGGCTTGACATAGTGAGTGTCTGTCAAATTGTGCACCAGTCGACGTGGATTTTGCCTCAGCCGTGGGGCACAAAATTCTTGAAAAGTAGACTCGACATATTTCCTCCAGAGGTTGAAAAAATATTCGTGCAACCAGAGAACCTGCACACAAATTGGGCCATCACTATGCATGTAATACCCCAGACTGGAATGGTACGCACCATAGTTCACGGCGATCGCGTATCCTCCTTGATCCTCCAAATCGCTCCACCAAGACAATATAATCTTGTCTCCCTCTGTCAAGATATGTTTGACAAGGGATTGCCCGGTCATGGTCAGAGACAAATATAGACTGCTAACGTCAAAGTATTGCGAGGCAATGCGATAGAATGTCGATCTGACAGTCGTGATCAGAGAATTAACTCTTGAACAAGTGAATGAGCTCACCTAGAAGCAGCCACATCGGATGACTGTCGTGCAGGAAGACGCGTCGGCCAGAAGGTGGGATAACCCATTTGATACACGTAACTAAAAAATACCACAACGCTGTATGCAAGCTGGCCTAGCGCAAAAGCCACGAGCGCAAATTCCCCGGATTCTGGTCTGGTCGAGTCGTATAGGAGGACAAGATAAGTGACCAAGGTCTTGCATGTTATCCCGAGACCTTCAGCTCTTACTCTAGCTCCAGTGCGAACTTCACCCATGGCCCTGGCAGGTTGAGAGAGAAACGTGTGCCACTGATATTTTCTACATACCGATTATGCATGGGTTCGTTGAAGAGCTCGCTTAACGCGGCGAACACGTAGGCCGATAAGGCCACGTGAAAATATGGCTGATGACGAACATCGATGCTGGCGAGTGTAGCATATGCAACTGCCGTAGCTAGAGACACTGGAACTCCTAGGATAATTGGCAAGGCAGATAGATTTGTCAAAGCATGTATGTGGTCGTCGTTAGAAGCTGATCCTTGGGTATGGATGGTGGTATCCCGCGGCCATGCTCTGAGCAGCGCATTCCTGACGCCTTCCCGGCTGAGAAACAGTATGGTGCTCAAAATAAGCTCAAATTGGATTGCGGCAGTTCCGTATGCTTTTGGGGAGGCTAATCGAAATAGTGCTTGATTCAAAACAAAGGTCAATAGACGAGAGCCAAGTTGGAGACCCATAAGAGAGAATAAAGAGGTTAGAGAACGTTTCAACAGCCCGCCATCTCTGTCTCTTGAACGACCTAAGGATGGTTGTTGATTCATGTGCGAGATTTCGAGAGAAGGGTATTGCAGTAAAAAGGAGTAGAATCTTGCAATATCGAGTTCGACTCAGCTGGTGTGTGTTTGGTCATGTTATGAACGAAAGCTGTAGCCCTTTCAATCGTGGCTACTACTGCAAGTATAATAATACGAAGTACTTAGTGCATCGTCTGTTGAACTTCAAAAGGGCTTCAATCCGCAAATCGAGCTGAACCCCTTTGATCGCAGTTGTGGTACGGATACTCCTGCACCGAGCGCGCCCCATCCGTTTTTCAAGAAATCTGCCACAATGTGTTTAAATTGGAGCTCCGCTACCAGAACAATGACTGGCAATAGTGAGTGGTTCGGCAGAACTGAAACTCCGCTACGGCAGACTCGATTTGGTAACAAGCAGACCGTGACTTTTGGCTCCATCACACCTCAACAAGGATCTTAATCATATCTCGAAAAATTCAACGGATTCAACTTCGTAGTAGTGTATTGCGGGTGTATAATGATATGTGGTCAAGCAGAATATGATTTGAAGTAGAGTTGAGTGAGATATTGCAAATTGTATCCGAACCAGTGGTTGTCTGAAGTTTGTGATGATCGATGGTACAGTCCACCATAGGCCCAGGTCACCAGTCTTCCGCTAAGACGATGCTAGTAGCAATTATTTCGTCTCCTCCGATAATCATGTCTTTGGAAAATACAATAGAAGCGAGATCCGTCTGTTAATCAGTCCCTCTGCAATAGAATCCGACTGGACCGAAACAGCTGGAAACGTAGGGAAAAATACTTTTTTCACAAGGGGAGGAGCATGGACTAGTACACGGGGGAGTACGAGCGATTGTAGCAGGGTAATGCTGACCCCATCCTTTACATCGAATAGAGAGACGTTGCAGGAGTCACGGACCTGACGTCCTGTGTACCTGAAATATAGTGGAACAAATGGGGGGGATGGAATTACAATCGGTTGAATAAACGTCCTCAGTATATTCCACCCGTAGGTTTCGATACTCGACCCTGAGCACTCTTGGAACGCCTCTTCTCCGTAACCCAGGCCCCAGGGACTCCGGAGTGGCGGTTAAGTTCAGTGATAGTGGACTGGGACCGCAACACTTGTGGCAAGGATCACTCTTTTTCCCATGCGAAATTCAGCTTGTCCGTTCATCCTGGGCGTGGAGATGAATGAGATAGTTCACGGTGAACTATCTCATTGGAGAATCAGATCCTATGGAAACGACTTTGTGCAAGATGTATTTTGCGCGGGAGTGCCTTGAGCGTTGCGTGTTGGGGAACCATTCTGCTGAAGCCGCTGCGTCCAAATACTGACGAGTGACCGACAAAGGAAAATATATTTAGCATGGCGCAGAACTGCCGAGAAGCGATTGCAGTTCAGCGCCGCGAAGCGGCCATATGACATGAATTTTTTTGCCAGGCTTGTTTGTACTGAGCGTGGAAGCGACTCGAAGCCCTTTATTTTCTACACAGTATGCAGATATCCTTCTGCTTCGGTCATAAGCGGCGAGAAGAAAAAAACTGCTGACGGGGGAGGAAGAATGAGTGAGTGTGATGCGCAATGCGCATCCATCAACTCCGACGAGTGTGGGCGGCGGAGTCACGCAGACCCGCCGTGATTGTGCCACCACATGCCGCGGTCAAATCATGGTCATTGCTGCGCTGTCAACACTGGGAGCGCCGCAGGAATAATACAACACGCCTGATAACCACCAATCCTACGGGTGCCCTCAACGCTCGTCGCCTTAATCACGGGAGGTTCGAACCGGAATTTGTCATGAAGATCGATGAACCGATGTGCCACCAAGCCCGCGAATTTTGCCCACACGAATTTTGCAAGAAGACGGGGACAGTTCTGCTCTTCAATAACGGGCAACCTTGAAACGAAGGAGATCTTTTCATATCCAGGCGAGGGCCTGTCAGTACTGGTCAATAATGGAGCCATGAAATGGAGATCTTTTTAGATCCGGGTGCGGGCTTATCAGTACTAGTCGGTGATCACGTTCTTTCACTCACGTCTTTCAGTTCAGCGACACTTCGATCATATCCGATCTGCTTTCTCAAACCCGCGGATCAGAGAATATGTTCTTGCGAGATGAATCAAACCACGTCCAGAGGTGCCCGAAATGTGCTTTCGGAAATACACCCCAGCATCTTCCACCAGAAATCCAAGGCGAGGTGCGGAGATGGACCTAGTGAACCAGTAGGGCAATTGCCGCGCCAAGCTCTCGGCCCTCCCCTATCGCAATGAAGGGTAGACCAGAGGGGAGACTGACCTGGATAATTGTCTCGACTGCCCTCATGATGTGCAATTGCTATACATGCGCCGTGACTGGATAAGATACCAGTAAGTAAATCTAATCCGTGGGCATCCAGACGCGGCGTTGATACGGAATTTTATGCTCAGGAATCCATCCCAAGCAAGTCTGGGTATACGGCCACTATTTACTGGCTTGTCGCCATGCTTGAACCGTCATGTGAGATGGGGCCTGTCGTCATCCCCTATTTCCGGAGTCTGTTCATCACAGACCACATCCTCATAATCAGTTACTATCTGAGGATGTTATTGGGACTACTATACTCTGGATTCACATCCGTTGCCTCAGCGATTTGAACGAATGTATTGCAGGTATCGAGACCTCGCACGACAACCACAGGACAACCATACGAGTCCTGGGATTCGTAGATATCTGGCACGTCGGCGATGTTCCGAGTATAATCACGGCGGATGGCCTCAGTGATTGTCCAAGAATTTAAGGCGCATGGCACGTACCTGTTTCAGTTGTGTGGATGCCCCTCCATCGCAGCACCCGGCGGAAGACGAATGGACATGATTTCAACATTTTCGCGTGCTCCGCGCTCGTTTGCCACGGATGCCAATTCTCTGCGCTGTCCCGCCCCTCTCTGCGCGTTGCGCAAGCATGGATATTTTCCGCTGATACACCCAATACATGGGTCGTGCCCTTCGCTTAGGAACCCTTCCGACCACCAACATTGCTCGCTTCCATCTCAATGAAGTAGAGTTCTGGGGTGCCAACGTGGCGATAGCCTGGGTGGTAGTTATCATTACTCTTCGCTACCGTTGCTTCCATTCCTCCCCGTAATGACCTCGACGTTGATTCATGGTTCATTGCGCCACTGAGAAAGAAGGGCCAACTCGCGTTATCGGGCTGGGGAGATTGCATTTGGCCGTATAGTCTCGAGCTTGGAAGTTTACTGCCAGTCACTGGGCCTGGTCGTCGCGACATGAACGGGCACCACTTCCGCATGTTCTTGGTTCGAATGTTGGCCCATGAAACGGGCTCGGCAGTTGCCCTCAGAGGTGCCGAAGTCGCATTCAATGATCACACCGTGAGCAAAGTCTTATTACCTCAGGCGCGTTCGAGCGCTAACTTTGCTACCAAATTCTCTCTGCGCAGATCCCTTCTCGCTCCCAGGCTCAAGCCTTGATACCCGAATGAATCATCTTGGCACACCCCAAATACATTCAATTATTATCATATCCGTAAGCAAAACTTTCCGGTGCAGGACCATGGAAACCCAGCGCCGCGGAGCGCAGAACACAGCGACGCTCCACTGCATTCCCGCGAACTATGGGTGCCTGTGGATCGAGATTCTGCTAAGGGCAAACGATTTAGGGAATAGCGGGGTATTGATTGACGGGATCGAACCGCAGAATGTGGGGGGATGTTACCGGGAGGTTCGACTCAAAATGAATGATGTTTCATGCACAAGCTGCGAGTGGGCGGGTCATAAGGTTCATTCTCTCGTTACGTTCATTCTCCTCGTGGTTTTCGTGCGGAGGATGTTATATCACCGTTTCAATATAAGAAATGGACTTTTACAAAGGCGTGAATTTCATTGAACTCAAAGTTGACTCAAAGAGTACAGTTTCAATCGAGTCATATTGAAGCAAATGGAGATCAGTCAAAGATGGCAAAGGCAACAATGCATCAAGCAAATAGACCTAGGCACAACGAACAACGAGGTATGGACAATGCTATATAACAGTACAGGAACGACGTAGGCAAGGCGAGATGAGATGGATGCATGTAGGTTTAAACAAGCCCTCCGTTTAATATACAAACGACACATCACAAGGGCACGTTACGCGAAATCAAGAAGTTAAATGGGGAAAAGGGTTCCTTTGAGACGCTATGTACCTCGTCTAGTCGTCACCGTGATTCCGCCCATTGAGATGGCCAGAGTCGCTTGAACCCCCAGCCGAAGGCGGCTTGCCGTACATCTGGGGATAAGGAGCATAATGGGGGCTCATCATCTGCATCTGGCCGTCAGGGCGGTGCGGATACATGTATCCATACGACTGCGGCGCATATGGAAGGAATGCGGCCGGAATGTACTGGGCCATGGACGGGTAGCCCTGTTCTGGGTCTTGACCTGGATGCCCATTCTGTCCAGGATGAGGCACGGGGGTGATTGCATAGAACTGGGGATAGTACGCCGGGGATGGCTCGCCAGGCTTGGGAGTAGGCGAACCTGGGAACTGTCCCGGGAACATTGAATACCCAATAGGCGCCATATAAGTCGCCTGCAAAGGCGGCGACGCCGACTGGGTTGGCACTTCCGTCGTGACGGGAATGCTAGGTTGCTCGGGCACATCGCCAATGTCGGCATTGGTGCCTACAAGATCTCAACGAAGGTTAGAACGAAGAGGAATGAACCGATGAGATAAGAGCATGGGGGGAACGAATGGACGAGTGGCATCTCAGAGTCGTGCACAAACGGAGGGAGTGTGATCATACCTTTGCCATCGCGCTTCTTGTAGGGTCCCCTTTTCACGCCTTTTTTCCTCTCCTTGCGCTGGGAATCGACACACTCTTCAGCGATGCCATATTTGACGCAACGGAGGCAAGGACGGGCGTCGTCACACTTCTTGCATGCCTTCTGGCAGTTTGTGCAAGCGTTTTTGACTTGCCTGCGTTTGGAACGAAGAGGTTGTGTGGCAACTAGGCCGGGTGGGAAAGGATACATATGCATTGGCATACTAGAGTAGCCATTGACGGGATGAACTGTCATTTGAGGTTGAAGGTCTGTAGACTGCGGCTCAGCGAGGTCGTCGCCGTCTGGGGTTTGATTGCGCTCCACAGAAGACATGCTGCTGAGGGCGAGAAGAAAAGAGACTGTTTGTGGCGTCCCTGAGTGCTGATGGTTCGAGTTTGTTGACTTTTATGGATGTGTAGGAAGTTTGAAGAATATTGCTGTGGGTAAAGACACGAGGTAAGCAGGAAAGACGGTGGAGGAGCGGAAGAATTAGTACGATTCGGAAGATTAGCTCAGGGCTCTTTGCTACACGAGTTGGACGCACTTCCGGCCCTTGGTCCCTGTTCTTGTTCACGTGGTGGGAACCGAAATGCTGCAGGTTGTGAACGCGTTAAGAAGTTTAGACCGAGAAGACGGTTGTGAGGTCAAACTTGTGAATTGCAAGTAAAATACAGATACGCTTGAAGATGATAAGAACATGATGGCAGATTGTCAATTGGCAACAATAAGTCACTTTCGATTGTGAGAACCTACCTTGGACAATGAGACTTTCGCTGAGCTAGGCGGACTAAGGCGGACTGTCGGTGATGGAGTTAGAAAGTAAGAGGGGTCGGATGTTGCGCTGAGTTCCAACATCAACCCTTTTTATCCTCCAAATACCCGGAAGACGACCCTGTGTCATGTATTTCTTTTTCATTTCACACAAGTCAATTATATGGACGGCCTACTAGTACATGGCCAAGTCCATTTTAGCTTGAGATTGTGTTTAAAAACTAAATCTACAGTTCAAGACTTGGCAAGTGGACAATCTTATACCATAGGCCACCGCCTGTGCGTAGTTCGCATCCGACAACTGCACCACAGAACAGGCAGGATCATCATCATCTGACCGGTAGTGTGTTGCTCAGTTAGACTGAATTGCAACCTTCATCGTGACATTGACTATTTTTGCATTCAATTCAGCGAAACGCTAAGTCGCCGCTTCTCGTGGGTCCCCGTGATGCAATTCTGGGCATCCGAATTGGCCTGGCTCCGCGCGTTTACCTGGAAACCAGTTTCAATCCCGCGATTCCTCTTCTCAGTCTATGTACGATGCGTTCACATAAACGCAATTCCTATGTATTTGCAACCCCCAACACCATCTCTGCCGCTTACAGCCCTTTCTGCTATGCTATTCTCGTAGAACAGTGAGTAAAAACGTACATACTGATAACCGCCACCATCCAGTTCTTCTCGTCATATCTTACGCACTCCGCGAATTTTGATCCAAGTTTATAACCCGGCCTTGTGTAAATTCTCAAGGTCGGCTTATCCCAGCCGTACCTCCTTTCACATATCAAAACACGACCTACAATTCAGTTGTCCAAGAAGGACGTATTGCCTTTTGCCATATTCCTCTCTCGTCCTGCGTCCTGCAGGTCGTGAACCGAAATTGATAATTATGATCACTATCTCAATGGTGGCCAGTTTCTCGTTCCGCATGTGCGCTCTATAAATGTTATAAGGCGGCCGGATCCTTTTTTTGCCCAGAACCTTTACCCAAGATACGGTACGTCAACGTCAGTGCATCATGTTCCGCAATTCCACCGTTTACGACGGAGATGACACTCATGTCGCTTTTCAGATTTCCACCCAATGCTATCCGCGTTCGGTAACAACATACGCCTTACCAATCGCCAGCGGCTGCATACCGTTTCTCGATGACCTCTCTGGAGTTCCACCTTAGGTGCACGAATTCCGCAACAGTGATGCACAATGCCTCCTTTCGACAGATTTTGTAGGAGACGGAAATCCATGTGATCAGTTTCTCACTGCCAGCAATTTAATTCAACTCATCGCCCTTCCCCATCGGTTCTTATCATCTTCCGCACCATGGCCGAGGTTTGGAAGCCGATGTTCTTTTCGAAATCTGTCAGGAGCTTAGGTTTGTGTTTACTATCTTCTCCATCATTGTGAAATCGATTTCGCCTATCCAATTCAATTGTTTTATAAACTATGCACGAGGCTCGTGTCATATCCGATAATCATTGTATCTTGCGAAGCGACGAGCTGCCTACGCAGATTTGGGATATGAAGACACTTCACAACAGCCTGCAGTGTGGAATGCTTCTGGTATTTTTGCCAGGATCATCTTCTGCTTCTGCAGGAATGAGAATAATTTAAGCGATTTACAAAACCTCGATGTTCTTACGAACTCTAGCATTACCCACTCACCCCTCGAATCGTGGGATCGATGACTGGCCAAAAGACACGATGCGGCTATATGGGTGTGGACCTAAAAAATTGTGACTGTGTCTCCGACTCAAGGATCTTCATATCTCCGCATACTTGTTACTCATGAGTATTTCTCACCAATCACCTTGCTCACGTTCATGTTCGACTGCCATCAGATCATCGTGTTGTCTTACACAATTACTGGTTCATGTGGGCAGCGATCTATACCACAGTGATCAGTATATTTTTTCTGCAAATGTAAGCATTAGGACAACAGGAGGAATGGTGGAGAGCCACTGCAAGTGCAAACAAAGCCAAATAGCGGGCGCTGTGGACCCTAGTGTCACCAGGACTAAGAGAGCCAGCCAGCAGACTCTGAGAGTTCTCTGCTCACGTTCTTGCTAGTCGTCGTCAACAACGGCGACCAGCTTCGCCATCATACCACCTAGCAACCGCCGATAGGGCATCAGGATTTGGTCTACCTTTCTCTTTTCTTTGTTCTTTACCGACCGCGTGTTGCTTTTTTTGAGTTCCACTGTTCCACGGTGTCGTTTACGTGTTTCTCTCACTCATTGTTGGTCTTCCTCTGGAATGTCGGCCACGTCTGCGCTTCTAGACAGCCAACGTGAGCACGAGCTCCACCTTTCATTTGCTGCTCAAGGAAGCGACAAGAAAATCGCGGATGATGGCTTAGATATGCACCAAGTCCACAACACACAGGTAATATCACCTCAAATTCGTGTCGGAATCACACTGAAGGTTCAATCAGCCCAGGCTCCATATCTCAGCAGCACCTCCTGACGACGAATTGTCACCGATGGACACAGACCCCGAAATCCTATCGCGTTCAGGATCAGTTTTGTCCTCCCTTGACCCGTACTATTTTGGCATTCAGACTCCCGGAGACTCGCCTGCACCGCAGTTGCCTGAACCAGGATTTCCCCCCATGACGCCTGAGACGCGCACACCAAATGAACCAGTTACGCCAGGGCGCGATCCAGCCAATATCGACAGGATGGGCCTCGTTGGTGTAGGCGAGCTGGCTACACCTCGATGGGGTAAAATACAGAGGCGCACTCATGATGAAGATACAGATAGCCACGATGAGCAGGTTCACGACCATGTCCTCGAGGAAGATACCAACGAACTTGTCATTGACGAGGTCGAGAAGGATGGTCCCGATAGTCCATGGACCATCGAAGCAGTCGATGGCGAGTCAGACGGCAAGGATGAGGTATGATTTTGTCAGATCAACATTATATAAACTCACAGGTGGTTTGTAGCCAACGGACATAAAACAAGTTACCCGTACTCTCCGCTCACGTAGATCTCTAGCGGATGAAAGTGGGGGCGAGGAAATTTTGTATCCCCGCAAGCCTTTCGGTTCTGAGTTGTTACATCCCACCCACTTACCCAATTACCCCCCTGCATCTCCAGAAGAGCCACCCTCGCCACTGTTACCCCCCCTCCTTACTGAGCAACCCTTCATTGGTGGTCCAGTGGTTGTGTCGTCTCCTCCTAGCGCTTTTACTCCGCAGCGCAAGGCTAAGAAGCGCACGTCGGACGAATTCGAAATGGACCATACAGGCTCTCTTGTCTCCAAACTGTCGGGTGCTCCAAAAGACCGCACCGGCTCAACAACCAGGGACAGGGATGAAAAGTCTGCTTCCACGCGCAAGCATCGCAGCATTGGATCCAGTGTTTCTGGAAGTGCATCTCGTGATCGTACCCGGCGTCGGGAAAGCCTTGCTGTCAGTACACCGGCCAAACCTTCTGATGTGCCCCCTCCGATGGATGCTACGCCTGTGCGTTTGGAAAGGGAGAAACATACGCGACAGTTATCCGCTGGATCTTCATCGTCGAGCCATGATGCTGCTCTTCACGCACACACTCGGCGCGTGCATACTACAGATTTTTCCCATCTCCCTCCTTCTCCTTCGACAACCTCTATCCAACATATTCTCCGGCACGCTGGCAGTGCCACCAGTACCACCAATCCGCCTCTGCGTCCATCATCATCTCACAAGGATATGACACAGCCTCAAGGCCAATCGCAAGCTCATTCCTCCCCCAGTGTTGCACACTCGCTTCTACGCGGGACGCAGGAAGGGTGGCCGGGTTTAGATGACGATGCCCATGCTGAGGCTCTGCGTAAGCTTGACGGACTGTCGATGAAGACCGCACGCGCACGTGCGAGCGTTGGGAGCTTTGGCAGGCCTTCGAGTATGAGTCGCCCTGGAACGCCAGCTAGCACTGCTGGCAGATCTGGAGTGCACTGGGAGGGCGTTAGCTCTGACGGTGGAGGCAAAATTTCTCGCCGAGGCAGCACTAAGGACAGGGAGAGAAAGGAGGAACTTTCTCAGCGTCAGCCTATTGGCCTTGGTATTTCTCTTTCCGGGGACCCTTCGCAGGAGCACACCGAAGTACGGGGTGGTGGGATTGTCAGCGGCGACGAACATGCGTATAACTCATCTGGTGTTGAGAAAACTCCGAAAAAGCCGGGTTCTATGAGTACACGCTTGAGTTTTACTCCAAAGCGTGGGTCTGCATCATCCACTACATATACAAGTACCCCAACGAGTTCGCGTGATTCCGCATCTATGTCAACGGCCACCAGCGTGACTTCAGTATCTGGTCCTTCAGCCTCTGGTCGTCATTCGACTGGTGCAGGGAAGGGAAGGCGGAACAGCGCGGGCAGCGATATTTCCAGTGCATACTCAGGCGGTGATGTGGCAGCGTTTAAGGACCGTCAACCTTCCTTCGCCGCCAGTGGTGAAGCCCTAGAAGAAGATCGGGTCCCCCCCGTCCCACCGTTACCCAAGGACTTATCTACTTATCGTTCCCCTCCGCAATCCTCACATGGGATTGCATTCCCTCCTTCTGGCGCTGATGAGAGTGACATTGACCGCACTATGTCATTAGAGGTTCCCCCTGGTTCTTCGAAGCTACTCTCACATTCGCACGCCCAGTACTTGCAGTCGTCTGCGAATCACGGAAGCTACTCCGCCCCCGAGTCTGCTCCTTCAGTCGCCAAGACGCCCTCGAAGAAATGGAGCTTCTCGAATGCGCTCAATATCAAACTCACCCCGTCAATGTCATCGATGAAGGGGAAAGATTCGCCGTCGACCAAGTCTTCGGGATTCCCTCTCAGTCCACGATCGGTGCAGACATTCGGGCAACAGTTGCGGAAGTCGGGTTCTAGGGAACAAGCTCTTTCTCCTCCCGTCGCTCCCGGTGCTTCTTGGTCTCCTGGTCAGCCAGATGCAATGGCATCCGCTGCATCCCTCGCCTCCATGTCTTCTGTTGGATCTACCCGCAATCCGAAGTCCCCCGCTGTCTTGTCTGGCAAGGCACCTAGTCGCGCTGGAACGGCTTCCAGTGCCAGCCATCACACGACATCTGCTGCTCATAATGCCCCACTCAGTCCCTCGTCAATGCGGCGTCACCAATCTAAACGTCTCACGCCATCGTCCATACCATTCTTCCGTCGCTCGTCCTCTCAGAGCATGCAAATACCCCCTTCAAACCCAGTTACCATGTCAGTATCACCGACGCAATCATCATCAGGCACTGGTGCTTCTGCAACCCATCACGTCAAGACAAGCCGCTCTCCAAACAAAGAATCAAGCCGTGCTGTTCCGACAACTCCCGCCTCTTCACAGAAGAAATCGTCTGTGCTTAGCCTTGGCCTTCCTTCATTGTTGAAATCTAGTTCGCGGAGAAGTCTGCATGGGGATAAGAGTGACAATGGCACTTCCAAGGAAAGCGCGAGGTCCAAGGATTTGGAGAAGGAGAAGTCGAAGCAAGATCAGAAGGAGCGTAGTGAAAGCAGAATATCTGTGTTGATGGGACGTAAGAGGGGGAAGGTGCGTGCCTTCCTGTATTCATATTCGGATTGAATCTGACAATATTGTGGGCCTATCAGACCCTATCGTCCACAGATCCAAAAAAGGGTGCCTCTGTTATTGCTTTACCGCCCATGCAGATGTCCGCATTACCTGCCTCCACTGCTCAGCGTGTTGCGAATCTAAAGAACAGTTCCTCGGCGTCTACTCCCGCATCCTCCGTTACGCGGACACCATCGACATCACGTGTGACCTCACAGACTGTAAGCTCAATGCAAAAGCAGTCAGATGCTTCGCTACGGAGTCGCAACCAACCTTTGCCCACAATCGCTGGGTCACCATCAGTTGGAACCACTGGTTATAGCGTAGCAAAGGAGTCGAAAGATTACCCGCCGTCAGTGCTTTTGAACTCGATAGGTGGCATGTCAAAGGAAACGCCCACCAAGATTCCTCGCATTTCGAGCCGTACCTCAGCTGCAGGATCTCCTGGACTTGGAGGTGCAACCGTATCCAGTCGTCGCATCAGCCTTAATGTTACTGCGCCTTCGACGGACCCTTCTCCAACGCCCGCCGATCCTTCAATAAACGAGTTTGGTGTTCTGGATAGTGGTGACGCACCGGTTATGAAGGCATCGGGCGAAACGACAAGGCGACTGTCTGTCCGAGCTTCTCCATCAATCAATTCCCGAGTTCCAAGGCAGGCCTCTGGGCCTCCATCCTCTGGCGGCATCCCTCGAAAATCCAATCGTGATTCGGTCTCTTTCAGCACTCTGCGTAAAGCGTCCACGGGCTCAGTGGCCTCCACTACCTCGGTGGCACCTCCCAGCGAAACAACGCACTCGCATAGGTTTTCTGCTTTGTCTCCGTCAAAAGGTTTGAAACTGCTTAGTCCCAAGATTTCTCTCTCCACGCGGTCTTCAAACAACAACGCTTCGACATCTAGCGTCCATCGGGCTCATGCAGGGACTCCTGCCTCAAGTCGTCAGTCGCTATCGACTCCTTCTCCAGTCCCTAGCGCCATCGATGAAGAGGAACTCCTTGGCGATGAAGAGATGATGCAATACATCAGACGGCAGCAGACTAAGAAGATGGCACACGGGGCATCGCAGGCTGAATTGGATGATCTGCTCAAGTTTCCAGAACCGATACCACCAAGCCCTGCATTGACACCTGAAGGTCAGATGCTTCCTACCCTGAGAAGCTCAATCATTGATTTCCACGCAGAGGTGTTGAATTCTTCCCAGGCTCAGTTCCTATCCGATTATGAGAAGGAAGAAATTCTCAACTATCCCCAGGTTTACTGCATAGGTTCTGGGAGCCCAAAGAAGAAGGCCCATCCTGAGATTGTTGTCAACAATTTCGGCTACGATGATGAACGCGGCGATTATCAAGTAGTGAATGGCGATCATCTCGCTTTCCGCTATGAAATCATGGATACCTTGGGCAAGGGCTCATTCGGTCAGGTGCTGAACTGCAGAGATCACCAGACGGGCGAATCTGTGGCGATTAAGATCATCCGCAATAAAAAGCGTTTCCACCACCAAGCCCTGGTGGAGATCAAGATCTTAGACAATCTTCGTAAATGGGTATGCATCCATACTTACTTTATTCTTGAAGATTTATCGACGCGTCTTTCAGGACCACGAAGAGAAGCACCATGTCATCAAGATGACCGAGCACTTCTACTTCCGTAATCACCTCTGCATTGCCATGGAACTACTCAGCATCAATTTATACGAACTGATCAAAGCAAACGGGTTTGTTGGGTTCACAACTGCTTTGATACGACGCTTCACGAGCCAGATGATTTTGTCTCTTTGCTTGATGCGGCATCATCGTATAGTGCATTGCGATCTTAAGCCAGAGGTTCGTTATTCTCGCATTGCAGGCAGATTGTCTTATGACTCTGTTTAGAATGTCTTGTTGCGACACCCAGCGAAGAGTGCTATCAAAGTCATAGACTTCGGTAGTAGCTGCTTAGAGCACGAGAAGAGTGAGTTTATTTCCGCCACAGTCTATAGATCTTACTGAGCCGCGCATAGTCTATACTTACATCCAGAGTCGTTTCTATCGGTCGCCTGAAGTTATCCTGGGCATGAATTATCACATGGCTATCGACATGTGGAGTTTGGGTTGCATTCTCGCCGAGCTGTATACGGGTTTCCCTATCTTCCCTGGTGAAAACGAGCAGGAGCAGTTGTCTTGCATCATGGAGGTCTTGGGGCCCCCAGATAAGGACTTTATCAATCGTAGCTCCCGAAAGCGGCTCTTTTTCGGTAAGATGACGCATATTGACGACCTTTGATCATTTTCCTGACCCTTACTAAGACAACAATGGCGCACCCCGACCTGTGGTGAACTCTAAAGGTCGTCGTAGACGACCTGGCACGAAAACACTTGCTCAAGTTCTACGGTGCCAAGACGATGACTTTGTTGACTTCATCGCGCGGTGCCTTGTATGGGATCCTGAGAAAAGGATGAAACCTCAAGCAGCGCTGCAACATAACTTCCTCCGTGCAGGACGCCGAAGCAAGATCACTAGCCCTTCGCCAGCTACTGCGAAGACTTTGCTTTCTTCATCTAGCCTTACGAGTTCTCGTGCAACCAAAGTCACTGAGACACCCAAGAAGTCGCAGATTAGTGCTCCCACTCCGTTGACCGCCAGGACTTCACGAACGACCACGAACGGAGTACCCTCTACTCCAATACACACGACTACTGTAGGATCATCTCGGACGTACCGGTCCGGCCAGCCACACGGCCTTTCCTCCCAATATTCCAGCCGGACACTCAGTGGGTTCGCAGTGAGTCGTCAATCCTCATCGGAAATGCCGTTCGAACAAGAGCTTATGAGCTGGCTGCAGACAACAGCCTCTTTGAAATGAGCGATGTGATGCACATTTGACGCAAACACCTTTTTTCGCTGTGCTTTCTGATACTTACTCCTTGGGAAATTTTGCTTAGTTGCTAAAGTCTTACCTACAACCACAAGCTGGCCTTCCTTCTTCATACCCGGTCCGCTGTATTTTACCCCTACTTGTCATTTGCATGTTATCCCATAGGTTTTCTGCATATCATCGTAATGCTCGCATCACTCAATATAGTTTCTTCCTTGTCCTGTAGATTGCACGTGTGTTCAACCTCTTGCCAACGACGTATCATTTTCAACGCCGATTGCATGCACTCCAAGGACTTTTGGTCCACTCGGAATTGGGAATTGATGAATTGACAGATCAGTCTTTTAACATGTGTAACGTTATGACACCTGCGTACGAAACATCGCCCAACAAGATTTTAATAAATATGTAGCATTGGAGCAAGATCAACTCAGAAATCAGTTACAGCACGTAAATTACAGTTGTAGTCTGGTTTGAAAATGAACGAAATATCAATCACACCGCATGTCCCATTGACTTGCACCCGCGCACTGAAACAACAATTTAATCTTGCATAGCCCATTGTGGCAGCCACTCCTCCCAATCCTCCCAGTCAAGGTCAACTGGTTCATGCCCATAGTAGTTATGGAGGTCTTTGTGGTGGCCACGAGGATCGAGCAACGTCGTAATAACATGCAAAGCGCCGTTCCGGGCAGGAATGTCGTACGGTCCAACGCCACGCCCATTGACTGTAAACCTGGTGAAGTAGCGGGCAGGACCAGGAAGAGGAATCTTCGCTTTATAGCGCGCAACCTGGACATTCAAGCTGTGGTTCTCCAACAGGGTAGGAAGGGTGAGGTTGTAAGCGTATACAGGATTTCCGGGAGGGTCTACGGGGGGACCAGCCTTCCAGTCATCAACGAAGTCAGTGTAAGAAGTGGCATCGTGCACATAATCTGTGGACAGACACAATTAGATCCACGATAAGATAATTTTCTGGGAATACTCGCCTGTGTGTAGCACGACGTGAGGCACGACATGATACTCCAGAAGCTTCTTGAGTGCTTTTGCGCCAAAGGGCGAGAACAAGAAAAGTCTTAATTTGTTGGGAAGACGCTGGAATGCTCCTGATGTGGGGGCAAAGAAAGTGGTGATTTCTGCGCCAACGAATGATCCGTGACCACCATCTTTGCCAGAGGTCCACCAACGATCAAGTGCACTAGTTAGGTCCACACGCTGAATAGCGGACGTCTACACAACGGTAAATATAATAGAGGAGAAAAAAGGTACATGATTACAAACTTACCACATATGAGAAGACTTCGGGAAAAAGGAACATCTCGCTGAACAAAGAAGGGGGGGGCAGAAGTGGAATATTGATGGTGTGGATTACACCTGTACCGTCGTAAGCATGCGCCCCTGGCACAGTATCAAATCCAGCTCACCATTGCTAGCTTCAGTGTCACGTCTTATAACATCTACCACAGTGTTAATCCTGAGACGAGGGGGAACAACCGTGCTCTGAACGCTCAAGCGCAGTGGCTGATGGTCCATGCTCCCATCCTTCAACGTCAAATTCGTTGCATAGGTAGAATTTTGAACAAGCGCAGCAGAATCCAGCTTCTCAGGCAATGTGTGATACGCGAGGATGCCGCGAATGATGCGGCCAAGTGCCTCCTTACGATGGTCCTTGTCACGAGAATCGGGTACGTCATCAAGTTCCTCAACCTGAAGGACGAGGTGGCCAAGGTCATGAGCGATGTCACGCTCATCCCCACGTTTAGGCGCGAAAGATGTGGAGCTGAACTGATAACCGTCGTCGTCGTCGTCATCCCCGTGCGAGGGCTGACGGTGTGGGATACCTGAGTTTGGAACCGCAAAAAATGTGATGCTGGAGACGGATGACGTCAAGGAGACGGGTGATAGGTGAGTAGCACTTACCTGGCCGCAGGGTCGTCCAGTAGGTCAACGACCCTGTCGCTCAAGTCGATGGCTTTGACTAAACGCGAGTACCTGCTAGGCTGTTAGAATGCGTCAGGCCTGATTATTATTGTGGGTAACCTGTCGTCGTCTTTCAAAACCTGGTAAACTGTCCTGTCCTCCGAAAGGGGCGCAAACAAGCCCCAGCAGCGAACTAATCCCCCAACGGGGAATTGCGCAAGCCAGGGTAGCGTAGGAAGAGCATACGCACTTCCAACACAGAGCAGCGGCACAAGAGTATGAATTCTCATAGGTAGCGCGGACCAATGATGGAGAATAAAGGTGCGAACAAGAGGGGCTAAGGGTCTTATATAACCCCTAATGCTCTCCGCAGCACGAACGCTGGCCGATCAACTGCGCATGACGGGTAGTGGCGCAAGCCCGCATCATGCACATTGCGTCGTTTGTGTAATAAACGCAATGATCCTTGAAAACGAGACCTGATGCAGCAGGAACATTGTTCCCGCATATCTACATGGTACGCGCTGCAGTGCAGAGTGACAACTGGTATTACGCTATGAGCTACAAAGGGTTATGGCAACGTCCGATCGCGAGCATGCTCGTTCTACTCTACCATCTGGCGGAATTTGTCCTGGATTTCCGTGTGCAGTCCGTCCAGCTTCTGCATGATATGCTCCTGTCCTTGCGAGGGAGACTGACAGAGAAACTTGATGGAGCAAAAACAATGACAAGACAATGACAGACACGTACCTCAAATTTCATTTGTGAGAGCTTAAACATGAGGTCACTCGCGGTATCCTTGATTTTCGCGAATGTCAGATCGCCTTGTGCTACTGCCCTTAGCGCTGAATCGTGGAACGCAACGAAATTCTTCAACATTCCTGCAGTCTTGTAGAACGGACAGTAGCGATCGTACTCGCTCATGCCGTTTTGCTGCAGGAAGTCGTCCTTGAGCATCCGCGCGACCTCCAGCGTAATCTTGTCCGATTCTCCCAGCGCGCTTTTACCGACAAGTTGCACGATCTCAGCAAGATCTTCCTCCTTCTGCAGAATCTCCTTCGTCTTCATGCGTAGGGACACGAAGCCTTGTGAGTTAGACTCATAATAAGGCTCAAGCACTTTCGTGTACTTGGAGTACGACAAATTCCAGTTGACCGACGGGAAATGCTTGCGCTGCGCAAGCTTCTTGTCAAGACCCCAAAAGACCTGCACGATACTAAGTGTGGCGGATGTTACGGGATCCGAGAAGTCACCACCAGGCGGGGACACACTAAAATGTGGTCAGGATGATGTCAACACAGAAGTAATTCCTACCTACGCCCCAACAATCGACACTGTTCCTTGCCGCGCTGGGCTACCCAAACACTTGACTTTCCCGGCGCGCTCGTAAAAGCTCGCCAGCTTGGTCCCCAGGTAGGCAGGATAACCTGAATCAGCCGGCATCTCAGCCAGACGACCCGAAATTTCACGTAGCGCCTCAGCCCAACGCGACGTTGAATCTGCCATCATTGCCACATTCGAACCCTGGTCCCGGAAGTATTCCGAGAGTGTGATGCCGGTGTAAATGGAGGCCTCGCGAGCTGCGACTGGCATATTGGAAGTATTAGCAACGAGTGTGGTACGCTTCATAATAGGTTCTTGGCGCGAGCCAATCTCCATTGTAAGTTCGGGGAACTATAGAATGTCAGCGCGTGTCTCTGTTCGAAAGGAAGTGATATCACCTCCATCAACACTTCAGCCATCTAGAAATGGTATATGAGGAATGAAGCAACTTGAGACGTCTTCAATAACGCACCTCATTTCCGCGCTCACCACATCCGACGTAAATGATGATATCACTATTCGAGAACTTGGAAAGCGCTTGCGAGATGACGGTCTTGCCACAACCGAAAGCACCGGGGATAGCAGTAGTGCCACCTTGCACGCATCTATGCGCCTGTCAGGCATGAATGAATGATATTGAGACATACGCACGGGAAAAGAGCGTCCAAGATACGCTGACCAGTCAACAGGGGGAAATCGGCGGTTTGTTTCTCGGCAACGGGTCGAGGTGCACGGACTGGCCATAGCTGCATCATGGCGTGCTTTGTTGTCCGACCCTCGAATTCGGTCTCTAATACGATGTCCTGATGAAGAAAATCATAAAGAGAACATATGAATGTAGTTGTGCTGCGGACGTACATCGACTGTATAGCTTCCCTTTTCCGCGATGTGAGTGATTGTACCGAGAGCACGGGGAGGAAGCATGATCTTGTGGTTGTCGACGAGCGAGTTCTCATAGACACCGCCGAAGATATCACCCCCTGATATGTGGTCGCCGACCTGATACATATCAGTATATCACCAATGCCCGATCAATATCGAATCACCTTGTATGCAGCAGGGGTGAAGTCCCAGGATATTGAGCGATCCAGCGCCTCTGTGTTGATACCGCGAGGAATGTAGATTGATTTGGATAGTTCTTGGATGGACTGTATCCCATTAAATAAGAAGGTATCTACGCGACTGAAGTGTGGGGCTTACTCGGAGTGGTCTCTGAATGCCATCGACGATGTTACCCATCAGACCTGTGAAGAGCTGAGAAACCACAATGCATGCCACATTATTTGAGTAACCCACCTGGACCCAACTCAACACTAAGGGGTTTGCCTGTCCTTAGGACAGGATCGCCGACGGTCACACCAGACGTCTCCTCATAAACCTGAATCGTTACTTTATCTGCCTCTATTCGGATGACCTCTACGCCTCGTGAGTCTCACTTCGTTCCAGTACTAAGGCTGCTCACCTCCGACGAGCTCGTCGTGGCCGACGCGAACAAGCTCGTACATAGCAGCTCCAGTCATGTTCTCTGCGATCACGACAGGCCCTGAAACGCCATACACGTGTCCAAAGCGAGATTCGCGGTCTTCATATTGGATTTTTGGGAGGTCGCGCTTTGCGTTCTGGAGAGCGCCCGCCATCGTATACACAATGACAAGCTCTGAGTACTGACTATCGAGCTCCGGGCAGCACGCCCAAAGCGGAGTGTGAATATCATCGGTTTTTACCGAGGCGCGTTACCGCAGTGACGCGTCCCATAGCATAAGCAGTCTGTCTTGCTCATCGTTCTCTCCGTCGTCCGGAACACTTCTTTCACCGTCTGACACGATGCCTCCAAAAGCGTAAGTCCGTTTAGCATGCTCATTCTATTTGATGCTAACGACGTTCATGCAGTGATTGGGAGAAATGTATGTACAGCTTGACAAATCTCTTGTGCTGTCACTGATTTCTTGCAGACGAGAAGAAGGCCGACGACAAGGAGGAGAAGATTCAAGGTGTTTTGCTCGCATTCCCCGCATGTATCACGCCCTAACACCTTTCAGCTCTTACTACTAGCGACATTCAAATCCTCAAAACCTATGTAAGTACAATGTCCGAATGCTCCGTCCACCTACCAACGTATTTCTCGCAGGGCCAAGGCGCATACGCCGCAAAGTTGAAGAAGACAGAACATGACATCAAAGAAGTGCAGAAGCGGATAGATGAGAAGCTTGGTGCGCACAATCCTCTCCGCGCTGTTCATAGACTCATTCCAATGTAGGCGTGAAGGAGTCCGACACAGGCCTAGCTCCGCCGAATCTCTGGGATCTTCCTGTCGACCGACAACGCATGGGAGCTCATCCATTGCAGGTTGCACGGTGTACTAAAATCATTCCTGTCGACCCCAAGAAAGCCGAGGCTGCACGCGCCGTCAATCCCGTCGGTGCCGCTCAAGGCCAGAAGGGGGCTGACGAGCAAGACAAATATGTCATCAACATCAAACAGATAGCTAAATTTGTTGTTGGTCTTGGTGATCGAGTCGCACCGACAGATATTGAAGAGGGTATGCGTGTGGGGTGTGTAGAATTCCTTGTGCAAACCGGCGACGTACTAATATTTCAACAGTGTGGACCGGAATAAATACCAAATTCAGATCCCACTACCACCCAAGATCGATGCTTCGGTGACGATGATGCAGGTTGAGGAGAAGCCCGACGTAACGTATTCGGACGTTGGTGGATGCAAAGAGCAAATCGAGAAGCTGCGTGAAGTCGTTGAGACGCCGCTACTATCAGTGGGTTGTTCATATACTTAGTCATGCTGAGCAACTGACACCGTTCAAGCCCGAACGCTTCGTCAAGCTAGGTATTGATCCCCCAAAGGGGGTTCTTCTCTTTGGGCCGCCAGGAACCGGAAAAACCCTTTGTGCACGGGCAGTCGCCAATCGTACAGATGCCACTTTCATCCGCGTCATTGGCTCCGAGCTTGTACAAAAGTATGTCGGCGAGGGTGCGCGAATGGTGCGCGAGTTGTTTGAGATGGCACGCTCAAAGAAGGCCTGTATTATCTTCTTCGACGAGGTCGACGCTATCGGTGGGGCGCGATTTGATGATGGCGCCGGAGGTGACAATGAGGTGCAGCGGACAATGTTGGAGCTAATTAACCAGTTGGATGGATTCGACCCCCGAGGGAATATCAAGGTACTCATGGCCACAAATCGCCCAGATACTCTTGACCCTGCATTATTGCGTCCCGGTCGACTTGATCGGCGGGTAGAGTTCTCGTTGCCTGATAACGAGGGCAGGGCTCATATACTTAAGATTCATGCTCGGAGGTGAGAGGCTCAAGTGCCCACACTGATCAGTCTAGCTGATGACCCCTCTTTAGTATGAGCGTCGAACGCGACATCCGATTCGACCTTATTGCTCGATTATGTCCCAATACGACGGGTGCTGAGCTTCGGTCAGTTGCAACTGAGGTGAGAAATAGCCTTCTCCGGTACCAGACATGTTGCGATTATATCCTGTCCAGGCTGGCATGTTTGCAATTCGTGCGCGGCGGAAGGTTGCTACGGAGCGCGACTTCCTTGACGCTGTGGAGAAGGTCGTGCGGCAAGGGACGAAATTCTCGTCAACGTAAGCCATTGTTCATATCTTGCCCGAACAAATCTCATCATAATTTGCCTCCGCAGACCTCTATATCAAGTGTACAACTAGACTGTTTGACTCTAGGCTCGCATTGTTTTGCATGTATCATTCTCCCAAATCACGCATTTATGGACTGCTTGAGCATTCGGTTATGTAACCAGGACTCAGCACTGAGCACACACTTGAGTCTCGACCAAAGTCTCGACAGTTCTCTTTAGTATTGACTCATACTATAGGGATTTATCAGCAAAGCTATCAGGTTTTCATCGCGATCTGCAAGCCAGGGATGGGCTACAAATACCATGCAGCATGATGCCCCGCGACGGCGAGTGTAATATCTCTCAAGATCCTTTACTAATTGCTTGCGCTCTTTCTAGATATATCCTTGCGCAGATTGAGTATCGCTCCGTAAGGTCTGTGCATTAGATATTCATGACCAAGATATCATGCCATGCTGGTAGTTAGAATTTCATCCGAGTGGAATCGGCGTAGCATCAACCTCGAGGAAACCATTTCTGGTATGCAGTTCATGTTACTTCTGCTTCTTATAGGATAGGATCCACATACACAGTGGGGTTGGGACGTGTCATCCCGTATCACTTTGTGTGACTCCGCCTGATGTGGTATGCACTAGGAGACCTCCTGCTTGAAGGCTCTTTCGAGTGCCCAGAGCATGCCGAGGAACTATTTCTGGTATGCACTTCAGATTATTGCATGCAAAATTTGGGCCGTTCACATGCAATCAGTTCCTTATCGTCCAGTGCTCAAATATTTGGTGTGGCTTTGATGCTTCAACAGCCTAGATCAGATCGTTTGTTTGGCTCGCTTTAGCCTGGTGTGACATATGCTGGACGACCTAGACTTCAACGCATCCTCTTCCTTTAAGGACTCAATGAGCAACAAGACGATACTTCGATGATGGACCTGGACTTTGGCTATGTCAGTCTTGGCGATAGCTGTATTAAGCTATTGTCGAAAATATTTTACGAACCGTGAGTTACACCTTGAAATGTTATCCCACATCGATCACGAAGATATCGTCAGCTTCGTTGTGGACTTCAACGTGGTATTCATGCCACACGGAGACAGGTAGAGGTTTATTTAATGCATGTCGTTGGGTGTCTATTGCTCGGCAGGTGGCGCCTTCACTGACTAATTTTGCATCAGGCATTCTGTCAAGCTGAAATACCCACTTATCACGCTGTGCAACTCCGTTCTGCACACATGATGTTAATCAGTCTTTTGCAAGAACTTGGCAATTATGCAAGTCATTTTCTAATGTCAGTCGCGACACATCCTTCTCGTCTCATGCTGAAGCTGATGTTTATCAGGTTTGTTGTCTTATTCGTTCTCCCAATTGTATACGATTACGAGCCTGAAGCAAAGGACGACCACGTCGTCGACGCCATCACAAGGTACAAGGATTTGGTGGTCGGAGGTTTAGCGAGGTCTGACGGCGTTAATGGAAATATTCTCTCTCCGTATGTTTGGACATGCAGTGAGGGCTTGGAGTTAAACCTTAGTGATTCTTCTAGTTTGACGGCTACCTGGCTGGTTTCCTGGTGCTATATTCAAGCGATCATCAGTCAAATGCATCCGGGCAGGCCATGACATACGGGAGATACACTTCCAACGTGTCATAGAGAGAATGGTGCGTCACCCGGTCAATAGAGCCACAAAAAACAGACGAGCCCGCGCAGTCTACGGGCGACATTGCACCATGCCCGGCGGCTGATACTTTGAACAAGATGAGGTTTTCTGTTTGTCTTCGACTCAGACTTTTTCCACTTTACTTGTCTTCCTTCTTGCAATGGTTCTCCACCCCGGGGCACAAGCTAAAATGCAAGCGGAGATTGATCGAATCGTTTGCAAACACAAAGTCCCAGACTTCGATGATAGGCCAGCGTTGCCCTGCGTAGAGAGACGCTCAGGTGGCATCCTGTGACGCTCGGTCTGTCCGCAACACAACATCCTTTGACAGTATTCTCTGGCATTCCGCACGCAACAACAACCAGTTACATCTACAAAGACTGTTTCATCCCTAAAAGTTTGTTTCCGTGTGTCATTCGTCGACGTTGCTGTATGACTATGAGTGTGTGAAGCGAACAACATGTAACTTAGCATAAACTTGCTAACGCTGATCAAACGGTTAGTAAAGGAAAATTCGCACAGTACTACTCTAGTATGTAGCGCGCTTACCATTGATCAAGCTTGCATATGTGAATCTTTCTCTATCCCATATAAAGGAACTGCTACTCAGGGGAGCCGTGGTCCGTGGAGAAGCTAGTTCCGTCCGTCCAGCACAATGATGATCAGCCTTCGAGTGGGTGCCCTCGCAGCGCGTACCATCCAACGGCGACGGTACCATGTTCGTCGTGCACCGTCGCCACCGTCTGCTGAAGCTGCTCGACTTCTAGACTCATTCGCAGCACATCCACCACTTCCTTTAACGCTCTCAACACTCGTGTCCTTTGGGAACCCTTTAACACCTGCATCTGTGCTGCGCTCAGTAACCTACGTGCTCTCTGAGATACCAAGACGCATGGCCCAGCGCGTCCACGCCCTCGAGGCCTTGCCATTCATTGTCGGCACTAATCCATATGTTGCACGAACTCTCAACGGTCACAGAGACAGCTTCAATGTACTCGCCACTTATCCCGAAGTGCGCACACTTGAGGACAACAAAAAATTTGTCGATGAACTAGATATACTCGTGCAGAGACATAGAAACGATATACCAACCATGGCCAAGGGGTGCGCTAGTACTTGTGTCTCGACCGATTAAGCTGACTCCAATAACTCTTAGATTCCAAGAGTGCTCGCGATACATGTCACCGACTCAAATATCCAACTTCCTCGATGGTGCTATCAGATCCCGCATTTCTGTACGCCTGATTGCTGAACAACATATCGCGCTCTCACACGCACTTGCTACGGAGGATCCCGGCGCTGCAGAGGCTGGTGTGCTCATGCACAATGGTGTCATTGATCCCAAGTGCTCCCCCGCGGCCATGGTCCGCATGTGTGGCACATTCGTCAGCGAACTATGCGAGGCGACCCTCGGTGCAAGCCCTTCCATTACGATAGATGGCTGTCCAGAAGCTGTGTTCGCGTAAGTTCATATTATCTATAGCACAAACCCATCAGTATAATTCTCCACCACCCAGCTATGTCCCTGTGCACCTTGAATATATCCTCACCGAAATGCTCAAGAACGCGTTCCGCGCGACCGTAGAGCACCACCACAAGCTCCATGACCTCGTTTCATCCCGTCCGCTACCACCCGTACAAATCACCATCTCACCCCCCACTCCATCCCACCCATTCCTATCGATTCGAATTCGCGACCAGGGTGGTGGCGTCTCACCGTCCAACATGGCTCGTATATTCTCATACGCTTTCACTACCGCAGGGCATGCCGATGACCAGAATGGAGATGGTGGCCCGTACGCTGCCCAGCATATTGGCGGGAGCGCTGCCATAGGGAGTGGCAGTGCAGGGGAAGGCGGGAACCTTTTTGGCGAGATTACAGAGAAGGGTATCCAGGTAGGCCTTGGAACAATTGCAGGTTTAGGGTACGGACTCCCTCTGAGTCGATTATACGCAAAGTGTGTTCCCCTTCATTTTTCACCTGTCTAGCCTCATGTTGAATTTGTAGATATTTCGGTGGTTCATTGGATGTATTTTCGCTTGACGGGTGGGGTGAGCTCGATCAGGTATTCTTGGGTCGTTTCGGACTTGCTGATGATCTTGCAGGCAGCGATGTCTTCATTAAACTTAGATGTCTGTTAGATGAAGCAGGTAACGCCGAGATATAGATCTATCAGACGTGGTAACGTGTAGCTGTAATTCATTTCTGACATTTGGCTGTTACTCTAAAGCTCGTGTCTCCAAGCAGCCATATAACTTGCGTGTTTTTCCGGTGTCCTGTCGACAATAGTTAATGCATCTTGATTGTGTGTGGGTGTGAATCTCCCAATTTCATTCTTGTCTCAGTTGCGTGGATCGCTCCTCATCCCCAAATCCTGATATCCAGAACGTCGGTGATCAGCTGGTCCTTGAAATGGCCACCCTCTCCCAGTTAGTACTGGTTGTACATCACAATTAACGCATAGCATCAAGATTGGTTTTGGATTGGTAGTATCATCTTAGTGACTGGCCCTTGCAGATTTCTCTAAAATAACAGTGCCAAACCAGTGCCTCGTCATCGCGAATTCGCCATCGTCTTGCGTTACACAATCAACCCGGCCAACAAACTTCCGCCCTTGCACCAGGAGGGGCAGCCAGTAAACATCACTATCCCACATCGTTTCATACGGGATCGGTGGCACCTTTGCGTCTGCGTTAGACGCGGTTGACGCGAATGAAAACCACTCCGGTCGCATTTCGTCTGACCTGGGGTCCGGCCCTTCAGCGAACAACGCAGTTGCGCAGCCAAAAAGGACCTACTCTGTAGGTGTTCCTGAGTATGAGTGGGCGGAAAATATCTCGATCTGGAAAGCCCATCCAGCGCCTTTCGTCATGAACAGCAATGATCCTGCGTGCTCGAGGGGCGCATCGATGCCGGCTTCTTCCTGAATCGTACATCAATATTTGCTACTTGTCTTGTAAAAATGAAGTTAGAGGACTTTGAGTTCGCGCATCGCAGCTTCGATGAGCGTCTCTCCTGGTTCCACCTTGCCACCAAACCCATTGTACCTGTTATTATTCCAAAATCACTCTCGTGATTGTGACAAAGCCACAGAAGCTTGCCTACTTGTTGATGCCAAATCCACGTTTCTTCAAACCGAGAAGGATCTAAGAAGCTGAAGTGTTCCCCTTGAATGGGTGGACTGTATGGTGCCAGTACACACCTTATCGTCCTGGATGACGAACGCGTTGGTATAGAATCGCTTCTGGTCGAATGACAGCCAGCCTCCTTCTCCCCCTTGAACATATTCTACAAGGTTTCCTTCAAGCCCAGGAGGAAGTATGCATGGCATTTTAACTTGTGGTTCCCTTGCGAGGCCTCACAGAGATCAAATTAGCGCTGAATCGCGTCTCAGCATTTGTCAGAAATTCGGTACCGAGTATCGGTGGAAGTACTTGCTCCATGTAAGAAAGGTGCAGTGAAAAACTATCCGGCCAGTTATTGACTGGGTTATTAACCCAGGAGACAACAGCTTATTATTAACCGACATTTTTTAATGGAGGTGTAGGCGGCGAAAATCGACGGTTTTGAGCTGCGGGAGAGGCCCAAAAGCTGCTGGACGGGTCAGAGGGTCCCTGGGTGAGCAGGTGAGCACAATGCGACAATACCTAAGGGGAAATGCCGACACGCTAACCGAGGGACTGCGAAATTCGCATAAATATTCTTAAGGCATCATGCATACTCTAGGCTATAGAAGGGGTTGAGTGATATGCTTTTTCCTTGATCTGCCTTCTGACAAACATAAACCGCATGATTATATACATCATGCCACCAGTAACTGAAACCATCTGTCATCGAGTTAACATGAATTCTGGAGAAAATAGTAGTCACGGTCAACTCACCCCAGAAAACAGAGCAGGTATCCACCAGATATAATTTGATGTCAGTAGAGCACCAGATATGGGTGTTCCTCAATTTAAAAAAAATTAGAATACAAGCCAAGAAATGGCACAAATGCACCTACCAATCAAGCTTCCAAATCCTGCAGCGATCACATACAAGTTTGAAATAATGTAGAAGTTATAGTTAATGTTACCTACCACTGATGAAGAAACAAATGCCCATCCGCGCGCTATAATCTAAATTAGATGATTTGCACTTCCGAATCTAAACTATTGCTCACCCAAGCTCAGAGAGGTCAGGCGTTAAAGTAGCCACAAGCGGAGCTATCATCGCAATGTCTGCATCATCCAACCCATCATTAACTTTTCACCCTAGTGGAAAAGAAACGACTTACACAGCCCTGCAAAATAGCCATACATCACACCAAGTACAACGACGCTGGCCAGGCTACTCAATCCAATCATGCCCAAAGTGAGCACACCGCCCGAAATCGTTGCAACTATGATCAAGTTTGGGACTCCCGTGAACGTCGCGATGAACCCTGATGTAACTCGTGCCACACAATTGGACACATTTAAAATCACTAGCTAGTGATACAGTCAGCAGGCGAATCATTTGCATAGTGCTGTACCGACAGAGTAAAACGAGAAGGTGATGCTGAGACCGTGCTTGATAGAGTCGAGTTGAAAGAAGAACAACGGGTAATAGAAGCCAGTCTGGAAAAATAAGCCCCTGCAGGACAGTTATTTGAAAGAAATCGAGAGAAGTTGTTTTGAGGTCTCACCCTGCTATCGCGAAAAGAAATGGTGCATCACGAATACATTTTCTAGCTGCCGTAATATAGTTCGCTGGTGTTATCGGCGGATCAAGGCGAGTTCGCATGCATAGACATGCTATCAAAAGGAGCACGCTGACCAACCCTGCGCTTGCACGAACACCATTTCCAAAACCAAGACGACCATTCAGAAGGTTATTGAGCATAATCGGATGGATGACAGCACCCAGCGATGAGCCCGAAGCAACGAACGTCATAGCCAGTGTGCGTCTCCTTCGGAAATAATGCGAAACAACAGCTATGCTCGGGACATACACGAGTCCCGATGCGATACCCAGGCCTATGCCTTGAGCAAGGAATATCTACACTTAATCAGAAACCGGGGTCGTAAAGTTGGGAGACGGTACCTGATAGTACTGATCAGGTTTCGACAAAGACAACATGAAGAGAGAGAAACTCTGCAGCAGCGATCCAGCAATCACAAGATGGTAGCTAGATAAGCTTGCTGAGTATCCTCGAAAACCTCCAAAAAGTTACACCCACAAATATCCCCGGTCATATAGTGAACCTGATATCAGGCCCACAGCGGTGACCAAAAATGTGTTCAAGCTCCCAATCCATCTGTAAGACCTTGAGCATACCCGCCATGAAGACACACTTGGAAACTTACGATATAGCAGACGATGTCTCGTTTGTGAGGTAATGTTGGGTATAGAAGTCTGAAGGGTAAGAAGTATAATATTCCATTTTCACTTTCATGTACAACAATACCTTGGTAGACACCAAATGAAGTGGTGTAACTTTAACCTTCAGTCGAGCTATTCTTCGTCGACAACAGGTGGTACCTAACTCACCCAAATCCGCATAACTGTACAAGAAACCTAGGCAGATCAAGTAAGGCCCAGCTTTACCGTCCAGGTTTGAGCTTCTTACGCTCCAAAAGTCGTGGCCCAAGCAGCCAGACCACCTTCAGGAAACTCATGCGGGCGTAAGGAAGGGTCGGAGTCCTTGGCAACTTGGCATCCTTCCGGTGTATCTGAGCCCTCCTTGTCCTCTTGGGGGGCGGTTCCGTCCGTATAAAGCATTCGAGGCTCGGATTCAGATAACATCCTATGTTAGGACAGCTGATGATAGCGACTGTATATATATGTGGACCCCATGTCCGTTGCGTCACGAGTTGAGAATCTGGTCTCGGCTTCTCAGAGCAGAGTGAGAGCGTTTACACAGACTGATGGGAAACGTAGGGTTGACGTGAAGGTCTTTAAACAGACTGTGTACCCGACACTCGCCTTTGCTGCGGACAAATTACTTTGTACGCTCGGAGCAGTACTTGGAAGAAATCTCCTGCACGATCGGAGGATTTGAAGATCAGTACAAAACATTTATCAAGACGTAATCTTACTTTCCATGTTTTCCGACAAGCCTTAAATGGATATGAATCGGCCTGACCGTGATGTCCACGGAAGCACTCTAGTAAACGATGTAAGTATAGCGGTTTTTCATACACCCGGAGTAACTGTGGTGCACGCCGCGCGGCGCTAGCACAGCCCGAACACGCGTGGTTCGAACCTGCAGCTCACCTTGACCTGGCCTTCGGGGCCCGAGTTTACTCGATGCCTCTGCGACGCGACCTGTACATGCTGACTCCACGTCAGCGACGAAAAGCTCGAGGATTGTCACTGTTCAACCGATCACAAGGAGAATTCAGCACACTCAAGCAGTTGGAACCTGCTTTACTGTTGGCGACGCTCGCGAGTTTGCAATGAGGGGTGCTCAACAAGCGAAAACTGCATGTCACTCTGCCCGCCAGCCACAAACTGACTCCCCCAAGTTTTCTTTCGGGTCGTGATATCTCCGTACGGTATAAATACGGAGTTGAAGTCCGCAGTGAAGCTGACAGTATGATTGCCATTGACTGTATTGACTCACGCTGTGTAAAATTAGAGAGGTATTGCCTTTGGGTGACAAACCTCGGTGACGAGTTTACCAACTTGTATTATCAATCTGCTGGTTAGTCATAGTTATGTAGTTCAAAGTCAGCTTGATTATCTAAGATTTAGCGGACGGACTCGTCTCCCACCTACGCACCTCTCAACTCACCGTCAAGACCCCCGTGTAACATGTGAGTGTTACTCTCCGCATGTTTGTTTCAGGATGGCTGGTTGGGTGGAATTCGAACTGGACGAATTAGTGGATTTTCAAGTGGTCAGGGTGGATGTTGTCAGATTGCTTTGGATGTGACTCTATTGGTCCAGGTACTGGGTACTGATCGCAACTTCTTCTATTGCATCACAGATCACAACAATGGGTCGTCGCCCAGCCCGCTGCTACCGTTACTGCAAGAACAAGCCCTACCCCAAGTCACGGTACAACCGTGGTGTCCCTGATCCCAAAGTTCGTTCACCCACGCCTCGTCACTCAAATCCTCACCCCTCTGCAGATCAGGATCTTCGACCTCGGCCGGAAACGTGCATCCGTCGACGAGTTCCCCTTCTGCTGTCATCTCGTCTCTGATGAGTACGAGCAGCTGAGTTCCGAGGCGCTCGAAGCAGCCCGTATCTGCGCCAACAAGTACGTCACCAAGACATCTGGCAAGGATTCGTTCCACATGCGTGTCCGTGTGCACCCATTCCACGTCATCCGCATCAACAAGATGTTGAGTTGTGCTGGAGCTGATAGGTTCGTGACTTCGTACGGAATTCGTGGTGCGAGTCTTACATTTTTTTTCGTGTAGGCTTCAGACTGGTATGCGTGGTGCTTGGGGTAAGCCCTACGGCACTGTCGCCCGTGTCAACATCGGCCAGATCATCCTCTCTATCCGTTGCAAGGAGTCCAACGCTGCCGTTATCCAGGAGGCTCTCCGCCGTGCACGATACAAGTTCCCCGGACGCCAGAAAATTATTGTCTCGAAGAAGTGGGGTTTCACGAATGTGGACCGTCAGGATTACATGAAGCTCAAGGAGGATAAGAGAGTGTTACAGTGCGTATCATTTCAGGTCGTTTGGCGAATTTTTGATTGACACCTTTGCCGTGCAGGGATGGAGCTTACGTACAGTTTATTCGTGCTAGAGGCCCGCTGGAGCAGAACTTGCGTGCTCAGCTCAGAGCTTAGGTCTATACTCATCATGCATATGATTACTGTCAGTGGAACGAGTGAAAGATATACTGCAAGCGCCTGCATGCTAAGAATTCTATGAGATGGTGTCGATGTGAGTGGTGAAATAAAACATGCACATCAGCTTCTTTAAATTTTGAACGGCGGTTCGCAACGCTTCCTGCGCCAACATTCCGCCATCCCCCATTATACTCATCTAGTTCAGGATCGCCTTCGATATCTACAAGTAGACCATGAACGGGACTAGAGTCAGCAATACTCTAATTTCTGCACTGGATTATGGCTACAGTTTCAGATATTTACAGATCACGTAACGGAACTTCCGCCGTCCTTTCACTCCCAGCAGGCGGTGGTGCAGAGGTCCTGCCACTCGGGTTTCTTGACAACCCGTTCATCATGATTTTGCGATTGAATACTTTGCCCCGTGAGATTCCCATGTTTTCCATCAGTTCTGTTCCTTTCTAAGTTGAGACATGGAGGCAACCTCAGGTACTAGTTGGGTACCAGCGATTCGTTGTTCTGTTCCTCGTATTATGCTATATCCAGCGGTCGACTACTCTTCCCGCCTCAGTTCTTCACCCGTGTCGATTCCATCTCCAGGCCCTAATTTTTTTCTCAGCTCCCGGCATCCTCAAGCTCGATATCCCGATATGTGCATTATTGTCACGCACCAAGTTCAAGTGTACGAGCTCCAAATTATTCGACATGTATATACATACGTACGCGATCTTGATCATGCATACTTGTTCACCGTACAAGCTTCGGACCGACGCACATTTCATGTACGAGCTTTACATATCACAACACGTCTGCTACAACTTGCATACATACTGTAATCTCATGCATACCTGCGCACTTCTGTTAGTTACTTTACAAGCTTCGCACAATTCGTGTGCAAGCTTTACATGCGACACATATGTCGTTTTACTACTTGCATACTATACATGCTACAAGCTCATGCATACCTTCTACCATTCTGTTCGGGGTTTGTAAGCCATACGAGGCAGTAACCGGCCATACACGCTAGTGATTCTTTTGTTGATGCGCCTGACTCGTGGCACGCCGCACAAGTCTAATTCCAAGTACTACCTGGGGAGAGTACAAAATGTCGCAAATAATGTCGCAGCCAATTCAACTAGATAAGGCCAAACCTGTGCGACATTTATCTGCCTCCTGGAGCGTCCTCCCAGCTGAGACGTACACCAGCTTTTAACAGCATCTGTACACGATGTTCGATATTTCGCCTCCCTCCTACGCGGAATTGGCTTCTCGAATGTGAGTGCACTGCTTCGAATTGTGATTGATCGCTGAAAAGTATGGTTGAAGCGAGCGTCTATGACATTGACAGCCAACAGTGGGATGACTGTCACCGTCGAGGAAGCGCGAACACTGCTAGGTACGCATTTGTCTGTTCCCCGAGACATCTGTACAATTTCCCATAGCAACGTCATACATCTATGCGGACCATTTTGACGAGTGGTCATTCAACACCGACAACCTGCAGGCTGCCCCGTCTCAGTTGTCTCCACCTGACATCGATCGAGACGCCACGTCTTTTGAAATTCCTCTGAACACCTTGCTTGAATGCCTGAATATTTTTGGAACTGCGAACATGTCTTCCTCAGGCAGTACAGGTTCGAAGCACAAGCAGTGGCGTCGAGCCGATGATGCCTCAGATGACGAGAGGGGCAACGAGGGACGGCGTCCCAATGCCAATAGTATCGATCAGCACTTCGGCGGTAACGAGAAGCGGACGAGCATGCGTCTCACATATGAGGGGCCTGGATACCCCTTGACACTTGTTCTGTAAGTTCTTATCCTCTTGGCTTGAACGACTGCACAGATGTGTTGCAGTGCAGAAGACTCGTCAGGGCCCACGACGACGTGTGAGATATCGACTTTCGATACTGAGCCGAACTTAGAGCTCCCATTTGATGCTGAACAGACGTTGGGTGTCTCCTCAAGTGCTTCGTCCTTTGTCCTTATACCTTATTTAGCGCCCTCAAGATCATTTTCAAGGTCTGTTTGGCGCACATCGAACTCATGACGCTGCTCACACTGTGACCAGTCATCGTTCTGGCTCCGTGATGCCCTTGCAGAGCTTGATCCATCCTGTGAAAAAATAACGTTGATCGCCAACCCTGTAGCAGATATCCAGACAGCGCAAAGAGGCGTTCCCGCCAAACCCCTCTTTCGAATACAGGGAACGGGAGCATTCGGCAGCACTGAAGTGAGTTTGTGAGTTTGTACAGGGTTTGGGTTCCAATCTGCTGCAGATGGACTATCCAAACGACAGAGAGGTGCTAGAAACATTCGAGTGTTCGCGCAGTGTCAGCTTCAGGTATTGTGATTTGTTGTGATGCGTGTACTAGAATTGACTGAGATGATCGATATTAGCTATCGTTTTGCACCTCTGTCACGCACGCTGCGAGCTTTGCAGAACTCGACAAAGACATCCCTTCGCCTTGAGCAGGAGGGTTTGTTGAGTTTGCAGTTCTTAGTGCCCGTGCCGAGGCCGCGGGGTGGCATGTCAGATTCTTTTATCGAGTTTCGAGTGAGATTGTTTTGATTTAGTTCTAAAGGCCGAGGCTGACCAGAACAGTGTCTTGCTTTGGACGATGATGTCGCCCACTGAAGCAACGTGTGCCCTGCTCCTCAATGGAGGTTGTGGCGAGCCATCGGGTTTTCTCAATGTAAAAGGAGGGGACCAGTACTTCAAACATCTTACATAGACAGGTAACATGACTTGTGATAAATGAGTATCAATAACACAAAAATCTAAGCAACGTCTACGGAACGGGGGGTACGATATAACATTAATTAGAGTAACCCATCGAAGTACCTAGCAGAGCTGTCTTGTGCCTTCGTTGACGATATGGGTATGGGGGCAGCCTTTGGGGAAGATGGCGAAGAAGGGAGGTAGTCGGCGATGATGGCGTCAAAGGTTGCTGGTGTTGTAGGTGCTAGCGAGAGCTTCAGATGCTTTACAACATGATTTACAGAAAAATGATTCACCAAGTGCAGGCTTCGTTTTGGCGGCTAGGCCAGAGACAATAAGCTGGCGGATTGCAGCACCGTCTAGTGGCTGAATGATGTTGTGAACAAGTGTGAGATCAAGCGTATGTGATGAACTATACCTTGACTTCCTCAACCTTTTTCGGCGCTGAAACCTCCTTCTTCGCTTCCTTGAAAGTTCCCATTGGACTCGACGCTCTCCCGAGGTACGCAAGTACGTCACCCTTGGTAAGCATTCCACGAACACCCGTACCCGGGATAGCTTCCGCATCAGCAATGTTACCTTCAATGAGGAGGCGTATCACCGAGGGTAGTAAGTGCTTCGAGTGCTTCGGGTGGTGCGACACTTTGGGAGCGATAGGTTGAGGTGCCGGTGCCGGAGGTGGGAGTGGAGCTGCCTGAGTCTCGGGTTTCGGAGGGGGAGGTGCTGGCTTCGACTCCTCCTTGGGTGCCTCAAGGTTCGAGATGTCGTCTCCTTCCTCAGCAAGGAGGGCAATGACTTTGCCAACCTGGATGTTCTTGCTACCGTCTTGGACCTGGATTGCAGTCAGTGCTTGTTGTAATTGCTATGAAATGAGGAGACAAACAATGATTTTACCCAAAATACCATCATCCTGTGCCTCGACGTCAATGGTGGCCTTGTCAGTTTCCTGTTGGGTCGGTGAGGTTCCGTGTGTGAACGGAAACACGCAAAGTTCATACAATTTCTAGCAGGACATCTCCTGCAGAGAAAGACTCGCCTTCCCTCTTTTTCCAGGAAGAAATGCCACCTTCTGTCATAGTGGGCGACATGGCTGGCATCTCAAGGCTGGTGATGGCATACTGGACTCTCGTCTGGTGCAGAGCTGAGAGAGAGAGTTATGTATGAGCTTTGCCAGAAGTGAAACAAACGCACTTCTATGCTGCACTCGTGACAAAAAGCGAGCAAGGCTCATTGATTGACGAGCAGGACGCATCATGAGGAAGGTCGATGGTGGGCCGATATATGAATCTCAAGTCCGAGCAATGACACGGTATTCAGCCCGTGGGAGTCCTTGACCCCTTCAATTAAATTGCAAAGCTTGTACATAACCCCTCCTCTCGTCCACCGTGACCTTCATCCTCTCATCCCAGATTATATTGACGCTGGAGGATTCACCGAAAACACTCTGAGACACGTCCGATATTCCAGCAAACACGACCAGCGACATTAGGACTTCCATCTTTGAACCGATTTCTGCCCGCATTTTACGTACCTGTGTTTGAAAGCTAGAGTGGTGGAAAGAGCTCTATGCCATCGCTGTCAATTGAAGCTCTTGTGGAGGAACGTGTGGCACAACTCGAGTGAGTGCACTATATTCAATACCACTACACAATGTTTACGCTAGTATGTGTGCAGAGTAATTTCACATCGCAGAAATGAACTCCTTCGCGAAATGTACCGTATGATGAGGAGACGGCAAAACGCAGGGTCCATATCCATGGCTGACGATGAGGACGAAGATGGACTACAGGATTGGTTAGATAAATATGATCTCAACGAGAAGTTCGTGGCGTTATTCACCGATTTTCCTCGTTAACGTGCTCATCCCCACCAGTCCCGATGCGGCCATGGTGTCAAATATTCCACAGAGCGAACTATGTGCCACTTCATCACCTCCAACTCATGAGGAGTTTAAACCTATAGAACTACCGGACGTCATCGATGTCGATTCCCCCATGTCAGAGCCTCCTGCTTCACCTCACTCCGAATCATCCATATTACTTCAAGTTCCAGAATCCGATGACCCCTTGGCCATATCGATACCGGAAGGGTCACCTCCCCGCGCCACTTCCATATCGCACAAACGCCCGAGAACAGACGACGAGCCGGATGAACTGAATCTCGTAGCGCTTTCGCGATCGCCCTCTCAGCGATCAGTCAGTCGTCGCAGTCAATCCCTGACCCGCCACACGTCTCGTTCGAAATCTCGTACATTCTCGCCACGTTCTCCTGAACATGCAAATGTCACCATCGACGAGGTAAGTGAAGTCGCAGAAGTACTCGTCGACGTGGAGGAAAGGGACGTACCCATGGACGAAGTTAGAGAACTCTCGCCTGATCTCGTCCTTCCATCACCTTCGCCCGGCCAGAAAATTACGCCTCGCGCCATAGTCTATCCCACTGTGGACGTTGCAGTTATTCAACCTTCCCTCCTCATTCCCACCCCCACATCTCCAGTGGCTGACCCGGCATTCAGCTTCGATGAGGCCGAGAGCGAGCCACCTGAGGAGACACCGTCTGCTGCTTCAACACCTGTAGAGGCGCCACGGCATCAACAACAACATCAGCAGCAACAACAACATCATCATCATCATTTCAACCCCGCCTACAGTCTACCTCCGATCAAATCATTGCCTCCTGAATATCTCCGCAAGAGCAAGTCTGCCAAACAGAAAAAGCGAGATAAGGAACGTGACAACGCAGACGGAAAGACCAAGGATGAATGGACACCGATGGGCCTGACCAAGTGGGGTGCAACCATTCGTGCAAACCCTGTCTGGAAGAAGGTCTCTCGTGCCACCAAGTGCTTGAGCACGCGTGACTGGGGTGTATGTGACGTAGATCTATTACAGCCGAAGTACTCACAAGTATGTAGGTTGCCATTGCCGAAGTCAGGCTCACGCGTGCCCTTGAACGCGTCGAAAGCCTCGAGAATGTCGCAAAGTGGAGTTATAGGCAGCCCAAAAGACAAAAGAACCTCGGGGGTTTGACCAAGACCCACTGGGACTATCTTATGGACGAAATGGCATGATCTCCATGATTCTCGCGGTGCATGTGGCTTACATTCTAGTTAGAAATGGATGCGCGTTGATTTTCGCGAGGAGCGACGCTGGAAATATGTTCTCGCGTTTAACCTGTCGACTGCTGTACTGGAGTGGCATGACGCAGGGAGTCGCGAGGAGAGGGTTAGGCTTGGCATCTGTGTTTTGTGGAAGCGTCCCAGGTCTTCTCAAAATGTCCCTATGGAAGATGTAGACACGGATTCGCGGCCTGCGGAGCATAATGGCTATACCCCTATGGCAGACGAATCCGATGGCGATGAAGAGGAGGGAGAGGCGGAGCAAAGAGATATCGTAGACGCTCTAGAGTCGCGTGACGCCTTAGAGGAAGCACTGGACGGAACAGGGTCTAATGAGTCCATTGACAGTAGTCAGCACCAGACTCCAGGCCCCGACCATGTCCAGCCCAAAGTCGAAGATGTTGAAGATCCTTCAGCCCTGCAAGACTCAAATACGATGAACGTGGACGCGCAGCAGGAAGACCAAGCCAAGGTCGAGAGCGATGATCAGACTGGTCTCAAGGCACATTCAACGGATCCTAATCTTGCCTCGCAGCAAAATACGCAACCGGATGCTACTCCTACGGGATCGTCGTCCAAAGCGTCCAAAGCGAGTTTGTATGCACCGCTCAGGGAGCAGATCGCATACTCGGATGAGCTAAAGCTTTTCCTCGACGACGACGATCTCATCCTTGTCAAGGCACTCTCAGATCTGACTACAGATGACTCTGGTATTGAGCCGTCGCTACCCATCGCTGATCTCTCGGACATTTTCCCCGACCTTCAACCGCTCGGCATGCCAGATGTTATTTCCAGCTCGAATGAGGGGAAGAAGAAAGATAAGAAGTCGGGAGAGGATAACAGGCGTCTCGAGGATGCTGGATTTACGAAGATGGCACCGTTGGGTCGCTTCATGCACTCTAAGCCGACGCTTCTTGGACCTTTGCAACCTGCTAGGCGTTGGGTGAACGGGGAGTGGATGTTTGCTGAAGAAGCAGCAGTGGCTGTGGATTTCGATGGTGCGATTGGGAAGACAGTGGATGATACTGCCTCAGGTAAGGTTGGGGTCAGAAAGTGATAGTTATGCTGATTCTGTTATTTGCAGACCTTTTTGAGGGCAGTAGGCCATCCGCAGTTAGCTCCCTCGGACTGCCATCGAAAGATGGCAAGAAGCGTTCGGAGCATCTTTGGAGCTCGGATGAAGACTCCCTGCTCAAAACCCTCGTGGATAGATATCCCAATAACTGGCTTCTAGTTTCGGACTCATTCAACTCCTCGCGTGTCACTATTTCCACTGATAAACGAACTCCCTGGGAATGCTTCGAACGTTGGAGCAGCCGCTTCGGTAGCGGACACAGATTCCATCCTGATGTCAACTCCCCTGTCAATGCGGAGCGCACGCCGCCGCCAGCATCAACCTCAGCTCAAGGACAGATGACAACGAGAGGCGTTAAGCGGTTAGCTAGTATGTCAGTTACACAGAACCAAAGCCCTGGAGCGGGCCTGACGTCTGACACCAAAAAACGGCGGAGACATACATTCATGTATGAGACGATGCGCAAAGCTGCGAAGAAGCGCGAAGCCGCGCAAAAAGCGTCCAGTGAGCTACATTCGTGATTTACACCTTACCAGCACTTACCAGTTCGTGTAAATTCATTAGTGAATCAGCGAAAGGCATCCAACATTCATGATACACATGGGCAGTATCAGAAAATGCCTAAACTGACACCAGCTGAACTTAGTCGTATGAAGTATGAGAAAGAGTCGAGGGAGCAACAAGAATTACTTCTTGCGCGACGTCGCCACGAGGAACTTACTCGTCAAGCAATGATGCAGCGCGACCCAAGGCTGCAAGCGGCCGCGGCCGCAGCTGGTGTATGTATTGTTGTCCCGCCTTTTCTCGAGCGTTGTTCTGACAGCGAGTTGCTAGCAACCTCAACAGGCGGCGGCGACGGCAGCAGCAGCCCAGCAACAGCAGCCAAATGGAACGCCAAGACCAGCAGCCCAGCCTGCACAGGCTGTCCCGCAAATACGGAATCAACCTGTGGCGCAGGTCAATATCTCTCAGCAACAGCGAATGCCAACACCAATGGCATCAGTAGCCGTTACAGGGGCTCGTATGTCCCCTCAGCACGTGTTGCAAGCCCAAGCCGCTCAAGCTCGTGCTATCGCTGCAGCCGCACAGGCCGCCCAAGCTCAAGCCCAATCCCAATCCCAAGTGCCGGCACAAGGTAGCCCCGTTCCTACCATAAACGGCCTTCCTGCTGGTGCCCACCTGTCACCTCCATATCAGTCGCGCGCTGCAACATCATCGCCTGGCGTGGCACCGCAAGCAACTCCTCCACGCAATGTAGGCACGCCTTCCAACGCTGCTTCTCCCCGACCACCCTCTGCACAACCGCAACTACCCATGCAGCCTCCTCAGATGCCTGGAAATACCGTTCCACGGCAGGCTCATTACTTTCCGGTGTTGCAAACGCTTCCCGGTGGTCAATTCACACAGGAACAGATGGACCAAGCTCTTCGGTTGATGCAGGTGAGCTAGCTTCGACCGATGATAGGGTAGCGGCCTTTAATGGTGGTGCATTTCTTTCGGCAGCAGCGGTCCACTATGGCTCAGGCACAGCAGAATAGTCAGTATCCCTCGCAGACCTGATATCGCTTAGCGTATATTTTTGCCTTGCATCGGCTACCTGTATCTGCTGCGATTCATGAACACACTCACGGGACCATGCATGACTCCTTCATCCATTTTGCCTGTCTTACGACCCGGCTGGTCATTGATCAAGAATTAGGCACTTGAGAGGCCACTTTTCGAATCGAGCGTTTAGTAAATACTCCCACTTACAAGCTTTATTCGATTTTGCGGATCGAATCTTCCTGTAAACTTCCTGTAAACTTGAACCTTATCGCTGCGTAATGGGACAGCACTGTCCCTTGTGCGGCAAGATGGACATAATTATGACGGCCTGTGCATGAACGCGGGCACACATCATTATTGGGGCGTTCTAGTACTATGCTACATAGATTGCTGTATGCGTGATTTCATGGCGAGTTCGTGAGGTTCGTGTCAGAAATATGGAACGTGGATATATCGTGCAACAACCGAAAGCGTGAGAGAGAGATTAACGCGATCCTGCCGTCGTGGTTTCTGTCGTTTTTCTGACGAAAGTACGAGTTCGGTTAACAACAAAAAGGGTAAACAATGATGACGACTTACTCAACTCTGATGTCGAAAAACGTTTTTTGTATTGATGACACAAGTACTATTGTCGTACTTCACGGTTGCCCCGAGACTGCCACACTTTCGAGAGTGAGCCTTGAAGCTATCATGACGCGTGAAAACTTTTGAGCATCTAGCAACACTGCAAGTCCACGTTGCACCGAAGTGAGCGCTCAAAGTATGTCGTGGGATGGCACCTGCTCGCAACTGGCTGTTGCAGCCTGACCACGGGCAAGTGACTTTTCTATCCCCACAACCTCGAGCGTCCCGATGCCACCGCTGTCCGTGGCGCATGATAGAGGACCTGTCTGTTTTCACCCAGAGACCACAGGGAGAGTCTTCCCGGTCGCATGTGTGAACGTTTATCCAATTATCGTCGGCGTTCTCGCCTATGAGGTATTCTTCGTCAACCAGGAGACCATCAACCATGTAAGCCCGAGGACAACCAGGCTGTTGAATTTGCCCGTGTGCCAGCTGACTTTGGTGTTCCGTATGATGAGAGATTCGGTGGTCTGCAGAGATTTCGGAAAAGACTGGATTACGAAGGAATGGGGGCTGGACGCCGGAAAGAGGGGCGATGGTATTATTGAAGGATACTGGAGGAAGAAGATGCTGTGTGGTCTGGAAAAGTTCCTCAGGCAATGAAGGATGATGAAGTTGAAGAGCAGCATGGCCGTTCAAATCCCCATCAAGTGTGAACTCGATACCGGAGAAGCCAATACCCGGTTCGGGAGTTGTTGTATGGTCCCATCCCATGCCACTTGCCGCTTGATAGGGTGGATACATATTTGACATGGAGTTGTGAAGATGTGGAGCCATGCTTGCGTCCTGCGGACTACAGAACGAAGAAAGCATGAGCAACATGGCGAATGGTACGCAGATTCGGTTACCTTGAGTGACCATCAAAGATTGAGTCAGGGAAAGAATTTTGTAAAGGTAGTATTTCACTGATATCGCTGTCTCACAGACTAATCACGCATGTATCGGGACGCACACCTTATGTGTCCGCAATATTGCATGCTCGTAGTGCCATTGTCGATTTGTACTTCTACAAATGACGGCAAAAATGCATTCCTATGAAAACTGGATGTGAGGACGGAGTCGTGCTTGAAAGAAGTCACTTGCATTAGATTGGGTGCGCCACCTAGTGCCTCCGCCAGCAGCTGATAAGTATCCAAAGGAAAGTGTAGCACCACCCTTGTGATGTATGAAAGTTCCCTGTAAATCGTCAGCTCTGATATAATGAGTCCACGCAAAGAAACTCTCATACTGAACAGGTGATGAGAGATTCTCCCGCACAGCGGAATGGGCATGAACAGCGAGTCCATGGGGGACGGTGCTGCTCGACTCGGACATTCAAGTTACGTGAATCAAGGTTGTGAAAGAGCAAAGTGAGACGCAAAATAAAGCAGCCGGCACCGCATATTATATGTGTTCATAGGCCTGGCACGCGAGCGGCCAGGGGGCAGTGTAAGGACATACTAGTACAGCAAGGTTGGCCAGCTCCAATCATATGGAAAGGGAATGAATGGTCCAGCGACGAAGAATAGCCAGCGGTTTCGTAAGTCTTGGAAAAGTGACCAAGGGAGCGCAGCCAACAGTAGAGTGACTGAGACCACGACATGTCATCATTGAGTAGACCCTCGAAGTTGATTCAACGATGGGCCCGGGGAGGAGTGATCATTTGTATGGTTATGGACCCACTCACTGACTTCCACTGGCAGCTGCCACATATCCGTGCGTTTGGCCTTGTATTAGTATTATACCACGGTATTTCCAAGTCATGCCAGTGCATGTCATGTTGAGTGGGTGTTACTACATCAGTGGAACCCGGCCGCTGTTTGCAAGCCTCGCAGTAATGGTGATGCTCGAAGATGTGCAAGCTTGGCTGCTCTGGAAGGTTCGTAGTAGGAAGGTCCACTGGCAGGCCATCTCAGAGGAGAGGCTCAGTGTTTGGTCTGAACTTGAAGAGGGAATGTACACTGGATTCCGAGTCGGGTACGATCTTTATTAAATCATATATAGTCCGGCATCGGCCAACCTTCATTACCGACTGCCGACAGCTGCCAACTCTCAGACTTTGTTTTCAAACTGACTTACCCGAGCATTCTGCCGATCTCAGCGGTGTGCAGGGTACACGCAGTAAATCATTTAAGTCGAGTGCCAGCATTTTCACATCATGGCCCATGGGCGTACTAGTACGCATGCTAAGAGGCCGCCCGTATCAGATCTGGACCTGAGATTGCGAGTGCATGCATAGGGTCGCATAAATCAGTCAAATCAGCCATATGATGTGCTTGCTGTACGAGACCCTAGACATACAATTGCTACAATGGTGCCAATGGCACTGTGCAGTCCGTGCCAAAGTGTAAACAAGCTGTGAGGATTTAAAATTTACGAATAAGTACTAGTATGTAGTTGGTTTTCTTAGTACGATTATATTGATCCGCCACAGCTTGCCAGTTGCCTGCCATACTTCTGCCATAGCGCATAATACCATAGGCCATGATACGTATTAGTAGCGGCACCTGGTAAAGCGTGGAGTGCAATGCATTAATGTGAGAAAGCTGAAATAGCTACACCCAGCGCTTGCGACAGGCTTGAGTACTCCACCGCTTGTGCGCGTACCAATCTTGAAACACACTTAGGCGGCCATGCAGCTCCCAGGACAGATTATATATTCAAGAAACGATTCAGAGTTACTTAAGTACGGTAACGCCGAACATCTGTCGAACACAAAGCTGTCCCTAAGACATTTTTCTTTTCTTTTGAGGGGGTATCACAAAAGAGACAAGTGAGGGTATAATTGATGATCGTAGGCAGGTAGGTAAGGATAGCGCTGGTCTACAGCTGCAGGATGATGTCATTGCAATAAATAGGGGTATGTTCCACGAATCGTGGCTTGAGTGGCTGCGTGGAAGTCGCAGCAGCCTCAGCTGCTTCAATCGGTCCCTTCTGATTGGCATAAATAAGCTCGTCATCGACAAAATCAGAGAAAAATCATACTCACCCATCTATAAGTGGCCGACCTGTCTCGTGGACACGCCTTTCACACTAATGACACGAGTGCTAGCGCAATACCTTACACTGTATCCATAAACACCTGACGCGCACTTTTCAGCATGAGATCTCCAAGAGTAGCCCCGTGTGAAAAGTCTCGAACACCCATTACACTGAAATGCTTCGCGGAAGTGCTTGCAAAGAGTATGCCGTGGCACAGCGCTCTTTTGCATCTCGGTGTTACACTCGGTCCATGTACATGAGACTTTGCTGGTGTCACCTCCACGAGCAACACCATGCCATCTCTGCGCGTGGCGCTTGATCGTACCCTTGTCCGCTCTCACCCAAAGGCCGCACGGTGAGTCACTGCGAAGACATCTGCCGATGGTTATGCTACCGTCATTGGTTCCCTGGTCAGGAAGGTCACCCAAATCGATCAAGCAGCCGTCGACGAGGAAAACCTGAGAACCTGGCTGCTGAGCGTCATGATTACGAAACGACACAGCTTGGATAGTGTGGTCAACGAAAGGTGTCGGCTGATGTGCACTAGGATTAGATGTCTCCGTCCTGGATGCTGGAATCGACGATGATGACGACGGCAAAGGGTGAGGGGGTGTTAGGTCATAAGGGGAATGGTCTAAATGGCGGTGAGCTGGATCATATAAGACTGTGGGTGTGAATGATTCTGCGGTTTGCGATTGTGGGGCATGTCTAATGTCGTCTTCGTATCCCCAAGCAATGGCTCTGCTTCCGTATGGTGGGAACGGCTGCAATCCTGTGTCTTGCCGCGGCACAGGATTTGCAATCACCAAATTTCTATCCGGAATTCCACCTGGAACCTGAGCAGGCCGACTATCATCTAACCCGTAGCGGATATCCGCAGAGCTGCATAAATGGGAAAAAATGAGCCTCAAGCATGGAATGCCGTGCACAAATTTTAATACCTTGCGCTAACGCCAACGTCAGCAGGCGAAATTGGGTGCTGCACTCGTCGTAAGGCATAACCGGCATTGCCTTCGTGGTACGATGGCGCATCCATTACCGGATACTGAAATGCCGTGCCCTGCTGTGGCTGCATAGAATCTTCAATATGAAGATATCTATTCGAATTTCCACCTAGAAAATGAGCAGGCGAATCGACTCCCGCAGAGCCGTATGCACTAGATAAAGAAAATGGGAGAAAGATCTGAGCTCCGGGTGACATACCGTACGCAGACTCGATTACCTTGAATCATCGACGACGTTAGAATATGTAAAAACACCCCTTAAGACTACCATCAACTGGAGCGGTCGCCGACATATCGAACCACACACCTAGACTGTGCGTAGCGACCTGGGGGAGGTCCAGGAGGGAAATATTCGCGGGATCGCATTGGTGTGTCCCTTTTAAAACTAATAAGAATGGAACGAACATTCAACGGTAATCTTCACCTCAACTGGTCAGATACTGGCAAAGACAAAATGTTCTGGCGATGCATCGCTGGCTGTGTGCTATGACGCTCGTGAGTCACTGGTGCTCTAGCTAACTCCTAACTCACAAACTGCCATGCTGGACTACTGGAACACGAATTGTAGGATGTGTCTTCGAAAAGGAAATGTTGTTGTCTGATCGGCCCATACTGGTGGATTCGAATGTTTGGAGAACAGTAAGATAGAGGTTTGTTTATAACAGATGAAATACTGCTAGGGCCATGTGAAGGGAAAAATCACCAGTTGGAATTCTAGAGAGAACAGTGACCCATTGAGGCACTGCTTGGCCGGTATAACCAGTGCTGTACAGCATACCTGCTGGTCTTCAGTGGACTTCCTGTACGGTACGCGAGGAAATCGGACCGACAGGTAATACTTACACTAGGAGATTTGGGATTTCGGGAGATGACTCGTAAGTCGGATCAAAAGACATGTAATTAATTAACCCACGCCATTCAAGTCTCCTGCCCGTCGATCACCTTCTTTAGGAGCATAGGGAGCATGAAGTCAGCGGATAACCACAGAATTGTGAGTTTAGCTCCAAAAAAAATCTGACAATCTGCCGGAATGCCTCCTAGGCAATTAGATTTCCAGGATTCCAGCAGAGCGATGTATTGTGGCGCACAAAATGACAGCGTGTGGACGACGAGCGTTGTTGGCGATTAAGACCCCGTACAAACCACTGCTGGCTGCATTTTCATTAGGCAATAGCGCAGGCAGCACCAACAATATTCCTACATCCGAGAACCGCAACATCAACATCCGATTCAACAGAGAACACGCACGAATCGAGACACAGTAATGCCATTTATTTCATGAGATGCATGACAGCGCGACGCAATGCACATTTCGTCCCAGTCCTATGTTATTATCGCCATTGCTTTGAAACCACGGGGACATGTAAAGTTCAGCACGCTACGAAACGGGTTGACCAAATGTGAACTATACAAGACTGTCTTGGAGACCGTTCAGCCGAGAAAAATCGCTAAAAAGACTGGAGCCACTGAGACGTTGGAAAGTGATGTCGAGCAGTAAGGGCAACACGGGAAGCAAGAAGTGATAGCGCCCAAGTTGTCTTGACGTGGTACTTGAAGGCCTCACGGGATAACGGCTGTGTCATTCAAATGATTGAATCAACAAATCATCACATGATCGCGGAGTTGTTGACCGGTATTTTGAAGATGTCCGGAGAGACGGGTTAAAGACCGATGATTATATAATAGCGACATATTCATCCAAGTTAAATCCCCTTCCGAGTTTGTGTCAACAGCCTGGGACAGCCTTGGTACCGCTTATTTGTGTATTGTGTCAAATCTACAGCATTTCTACACAGGAAAAGCTCTGGCATCAGAAATATTGCTGTAACTATGAGTAACTTTAGATGCCCACTGTGGCATATCAGTCCCATGATGCGGTGAAACAATTCATCAGGGAACCTTCCAGTGCAGGTCCGCGGCAATGTGATCGTGAACCAACCGGAAGAAGAACACATGAATGGAGTGACCGCACTGGAACGGTCGAACTGAGAGCTGGAGGCTAGGCTGGCGTATCATGCATCCAGATCTACATCGATCTGTAGAATCCAGAAGGAGTCATGGACATCATGGCACTGGCAAGGACGGCTCGCGGCAAAGTCCATGGCCATTAGTATAATAAAGACCTGATTCAGTTCAAGCGGGGCTCGCTGTTATTTTGGCCAGAATGGATTTCGAGTATTAGGGTAGCACCAAGGTTTGGACTTTTGAACGTATCGTTATTTGTCGCAAACATTTGCCGCAGGGCAAATTGCAAGGAAGCAATGGCATGAGGTTATTGATATCTCACATCAATGACAATGAACACATATCAAGGCAACTGAATTGTGAAGAGTGGGTCAACTGGAAACTTGAAAGTTAAGGAAAACGTGAACTTGAACTCGAGTCATGCCATTTGCTAGTCGCTGGCGTAGCTGTATATGACAATAAAGTTAGTCGAAGTTTGGCGTTGACTGGCGCTCGCACACTGCACCGTTATGGGCGTCACAATTGCTCGTGATGCCAGACATCCCATGGAACCTATATAGGCGTTGAAGCTTGAAGTACTAACACTCGAATGCGGTCCCTTGAAACGATATATCGCAACATACACGATAATGCATGCCTGTGGTTAATGGCGTTCAGGACGTTCATGCAGCTGCCAGGGGTAAAATAATAATTATTGAATTAGGTGTTTTTAATCGGAGCTGCAAACAGGACCCGGATTTGTGTGTTGGCAGCGAGGACGAGTTGCCACCGGGCTGGTGTGTTCACTGTTGGACTCGGCCTACGTGCTTTCTACTCTCTAATTACTTCGCTTTTCAAAACGGCGTCCGCTGGTGGGATCGTCTCGCGACGTCCGGAGACTGCAACAAGGTCTTCGGCGATGGATAATCCTCCAAACGCCAATATACATACAATAGTAAAGGCTCAAATCGTCTTCCTTCTTTCAACCCTCACAGAAGACAATTTCGACCGCAATCAGCTTGAAATCCGTTCGGTGAGTATTATCAGCATCAGATTAGCTGTTCTTGTATCGCTGAATCATTCTTATTTTAACGGCAACTCCTTTTTAGCTTTCTGAGCAGCACGGGCTCGACACATACCTCCATTTTATTCGTCGTCTGATTGTTCATTCCCAAGGCAGACTAGCATCTTCAGCGCCTCCATCGGCTTTTGATACTTCCACTGCATTGACTTTCCGACTCCTCGTTCAAGAAACTCAAAGACTCGCGCGTGACCCTTTCCTCGCCGACCGTTTTCGTGAGGGCATAGACAAGGGCGAAGGGGACGCATTCAGGCACTTTGATCTCCTGCGATTCGTTGATCGGGTTGCTTTACGTCCTTTGGAGAGACTTGTCCTGACCTCGGCCATCGTCTCTTCGCCCACGAGGAAAGAATTTGCCGCTCAAGCAATGACTCTTATACGACACGACTTTGAAATTGCAGTACTTGCACTTTGCCAGCACCCCTCGTTCGACCATGCCGACCTTTCTCCTCAGCAAGTCGCGAAACTCATGTCAAATCTTCTTTCCGAGTCCGTTGCTGAGACCCCCATCTTGGACCCCACGCAGCGTCAAGCGCTTATTGCTGCTGCGCAGGCAAAGTATGGGCCCGAAATTGTCGCTCCTATCGTGCAACGCATTTTCCCAACGTTGAGGTAAGGGCAGCGCGTTTACCACTTCCGCCCAATAATAATCCGAACCCTTTTGCGCAGCTTGCCTCCTGGGACTTCCCTGGTTCAGACGCTGATTCAGTTGGGTCCTGACATTACAAGTGATCCGGACACTGTTTGCGCTCTGCTTCAGCGCTTTGGCATTTCGGACGCTAATCCTCCTCGAGACGCTCAATTGGTGGAGATCATGTCCAATTTGGCTCGATTGGCCGCGGAGGGTACAACTCTATGTGATGTCGGAGCTTTGGTGAGGGCGTTGAGCAGCTTCGTAAGTGTCTATTTGATCGAGATTTGCACTTACTCACGTGCATGATCAGCACACTACTTTGAATTGGGCGAATGTTATTAAGGCATTCGATCTACCCGACCGTCATGGGGTGGATACTGCTACCTTAAAGCTTCTGATCGCCATTCTGCTTAACTGCCCACGCGACGCCGATCCTCACGCTGTGATTGGTTTCTGGGGGACATGGTCCAACTCATTATATCAACTGAAACTTCTTGATGCGTTGCTCTCGCTACCTGCGGATACTTTCAATTTTGTGTCTTTGCCAGGCAGGAGGATCGTTACAGTGGACGACGTCGCAGTTGCGAGTCCCACAATCAAGTCCCTAGCAGCCAACGTACAGAGTCACACTTGGAATTCGTTGGATGTCTTCGAGGTTCTCGTACGACTCGCGGACTCGGACATCAACGAAATTCGCTCATGTGTCAGGGATATGCTCGACAAGGCACTCAAGATCAGCGCTGAACTCGTGCAAATGGGCCTACTGCAAGTTCCAGTAAGTTTTTATTTCATTGTCGTGTGCTTATTCCTTAATGGCATCAAGGATGCGAACTGGAACGAGATTCGCGTGGAATACTCTCGGAAACTTCTGGCCATGTTCCTTGCTGGACACCCCAATCACCAGTTGGTCTTCATGCGTCTGTGGCAGATCGAACCGACCTATCTGACCGATGCATTCCGCGACTTCTATGAGGAAAATCCTCTCAATATCTCGAGGATCCTGGACGTAGCTCAGGACCTCAAGGTAAGCCAAAGTGAGCCTCAAGGCGCTCATGATGACTATAAATGGGATCAGATTCTGGAGAGCTTGCTGGATGTTCGCCCCTTCACATTTGCCCTGGATGTCGCCTCGCTAGCATCGCGCCGAGAGTACCTGAACCTTGACAAGTGGTTGGCCGATCACGTATCCCAACACGGAGCCGAGTTCTTACGCGCCATGGTTGCATTTTTGGAAGTCAAGATGGAGAGCGAGAAGGTGGCAAGGATGTCGGATCCTGCCGTCGATAGCCGCACGCTGTCCCTAAATCCCAACACCATCACCATTTTCCTTCGCATTCTCCGTAATAAGTGAGTGTATATGTCTTTTTTTTTGCTTGTTCGTTTCGCTTATTTTTTTTGGCAGTTCTGCTAAAATGCCTCGGGATGACATTGACTACTGCCTCGAAGTTCGCAACTCCTGTTTGCAGGTTCACCCTCGTCTCATGAGTCTCATCCCTGGCAACGAGATCGATCCTGGATTAACAGTCGTCAATTACTCAGCGGAGATTGAGAGTGAGGTCGACGCCATTTACAAGCACATGTATGATGAACAGACATCTATCGATGAAGTCATCGCCCTTCTCCAACGCAGCAAAATTTCGTCTGATACTCGTGACCACGATATTTTCTCCTGCATGCTTCACTTCCTCTTCGACGAATACAAGTTCTTCCAATCATACTACCCCGCTCGCGAGCTTGCCATGACCGGATATCTATTTGGCTCCATCATTCATCATGATCTCGTAGACTCAGTTCCTCTTGGAATTGCCATCCGTTACGTTGTCGACGCCCTCAACTGTCCCCCCGACACCAATCTTTTTAAGTTTGGTCTCCAAGCCCTCTCTCGCTTTGAATCCCGCCTTGCTGAATGGCAGCCTCTGTGTCAGGCTCTTCTCAGAATCCCCCATCTTATGGAGGTTCGGCCCGATCTGGCAGCTGTCATTCACCGTGCTATCGCTGTAGGTGGCGACGGATCACGCAGTAACGCTGATATGCGCGGAATCTCTGCTGGTCTTACGGCTGACCCTGCGCCTGTGTTTACCTCCATCCACCCCGACAAGTTTGATGCCGAGATTGTCGAGCCCCCGGAGGAGATATCTGACAAAATTCTGTTCATTGTGAACAACCTCGCGCCCAGCAACTTCGACGCCAAGTTATCGGAGATGAAGGAGCAATTTGATGATGCCTTTTCAAGGTGGTTCGCTAATTATCTGGTAGACCAACGTATCAGCAGCGAGCCGAACAACCACCAGTTGTATCTGCGTTTCCTCGATGCGCTTGACAAACGGATTTTGTCGAAGTACATCCTGCAGGAGACTTTTGCCAAAGCAGCGACGGTTTTGAACAGCGAGAAGACGATGCAAATCGCCTCGGAGCGTTTGGTCCTAAAGAACATTGCGTCGTGGCTTGGAACTATCACGCTTGCTCGTGACAAGCCGATCCGTCACAAGAACCTGGCCTTCAAGGACCTTCTCCTGGAGGGCTTTGACCATGGGCGCCTTATTGTCGCCATTCCATTCGTTTGCAAAACTCTTGAGCCTTGCTCTAAATCCAAGGTCTTCAAGCCGCCCAACCCTTGGCTGATGGCGGTCATAACTCTACTTGCCGAATTCTACCACTACGGTGAAATCAAGTTGAACTTGAAGTTTGAGATCGAGATGCTGTGCAAGGGCCTCGATATCGACCTCGCCGCCATCGAGATTATGAATGTTGTGCGCCACAGGGCCACTGCTGGCGATACAGGACCTGCCATTCCCGAATATGTCACCGACATTGACTCCATGCCGATGAACGGGTTTGATCCTACTCATATGCAGGGTGAAACCCAGGTCATGCCGATTGGCCCTACACCTGCAGCTGAGCCTCAACGTGCTGTTGGGGCACATATTGAATCAATTCTCTCGAGCTTGGCCACGAGCGTTGTGGTCAGCGCGCAGCTTGCACCTTACAATGGTAACCACTCCTTCAAGCGTGCAGTGCAACTTGCTGTCGACCGTGCTGTCCGGGAGGTTAGTGATTGTACATTGATTTCTGCTTCATTAGTCTGAGGTGTCCCCCAGATCATTGTTCCAGTTGTTGAGAGGTCTGTGACGATCGCTGGCATCTCGACTCGTGAGCTGGTCGCCAAGGACTTCGCGACGGAGTCTAGTGAGGAGAAGTTACGCAAGGCTGGCCACCTGATGGCACAGAAGCTTGCCGGGAGTCTCGCACTGGTCACCTGTAAGGAACCTTTGAAGAGCAATCTCGGAGGTCACTTGCGTTCTTCTCTGGTGGACCATGGATTCAACGATGTAAGCGGCTGACATGTATGGGATGCTGGGCGATTACTTACAGCGTTCCAGCAAACGATATCGGAGCAAGTCCTGGCCATTCTCGTGCAAGACAATGTGGACGTTGCCTGTGCAGCGATTGAAAAAGCTGCTATGGAGCGAGCAGTGACAGATGTGGATGAGGGTTTTGCCGCGTCATACGAGGCTCGTCGTCGCTACCGCGAGGTATATTGCTTGGCATATATCATTAGACTGCAGCTGACTTCTACTTTTCAACAGCATCGCAGCGGGCAGGCATTTTGGGATCCTGCAGCTCCGCCCTCAAACTTCTCTGCTAGTCTTCCAGATCCTCTGCGCATCAAGCCGACAGGACTGCAACCCCATCAAGCGGCGGTTTATGAGGATTTCGGTTTGTTTATTATCGATGTTCCAATGAAGCCCAGCTTGACGTTTCATCTCAATCTAGCCTTGGACTCGAAGCGTGGTGCACCAATGAGTCGGCCAAGTTCGACGGTGTCGTATTCACGTAATGAACATCTGAATCCAGCTCTTTATGCTGCTTCGCCCGCCCCAGAGCCAGCTATCGCATCCCACTCCTCAATGTCCCACCAGGAAGCAATGGAACGCTTTACTGTAAGCACGCCCTCCATTTTACACCGTCGGAAACCTGATCTTTGCGCACAGACGATCCTGAGAGACCTGGAGAGCCTGATCATTCAGTTGCCCATCCAATCACTGGCTGCCCTTCCTCCCAATCACGATCTTCGTCACCTTGTTCGGCAGATCCTGTTTGTCGCAGCGAATTCCATCGACCACAACCGCACGCCCCTCCATATGTCTCAGAAGATTGTTCAGCTCCTGTACAAGACAAGTTCTCAGCTTGGCAGAGAGATTTACGTTGCCTTGTTGGAACAGTTGTGCCGCTCGTTTGAAGATGTTGCTAAAGAGGCTATTACATGGCTGCTCTATGCGGAGGATGAGGTTGGTCTCCAAGTACCTCTTATATAGTCACCGCTCACATCGCTTCAGCGCAAACTTAACATTCCTGTCACTGTGACTCTGCTACGCAGCGGACTTGTCAGCACTTCGCTTCAGGATCAACAGCTCGCGAAGAATTTGTTTACTGATCCTCGCCCCAGTTTGCAAAACTTCGCAGCAGGTCTCATTCGCGAATGTCTATCAAGTGATCCCCCGGTTGCTTCCCAGAGTCAATTGACATTCTCTATTGACGTTCTTGGACAGTTGTCACACGCTGGCGATGCCAATGAAGAGTACGTTGCGACCAAATTTAGTGGGCTTATGTGTTAACCAGTGTACTAGGGTGAACCGCCTCCTTGATGACCTTCGAGTCGTTCGCAGAACCACGACGTTGCCGGCAGATGGCATGGTGGTCCGTCAGCCATCGGTCAAGCCAGAAACCGAGCAGCTCAGGGAAAAGTTGTTCAGCTGGTTCCAGCAATGGGTTTCCATCTTCCAGAGGTCTCACTCTCCGGAGAAAGCTTTCGTTCCATTCATCTCCCAGCTCACGAAGCAGGGAATTTTGAAGGTCGAGGACATTTCTTCATTCTTCTTCCGCGTGTGTGCGGAGGCAGGTGTGAACAGCTATATCAAATGCATGGCAAACGGAGAGTTCGACTACGCTTTCCAAGCTCTCGATGCGATGTCGCGACTGATTGTCTATATCATCAAGTATCATGGCGACGCTTCCGGGATCGACAACGACCAGGCGAAGGTTCATTACCTCACCAAGATTTTGTCGATTTTCGTTCTTGTTCTGGCGAACATGCACGAAGAACAAGGCGTTCTCTTCCAACAGAAGCCATTCTTCAGATTCTTCTCCAGTCTCATCAGCGACCTGCACTCCATCGCAGAACATCTAGGCTCGGCTTATTTCCAATTGCTGATCGCCATCAGGTAACTCATATTTTTCAGTATCTCACTTCTGCTGTCACTGACAATCCCGCAGCGACACATTCAGTTCTTTGCAACCCACCTACTTCCCTGGGTTCGCGTTCTCTTGGCTTTGTCTTGTTTCGCACCGACTCTTCATGCCGAAACTGCTGCTATCCGAAAACCGCGAGGTGAGATATGCCCTTTTATTTCTGAGGATCTTTTTTTGACCTAGTGGTGTCAGGGTTGGTCCGCGTTCCACAAGCTCCTTCTCTCCCTCTTCAAGTTTCTAGCTCCATTCTTGAAAGAAGCTGATCTTCAACTCGCATCTCGTGACCTGTACCGCGGCTCCCTTCGACTCCTCCTCGTCCTTCTTCATGATTTCCCGGAGTTCCTTAGCGAATACTACTTTAGTCTCTGTGATGTCATCCCTCCGCGTTGCATCCAGCTTCGCAACATCATCCTCAGCGCATTCCCCATGTCTATTATCCTTCCTGACCCTCATCTACGCAACATCAAATTTGACTCAATTCCTGAAATGGGACCGATACCACCCATTCTATCAGACTTTGCTTCAGGTCTCAAAAGCGCTGACCTCCGCAACAACCTCGATCAATACCTCCTTAATCGTGGTACCCCTTCATTCCTTACAATACTCAAAGACCGCTTGAGGCTGCCCGGCGTGCCAGAGGGTTTGACCGAGTCGTACAACCTGTCACTGATAAATTCCCTTGTCATGTACATTGGAGTATCGTCAGTTGCTCAGGCCAAGGCAAGGAGTGGCTCCTCTGTATTTGTCGCTAGCGACCCTGGCGTCGTTGCTCTACAGTATCTAGCTGCTAATTTAGATGTTGAAGGTGAGTTCAAAAATCTGCTTTTTTTGACACTATGATATTGACGTGATGTGTAGGACAACACCACCTCTTGAGCTCCATGGTCCTCCATCTGCGATATCCAAACGCCCATACCCACTGGTTCAGCTCTTTGCTTCTCCACCTCTTTATGGAGGTGAAGGACGATCGCTTCCGTGAAGTGATGACTCGAGTCCTTCTGGAGCGCTTCATCGTACATCGTCCTCACCCCTGGGGTGCTCTGGTCACCTTCATTGAGCTGCTCCGCAATTTGAAGTACGAGTTCTGGAACAAGGAGTTCATTCGTGTCGCACCCGAAGTCACCATGTTGCTTGAGAGCGTGAGTTGCCTTACTGCTTAGTTGACACTCTTACTCAATCAATGTTGCAGGTCGCGAGGTCCATCTATCAGCCATAGACTCGTTCTGTCTTTGTTCCTGCTATCTGTCGCGCATATCTGTTTCTTTGGGTTTTTTTCCTTGTTCTCTAACTGCACTCACTGTATTGTAACAACCTTTCACCGTTTTCAAGTGTTGAACAAGGTGTAACATGAACTTTGATTATAGCAAACCTCCTGCACAACCTTGCCGACACACCTCTGGCTTGTCGATGTTTATAACGCCCTTTAAAAAATCCTTTACATTTACAATACCATGTACACCTATGGGCATTCTATGCTAATTAAGCCATGACATGCGAGCGTTGAATCCCCACTTGCCGTCGTTTGACCTGCAAGCTGATCCCCAAACACTGCAAGCATGTCTGAGTCAAAGAGTCCGATACATGACCAAGAACTTACCCGGCTGCCTCTACACCACCTGCCCCAATCCTATCTGCTCTCTCGTCAACTACCAACCAGTCGGGTACCAAGACACCCGTGCGGACGGGGAACAATCGCAACGCACGCTCAAGTCCTCTAGGTTCAGATGATTGCAGAAACAGCACCGTCTTTGAAGCATTAAATGTTTTCTTGATGAGGAAAAGCAAACCTGTAAGACAACTTTCAGTATCTCTCAGCATTAACACCTAAACCCGACCCACCAGAAGAAGGGTTGTCGAACTTTTTATTGTTCAAAACCCAAGCTCCTCCTTCGTATGACCATTCACTCTGACTGCGCTTTAGAAGATTTTTGACAAACAAAGAGCCTGCGCAACCAATGACCACCATATTACCGCCGCATGCCAGGCCATTCTCCGCTTCACGTGCAGAAAATATTCGCGCATCAAGCAGGTGGTAAGTTCGCAGGATGTGAGTGATTCGCAAGGCTACAGATAGCTCGGGGGAGTGATGTAGCGATGGAATCACAATATCGATTATTCCGTCTGCGCTGAGAATGGCCTGGGCACGTCCATACGGTTGTTGGAAGTTCTCCGCGAAAGAATCTACCGCCTATTTCAACCAACCATGAAGAATATTTGTATAGCAAGATACACAAGATGACGTTACCTTCCAACTGGTCGAGTTTTGATTAGAGTCTTGCTCTAGCCAGAGTGTTCCAGCTTCCGTACTGGCGTGCGAGATGCTCTGGCTGTTGATGACAAGTCTATTGACAGAAGCTTTGCTCAGGTCGACGGAAACAACACTGATATTCGAGGCCTTGACATTGACTCCTCCTTCGTCATCTTCGCATACTTCCAAACGACCAAGCCTGTGATAAATGTCGTTGCGTCAAGCTTGTATACAATATAAGAGGAGATCGTCACAGACCTCCCAGGCACTTCAAGGGCGTGCACCCGCCAACCTCCCCTTGGCCCACTCTCTGCAGGAACAGCAACAGTAAGTGTGAACTTGCGACATTTAGGTTTCGGCGCGTCGTGAGAAGAACAGCGAACGCGGTCAAGAAATGCCTGAACACGAGTATTTTTAAGCACCTCGAACCACCAGTGAGGCTGACCAGGCTCCTCATGGTATCTTCATATCAATGAGCGGTCATTGGGGTCCAAAAGCAGCATAAATACATACGTGACGTCTGCGTTTGGATTCCATTCCATGAGCACCCTCACTGCCTCACGAGTGTGCCACGGCGGGACATTGTCATCCATGCCACTGGTCAGTGGTTGAGTAGCTTCGTCAAGAAGAATTATTGCTGGACACACCCATGTATTGCGAGTACAGGCGTGTGAGCGAGATTGGAAAGGAATAGGTCATTGTCATCTGGTAGGAGCGATGTTTCTAGAATAGCGCGGAGCGCTGGGTCAATAAAGTGGGCAAATCTACCAAGAAGCTGGTCAGCGCCGATGCCATGACATGGAAACGAGGGTTTCATGTTACCTCGACATCGTCCATGGAACATATGCCTGCGACTTGATGTATCCCGCAGCGGCTACGACTTTTCGCCGTTATCTTAATTAAATCCTCAAATATAGTTTAGCCAACATACCAGCTTTTACCTTGTCCGGCCATCTACTTGCTACATACCATGCTCCTTGTCCTCCATTCGAGTGACCCATGACGATAACCTTTGTGTCTCGAGGATAAACCCAGTCCACAAATCCTGCGCATAGTAGGTTGTGCAGGGCTGCCACAGCGGCGAAAGCATCAGCAGCAGAAGGGCCATGCCAATCGAGACCCTGCCTCCATTAATCAAATGTATGGGATAGGACGCTGGAATGTAAATTACCCAGGAAGTTCGGCCAGATGGAATGACCACCCAGGCATTGTCTTGTCGAGGGAGGCTGTCTGCCCAAAATGTGTGGTTGATGATGTCGACACCTGCACCATCTAGAAATGGTGAACGGAAGAAAAAGTCAAAATCCATGAAAACTGGGCGCTATCAAGTGTAGACTATCACATACGCAGTGCTAAAATTGGCTCTTTCGCCCCTCCTTCAGTTTCGTCATTGGAATATCGAGGGGGAAGTACCAAGAATATGGTTGGATTGCTGAAGCCCAAATTGTACGTCGCTCGGATGGCAGTGTAACTGTCAGAAGTCCACATCGGAATGTGTCTGATAGGAACATTGACTCTGAATATTTTTTGCTCGTCAACGGCACTACATGCAGACCCATCATGGAAGGGAGAGATTGTAATGTCTATGGGAAGCTCTGTGATATCGGCGGAGATCAGCGCGGAATCGGGACGGAACTCCAGCGTTAGTATGTCTGTTTGAGTCGGCGCAAGCCGTACTGCTGTTGAAAGGCTGCATAATGAAAGCCCCAGCTCTGCACAAGGTGGAATCACAGCTGATACAACTGTCCACCATCCTGATACACTTAGTTTAGTGCTGCGGACAAAATCAACGTTTCGAAGTCCAATTCCTAGCGTTGGGGAGAACGGTCGGCCATCAATGAAGTCCGGTATGATATTGTGAGCAGGTGCATGTACGACGGGTGTCGCAAAAGAAGGTGATGTTCCAAGTGATGGGGGTGTATCGATTGAGGTTGTAAAATTGATGTTTAGAATGGGATGTCCTGAGTTGTATGACCGAGGGTCACCAAAAAGTCTTATCTATTGATAGTAGAGAATTAAGATGATGTTACAAGTCTCCGAGAAGTCGGATCACCTCGTAAGGTCCACAAAGAACTACTTGATATCGGGTCGCTTTGGCTCTACTTGGAGACATCGGGAGCGAGACGAACTGCACAGGGGCACGCTCGAGTGCGTAAACATTCCCCATATGCCATTCCGGGACATGGGTTGTCCAAGTTGTCTCGTCACCTGGTAAGATGGAAAAATACGCGCCCTGGAGGCACTCAACATGCAGGCGTGGATCGGCCTCGGTCATCTCTTGTTTAGAATCTGGAGGATAAACTGTAAGGTGCGTCCGGAGGACATTGTGGTGCTGCAGGGCAGCCCATCCCTCGGTCGCGCGAAGCTGCTCCCACCGAATATTAGGATGAGATACTTTGAGACCTCCGTGTTCATCTGAGCTGGCTTTTGACCAAGAGACATATCCCCCATCAGCATAAGCAGATGGATAGGTGCGGGTCAAATCTATATTCTCAGACACTTGAAACCCATAGCAGATTAGTTCAAGCTCACGGTACACAATCGATATGAATGCCCACAATCAAGGGGAAATGCGGGAGAAAGGAAATGCTGTTCCCTGGCGTGGATGGGGAAAGGTCCGAGAACCTGTATCGCGTCAACAATCTGCGCGTTGTCCTGTGTCTCAGATGGAATGGAGACAAGAACGCACATCCCACTCTCGAGATATCTCGACGCGCCATTCTCTCGCGCAGGACGCTACATCCATGATGGTCCAGGAACTCCAACTTGACTCAATTCCGCCTACGTGACCAAGTAAATGTCGTTGACGGTGGACTCTGACAGCCTGTAGAGTGATTCTAGCCTAGCAAGTGCAACGATTAGTTACTGAGCTATACCCTGATTATTGCTATCAGATGAAATGATGCGAAATGCAGAACTCGAGTATGCTTCTGGAATCTGAGCTCAGCGTGATCTCTGGCTCGGAGCGGAGTTCGGAAATTGAGAACTCAGGAATTTAGAAATCGGGAGCCCCGAGTTTTTTTCTGGCCAAAATCCAAGAATATGATTGTACGACATTAAGGAGGAGTTGCTATTTGATACACACATCATCGACAAAAAAAAACAATAGAGCGGTTTCTGGAACCGCTGAGTGTTTAAAACCACATTAACATCTCTGGAATCACTTAAGAAGTACTCTCGGCGTTAATCGCCTTCTGTTGTGCACTGAACGAGGTGGACACAATCGGACACCCCTTCCCAGCACCATTCAAGTTTTGTATCGTAACAGCAGCAGCATTCAGACGCGCATTTTGCGCAGCTGTACTGTTGTCGGTTGGGAATGTGAGGAGTACCGTGGGATTCAGGATGACATGGCCCGCACGAATATTCGCTGTCAGGTTCTAGAAGAATATCATTCACTGAGAGCAATTAGATATGGAATGAGCAGCTTACCGCAATATAATGTGTCTGATCAGGGGGACATTGGCATGGGATGAGTATTGGCTTCCCGTTTGTACCATTGACGGAACCATCGCAATTGCCAGTGCCTAATAATGTTTGAGTTTCTTATGCATTGAAATACATTACAAAACCATTCCTCACCATCTGGGTTGATTCCCGATTGCCACCCAAGCGGTGGAGCCAGAGTGGCAATCTGCGCGTCAGTGGGCGATACGGAACTGTTGGTTGAAGCAGTGGGCGATACGGAACTGGTTGAAGCAGTGCTCGTTGGGACAGCACAACCCGCGGGTGTGGTTGGCGTAGCTGTAGACATCGCGGAAACAGCGCTTGACGATATGGGGGCAGATGAAGCGATCGTAGACATTGAGGGTATAGCACCTGAAGACCCGGTGGTAGATGTCTCTGCATTGATTGCTTTCTGCTGGGCAGAAAAAGTGGTAGAAGAAATGGGGCAACCAACACCAGGACCTTCAAGGTTTTGCAGAGTAACCGCTGCTGCATTTAAACGAGCATTCTGAGATGCCGTGCTGTTGTCTGTTGGGAAAGAGAGCTTTACGGTGGGGTTTGTTGTCACAAAACCCGCTGCCACGTTTTTATTAAGAGACTGCCATAGAAGTCTGTGATCAGCAGCATGCAACGCAATCTCTGACTATACGAAAGCTCACAGCAAGGAAGAACGTCGAATTTGGCGGGCATTGGCAAGGCACCAGGATAGGCTTTCCGTTAGTGCCATTCACAGCACCGTCACAGTTCCCAGTGCCTTTAAAAACACGTTAATGCACGGCGTCAAAGCGCAATATTTTTTCTGTACTCACCATCTGGATTAACACCGGATGGCCAGCCGAAGGAAGGGACTAGGGCAGGGTTGACATCTCGCTTACTTTGAGGAGGTAGGACGCGAAAGGGGATGGCCGCAACTGAGCCTGCCAGTACGATGGTCGAAAACACGTTGACGAATAACATGTTTAGATAAACTTGAAGTCCTGCTTGAAATGAGTGATATTAAAACACTGTCGAGTGTCTTGCTCGAGCTGAAAGTGAGTGACAAGAAAACAGAAAAAAAAGTCGCTCGCGACAATGCTCGACACAGTCGAGGGAGTACAAGTTAAAGATGCGAACGCGGAGCAGCAGATCATATATTGCAATCATTGCACGTCCTTTTGTTCAAGGTCAAACGTTGTTGTTTCCATTGTATACGCAAATGGAAGGTGTTTCTTCGGTCATTCATTAGAAATTATGTAATAACCCTCAGGCTGCCAGTGGACCTAGGACGGTCCGGGTACCTGGGACCTGGAACCCGGAATTGGCGGTCGAGCCAGCTGGCGACATCCAGATGCGCCTTATTGTTTATCTTCCAAGTTCAATGAACGTATTGTTCAAGTTAGTTCTTCTTGTGACAACCAGTGAACAATGCAACCAGAGGCAACCAGTCATTCGGAGTGCTTACTGCTGGCAGCCGTGACTCGGATCGGCGCGGGTCCTGCTCGAGACCAAGCCACGGACAAATTTGGGTGACAAAGACAAGGAGGTTCACGATACAAATCATCTCAGGCGGCCTCAGGTTCTGAGCATGGGTATTTAACATGTAAATGAAGGAGAAAATGCACAGTGCTGTCAGAGCAGGTCGTAGGATAAAACATCTGAGATGTTGGTGTGCCGTGGCGAACCGGCGCAAAGTGCTGCCAAATCAGGTCAATCGCTGACCTAGCTGTGCATAACCTTCTGCAGTCTGTCAGGTTCATCGATGTCGAGACAAGGTGGAAAGCTGAAGCCTCTAAAGGTTGGTTCACTAATAGCCTCAAATCCGTACTAAAGCCCTCTTTTAAATCGCTAGGCTCCAAAGAAGGAACATAAGGATGAAGATGATGAAGATAAGGCCTTCAAGGAGAGAAAGAAGGCCGAAGAGGCTGCTACGAAGGCTGCAAGGGACAAAGGTACGTTTCAGCTCTCCGACTGCAATCAATACATCTAAGCAGAGGGACCTTTCAATCTGTAGCTGTCAAGGGTGAGTTTTCAAAGCACCTTATGAGTGCTTCTATCAGGATAGACTCATCATTCGATAGGTGGTCCTCCTGGTGGCGGAATAAAGAAGTGCGTAGAGTATGGTCGTCACTGTGATTTATCTGACTGGTTTTCTCTTCAGGTCGGGAAAGAAATAGACAGTTTTGGATGATATCTAAATTCTCCATCTGACCGGCTGTTATTATGATCAATTTTCCCTGATTATATATGCTGATGTACGGCCAACTTGAACTGAGATTGGTCGATCAGGTGGATTATTCTGCTGTGCAATACATGACTGGTTATGTATACTATCTGTTGTTGCCTGTTGCCTTGAGTATCGTCCTCTAACTTCTGCGTAGGTGATCTTGCTTAGCTTTGCTACACGATGGACTGTGGGAGGCAGCGATGGACTTTGAATCACGCGTACAAGGTACAAGGACAGCCCCTCTTGACGTGATTCAAATGGCCAATAGTCATGGATGTCCACTGCACTCCAAGAACTGTTCAAAGGGCCGGTAAGGAGGGAGCAGAAAGCTTTTCAGAATCAAATGCTTAGACAATGACACCGGCCCGTATCGACCCAACCTTTGGAACTCCCTTGCGTAGGATCAAAGGGTGAGAGTGACTTATAGCATAAAGTAAAGCGGAGTGTTCAACGGCAACGTGTCCATTCCTGGGTGCCACCCGCTCCGATGCTTAGCCAGAAGGCCTATCAGAAATTCGAGATTCCATGCGTCTTGACACGGGGCTGTGAAGTGCTAGCGCCCATGAATTGAGTCGGAGAGTCGGAGAGCAGTGCATGCTTGGGCTGATTTTGGTCAACACAGGCTCGTTCATTGAATAAAATTTCAACCGGAAATGAGAACAACGCTGCTGACAGGCTGTTCTCACAAAGATAGTGATTGGTGACGATTTGGAGAGCCCGAATGTCGGATGTTTGAATTTGTACTACGGCATCAGTACTAGGGAGCGTTTTGTGAATGAGTGAAATTGAAAAGAAGTGCTTCGTGGACTCGCCTTTCTCCGTACTTCCATTGTCGTGGTCGTCGCTATCACCGTTGTCGTCGTCGTGGTCGTCGTTGTCGTTGAACTCGCCGTTACCGCCTTCGCAAGGTTGTTTGTTGATTGCAAACACTGGAAAGTATAGGATTCTAGGAACCCACCACCGATATGCTCACAACCTCACGGATCAGTAACCTTTCCACTTCAAAATCTCCTCCTCCTAACGGTCTTATATCGCAAAATAGCAGCAGCAACAGTTCACAGCAGCGCGACGCTTTAACTGCATTATACCACCAGAACAACCAGAGCACACAGTCAATCTCTTCAACGCCCAACATTCACCATCCACAGACAATCCAGATTCCTATGCTCGGCACCTTGCAGGTGCCTCAGCCCCAGCAAAATCAAGGAGGCCAGCAGCAGCAGGGTTCCCTTGGCCAGCAACAACCTCAGGGCCAGCAAGGGCAGTCCCAGGGTATCCCACCACCACCGCCGCAGAATGGTCAGGACTTTAATCTTTCCAGTGTCTTGCACTTTTTGCAGACAGAATGGCGTCGTTATGAGCGTGATAGAAACGAATGGGAGATTGAGAGAGCTGAAATGAGGGTGAGTGTCATTCTTATTCCTATGTGCATCCCACAACGCGAGTCACTTTTTGCTTTCGCCTTTTCGTATTATCAAAATGCGTTCATTCTGCATACTTATATTCGTTGCCCAATTTCTTGATATATTTTGGACGTGTCGCGTAAACCTGCTCACAATGGTTCACAATAGGCCCGCATAGCTCTCCTCGAGGGCGAGCGACGCTCATTCGAAAATGTCAAACTCGACCTCATGCGTCGCATAAAAATGCTGGAGTATGCTCTTCGTATGGAACGGTTCGTGTTGCCCTTCTGCACACGCCAGCCTACTTACGCGTGCCGCCTCCCTCTTTGTTGAATTCGCGGATGTTCTCATGCCATGTGGTCTTCATAATACTGTACAATAGCTCAAAGCAACTAACTGCGCCCTCTGGAACCGTTCAACCGTCAAAATTAGCCGCGCTCCAGCAGCAAGGCGCAAAAGATGATGCTCAAAGCCATAAGGATGGGAGCAGTGGCAGCTCGCCACGTAGTGACGGTGCGTGTTTTCCTATTACTGTTTATTTTGGTACCGTATTTGACATTGGTACGTTTACCATAGATTCCCCTCTGCCCTCCGAACGTGTTCCGAACGGGACCTCTGCGCCCCCAGTACGACAACCCTCATGGGGTACGAGTGCGAACTGGAGCGCAGGCCTGCCATCCGTTGGTTCCATCGGTAAGCCGCCACCAGGACGCGACCCCAAGAGCCGCGCACGGAGCAGAGATTACCTCAAGCAGTATGTTTTCGTTTTTCTGTCTGATTTCATACAAGCTCATGATCTCCTTCAGATGTCTCCAGGAAATCTCATACCTCACCTCTCCACAAGCAATGAACCCACTCCCGAACCGTCCGCTAATCTCTTCAGGACTCGTGAACCCTACAGCACCCAGCCAATCCTTCGAGGCGATCTACAATGGCCGTCCCCGTAAGGCATTACCGGAATCTGGACCAGGGGTCACAGTTGTTACTGGACCGGGAAATAAGGACTTCCCAATGCTAAGTGGTGGCGTGAATATGATGACTGGCCCTGCTACCGGGCCAGCATCAACAGGACCATTGGAACGAGGGAGTCCACTCACGAATGTCGGTGCGGGCATGTTTCAGCAGCAGCAGGTGCAGAGCCAAGAAAGGTCACAACCACCTCAACAACCCCAGCCTCAGCAGCCTCCGCCACAGCAAGCGCCCCCGCAGACAGCACCACAACCGCCTCCAGAGAGAGAGGGAGCGCCAGCCGCAGATGCGGAGCCATCGCGCCATTTAACAGCGATCTTCCGTCCCGATGATCAGGGCGAGTGGCGAGAGAAGTTGCGGTCATCATACGAACAACATATGAAAATGCAGCGGTGGCGCGATGACGAGGAAGGCGAGGGTGAGGGTGAGGAGGTCGGAGAGGATGAAGATGAGGGGGAGAGCGTAGGTGTTGGGGTTGAGGAGGGTGAGGGCGAGGGTGCAAAGATATGGAAGGCTAAGCGAACATTGAGGAAGTGAGTATCTCTGCCCCTCGAAGTTTTCTGTGCTGATCCTGGCTCTCAGTCATCTGGATGCGGTGCGTGCACTTGCATTCCACCCCACGGAGCTATGTCTTGCAACCGGTGGAGATGACTGCACAGTAAAGATTTGGCGCATGGATGTCGCGAGTTTAGCATCTTCTGTGTTGGTGTCCACATTTCCCCATCAGACCTGATGAGGCTAACTTTTTTCCAGTGCTCGTCCTACGACCGATTTCGAGCCCCAACTTACCCTGCGTGGTCACTCTGCCGCAATAACACGCCTTGTGCATTCTCCTACTAAGCACCTCATCTACAGCGCATCGCTCGACTCAAGCATCCGTATCTGGGCGCTACCCTCGCCGTCGCACACGACATATGCGCCATATGACGACAGCTCCGCGCGCGGAGAGCTCGTGGGGCACACTGATGCTGTCTGGGACCTTGCCCTTGTACGGGACGAGAATGCATTGGTGAGCTGTGGCGCTGAGGGCTCGATAAAGGTGTGGGATGTAAGCGGAGCTGCAGAAGGTCGTGTGATTTTGAAAATGTCGTGGGGCTACTACGGCTTGGACTACGAAGGGGGTGAGGATGAAGACAAGGAAAAAGACACCGGAGCAACTGCGGTCGAGGCGATCAAGTCCGACTTGAAAAAGGTGGCAGTAGCATTCCAGAATGCGGTGGTAAAAGTGTTCGATATCGAGACTGGAAGAGAGGTGTCGAGGTTGGCGACTGATGCCACATATGGTGCATACCTCAATTCTCGTTCCTTCTATTGACGATCGCTGACAATGCTTTGCATGAAGATGGTACCCCTGCAACTCAGGTGAACCGCATTGTGTCCCACCCCACGATGTCGTTCCTCGTCACAGCCCACGAGGACAAGTTCATTCGCATATTCGACATATTGTCAGGTACGTTTGCCAGCCGGGTTCTTTTGCACTGATTGACCGCGCATGAAGGACAATGCACGCACACCATGCCTGCTCATCTTGACGGGGTAACGTCGCTATCAATTGATGCAGCTGGGTTCTCGCTCGTGTCTGGTTCACATGATTGCTCCATCCGCTTCTGGGATCTCCTCGGTTCGCGGACCTGCACGCAAGAAATGACTACTCATCGCGAAAAGGCCAAAGAGGGCGTTCTCGAAGTTGAGTTCCACCCCTCATTACCCTTCATGGCAAGCGCAGGGGCAGACGGCGTCGTTAAGCTCTACGCATCATCATAGCCTACCCACGAAACGACCAAACTTGATTGACCTTATGATGTTACGCATTATAGATATCTTCATACGTACGCACTAAGGACGGTCTTTATGCTCAGTATGCGGTAGTTCTTTTTCTTCTTGTTCTTTACATTTTTCCTGTGTATTCCCTTTTTGCTGTTTGCAGGTGATTTCTATGTTATCGTCATGATCTTGTATTTCGTGCTTGGATCGTGCAAGTTCATGAGTGAGTCTAAGGACGGTATGTATCGTTTGGGTAATAACTTGGGCGAGGAAAGGCTCGAAGGTAGGTGGTGCGTAAAAAAAATCCGAAATCGATCGCAGGATGGCGTTGCTGAGTGATGAAACAGACTAGTGGTAAAACGATAACTGCGAAGTGGAAATTAGGGCTACAGTGTTTAAGTATACACACGGTGGGGGAGGGTATCGGTGGATTTCTCCTAATATATATAGCCCAACGAATAATAGAACAGATAAGAAAAGTCCGTTGAGGATAAGGTTCAGATCACTTGGGTGAAGCATAAATTAGTAAATCCGCCAAAGCCGATAGGACAATTGAACGCACCAATCTTCATGCCTTGGTCCGCAGTGAGTAGTTCGACCCCTAGTTGGTGGGGCGCGAGTAGCTCACGACATTGGTCGCCAATAACGTGATTGATTGGTCGTTCTGTGGAGAAGTACTCTTTGCAGTGCATGATGTACACTTTGACACCCTCGAGTGCGCCGTGCAGGGCCTCAGGTGACATAGAGTCCTTCCGCTGCTTCTTTCGCGGTCTTGATCTCGAGCGTGATTCACGTGCTTTCCGGGCGGTGACAACCTCTGTTGCCAGCGTGACCAGCTCCTGTACCAGATGTTCGGGACTGAGATGACCCCAAAGTTCCCCGTCCGGCCGCCCTGCTTGGTATGAACACTCAATGAAGATGGTAGATATGTCATGGGGTATCTTTGGTGCTGCTGCGCGCCAGACGGCGATGTTCTTCGGCTTGACAGAAACGGTGTCGGGTTCGACGTCACCGAAGAAGATGAACTCGTGTTTTGTGGGGTCGTGTCGGATGAAAAAGCAAGCACCGTCATACTGACCGGAATCGTTCATTCCATGGCTGACGGTCATCATGCGGACAGAGATATCGGGGAAGATGGTCTCGTATTTGCCATCTGCATGGAGGCTGCCAAGCGGGAATGGCAGATTTGAGGGAGATGGCTAGATTGACTCGTGGGATGAGACTCACGCGTGATACACCAATCGGAATAGTGGGTTATTCTCATCATATGTGGCTAATTTGGGCCATACTCTTCCGGAGAAGACAGTCTCTAGATCTCTGAGAGTCTGGGTTGAGCCATATATACGCTTTCTGGTACCGCCAAGCGTGCCCGCGGCCATTACAAGACTGCCAATATGGTCAAGATGTGCGTGTGTAAGGAGGAAACACCTGCAGAATCAAGTTAAATTACGGGCCGTGAGGCAGTGAGCGGGAGGACGTCACTGACTTGACATTTGAATACACCGTGAGAGGAGTAAAAGATGCTGGATCTGCGTCCGTTGGACGTTGTCCGAAGATGTGTGGGTCGCGCTTCATAATATGTCTGAGCGCGCCAAGACCCGACCCTGAGGTGATAGCGTGAGTTGGTAGTCGCGAGACAGGGTTATGAGATTGCGCACCCGCCTCCAATGCAATAATACCATCATCCCAAGCAGCCTCGCAAGGCTTGAGCATATACCTGTATCATATGTTTGAGTCAAGATGGAGAGGAGCGGAAAGAAGGAACCTACCCTGATAGGTTCGTTTCGTCGGGTCCGCCACCGGAGCCCACCACAATGAAATCGAATGTGGGCATGAGGGCAAAGATTCGATAAATTATTTCCGAGCTCAAGTAGCAACGGAGAAAGATGGTTATATAGGTCCGCTAAAAATTTTGACAGTCAACTTTGAACTTGGTTTTTGCAGTTTCCCTTCAGTTTCCCCGCTCGCGGAAGCACTAGTGCGTGTATTTAAGGCACTAAAGTTTCGGCTAATCAACGTCTCAACAACGTCAACCTTAAGAACACTACATAACTAAGTTCAGTACCGCCCCCCTATCGGCGACCAAGAGGCAGTCCTCCGCAGCATACTGCCTTGTCTGCCTCATACTATCCCCCCCATGTAGAACAACGACTGACCATTAATGAGCACACAGGCATTCTCATAAAGCGGGATCGACTGAATCCGGGTGGGAATACAACGCTGCAGGGTCAAATCAATCACTCGAGGCCCGGCGATGATCATAGCAATGACAAGGCCTCGGCGCCGACCCGTCAAACAGAGAGAAACCCTAAGAAAGCGGCATAAAGGAATGTCATTATTCCGTTGGCTCTGACCCCTTGACCTGCTCCTTATGAGTTAGATATTTCGGGAATGACGACGGGATGAAAGTAGGTGGAATGAATAGTAAAGAATGTGCATGTGTGCTCCGAGAGTGCATTCTGTTGTCTGAAAATGAGAGGACACGTGAAATATTACAAACGGAAGATCAAACGATAAGATATCACGTTCATCGTATCGGCCCCCTCCCCCTATTGCGCTCCCAGTAGGCTATTCAATGCTCTCTGTACGTCATAATCGTGTGCTTCCAGCGCCGCAACGGCTTGATTCCGACTGAAGCCCATAGCAGATAACTGCTTCACAGGTTCCACATCGTCTTCGACACCAGGTGTCACGCGCGGCTGCTCCATAACGGTCACATTCTGTGACAAATTCGATGGAGGAATGGGGGGTACAGAGTCCTGTTTCTTTCTCTTGCCAAACGGAAGGCGAATCTATGAGGCACCAATTATTAGTAATGAACCATGCAGAATAAAGATAGGACATACACTGAGCTTAGAGTGCCGCGGGGGTGGTGCAGGCTTATCGTGAGTTCCATCCTTGGCTGAAGAACTTGATGGCCGCTGCAACTTCGGAGAAATAGCTCGAGGTGGCGGCGATGTGGCACGTCGCGGAGGGGAACCAGAGCGTAACGACGTAACGCGGGGAGAAGATGACCCTCGTGGTGATGAAGGCGGCGAGACATTTGGGAATGGCTTACCACCCTCGGACGGAGGTGGTGACGCTGAGGATGTGAATGGTTTTGAAGTTCTAGAAGAGAATGAATTGTCTAGCGCTAGGGCCTGAGAGACATCAACGCCTCCGAAAGCATCTTGAAAGCTTATGCCTCCCGCGTCCGCCTGTTTTGATTCTGCCTTCTCAGGCTGAGGTGCAGTGTTTGGGGCGTTCCAGGGGCCCGATGAGAAGACTTCATCAAATGAGACCGGAGCTGCCGGCTGTGCTATAGCCACTTTCGGAGTGGCTGATATTCCATTACTAGCAGGCTGGGTGAAGAAATCTGGTGCCCCATTCGCATGTGCAGCCGCGTCTGCGGTCGTTGCAGGGACGCCATTGGCAGGTGCAGATCCGGCGGGAAGTGGTGGGAATGTAGAAGATGACGCCATCGCTGTCCCAAAGTCAAAGTTATCCTCAAAGTTGGAATCGAAGGAGAAGGCAGAAGCCGGCTGCGTGGAACCGCCATTCGAGATCTTGCCGAGCGCCTCGTCAAAGCTATTCAAACCGCTTGTTTCAGATGGTTGAAAGAGTTGTGACTGAGTAGTTTCAAGCGGCGCTGAGAAAGGAACACCAAATGCATCTACCAAAGATGTGCCATTCTGCGAGGGGGCAGCTGTGTCTGACTGAGGTGCGCTGCTGGAAACGAGGTCACGCTCGGGCACATCAGTGTTCACTCCAAAGATGTCATCAAAAGAGGTCGGTGCCTGTGAGGATATCACTTCTTCGGAGGGGGAAACCTCCTTGGCAGAGTCTGTCGAGCGGTCGACAGCTTCCGACTCGTGGCTGTCCTCGCTTTCACTCTCGGTGTCATTCACCTCCAACTCCTGGAGGTCCGTCGACAAGTCTGTCTCCTTCTCCCCCTCCTCGGGTGCGGGTTGCTGAGCATTGAAATCATCGATGGCGGGGAAGTGTGCGGCAACACTATCGAGAGATGAAACATTTGCACAGTCATGGTTAACGGGTGTGATACTGGTTGGAGGGGTGGTGAAATGTTCATCGCTCGTGGGTGACGATACGACATCATCGGAAAAGTAGGGCCCGTTCTTCACACGAGGGGTCACGACGACAAATTCGGAACCATCTGTATCAGGCGCATTGTCGGTCTGTAGCACGGGTTCTGTGTCGAATGCCTGCGAAAAGAGGTCGGTTTGCATTGTAGCCGGGGTAGCTGGAGCAGAGAGACCGGGTGGCGATGATAGGCCAGGGGGAGCAGGATAAGGAGCATCAGGGAAAGACAGGAACGGCGACTGAGATCGTGGAGTTGATACCCCCGAGGACATTGCCAACCTCTCGAAAGGGTTGTTACTCTTGACACTGATAGGGCTCATGGCTCCCGTGATATCAGGGGTGACTGGTAAAGGATGCGCAGCCGCAAAAGCAACCGAGTCTGGCGACTTAGAACGCTCCAATGCTGTCAGCGAAAGCGTAGTCACAGTCTTCTGAACTTCGGCTTCGGCTTCTTCTCTCTCCTTGATCGTATCGGCGAGATCTTGCTGTGCCTCCTCTAGCTCCTTGTCCACCTTGGTTTTCTCCGACTCCTTGGTTGCAAGTTGCTTTTTGGCAATTGCAAGAAGACCCTTCTGTTGTTTCGCGTCTTTCTTCGCCTTTTCGACATCCTGCTTCACAACAGCGATTTGCGTCGTGACCTCCGCCATCCGCCTGTTCAGGTCCCGAACCTCTTCCTTGTCACGCAAGAAAGACCCTTCGACTTCTGCTTTCTCCACTCGGACAGCGCTGAGGTCGCTCTCGTCCCTAATAAGTTCTTCCCTAACTCTCTGAATGTCGGCGATCTGAGCTGCGTGACGATCACGGAGCGTGTTCAGAAGCGAAATCTCCGTCTCATAAGATGCCTTGGCAGAAGCAAGCTGAGTCTGAAGAGCTGAAAGCTGCGCCGCCTGATTGGCGAGCGTGCTCTCGAGAGCTTCTCGTTCAGCCTTTGCGGTCTGCAGAGATCTTTGCGTGGAATTGAATTGATTCTGCACGTTCCCAATTTCTGCAGACTGGTCGTGCAAAACGGGCGGTGCATGTGTATCGTCATCATCAAGGAAATTCCTGTTCGACGCTGTTTGTTCAAAGTATCAGTATCTGCGCAGACGAAGATGCCGAGCGACCCACGAGATGTAGCTGGAGAGGAGCCAAAGGGATCCTGTGAGGGCGGTATAGGACGAGCCACAAACTTCGGAGAGAGCGGGGTACCTGTGGTTTGAGGTTGCAAGATGCTTGTTGGAGGATGCGAGGTGGTCGCCGAAGGCGGAGGCGAATCGTCCCAAAGGAGATCCCGCACGGGTTCCGGTTTTGGAGGCGCCGGTGCAGTAGCAAATGGCACTAATCCCGCTCGCATTGATGGAGGTACAAGGGTCGGGGGTAACGTACTAGGGACATCCTTGCCTGAGAGGTTGCCCTGAATGAGGTGCATTGCGACTGCGAATCCGTCACGGGTCAGACGGCCGTCGTTATTAATATCTGCGAGGTCCCTGCAAACCTAAAATGAGAAACAACAATGACCGAAGCCAGATGGTTAATAATTACAGACCAGACTTGGGCCAATACATCTTCCGGCAAGTTGGATTGGAGCATAAATGGTACTGCAACATCGCCTTCAATGTACCCTCTACGCTGCGGATCCAATGTATCGAAGAAGTGGTCTGCACCGGCCTTCTCAGCTGTGGTGACATCCCAGTTACTGGTGGATTGAGGAGCAACACCAGGGAATGCGGGTATATTTGGGGCAAGCCTGCTGGGCCCAAGGCGTCTGTTCGGAAGGGGAGGAGCCGGAGACGCCTGGCCTGTCAGCTGCGGCTGCACAGCAATCTGTCTCGGTGCTGGTGGAAAACCTGAGCTGCTGAAATTCACACTACCGCCAGTCGCGTGAACAGAAACACCTCCGGCCTGCTCGTATAAGCCGGGCGAAATAGAAGTCGGGATAGACGAAAGTTGACCGGCCATGGAGGCTTGAATTAGGTACATGGCTATGGTAAAGTCAGTTATGTCGAGTGCGCCTCGGTCTTGTGTATCGCATAAAGTCCTGTAATGGCATGAGACTTTGTCGAAGTTACAGAGACTTTTCGCACCATATTTGAGATAGTTTGTCCACAGAGAGTTTGGATTTGACGAATACGTTGCGTGCTTTGTCGCCTTGGATGAGGAAGACAATTAGCCCCTGCTATGTGCAAATGAGCTGGCGTACCATTGAGGAGGCCATTGACGGGTCCACACCCCTGGAATATCCGTGTAAATTTGGCCTTGTCTTGAGGAGACAATGGAGGTAAACTGGGAGGTGGTGACTTTGGTATTGATGCGCCAGTGCCCTGTGGAATCAAAGGTGTCTGTACGCCTTCAATTTTGGCTAAGGGTCCGGCTAAGGGCCCAATATCAGTAATGTGTCATAGTGAAAGAGCAATGAATCTCACGTTTGTTCACAAGAGACTTGTCGACCTTCTGGCCTTTCTGAGCGTGGCCCATGAGACGGACCGCAATTGAAACACCCTTCTTTGTCAAGAAGCCATTGTTATCATCATCCGCAATGTTCCAAATTTCGCCCAAGACGGTCGGTGCAAGTTTAGCACCTTGGAAGACCTTTACGGCGACGTCACCAGTGAGGATTCCGATTTTCTGGGTATCTGCCTGAGCGAATATCTGATTTACTAGTGCAAGCTCTGCGGGCGTCGGCGCAAAGTTGCTTGACATTGTGTGGGCCGTTGACGACGTTAGAAGTATAAGTTACAGAGCTACGCACTTGCTAATGGTGAGCAGGAGAAGCTTAGGGCAGCCGTTCTTGCCGACGGATCTTCCCGTTTCAATTCAGACTCAGAACAGGTCTTTTATTTGTTATTGTTTGTGTAAATTTCAATAATGACTGCACGTGACTGAGCGCGTCCACTGTACTTGAACTGACAAGTTGTAGTTCTTATCTTGCATTTACACATCTCTCTCTGCAACCGCCATTCAATTGCAAGCTTAGAAATTATGGACCAGATTACTTCCGCCCTCGCTCCTTCCAGAATCTCCCAAAAAACCGCCGTCTCTGGCTCAGCACCTGACGGTCCTGGTAGTGTGACAAAACGGTGAGAGTGCCGCCACCTTTAAGGCTAACATCTATGCTCACTGTCATTCTACAGCCTGAGCAACGAGCTCATGACCTTGATGGTGAGCATGTGTACTAGCCGTACTTTTTTTATTGAACTCTCAGTACTTGCTAGATGTCATCATCTCCTGGTATCGTGAGTGATCCTCGTGTGTACCCCATACTTCTCTCTCATAAACCACTTAGTCCGCCTTCCCGAAAAGTGATGCAAACCTGTTCGAATGGGTGGGAACGATAGAAGGCCCGGCTGGGACTGTATGTCGCGCACGCATGAAACCATTGTCGTTCAATGCTAACTACTGCGCTAGATTTATGTTGGACTATCATTTCGAATCTCCATATCATTCCCCAGCAATTACCCATACTCGCCACCAACGATCAAGTTCGACACTCCCTGTTATCATCCCAACGTTGACATTGTAGGAGGGGCGATCTGTCTTGACATCTTGCAGGTTTGCCACATTTTCCTGTCAATAATACACAACCCTCAGAATTTGTCCAGGACAAGTGGTCCGCCGTTTATAGCGTGCAAACCGTGTTATTGTCGTTGCAATCGCTACTAGGAGGTTAGTTGTGAGACTTGACAGTGTATAGTTTCTTACTTACCTTCTACAGAACCCAACAATGCTTCTCCGCTTAATGGTGACGCTGCAGGGTTATGGAATCAGCCTGAATGTCAGTCGCTTTAATATGCGAGACCGCGGTTTCTCATTATTCTTCTTATAGCCTTCAAAGCTCAACTGCTGAAACACTACCGCCCGATTGAGAGCTCCACATGATACTGTTCTCATGATGTATCGCTTTGATAGGTTAGGGCTGTTGGCTCTTTGTTATTCTATACGTCGATCGTAGTGTTTTCGGACTGGCACATTTGTAGATGGCGATATGTTGCCCTTCTCGATGTATACCCCGCCTTTGTTTTCTGTGATCCAATGGGGTAATCGGAATTAAGCTTTGAATGTGGAAGCTAAATGCCAGCTTTTGCCAGCTCACGCACACAGCCCATTTCAAGTTTGAACCACATTCCTTCCACTATTCGATTTAGCAGGTCTTGTCGAAACTACGTGTCTCTCTTTGTTCTATCTGTCTTTATCCTTGCGTGTTTGTATTGTCGTCTGCTATCCGAGACTAGTATAAAGGCGTTTGGTTCGTTCTTATTGCATTTCCCTTGACCTTGATAATTAAATCGGCTCCTAGCAGTCTGAATTACATTCATTTCGCTTGTAATCATGCCCCGAGGCCCACGTCGTCCACCTCCTTCTGCTCTCCGTCTCGTGCAGGGTCCTCTCCCACCACGCGCCACTCCAAAGCACATCCTCCCTTCCTTTCCTTGTCCCGCTTTCCAACCAGAGGCTGCCCTCCCTCATGGGCCTATGCCCCAATCCCGGACACGCCGCGCAGATCCAGCGCGGCTTACGTTCCCTGACCTGCCACCTCTGGATGTAGAGTTTGCAAATACTCATAGCAGGTCCGGATCATCTACTCCAACATCATCGCCCACATCGGGGCAGCGCATGCGTGGCCCCTGGAATCACTCGAGTTGTATTAGCGTGCAGTTGGACATCAACAGTCTAATTGCGCTACCAGAGCCTGTGGCATTCTGTCAATAGCTCGTGGTATTTGTGTGGAAGAGCTGTATGATAGGGTTGGATATCGGTTTCTACAGCTGGGCTGAGTGGTATTTTACTGTTTTCTTATGAGACTGGTGCTCAAGATCATTTGTGGCTATGTATATGTAAATGCAAAGATGCTCGATGCTCGATGCATATATTGTGTACATCTTGAGTCTGAACCTCAGTTGATCTAGATTGTTCGGTCCTGACGATGGCTGCGGATGATCTGCGCCCCCTTAAAATGGTGTTTCGTGTGCCCTCGACCATCTCTGGCACTCCCACCGTCTATCGCCGTCGGCGTGTTCCCGGCGGGCCCTTGCCCTCGAGGTTCCATGCGACCCATCAGCCGTTTTTGCTGCGGTTGCTGCGAGCGTCTAAAGTGGTCACTACCTCATAATGGTATGTCTTGCCCATGTGTGGGTGATTCTTTTCTGCTGACCTTTTCCCAGTTCATTTTGTTGGTTGACATACACGCTGGTTGTTTTCCCGGACACGCCTCATTCTGAGAAAGCGCAGTCAGTTCCAAGGTCGAGTATGCCGCCATCTGAGGGAACACGTCGCTGTGCAGATGAGCTATAATTGGAGCCGCCGGTGTGATATCCATAAGTAAAAGTTCCCTTGAATGTCATATCCTGTATCATTTCTACAGAGTCGTTGGTGTTGATGATTCGTTTTAGACTGGCTTAGCTTCTGATGATTGGTTCGGTCGGATCAGGTGCACTGTCACTGGAGGATCAGCAACTGTCCGTGCATGGTCACGCACAGCGCTGAACCTTCCTTTATATGTCAAGCAAACAAGTTTCATTTGATGCCCTGGAGGGCGGCTCCGACCTCTCAATGGAAATTCATTGATGTGGTTGCAGGACGAGGTTGAAACATTGACGCTATTGATAGAGAAGCGAGAGAAGCACGGGTGTTACGACCATGCCGGTTCGTCATTATTTTGCTTCTGATTCTAATGGTCTTTGTGTGCACTCTTGGGGGTTGTATTCACGTTGCCGTCCGTGATTTTCGTGTGTGCAGTATAGCCTGAGTCGGTGCTGTGTGGTTTGCAGTGATTTTAGAGTAGGAACGTGTATATAGTGATATTGAAATCAGGGTGGCGTGAGGTGTGTTCTGGTTTGGCCACGAGCCTTATTTTCGGCGTTCATCATCCTCTTGAGTTTCTTGTACGCTTTTTGTCTGTTCGCCTTGTTTTTTCTCTCTCTCTCTTCAACTGCCGTTACGACTTAAAGCTAATCAAAGTTGAAGACCAAGGAAATCCAAGGTTTTCTTCTACCATCATGACAAGCTCTCCAACGCCAGACATCGCCTCTTTATCTCTAAACCCTCAATCTCAACGCCTCCATGACACTTACGATTATGACCAGAGCGCGAGGCAGCAGTATCAGTTCAACCAGCAACTTTCACCTCAGTATAATCCTCTAGGCGGTATGAATCCATCTCCTCTCAAGATGAAGCCCATCCGTGCTGCTCTTCCCACCGTCAGTCAATTTCTTTTAAAAACATTAACTTGTAATCTCAATATCTATCTACCTATCTATCTTATAGCAATGGCTTGATAACTCAATGGTCATCCCTGATAATCGCTCTCTATCCCCTCACAACAATTCAGATTTCTCTTCTTCCGGTAGTTCCCCCCCTTTAGGTCATCTACAAGCTTCTTCTCTTGCTCCTTCGACGCCTAACCAAAATCCTGACGATGAGGTTATACCAACCGCCATCGTCGTCAAGAACATTCCTTTCAACGTCAAGCGCGAGACTCTCCTTGATATCATCGTTAGTTCATCAATTTTGCCACGATGACATTTGACTCACGTCTCTATTTTAGGCTTCTTTGTCTATCCCTACCCCCTACGCGTTTAACTATCACCTGGATCAACAGGGCTCTTTCCGTGGTCTCGCATTTGCTAATTTTCGTCAAGCGGCAGACGCTGACGCAGTCGTGGCTGCTTTGAATGGATTCGATGTCCAAGGCCGTAAGCTTCGTGTCGAGTACAAGAAAGTTCTTCAAGCCGGAGAAAAAGAGCGTATCGAAAGAGAAAAGGCTATCAGGCGGATGCGCTCCATGCAACTCGAAAAGGAGCAACAACAGGCAGTTCACCAGTCATATGATGACTTTGGTCCCGTCACAGCCCCCGCTTTCACCCCGCAGCGATCCTTCTCTTCTGGTGCCTATCAACAGCAACAGTACTCACCTCCGCCTATGCCTCAACTTCCAATCTCTCAGCCATTTAACCCCGCAGCATCCCCTCCCATTGCCCCCGCGACACCAAATCCATCCGAGAAGTCTTCGTCCTCCAATGAACTGGATCTCAATGATCCTTCTACTTTGGAAATCTATTCTCGCATTTTACTTTTCAAGGACGACAGAATGAGGGACGAGCTCGCTTTCTCGAGGACACTCTCACCCAAACAAAGGAGGGTGGTTCACTTGATTGCACAGAAGTTGGGCGTGTATCACTATTCGGTTGGAGAAGGCGATGAAAGGTACGCCGTCGTAACTCGAATCGATCCTAACAGGGTGGGTCTTTCCCTACATGCCAAGCCTTTAGTCAGTCCCTGATAATTGAATCCACAGACTCAACGAGCTCAGGCCGCGACCCTGTCGCGCGCCCCATCTGCATATCTCTCTGCATCTTCCTCACAAACGCTTGCAAACTCTTTACGCATGAAGAAGTCGATGCCTGATATGAAAACCTTGCACACTCAAGCACCCCGCCTGACAACTCGTGCGTCGAATGGCAATATTAGGGAAGGTTACGCAACGATTGCTTCTCCTTCTCGTCGTTCTCCGGGTGGTTTCGGTTCGCTCTTTAGCAGCAACTTTGGTAGTTCTGCCATCCCGCCTGTTCCCAGCCTGCCATCCAGCGTCACTGGAATGAATGGTGGTAGTTTGAATGAGGGTAGTAGTGTTGTCAGACAACCACGAGGCCCCGGCGCAGGCGGCTTTGGTCTGCGTCGCGGAACAAACAGTGATCAAGCACGTGGCAATGGACTAGAAGCCAGATCTCACGAGCCGCTGGAAATATAGAACCCGCCACACACCCTCAGGCCTTTCTCCTCATTTACGCTTTTGAGAGTCCCACAATCAGGGTTGGATGGTGCTCGTATTGATTGTTCCCGCGTAGCTTGATTGCTTGCTGGTTCCTTTCGCTGTTATGGTTTTCTGGTTCTGATTTTTTGTATACCGCACCATCAACACAATTAAACGTCTCCTCCATCTCTCAAAAGTCGACCTTCCCTACTCGTAATTTCCTTGTACTTTCGTTGTCTGGATCGCTCTCTTACACCTTTGCTTTCCTTTCTCTGGATTCTCTTGCTTCAACCATTTTATACATATCATAGGCCTGCTTGAATATGTAAATATATGCTGCTTGATGCACCATAGGTCTTGCTTTCGCCGGGACGGTGCTTCGCGTTGGGGCGCTTTATATTCATGTATTTTTTAAGGCTTTTACCAAACAAACTTGAAGGAGTGATCCGAGCCGGATTGAGACGCGTCCATAGCTGCTTCTTCACGTCTACTTCCACTTCCACTTCCACAAAACCTACGCCCTGGTCAGTTCACAGATGCCGAGCTCAGCTATCATCCACGCCGCGTGCTTCGCGGTTGGTGCAGTAGTGGGAGGGGGTGTGGTCAGCGCCGTGGCTTCTAGGAAGAGGCAAATCCCTATAAGTACCACCTCAGCCAACACGTCCATAGCTCCTCCCATAATTGAAATGGGTCAGAGTGGTGGTGCGAAACTCTCGAGTGCTGTTTCAGCCTCTGCGCTGTCATCCCCGGTCTTAAAATACGGTCACCCAGGTGAATTGCGTGCTGGATGATGATGATTTTGTTTATGTTGCCTGAACTTGGATTTTGAATAGGTCCTGTACCAGACCTCTTGGTTCGCAAAGCGTATACAGCTGCGTATGACCGGAGACTGAGGCACCCGGCATGGGTGTGTCATTTTTCTATGCTTCAGCAGTCATTCTTCTTTCATTAACTGACATTACATTCATAGACTGCAGAGCATCTTACTCTCGCATCTTTGGGCAAATCCACTCAGCAGCGTCCCTCAGGGGACGGGTCAGGAGGCGACCGCTCAAACTCGACGTTCGCAGAGGATGAATCCCTCCCGGCGATGTTCCGCGCGAGGCTGCAAGATTACTTCCGAAGTGGGTATGATCGTGGACATATGTATGTACGCCGAGACTTTTTGAGGGGGCGGGTCTTGATGAGCTTGAAGGGTTCCTGCTGCAGACGCCAAGCTCTCTCAGGAAGCTATGAATGAAACGTTCTTACTGTCGAATATTGCTCCTCAAGTCGGCGTTGGCTTCAACCGCCATTGTAAGTAGGTGCTACAGGAGACGTTTCAAGGCTGATTTTTGCTTCGTAGATTGGGCGTACTTGGAAGACTGGTGTAGACGCCTCACAGGGTCTTTCTCTGATGTTTACGTTTTTACAATCCCGTTGTATCTCCCCCGCAAAGATGCAGATGGTAAATTCCGCGTGGTCAGTCTAGGCCCTCGTTATTTATTGTATGATTCCCATTTTTTTGCAGACGTATGAACTTATTGGTTCCCCGCCGAACGTCGCGGTCCCGACACACTTTGCCAAAGTGGTGTTGGCCTCGAGACCTTTGTCACCTTCAACGCCAGACGCGCTAGAAATTTCTACGGGCGCGTTTGTGCTCCCGAATGCCATTATTCCTGATGATGCGCCTCTAGAGGGTTTCGTCACGCCAGGTAGGCGCACAAACCTTTGAATGCTGGGCGCACGACTAATGTGCTGCACTTAGTTGATGTCGTAGAACGTGCCGCTGGCCTCAATCTATTCTCAGATGCCGTAAAAGCCAATTCCAAGCATATCTGCAAGAGCACGAAATGCGATGTGGTGGTACGCAGATTTGATGATGCACAAAAGCGGCCAGATATGCGTCGGGCTATATCTGCCCCCAAGTAATAGAGCACCAGATATATCGATGGGTAGAACAATATAGGGAATATACGTTAGAAATCCGACAGCATATCTTTGATGCTTAACCAGTAGTCCTCATCCACCCGTGTCTTTATCTCACCCTTGGTTAACCAAGCAAAGTCTTGTGCACGCGTCCGGTTTGGGCGGACTTGACCAGCCATGATATGTGCTTTATAGAAAAAGACCACATCCTGCAGAGCTGTCAGTAAAAGATACAGGCTACTGGAAGCAGGACAAACCTTCTCGGCGCTGTCTGCATTGGCTGGTGAAGGAGGGTGGAATACGCCTATCGGATTCCGGCTGACTATCCAAGTGTCCATAAGGTTTCCACACTCGACTTCAAGTCCACGGGTTGCTGCCTGATTGGGGAAGAATATAAGGACAAGCAATTCAGAGACGGATCAATCTACTGACATGATGCAAAAGCTCTCCCTTGTCCACACTTCCCTGAGGGAACCTCCACGCGGCAATCCCATTTTCCTGCTTTTGTAGTAATAGGTATAGGTTTCGCTGACCACGTCTATGCAGGTTTTTGAGGTCCGAGTTAATGTCAGCTTCATGAACACGCGGCATGGCCTCTTCTTCGTCGCGCATAGTAGCCTCGGCAAGCTTTTCAGCCTCGCTCGTCTCCCCGGTCTGCATACCAAAAGGCGCACCAAACGCCTTGCGCTCGCGTCTTCGCTCCTCTATGTTGAACCGCGACTCAAGAGGTGAACCCTGTTTGAAGTAAAAGTCATAAGGAAACGGGTTGTGCAGCGCGCGGTGGATGCGGGCTTGGTAGGCGTAGTAGGCTTTCTCGAAGGCCGTTGGTGTGCGGGTAATTATGGGAGATCGGTTCAGAATGATTCCAGTGTGTAAGATGGGCCGTGCAGCCTTCTTTGACAGTGCGGCATCTACTTGCGCGACCTCAGGTGCTGCAGATGCTGCACAAGCTTCGGTCGCAAGACCGCGAAGCAGACATGCTGCCAAAAAATGTTAGAAAAGGTGTTAGGAGCGCTAAAAGGATGTCACGTACCTTTGGGTGCGCGTTTGCACGATGACAACACCGTTCTCGAGAACATAAAGACTGAACGGAAACTGACTCTGCAGAATTCAATTGAAGTGAGAATTAAGGGTGGTCGTGACCCCCCCTTGTGTGTGAGAAATGGCCCAAAGGTGGTCCACTGTGCAGACGCGAATGCTAGTAGTGGACAATATTGTCGGGACAAGCTACAATGTCCCTCTCCTTCGTTTCAAATGCACATCTCGATGAGAGCTCTGCAAAGATAAGGTCAAAGCCTGTCCCATGGGAGGTCCGTCAACCAGATTTCATTAGCGTATGACACTCATCCCGGAGTCAGGGATACCAACGTGCCGAACTAGTGACTTCGGAGGAGCTGGCTCTCATCAAGAAGGTGGACAGACAGCCCAGGGCAAAGGTGGAATCTATCCATTTGTCCGATGGCCAAACATATGCCCTACTATACCTCCGGCTTCTTAAGAAGCTCCAAAGGGTCGATACCATGCAATGCCTCCTAGTCTTAATTGCAGATGCACTCCTGGGTATGTTTCATCTCGGACGTTTTGAAACGAATACATGATTCATTTGTCTGTAGATCATGATGAGCGGATACCGCTCTTCGCGAGAGTCGCTCAGTCTGACCCCGACCTCCCGTATGCCCCTCTCATCAGGTACGCGACTTCGAGTCTTCAACCTGATTGCGAGACTGACAGCATGATTTCAGAACTCTAGAAGCTCAAGATGACTTTGTTCAACTCAAATCCGCTCAAATACTGACCGTGCTGCTGAGGTGCGCGTAATCTGCCTTCCTCAAGTCCATTATTGATGTCATGTCTGCTCAGCTCGGAATCAACTCCCCTTCAGCACCAGCACCTTCAGCCATTCCTGAAGGTTCTCGCCTCACTCGTGCAGAGCCAGTCACAAAACAAGCGTGACGTCGCAGTTCAGTGCTTAGAGTCTCTTCTCGCTCGTCCAGAATGCCGCAGGGCAGTATGGGCCATCCCTGGAATATTAGCAGGGTGAGCATTTATCGCATCGCTGATCAGTTCACGCTTTAACTGATCGAATAGGTTCGTTGAGATCCTTCTCCATAAACCTGGCCCTCAGATGAGCTACCAAGTGATCTTCTGCATTTGGTTGCTTTCATTCGAGCAAGATGTCGCTGAACAAATCAACAAGTGAGGGTTTTAGTCGCGTCATCGTGAAATTTTCTCAAATTTTTGAAGGAAATACGATATTATACCTTTGTTGATCACAGTGGCACAGGCTGCCGTGAAAGAGAAAGTTATTCGCGTTATTATTGCCACTTTCAGTGTAGGTGTAGGTCCTCTCTTCGGGGACGTCTGATGTTGATGTTCTTGAAGAATTTGATTACGAAGGCGCCTTCCGAGAATCTTCCGGCTATGCTCGTCGCGCAGCTTCTTCCGTTCTCGAAAAACCTTTCAACTCGCAAATGGTCTGACGAGGACATCTTGGAGGACGTACAATACGTCAGAGATGAACTAGAACGCAACTTTGAAAGCCTGACGTGAGTGTATCTGATACCGCTTAATCTCCTACTGATTGCTGGGATGCAGGACGTACGATGAATACATGTCAGAGCTGGCATCTGGTCATCTGTCATGGACACCAGTACATGAGTCAGATGCCTTCTGGCGGGAAAATGCATCGAAATTGAATGATAGAGACTATGAGCAGTTGAAGTAATGACGACCTCTTATGTCAATTGCTCGGTGGCTGATCCCTACTTCAGGACCCTCATCAGACTACTAGGCTCCGACGACCCCGTCGTCCTGGCTGTTGCAGTTCACGATCTTGGGCAGTATGTGAAGCATTACGAACGGGGAAAGAGGTAAGCAAAGCCACATGATCCTGAACATTGCATTTATCTGATCTTTTTCAAAGAATAATTACAGACTTGGGGGGTAAAGCCCGCGCGATGGAGCTCATGACTCATCCAGATCCGGATGTACGCTACCATGCCTTGCTATCAGTGCAGGAGCTCGTCAGTCATCCTTGGTCAGCGGTATAGTGCACACTTGGACATTGATATTGTCAGCACGCACAATCTCTGTCATGCTGTATGTTGCAGCTACCTGTTGTATCTCGTCGTACATGCCGTATATTGCATACGTACGTGCCAACACCATTCCTCTTTTTCGTCTGCAATGCCGGCGTGTTCGTTTCATCATGTTTGTTGCACGTTTCATGGTATCATCACCCTCCCGAAATATGTAATGTGATGCGTTCATTGCAGTTCCCGAAAAAGACAACATCGATATTCTGCAGCATGCAGTTCCTTAGGATCGTGAACCCTGTAAGGCAGCAGTGCGGTTTGGAAATTCTCTCGTATGATTCGATCCGTTACAAATGGGCTAAAACTTGAAGTACTAAGTTCTTATATAGCGCATGCACGCAATCAAAACAGAGTATGTCTCCCCTGATGTTGGCTTTTTGTGTACTGAATACGCATGGAACCACTTCGTACAGCATCCCAACAACAGCGGCAATGATTTGAGACTATGTATCCGAGCGGTCAACTTGGTGGACGTTACGCTGTGACCGTTATGATCGAGTCATTGATGCTCCGCGCACTCAATATGCATACCACGCTATCTTCGAAGAGTATGTGCCTCCAAAGTGTGCTGCGAATTCCTACGAACAAGACCCCCAAACGCATATACAGCTTCCAGTTCTTCGTCCTTGCGATCCTCGCCACGCGCATGCACCTCTTTCTTGAGCATGTCGACCAGCATGTACATGGCTTTGACGCCCTTATGCTTATTCCTTTGTTGGGTTGGAGGTGCATTTAGGTAGCCTTGGTCTATACAACATCCATGAGGTGTCGAGCTTCTGCCGTGAGCGACAGCGGATGGGTGTATAACAATCAGGATTCAGGATTTGAAACGTGCTGTTCTGTTATGGACGAAAATAAGTGAGCAGTACGTACGGTAAGGCTTGATCAGGCTATTGTAAGAGACCTGATGCAACATGCCATCTGAAAGAATGATTAGATCTGCAATGTGATTGACCGTTTTCGCGATTTAGGGGAAATCTGCTTATATAAGCACTAATACACTGTTGGCGCGACCATTTATTACAGCCCACAGGCATGGCGAAGGGATCTCAGTTGTCTCAGCTCAAGTCGGCCTTATCCCAAGCGGGGATCAGCAAGACCCCACAAAATGGAAAAAAGCGCAAGCGTTCAGGCTCTATTGACCAGGATAAAATCAAGAAGGCAGCCAAGCTTCAGGAGATACACAAAAAGCTGAATCCCTTCGACGTCAAGGTCACAAAACTAAAACATGACGTGGGTGGACGAAAGATCAAAGGATCAAAGGGACAGCCTGCACAGAGCAAGCAAGCAGGTATTGAGCAGGTGCGCTTTTTTATATTCGACGAGTATTGACAGGTCCCTTACATTGCCTACAATAGCGCGAGAAGACTCTATTGAAAGAGTTCCAGGACAGAGGTCGTGTTGGCGGAATTGTCGATAGGCGCTTTGGTGAAAATGACCCTTCTATGTCTCTTGAGGAACGTATGCTCGAGCGTTTCACGAAAGAAAGGCAGCGAGCTTCCAAAGGAACCATATTCAATCTTGAGGGCGAAGAAGAGCTCACACACTATGGTCAAAGCCTCTCGAATCTAGATGATTTCGACGACGTTGGTTTGCCTATGGATGAAGACGAAGATGACGATAACGGTGAGCATTCCTACGCTGTGCATCGACGTTTTTGTTTATCTGTTAAACTCGTTCAAGGCCAAATGGATCGCGACATCGTGGGGAAGGCACACTTTGGTGGGTTTGGCGACAAGGATGAGGACGAAACAGATCACAACGTGCGTGACTTTCATAACTCAAAGAGAAATATCGCGCTCACACTTCTCCAGCCCGACCGGAAGAAATCAAAAGCGGAAGTCATGACAGAACTCATCGCCAAAAGTAAAGAGCACAAGGTAACCTATTAGACTTTTTACTGAATGTTACTGAACCTGGTTCAGGCCCGCCGTCAACTTGAAAAAGTGCAAGAGGAGAGTATGCGGCATCAACTCGATGAAGATTTTGATTCCTTGAGAAGTCTGCTCTTCGCGCCTGGCGCACAGACAACCGACAACAATGCGGCTTCTCTGGGTAGTTCTGGAGACCTGCCTGCCATTCCCTCCACAGACATAGATGAGCAAATGGACTACGACAGACAGGTTCGCGAACTCGCGTTTGATCAACGCGCAAAGCCAAAAGATCGAACAAAAACAGAAGACGAGCTTGCACTTGAAGAGAAGGAGAATTTAGAGAAGGCGGAAAGGCAGCGAAGGCGGAGAATGCTTGGAGACGATGGAGAAGATAGCGATGATGGCGGAAGGAATCACGGAAAACGGAAGAGGGAGCGTGGAGGTGACGACCTCGAGGACGATTTTGCAGGGGACGAATCATTGGGAGGTATTGGGTTGGGATTAGGTGGCATAAACGGCCAGGCGGTTGCTGAGGATGAAAGCGAAGAAGAGGAAGATGATGACGAAGGTGTGGACGGGGATGAGGAGAGCGACAACGACGACGAGAACAGTGAGGCGGAGGACGGAAGTGAACCAAGCTTTGGCAGTGAGGCAGGCAGTGCCTCTGGAGGCGAGTTCGACGAAATAACGACCAGCCAGAAGTCAGCGAAACTCAAGCCACCAAGCGTTCGACATGAGTTGCCCTTCACTTTTCCTTGCCCTGAGTCACACGAAGAGTTCCTGGAGATTATTGAAGAAATAGATCATACGGACGTGCCTACTGTGATCCAGCGCATACGCACGTTACACCACCCAAGCCTTTCCCCAGAAAATAAAGTGAAGCTTCAGGTAACGTCTTTCTTTGAAAGTTGTGAACTCAGTTGACATTCTTTATAGAACTTGACATCGGTCCTTGTTGACCACGTACTCTATATCACATCTCCGCCTGCCCCACAATTCACGCTCCTGAACTCTATTGTTCCCCACCTCTTTGCACTTTGCCGCTCGTACCCAATCGAATCTGCGGGAATTTTCGTGGAGAAACTCTCGCTGATGCACAAAAATTTGGAGCGGGGATTATCGCGGGGAGCTCTTGAACTGGGCGCAAGAACATGGCCGGGACCAGCTGAATTGTCCCTTTTGCGCACCATTGGAGTCATATGGTCTAGTAGTGATATGAGCCATCCCATCATTTCACCTGCACGGCTTCTCATGGGTGCTTACTTGGGGCTGTGTCGTGTTCGGTCACTAACGGACATAACGAGTGGACTCTTCTTATCTTCCCTCTTCCTTCAGTACGAGGAATTATCCAAACGCCTGGTCCCAGAAGCCGTCAACTTTTCTATCAACGCCGTCTTGCACCTAGCTCCGAGCTCTCTTAAAAATGTTGCATCAATACCTGGTTCATTTCCTTCCCCTGACTTCCGGTCAGATCTCTGTGCACCCCTCACAATCGACGTCAAGAAGTCCAAGCACCTCGATTTCCACACACCAAACCTCCATCGGCTCCTGACTGACGTTCATTATGAGGAGCAGGATAAACTTGATTTGCTAGGCCTCGCTTTTCGCCTTCTGGATCGATTTTCAGAAATGTACAAGAGCCTTGCCGGTTTTATTGAGCTCTATCAACCACTTCTAGATATCTTGACGAAACTCAACATTGCAAAACTTTCGGAGGGGGTTCGAGTGAGTCAATGTCATCTTGCTGCAAAACGCACACTAACCATAATTTTAGACGCAAGCCTCCTCTTTGCAGGACAAGCTCACCAGGTTATTGAAGTTTGCTCGTCAAGCTCGTAGACCCCTTCTACTTCAGGCCCACAAACCAATTCCGATCCCAACATATATACCCAAGTTTGAGTCAAGGTCCTCCTCTTACCTGCGGCGGCAAGATCCAGATCATGAACGGAACGAGGCCTCAAAGCTTCGCTACCAGCTCAAGCAGGAGAAGAAGGGAGCCATTCGTGAGCTCAGAAAGGATGCGAAGTTCTTGGCAGCTGTAGAGCACAAGCAACAGGCCGAAAAGGATCGCGCTTACAAGAACCACATGAATAAGGCGTTTTCATCATTGGAAGGCGAGAGAGCTGAACAAAAGGCCATGGATAGAGAAAAAGAGAAAGAAAAGCCTCGATCTGGACGCAAGTAGATTATTTACATAAATACTTAACGACTCTGTAATTAGTGAAGGTGAATGTGCGATTGTCTGCGAATGTTCAATCAATTCTCCCTCAGTTGTCAATGTTTTCAACAGCCGCAAATCAGCTGGTGTCTCGGTTGTTAGTGACTCAGTTGTCAGCGCTAGAGTTAGAAACCACCCCCCTGCCCGTTAGATCTCTCGGTTAGAATAAAGACGTATTGCCTCGGTGTCTCGTTGTGCTGCTGATCACGGCCACACATATGGAGGATATCTGAGGCTACATTTCACAAGCATTAATGGGGTAGTGGTAACCTGGGTCGTTGCCATCGACCCGCCGGGGGTTCGATTCCCTCTTAATGCATTGCTTTTTGTTTTGTCCTGCAACATTTTTTGTCCGTACAATCAACTTCCCAGCGCAGAACAAAGAGCATAATTCAAATAGAAAGAGTTCTATCAGGTTCTATCGTTGTAGCGCGTTTCACATGGGAATCCACGACTCTGCAACAATGAATAAATCATGAATGAACCCAAAGTTCAGCGACTACATCTAACTCTTTCATTGTCCTTGCTTCCATTGTGCCGGACCCTAAGCGATAAATAGCCTGATCTGCACCAACATCTATGAGCTCATCCCTGATCAGTAGGATGCGCAGGCCGCCCGCTCGCACAAATCCAGTCTGCACAGGCAGGAAGGTAAGCTCAAACTCTTGACTACCCTCTACCTTCTTTACATGATCATCCGATGGGTCCTCATGATCACTGTCGTGACTTGGAATGGTGAGCGTAATCGGGGACAGGACCTGCGTGGAGGACCCAACAAATACGCAGCCCTTCAGCTTTGTGCGTTTCTCCTCGTCAGCGAACTCGAAGTAAGGGGAAGGCAGAGTAGGTAGTCTACCACGTGCGAGCATCTTCTCTGGCGAGACAACCAAGGGATTATCGCTTGACATGTTGGGGGAACTTTGCACGGGGGTGACAAGCGTTGACGTTGCAGAAGTGAGGCCGAGGGAAGAGAACCGTGAGCTAATGGTCTCGGTGGCCTGAAATGGTTCAGGGTATGTAATCGCTGTAGAAAGTGGATATTGAAGATGCTGTACAGCAAGAAAGATGATCCTTTGTTTCCCCTCGGCCTTTGGTAGAGCGGCAGAAACGGTAGCAGTGAAAGCGATCTTGAACGGCTGCTCAATGGCGACAGAGTCCCTGGGAATGTGATTTATGATAACATCAACCTCGACGGCCGACACCTGAGCAGGCACCAGTGATGCTGGTAGTTGTTGATTTGGTGCGACAGACACGTTGGATATGGATCCGGCTGCGGGTGACTGCGGACGTGAAGGGCCAGACATTGGGCGTGTGCGAAATGGTGAGCCTGGTCTGTACGGAGCTGGGGTTGGGGAACTAGGCCGAGAAGGGGGGAGTTGTGGAGATCGCGGTCGGGCGGGCGAGGATGGCGCACTTGGCACGGTGCGCTGAAGATAAGGTGGAAGCGCTGAGACAGGGTGCTGGAGTGGGGGTGCTGAAGCTGGGTTTGGGTTTGGAGCTGGAGGAGGGCCAGGAAATCGACGGGACAGCATCTGGGTGTCAAAATTGAGTGCTGAAACTACTATTCATGACTGTGATCTCACCGAAGTTAATAAACGACCAGGCTCGCCGAACTGAGAACGCCATGAGATGTCAAGTCTACCGAGAGGGATGACACTGCCTGCTGGATGAACGACAGGAAATGAGGAAGAAGTTGTTGGCGTTAGGATATAGATGTACTGTCGGATGGCTTGTGGTTGCATGAGAGCCATCGAACCAGAGAACAATTTCTGATCTATATCATCATCCGCACTGGGTATCGTGTTGGCGTCAGCAACGCTCCATCCCTCCGCGCATTCAAATTCCATGCGCTCAACCCACATCGCGTCTTGTGTCATGTTCTGAATGTGGACCTCGAGAAACACTTTCTCGCGCTCTAACGAAGTCATCAATGCCGACGGAGATCGAGGCGTGTGTACCTTGGTCTTTACAGATAGAGGATTCGTGACCTAGCACGTTTTCAGTTGAATTGTTTAAATCGCTGGAAGTCCTGCTGGAAGCGATACGTACAGCAAACTTGTAAAACTTGCGGAAGGTTGCTTCATGGGAGGGATTACTATCACCAGGGGCGTATCGGTATGACGGAGGAAGGTGATACGAGACGATACAAGCTAGAACATGGTGGCCTAACTCCTTCACCTCGTGATGGGCTACATATTCCAGTAAATCTCCTACTGCGAGCTTGAAGCCCGGGCCACCCAGTTCAGCCACCAGTATCTTGGAGTTTGCTGTCTGGATCTCAACGCGGACGCTAACACCCTCGATGTCGACGTTGGTCTCATTGTTGATGCATATGCAACTGGAGAATGTTTCGCCTAGCTGAATGGCTCCAAATGAGGCGGGCAGTGTGAGGAACTCAGATGCCTGAGTGAGATCCCGTAGGGTCTTGGGGTGACCTGGGAGAGGTGTTTTTCCTTGCAGAGAGAGAATTGACGCAGTAGAGTGGGCAGAGAATGAAGGGGAGCTAGAATAGAAGGGCTGCCATGCACTAGCTAGCGATGGTCTCTGTCATTAAGCAGCATTGATCACCACGTCCTGCGCTGAAAGATTATCCACGCACAGATACTCGCATCACTTTCAGCGACAAAAGATGTCCCTGTCCATCCATGTTCTGTACAAGAGTGGATCGTATATGAGCTGTGGTAGGCCAGGTTCTAGTAAGTGTCCACCGTACTTAGTCTAAATAAGTACCGTCTGTCTGACTGAGCGTTGTTTGTTCGTGTTATAAATCGAAGCCTTTGCCTTCCTATTTCAGACTGATCTGAATGAATCACTTGTCTGCCCAGTGCCGTTTCCCAAGTGACTGGGGTTATGTGTTTCCAATTAATTTTGTTTGTTTGTTCTATTCAAATCATTAATACCCTGCTCTGGATGTCCTATAGGCTCAGCTCCAGTACTCTTTGGATGCAATTGTCCTCTGTTCCGGTGGGAGTCGGGGTGGCAAGAGAAAGAGTCAGTGAGCCGCATCATGTATTCTATCCTTTCCTAGGTTTGTCCATTGTACGATGCGGTTTGGCGCATGAAACGCATCCACACACTGACGTCCTCACATCATTTGAATACGTGGGACATCAGCACTTTGCAAGCTCTGAGCCGCTTTCCTCTTCCAGGACCCCTCCTTTCAAACCTCAGAGTTTTGACTCGGTTGTCTAATCGTGGCGACTTCTTCCCGTTCTTGCGTTGTTTCTGTGGGCCCAATTTGACGACCCTCAGGCTTTCACCATCATCGTAGGATATCCGCAAGTGTGTTGCCATTGCATCGCTTGCACCATCGTGTGTTTTGGTGAAGGAGTTCACGCAGAAGATTCTTCGATGCAAGCAATCAGTGAGGTAGTTGTGGGCTGGAATAAAATTGCACTGTTACAGGTTGGTTCTGTGGACGAACGGGCTTTGGCGCACGCAGCCTCTTTGAAGACGCTCCCAGAGAGTTGTGTTTCTCTGTTTCATATCTCAGATGCCCGGTGTCGTATTTTTCTGTCCCCGTTCTGTAATGATCTCAGCCCCGTCACCTTCATTCTTCCAAAACGTCAATTTCTCGGCTCGGCGTCTGCACCTTTTCTGCCAGGGCCATGACCAAAAAAAATTACCATTTCTTCTTGCGCTTACAAGCATGCTTCCTGCATCCCAAGGAACTTTTAGAGCTGGGTTTGACCTTGAAGGAGGTACTATACGATGATGATGGCTTCGAATCGACCATTGTCAACGATAATGTGTTGCAAACTACTCCTATCATTCAAGAGACTCGACCATTTAAATCTTGCGGACATATGCTCTACATATGTCAATGATTCCTTCCTCAACTTCGTTGGTGAGCTTTGAGTGAGTTACATCTCTTTTAACATACTGCCGCCAGTTTTCCACTCTAGGAATTTTCTTTCGCGCCACTTCCCCAAGTAACACGATAGAAATGCCTCCAGTCGGCCGTAGTCTATACTAGACGCACGTAACAGACGTTTCAGACCTGGCCTGCATAAACAAGGGCCTGTGGGCCTCTTATTTAAATAGCACATAAACGCGAAACATTCAGCATACGACGCTATATAATTAAACCGCCTTCACCAATGCTCGCTTCAACTCAGCGTTCCGCTTCTCCAGAGTCTGTATCTTGGTCTGTGCAGAACGCATCTTCTTCAACAAGTAATCTTTCCGCTCGGATGTTGCTTTACGCCTGAACCACCAGAACGACCGCTCCGCTTTTACGAGGTCCTGAAGCGTGCTAAGCTCGGACTCGCATGTACGAACGGTACTGTCTGCGCTCGAGATAAGTTTGTCGTTGAGCGCGATGTCTTGTGTGGCTTGGAAGACGGGGTCTAATGTATCATTAGTGAAGGCAAAGTAAATAACAATCGCATTGTCCATTACCGTTCACAAGTCTCTCAAAGACGTTTTTGAACACGGGCCTTCCGGGACGTATCGTGGACGGTCGGCCTAACAAAGATATTAGATGGATGTCTTTAGTGTAAATGATCGACAACACCGTGTTGTGTGCTGATAGATATGATCTCAGCATGTTCCATGGCACGAAGCGGTAGCTCGTCTCCCTTGAAGGGTGCATCAAGTAATACTTCGTAATACGGCAGCTGATAAGAAAAATTAGCAAACTATCGTCCAGCACATGGGGTTGAGTACCTCAGCTTTGCGTGCCAGCTGCTTGAGCACGATCCACGCCTGCTCCCTGGACCACGCCAAACTCTTAGCGTCGTCGATGTCCTCTCCAAAGGCCTTCTTCCTCAGTTCTCCGACACCGCCAACGACGATGTCTTCTACCGCTTCTTCGATGCCTTGACCATTAGACACTTTGTGGATTAACTATACGCGAGGGGGGAGCATTAGTAATCTGCGAATTAAAGGAGGCAATAAGATAACTCACACGTTCAAGGTCGCTCGTGCGGCCGCCAAGGCGCTCTATGGCCTTCTTTTGTGCAGATGTGAGATCCGATGTGATACCAATATCGTGCAGGCGTCGGCGAACGAAGGAAAGTGCAGTGGGGGCATCAGCATCATAAAGGGCAATAGAGTTCAATGGCTTGGAAGGCAGCGCTGCAACGCCTTGTTAACAATACCTCATAAAAATATAAATACTAAACACACCTCGGGCAAGCAACTTTGCATTTTCGCGGTTGTCGCTGACCACGATAACATGGGCAATCTCGAAAGACGTTAGGATCCGCACAATTTACAAGTGAGTGACGCTAATCACCTGGTTCTCTGCGAGGGACGCTGCCCAATGTGCCAAAACACTGAGAAGTTCCTCCTTGTAAGCACCTCCCCGTGCGGCATAGTTCTTGATGACTACAATCGGCAGGGTACGCACAGCTTGCACGTCCTCCGCATTCCGGTGTTGTCTTGCTAGCTCCTCGCTCGTCTTCTCCCCTCCGCCATTCGAGTTTCCGACATCTTTCTCCATTGCATCGAAGCTCGTAAACTCGCCGTCAGCGCCATCCAGCAACTCGTCGCCGACGCCAAGCTCGCTTATGATGCCGTTCCCGGCGACGCAGTCCAGCCGTGGATCATGCCATGTCCCGGCACGAATACGGGCGCGAGTCCGCGCTTCCTCAGCTTGTCGTGCTTCAGCGTCTTGCGCTGCTTTAACAGTGCGCTGTGCAGAAGCGCGAAGAGAATGATTGACTTTCTTCAATGCTGTGCCTGTGACTTCCAGAATTCGTTTCAGCTGATCTTCAAGGGAAGATGTGAAGCCCGCTAGAATACATCAAGTATTTAGTCAATGAAGTGGGGAAGAATCAATCAATCGAGTGACCTTTTTGACCGATGAGGCCAACGGTCGCAATGTCTACCATATTGTTGACGGAGTTCAAGAAGGCGAAAACCGGTCTGTAGCCGGTCTGCTGTGCGAGTGCCGAAACGAGTCGCGTGTCCGATGTCGCTCTATTGAGCTCAGCACAATCGATCACTAAAGCTTTTCTGTATATCATGATAAGCTGTGTCCATTAGATGGACAGAACACACTACAAACCTGCCAGTGTCGCGGATGATAGCCTCAAGCATACTCGATTTGCCGCTGCCCTGGGGACCATGTACGAATGCAACTGTAGCTATTCAAATTATTTGTCGTCAGAAGTTTTACATTGGAGAATAAGCTACAAACTCACAAGGTAGTTCGGAGAGGTAGTTCCGCACAGCGCTTTCTGCATCCTTGCGTTCCTTCCATATGTCTCCCTGTGGAGAGACATCTTCACGGCCGAAGCTCGTGAGGGAGAACCGGTCCAAGGCTTTCGCACGAAGCCATTTATATAGCTTGTATTCTGAAATGACAGAAACGGGTTGGTATGTTCGATGACCGTGATTAACAATACTGACCGCGATGGTCGAACCAATTAAGCATCTTCCCTTCAACAGAGAGGACTCTTATGGGATCGAATATCTAAACAACTATATGTCTAGCTCATGGACAAATCGTAAAGTCATTCACCCACAGTGTAAGTCAATGTGCCAAGCAAAAAAAATAAGATCGGTAACACGATCCTGGGGTGCGAAGTCAGCCAGTCCCTGATTGCATGGGCCTGAATGGGGTGTTGGTATACAGTCCTCAGGCGTGTTGTTCCACCACCATCGGAGAATGTGTATCCATGGACGGTGTTCCGTGCGATAGTGGCGGAGCGCACGCGGTGGAACATGATATCAGAGGAGCGGAGTGTACCTGCGGGAACAGGCGTAGGAGCGGTGATATTGTGTATTCGGCCGCATGGCTAGCATGGCATAAGGAGAAATAGATTAATAAACGAGTGGACTCACTCGAAACAGACTATACAGGGCTTCTTCAGGAACATCTGGGCCCTGGAAAGAAACGTGGACGATTCCTGACGGGTATCGGTACATATCCTGATTGTGTCGTTTGCATTCTCGGCAAGCAACTTCTACTTGGGGAACGCACCTCGAGAAACGGCTCCCCCTTCACGAGCCAGATATTGCAGTAATTAAGTCCCGACCAAGAGGGGAGACCGCCATGCTTGGTAGCTTCAAGTTGGAGATCCGTCTGAAGCATTTCGAGCGCGTTCTGGTGATCACGAGCAGTATAAGTGAAGCGCACAAAGACACCGCCGTCCTTCAGATATGGCTGGAGCTCGTGGACGTGGAATTCATGTGTCTTTACGGTCTCGAGACGCTCGCGCAAGCGCTCCAAGAGGCTTTCCTCGCGTAATATGCCAATGTAGTGTCGAAGGCTGCATAGGTTTAGTCAAGGTATGGAGGTGTAGTTGGGTGGTACGAACTCCCAGATACCGAGGCGAATGGGGAAGACGGAGTCGATGAACAACCATCGTTCTTGAGACTATAGATAATGATTAGCATTGAGAACCTCTGGTAGCGAAGCCACTCACGTCCCCGTCCAATTTGGATGTGCTCACTGTCTCCGCCAGTGGTGTGTCCGCGAATACACGTATGCTGGCATGTATTCGTCGTGTCGGGAGTGATAAAGAGCGTAAATTTCGAGCAGCCAAGTTAAACGCATTTCTTGGATACATGCTGTAAGATTTATGCAGCAATTGGCTACTTAGCAGATCATTGACATCAATGATTCACTGGTTCCTTATAGGTGTGTATTCTACGTAATGACCAGGTTGTGTGATCGTGGGAGAGTATCGCCTCATTCGTGTTCTTGTGCGGATGAAACGGAGCAAAGTTTGCATCCCGTGAGGGTTCTCCACGCTGTAGACAAGACAACTGTCAATAGGTGCGCACAGGACGACAGCGACCACTGGATCAAGACTGTTCTCGTCAACGCAGACAGTGATGAGTACCTATACCCAAACACAGGCCCGTCCCCCTCCAGCAGCGTTAGGACGCAAAAATTCCTTCTTTGGTGCCATCAAGAACATCGTCACTGCCCCACTCTCATGGTTTGGCGGCAGCGAGGAAGATTTTGGCGACAGCGATGACAGAGGAAAACGAAGGCGGCTGCCCATTGCCTCTGAACAAATCCGCGATGATGAGGATTCAGGCTCAGAGCAACGGACCAAGAGAATGAGGATGGGCAGCCCCAACAGAGATAAGCAACCATACCTTGATCCTCCTAGATCAGCCTTCAGGCAGCACCATAAAGCATCTGATGGTACACGCATTCAAAATCAGCGCCATGTTTCGCCGTCGTCACGAAAAACTCTCCGTGTACCTACAAGCACACCCCGTAATAGACGCACGATGTCCCCTTACCCAAGTGGATCACAGCTCAAGGCACAGCCGTCTGTGCGTACTATGTCTCTTGATCCCCCGTCTGGGCTGGGCTACTCCGGGTCGCCAGCCCGGCTGCAGCCAGCCCCGACTATGCTTGATCTCACCGAGGAGAAAGATGCGATGTCCATCAGCAGGGAACCGTCCATGTCGAACCTCCGTATGCGTACGTCGGTCACACCCCAGCCCTCAGGTTCGGATTTTGGCCCCGTCATTCCCCCTCGCCGGGAGCGCGATCAAACCGAGCCGCCACCACTTACGGCATTGATGTCAAACCCCATGTTTGTCAAGCCCCCGCCCGGTTTACAGAAGTCCAGTACAGCGGAAATGGCCAGACAAGCCACTCTTGGCTCGTTATTAGACTCTCAACGTCAGGTGAAGATCATCTCTGATTTTTTCTTCTCTGTTTTCTTTTCTTCTCTCCTGCCGTAGACATACTTTTGACACGAATTTCTCAGCAAACCCATTCACCTGCCCGACGGGGATCCGTTTTGTTTGGCACTGGATCCATGACAGATATCTCTGCTCGTGCGTATGATCACATTATCAATAGTCATTTGACAATTGATTATCTTGCAATAGCCCATCTTTGGCCGATCAACCCCGCCGAGAAGGCCCTACATGAGCTAGAGGTGTACAAAACTCCTCTCCTTCCCTCGCGCCTTAAGGGTGCACCGATCCCGGACACCTTCATACCCAAGAAGAACCGCCCTATCACTCTCATGCACGACCGGGACCGAGAGCGGAAGAAGGGGAAAGGCAAGAACAAGATGAAGGATCGAGATGGTGTCAATGGGACAAAACCATATGCGGGCGAGGGTGGCATGAAGAAGTGGTTGGCAAGGAGGAAATGGGAAGAGGAGGCGGTGCGAGCACACGAGGACGCTGACCGAGAGACGGAGAAAGAGCGGGCAATGGAGGAGGACGAGAGTGCTGAAGCCGAAGCTCAGAGGGTAAGGGAACAGCAAAAGAAAGCACAGGTGGAAGAGGCACGGCGTAAGATGCAGATGGAGGTTCCCGCAGTTCCGAAAGCCCCCGCATTCGAGCCGAAGCTCAGCGCTACACGGGAGATGTCGTCTCTTCGTGTTGGACGCTCGCGCGTGCGCAATCACATCGAGCGCCCGTCAGCAAAGCGAACAAACAGGTTCTCTGCGGCGTTTGAAGATGACGAGGACGTTATGGATGATGATAGAGTTGCACTTGAGGAGGCTGCAAAGAAAGCACCCGTATTCGAAATTCCTCCTGGGTTCACATTTGCAAAAGAGGTAAAATTTTGTTGTACGCGTGAATATACGATCTCATCATTTTCGCAGACCCCCATACCTCACGATGTCACAGGTGCAAAAGAACCTCCCATCAGTGCGCTTCCGTTTTCATTATCTAAACCAACTGTGCCTGCAGCCAAGCCAGTCTCAGCACTCGAGCCCTCTACAGCCCCCGCTCCAGTAGTCCCTACCATTTCATTTGTTCCTTCTACACCACAGGCGCCCAAGTCAGAGGCACGTACTGAGCCTGCACCCATTACAGCTGCCCTTCCCACGACTGCCTCTAGTATTCCCAATTTCTTTGCTAATACAGCTGCATATACCAAACCGTTGGCCGTCACTACTCACTCAGGATCTTTTGGCGCACCTCCTGTTCTCGCACCCACATCAGCTCCAGCTCAAGTTTCAGAGGCCCTAAAGGTCGCTGAGGCGTCTGCTTCCTTGTTTGGTACGCCTGTAACTGTTCCTCAAGTATCTGCTACACCATCCGCTGCACCTGCTGCGAGTCATACATTCGGAGCAGCTCCTGCGTCTGCGAGTACTTCAATTTTCGGCCCTTCTTCCACTAGCACTGGCACGGCATTTGGTGCTCCAGCACCGAAGGCAACGCCTGCTGCTATAGAGGTGACGCCTGTCACTTCTCCCGTCCCTTCTCCTGCGCCGCCATATGCCTCTACCCCTGCACTGTCCTCTTCGCCATTCTCGTTTGGTGCTCCGCCCGCACCTGCTGAACCTGCACCTGCCAATGAAGCTCCAAAACCAGCGGAGAATGAAGGAAGCAAACCTTCATCACACTTCGGAGCCGCCCCATTCAGCTTTGGCACACTCGCTGTTTCTGCACCTGCAGCTGAGCCGTCCAAACCTGCATTCTCTTTCGGTGAACCGGCGTCGACACCTGCATTGACAGAGCCATCGAAGAGCGCTTTCTCATTTGGTGGGCCTGCGCCTTCTACGTCCCCTGCTCCCGCGCCCGCCCCTGCTGTCGTGATTGAGGTCCCAAAACCGTTTTTCGGGACGCAAGGCACAACCACGGCGACTGGATTCCCGTTCAACGCGCGCCCCAGCACTGCGCCCGCAGAAGAGAAATCTACCTCGGTTCCTACATCGTTCTCATTTGCGTCTGCTTCACCTGCTCCAGCTGAGAAGAAGTCGTTCACCTTTGGCGCCCCTTCTCCTGCACCACCTACTGCTACAGCCACGCTATTCAGCTTCGGGCATGCAAATGCGGGTAGCAATGCCGCTGACACGAGCAAATCCTTCAATTTTGGGCAACCTGCTCCTGCTCCTGTACCCGCGCGTGCCGCCACCCCACCAAAAGCAGACCAGGAAATCAGCATGGACGAGAGCCCGAGTCGTGATATGAATACCAACGGGAAGGCGCCAGAACGGCCAACACTCGATTTCTCTTCTTTTACTGGTGCTAGCAGCACCCCCGCAGGAAGCACCCTCTTCGCACAGAGCCCTGCTACGGCAACAGGCCCTGGATTTGGATTTGGCACGGCTAGTGCCAATCCATTCGCGAAGCCAGAGGACAAGGATAAGCCGGGGATGGCGTTTGGCTCCGGCTTTGGCCAGCCTTCTGGTGGTTCGAGCTTTGGATTTGGGCAGAGCGCACCTGAAACGACTGCTCCATCGTCTGCGGCGCCGTTCGCATTTACGCAGGCAGCATCGCCGAGTGTGGCGCCGACCCCAGGGTTCGGGTTCGGCCAGACCGCAAGCAATGCATTTGGGCAGCAGCAAAGCACATCATCAGCACCATCGAGTCCATCGACATTTAACCGCCCAGCGACTTCGTTCTCTTTTGGCACACCCGCGTCTGCGCAACCTGCTGCTCCTTCGTTTGCGTTCGGGGGCAGTCAACCTGCATCGCCGGCCACCCCTGCTGGCGGGCTTCCACAGCCCTCGGGCGGTGCGTTTGCGTTCGGTCAGTCGAGTGGTGCAGCGCCAGCTGCAACGCCAAATTCATTTGCTCCTGCTGCCGCCTCATCTGGCGGGGGTGCCCTATTTACCATCGGTGCTGCACCTCAGCCTGATGGAAGACAAATCAAGAAGCTCCCTCGTCGTGGAGTTGGGAGACGCTAATCATCTTCGAGACCTTTCCTTTTGGTAATCATTGGGCTATTACGGACTTTCCACAGAAAATCTTCTCACCTCGACTCGTTTCATCTCTGCTTTCAATTGCGTTACCCTCACCTCACTCTACCCCGACCAATTCTGATGTCAAGCATCAACCGGCGCGCACCTAGCATGGTGTTCATCTTTACGCATCTGTCGCCTTGGGTCTCACAATAACCCAAACTCAGCAGCTCGTCCCTGCTCGTCCTGTAGCGCACAACAACACCCACCCATGGGATCTATTTCGTCGGCACGCATGGATGGCTCAAGGCCACCACACGCTTATCTCCATGACACAAGTTTGATTTGACACAATACACATACTCACTGGGCTCAAGGCCTGTAGACACAATCACATAGTTACCTGCATCATTGGCTTCTCTTTCTACGTGCAAATGTTTTCGTTGTTAGTAGGGGGTGATTCATATAATGTTAATAACTCTTCTGCTTTCATGACTCAATGTTTGTGAATGAGTTGATGATATCAGACGCGCGCGTGACGCGTGAATTTGATGCAATCTTAAACGCGTCCCGCGTCCATCATGCCCCGCGAAATAGTGACAGTCCAGCTCGGACAATGTGGTAATCAAGGCGAGCTCTCTAAACTCGTTCAAGCTTCAGGCATTCTGATCTAGCGACTGAAAAAAGTGGGCGCTGTCTACTGGCAACGCCTCTGTGCTGAACACGGGATCAACAAAGAAGGTATCCTCGAGGAGTGGGCGACCGAAGGCGGGGACCGCAAAGATGTCTTCTTCTACCAGGCAGATGACGAGCATTATATTCCCCGCGCAATCCTCGTCGACCTCGAGCCTCGCGTACGTGCTCCTACGATGCGTTGCAGCTGATCTCCTAACTAGTCAGCATTGTCCAGGTTATCAACAACATTCTCACCTCACCATGGGCAAATTTGTACAACCCAGAAAATATTTTCATGTCGAAAGATGGCGGTGGTGCTGGAAATAACTGGGCGCATGGGTATGCTTCTGGGGAGAGACTGTATGAGGAGGTAATGGAAATGATCGATCGAGAAGCTGAAGGGAGTGACTCTCTGGAGGTGAGCACCAGCTTATGTTTCGCCTTGGTCTTTGTAGATCCTCATGAGCTGTCTCACAGGGCTTCATGCTCATGCATTCAATAGCAGGCGGCACGGGCTCAGGATTTGGCTCCTTCATCCTCGAGCGCCTTAATGATAAGTTCCCCAAAAAGCTCATCCAAACATACTCCGTGTTCCCGAACGCCAACGAGGGTGATGTCGTGGTGCAACCTTACAACTCCCTCCTTACCCTTAAGCGTCTAACGAACCATGCCGACTCGGTCGTTGTCCTGGATAATGGCGCACTGGCGCGGATATCGGCAGATCGGCTGCACGTCCAGACGCCTACCTTTGACCAGACAAATCAGCTCGTGAGTGCACAACCGGGGTGGTGTTGTTTGACTGCTCTGATTGTTGCCAAAGGTCTCTACAGTTATGGCTGCGAGCACGCAGACACTTCGATATCCAGGGTATATGAACAACGATCTTGTGGGCATAATAGCCTCGCTCATACCAACGCCTCGATGCCACTTCCTTATGACCTCGTACACGCCCTTCACGAGTGATCAAATTGACAAGGTTCGTGCTCCTCTGTCTTTGGGGTGCACAAATTTACTTGTCGCCCGTGTTATCAGGCAAAACCAATTCGCAGAACAACTGTCCTTGATGTCATGCGGCGTTTGCTTCAGCCCAAGAACCGCATGGTGTCCACAACACCAAGCAAAACAGCCTGCTACATCTCGATTTTGAATATCATCCAAGGAGATGTCGACCCAACTGACGTACGATCCTTGTCATTGTTTGTTCATTTGACGCTCTGCTCACTTAGTCTGGCACGTAGGTTCACCAATCGCTTCTGCGCATACGAGAACGCCAGCTTGCGAACTTTATACCATGGGGACCAGCATCGATACAAGTGGCTTTGACACGTCGCTCACCATATGTCACAACAAATCACCGTGTCAGTGGACTCATGCTTGCGAACCACACAAGCATTGCTTCGGTAGGAAGCCATTTGCGTACATCTTCGCTCGATGCTAAAATTGTTTTTCTGTAGCTATTCAAGCGGATGCTCGACCAGTTCGACCGGCTACGCAAGCGAAATGCATTTTTGGAACAATACAAGAAAGAGAAGATGTTCGAGAATGGACTGGAAGAATTTGATGATGCGAGGTAAGTGACACTTGAAGTCTACAACCAGGAACTTCATTTACTAGTGGCATCAGAGCGACTGCAGAGGAGCTACTCAAAGAGTACAAAGCTTGTGAGAGTGCGGATTATATTACTTATGTGAGTTGTTTCGTTCGCCGTTCATGTGTTCGCATTCATGTCAAGAGATACAGGGGGCACCAGACGCAGAACAGGGCTCATAATACAATCGAAGTGAGGTTCATGTATCACGCTCTCTTGTTGCTCGGTAGCTGCTTCATCTCTTTTCAATTTCCATTACGCTCAAAAACGTTTGCAAATGATGTCCAGTACAATATTGTGAAAAAATCTAGTGATGACAGACAGAACTACATATGTGATAGCAATTCACACCGGTATGGGTCGATATAATGCGACGACGGAGGGGTCAAATTACGACTTTTTCGGCCCCTCCAGCTTCTTTCCAATGTCTGCACCTGTAAACACATGACGTTATTTCCGGATAGTGCTTGACATGGGCCAACTATACTCACCACGAAGCTTGACACCCAGAATCCTCTCGAACTTGCTGAGGACCTGAGCATTAGGAATTGCCTTTCCTGATTCATAGTCCTGTATTACAGAAGGCTTCTCGTTCGTTTTCTGGGCCAGGTCTTTCTGAGTCAGCTGCTTCTCCATGCGAGCGGTTTGGATAGCCTGTGTGCTGTGTGAGAGAGCTCATGTGATGGACCACGAGTCAGTACCGACCTTGCCGACGCTTGCATTGACTTTCGGTGGGGGAGCGACTTCGTTCTCGCGGTCAAGCTTGGCTATGCGTTGGTGATCTGGCCCTACATCCACAATTAGTAATCCGGGTGAGATTGACTGACTTGTGTAAAGACACACCTGGACGGGCCTTGTTCCCACCAGCAGTAACCTTCTTGTCAGTAGCAACGACAGCCCCTGTTCTGCGCGCCTTTTGGGGTCATCAGTTTAAAGATATTTGATCTGGTAGCAAAAGGGACATACGGCTAAAATTTAGATTTCGTCAGACATGTATTTCAAGTAGAAATGATTGCTTACCATTCAAGTCGGACGCATTGCGGGTGACTTTTGGGGCCTTGGCCTTGAAGCCAATGACGGTCTTGCTGTCCCATTCGAGATTGCTCATTATGGCTTGCGTGTAGAGGGAGAGTTGAAGGAAAGGGTAGTCTATGTCGTGGGCTGTGGGCGGTGGAGGTTTGTGGCAGACACGTACCGCTTATTTATGATCACGTTGTCACAGCTTGTCACAGCCCGAGTCACGATTTTTACTGAACACCGAACCCCGGTATGTACCAGAGCTGTGTCTTCCAATCTTGTGTCGAGTCACTGAGACTCGCCTATTTGTAATAAGTGACTGGCAGTGGAGTATGCTTACAACTTATTTATTCCGTCGCAGCCAGATCCGAGGACGCAGCAGACATTTCTGTCCTGCAGTGAAATTTAGAACACTGAGCACACTTGAGCCAGTACGAAGTACTGAGTCGTAAACCTAATACTCTAAGTCAACACTCCGCACAACAGCATTAATGCTGATTGGATCACATGTATTGGAAAAGATTTGGACCAGGCAGCGGCTCGCCATGCTGAAGATGTGTCAGGCGGGGACCTCAAGTGGTGGATTAGTCAGCGGATAGCTCAGGCGTAGTGGCCCAAAACGGATATAATCCGTCGTTATTAATCTGTAAGAGGGTCAAAAAATAATGTTTTGCAAATTCGGCGCAAATGAACATCGGCATCGCGGCAAGACTTCCTTAAATGGTCTTTTTTTTTATCCTTTTTTTAATTATATTTCGCAATATTTCAGCCTACAGATAGTCACCCAGTAAGCAAACTACAAGTGCGGCACAAAAGCCGTCGTGTATGCGTCAACAGGAAGATTGCGTAATGTCGTGACCATAAGTACCAAGAGCATAGCACGAGATGTAATGTACAACAGGGCAAATATAATCAATGCAACAACACACAAAAACATTATAACAATAGCAGGCATTATAGTCATTGTGTAATTAACTAGTATGGCACCATTCACATTCATTTCATACCAAAGAATTTCAAGGCAGGGTGTGCAAGTTATAGCGACGGCACTCATGCGCCACAGGACCTGTTCATGATTTGTAGGAAAGGTAAAGAACCAAGCCATACAATGGATGCCGCCAAATGTGGTCGCCATCAGAATTCCCGCAAATATAAGAAATCGCTTGTCCGATTTTTCTAGTTCGATGCTGCCATCAAATGTAGGAACTCGGAGCTTGCGCGGGGGAAAACCGAAGCCCATCAGTTCCACAAATGGAACGATGGCCGCACCAATGATCTTGTACATAGTGCGTTCATCTTCATCCGAGTCATCTTCAGAGACACTGAGGTAGACAATAAATAACGGCACAATAGATCTAGACGCAGACATACGCATCAATGTGATCCTCTGGCTTTGACTCGGTCGACTTCCAGTACACCGGATGTGGACACTGCACATCGAGAGGCTTATTCCACCACACAGCATAGGTCAGGAAATTAAGAACCGCAAAAGCGAGTGTCCCTGTTTCCAGCTGGGTGGTTTCGAGGTGATAGATGGCACGGGTGATGAGCTGCAGGATGAACCAGACCACCTGAAGGATCATCAATCCTTTCGATATCACATTGCCTTTGCTCTTGTCGCGAATCCGCTTTGCCGTTAGGGTAGGGGCATCAATACACCCTTTTGGTATCAGCTTGAGAACGTCGTCAGGCAGCAGTGTACGGTAGGGTTCCCCGTCCACATAGAGCATGAAACCGCCCATCAGCACAAAGAAGCTGTGTGTCTGAGTCCACGCGTAATCTAAGGATCTACATGAGTCAAACGTTTAAGAGAGCACAAATCAGGCGTACCTTCGGATTGATCTGAAATGCAAGCCTCAAACAACTTTTTGAATGGCTTCGCAAGAACACGAGTTCCCCCATATCTTGAAGTGGACACTGGAGTAATATGAACGGCCAAAGAAACACCTAGTACAGATGGTTCACCTTCAGCAGGCGCTACGAGAGGCTGGGCTCTATTATCATCTTGAGAAGCAGGCGAGCCATGAGCAAGCATATTCAGGATGCAAGATAGAATGTCGAGCTCACCTCCAACTGGCCCTGCAAGCACTCCAGCCAACTCATGATCTAAGGAAGTGCACGGTGAGTTGTTTGAGGAACATCCAATTTCAGAAAGCACAGCTCACTTTCAGATTGCGTCTGCAGCCGAGGAACATTGAAATACCCTGACTTCTTGAACCGTTTCGTAACATGACGAGCGCTGATCCACTGGCGCATTGCCCATGTGACGATCAGTTCAGGAGCGATTAGTGCCATTATCATGATGCCAAGTCGCCGCCATAGGATACGAAATAGGCTGTCCTTGGGACTCGGAATATTTGGGTGGACGGCACTGTATATACATGCGAAAAGAGTGAGAATGGAGCTCGAGATGATGTTCCACAGGGTTCTATTCGTGAATGACAATGCTTCAGAATACTCGCTGGTAGTAGTTGCATTGGTAGTAGGTGCGGCTTGGATTACTCCAACGAGGCAAAGGATCACTGCGGCCATGCATAGAAGTAGTAAGCGCATTATTGGATGTCACTTTGGGGCGGAGATATTGCGGTTTGTCTATCCTGCTCACTATATGTGTATTTTACCTGCTGGCTTCTCGAGGCAGTACAACGAGGCCCTGACAACAGGCTTGCCTTGTTACGATCAATGATCCTCCGCCCTAGTGTTCCGTGAAAAACTCCAGAGTTTTTGACACCACTAGTTATTGATGACCAGAAGTTGTGCGTGTATCTTCGAATATGTTTATGAACCTATCCGCAAAGAAGAGGATATCGAGAATCGCGCTGGGGTTGCCGGTTTAGTAAGAACGTGTCGAACATTGAAAGACCCTGCCCTGGACGTCTTATGCTGGGACCTGTCGACACGGTGAGCACTGAGTGGGCCATCGTTATTTTCCCCTCCCGTTACTCAGAACTTGCACTTAGATCTAGGATCGTCCATGCAAAACGCGTCCGCATACTAACACTCTCAGGGCCTTGAGACAGAGAGAGAAAGTGGGAGACTTGGTCGAGGCCATTTATCTCAGTTAACGGGAACAGGGTCGAGAAAAATACAATAATCATCGATCATTTTCTATCCACACAAAGTATGGTGTTATCAATGTTAGTTTCCCACACCTCCTGACGCTGAACGTCATTTGTCTGCTCGTACGCGATAAGAGCTTGCTATTCCTTACAACTTATTCGTTCAGAGCACTGAAGTTTGAACACATTTTTTTAGGCTTTGTTACTGATTGGTTCGAACAAAGATGCACCACTGGATCCCAGATGTTGTGCAGCTTATCTTCGAATATGTTTATGATCCCATCCGCGAAGAAGAGGATAGCGAGGGTCGGGTCACTGTTGCTGGTTTAGCACGAACGTGCCGAGCATTTAAAGACCCTGCCCAGGACATCCTATGGGCTCAGCTCCACTCTTTGGAGGCACTCGTCCTCTGTTCTGGTGGGAGGCGGGATGCAAATAGCCAATTAGTGAGCAAGCCAACATAATTTTCCCCCCTCCCGTTACTCAGAACCTACACTTAGATCTGGGATCGTCCAGCGTATGATGCGGACTGGCGCAATCTCGCGCAATTCGGAAAACGTGTCCGCACGCTCACAATTCCACCTCAATCAAATATACGGGACATCAGTACCATGCAACTTCTGAGCTGTTTTCCTCTTCCAGGACCCATTCTTCCGAACCTCACAAGGTTGAATTGGTTGTCCGATCGTGAAGACTTCTTCCCTTTCTTACGCCGTTTCTGTGGGCCCAATTTGACGGCCCTCAGCCTTTCGCCCATCTCGTGGAGTGTCCGCAAGTGTGCCACCGTTGCATCGCTTGCACCATCGTGTCCTTTGCTGAAGGAATTCAGATGCGTTGACGCAGAAGATTCGTCGATGCAAGCGATCAGCGAGGCAGTTGTGGGCTGGAATGAGCTTCAAGTGTTGCAGGTCGGCCTTTTAGATAAACATGCTTTGACCCACGCCGGCTCTTTGTCGACGCTTCAAGAGTTGCACTTTTCTGTTACAGATGATATCAGATACCCGATGTTGGAATTTTGCTCCCCCCATGCTTCGATGACGATCTCAACACAGTCACCTTCATCTATTCATGCATTCATCCAAAATGTTCATTTATCGACTCAACGTCTGCACCTTTGCTGCGGGCACTATGATGGATTGTTCCCCCAACTTTTCTTCGAGCGCCTAAAATCATGCTTCAGGAATCCCGAGGAGCTTCTAGAGCTGGGGCTCGTGAAAACCATACGCCACAACAGATCAATGATTATCAACTCTCGCATGTTGCATCCGCTGGTATCATTCAAGGGACTCAACTCCTTAAACCTTGCGGACCTATGCACCGCGCATATTGATGACGCCTTCCTCAAAGAGATGGCCATGTCTTGTGTACACCTACAGGAACTTCACCTAGGCGACAAGGGTCGCTGGCCCACTGCCCCGCTGGCAACCTTTGATGGAGTCGTATCTCTTATCAAACACTGCCGTCAGCTCTCCTCTCTAGGAATTTTCTTCAATGCCACTTTCGAAAGTGACATCATAGATGTGCTCCAAACCGATGCCATTAATCTAAATATCAGAAATTTTTCCGTCGGTGCATCCCCCATCGATGATCCTATGAAGGTCACGGTAGTGCTGTCTTTGTTGATTCCTAATGCAATTCACATAGATCATTGCACACGAGAGTTTGAGTTTCTGGAGCTTCCGGCCATGGAGGGACAGTGGGACACAGTAAATGCGTGGTTCAAGCCATTTGTCTCAGCTCGGAAGCACAGTTGGGAGCAAGGCTGGTTGGAGGGGAAGATGGTGGTCGAGAAGAATGAATAGTATAAGAATTATCTTGATCAGGCATATGTTTTCTGTATCAATAAAGGTCTGTGAGATCGTATTATTATGTTAGGTACAACCCCATCTCTTAGACCCAACCTTGCGGGTGTTCTGAAAATAGCACCTACCGAATATCTCTTGCATGCTCTACGAGACCTGATTCCTGCTGAAACCTTATTGTCAAACTCTCTGACTCTAGTTCATACTGTATAGATCTTACACTACATATACACTACATAGCGCGGCGCTCATTTGCTTGCCCTTATCTTACCTCCCGGAAATACCCAAAGCGGCACCACCGGCATCTGCCAAATTTCAAACTCCTCGCGTCGCCTGCCAAATCACTCCGAGTTCGACCAGTCTGACTACGTCGAAAAAATCTTAGCATCATAGTCAGACTGGTTACAAGTCTACCAACGTACTACAGCTAGTCTGCAGATCTGAACCTTTCATTTGCCTTGCATCGTCATTTGTCTGTTCGTACGCAACAAGAGCGTGCTATTCCTTACAACTTATTCATTAAAGTAATCCAGAGCACTGAAGTTTGAACACATTTTCTTTAGGCCTTTGTTACTGGTTGTTTCGAACAAAGATGCACCACTGGATCCCAGATGTTGTGCAGCTTATCTTCGAATATGTCTATGATCCCATCCGTGAAGAAGAGGATAGCAAGGGTCGGGCCACCGTTGCTGGTTTAGCACGAACGTGCCGAGCATTTAAAGACCCTGCCCAGGACATCCTATGGGCTCAGCTCCACTCTTTGGATGCACTCGTCCTCTGTTCTGGTGGGAGGCGGGATGCAAATAGCCTATTAGTGAGCAAGCCAACTTGAATTTTCCTTCCCGTTACTCAGGGCCTGGATTTAGATCTGGGATCGTCCATTGTATGATGCGGACTGGCGCATTCTCGCCCAATTTGGAAAACGTGTCCGCACGCTCACACTTCCATCTCAATCAACTACATTGGACATCAGTACCATGCAACTTCTGAGCTGTTTTCCTCTTCCAGGACCCATTCTTCCGAACCTCACAAGGTTGAATTGGTTGTCCGATCGTGAAGACTTCTTCCCTTTCTTACGTCGTTTCTGTGGGCCCAATTTGACGGCCCTCAGCCTTTCACCCATCTCATGGAGTGTCCGCAAGTGTGCTGCCGTTGCATCGCTTGCACCATCGTGTCCTTTGCTGAAGGAATTCAGATGCGTTGATGCAGAAGATTCGTCGATGCAAGCGATCGGCGAGGCAGTTGTGGGCTGGAATGAGCTTCAAGTGTTGCAGGTCGGCCTTTTAGATAAACATGCTTTGACCCACGCCGGCTCTTTGCCAACGCTTCAAGAGTTGCGCTTTTCTGTTACAGATATCAGATACCCGATGTTGGAATTTTGCATCCCCCATGCTGCGACGACGATCTCGACACATTCACCTTCATCTATTCATGCATTCGTCCAAAATATCCATTTATCGACTCAACGTCTGCACCTTTGCTTCGAGCGCTATGATGCAATGTTCCCCGAACTTTTCTTCTCGCGCCTAAAATCATGCTTCAGGAATCCCGAGGAGCTTCTAGAGCTGGTGCTCGTGAAGACGATTCGCCACAACAGATCAATCATTCTCAACTCTGTTATGTTGCGTCCGCTGGTATCATTCAAGGGACTCAACTTCTTGAACCTTGCGGACCTATGTACCGCGCATGTTGATGACACCCTCCTCGAAGAGATAGCCATGTCTTGTGTACACCTACAGGAACTCTACCTGGGCGACAAGGGTCGCTGGCTCATCGCCCCGCTGGCAACCTTTGATGGGGTTGTATCTCTCTTCAAACACTGCCATCAGCTCTCCTCTCTAGGAATTTTCTTCAATGCCGCTTTCGAAAGTGACATCAAAGATGTGCTCCAAATTGATGCCATCAATCTAAATATCAGAAATTTTTCCGTCGGTGCATCCCCCATCGATGATCCTATGAAGGTCACGGTAGTGCTGTCTTCGTTGATTCCTAATGCAATTCGCATAGATCATTGCACGCAAGGAGTTTCGGAGCTTCGGGACATGGAAGGAAAGTGGGATACAGTAAATGCGTGGTTCAAGCCATTTGTCTCAGCTCGGAAGCACAGTTGGGAGCAAGGCTGGTTGGAGGGGAAGACAGTGGTTGGGAAGAATGAATAGTATAAGAATCGTTTGTGACCATTCTATCCATGCTCGCAGAAGTCCCGCAGATTACGGGCCAGTATATATATGTAGGTTCAGTACTTATTTGACTGGCAGAATAATTCATCAAATTAGCCCCCTGCGGACCATAGAAATAGATTTGTTCGCTGCTTTACTACCAGTAAATGCGATGACAGTGGACCAATGCGTTCTTTGACTTTTTACAACGCGGCCGTCAGCAAAGAGTGCTATTATCATGACAATAGGATTGCAAAATTATTTCTATCCCCTTGCCTACAGACATTCTTCTTGCGATATTCATCGACAGGCCCATGATCGCTCTCACCTTTCCTGTACAGCCAATACGCCATTTTCCCGCCCTTCTTCCACTTTCGCTGAACCTCAGTGAATCCGAGGACGTTCATGAGAGACTGAAGTTTGTCAAAAGTCAAATATCGTGAATTCTCCACGCATGGGAGCGGAAGCTAGTAAGAGGACCAGGTTAGCCCTCGTTTGCAAATGCGCTAAAGGCTTGTGGAACAAGTCAGTTGCTTACCGCAAGGAAGAGTAAGCCGTCTGGGGCTAACATAGAGTGCGCAAGGCATAGCATTCGCCCTGAAAGGTAGAGTGAAATTACGGGTAGAACGAGCATTGCACATGTGTACCTCGATCTCTCGGGTCGGGAACGAAGTTCACGACTAAGCTCAGGCTGATGATGTCCCACTTGCCTCGATTTTCATCTTCGTCCATCAACAGAAAATCCTGCTCTAGGATAGAGGGATGGCGGCTCCGCAGATCCATGGGTGTGATATCCATCCATGACATGCATGTTTGATAGTTGTCAGGCTTTAGAGCACCAACTTCCAGAAGCCTGTGAGTCGTAGATGGTATCAGAACCAATTCAATTGCACAGATAAATTTGTCGCTCTTAAGTACCTCAGCTTCCCTTTGCCTTCCCTCTTCCGAAGCCCCATGTCAATCAACCATTGTATGAGCACTTTCTCACTTCCGCCGCCGCGGTCATTGCTCTGCCCAACTCTCGACATACGCTGATAGGCCGCTAATCCTCCCAGCTCGTTGATCTCGCGTTCTATATCACCTAATTCTTCGGTATTGGCAGAAGGGGCATTTTTCAGCTGTCCCTGTTTTTTCAGCAGGACATGATACCGTCGGATGACGGTGCGGCTTGAGGTGGGGTTGCTCGATGAGCTCGCTTTGTCGGTGTTCGTTACAGGAGTCTTCTTTTTGCGAGTTCTGGGCATGGGTGATGTTAAGAAGCTGAAGTTCTTGTGTGCAGCTCTGTGAGCATGACTGTATGGTTGCACTGATCAAGGTTCTTGATAAGCAAACACACTGCACGCTACCCGTGCACAACACGGCCATAATTTTGAATTCTGTTCCAAACCCATGTATGCCCATTCGTCATCAGAACACGTCGTATCGTAGTTATAAAAACCAGTACAGATGAAAGGCTTAAAGAGTCCGCATCCCAAGACTAAAACAACGTCTTCTGTAGGTATGGCTAGTATCCAAAACCAGCGAAACAAACAAATGCACCAAATATAAAGGTGGAAGCAACCAGTGGAACAATGTCCCCGAATTAAAAAGACAATGGCTAAAAACACACCATCCGCAGTCATGGACTACGGGTAAATCTTGATAACGTGAACGAACAGGGCAGATTGATCGATAGCGGTTGGAAAGCGGTAGTAATGCACTTTAAATAAAATTGTGCCCGCCACGCTTCGCGTCAATCTTTTCAAAGCGCTCAAACTCTTGCCTCTGGTTGAGAAGGAAACAGATCAATGTCGCGGCCAGTCGCTAAGACAATAAAAGCTTACCTTCTTGATAACGCACATGTTTGCGAGGAAAAGACCGATCACAATTGCCATGAAACCATCAATAGTGCTACAGACGGTATGAGAGTTTTGTTTGTCAGGGAGATATCACAGGAAAGTACCTGAAAACGTTGTTCAGTGTCGAATCCGTGAACTTGGTGATGGGCGTGACACAGAAATTGTTCAAAGCAGTTGCAGCGGCCTGAGTTGGGCAGGTAGCACCTCCAAATGCAACCTCATCAGCGGCGTTGAAGTAACCACAGCACTTCAGCTATAGAAAAATAAAGAAGTCAACATAACTACAATTCACAAGTCCGAGTGGGACGCACCATATCTTGAATCAAAATCTTGGTCTCGTTGCTCTGTTGCCCAAATACAGCATGGTAATTATTCCGTTCATGCAGTGTGAAAATCCAGATATATGTGCCCATGAATAGGATGATGAGGATGTTTACAAGGAGTATCCAGTTAAGAATCTTCAAGCCGAGGGTGCCGCGTTGTATAATAACAACCAGGGACAGAAGAAAGGTGGCAAGGAGAATGATACCAAGCACGCTGCCAGCTTTATGTCACCTTCAGAAGGATGTCATGCACAGAGGTACATGGAGCACTTACCCGTCAAATCCATACTACTAAACGTCAAGTTCAGCAAAAGGTTGGGCTGGCGCCATACAATGGACAATGTGAGCGAGAGGACACCAGCGGCCATAAGACATATGTTAAAGAATGCCCATGCCCCAATCAATTTCTTCGACAACATGATCGCTTTTGTCTGGATGATGGTGACTAGATGAAGTTGGATAGAAGAGTGTTGGAAGATCGAGGAAATAGACGTCTTAATGAATGGGTGGGCTTGTGGGCTGGATCGAATTGATGGAGAAGGAACTCTTCCGGAGAGTAGAAAGACGATAGCACCTGGCTAGAACTCGACGACAAACAGTGGTGAAACGACGATCAACGTCAAACTTCTGCACAGCAGAAAAGAACGAAAGAAGGAAGGAAGGAGGTTGTGAGCGCTCTGCGAACCAGAGATTGCAGCTCACAAGCTTTTGCTTACAATATGTATGTGAAGTATGCAGATGGCGATGCTGCTGAAACAGGCAAATGATGATCAAAATCTGATGCGGCTATACGGATCAGTCGCTGAGGAGATTCAAGGCAGTTCAAGAGGAAAAGAGAGCCGACAGTAGTCACTAGTGTCAAGGAGGATTCATGGAAGGCTATGGGAGGGCAGTGGCAAGCGGTGGAAGGCCCGTAAGGACAGTGGAGACCTGATTAAGATTATTTGCATACAATCAATTTTACAATCCGACAGTCTCCATGACAAACACGACCATGTGGTCTATTAGGGTAAACTTTGTACACGACCTGCAGGGCACCCTCATTCACACAACGGCATCAGCGCTTCGTATCTGCACCGTGATAGCGTCAGGTCAGATTGCAGCGCTCAGCTCACTTCGCCGCAATCTCTTCGTAAGCTCTTTTCCGTATAACTGACTGACTCCTTATCTCCGTCATATTTTGCGCAGCAGGGCCATCAATAATTTTTACTGATTTAAAATTCAGTCATGTCTCGCCTGGGTGGCGGTTCTCTCTTGCTGGCCTGGCAACTGAAAGGAAAGCATGTGCTCATCATTGGTGGTGGTGACGTCGCGTCTGGACGTGTGGAATCTGTGCTAGCTGCAGACGCTCGCGTGACCCTTATCAGTCCAAGCAATGGATTACATCCTCTTTCCAAGTCCTTCCTCAATGGACCTTACAATATCATCTACCATGACCGTCTTTTCGGAGGCGCAGAAGACCTGGCTGACGTTGATCTTGTATTGACGGCAATTGATGATGTGGCGCAGTCTCGTGTCATTTGTGGTTTATGCAGGGAGCTCAAGATTCCTGTCAACGTGGCTGATATCCCGGAGTCATGCGACTTTTATTTTGGCTCTCAAATCCGTGACGGCCCTCTTCAAATCATGATCTCGACAAATGGAAATAGCCCTAAATTGGCTAATATTATACGGAAGAAGGTCGAGCAAAGTCTGCCAGAGCACGCCGGAGATGCAATCACCAGAGTGGGTGAGCTGAGGATAAAGTTGAAGGAGAGAGCGCCCGGGGTGGGCGGTGAAATTGGGAAGAGACGGATGCGGTGGATGATCGACGTCTGCACTTCTTGGGAAATGGAGGAACTTGCCTTATTGGACGATCAGATGATAAGGAGGCTTCTCGATGACGGTTGGGAGAAGAATGCAGTACCGTCTCCTGGTGAGCTAGGAGCCAGATCATCCCATCAGGCGTATAAAGCCACACCAAACCTCACGGCGCCTGGCATTTTTGTTACGACGTTGAGCTTTGCCGCGGGCGCTGCTTTTGCAGGTCTTTTCTTGCTCTCCCGGCGACGGTGATCCTCACGCGTGCCGCCTCGCTGCGAGTGCTGATATATTTTAGTCTTTTGTTGTGAGTTATCTGCTGTTTCAAATCGACGACATGCTCACTGTGAGGCAGTACACCATTTGTGGGCTGGAATATAGTTACGATCGCCTCTCCACTACCCTCACCGATAATAGACAGCAATATACGTTAGCCCTGTAATTTGCTGGCCGCTTCGCAGAACGTTTGGTGTGTCAATGCTGTGTCAACCTGATGCAGATCACCGGCTGCTGTGTCTTCCCAGCACGTTTTGTGGTTCAGGTTGTCAACCTGAAATGCAGTGTAATGGTGACTAGTACATCAAACAGGTACCCGCATTTATTTGTCAGAGTGTAATATGTATGGCTAAGGCCACAGTCCGATTAATCGGTCAGTCTAGAGTTATCCTCCAAGTCTAAAGTACTTTTCCCTTCGAGCAAGAATCCAATTGCCCGTCACACTTTGCTCGTGTGCCGCAATCATTGCAGTAATCAAAGACAGACACATCGCAGTATCAATAACATGTCTATATGGTATTCATTCTTGCAAGTCCATTCTTTAGAAAATCTCAAAGGTCTGTTCCGCAATACTTAATGTCTCTATAGACTGAATGGGTGACTCGTCAGGGAGTCTAACTGAAATTGACCGGAACGGATCAGTAGTGGGCAGCGGGCAATTGTCGGAAAGTCAAAGAGACACGCTTCCACTGGCAGATGCATGACCTTGACAAGAATTAATCTGTGCAGGAGTTCATGAATAGCGTGGTGCACAAGGGGAGTAAGACCGAGAACTGAGGCAATACTAGTGATCATCCCGTATTTGGAGGATAAAGCTACTACTTACATGCATCAGCCAGTGACGGTGCTAGGGATTGGCGGATCCGTGGTCTACTAGAAAATGGGTAATGTACAATTGCGTGTTTTTGGATGTCAAGTACTATACTAAATTTTATTACTTGCAGGCGTTTCTGCAGAGTATTAATCGTCTGGTCGGCTAGGCCATCAATTGTTTGATGGAAGAGATGATGCTTCATGATGATGCGATGGGAATCTCGGGGATTTGTACATCTGGCGCTATATCCCCTGTCACTGTTCGTCCATAGTGTGTTAGAAGCCCGATAGCAGAACCGATCCCAGCACCACCAAGCACCACTGTTGCAGAGAAATGAGCATCATGCACTAGCATATCACTCGTGAAATATTTTGCTCACGGTTCGCCGTGCTCGCTCTCTTCCAGAAGATTGCAGGCGTTAGCACCGCAAACAATATCGCGCCGATAGTAGAGTGGTCGTCGGCACGTAATGAAGCAGTCTGGAAAGCAACCTCAGCTTCAGGTAAAATTCACAATCAATTAGACATACATCGTAGGCGTGTTGCATGCGCCGGTTCCTCACGGTGGCTTCACTGGCTCTGGACGTGCGAATATACTCGAGCGTGCCCCCTCCTGCGCATCCTAGAGAGTGAGATTATTAGGATTGACAGGAAGGAAAGGTGTCATCACTGTGCTTGCATACCTACTGCACCGCCTATCCAAGTCGCGCGAAGTAAGCGATTGACAGTGAAGTGACCTTTGCCTTTCCGCATGAGCACAAAAGCAGCGTATGCTGGTGGGGTGAGTAAAGAAAATAGTTCATATCCTTTGGTCATCCCTCGTCGCACGAGAATCTCCATGTCTGCGGTATGAGCGACTGAAAGTCTTTCTGAACCCATTTCTGAAGCGGTTCAGGTGATGTTGCTCGCAGCAGCTCGTCGCGGTACACGACGAGCAGTGGGTGTATGACGGTGTCACGTGTCCTGCACGGACCATGTGTGGATGATTAAGCCTTGTCTGCGCTTTGTTCTTGACCTTACCCTTTCTTAACTGCTATTGACCTTGCATTTGCAATGTCAGCCTCACCATTTCCTGAGCCTTTGGACGCACCAATGCACGACTTTGCGACAGAAATCGATGTTCCAATGAACCCAGCAGCCACGCAAGATTTTTTTGTGGAGTTGTCCATGGACCACGATGGTCATCACACGAGTTATAGCCAGGAGGATGTCGAGGTCGATATGGAGACCTACTATGATGGCAATGCAGAGTATGAGATGGCAGATGAGACGGAAGAGTTCAGCGAAAGCCATTATCACCATGAGCCGCTCGACGTGGAAGTCTACGACGCTTCTGACGCTCGCTCACCTCAGCCCATACCTGATTCACTGCCGTTACCGTCTTTGACAGTTATTCCGGAGATATCATTACTTTCCTCCCCTGTCCCTTTTTCCGATCCGTTCACCCCCCAGCTAGCCACCATTCCCATTGAACACGACGCATCTTCCACAGATCGCCCGGTCGGAAACGATCGTCCTGTTGCTGAAGAAGCAGATTTTAGTGCGCAGCGAGAGGAGGAACCTCTTGCGGTCACACTCGAGCAACTATTGGAATCGGATCCCCTTCATCTTACCACTGCTGTCGATCGAACAGCGGCAGAGTTGAACATACCTTCTGTGGCTTTTGTGGATCTATATGGTGTAGAAAAACACGCAGATGCTCTGGTTTCGGAAACCACTGATAGAGCAGAGTCGTGTGTCCAGCCTACAGATGCAGAACCCACGCTGCAATCACAGGTTGAGGAGCAATCTGAGACGCTCCACCCCTCAGATGTCCCATCTGATGACAGCGTACAGCATCAGGGTGAACCCCACCTGGAAGGCCTCCACGAAGAGGCAGACAATGCTAATGATCCACACGAGATATCTGATGGCGTATACATTGACCCGCCACCCGCTGTTTTTCTGTCCATCGGCTCCTCTGAAGTACCAGAATATTGTTTATTCAACCAACCTCCAGTGGAGCGTGGGTCCCGTAGTCCATCTGCAGGAGCTAGCAACCAACAGGCGTATGCGCTGCTCCTGGAGAATCGACCGACGTTGTACTATGAGCCCCTCAGTTGTGTTTTCGAAGCACTTCGGCTGGACGAAGTCATTTCCAAAATTCCTGATTCTCCCGAGGGAGAGTTAGTGATTGACGCGTACGATCTTCAGCTCGCTGTATTGGAGGTAGGCATCACTTCTTATTTTATGTAGAATAAGCGCTGATTTCCATGTAGGACAACGTTTACGCACAGGAAATCAGTTTGCATGACCTGAATGTGCTGCACGATGGCTCTGACTTTAAGGGTCCTCTCCGCATTCATCTGCGTTCGGCGATACCTAGGTTTATTTTACGTTACCGTTTACTTCAAGAACAGATTTCTCGGCTTGACTTGGCTGGAGGCGTCGAAGAAAATGTTCCAGAAGAAGGTTTGTATTCCTCTTCAAAAATGTCGAATTTATCATTAAATGTCGACGACAATGCAGACCACCATGATACGGTGCAAGAAGTAGATTACCCTGAAGAAGAAACCCAACACGAAGCACTTCTCCCTGATGACGAGAAAGACTTCGATGGGGCCGAAGGCGTTCATGAGCCAGAAGTTCCTCTAGACCAACTTCAGGGTGATGATGTCCTCGCAAAGGACGTGACTTTAACCTCGCAGGCTGTGGCGGATGTCACCTATTACAGCATTAGTGGCGATGTAGCACAGGCCCTTGGAGAGGAGGATGGTTATGAATGCACAAATGTCGGCACAGAGTACCAGGAAGAGGGCGAGGGCGATCTGGACGTCACTGCCGTGCATGAGCCAACGGATACGGACGCTGCTGGGACCGTGTCCAAAGTCAATTCGCAGTTCGGAGGGGAGGACACCGAGTACCACGATTACATACAGCCAGGAGAGTATGGCGAAAACTATGACGACTTTCCTGAAGAGGACGGGGGGCACACAGAATTTGGATATGATCAAACGGTGGGTTATGAAGAAAGCGGAACGGAGGTTGTATCGACAATCGTCGAAGAGTCACAGGCGGGTTTGCCTTCATCTGATCTCCGTGACGAAGAGACTACACCAGTACCACCGGCACAACGGGTTGACTCTGAACCCGCTCAGAGATCAGACATAGTAGACAGTGCTTCAAATGGTGAGCAATGCCATTTATTAAATACCGTCGTATCCTCACGTTGGGTCAGAACTAGGAGATTGTTTATCATCACATGAATCTTTTGACGAGGAGAAGAACAGCAATCCCACTGACAAAGGTCTGTCCGAGTATTTCATTGCTTAATATCGTACACTGATAGTGATGTCAACTAGATCTTATTGTAGATCAGGACATAGATCAGCCCGAATCAGCACAGTTCCCAACAGATGAGTCGGATTCTAATTTCCTTGCAATGCTTGAACGCGAGGCTGGTAAAGTGACTGGTTCTTTGCGTAGAATTGCGCTGACCCATAACCCAGATTTTGAGCTAGATCATTCTTCCGCCAATACCAATGCTAATCCCACAGAAGAGGGCGTCGGAGAGACTTTGCCAGTATTGGAAGAGGAATGGGATAAGTGGGACGATGAGTTAGATGGCGATGGCGAAGTGGATGACGAATGGGTGGATCCCGGTGATGCCGTGTCCAATGAAAGCTCTGTGACTCTGTCCAGTAACTCATCTGCAAAACGTTCTCACGACGAGGTCGACCCCGAAGAAGGTGAACTTGAAACTGACACACCTCAAAGTTCACCTGGTATGTTTCAGTTTGTGTTCTACATTTACTTCACTGATCACGGTTTATTGAAGAAAAACGTCCTCGCATGTACTGAGACAGTGGTCGGCGCCCCATCGCACTTCGCCGCCGTTCTTTCCCGGTGCCCCTACGCGGCCACCACCGCTCAGCCTCCTCGCATGCCCCTGGCAGGCCTAACTTATCAGACATTTTTTTCACTCTCATGGCACTTGATCGACTCGCACGCATGCAACCCGAACATCAACATTACGACTATAGGCTAAGTACCGTTTTTTCATGTTTCTTATCATGTCCTCTGTTCTTTCAGTTCACCCGCATTTTCTCGTGACTCACCTTTACAGCAATATTCGGTCGTACTACCGGCTCAGAGTGATGGCATTGAGGGATGGCATTATATGGCGGAAATTCGGGCTGGGCATGGGTGGTTACCTTCTTGATCTGTTTTACCGTCACTGAGCCTAATGACTCTATCTCTGCCGGAGATTCTTTACGAGCAACCACCTGATTTTATTATCATGACATGACGGTGTTCATAGTACGCTAGTATAATCTTGTATAATCACCGTCGAAAGCGACATTGTACAATAATCTGACGAGGCTCCGCAACAACCACGGGGCTCTTAAGAAAGACTTGCATGCAATTCTGGGTGTATTGTGACCAGACGAAGATTCCGAGAATTGAGAATATACACAATAGAGTCTAGATCTGTTCGGAATTCGCCTAACGCACACCTCTCGCAGGAAAAATCTAGTTGCCATTCCTAGTCAGAAAGTGATCAAGGTATTCTCAACTCAATGGTGAGCCTCTGCCTGCTTCACGTCTGCCTCCAAGAATCCAAGGAATGCATCCGCACCCTTGCCTACATCCTCTCCTGCATGTGCACTCGAGCTCGTGACCTCTACATCGGCTTTTGTGGGCTCGGTCGCGTCATACGCGGTCAGTTCGGCCGCGAGGTCGGCGGGAAGAGTGGGAGGTTTTGGAACGACGGGTAGTGAAAAAGTCTTGACAACGCCAACGTGTGCGTCTTTTGCCTAGATAGAGAATGTGGGTGAGTTGCTAGAATGAGGTGAGCCGGACGTTGCTGGAAAATACGAACGGCAGCAGGGGCCTTATAAGCTTTTAGCTGCTTGACATAGAGGTCCTGTACAAGGTCTGCGGAAAGCTTCGTCAACCCATAGTCTCTTGTGCGTCGGCGAAATGCGGAACAAACCTTTACGAGCAACAGAAGTCGTAGAGAATGTCCGTGCAGAGCGGGCCTATCCATTGACAAAAAATGAACTCGATGCCATGAAAAAATTGATGAGCTAAGAGCTCACCGCTTGTCTAAGGAATCTCATGGACGACATGACTTTGGAAAAGAGGATAGAGCGTGACGTTACGCGATGTTGCTTCCTGTTGGAAAGGAGTCACGTGTTGAATCAAGGCATACTTATACTGCCGTTCAACCGTGACGTCTTCGACTCCTTGCTCGGATCTTCTGAAAACGATTCATATTTCACGATGCTCACTGTTATTGCCCGTCGTGTCCCACTCACCCGACTCGTCCTCTCAAGGGGTTACACCTCAAGTCTCAAGGAAGGCAGCGTTGCTCAGAGCCAAGGATTCTCGTAAGCGTAGACTTGCAGCACAGGGGACTTGTATTTAACATGTTTAACTGCAGAAAAAAGGAGAAAGCTCATGAAGGTAAACTCATTTGTGGAAAATTGTCATTTTCATGCTCAATGGTGATTCGCAGACGAGTACGCTCGTAGGCACGAGGCAGAGCTGTTGCGTAAGCTGAAAGCTGAGGTATGCACTTACCAGAATTTTAATTGTTCATTTCCCTGATTCAGTTCTGTAGATTGAGGCAAAGAAGGAGGAGCTTGTAAGCTATTAGTATCCCCGTCGCTTGATGGTCATTCTGACTCTGGACACCAGGCCAAGCTTCAGGAGAAGCATGACGAAGTCAACTCGAAGCAGTAAATAGCTTTAGTGCGATGATGCCAATGGATCGCAAAGGTTCAGTGCAACGCTAACCACATCTGAGTTTCGTTCTCATCTCGCTGGTCACACAATGTTATTTCTCCAGTTTGCTACTAGTCGCGTCCAACTGGATGGACAAATATACAAATGTTGCTCATTCTTGGAATTTGTTTGGTCTGACATTCATGGAATTGTGAAGCCAACCAACATCCAACCACGCCAAACATTCCTGGAACATCATTCCAGTGTACCCATGCTATCGTGTTATGTCAATGTAGTATAGACCCTCGAGGGAGCATCCGAATTATTTAATTACATAATTAATTATCTGAAGATATTTATTTTCCCTTGCTCTGTATGATATAGCGCCTTCCATTGACAAATCTTGTTCTTAATCTCTAGTTGCAGTACGCGGTGATGGCGGATGCAGAGACTTCCCGCCTGTGTGTTCAGATTGTCCGGTCACACTTTGGTCCATTGACGGCGGTGAGTTTTCATGTGGTTTTCGTTTATTCACTCACGCCTGAATGGTTTTTCAGAATGTTGCATCTGCGCTACTGACACGGGGAAGACTTTCCCTTCCCCAGCTCATTCGTTACACGAAGATTAAACCGCGCACAGTTCGTGCAGCAATCTTGGTTATGGTACAACAGAATATTTTATGGCATTCCAACACCGAGGAGGAGGGCGACATGCTCGAGTTTAATACTCTAGAGTGTCTTATGCGTCTTAGATTTGGTCGCTTCGTGTGGCAGGCGGAGCAATTGTTTGGGCCTTCTGTGCGGAATCCCTCTTCTCTCCCTTTGCGATCGGGCTCATTCATTATCTGATTTATCAGGGTGCAGAAATTGTGCAGCTAATACTAGACCACGGCAAACTTCAGTCGCCAGACATCATTTCACGGTTGTCAATTTACAACCCAAAAAGTTGGTATTTCCTCTGATTTGTGACCCTTACTGATGGTACACCCAGGTTCAAGCCTATATACTCAAACATTGTACAAGCTTATATCCGGCGCATATCTCAAGCCGTCCACATTACTCTCGCATCACTCACCCAGGGACAAACGTATCAAATACGAAGCAGAGGAGAAAGCTAAAATAACGGGTTTCCCAACAGCGAAAGAGTTGCGAGAGGCGCAAGAGACTGCGGAAGCGCGGCTCAAACGGGAGGAAGAAGAAGCGGAGAGTGTAGGCTTGGTGAGTTGACGTGCACCTACAAGTCCCGACATCTGTGAACAAACGCAGAACCATAGAAGCGGAAGCCGAAAGATTTGATCAGCCATCGGTCGACCAAGGTGAGCGGACTCTGGCGATTATTGTTATAGGTGGTCACTAAACGACTCAGCGAAAAGCAACAGAAGAAGACATGGTTGACGTGAGTTTAACAATCAGCATATTACACAGTTGCTTTATTTTCAATATCTAGGATGAGGTCTACTTTCGGGTGAATTTTGACAAATTCAATACCTACATACGTAACAAGGTCAGTCCCACGAATACCCGTTGCTTGTTCTTTTCTTGGCTCTATTCTGATGTGATTTGCCAGCTCATCGAGATGGCTGCAGGAGAGCGTTTTAATCGAAGTGCTGCTCTTGTCATGCGAGCTACGCTAAAAGCGACTGAAGCCAGACAAAAGAGTGTATCCGATGCGAGATCAGGTAAGATACACTGTAGTACCCGTTTTCCATGCAACCCCTTACCCCTTGTGGTGAAATAGATCCTACATCAACCGCTGCGATTGCCATGCTTATTTCCGATGACGACGACCTTTCAACAGGTCTTGTCACGTCAACAAAAAAAGCGTCTAGTGCCTCACTAGTCAAGGATTATCTCGGTCTAATGTCCGCCGTAGACAATCCAACGCCAGCTGGCAAAGCGGCATCGTTCATAAGTCTAACCGATAACAAGGTATATGTTGAGTTTGAAATTGTTAGCAAACGCCTGCGACGGCGCGTCTTGGAGGCAGTGGCTCGGGAACGGCACGGGGACGACGGCGTGAGGATTGTGCGCCTACTCCTAGATATTGGAAAGATGGATGAGAAGCAGGTGCTTCCCTTGTTGGCTCCGTATTGACATATTTCTAATGCCAAACAGATAGCGAAGGTGGCCATGATGCCAAATAACATTGTTCGGCCACTCCTAGCGGCGCTGTCATCCGACTTCTTGATCTCAACTCAAGAGGTACCCAGAAGCGCTGATCGTAATCCCACTCGGACATTTTATCTATGGTACTTAGTGTTTCTTCATTGTCAGGAATATTGATGTATCCCGATACTCAGGCACGTTGATCTACACAAGGCGTATTCTGCGCTATTAGGAAACCTGTACAAGACGCTGTATAACGTAGGCATGCGGCGACAGGCAGAACAAGAGGAACCGACTGTGAAAGCGGTGCTGGCAAAGCGGGAACGGACGGATGTGGCTCAGGATGAAAACTTATTGTCGCGGATGGAGCGAGATGTGCTTAAGGAGTGGGAGACGAAACGGGAGAAGCTCACTGTACTGGAGATGAGGGTGGAAGAAGCCGTATTTATCCTTAGGGATCTTGACAAGGTTGGAAGCCATGAGGACATTTGAATAAAATAATATTTACAAAAACACGCGGGAGATGTCTGCAAAGAGTCACTCTGGTTGCAAACTATGATAGAAATTGGGCCGTCTGCGCTGGCTGGGTGAATGTATGGAAATTGGACTGTGGCACGTTGCCGTGTTATCGAGCTGGGCCGACTGGTCCACTTTGAGCATGTCGCAATCCATAGTCATGAAATCTGTGAATTGATATGCATAATGTGATTTACAAGTTGAAGGTCGCAGTCCTAAAAGTCCGAATGAAGATATGTATAAGAAATGCAAGTGGTATGATATAAATGATCAATAATGATAATGATGAATTCCACATAAGATTGTGATGCTGATGCCAATGCCAATGATGATGCGGGGGTATGACAATGAGATGAAAGATGATAGTGAAGATTTCAGTCGGCGTTGTGTTCGTTCGTAAAATTGTCCGGGTACTCGCAGCGACCTTCAAAGAACCCTGAGCCGTATTTCTGCAAAAACTCGTTCAGTTCAGCTGGCATATCTGGAACGGGCTGCTGATAGTTGACATCGGAGGACAGCTCCGGGTCAAACTGCGGCATCTGGAGAGTGGAAGGACCGGCAGGGACAGTCGGAGGCTGGTTGTTGTTAGGGGTGGGGGTGGGGAGCTGAGAGGGCTTATCATAAATGGAGATGAAGCTCTCGGCGGGGATGTCGGGGAAGAGTCTCTCCCAGGGGAGTTCGTCGAGCTCGCCTGAGATTTGGGGGATACCAGAACCGCTGGACTCAGCGGGTGAGAGCGCATCGCAGCGAACGAGGTCTGCAAGCTCGGGAAATGCTGGCTCACCGAAATCCAGCGATTCAGGAATCTCTGCCTCTGACTTCATAGACTGAGTAGATGGGTAAGGCGCGGCGGCGGACCGTCGAGCAGCTTTTCCACCGGGGATGCAACGCGCCTTGGGCTCGTAGCCATGTAGTGCCTTGCGGTGATGCGTCAAGCTGCCTGGATCTGTAGTGGCATACGCGCACCCAGGATGAGGGCACGTCTTGGAGAATTCACGGGTGTGGGTTCTGATGTGCGTCTGCATGTTGGACTTTTGGAGGGTCTTGTGATCGCAGTTAGGGAATGGGCATGCATGCATACTGATCAAGATAGTAAACAGGTCAGAATCCGTCTGGTATAATAAGGCACAAGCACGTACAGAGCTTCCTTGTCTTCAGCATGCGTCCGCATATGTCTCGGAAGATCTCCCTTGCGGCTTATAACCTTATCGCAGACAGTGCAGGCAACAGATGTCTGTAGAGAAAGTGTGATAAGTACAAGACGCGTGATGTAAGGTAGGCTGGGAGCTTACCTCGTTACGTTCTACAGCAGGCATCTTGTGATAATGTTTGAGAGGAAGGAAGAAGTTGTGAATGATCTGCGGGGTGGATTAAATCCTTGGAGTGAATGAAAAGCGCGTGTGTTGTTGCAAATCCACACATCTTGCGCGCTTCTTTTAAAGCACCCAAGCGTGCTATGGACGTCGAGTACGATTGCTTTTCTGCGGCGCACGTTTCTGCCTTTAAAGGCAAAAGCGTGAAGCAATCGTGTGCGATGGTCTGAGCATAAGGGACGAGCCACTCGGTTAGCGGGAAAGGCAAGTGAGTTGGATTGCGTCTCAACACTTTCTTTTTTTGCCTTGTAAGGTAATATATATTTACCTGCTCGATGTGTGGATGAGTGGCTCAGTGCTCAGGCCTTTAGCCTTCAGGCATCATGATGGGGAGGTAGGGCCCATAGACCCTTCCAAAGACTCGAAGTATCGGAGAGCTCCACCTTAAGCATCGAGGGCGTTGTCGAGTTTCATTCCAGTACTAGTTTCTAGGATAGCGTTCGCAGTCAGCACTAGCGGTTGCCAGTGAAGCTTTAGAAGACGATGAGGACGATGAAGAATAAATGAGTGAAACATGCTCCGTGTTGCCTCGATGACGTAATATAATGTATGCAGCCGAGGCTGGACATATGCATGGTGCTGCATGGTGGTGGTGAAGAACAGAAGGGCACAGAGAAGATAGTCTGCTGGCACACCTTGTTCCTTTCCCGTCTCTCAATCTCCATGTTCTCAATATGCTCAAGGATGACTTCGCGATAGCGATATAGCATGCCGCTCAATTATGGGCCCAACGGAGTCGAGGACGGAGCTAGTAGTACTGGAGAGTATCATGATGGGATAAGGTGATGCTCCCCATTGTCAATGTCCTACAACATGATCTGAATTGCGGCGTCGCTCCCGAGCCTGGCTGTATCCGACGGCAACTTTCACGTCCATTCCTCTCCATGTAGCTCACCCTTTGTCGAACGAAGGCTCGACGACAACATTTATGCAGTGTTTGAATATTTGCAGTGTCGGTTTCTGCTTGAGAACTAATGTTCGTGACTGGACTTGGTGGTGGTGAAGGACAAAAAATATGCGGAGCATCGGCCGGTGACAAAAAGGCTAGCCTGAGATTCGTCCGAACGCAGCAGCATGCATGATGGTAGTCGACGGTCACTACCGAGGTCGAAGTCACCGTTATACTATAAGAGCTCGATGGATTGAGCCGCGACACAGCTGTCAGCGCTCCTAGTTCCGAACTTGAAGCTGTACAAAAACTGGCGCACAAGGCTCTAGCGCTTTTATACCAAGTTGAATACAGCAACAGCAACACTTCGACGCTTTCCTTCGCCCATCCGCGATCTTAATGACTGAAACCTCACGTATTTACATGGAGGGGATTGATCTTATCCCTCCTCACCCAGGCAGCAATTGGACTCGCTTCGTCTGCATCTCAGATACCCACTCTCATACTTTTCACATACCCGCCGGCGACGTTCTGCTGCATGCTGGTGACTTGAGTAGCTGGGGTAGCCTTTCGCAATTGATCGTCACAGTCGAATGGTTGAAATCACTGAATCACCCCGTGAAAATGTGAGCAGATGTTCACGATATTCCAGGCGGTTGATAACCTGTGATGGATCAAGCATGGTAGCAGGCAATCATGACGTACGTCTTAAGCTGGTGCCATCCTCAGATATCAGACCACTTCCGTAGCTTTGTCTTGACAGGAATTGGGCTCAGCCAATATATGGCCTCCCACCAGAAGTGGGTGTGGATCCCTCTAAGCACCAATCGAGCTAAACAGAGAATTGAAACCAGGAGGTCCAGCAAGCACGAACCTATGTACGGAGTCAAGCAGGAGCAGGTCTGTACTATCTCGAGCATGAACGCTTTCGGTTCATGTTACCCTCGGGGCGTGAATGGAAGGTCTATGGCTCACCGGTGAGCGCCAGTCGCTTTTGCGAAGCTGGTATTTTGTGGAACTGATATACATGTGAGGCTGCTCCATTATATGCTCAAGGAGCATTTCAATACGAGTCCACAGACGAGGCACGAGGTATGGGGCGAGGCTAGATCAATGTTTGCGGGCTATAACCATTCTCTAGTGATCTACAGCCGTATACCAGAAGATACGGATATCCTGATCACACACACTCCTCCTTTCATGACTTTCGACACAACAAGAACCGGCAAGCACGCTGGATGCCGCGTCTTGTCAAGCAAATTAACGCAGCTGCGAAAATGCCGGCTGCACGTCTTCGGCCACATCCATGAATGTGCTGGAGCACAAATCAGCGCTGATGACCCATTCAGACTAGTCGACAGTGTGTCCGTGAATGCAGCCATGGCCATGACGAAGAAGGCGGTCGTTGTAGACCTACGGAACTAATGAAACACCCTGCATTATGGATATCATGTACACTTAGTATACATAGGACAAGCCATGAGAACATGTTAAACAACTACCTTGCCCTTCTTCGCAATCTTGATACCCAGTTTGTTCTTCAAGTCTGATTTCGGCTTCTTCGCTGGCGGTACACCAAGAGTTTTGGCCTCTAGCACTACTCGTGTTGATTCTGGAAGGAGACTGCGTAAATCGGGCTCGACATCATCGGCCTTTCGCTTAATAGTGACCACTTGTGGCGAGGTCACTTCTGTGGGTGAATCTCCAGAACTGTCTGCCGCCGCCGAAGAGCCGCCCGGCAAGGCGGGCATCGATACCTTCGAAAACACTTCCCTCACCAGTTTCTCATCTTCTTCATCTGCTAGTCTTCGCTCCCTTTCCTCTTCTGTTTCCTCCTCCTCCACAGTCATTCGAGAGACCAGATCCGACGCTTGCCCCACACGCTCGTTCCGTGCATTCCGTGCTCGAATATCCTGGAGAGCGTCTAGGATATCCATCTCCCGTTTTGCGTCGACGGTGCGGTTCTCTAGCGCCTTCATAGGATTGTTCTCCTCTTCCTCCAGGCGAGCAAGACGGTCCTCCTCTTCGACAACTTTTTCTTCTCGCCATGGTTCAAAGTTTCTTGATGCACCGTGCTCTGCGGAATAATCGGTATTCTTGGGGTCAGTCTTGAAGGTAATCTCGGCGGAACATAGTGTACTGGGATGGCTCTCGGTAAGCGCCAATATATACAACGACGTAATGACGCACCATTTAATGTAAAACCTGAATATCTTAATTCCATAATAATCCTCTCCATCCACTGTTTCCTTGCGAGCATTGAACTTCTTGCCTTTGTAGATATATTCTCCACATGTATTACATCGCCTGTGTCCATTGTAAGATATGAATTAAGGCACAGAAAAATCAACGCTTACATGGAGAACGGGGCCATGAGACGAACGACCTGCTGTGAGTTCTTTGGGCCCCTCCTTCGAGGGATCAAGGACGGGTCAAAGTCCGGGGGGAAGTACTTGTTCAACACTAGCACAAAAATCAGCTCATGACTTGACTGAAGACTAAAATCTTACCTTTACGTTCAGACATGGTGGTCGATTAAATGAGTGTAAGGATTGTTGCGTTGAGTTGTTGTGGACGACTCGGAGGGTGAAGACCACTTGATTACCTAAAAGAAATTTCCCGCCTTTAGCGCGCGCTCTCCTCCTTGTTCACCTGCAGCGTCGTCCGCCAGTTCACTCTGTCAATCGCCGCTCACAATCACCATGCAGGTCCAGTTAAATAAACAGCTAATCAGTTCTCGTCTAAAAAATGTCTACGATGGATGGAGGGTATGCTTTCAGCCAGTTCGATTGAGAGTTCGTTAATGAGCTTTCTGTCATTTTTAGAATGCGAATCAAAATGACGAGTACGGCTCCATAGCAGATGCAGAAGCTCTCTTATTGCTGTCCGGAGACCCTGCCGGTGAGGATGAACCCGTGAGGAAAGGGACTGCCTTTCAGGTGAGCTTCATTAGCACTTCATGAATCACGTCTCTGCTGTGTGGCTTACGCGCCAATTCGTGTAGACTTGGTTGCTTGGTTATGAGTTTCCCTCTACATTACTCCTCTTCCAGAAGGACAAGCTCTCGATATTATGCTCGGCTAGCAAAGGTGTGTATTGTATCGTCCGATGCGTGACGATCTGACGTTTAAACGCGACACGTGGGTTTGCAGCCAAGTTCTTGCACCAAATAAAAGAAGGGAATCCTCCCGTTCCAGTCGAGATACTCGTACAAGCAAAGGCGAAGGAGCCACCTAGCGATGCACTACCAAAATTCGTGGGGGCTTATACATCTTTCAAACGCGTCGGGAGTTTGGTGAAGGAGGCATGCACGGGAAAGTTGATGACGGAGTGGGAGCAGGGCGTCTCAAAAGCTGACAGCAAACCCGAATTGGTTGATATGGCCCCTGCGTTGTCTGCTTTCATGGCTGTCAAGGATGAAGAAGAAATGGTGTGTTCATATATTGTATCTGGGGTCAATGCTATTCTGATTCGCATCACAGAAATGCATTCGTACAGCAGCTAATCTTTCTTCCACCTTGCTCGTTCACCATATCGTGTTGAAATTGGAGATGATATTGGACAAAGAAGCCAAGATAACTCACGAACAATTTGCCACTCAGATAGAGGCGCGACTTGGGTCGGGTGAAGGTGACGATGCTAAAGGGCCCGATATGAAGGTGTGGAGCAAGGGGCGGGGCCTCAATGATGTGCGTTAGCTGCCCTGTCAAACTCGCTCGTACATCTCATGAGTCATTCCAGGTCGACTGGGCATCAACGGAGTTCTGCTACTCTCCTATCATTCAGTCGCGGTCAACAACCACCGGCTATGATTTGCGATCAACTGCGGAGTCATCCTCGGACACCATTGCACACAAAGGCGTCTTCCTCATCGCCGTTGGCATGCGATACAAGGGTTACTGTGCCAATCTCGGGCGGAGTATTATTGTTGACCCCTCGAAGGTCAGTGCGGGTGATATCATTTTCTCACTGATCTCATTTCGCCTTGTAGGAACAAGAAGCAATCTACAACTTACTGTTGTCGATGCAGGCCGAGATGCTGAGGGAAATCAAGGACGGCGTCAGTGCACGTGAGGTATATCAGCGGGCCTTGGAGATTGTGAAAAAGGAGAAGCCGGAGCTTGAGAAGAACTTTGTCAAGAATGCTGGGTTTGGAGTGAGTAATCCTCCATCAATTAAGCGCCAATAAGTCTTAAACTTGTTTAGACTGGCGTGGAGTTCCGTGATTCTGCATATTTGCTTTCTTCAAAAAACGCTAAGCACCTGAAAACGGATATGGTTTTAAACCTGTCTCTTGGCTTCTCCGACTTACTTGATGACAACGGCAAGAAGTACGTATCACTCCTTTGGTCTACGGCAGTTCCGTTCATGTATACGTTTCAGATACGCCCTCCACATAGTCGATACCATTCGCGTTGGCGCTGACAGATCAACTCTTTTGACCGAAGGTGCCAAATCCACCAAAGACACCCTCTTCTTCCTGAACCCCGAAAATGACATTGAGGTGGAAGAAGACAAGCCGTCCAAAGCACTCAAGAAGGCTCCTGTGAAACCCCTGGTAAACGGTTCTCCCGTCAAGAACAAGACAGTCGGCGGCAAGGTGTTACGAAATAAGACGCGTAGCGCTGCTCAGGAAGAAGTTTTGATGACCGCAGCTGCCAAAATCAAGGATCACCAGCAACAACTTCATGATGGCCTTCAGTCTGCTGGATTGGCGAAGTACTCTGAGGGTGCTAGCGGTGGTGGTGAAAAGGAGGGTAAAACTTGGAAGCGCTTCCAAAGTTATAAGGGTGAAAGTGCACTGCCGCGGGAAGTCGAAAGTCTCCGAGTGAGTAGATCAACTTACTAGTTGGAACTTTCAGGCTAAGACAACACTACCCAGGTCTCCGTGGACCGCAAGGCTCAAACAATTGTGTTGCCCGTACATGGATTCGCTGTACCCTTCCACATCAACACTATCAAGAACGTGAGCAAGAATGACGAAGGGGATTACACATATCTCCGCATCAACTTCCAGACCCCTGGTCAGCTCGCAGGGAAGAAAGATGACACGGTACGTATGGTTTCAGAGTCGTAAGTGTTCTCGAGTTTGAAGGTATTACCACCTAGCCTTTTGAAGACCCCGACTCTACTTTCATCCGTTCGGTCACCTATCGGTCAACTGATGGCCACCGCTTCGACACCATTTCCAAACAAATCACAGACCTAAAGAAAGAGGTTAACAAGCGTGAGCAACAGAAGAAGGAAATGGCTGACGTTATCGAGCAAGATGTCCTGGTTGAGATCAAAGGTAGACGTGCGCACAAGCTTCCTGAGGTATTCGTCCGCCCCGCCCTTGACGGCAAACGGTTACCCGGCGAGGTCGAGATCCACCAGAATGGTCTACGCTACCAATCTCCAATGGGCTCTCAGAAAATCGGTATGACGTTTTGTTTCTCCTTCCAGGATATTGTTAAATCCCGAGCTCCTTAGATGTTTTGTTCACTAACATCAAGCACCTCTTCTTCCAGCCTTGTGACAAGGAACTTATGGTCATTGTACACATTCATTTAAGAGCACCCATCATGATTGGGAAGAAGAAAGCACATGTATGTCGTCCTATTCTCAAAGCAACTACGTCCTCTGACGTGGTTTTCTGCAGGATATCCAGTTCTTCCGCGAGGCTTCCGATGTTCAGTTCGATGAGACTGGCAACCGGAAGAGAAAGCACAGATATGGAGATGAGGATGAAATTGAGATGGAACAGCAAGAACGAAAGCGAAGGCAGATGCTCAACAAGGAGTTTAAGCTGTTTGCTGAGCGAGTAGCCGAGGCAGCATCGACGTCTATGGGTGAGACACTCGAAGTGGACATCCCCTTCCGTGAATTGTCATTCGAAGGTGTGCCGTTTCGCACCAACGTCCGATTGCAGCCCACAACAGAATGTCTCGTGCATCTCATCGACCCTCCGTTCCTTGTTGTCACTCTCAATGAGATTGAGATTGCTTCGTTGGAACGTGTTCAATTTTCGCTGAAACAATTCGATCTTGTTCTTATCTTCAAGGACTTCACTAAAGCACCGTTGCACATCAACTCGATACCAAGCGGTCAACTTGACGACGTAAAGAATTGGCTAGAGTACGCAATTCTGTTGCGATCTGTGGGACATCGATACTGACAGAACATGTTTGCAGCTCGGTCGATATTCCTCTCGGTGAAGGCCCAGTCAACTTGAACTGGGGCCCTATCATGAAGACAATCAATGAGAGCCCGTATGATTTCTTCCAGCAAGGCGGTTGGCGAAGTTTCCTCGGTGGGGGTGATGCCGATGTAAGTTCTTAATCGTGGTCGTCCGCGTTTCATGCAGGCTGAAACATCGTTCACAGAGCGATGCAGACGTGGATTCGGACAGCGAATCTGAGTTCGAGGCAGATCCGGAGGAATTGCAGTCTGAGGAGAGCAGTGCTGATGCTAGCGAGTATGACGGCTCAGATGCGAGCGACGACTCAGGAAGCGGTTCCGGTTATGACGATGATAGTGATGATGGCGATGACTGGGAAGAGCTAGAAAGGAAAGCCGCTAAATGTATGTATTCTGACCATCGTCCTTGTTTGATACTTATTTATAAAACCAGCCGATTCCAAGCGAGCCGCTGAAGCAAAGGGAACTCGCGGAGGTGACACCGACTCGGATGATGACCGACCTAAAAAGAAGAAGGCTTCTGCTAAACCCAAGGCGAATGGCAAAAGCAAGAAGCGGTAATGTTTGACTTGTGGACTTATCATGGTTTCTTCGCGATGAATATTGTATCTGCTTAGCATTTTATTTCTCCGTTTGCTTTTCGGCAGCTGTACCATTATTGATTCAAATGATGTGTCGGTTTTTGTGCATAATGATGATATCGATGGTTGAACGTTGAACCTCAGTACTCTAATCAAGTCATGTCCTGGTCAAGTCATTCCTCCTTATCCTCCACAGGAGTTTGGCCATTTAGTCTCGCTTCTCTGAACAACATGACACCAGCTATAGCTGCTCCAGGGCCAAATGCTACCGAGACCAATGCATGCCAAAGGAAGAGGAGCACAATTTCCTTCACGCCTTGAGCGAACCAGAATGTCACAAAAAGGGTGGATCCTATCCCAAACACTGCATCCCACTGGATGACAGCAGCGACTCCTTCGGGTAAGGACAAAGGGTGTTTGCTCAGTGCCAAGTGTGGCACCAGGACCTTCTGGAATTGTTGGATGTCAAAGAAGAGTGGCCACGTGTAGTAGATGTGGAAGATAGCAGAGGTGACGAAGATGAGACCATACATGGCTTGGATGGTAGCGTAGCCGGATTGCATGCGACGGGAAGAAGGACGAATGATGAGGTACACAAACTGCGCGAACGCCATGATGATGGGGTAGCCTTGCCATAACGCAGTGGATGTGATACCCCGAAACAAAACCATGCACACTGTCGGGATAATATAGCCGACTATCAGAGCAAAAAGCAAAGCTTCGGCACTGCCCTGAGCGATTTTTGTTGCGCGGCCTTTGACGGGGCTACCAATCGCCGCTCCACTCAGAATAAGCGCGACATAATAAATTGGCATGATGACTGCAAAACTGAAAAGCTGGAAAAGCACTCCAACGGCAGCAGGCATGCGAAGAAAGATGGAGCGCTCTTCACGTGCAGCCTCGACGAAGGGTATCATTGTTACTGCAGCGAGGGCAGTCATGAGCTCTGCTACGAGAGGTCGGTATGCAGGGTCTAGTAGGGCATGAAAGAGCGCCACAAGTGCGCACATGCGATCATCGAGGTCGGGGTAGCCGGTGTATGCCAGGCGCAAAGGGTATCCTTCCGTTCCGATTGGAACGTTGCAGTGGTCGAGAAGTTGCAGTCCTGTACCGCTTTGGTACATGTGACGGCCAAATACAATTTGCAATGCAATAAAACTCATTGGGATGAAGATTGCAACAGGCAAGACACCTCCTGACAATGTAAGTCCATGAGCCAGTCACTAGCGTGATTCTGTTGGCTGAACTCACGAAGAAATATTTTAGATGCCATTGTTACAGTATTGGCGGCCGCAGCTGTAAAATATTATTGCTACAAGCGATTAAAATGTGGCGGAGACGGGTGATGATATCGAATTACCTTTCCACCAATATACGTCTGGCTGAAGCCAACAATTTGCTCAGACTCGGACTCGGGTGATCCAGAGTTCGAATCGAAGTAACTTCTGAGGTGTCACAAAATTGTCACGCGATGTCACCCGTTGTCACAAAATATGAATGCGTGTCATTAACGTCACTGCTACGCGAAGGCGCGTCGACTCTTATAACAGCACCACTCTAAAGATCGGGCTGCCCCAACAGAATTTGGGCCATGACCATTCCCGCAACTGTCTGTCAGGTATCGAAGAAACATGTCTTGCTGTCAGAGATCTTGGCAGTGACCTCGGTCATGCGCAAGAATTCACGGTGGGCATCAGGAGCTCATACCCTTACAGCAAGAGACTCCGCGTTAGCAAGAGACCTCGGCCTGCGTAGGTCAACACCTAGTGCAGACATTCAAAAGAATGGGAGGCTCTCCCAAGAAGCGGACCTAATGGGCGGCTTCCAGCAGCTGAAACGTACGATCTGGGACGTCGATGGTAGGTGTTTGCTCATTGCACATGTGTAACTATCTTCAATCACTTCAAACAGATATCGAAGCTCTACCTTTGCCTAGTCTTATTGGTCCCTTCTTTGCCCTAATTCGTTCACCTCTGTCTAACGGACCTATAACATCTGCTGCACTCTCTGCCCTCCACAGCTTTTTTGTTTGCAACCTCATATCCTCAACCTCGTTATCTTTGGAGCCTGCTCTCGTCGAGCTCAGCAGCACAGTTTCACACTGCAAGTTTGAAGCCAGTGATTCTTCTGGAGACGAAGTTGTCCTCTTAAAGATAATGACCGTGATACATGATTGCATTGCCGCAAGTAGTGTGGGTGCGTTCCTCGGAGACGTCGAGATTTGCGAAATGTTGGAGACCGTCTTGACGACAGCATGTCAAATGCGGCTGAGCGGTGTGTTATAGCCTCTGTTCATTCATGGTGTCCGCTTACTCTACATGACACAGAAATTTTACGTCGATCTGCTGAGTCTACCATGATTTCCATTGTCAGGACAATTTTTGGGCGTCTACATGCTCTCCATCCAGCTGCAGAAGAAGCTAGACTCCGTCTGAATGAGGAGGAACCTCAGCACGGGGAGATAAGTATGTCCATGTCTACCAACCTCACTGATGTCGGCGATTCTCTATCGCAGGCATTAGAAGGAGTAACTTCATCCACGCAGCAGAACGCAACTTCATTAGAGAATACAGAGCGTTCTACAGCACCTGAGGTCGAGGACCCATCCCAGACGCTTTCACCACCACGACCGTGTAAGCCCTCCACATCTAGTCATTTGCTTCCGTAAACTCAACGTAATTTAGATGTTCTACCAGCACTTCTGGAACTGCTTCGTGTGCTTGTCAACATTTTGGATCCCAATGATCAAGTTCACACCGACTCCACGCGCCTTACTGCGCTTGGAATTCTCAATGCTGCTGTCGAGACATCTGGAACAGTTATGGGCGACTATCCTTCCTTGTCAGCCCTTATTCTTGATCCTGGATGCAAATATCTTTTCCAGCTCGCACGTTCCGACAACTCTTCTGTTCTCCAAGCTGCATTACGGACAATTACAACAGTATTCCAGACCATGCGAAGCGACCTTAAGCTTCAACAAGAGCTTTACCTTTCCTTTAGCATCGACAGGCTCGCAGCTCCCCCGCAATTGAAACCAATAAGCTCCAAGAAGAACGCCAACCCTACGTCTCCACGTCCTGGCACCCCTGCAACTGGAACACCGATCCTGGGACCGGTTGACACTGAGCTTGAGCTCGATAAGGGAAGTCCAGTTCCATCGCGGCCCCCTGTACAGCCTGCGCGTGGAGATACCCGCGACTTGATGTTAGAGACTCTCAGCCAGCTCTGCCGGCATCCGAGCTTCATGGTTGATCTTTACGTCAACTATGACTGCGACATAAACTGCGAGAATTTGTTTGAACGCTTGATCGAGTTTCTCACAAAGGTCGGTCGTCGGGGCAAAACCCGTGCGCTTGTCGTTCAAATTCTTGACTGTCTAGGGCGTATACCCATGGCAGTACTCTTCGGCGTCGGACGCACAACAATTACATTCTCAATATCTATGCTTGGATCTGTTGCTTGCGTTCGTAAATGACATGACAGCGCGAGCCGAGGGTGTTTGTACATTCGTTGTCCCGCTTTGTTCAATGTTCTGATATGCTTTCAACTTTTAGCGAAGTGAATCATGGCCTTCCGTGAGTATTGATTGTTTCCGTCCTCAACTATGCAGGTCATAACATGCCATAGGATTTTATTTCGCCAGATTCATTGATGCAAGACAAATCTAGGAAGAAGCTCGTTCTTACCGGGGCAGCGCGGTTCAATTCTAAACCAAAAATTGGCATTGCATTTCTTGAGGAGAACAAGCTCATATACTCCGACCTTTCTCCAGAGGTCTCACGAACGCGCAGTCTTGCTATCTTCTTGAAGAGCTGCACGCGTTTGGACAAGCGACTGCTAGGAGATTATATCTCAAAGCCAGACAATTTGGAACTCCTGAAGGACTTTCTTGGGCTGTTTGACTTTAAAGATGTACGGCGATTCCCATCTATCATATTCGCCGCACTAATAGTCACTCGCGGTGCGTAGAAACCAATTGCAGATGCAATGCGCGAGATGCTAGAGACCTTCCGACTTCCTGGAGAATCTCAGCAGATCGCTCGGATCACAGAAACCTTTGCCTCGATCTACTTTGCATCTGGTCCAGGTAGGGTCCTAAATTCAAGAATATGCGACTTTTTGTTCATCGAATTACAGCGGAAATCAAGACGGAAGATGCAGTCTACGTGTTGGCGTACTCCGTGATCATGCTCAACACTGATCTTCACAATCCGCAAATTCGAGTCAGGCCTTTGCACTTCTTAAACGTTTTCTTTATCTGACCAAGCATCAGAAACGCATGACCATAGAGGATTATCAGCGCAACCTGAGAGGCGTTAATGACGGCACTAACTTCTCGCCCGAGTACTTGGTGGGTGGCGTTATGCTGTTGAATGTCTGGATGGCTCACTCCCAGCAGCAAAGCCTTTACGACTCCATACGCAAACGAGAAATTGTTATGCCTGAAGAGCATACCGGCCAACTTGGCTTCGAGTACGCTTGGAAAGAGCTGCTCACCCGCTCACGGCAATCGGGTAAGTTGATTCATACAGGAATGGTGGTCGTAGGTGTAACTGGATCCCTCATAGGTCCGTTCTTGGTGTGCAATTCGGCCCTGTTTGATCTTGACATGTTCAAGACCGTTTGGAAACCGTTGATCTCTGCAATCGCTTACGCATTTATCAGCTTTGACGATGATTATGTTATTCAACGGGCTATTTCTGGTTTCCGTCAATGCGCCACGCTGGCAGGTCATTTCCATCTTCCGGATGTTTTCGATTTCGTGGTCGTTTCACTCTCGCAAGCAACTAGTTTATTATCTGAGAATCTGCCGACACAAGTTCCTAATTATCCAGTGGTCGAAGTAGAGGGACAGTCAGTGACAGTCTCGTCGTTATCGGTCAAGTTTGGCACGAACTTCAAAGGCCAGCTGGCAGCCGTTGTACTTTTCAATATCGTGAACGGAAACGGAAATGCCCTGCGCGAGGGTTGGACGCAAGTAAGTTGACACGACAAGCAATTATTTTTTGCTAATCATAGATACAGATCTTTGAAATGTTCCAAAACCTATTCATGCATTCATTACTCCCCACGCGGATGCTCCAAATGGAGGATTTCTTAGGCGGCGTCACAATGATCCCCCTTCGTGGAGGTCAGCATTCACGACCAGCGCCGCGTAGTGATGGGGGGTTGTTATCAGCGCTATCCTCATACCTTATGACCCCCTATGGTACCAGCTCCGAAGACCTCGTTCCTGAAGCTACAGACACAGAAGTAGAGAGTACAATGTGCACTATCGATTGCATAACATCATGCCGGTTGGATGAGCTTTACGCGCAGACTATGTGGGTCTCATTCAGCTGATGAACCTTATTTTCTCACAACCTTGTCACAGACAACTTGACTTGGAAGCACTCGTGGCGGCAATCCGAGCACTGGAGGCTCTTGCTCATGAACGGACAATCACGAAGTGGAAGCAAGAGTCGGATGAGCTGACCACCGCATTCAATACACCGTCTGCAGGAGACGGATCATTTACTTTGCCTTATGACCCTGCATCCGTTTTCCTTCTCGAGACCATGGTCAGCATTACCTGTCAAACCTCGCAGTACATCGAGGACTTATGGCACGTACCTTCATTTTCATTGGAGTTTATTTCTAATTTCTCCTTAGGCCGATTCTATTTGAGCATCTGTCCGCCTTGTTGTCGGCACCTACGCATTATAGTGTTCTCCTTATTGAGCGTGCGGTCGTTGCGTTGCTTCGACTGTGTCTTATTCTTGCTCAAAAGGCAAGTCACTTGTCCCCGCTTTGCCCTCTGTAACTGAGTAGCCCACATAGAAAACACTTCGAGACCAAGTCTATCTGTCGCTTGATCTGATTGCTGGGCTTCCCCCGATAGTAGCCAATTCTGTTGCCGAACAAATTGTTGCAGGCGTGACTTTGATTCTTCAAAACCGTGATATCGTTAGGCAAGATCAACATCATCATACCTGCGTATCTATAGCTCATCAATGTCAATAGTTCGCAAACCGAGTGGAACCTTGTCTTTGCAGCCCTTCGGTCAACGACTTCCCATCCAGAGGCTGCTCGTTCGACATTCAACTTGGTTTTGAGTTTCGTCACGGACGGACAGTCGCAATGGATGACACCAGATAATTTCAATGGTCTAATCACAATCTTGGATGAGTTTGCGACGTCTGCTGGTCATTCGATCATGGTTCCTCAGAGAGGACGACGAGTTCCTTCGCAGCCACCGCCTGAGTAAGCGGTTGATGTCCATAATGATCTGCCTACTGATATTTTTCCAGCGCACCACCTATCGAGCGCGGGAGACGAGCAGTTGATATTCTTTATGATATGAAAAGGTTCATTTCACCCTTTGCTGAGTCTGCTGGTTTGCCAACGGGTCAAGGTACGTGGGTTCTCGTGATCACGAGTTACTCTTGACAGTTAACATGCAATACAGTCTGGCGCCAATACTACCTGCCTTTGGTGTTGTCGTTGGGCAAACAGTCGACGAACCCCTCACGACTTGTGCGGCATACTGCTATCAGCCAACTTCAACGTCTTTTGCTTGGTCCTCGATTTGTATATGACGAAAACGACCATAGTCAAGTCGAGGAGATATTCAACAGTGTCATCTTCACCCTTGTCGATGAACTCCTGAGACCCCAAGTACAGCATATCGATCCACAGGGCATATCGGAGACTAGGTTACGAGCCTCGGCCTTGCTTTGTAAGGCATTCATGCACTTCGAGGTCCGGGAGAGTCGCACGAAGTCGGACATCAAGATCTTGTGGATCGCGATTCTGGATCTACTAGACAGGCTCATCAACGCCGAAAAGACCGAGCAGCTGGTAGGCCTTCCATTGATGTTCCACATGACGCTCGGTTCTTAATGATCCTTAATGATCCTAGTATGAAGCTGTCTCGGAATCTCTCAAGAACGTGGTTCTCGTGATGAATGCCGCAAATATTCTTGTCCCACCTTCCCAGGAAGACCAACGTGATGAACACCAGCGTACCTTATGGACAGCCACGCAAGCCAGGCTAGAACGTTTTTTGCCAGGATTTCTGGCAGAAGTGATACCGACTCCACAGTTGCAGTTGCCACCTTCAACGCCCGTCCCGGAATCAACTTCCGCAGTACCTGCTACTGGACCTTCCACAGCTTAGGGCACATAAACATATACGAGTTTTCTGCTACTACAATAATTTAATTAAAGACAAATAAAATCGGTGGAGGTCATAAGAATTTCATTTTGGAGGTTCTGCAATGCTGGTCGTCAAAAAACACGCACGCCTTACACGATAGATCTACTAACCTGACACGCGCGTATATAGCTAGAATCGCGACTATCGGCGCTACGGTATACCCGACAAACCGCACTACTGGCTGGCTATGGGATGTCACCCAAGTGGACCACGCGCCGCCAAGATGAGCAGTAATCAGGAGAAGAGGGAATAAGACATAGCCAGACAGCCTGCGAAACGTGTTATCAATCTTCGCTGGCATCCTTCTGATTACCCACGCTACCTGTGGTATTTCCATATCATCTTGGCCTTCATACCGCCCCCAAATGCAGCACCTCCAAACCACACACTTCCGCCGCCAAGTATCACTTGGCCCACGAGCCATGCGACAGAAACAAGTCCGAAAATCTGTGACAAGATGGTGAGAGAAAAATATAAGAGAGAAAGAAAAGCATACCCCATGCCACGTCGCGAAATGTCCATGTCCTCGGTTGAATTTCTGGATCTCAATCGCCAGGGTGCCCAAAGCGATGCATGGGAAGCCGACGGCAAGCATCGTTTTCTGGTGTCGTTGCAAACCAGCTGCTTTAGTTTTGGGGTGTGCGGTTGGTTGGAGTGTCAGGATCCCTGAAGCGAGTGATGAAGTGGGCTTATACTTAGAGTGTCAACGATCGAGTACGCACCATAGGTGAAGCAGCCAAGACCTAAGCTCTGGAGTAATGGGTGGACGGGGAACCACCCCATTGATGTAGGGTTATTGGTGAACACGACGAACCAAGTGACGCACACGAAGACCTTCAAGAAATGTGCACTCAGGGGTCAACTCCCGGTTACATGACACAAGAGATTGTTCGTCTCACCAGCATGGAAACCTGTCATGACGCAAATATGAGCGATGATGAATACAGTGCACGAGGAAATGCACGCACGAGTGCTCCATATGCAGCGAGCTTGTCCCCCCGGCGTTCCTCGGATTTATCGGCGCTGTCAGAGCCCATGATTGGTGCTGGGAAAGGCAGATGCTCTACTGAGGTTTCCGGATGACCGCTTGCGTCTAGTAGTCTGTAATGTTCTTCGGATTCCGTCAGTTCACTGGGCGCACGCTCTGGCATGGTAGATGATCTAGAGAGGATGAGAGATGGCGAAACGTCTACGTGGCGCGCTCTAAAAGCGAACCGCAGCTATCTGAGCGCTGCTCGACCAGTTCGAGTCTAGCTACTGTACTAGTCCGGTAGTGCCCACTGCCACGTAACTGCGACCAATCGTGCTGCGCACACCCAAGGACCAATTCATGTATATCTGACGCATGGACTTACGAATAAAGGAGACTCGTCACTGTTCTTGTCAACTAGTCGGACTTAGCCAAGTCACTAGCCGCAATTGAACCGTTGGTCAAGCTTTCAAGGACCATTGAGAGTAAAAAAAATACGACTTCCGCAGATGAGTGACTGTCAGAACTGAAAGGCTTCGATCGAGTTACAACACAATATTAATCCATTATTGACCACAATATTAGTGAGTACGTATAGCAAACAAGCAAGATGCAGCGAATATGAACAGTGACATGATGGGTGATCACGGTGCGTAAAGAACATGGATACGACTAAAGAATGCAGCAGAGAAAGTTAACAAAAGCACAAAAAAACATTCCAGGCTAAAATCACAACAAAGCAACTTATCAAATAAATGCACAGCACCGACGGTGATTCATAAAATAGTCTAACGGCCCTAGAGTGCGGGCCAGGAGCCCTCCGCTTTCCACTTGTCCACCACTTCGCGGAGCGCGTCGTGCGTGAACTGCGGACGTTTGAGCTTGTATCCGATGACTTTCTTGATTTTGCTATTGTTGTAGGCAAGTTTGCGTCGTGAAAGGGCCCATTGGTCCATGTAGGCATCAAGTGGGGTCTGTGTGATCGGGGGGTTGGATGTCTGAAGCATTTCAGTCCAGGTACCAACGTGGTGCTCGTTGATTTCCTCGACGATGTCATCGAGTTTAAGCTTCGGGATGTCAACAAAGCTCCAGTAATATAGTAGAACAAAAGCGCACCTTTGCCAAGGCATTTTCAAAGAATGAGTAAAACTCAAACGTTGTCCCGAAGAATTCTGTTATCATTGACCCGCCTTTAGCCATAGTCATCTCTGAGTCATCAACCTGCGTAAAAGATGAGAAGATATAAACCCCAAAAATGAGACTTTGCGCACCAAATTAAAGACAGGTGCTATGGGTTGTGCGTCAAATAAACACGCGCCCTCAATCTCCTTAACCTTTGATTTGTCATTATGAAAATAAATTTTCTCTCCTGCAGTTATGATTGCCTGCTGACGGCCAAGGGAAGCCATCCACTCTGCACATGCCCATAAACCGCCTGAAACATCATCTATGTGAACTGTGTTGACGCCGTCTTTTCCGGGGCCCCATCTGGAAACGGAGATGAGGGGGATTTGAGCGGAGGAAGAGGCTTAGACTCACGGGGTTTTCATTGGTTTATTCATGTAACCGTAGATGGACGCAACCGTGATTACTAGTGGATCTGTCGAGAACGTTAGTCTCGTGTCATGAAAAAAAAATGAGAAAGAAAAATTTACAGAGTCCGAACTCGACGTAAGGGCCATACACAAATCCAATTCGCAGGACGACAAGAGGAAGGCTGGATACCAAGTCAGAAATTATACCCTGGGTATGAATCCGTGAACGTACTCATCAATAGAAGCTAACATTCGGAGTGTTTCATGCCACCAGACATCTAATGGTCGCACAGGTTTAACGTCTTCCTTCTCGTCATGTGGACCCTTGTCTGATGTTTCATACACGGGTTGCTGTAGTCGTACGTAAGCATTGACTTTTCTACGGGCAGCCTCCAGACCGATGATGCGAGCGACGGTGAAGGTCAATTTGATTGCGATCTAGAATGGCGATGAGAATGTTGGTCTATTTTAAGAGCAGAGAAAAAGGACGTACAACTTCACTGCGGTCATGATTGATCTCACCGGTGAGATCGAAGACGTATGAGTAGGGTGCTTTGCCAGCCGGGGGATCGAAAGTAGATGCGACCGCGGCTTGAAGGAGATAATGAATAATGACAGGGAACGTAAGATGAGTACACACAAGGAACAGTTAAATTGGCTTGGCGATATTCAACATCGGGTTGAGCCAGGACCTTTGGGAACTCAGCGCCCAGATATCTAATAAATCGCCGATCAAAATGAAACGGGCGCAAATGTGATGAAATTTACGCACGTTGTGGGCGGATAAACGGAGAATCTATCGACGATGCGAAGGTGCTATTATAGACAGATGGAACCGGTGAGTGAGATGAGGTATCGATGAGAACCAATCGGAAAGATCTGACATACCGAAACGAGTCTCTCCCCCTCAGGTGGGACTAGTAATGCTGCGAGTGCTCGTGAACATGTATTTAGACCACCTGTACGGATGAATTTGAAAAAGTAAACGTGAGCGTCAGTTAGATGGGTAGATGGCGATGCTAGTTACCGAAAATGATAGCGCTTGGCTTTTGAGACATGTAGTTGTGGGCGCTGTGGATGACGGTGAGGAGGAGAGGAGGAGGGAGGGTGTGGCGTGGAGGGCTGATTAGTTTCACTGACAGCGATTTCAAGATTAGGGTGATTTATATACGCCAAAGTTTTATACTATGTTATTACTGTACCCGACCTTGTCGCGGAGGCAACCTCGAGAGAAAGAAGCACCCCTCGCTATATTACCTAATCAATAAACTTTCATCCGAAGAACCATAAATTTATGTAAAAATAGGAACCGCGCCCCAACCCTCACCGTTGCTCGTTAGTAGCCGTTGGCCCGTTGCTGCACTCTACCCCGTTATTTTCGCGGAAACCCAACGTAAGTAGATCATCATCTAGGCCTTCATGTGTTTGAACATATTAAAATATTAGGGTCACCTTGAGGTTCAGACATATCGATTACGGGCGCCGGATGTGACTCGAGCTCACCCTAATAATTACGTCGTCCATAATGCAATGCCGCCGGAAAGTACATTGACTTAATCCAATGGCTTGTAAAATATTGGGGCGTTTATTATCTTCGTTTAGTACCGAACGGATATAATCTCTCACTATCGGTAAATCCGCAACGGTCCCTTTAATCATCTCGTCTCATTTCCTCCAGGCGCTCGTATACAGAAGAGAAGTCCTTTTGTGCCAGATCCGGTCGATGCCTCAACATCTCGGCATAGAAATTCTGCGCAGACTTTCCAAGTGGTAATGGGCTGTCGGTTGAGGCCGCGATATCTGTCGCAAGAAGCATGTCCTGTACGACATTGAGGAACCGCATCTTCCCCGCTGGGAGCTAAACTCACCTTTAACATCAAAGCAGTCGCAAATCCGCCCTCGTAATCACGTTCACATGGAGGTGACTTTCCGGGGAGCGAATACGGTACCGGATTGTTGACTGACGAAGCCCAGCAACCGCCGGTAGAACTGTTGATGACCCCTGCAAGTATTCGCGGATCCAAACCCAACTTCTGTCCAAGTAACATTGCTTCGCCGACGACAATCTGTTGCACTCCAAGAACCAGGTTATTGCATATTTTGGCCCCAAGACCAGCGCCTGATGGGCCACAATGGATAATGCGATTGCCCATGCGGGTGAGGATCGGCTGCGACAGGTCAAAAGCACTCTCGGTCCCGCCAACAAGAAAAGCCAGCGTGCCAGCTTTGGCACCTGTTACACCTGTTTTGATAAAGTTAGTATTGTTATACGTGTAAGCAGGGGTGCGGGGGCAGTGCACAACAATAGTACGTACCTCCCGATACGGGTGCGTCCACCATTTGCGCCCCTGCAGAGATCACGTCTGCCGCGACGCTACGGGCAATTCCGACATCTAGCGTTGTGGAGTCGATAAAAAGAGAGCGCTCCAACTCCGCGGAGCTGAGAGACTGCAACGCAGGGATGACCCCGTTTGCTTCAGAATACACGGTCTTCACCTGAGGCGAGGATGGAAGCATTGTCAATACTGTTTGAGAAGCATACACTGCCCTAGAAATTTCAAGTGGCGATGTCGTAAAGGAGGAAGCCTCACAGTTCGAAAGCAGGAATAGACTTACTCTTTGGGGGTGCGAACAATGTCAATGTGTGCCCCAGGAAACTGGGCCACAAAGTTCTGACGGAAGGCGATCGCACTGGTTGGGAGCGCGTCGCAAACGACAAAGTGGGCATCGGGTGATTCTGCGAATGTCTTCGAGAAGAAGTTAAAGGCCATCTCAGAGCCCATTCGACCGAGACCAATGAATGCAATGCTCTTGGCACGCACGACTTGTCGCTCGAGCGACTGAAGTACTCTGGCAGTGTGTCTCATGAGAAAGTTTGGCAGAGCAACGTTCGGGAGAGGTGTTCAAGTGCAAGTCAAGGACGACTCGGTCGGGTCTTGGGTCGGTGACCGTGTCACTCGAACGAGTACCCTCGTGATCATGCGGGGAAGCGTGCCGTATTAGGCACGTGAGTATCACGTGTCGAGCTATCATTATGTCAGCTACACGTCCGTAGTTTCATGATTTAGACACTTACTTCGTCTGGGACTGGTCTGGGTTATTATTGCAGTCCTCTAGGACAACAATTGGCACGGATTCATTAATCCAAGATGCTTGCAGCCGCGACTTCGTTTTTCTCCCGAACAGCCATATCTCAGTCGTATAATATTGCCTCATCATATGGCAGTAGGCCTTCCACCCCAGGTCCATCGGGATCTTCGAACCCGCTCCCATCTCCAACATTGCCATCAGTTAAAGTTGGTCTATGGAGAGTCCAGGCTGCATCCCACAAAGTCACAAACAAGAAAGTTTCCGTATGGACCCTTGACAAACGCGCCGAAATGGAAGGTCTGGGCCCCATATCCAGGGAGCGGGTCTTGGAGGTTTTGAAGGCAGAGGTATATTTACGATATCAATGAATCCGCCTTCTGCTCAGTTGTTGTCCTTTAGGCGGCAGCACTAAGCAAACTGCGCCATCCTTCCATCTTGGGTATGGTACACGAAACTCCTACTACGTACACATTATGAACTTACTGTTCGCAAAGAAATGGTCGAACCCCTTGAAGAAACGAGGAACGAGCTTATATTTGCAACAGAACCGGTCCTTTCGTCACTTGATCTCTCGATACCACGTGGGTCTCGCCATACGCCTCTAGTTGAGCTAGACGAAATCGAAGTCCGTCTGCTTCTTTTGATGCGGAACGCCGTTAATAAGTTTATCTCCACCTCAGATTCAGAAAGGCATACTGCAGCTGTGCAAAGGCTTGTCTTTCCTGCACACTTCCGCGAGACTGATTCACACCAATTTGAAACCCGAATGTGTGATTATTAACGACGTCGTGAGTGTTTCCATTCCTGATGGCCCCGCGTGTGGCTTTATTCTAGTCGCCGTTTTTTTAGGGTGATTGGAAAATTTCTGGCCTCGGTCTTACCATCCCCCTCGTTGGTGCGGATGGATCTCCGACCCGCTGGGAATTTCCTGGTTTTGATGGTCGCGTGCCGTCATATATTCAGCGTTCTTTTGATTATATTGGTGCGTATAGCGCTGCTATCATAACACGTGTCTGACCCATTTCCACGGATCGACAGCTCCTGAATATGCACTGGATGAAGTCCTTATCACTGCATCAGATATGTATTCCCTCGGTTGTCTGATATATGCCGTACATTGCAAAGGCAGTCCGCCGTTTAGAAACCACGGAAATGTAGGAGGCCTGAGGGATAATGCTAGTCGTCCTGTGCCGGACATCGGGCAGCTCGACACGGATTTGCAAGGTTATTCCATTTCGCGTAAGATAATTATAGAATCATTGACGCACAACTCTATGCAGACCTCCTTCGATCGCTCATTACTCGTGGCTCGAATAGCCGACCGACCCCCTCGACGCTCCCTTCGCATCCGTTCTTCTCCTCACTACCAATCTCTACTCTTAACTTCCTAGACCGCTCGAACTTCACAGCAAAGACGCGAGAGGAAAAGATTTCTTTCATGCGTGGCCTCACAGGGGTTCTGGATCGCTTCTCAGAAGGTCTGCGGACACGGAAGATCTTGCCATCCTTGCTTGAGGAGGTATGTGTCCTGTTCCCGATTCAGACTGCAGAACGATGCTGATGGAACGCCGCGTCGTTGGCAGATGAAAGACACGCATTTGCTTCCGTACATTCTTCCGAATGTGTTTGCTATCTCCAACGTTCTTTCTGCGCCGCAGTTTGCTTCGCTTGTTCTGCCTAGTCTTAAGCCCCTGTTCACCGTCAAGGACCCACCGCAGAACATGCTGACGCTTCTGGACAATCTCCACATGTTGCAGAGTAAAACTGAAAAGGGCGTTTTTCGCGAACGTGAGCAAGTGATTCGACATTAGGCTTCACGCGGATTTACATCATTTTCAGAGGTTCTCCCACTTGTGTATCATGCACTGGAGTCTGAGCATGCTATGGTGAGTTTTTCAATGAACAGCATGTCGCAGCATGATCTGATAGGGTACAGGTACAAGAGCGTGCCCTCAAGGCGGTCCCAGATCTTTGTGAGACGATTGATTATGCTGAGGTTTCCGGCGTACTGTTCCCTCGAGTCGCCGTGAGTTGTAAATGTAGCATTCATGAAAAGCGCTTAATCTTGCATTGTGCAGCTGGTATTCACGAAAACGAGAATACTAACTGTGAAGGTCGCTACGCTGGAAACGTTCCTCAGCTTGGTAAAGACCCTCGACCAGGTTTGCTTCAAGTTGCATCACATTAATATTGTTTTGAGATGCTCACATCTCCGATATAGACAAATCTCACGCAAAAACTCGTACCACTGCTATCAAAAATCCGAACGAAGGAGCCTGCTGTTATGGTGAGGTCCATGTTTTGTCACAGTTTTTTGAATTTTCTGACGGCGTCTAGATGGCAACGCTCTCGGTACAAGAGGCCATGGGTGTGAAGGTCGACAGAGAAGCGGTGGCTACCCTCGTCCTACCGCAATTGTGGACAATGTCGATGGGTCCTTGTGCGTATAACCCGTTATTGCCAGTGCTGTGACCTGAGAGCAATATAGTATTGAATATTGAACAATATCAACGCTTCATGAGCGTTATCCGTAGGCTCGGTGATCGCGTGGAAAAGGAACATAATCAGTTCCTCCGCGACTCGCAGAGGATTGAGGATCGTTCGGCAACAAACACCAATGGTGTCACGTCGCCTGCCTTCAAATCGGGTGTTGATTTTGAAAGTTTGGTGGGACGTGCAAACGGTGCGACTGTGAAGCCGGACACGGTGATCGAAGGAGATAGCTCGAAGGGATGGGATGATGACGTGTGGGGGACCATTTTTAGCGGCACGCCCGAGGTAAGTTGTTGATATTTTGTTGACAACATTCACGCTGATCGTCCCCGTTAGCCGATCCCATCACAGAGTCCAACTCCAGGCCCTGCTGTTTCTACCATATCACCATCAGTTCCTTTAACCAGTCAGGCGCATTCACTACCGTCGTCACCGCGGATGTCATCGATGCCACTAGTGTCTCGGCCACCACGGTTAGGTGCTAAGCCTGTCCCATCTACCGCCTTCGATACATCTGCTTTCACATCACCTACGCTACATCCCAGTCAGCCAAATCGTGTCTCATCCCCATCCGCGCAACCTCAGCGACTTGCAAGTTTCACAATGCCACCGCCCCCGCTGCCACCTCCACAAAGGCCTAATTACAATGTCTCGTTATCTGACTTCGCCGCCATGTCTCCGAGCACTATTGCTTCTGTGCCGAACTATATCCCATCAGGTTATACCACAATACAGCCTACTTCTCCTGCACTCTCGATGTCGTCACCTCCTCTACACGCATCACCACTGTCGATGGGGAGCATACTAGCACCTACTCGACCGACAACTGCTACAAGGCCGATCTCAAAAGATGACTGGGGAGACTTCGATCCTCTCAAGTGACGAAGTTGATTTCATACAGGAACGTCGGATGTGATTGTCAGCACTGTGGAGTCCCTGCGATTGGGTCCCTTCATGTTGTTTCTCGATGTCTCGTCGCCCCTGCGCTGGTCGTCTAGAGTTTCCATCTTAACTATCTCATATGACCTCGCACGTGGTCAGGATTTTAGCACACTGCACGATTGTTATTTTCCCAATCTTATTCCACCTGGATTGTGTTTGGTGACCCAATTTTCTGTTATTCAAGTCCTGTGGTATGGCTTGTGATGTGCATCCAACCTGCTGTTCGATTCGAAATTCTGTCGCCACTCTTGCCTCTCCATCTCATCGTGATCATGCAGTAGGCGATATGACTGGGGATTGCAACTGTGGATCACAGTATGCAACAAAACATATTTGTTTAACCTCTAAATCAGTGTCCAGTCTGTCCTTGGTATTGCATTTGCGCGTTGGAACTCGATTAAGCTGGTTCCACTTGGATGCCATCCAATGGTCGAACATACGTCGCTTCGACAATAGTCTCGGGTCCTCGCGAGCCGAATTGCTTTGCGATACTATCGGCATCGATGTCAAGGTTCAGTAATGCCTTCAGAATCAGGAGTGCCCCGATCTTTGAGGCAACAGCATTTCCTTCCGAGCAAGTGGCGCTGTGAATGCCTAGTCAAAATAATCAGCAACGAAGATGAATCTTTGGGCATGGACTTGCATTTGCTACAACCTTCCTTGCACGGACAGGCTTCCACTGTGTCGTGCGCCCGTCGCAAAACTTCGCCACCTGCGATATTACTATGAAAAATTTGACGATACATGAGGATAATGTGCTCACTGTGATCGAACGCCTGGGCAGACACGCTACCTTTCCGAGATGCATCATAAAATATTAGCCTATACTCTGACGTCAGTGAACTGATGGCACTCCGTAACGAGCAAGTAGACAAACCTAGCGGGACGCTTCCGCTGCGACCCCTCTTTATTATATTCTTTCTCTGCTGCCTTGCATTCTGTCCGCAAGTCGGGAGAAAGAACAAATCGATTCATCCATGCATGCGATGCAGAATGGATGGCTTCTGCAAGGTCCAAACGCTTTTCCCTCATCAATCCAAGTAAATCTTTGTGCAGATCGAACCAGAATCCGATAACTTGTCTTTCGTACGGCGGCGTTTCAACGTCAACAGAATCCAGTTCCTTGTTTCCCCTGAAGAGCAACTTCGAAATCGACGGACTATCAATTAACATCTACGCTCACCTGATTTTTCTGAAGCCTGCGAAATAAAACATTAAACAAAGAGCTTTTCATGTCATGGGATTGAACATACCAAATATTACAGTCGTCACATCGACTCCTATGCGACGGCAATGAAACATTGATATGATTGGGAATATGATTCACTCACTTCCGAAATATGCTCTATGCGGCGACCCCGCAATCTCTTTGATTCGATGTGTTTGCTTGGCATCCACATCCCTGTTGATCCAGTCAAGCGATGGAGTATATAAATGAAGAAGTACTTACGTGAAATCTCTACAGGGTGCCTTTGTAGATTGTTATAACAGGGAAATCGGATATGAACGCACCTCGGCTTAGTGATCCAGTTGACATCCGCCCTCACAAGTCTGGCCATTTTGGTATCATGACTGACTTCTTTAACCTATGCGACAGTCAGGGGGGACTATGATACCTAATCAGTCGTGCTTACGATAAACGTCAGTCCTTGATGTATGAACTGAAGACAAGCATGAGTGTGTAATCTCAGAAAATAATATGGGATTAGTGACGAACCACTCCACCCTCATATAGCTCGAAGATAGCCCTTGAAAGCTCAATCTCTTCCATAATTCTTGGCACTCCACCTGGAAGTCCAACTTTCGTCACATCGATAATGGTGTACTTGTCGTCATCAGCCCCACGAATTGAGATGTGCTTGGCTGGATAGGGGAGAAACTTGGGGTGAGGGTGATACCTATGCAAGGTTAGCAGTAGACCCAGATATGAAGCAGGACACTACCATCCGTCTTTGTCTTTCCGTAGCTTCGAATCGCACAGTTCGGCTAGCGAGGCACCGAAGTAGATAACATCATCCTTGGACAAAGGCATTTCATGAGCAGCACATTGCAAGTGAGCCTCGATGATGACTTTGCTCTCAACGTCAACGATCAGGTCGTCCACAGGCTTGTTATAAAGTTCGTCCGGGGAGTCGACGTATTCTTGGTCTATAGGGAGGTCTTCAGCTACCAATACAGCCAATGAATCGCGGGATCTTCGCCCAGCCCGACCAGCCTGCTGCCGCTAAAAATTCAATGAATCAGCATTGTCACGAACATCTCTGAAAGGTACCAACAAAGTTGGCGATGCCAAATGGAAATCCAAGCATGATGACGGCGTCCAAAACACCGATATCTACACCGAGCTCAAGAGCATTAGTTGCAACAATACCGAGTAAGTGTCCCGAAAAAGCTTCATGTTCAATGCGGCGCCGATCCTATGAATCCCTAAGAACTACATCGCCGGGAGTACACAATACTGACCTCCTGAGAGTACCCTAAATATATAATGTGATGAGTTGCAGATCAATCAGATGCCCAAAACAAAGATTGACCTCCTCTGTAAGGCATGACCTTCGCAAGAACATCTAAACGTCCCTCAGCACTAAGCTGTTTGCGCAGGGTTTTCATCGCCTTTAGTCAACGTCAATCCCAAGTCAACTCAAAATTAAGGGGCATCCTGCTCACCAACTCGCACGCTTTTCGAAACTAAATTTGCCTAAGCCTCTGAAGTCCAGTTAAGCCAAAAGTATGGTACAGACCTTGCAGAATAGAATGACTCGAACACCACGCATCATCAGAAATATCATGAGGTTGATGGCCTCACACATTGGCCTCGATTGTCCGAGTTTTGCAACCCCAGGATCCTGATTCTTCATACTAGGAGGATCCCAGACTAAGTAATCCTTCTTGCCAGATGGAGCGCCATCCTCAACGATTTCTTCCACGTCCTGCAAGAGATTGTTGAAACGGGACACACTGAGGAGTGTAAGAGAGCATACCTCGACCCCGAAAAGGCGTTTCATATGCTGACTTGGCTTCGATATCGTGGCGCTACATGATACAAATATAACTCGCTGGTCTGGCCAAAATTTGGTCAAAAAATGAGGGAGGCGCCATGCAACTGGAACATACTCCCTACAGCTGCACAGATCCTGCGGAAACGGCGGATGATCTGAGCAACATGACTTGGAAGCTTTATGAGACTGGAATTAAATCGTGCATCCATGAATCTTACCTCCCAAATAAATTGGAATAGTAATGCAGTTCGTCGACTGCTACGAGTTTGAGGTTTTTCATGAAGCTTTGGATAATACGTCAATGTTAGTGTGAAATGAAAATGAAAAAGCTCACGTCCGCCAATGCTCCTCATGAGGTAGAATAGAAGTGTGCAACATGTCCTTGATGGTACTATCAGAAAGTTCGATGATACTCACTTATGCATACCTACAAAGTTGGTAAAGATGACGGAGGAAGTCTCCCGAATAGCTGAAGAAATTCATCAATTGCCATGCGCAAAATGCAGGAAGCTTACTTCTCCGGTGATCCTGCGGGGTATCCCCATCATACGTCGCTACCTTAATATGCTGCAGTCCGGGGCAGGCCCATAGCAACTGCTCCAGCGCAGTACGTTGATCCTGAGCTAAAGCCTGAAGAACATATCATAAGATGCGGGCACCTTGTTCAATCGAGGACAAACCTTGGTGGGGTATATAAATATGGCTGTGGAATTAGAATTGTCTTCTAGAAACTTCAGTAAAGGAACCTGAAAACAATGTTTTTTCAGTTCAGAATTTCCAGAAGTTGTTCTGCAGAAAGCACCTGATAAATCACACTCTTGCCTGACGCAGTACTGGTCGAAACAATGACATGGTTCCTCCGCGCAATAGCGTTGATGGCGGCAGTTTGATGGCAATATAGCGAGGTTATATTTCGCGACTCTCGCAATGCTTGTTGTATTGTATGTGAAAGAGGCTCATCCAGCAATCCTGAATGCAAGTTGTCAGAAACAAGAAGCATTGTGAAAAACCTTGCTACCTTCAATAGCTTCCTTCTCCTTGATTGTCCGCCGGTCGGCAATTTGGATTTTATACCATTGTTGTTGTTGAATTTCTAGTATTATGTCGTCAATAGAGGGCCGGTCTTTAGGTTCGGGTATTATCAGATTCTGGAGGTCACTGGTGGCTAGGGCTTTCTTTGCGGAAGGGTTTACGGGGATGTGGTCTCTTGCTGCTGCTTGAAGCAAATCCGCGGATACCTCTCCCTCTGGAGTGGCCTTGATAAGCCTATATTTCGGGGTTAACAATAATAAAAGCAATATGCGTATGCATACTCGTCGACAGCATCTTTAAAGCGCTGGTTTCGTCTATCAACTAAACCACTGAATTGTGTGGGGATCATAGTTGGAGGGAGAGAGAAAAAGGTTTTGCGTCAGTCTGCATTCCATTACACCCAGACAACAAGGATAAAGCTGACTTTGTGGTCCTGCAAAGGTTCTCTGAAAATTCTAGTCGAAGGACATGCTCTTCCTCTTCATGACCTGGGAGTCGAGAGCTCGACGGTGTGTCAATGGCAAGAGTCTGTGAGTGAAGCGCGAAGTCAGGGCTGTTTGAACGTTTCTTCTGTTGAGAAACTGTCTCTCCATGTATGCGGAGGTCACTGTGAGGAATGTAAGCGAACTCGACGATATCCGGGAGAAGGGCTCTGTAGAATATGATTGTGATTATTCGGTTGAATCGTATAGTCTGCTCCACCTACTTGAGTTCGGCGACTTTAAACAGTTCGAGTGGTCTGCAGTCGTGTTTACTTAGTGATCACGATGCTTCCGGATGAGCAAACGAACCTTTTCAGAAGACCTTCGACGGAGGAACGAACCATAGGAAAAGTGGTTGCAAGATGCTTGCGGGAAGATAAAAATGCAAGAACTGTGTTCAATGCCTAATGTCTCATGTGAGTGTATTTCAGACAACCACATGTGGCAACTCGCCTTGAATATCTGCAACGACATGAAGACTCAGAAGAAATTTGTTGCATCAAATGGCATACCTTGAACAACTTGCGTATACAATTACTTAGCAGGAGAGTTCATCTATACAAATATTTGACTCACATCATGGAAATACTCAGGCCACTCTAATGTTTCCTTTCCCTTGCCTTGGTTCCTAGTACCTGTCGCACTCGAAACCTTCTGCCGTTTTGCTGCTTCATTGGCGGAACCCGCAGTTGAACGCTTCATACTTGCAAGTGCCGGAACGTTGAACTAATACGATTCGGTCTGCCTGAAAGTGGAGAGTAGACAAGTTTCTGTCACGTAGCGCGCCCCTAAACGCGTGACACCGCACATAAATTGCAACATTTGTCACACTTAGATCGTCACGCTCGCTTTCAAGTTTCCGGCAAACATTCAAGTAAGTCGGAATCCTTACATCTGAATCTGAATAAAACTTTAACTTGTACCAGATGTCCGCTATACCGCGTACTCTCCGAGTCGTTCCAAAGGCCTCTCTAAAGCCAGGAAGTAAAATTCTTCCACCACCGCTCACAAACCAGAATGAGCGTGCATTCAAAGAGCCTCTGCTCCGGATTATGGCTCGCAGGCAACAAGAAGCGGGTGATATATGGCCACCAAATTTGCGCATAGAGCCGCATGTTACGAAAAAAGCTATTGGAAAAGCGCCGGAGGAGATGCGCGTTCAGCTGAAGAGATTGTTGAAGGAACGGTGAACACTTAGCGTGGATGTGAGTTCCTCCCCCTCTTGCCTATCCTTATTTATGGATCGTTATCAGAGACACCTTGTGTCATATCGTGTTGTCTCCGCCGTTGCAGGACCCACTGCTCAATGTATTTATGAATAACATTTTAATAGTGCCCATGGTTTCATCATGCGGCTGCATTCTATTCTTCACCACAAATTTATTGTGAAGATAGGCGACGTCTCAAAAGAACGTGCGAATGCTTCTTCAACGTCGGATTTTTCAATGTGCATCCTGGCTATTCTGCGAGATCAACTAGTGCCAAGACAATGCTTTAGTCAAGTCGGACATATACAATTGGACTGGTGACCAGCGCAAACGTGAATACTTGCAGCTGCATGTAGGCCGGCAGCAAGTTAAGTGGTCCATGGGTAATAATATAGGTATACGCGCATACTACAGGTAGTGGGTCCAGGTAAAGGTAACAGTTCAGTTCGTGTCTACACTTGCAGCCGCAACTGATAGCCTCCCTGCTTCAAACGTCTTCTCCAAGAGTTCATTGAACCTTGTCTTCCACTGCGCCGAAATTCCATGGCCCGTCCCCTCCCACCAATGAAACTCGGCCTCGGGCATATGACGATGTAGGTGGCGACTGTCAGAACTACGTATTACATCATCCTGGTCGCCTGTTAGGATGACAACTTTAGGTATCGATGAGGATATCTTGCGCAGTCGCGCGGGTGAGACATAGTGAGTGAGCCCTGCATACATTTGTGACAAAGCACCTATGGGTGTTTGGGGCCGGGTGATCTTCAGACGCCAATGGTAAAACTTGCAGAAGATGAAGTCAGTCACTGATGCACCATAAACGTATCACCGTACTGACAGACGACTGGACTTCTAAGTTGGTCCTTCCCTCTGGGTCATCTTTGGCCTTCTCCGCTAGCCATGCTCGGGGGTATAGCATATCCATTAGGATGGGAACCTTTACGTCAGGGTCTCCTGTCATCAACAGCCTACGCATGAAAGTAATTAGCAGGTAGGCTCAGAGGGCGCATCGTATCTAACCTTGCCAGTGACGTAGAACCTTTCCACTGGAGGAATTCAGCACAGATTTCATTAGTTACAGATAAATTAGAAGACCTACAGGTGGCATATTCAGCCAGAATTGACCGCCCGCGGTGGTGACAATGAGGCTCAGGGAAATTATTCTATCGGGTATACGATCTGCAAGCTCTTAAGATGCGACATGAGAACCACAAATCGATTTGAAAGACTACAACGATACCTTGTGATATCATTCCGCCCATTGAGATGCCTACAACGTGAATGCTACGTTCTTCGTTCCATTTCAGATAGTCGAGTAATGTTATGACGTCCTCGGCCATGCCGCTCGTTCTATGACCCGGAAAGAATTGATATGCATATCAACCGGGATAAACTGAAAACATACGTGTACGGACCCCTCGGAGTACCACTCATACCCACACCGCGATTGTCGAAAACTAGTACCGAGTACTGGGGAAGTCTCCCGAAGTACTCGACCTGAGATAACCATCCAAAGGATGTGCTATTGACGCTGCAAGGAATCCTGGTAAAACTACAGTAGAGCTTAGACACGTTGAACCTACCCCATGATAAAGACGACCTTCTCAGGTCCAGTGCCGTGTTGCTCATAGTACAAAGAATGGCTCTCAAGCGGACCTCCCTGTTTGCGAATCTGTGTTACAGGACAAAGACCTCTGCGAGTGCATGTGTCGGGGTCGAAAAGTGTCTCATATTCGGGGCCCAAAACCTGGTCGTGCGCTGGCGACATGGTGGTTTGGGAAGTGACTGATGTTACGGCGGTATCCATGACTATTATAAGTTGAACAAAGAAAGCATATTAGGCTCACGGACCTTGAGAGTAGCTGGCTCAGCCTGGCTGTACCTTATTAGCTATACCATGTTCGGAAACATGGTTGGTTTACATAATCACATCTGAAGCTTGTGCGTGTTCGGTATCAACGTTGTCAACAGCAGCCTGCCAGCGTCGCCGATCTTCACTGGCAGCCAGTGACGATCCCTTCCATCTGCTTTTGCGAAAGTGCATACAAGACATATCATCGTTACATAGCCCTTGGAGACTTTCGCAGTCCAATTCAAGCTTCCCTAATGACTCAACCACGACCCCCAACGTTCATCTCCGGGTGTAAGTCGTACTACCAGATCACTTGGTTCGCCCGATGCTAAGCGGTACTTTTAGTTCCAGCCAGGATGCTTGCTGTGTTCCCACTTCTCGCATTAGCAACAGCTTACATCCTGTTCGTCCGGTGTCTCTACGGCAATGGCCTGGTTTCAAAACTTCACGCAGTATGTGGCGCGCCTGTAGACGGGGGATTGTTCCCAATGCGCACTACATATACCAATATCCCCGCTCTCGACTCCAAACTCTGCGCCATCGTTACCTTTTATCATGGCTTGATGAACCCGACTTATCAACCTCTTCTAATCCTCATGTCCACCACGCTTTCCGCAATCGCCATCATCCCTTTTGCAGAAGCCACTCGTGAATATCATCCTAAGCGACTCAGGATGCCTGCGACTATCGGCATGGTTTTTCAGCTCTGCAGCTGTGGAGTGATCATGCCGATTTATTGGTTTGCCTTCGCTCTGACTGGTGGTACAGCCCGTCGTGGTGATAGAATCAATCAAGGGAACGCAGAAGCACTTTTATTTGCCCTTGTTGCTGGCTATGCTATCCCCACCTTTTGCATGGTGGTTTTGGAAGACCCGGTTGTGACTGCAATGTGGCAGATCTTCCCATTATACATGAAAGTCGCCCATTGGGCGCACTGCAAAATACGACCACCCTCACAACACACTGGATCGGGATACGGCACTGTGCAAGCCATGTACATGCTTGTATACGTCGCCTCCGCTTATTTGCACGTCGCGCACATCTGGCCTATCTTCAACAGTTCAGCGCTCTTCCAAAAACTTATAATGCCCCCTATGGCTCCTTTGGACCCATCAGCAACATCTATTGCTGAAGGTGCAGCGGCGTTCCTGAAGTGGGATATGGCAATTGGAATCGGCTCGACTATTTTGATAACACTGTGGTTCGCTAAAAGTCTAACAGGCTTAATGGTGTTGATTTTGTGGCACGCGTCAGCTACTTTCATAGTGGGACCTGGAGCTGCAATTGCCGGAGTAATGATGTGGAGAGAAGCAACAATCAATGCACAGGCTATCACCAATGCTGCAGAGAAAGCTCGATGATGATGATGATGATGATGGTAGTCGTTCGAGACCTACATTCTGTAATATGTATATACATCTTGATTATCTTGAGTAGCTTTGAGACATTGTGTAGAATGGGCAGCAGATTTGAAAAGGCTTATGTACGGCCTCACAGCAAAGGTATGTAGATGTCATTCACGAGAACATACAATACAGGATTACTGTCCAGAGGGCTGATCTGCCCTCGTTGCCATTGCTGCTTGACCAGCTGCAGTTGCCGCCAGCCTTGACCGTTTCCTTTCGGCCTCTGAGTGCAGCAATCAGTGATCATTGACATTAACATTGAAAATTTGCATTCGGAAGACATACCAGCTTCTTTCTCCCGCTCGATCTCAGCGACAATTGCTTCGATCTCAGGTAGTTCCAAGTGCTACCAAGTTCGTCAGAGACCAATGAATGACATGAAATAAGATGGGATCGAACCGTGACTTTGCCATAGCTTTCCATGACGCTGATCTCAATGTTTTTCGCTCCTGTTTGCACGACTTCGAGAAGACTTTTGACCGTCAGCTTTATGCTTTCTTCGCGAGTCATGCCATCTTTGTGATTTTTCTCGAGGAATTCGCGGACTGTTTTCGATGACCGACCAATTGCATTGGCCTGTAAAGGAAGGTAGAATGTTGAACCGTGTACGATACAAGGGAGAATTTGACTAACCTTCCATGCACTATAGATGCCACTCGGCTCAGTCTGGTACAGTCTTGGTCGCGAATCATGTGGATCAAATCCGATGATCAATGTTGAGATACCAAATGGTCGTACACCACCGGATTGCGTGTATTTCTGGGGGAGGCCGGGATGAGGGCAAATACCCTGTCAGCAGCAATCGATTACTGACCTGTTGTATACCAGCAATGTGTCTTGTTATATACTCTACTGTGACAGGATCCTCTACAGTCAGTCGATGACTTTGACATTCTATCCGCGCTTTGTCGATGAGGACTCTGCCGTCCGCGGTCAAGCCTGCATGATGCAAGATCAAATAATGCGGTCGAGCGGGATATGAAAAGCGCACCAGCAAATGCAAGGCAAATGTGATCATCAAGCATCACGACCTTTCTAACGGTACGGGGGTCTTGGAGTTGCAGGACGGATTTCTTTTCGACGCCAAGAACGACCACATCATTACCCCGAACACCGACCTACGACGGACAATTACCACTGCCATTAGGCTAAATGACGTCAAGGTCTTACAGCACATGTTCCTTTGCGAACAGCTTCGAGGGCGTACTCAACCTATCGAACAGATGAGGTGATATCACGGTCATTGAGACGCGACTTGACTGACCTGAAACAAGTGACCATCCGGAGAGAAGACGGTGAGTGCTATGCAGATATCAGTCGCTGTACTGGTCAGCTTCAGCATGTCAGAGACGCACCGCGATCGTATGACCTGGACATGGCTGCAAGCAAGTAATGGATGTGATCTACAGAGGAGGTGATACGAAGTCTTACTTATGTGCTTGAACGCGCGTCGAGGCTGGCGTACGTTCGCTTAGTAAGCGTATCCATTTATGTCGAATACGTCGGTCTATTGACCACTACCACCTTAAAGTGCTTAAGTTAAAGTACTTGCGCGCGCGACGCGGATGGACTCGGACGATGAGGTACAAATTATGGGTGAGAGCAGCTCACGGCCGTCGTGAGTGAAGTCAGTCTACCATCATCCTCGCAAGCTTACTGCACCACCAGCCATGTTGGCCCAACCCTGTGCCAGTTGTGTGACATGAACTTCGACTCCGAGAATCTCAGCGAACTTCAACGCCATCAGCATTATGAAGCACACTTCAACCCCAGCTCTAGTAGTATGCGTCCGGCATGTTTCATACTCCCCGTTCTCACTTGTTTGATAGAACAACCATCTAGTAATAAGTTCAGGAAGCCAACGATACCCAAAGACTTGTTCAAACCCCACAGCTACCCACTGCAACTGAGAAAGAAACCTGCAGATGACTTTTGGTATCCGACTTTGTCGAGACCGCCACCTGACAACTGCACCCCAGGTATGCCTGTCAGAATTCACATGAGCCGTGTCCCTGAGGATAAGTACATCAGGCTTGATCCCGCTCTTGAAGCACGCTTTGAAGAAATCTCATACCAAAGGAAACACCCGTCGAGCTGTTCTCTGTTGTGAATCGGCTACGCATATTAGTGTCGAAGCATTCGATCGCCGATGGGGATGCGGGTAGGTATCACACCGGCCACTGTCCCCTATCCGACTGACGCGTTGTCTCAGATATCGCAATTTCCTCATGGCATGTGCCGCGCTCATGGACCAGCAAATTCAGAGCATATATTTTGCATTACTAGATGATCCCTTTCCCCCCAGTGTTCGCAATCTGCAACGTTGGATGGAAGCTGCGTGGAAGGAAGGTACAACTGTCCACATATGAAAGTTCATTATGATACTGAGCTACCCTTGGCAGGTTATGATCGTGAAGGTGCCAAAGACCTAGGGAACAAATTGGTAGAAACAAACAAATGGATTGGTACAGGAGGTATGCCCAAAACACTGCTCCTCAGGATCTCGATTGATTCAAAAGTGCGCTTTCAGAACTCTATACCGCGTTCACATCTCGCGCAGTCCCGTACGTCATTAACTCTTTGTAAGACAACGTCCTGAGTCTCTATACAGCTCACAGCTGATAGATTTTGATCTCTCAAAAAGCGAGAAAGGTGACTTCCAGTTTTACATTGGCAATTATCAGACTTATCCTGCTGACAGGGATTCAAGTTATGATAGACTGGATTGTCCAGTACTTTTCGCCGCCAAATCCAAATCAGGGCACGGTGACTGATGTCCTCCGCGGTGCTTCACCTGTGGTTGCGACGGATAAAATGCCTCTGGTTCTGCAGTTCAGTGGACATTCTCAAACAATCGTTGGATACGAGATCTCAAAGAATGGGGATACGAATCTTCTCGTGTTTGACCCTTCAAGGTGATATTACCGTTGTGAATAGGCGGAGACACTGATGTGATGTCTCCAAGGCCCCCGAGACTCAGTGTGCGTCGAGCTGCAATAGCTGGACCTTCCTCTGTTGTATGGGAACAGTCGCGGACCAACCAAGTGCTGCATTCTGTCATGCATCCAACATCTAACGGACGTTCCTCGAAGCTGAAACGTCCTTCATCATCTTCTGATCTGCGACAGCACAAACGAACCAAATCATTTGAGTCAGACGATGAAATCATGGTCGTGGAAAACGTTAATGACACGCCCAAGAATGACCATGGATCGGGCATTTCTCCAGGTCAAACACAGCTATCCACGCTTGACCCTGCTAATGTCGTGAATCATTTTCGGCTTAGCATGTCTAAATTGCAGTGCGTGTTCTTTTTCTGGACGGACCATGCGGACTCAGTGACAGTTCTCAGGCGCAAGAAAGACTACCAGATACTGTACTTCCCCATGACTGATCCATGGTCTATTGAAGAACGCAACAAGCGAAAGGTTGTGAGGAGTATCTTGGGTTGTTGATTTTTCTTGATTTAGCCCCATGCGCATGTTTCCCCTTGTTTTATTTACATTACACCCCATAATTTGACATGTTTTTGATCACCCATTTGCACAGGATACGTGGATGGTGGGGCATGACCAAGTAAATTCAAGCGAGATGAACGTCACACGTTCAATAGGAAAACGCCTTCTACAAAACACACTTTGCTCAGATGAAGTGTGAGACACTAGTACCATAGCATCGAAACGTTTCGGATTGTTTCCGTCCCCGCATCCATTTGGGCGTGCCTAAATCTGTCGAGTTCTGCCTCCTTCAGGGGACTCACTCTCGTGTATGCATATAGCATTTCCCCTAAGCCCCAATTCGTCTTGACAGCAGTGACTCGCCATAAAACGCGTCACTCCGCAGATCGGACAAATTGCCATAGCATCGGTCGGGATGGTGTTACATCGGCGGCATCTCATCACATCATAAACAGGATATGCCTTCCTAGCGCTGCCCTGCATCATTATACAGGATATCATCACCTCGCACAAATAATGCGTTCCTCCTTCCTTTGCGTCGTTGCTGCTTTGACAGTATCTATGTCTGTCACTGCATGTGCGCCCCGATTCTCGTCTTGTAGCACCTCATACGATTGCTGCACTGACCTTATTTGTATGAAGGACTTGGATGTGAGTATGAGCTTTACGTCCAGAATTCCATCCCATGATTCATCCTTTGCCTTGTAATACCAATAGCCTACCAGTGATTACTGCGATTATCCCAATTCCCGTTGAGCTGGCAGACTGAAGGACACGTCGCGGCAGTGAGTCACATTTCTGCTTTGGCATCGGAATGCTATTGGCGTGCTGTGATTAATGGCACAATACGTAGGTCCTCGCTGAGTTAATTAACATGATTGTCTTTGGAGTCTGGACGTATGTCCCGCCACTCGGGGATTTATTAGACCGATGCGATACAAATGCCTAGAGGAATTATTTCCGTACAGGTGCTGTTAAGCTATGCATGAAAACACGTCCGAGTTCCCAGTTCTTCGAAAGCCATGCAATTATATGATTGAATCGGACCAAGCCAATGCCAGCCAAAGGATTGTCTCTGAATCAAAGCATTTGTCGGTTCTGTTCACCGTTCACTTGACATATGTATGCACATTCAAATTGCATGCATTCCTGTGTCAGTCTCGTTTAATTCGTGATTCCCATTGAAAGGATGAACTCGACAAATTGAAGTTGACGTTTGTGGGAAGCACGACAATGCACACGGCACTCTTAGTGCTGGTCTCAAGGCGATCGATAATCTCGCGTTGGGCTGTTTCTCGTTCCTCGCGCTCTATCTCCTGTTCTCTTCGCAGCTCGAGTGTACGTTGTTCTTTCTCCTGGCGTTCTAGTTCTTCTTGCTCCTTCAATGCTTGTGCGTATTGTTATTGTTCTTCGCGGTGAAGGTTGAGTTCTATAAGTGCTGCGTTTTCTTGCCGATGAGCGAGTATCCGAGCTTCAGTTTGGGGAATGTCGACGTCGTTAATAAGGTTGAAAGCTTGATAGCATAAGCGCGGTGTACATTGTCGAACAAAAGGCACTCACTGATATCTTCCACTTCTTCAAGATAATCGTTGTAGGCGTGAAGGTCGAAGAAGTCTTCGCGTCGTTTGTTGAATCTGGCCATTCGTAATGACGTTCAGTTCTTGATACAAATATACGATTACTCACTCCTTGGCTATTCGCCTGCGCACGGCGATTTCTTTTTCCACAGTAAGGTCCTCAAAAGTCTGGGGAGTGAATGCAAGCTTTCGTAGGACCTTCTGGCAGATAGGACATGGGGCGGGTCCTAAAGTGAACAAGCGGTCGATGCACGACTCGCACCTACAAAATATTTGCATCAGCTTGTGTTTTTATGCGAACCGAGATGCACACATTTTATGGTAACAAGAGCTGACCAGAAGACGAAGCTTGGGATTCAAGTACCGATCAGACTTGCACACAGGGCATTGGTCGTCCATAGACTATTGATTCCATAGCATGTTAGTGAGTGAGGTCGACGGATAGAGACCACGACGCACGAAGTATTCGGTGGTTCGGCCAGATGCATCTTTCACGCCCCCGCTAAAAAGGGTCGAGGATGTGCTCTGAACTTGAGGTGTGCTGGAGCGAGCGGTGTGTGTTGGATGTTAGCCTTCCAACCCAGGACTGCGCCATCCAAGAGTAGGGATTCAGGGAATTTGGGTGGGCTAATTTGCCCTGCTAATTTACCGTGAATGACAGGGTGAACCACCATACTGCTGCCCGATGCATCACTACTAGTCACTGACAGGCAATCCAGTGTTGTCGACCCTATTCGCAATGTTAGTCTGCTCTGTTCACTTATGTAATACCCAAATTTGGGGCAGTGGCTCCACGTGAATGGACTACAATGCGTCACATGTAGAAACAAATTTATCTAACAGTATATAAGCTCGTATATCCAGAGGCTCGGTGTCTAAGCTTAAGAACGGAGGGACGCAAGAAGGGAGGGGCGCGAGAAGGGGGGGAGGCGAGAAGGGAGGGGGGCGAGACGGGAGGAATGCGAGAAGGGAGGGATCCACGCGAGAAAGGAGGGATGTGAGCAGAAGGGAAGCATGCCAGTGTGAGTCCTTTCCTTGTGAATTATTTGAGGACGTCCGTTGGATGTCCGTTCCTTGTTTTCTCAGGATTTGACCGAGTGATAACAGGGTACCCACAACTCTTGTGGTATATACTAGACCTAGACTTCAACGCACCGTCTTCCTAGGTTGAAGTACATATTAGACAAGCAGATCCATCTAACGATGTTCGACGACGGACCTGGACTTTACTTGGCCACATTAGCATGGGCGGTAGCTGTTTTAAGCTGTTGCCGAAAATATTGGCTCGATCGTTCTCGTCCTCCCCTGCCGCCTGGTCCAACCCCCCTTCCGATAGTGGGAAATGTTCTCAGTCTTGACACTGCTCAGCCTTGGCTCACTTTCAATGCCTGGAGATCCACATATGGTTGGGACATCTTAACGGAGATCTGTTCGTAATCGACTCATGCTTTCTCTAGGTGATATCGTATATGCTCGTCTGCTCAACAAACCTGTCATTGTGATAAACTCTGAGGAGGTTGCCAAAGACCTCTTTGAGAGGCGCTCCGCTATATATTCGGATAAACCCCAATCCATTGTTTACGAATCGTAAGTTACATCTTTGAGTATTGCTACGCATTGATTACCAGGGTGTTGTCAGCTTTGCTTCGGACTTCAACGCAGGGCTCATGCCACATGGAGACAGGTAAGATATTGTCGTATGCTTTGTTGGTGTGCCTGATGTCCGGCAGGTGGCGCCTACACCGACGCATTTTTCATCAGGCATTTCGTCAAACCGAGACACCCACTTATCACGCCGTGCAAATCCGTTGCGCCCACAAAATGTTGTTCAGTTTTCTACAAGACCCTGGAAATTATCTAAGCCATGTTCGAATGTCGGTTGCAACAGTATGTTCTGGTTTCTGCTCAGGCTGATTTTCATCAGGTTCTCTGCTTCATTCATAATGTCTATTGTGTATGATTATGAACCAAAAGCCAAGGATGACCCCATCGTCCACGTCATGCAAAGGTATTTGGATGTGATAACCGCAGCTTTGACACCAGGTGCTACTGCGATAATGGAAACGTTCCCTTTCCGTATGTCCGCGTGTGCCAATGATGGCTGTCATTACATATTAATGATCGTTCCAGTTTTGAAGATACCCTGCTGGTTTCCTGGTGCGACATTCAAGCGAGCATCAGTGCAGTGTCTCGACGCAGGCCATGATGTAAAGGAGATACCCTTTCAACGTGTCAAAGAGAGGATGGTAAATCTCGCCATCCATAGAGGTACAACGAACTTACGAACCGCATACAGTCTACCGGCGACGTGGCTCCATGCTTTGTGACCAAGAGTTTGAACAGGATGAAGCTTTCTGAAAAGGATGGCGTAGACACTACAACTGCAATCAAGGAGGCTGCTGTCATTGCATTTGCAGGTACCCAAGCTGCAGAAATTCTCCCATCGATGTTCATTTTTCTTTATTTTCAGGGGGGGTTGAAACGGTATGTATTGCTTTTCTTTGTGTTTGCCATGGTAAACGCTTTTCCATCGGCTCAGACTACTTCCACGTTGCTTGTATTCCTTCTTGCTATGGTACTCCACCCAGAGGCACAAGCCAAAGCGCACGCGGAGATTGATCGAGTCGTTGGCAAAGATAGACTCCCCGATTTCGACGATAGGCCAGCGTTGCCTTACGTAGAAGCTATCTTGCGTGAAACACTCAGGTGGCACCCTGTGTTTCCGTTTGGTTTGTCCACCATAACACACTTTTTACGCCTTGTTCTGATGATGTACCAAGGCGCCCCGAACGCAACAACGACTAGTGATATCTACAAAGGTTATTTCATCCCCAAAGGTTGGTACCATATTAATCTCTACCGAAGGTCACTAATGACCGAGATTGTCAGGGGTTGTTATATTTACAAACGCATGGAAAGCCTGCAATACCTTTATACCGAATCTTCCCAAAATGACCAATGATTTAGGGCGATGACACATGATGAAACGAAGTACCCTAGTCCTGATGAATTCAAGCCCGAAAGATTTCTCCATGATGATGGGTCCCTTACCGGAGATACGATGCCTTTAGGCTTTGGCTGGGGTCGCCGCATCTGGTGAGCATATATTTGTGCTCCTTCACCCTTCGCTGAAAGCCGCCGGTCAGTGTGGGACGGCATGTCGCGGACGCATCACTCTGGATCGTGATCTCAAGCTTCCTGGCTGCTTTCTCGGTCCACAAGGCTCTTGATGAACACGGCATGGAAATCCCGGTCGTTCCAAAGTTTTCCACAGGGGTCGCTATGTTTGTAGAATCATGTCTGTCCCCGAGAGTAGTCTGCTGATCTCTTTTGATTTTAGTCATCCAGAGGAATTTCCCTGCCGCATTGTCCCGCGATTCGCCGATGCGTCCGTGAAGACACTGGCGCGCTTGACTGGCTTAGATCCGTCCGTCGACATCATCGCGTAATTAAAGTACTGTAGCAGAGCAAACGTGATCGTGGTGGTATAATAGGGTATCTATACCCAGTAGCCCCGTTCACTTGGCATATGTATACACATTCAAATTGCATGCATTCCTGTGTCAGTCTCGTTTAATTCGTGATTCCCATCAAAAGGATGAACTCGACAAATTGAAGTTGACGTTTGTGGGGGAGCACAACAATGCACACCGCGGAGAGTTGAGTAAGACCGGCATATCTAGAGGCGCTGAAATGCGCTATCACTTCTAAGTCATTCACTGGGCCTTCGACAAGGCCATCAGAAAACGGATGGACTCACGCCGTGACTTGAAACTCTCAGAGTCATCCCTCCCTGGCTGGAACTACAAAGCAATCGACTTCAGCGATAAGGGGAAGAGAACTAGAGCAGTTGAAGGCCACGATTCTTGTGATGATGATCGCTCCATAAATATAGACCTTGATGCTGCGTCGAACAGGATAGCTTGGATTCGTTAACATTTTTCACCGAGCCATTGCCGGATGAAAAAGAAATGATGCTGCCTGACTTCATGATTCTCCCGAAGGGACTTAGCTCGCACGGTGCTGCGCTGCATTTCATTGACGTGGTTGTTGTAGGATCCTGATTCATGTGGAGTGCATCGCCTACATTTTCGAGGTATTGTTCTGTAGTTTTCTTTGCTACGGGACTAGGCGGGCTCGATAAGGGGTGCAGTAGACGGGTAGATATATGAGGAGAGCGGTGCAGGGACAAGGAGTGACGAGGTGTCTATCTGAGACGCAGTGTTAGAATTGTCATAGCTGACCTGATACATCAATGCGGAACGGAGATTCAGGCGGATGCCATAACGACGTCAGTCAATCCAGGCGATGTGTTCAGTCCTGATAGTGGTGGTAAATCCAACCCAGCGACAGCGCATCTGAGGGCTCTGTCCCAAGCTTCCTCGACCCTGTACCCTCCCGCTCTCATAATTCCTTCACGATCCTTTCTCACTGCGTCACTGTACATATCATCGTACTGATCCCTGAGCGTATAGAGATCCTCGTAAGCATACCAATCGTCCTGCAGGGGGACGTGTGGCGGATCGGGAACGACAGTACTTTGAGCAGCTCGTGCACGCAGGAGCTGGGCATTGCTCCTTAGAACCGTGGTGGTAGTAGAGCGAGCGGAAGATCTCTTCATGGCTTCTGCGCGAGATTTGGCGATTACCTTGGCAGCACTCTTAGTGCTGGTCTCGAGGCGATCAATGATCTCGCGTTGGGCTGTTTCTCGTTCCTCGCGCTCTATCTCCTGTTCTCTTCGCAGCTCGAGTGTACGTTGTTCTTTCTCCTGGCGTTCTAGCTCTTCTTGTTCCTTCAATGCTTGTGCGTATTGTTCTTCGCGGTGAAGGTTGAGTTCTATAAGTGCTGCGTTTTCTTGCCGATGAGCGAGTATCCGAGCTTCAGTTTGGGGAATGTCGACGTCGTTGATAAGGTTGAAAGCTTGATAGCATAAGCGCGGTGTACACCGTCGAACATAAGGCACTCACTGATATCTTCCACTTCTTCAAGATAATCGTTGTAGGCGTGAAGGTCGAAGAAGTCTTCGCGTCGTTTGTTGAATCTGGCCGTTCGTAATGACGTTCAGTCCTTGATACAAATATATGATTACTCACTCCTTGGCTATTCGTCTGCGCACGGCGATTTCTTTTTCCACAGTAAGGTCCTCAAAAGTCTGGGGAGTGAATGCAAGCTTTCGTAGGACCTTTTGGCAGATAGGACATGGGGCGGGTCCTAAAGTGAACAAGCGGTCAATGCACGACTCGCACCTACAAAATATTGGCATCAGCTTGTGTTTTTATGCGGACCGGGATGCACACATTTTATGGTAACAAGAGCTGACCAGAAGACGAAGTTTGGGATTCAAGTACCGATCAGACTTGCACACAGGGCATTGGTCGTCCATAGACTATTGATTCCATAGCATGTTAGTGAGTGAGGTCGACGGATAGAGACCACGACGCACGAAGTATTCGGTGGTTCGGCCAGATGCATCTTTAACGCCCCCGCTGAAAAGGGTCGAGGATGTGCTCTGAACTTGAGGTGTGCTGGAGCGAGCGGTGTGTGCGTTGGATGTTATGCCGCCTTTCCGAATGGTCTTTCCCTTCAACCAGCCACCTACGTTCGCGCGATTTGACATGTTGTCAATGTTGTGCCACTTGGCTGGAGGGTGTTTCAGTACAAAGTGCTGCACGTCAAGGTTTGACACGTGCATTTCATTTTATACACAGGGGTCCCAGTACAACTACTAAGTCTACTAGTACTTCCTCCCAGACGACCACAGTCAGTCATGCTACTATGCAGTATCTACCTAGATAGAGACGCATAAAGTACAATTGTATAGTTGGGTATTTCCTCTTCCATTAGATCAAGTTGACATCCCTGCATAGAATTCAAAAGGCTCGCCTGTTGGAGTCACCTTGGCCCTAGTAAGGGCCAAGGCAGCCACAAATCTATGGGAAGACGTTTGTTCATTATGGTCAGGGCTCTACCCCAAGCGCTGACGCGGCACTGCACGGTACTCACTGAAATAAGAATTATAGAACGCTTGCGTTCATCGGTCAGACCTACGGTGTTGTCTAGGAATGTCAAACGTTGAGCAGACGTTGTTTCGTTCAGTCAACGGTCGCGCTGAACGTTAGAGCTGAGCCAAGCGCCTGCACTGGATCGAGGACCCAAAAAGGCTAAAAGTAATATAAAACAGAATGAAGCCGAACGCTCGCTCAGTTACACGTCACGGGGCAACCGCCGGGGCAACGCTTGTCAAGATATTCGAGTTCTGTGAACTTCTGTCTCAGCAACCGTCGTACCCTACTTAGAACCCGCACTCACGCCCAGGCCATCATCCTTCCTTTCTCTTCTCATCCAGTCCCTGCTTTACCAGTAATACACAGGGCCTATCTGTACACCTTTTACCTCCTTCAGAGCTTGCCCTCCTCTCAACATTCATTTATCATATCCTTGTATTGATTCTCCACCAAACTTTTGCGATTACACCCCCGGCAGGGTGGAAGAGAAACCATTAGTCTTTTTGTTTTTGGGTCCGTCGTTTTGTTTCCGTCCTCCTCTATTAACACACCTTAACATGTATCCCTTCATATCTTGCTCCAGTGAAAGGATGCACAATTCTGTAACGCAATCATCCCATTCGACTTCATCCGTCGCCCCAGGTGTTGCAGCTGGCATCTCTGTTGATCCCAGATTTTTCCGTGAATCAGCGGCCATGATTGGCCAAGGGCCTATCACCCCTCCCATCTCTCCAGGTCACAACGAAGATGATACCGCAAATGCGATGGCTCTGGATAAACAAGCACCCACAAATTATCCCCCAGATCAAGTTCAACGCCCTTCCTTTACCGGCAGCACTTCTACTCCAATGTGGCAGCAGCCACAGGTTCCTGTCTTAGCTCCACAACCTAGGTCACCCGCAAGACCACCTGCGAGGTTGTTAGAGGATGAAGCAGTTCATGTAGAGAGGCGGGGTGTGCTTAGGCTGCTCGATCTCGAGGTCAAAGGCGCTCTCGGTTTGTGACTGCGTCTTCCCAAGATCAACATTCCCTTATTGTCATTTGCAGGTACCGGTACTTTTGGGAGAGTGTTCCTAGTCCGCCTCAAGACAGCAACTTCAGGGTCTCAAAATATTTTTGCAATGAAAGTGTTGCGCAAAACCGAGATTGTGCGCCTCCGGCAGGTTGAACACGTCAACGCAGAGCGCTACATTCTTTCACGTGTGCGCCATCCATTCGTAGTGGACCTATTTGCAACATTTCAAGACAGTCTCAACATTTACATGTTGATGTCTTATGTTCCTGGTGGTGAACTGTTCACCCATCTCCGACGGGCGGGCCGTTTCACTCCCGACGTCACCCGGTTCTATCTCGCTAACATTATCCTCGCCCTCCAGTATTTACACTCCTTTAACATCATATATCGTGATCTCAAGCCCGAAAATCTACTCCTGGACTCTCGAGGCTATCTACGACTCACCGACTTTGGATTTGCGAAGATTGTCGACGACCGTACTTGGACTCTTTGTGGTACGCCTGAGTACCTTGCCCCAGAAATCATCCAGTCAGACGGTCACGGAAAGGCCGCGGATTGGTGGGCATGTGGTGTCTTGTGCTACGAGATGCTGGTCGGCTACCCACCATTCTTTGATGAGACCGCTTATGGTATCTACGAGAAAATTCTACGGGGCAATATTCACTGGCCACGCACCATGGATCGGCTCTCTAAAGAGCTTATCAGAGCGTTCTTACATCCTGACCGAAGTAAACGTCTTGGTAATATGATAGGTGGACCACAAGACATTCTCCATCATCCTTGGTTCCGAGGCGTTGATTGGGAAGCGTTGGAACGATGCGAGATCAAGGTGAGCATTATTAGCTACATCCAATTTTAATTTTTACCTCTCACCGATCAAAGGCACCGATCATCCCACACACGACGTCACTGGATGACACTCGTCATTTCTTGAATCTTCCTCACCCAACCCTCGAAGACATGCCCGGGCTCGTCATGGAAGAAGCCCCTACTCCTCTCCATCGACGCTTTGACCCTATAACGTACCAATTTCTTGAATTCTAATCCGAGATCCAGATTATTTATCCCAGCTCGATTTTCAGGCTGATCTATAGCATAAACATTTCTCCGTTGTCTCACCTGATTTCTCCTCTCTTTCACAGCCTCTTTCTGTGTCCTTAGTTACCCTTGCATAGGATATCATCGGTGAGCCACCCAACCGATACCCTCTGTTTTGTCGTTCTGCGATCCGTCTCGTATGTAGCTTTGATCCTGCCATATGCTGTATCATTCCTGTCGTGTTTGTATTGAACAACCGAACGTCTTGAAACTATTTATTTGATCTTGAACTCTCACCTGTAGATATGATTGGCTGTGTTTATTCAATGTAATCAGAGTTCGAATAAACAAAAACCTGTTTCATTCTGACAGATTCTGACAAATTGTCTGGCCTGGTTGTTTAGGCTTGTTGAATCCTAAAGACGTCGGCAAAGAGAACCAAACATCCGCCTTTAGTTTGCGACTTCTGCTGAAAGTAAATTTCCTAAAATCACCAATGGCTCGCAGACGCAAAAATCGCACACATTTGAAGGGCGCAGGGGCAACCGCACAGCACGCAAACGACGGTGCACCCAAGTCCTTCATCATAAAACATGGACAAGTAGGTACTTCTGTCACCCAGCTCGTTCGTGATCTACGAAAAGTTATGGAACCAAATACGGCGAGCCGTCTGAAGGTGAGTTTGATCAATCTTGTGTTTCAAACGCCTTTGAGCATCTGAATGCAGGAACGTAACCGTAACAAATTAAAAGATTACCTGATTATGGCTCCTACGCTGGGGGTCACGCATTTGCTCGCTCTTACTGTCACAGACGTCGCACCGTCACTGCGCATAATTCGACTTCCCGCGGGACCTTCTCTTAGCTTCCGCGTGGAACGATACAGCTTGATGAAAGATATCTTAAAAACTTCTCGATCCTCACGAAGCATGGGGATGGAGTATCTCACTGCCCCATTGGTAAGTGATATATCGTGACTTCGGTCATCTGTCTTATCCAACCATGATTATCTTTCCAGGTCGTCCTCTCTTCGTTCCCCCCACCCTCGCCAGAAACGCCCCCACATCTCCCACTGCTCATGAAATCCTTCCAATCTCTTTTCCCTCCATTATCCCCCAACTCGATGTCACTTTCCAACTGCCGTCGGATCGTCTTGATAGCATACAACCCCGACAGAGGAACCGTCGACTTCCGACACTATGTCATCACCGTAAAACCATACGGCGTCTCAAAGCGCGTCCGACGCGTACTCGAAGGCGCCCCCAAAAAAACATCAGCCAACTCCTCCAGTGGGTTCTTGGACCTTGGAAACGAGAAGGATGTTGCGGACTTCTTGCTTAGGAAAAGAGGGGAGCCTAGCCCAGGGATCGACGGGTATGAGTCTGCGGCATCATCAGCTTCGAGTGCTGCTGGTGATGACGGGGAGCCGGTGTCATTGGCGGATGATTATGTTGGTCGGAATAACAAGAAGGGGCAAAAGAAGGCTGTCCGACTAAGTGAAGTTGGCCCGAGGATGGAGCTGCGGCTGATCAAAATTTCTGAAGGCGTTCCAGGGAGGGAAGGTGCTGTGCTGTATCATGAATTTGGTGCGTTGCATATCAAGCATATCGCGATGCAAGGTAAACTGATCTTTTTATCACACAGTCAAAAAATCAAAGGCCGAAGCCGCTGCACTCAAGGCTTCTCATGTTGCCAAGGAGAGATTGCGAAAGCAGAGACGGGAGGAACAAGAAAGCAACGTGCAACGGAAGAAAGCAGAAAAAGAACAAGTGTCGCGGAAGAATCAAAAGAATTCTGATGAGGAAGCCTCTGAGGCTGGCGAATCTGGCGATGATGAATGGGATGAAGACGAGGAGATAAGTGAAGTGGGTGGCAGCGACGACGAGCACAGTGAAGCACCAGGGAGCGATGAAGAGGAAAGTGATGATGAACCCGAAGTGCGACCACCTACCAAGAAAGTTCGAATACGAGGGAAACGATGAACTGTGAAACAGGTTTCTCGTCGTGTCGGAATGTATTCACGCTTAAAAACTACGAGTGGGAGAATACAATGTAAGCTTGGAGAGCGGCATTTCCTAGAAGAATCAGGGGAATCACCTCTTCCGCTCGCAGCAGAGCAATCTGGCGATGCGATAGCTACTACCTTGGTAATGGTTGAATGTTCTAAGCCTCAAGAGTGTCTTGCTTTCAGAGGATATGCAAGAAGATTGTATTCACTGCGCGTACAGGCTCAATAAACGAAAATGAATGGAGGGGAATAAAACATATCAATGAAATAAACATAAATTGCAGAAATGTATCCGTAAATAAACTAAATGTACAGTCCATGATCGTACCAATGAAGGAGAAAACAAATCAAAAGAACTGTGTAGTATGGGTAATTGATGGATAGTGAAGGAAATCCGAAGGGACCAAGTTGGTCAACTAGGCGGACTATATGCGGGACTTTGAGACAGTGGCGGTGGCCTTCGACTTCCAGGTCGCGGTAGACAGTGGAGGAGGCCGCTTTGTCGTTTGGCGCGTCGTCGAGATTTGGTCGTAGGGGACCTTTGACTCATCGAAGACTTGCGAAAGGTTGGGTGCGTAGTATGTGCGGGGGCCTTCGACCTCGTGGATAATGACTCCATGTCGTAGGGGACAGCGAGGGAGGCCATTAGTAGGCGTCATCGGATTGGTCGTAGGGGACCTCTGATACCGAAGACGTGTTGGATGCGACGATGTCTGACACGTTTGGTCGTAGGGGACTCTAACAGCGAAACATTAGTAAGGGGAGTGAGAGTATATGGGTGGGCTACTTACCATTCGTGGACGTCGTGTGGAGTTTAGCGGCTAGTAGGATGTCGATAATGTGCTAGTAGTCGAAGTTTTGACGACTGCGAGGGACTACCGTCGAGAATACGAGGTTCCACATGTCGAAGTATGGCGTTGATAGCATCGTCGTGTAGGGTGAGTCGTAGTTGAAATTTCGAGGATCAAGAACGGCTATCGTCGCGTAAGATGCAATGCGGAGTAAGTGTCGAGGAATGAGAGTATAATGGGGGTTATCGTCGAGAGTAAGCGCTTCCATCTTTTGAAGTAAATCGTCGATAGTGTCGTCGTGAAGGGTAGTAAGAGCGTCTGGTTTTTGCAGTAGAGCATTGATAGCGTGCTTGTTGTCGAGAGTCAGAGCTTCTGTGTTATCAGGCAGCGTGTCGATAGCGTGGTCGTCGTCGGGGGTAAGAGCTTCTGATTTTTGCAGTAGAGCGTCGAAAGCGTGATTGTCGTCGGGAGTAAGAGCTTCTGTGTTGTCGATAGCGTGGTTGTCGTCGAGAGAAAGATATTCTAATTGTTGCAGTAGAGCGTCGAAAGCGTGATTGTCGTCGAGAGTAAGAGCTTCTGTGTTGTCGATAGCGTGGTCGTCGTCGAGAGTAAGAGCTTCTGATGTTGGCAGTACAGCGTCGATAGCGTGGTTGTCGTCGAGGGCAAGAGCTTTTGTGTTATTGGGTAGAGCGTCGATAGCGTGGTCGTGTAGAGCGTGATGCGGGCGAAGTGTCGATAATTGAGAAGGGACCTCATCAAGGGAAAGAGCTGCTATTTTTCTGATTAGATTGTCGATAGAGTGGTCGTGCACTAGAGTGCATTGGGGCTGACAAATCGATGACTGAGGGGAACCGTCAAGAGGAAGAATTACAGGTATGGTTGGCCGAAGCTTCGGAGGCTGAGATGAATCAGGTAGGATGTCGATAGCGTGGTCTTGTAGAGTGTGATGTCGTCCAATAGTTGAAAGTTGGGAGGGTACATTATCGAGAGAAAATTGAGAAGGTACATTGTCGAGAGAAGGAGATACATTGTCGAGGAGAGGAGACACGTCGTCGAGAGAAGGAATGGATAAATGATAGGACACATCGTCCGGGGAAAGAGTTGATAAATGAGACGGTACATCGTCGAGAGAAGAAATGGATAAATCGGAGGATACATTGTCGAGAGAAATGGCTGATAAGTTCGTGGGTACATTGTCGAGGGAAAGAGTAGATAAATGAGAAGATACATCGTCGAGAGAGGTGGATGATAAATGAAGAGATACATTGTCGAGAGAAATCGCTGATAAATGAGCGGGTACATCGTCGAGAGAAATAGCTGAAAATCTTCTGATTAGATTGTCGATAGATTGTGGGTCGTATCCGACGTGCAAAGTGTGGTCCGGTTCATCGTCTGCAAGGCAGTGCGCTGTAGCCTGGCAGTCGTCCTATAGACCCAAGCATTAGCAGATGGAAGTCAGAAAAATCACGCTGCTTCATACCTCGTAGAAAGTGCTTTCGTCAGCAAGCGACTCGACGTCTGAGATAGCTAACTCCTCATCGTGGGCTATGAGCGTCGTGTCAGAATCAGTCGTCGATAAGCCTTTGGTGGGAGCCTCAAAGGTGGGTTCGGTTGATTCAAACACTGCACACGACGAGGATGGCCGAGCTGGTGTTCCGAAAGCCTTGGTTGTCGAGATAGCGTCCGAAATGTTGCCTCCAGCAAAAGGTGCGTTGAGCCCAGCGGTATAGTCCTTGGGAGCAGGGACGCGTTGGAAATCGTCGCTGAGAAATTGTCGAGCAGCTTTAGCGGAGGCTTGAAGAAGGACGCCTGTCGAGAAGCAGACAGTGAATGTGACCAGGCTAACGGAGACCTCCTCTGATTCGGACACGACCTGAATAGTGTGGTCGATGACGATTTCTTTGAAAAACGAGGCTGTAAGATAGCCTTGCATAACAACACGCGCGGCGCGAGTCATGGTAGAAGTAGAGATCATAATGGCGAGTAAATGAAGGGGTGGGTCGTGAAGATATGCTGATGACGGTAATGGCGGGACTGACTGAGGGATATTGCAGCGACAAACACGCAATACTTATACTCCCAGTTTGAACCTTATTTGTACGCCAATGCACATTATCATTATCAACAAAGCCGATCGCGACGCGTTAGTCACGTGTTCAGAAATCAACCCTATATAAGTTCGGGGCACTGCGATGAACATCCTAAGTATCCCCCCGCCAACATGATAGGATTAGACTACGTACCAAAGACAAGGTGGGCTTGATTTAGATTAGGCTTGGTACTTCGTCAAGAGGAAGCTGGATCGATAATGGTCGTGATCAGCCCGCCGTTCCACATCATGATACCATAGGTATAAGTCCTATATGTATTCACAATTAGTAAAACCATGCAAGTAGGGGATTAAATATGCGTCTATGGATAATACTCATGACTGAGATGGGGTGCTGCTACTGTGAACACTTCCAAACCAGTCCTGCCAAATGTTCTCAGCTCTCATTTTCACCCCTTCCCAGTTGTCTAAGGCAGGCCGAACATCGAGATAAAAAGAGACATTATTTGACGATGACGGTCCTGCGCCCCGTCCAGTATAGAAGTCGATCACGTATCTAATTCGGGTTCCGCATCGTTCGACCACCCAGTCGTGACGATCGAAAGGAGCAGAGTACCTACAAAACGAAAATCAGCGTGCTTTGCGTGAACTGTGGCTGAATCACATACCCGAGCAAGGTCATGAGTCGAGCTTTTGGGGTCAGGTCATTAGGTCTGCCCTTGAAGTTTACAAGTTTCACTCCTCCACACTTTTCACCACCTCTCCCAGATTCCCATTTCATTAGCTCCGACCAAGCGCGTTCATTTACAGCATTATGAATAGGAATGATAGTCTTCATATCTGGAGCATGCGGGTTATGGTTTTTGCGCGCCATGGCAGCAAAAAATTGAGCCTCTGACGGGTATACCCAATTACCATTGTCTGTTCGGGGTATCGAAGAGACCTCCCGTTCAGTCGAGAGCGAAGATGCGTTGACTGGGTGCGCAGAGCTGCTCCCTGGCAAGATAGAGGACCACGTTGTACGAGATTTGTGGTCGACAGGACAGGACTCGTCTGAAGAATGACTGCCGTGGTCGACTGGACACTTGTCTGCCATGGCGGAAGTAAAGATAGCCTTGCTGAGTCATCAAGCTATGGTCGAATGAAATTGACGCGGCGGCACTGTCACAAATACTAGACAGCGAGAAAAAATCCGTTGGCTTATGCTAGCTACATGCATGGCCTTGCGAAGGAATGAGCGCTTGAGCATGTAACCTTGGCCGTATCAACCTTGGGCTTATTTCGGTGGCCCGTCACAGCCGCGTCACGCTACCACGCTGGTATCTCGCACGTGATTAGAATGACAGTAAATACTACTTCGCGCCTGGGTTTACGGCAATTCTGAGCCGGAGAGTGTGTTCCCGTGTACTACCGCAGTACTAGCGGTTTGGGTGCAACTTTACTCAAATGTGGAAGCTCTTTGGTTCCCATCCGCTTCTTCTTGTTTTGCCACTTCATCTTGTTTTGCCACTTCATCTTGTCTTGCCACTTCATCATGCCGTCCTCGCAGCCAGTGTTCTCGACGCCTCTCACCCGCCTCTTCAAGATTAATCATCCTGTCATGCTTGCAGGTGACTTTACTGTCTTATAGTTTTCATACCGATATTCATATGTCTGCAGGCATGAACGTCGCCGCGGGCCCCAAGCTGGCTGCAGCAGTGACTAATGCTGGTGGCATTGGTGTCATTGGCGGAGTTCGCCAGAGCCCCAAGATGCTCCAGCGATCCATTGATGAGCTCAAGAGTCATCTGGAAGATAAGACTGCGCCATTTGGTGTAGACCTCTTACTTCCTCAAGTGGGCGGAAGTGCTCGGAAGACAAATGTAAGTGCCTCTTCTGTTCAGAGACAGACATGTCTAACATAGGTCCTTAGTACGATTACACAAACGGTCAACTTAACGTGCTTTTGGACATCATCATAAACAGTGGAGCTGCACTTTTCGTTTCTGCTATAGGTGTCCCGCCTAAAGAAGCTGTTGATAAGCTTCACGCTGCTGGAATCCCGGTTATGAAGTATGTGTGTGTCGCAAGTGAAGTTGCAATGACTAAATCCATCTCAGCATGATCGGTCACCCAAAGGTAATATGCTCCCTAACGAGAACATGGCCTTTATGTGTCTAAACCGATGTTTATTAGCATGCTAAGAAAGCCCTCGAGCGAGGTGCGAAGCTCACTTAGCTCCAGTCCCGCTTGCTCACCATTCTTCTAGGTGTTGACATCATCTGCGCACAAGGTGGTGAAGGAGGTGGCCACACCGGCGAAACTCCATTCTCCATTCTGATACCCACCACTGTTGATATTTGCAAGAATGCCAAAAGCCCTTTAACAGGTGAGCCGGTCATCGTCATTGCTGCCGGAGGTATCGCGGATGGCCGTGGTCTCGCCGCCGCACTTTCGTGAGTACTTCCCACACATGCTTCGCTCGTTAGTGACATTTTCCCAATCCAGGTACGGTGCATCCGGTGTTTGGGTCGGCACCCGCTTTGTAGCTAGTATCGAGGCAGGTGCTCCTCCCAAACACAAGGAACTAGTTATCTCAGCTGGTTATGACGACACCGTCCGTACCGTCGTGTTCAGCGGTCGTCCGATGAGTGTGCGGAAGACTCCTTATGTGGAAGAATGGGAGACCACCCGACAAGGGGAAATTGCAAAGCTCATTGCACAGGGCCAAGTCCCGCACGAAGTCGAACTAGAGAATCATCCCGAGAGATCTGTAGAGGGGCGAATGTGTAAGGAAGGCTCGCTCGGATTGTTTTGCTCGGTCTTACATGTTCACATACGCAGGGTTGATGGGTAAGGTAGCAGGATCCATCAATGTACGTCAAACGAACATTTGGAAATGCGTTTGCTAATGGAACTTGAACAGGATATCAAGCCAGCAAAGGAGATGTAAGGTGGCCTGTTTCCGTTCTGGATTCTACTGACATCTTTGCCTATAGTGTCGATGAGCTGGTTGCAACAGCAGCTGCGAGCTTGAAAACAGCTTCGGCTCTTGTGACAAGCAAAGCGAAGTTATGAGTGACGACCTCACGGGCATATGGATTTATTGTAATTTATCGCAGTTGCGTATACCGCTGTAGAATCTTCAGTTTATACCTCAAACACAAATGGATTGCTAGGATGCTAGGATATCGGTCCACAAGAAATAGTCCTTGAATTGTACGTGTTTGCACAGCCGCAATTTACGGTCGTGGCATTTTCATCAGTTCTGGTCTTCCACGAGGCTCTTCGTCGCCTTCAAATCAGCTTTCACCATCTCCGTCACGAGGGAATCGAAGTCGACCTGGCGCTTCCATCCAAGGGTACGCTCGGCTTTGGCAGGGTTGCCTAGGAGAAGGCTGCATATAATCATGAGCATTTGATAGAAGAGGCACGATGAAGAAAACGTACTCGACTTCTGCGGGACGGAAGTACTGTGGGTCAACTTTGACTACCACCCGTCCGGTCTGTGCGTCATAGCCCTCTTCTTGCACGCCGGAATTGCGCCACCTACGTGAAATCAAGGACACGTTAAATGCGATGCACGTCAGGACGGAACGCGTACATTATTTTAACCCCGACAACTCCAAAGGCTTTCTCCACGAACTCTCGCACAGGGTGAGTCTCGCCTGTGGCAAGAACAAAATCATCGGGCGTAGGCTGCTGGAGCATGCGCCACATGCCCTCGACGTAGTCCTTGGCTATTAAACACATTATTTAACTGGAGACGGTGGAACTCGACAGAAGGAATCTTACCATGCCCCCAGTCTCTCTGCGCATCGATGTTACCGAGGTACAAGCAGTGTTGCTTGCCGACAGTAATATCCGCAACTGCCCTGGAAATTTTCCTCGTGACGAACGTCCTCCCTCGTCTCGGGCTCTCATGATTGAAAAGGATTCCGTTGCAGGCGTACATGCCGTACGCCTCGCGGTAGTTCACCGTGATCCAGTATGCGTAGAGCTTAGCGACACCATATGGGCTGCGAGGGTAGAAAGGCGTGGTCTCGCTCTGTGGGGTCTCGACGACCTTTCCATAGAGTTCTGAGGTTGAAGCCTGATAGAACCGCGTGTGCTTTTCGAGGCCGACGGTGCGGATGGCATCGAGGAGGCGTAGGGTGCCGAGGCCGTCGACATCGGCGGTGTATTCTGACATCTCGAAGGAAACCTTGACGTGCGATTGAGCACCAAGGTTGTAGATCTCTGATGGGAGAACCTGGGCGAGGACATAGACTAGGTTGGTGCTGTCGGAGAGATCGCCGTAGTGCAGCTTGAACTTGTTGGGTCCTGGGGTGAAATGGTCAATATACAGGTCATAGGATCCTACATGGACGCGTACGCTCGTGCTGATCCGCATAGAGAGAGTCTAGACGACCAGTATTGAAGCTGGACGAGCGACGGATTATACCATGCACTTCATATCCCTTCTCCAGCAGAAGCTCTGCCCTGTGTATGGTTAGGATATAAGTGGCGACCAGCTGCACAAGGAATGTGCTCACAGATACGATCCATCTTGACCGGTTATTCCTACGCAATTTCAAATCAGTATACGTGCAACACGACCGTCACGCCAGCAAGTGAAATTCCAGATCCCGGGGCATAAGTACAGGCGAAGCGATGACACGATCGCCTGATTGTTTGATCAGACTGTTCATCATCTGGACCACTTTGAAGTTCGAACGTAGAGGCAAAAGGAAAGCCGAAGATGAAGAGAGGACGAACCAGAGACAAGCGCAACTTTCCTCTTCCTGAACTCCTCTGGGGAGGGAAGATCTATTTTCATCAACGGAGCGTGGGCGATGTCTGAGGGCATTTTGACAGATACAGCTGAAGGTGGTGGATGTTCAAAGCACAGATTTATATCTCGTAACAGCTGATTATCATAAATGGAGATACCGTAAGGTACTTACTATGTATCAGGTCAAGGAGTAGTATCATCTAAGTGCACTATGGTACTGCTATGTTCGAATCTACTCCGCAGTGTAAGCTCTTGGGTAGCCTATACGAGCATATCACTCTCAACAACAAGCGCAGATGCCATAGCTTCGATCGCGACATCAAAACGTTCGCAGTATCCTCATGTTATTTGCACCAGGGCCACAAGATAATACTGATCTTCAGGGGTAGTGCACATGTCCTCAGTACTCAGTCCACGGTGAAGTAGAAGAGAGAATACCTATACTGTCACGGTCAGACAACAGCGGTCCTCGTCTCGCCTGAGCGGATATGTAATTCCTTGTTGCAGCATGAGAAATAAGGTCCATTGCCTCCAGTGGGAATTCACCGGTGCACTAGCCGCTGTGCGCGCGGTGACTGAGTCATCTGGCACGATCTTTTTAGCTCGTGTCTTTCGAAGTTAAAGATCTGACATTGAAGAACCATCAGTATATGACGACGGTGACTCGACAGAGTTTGTCGGACCCACAACCTTGCTGCCGGAAAGCACGGTTTAGCACAGATTTTGTTCTTCGGTGCCCGGCAACCGTGACATGAGCGGATGGTTGCTCAGTACAGTACTGTACTGAACAGAGTGCTCAATTGCAATAATATTAATTGGTTAGTTGACGGGCTTTGCCGCGGCCCCTATTGCCATTTTAAGACAAGTCGATAATATAGTGAAGAACGTTTGATTTTATGGAAAGCCTCCGAGCACCGTGCACTGTTTTTTTACCATAACACGTACCATGACACGAATTTTAGATGCGGCGTGGCTAGCACGGTGCTCCGGCTTTCCATACAATTTGGTCTCGTGGTTTGCTCGTGGCGGCCTGTCTTGTCACCAGAGTCTCGGAGCATAGGTAAAGTATATATTCACATTGATATGTGCCACTTCAAATCACCTCGAGAAGACTTGTCCGGCTTTCCACCACCATGATAACCATACCGCACATTGCAGTGATTGTTGTTGTCGCGTCTGGGCTTGCTACCGTGTGTTACAGCAAGGGTGCTTCCCCACGCAACTTTTGGAAGCTCCTGCGACAGAAAGCCGCCTTCGTGGCTGGCAGAGGACTACCAGACTTTTCTCAGTTGACAGGCGTTCCTCACCCAAAACCGGTACACGGTTTTAGCATAGCCCACGCTCGTCCTCGCCCATACCGACCATTCAGATGGGAATACCACCAGACAATGTGTATGTGCGTTGCGTTGCGCTCAATGTGGTTGGCTTACCTATGACTTCCATAGCTCTTAAGAAATTGGAACCAGACTACTGGTTAGAGCTGGAGAGTACTTACCGCGATCGTATTGCCCAACGACGACGACTCTATGCCCTCCATGGCAAACGTGTCATAGATGAACTGCCCGGGAGCCAAGCAGCTTCAAAGGAGCTGATGGAAATGGTCGTTCAGTACCTCTGCCTAAGGTACCCCCAACAGTTTGAGATTGATGAGTGGACTTTGACGTTCCGCAACCACATCCTCGGCTCGACGGTTAACCTTAAAACGGTGCACCCATTGATTTTCTTGCTCGAGAATGTCCCAGAGGACTTCAACATTACCCAGGAAGACCCTGAGACTGGACTCTATGCTCTACGAGCTGGTATCACGATATCAGCAGTGGGCTGGAATATTAGTCAGAAGATAGGCAAACCACTACACGAAATTCATGGCCCAGTTCCCTATTATAAGGAGAAGTTGGCGTTCTCAATGGACAGGCAAGTAATGTCGTGAACGTGTCAGGTATCACTTATAAAGAACATCCCAATGGACTTACAGGTACTTTTCTAATATGCCTTGTAACAAGCCCATTCAGCGAGGGTCTTGGGATCTTGAAATCGGAGAGCCTCTCTATCTTCAGACGGATGAACCCGAGTGGAGTCATCGTCAATATCAGAATCCGGACCTCCCTCTCTCTGACATTCACTTGCGAGTTGACTGGCAAACCTTACGGCGCCTGCCAAAATCCCGTGCCATCGTTTTCAACTTCAAGGCTTTATTCACGCCGGTTACGGATTTCCGCAATGAGCCATTCATTCCAAAGTTGGTTTTGAAGGTTTTGCTAGAAGGAGATAAGGCGATCATGGAGTATAAAGGAATGTGGTTCATCGAGCACAAGGTTATACCTGCGTTACGAGAATGGGCAAAGGAGCAAGAGGATAAGGGATGGGTCCCAAAGGATTGGCAAGAGAAGACATTGAATGAGGCACCCTTTTATCCCGGGTGGGAGAAGCATTACCCAGCGCCTACTTAGGCGGCTGCCGATCATCCTTCAAGTACGTGTCTCAGTCTTCCTCTATGAGTTCTGCGAGTTCTCTCTCTTCCTCATCCGTGATCTCAACCTGATCCTTCGCATCGTCACTAGGTTGGGGAGTGGGAGCAATAACTGTAGCTTTCGACTGTCCAGCAGGGTTGTCTGGGCTCGAATCTTGGAATTCTATTATTTGGATGTATCTCAACCCTATTAGTATTTGCCATTTTAAGACATGATAAGCAATGGGCCCAGTTCAATTCGGTCTCGTGGTTTGCTCGTGTCTTATCACCATGGGTAAAGCATGTTTTCGCATTGATATGTGCCACTTCAAAACACCTCAAGAAGATTTGTCCAGCTTTCCACCACCATGATAAGCATACCAGACGTTGTAGTGATCGTGATTGTCGCGTCTGGGCTTGCTGCCGTGTGTTACAGCAAGGGTGCTTCCCCACGCAACTTTTGGAAGTTCCTGCGACAGAAAGCCGCTTTCGTGGCTGGCAGAGGACTACCAGACTTTGCTCAGTTAACAGGCTTTCCTCATCCAAACCCTGTATATGGCTTTAGCATAGCCCACGCTCGTCCTCGCCCATACCGACCATTCAGATGGGAATACCACCAGACAATGTGTATGTGCGCTGCGTTGCGCTCAATGTGCTTGGCTTATCTATGACTTCCATAGCCCTTAAGAACTTGGAACCAGACTATTGGATAGAGCTGGAGAGTACTTACCGCGATCGTATTGCCCAACGACGACGACTCTATGCCCTCCATGGCAAACATGTCATAGATGAACTGCCCGGCAGCCAAGCAGCTTCAAAGGAGCTGATGGAAATGGTCGTTCAGTATCTCTGCCTGAGGTACCCCCAACAGTTTGAGATTGATGAGTGGACTTTGACGTTCCGCAACCACATCCTCGGCTCGACGGTTAACCTTAAAACGGTGCATCCACTGATTTTCTTGCTCGAGAATGTCCCGGAGGACTTCCTCATTACCCAGGAAGACCCTGGGACTGGGCTCTATACCCTACGAGCTGCGGTCTCGACATCAGCAGTTGGCTGGAATATAGGTCAGAAGATGGGCAAACCACTGCACGAAATTCATGGCCCAGTTCCCTATTATAAGGAGAAGCTGGCGTTCTCAATGGACAGGCAAGTAATGTGGTGAACGTGTTAGGTATCACTTATAAAGAACACCCCAATGGACTTACAGATACTTTTCCAAGATGCCTTGTAACAAGCCCATTCAGCGAGGCTCTTGGGGTCTTGAAATCGGGGAGCCTCTCTATCTTCAGACCGACGAACCCGAGTGGAGTCATCGTCAACATCAGAATCCGGACCTCCCTCTCTCTGACATTTACATACGAGTTGACTGGCAAACCTTACGGCGCCTGCCAAAATCCAGCGCCATCGTGTTCAACTTCAAGGCTTTATTCACGCCAGTGACGGATTTCCGCAATGAGCCATTCATTCCGAAGTTGGTTTTGAAGGTTTTGCTCGAAGGAAAGAAGGCGATCATGGAGTATAAAGGAACATGGTCCATCGAGCACAAGGTTATACCTGCATTACGAGAATGGGCAAAGGAGCAAGAGGATAAGGGATGGGTTCCAAAGGATTGGCAAGAGAAGACATTGAACGAGGCCCCCTTTTATCCCGGGTGGGAGAAGCATTACCCAACGCCTACTTAGGCGGCTGCCGATTATCCTTCAAGTACGTGTCTCAGTCTTCCTCCATGAGTTCTGCGAGTTCTCTCTCTTCCTCATCCGTGATCTCAACCTGATCCTTCGCATCGCCACTAGGTTGGGGAGTGGGAGCAATAACTGTAGCTTTCGACTGTCCAGCAGGGTTGTCTGGCGTCGAATCATGAAGTTCTGCAGAAATTATTTGGATGTATCTCAATACCCACCATATAGACTTACCACTAAATCGCCATCTGCGAATGGTGCCATCCAGACTGGTACTAATTATCCACGGCTCGATGCGTGTTCTTCCATCGTCTGTGCGACTTTTGTGAATCCATAATCTCAGCGCAGTGACATCGTGCCAATGAGCGTCGATTTCCCCTAGAACCTCGGGCTCGGATGGGGTCGAGACATCATACAGGCGGATGACGTCTCCGTATCCAGTCACAATGTACGGCTCTTCAAGATCGGAGAGTGCCAGCGGAAGAATCGCTCGCACAGGCAATGGGTGCGTGAGGGGTGGAATGGGTTTCTGGTCGGAAGACCCTGGCGGGTAAGGTACTACTTGTACTGTTTCATCCGATGACGCTGAAGCAGGGAGTGAGCTAAGCAACGATGGAGCAACGCGAGCGATCGTTATTACCTGTCCAGATGTAACCTGCATCATAAATGATTTCGGTGATGCGCGTTCGATGGTGATTGAGAGTGTCCTGAAGAATGCTTCGCCACCGAGGCCGCGGCCCGCCCTGTCTTTCTAGCTTCCATACCTTCAATACTCCCATAGTGTCAGCGGTGAAGAGGGTCACGGAGCCATCAGCATTTGCAATTCCAGCAATGCATTCTACCGGGCGACTATGAGCCGATACTGACCCGGCAGGCTGTGGAGGTTTCTCAAGAACATCGGTTAGATCCCTAAGTGCAGATTTTAGGACTGCCAGTATGAGATGAGTTCGTCTTTACCAGAATTTGACGATCTTATCGGAGCTACTGCTGACCAAGAGCTTCACAGATGGCACGACGAGCAGAGTTTTGACAAAATCATCGTGAGCAGCCGTCGTTGAGATTACGCCTTTTGTCTGCGAGAGACGGCCTATGTTGAGTACCTACAAGAACATGAAATGTGTTTGGGCACATACATTAGTGTCCCATATTTTAATGGTCTAGCGGAAGGAGTTAGCATCACTTGAGCGGTTGTATATACTATCCCTTACCTTGTCCCAAGACCCAGTTATCAAAAGCTTTTCATCACCCGAGTTCGGGGATCTGTCATAAAAGGCGAGACAGGTCACCGGCGCGTGATGACCTCTGTATATCTGTAAAGTCTTTCCTGTCTGCAACACGCGTGATCTCCTAAGCTGAGTGATGGAGATCATTGAAACGTACCTCTAAATCGATTTTCTTGGCTACGTGCGCACTCTCAGCAATCCATGCGTAGTTGCCACGAATTTGGATGTCGATTGCGTTGCCGGTAAGCTGAATCGGAGACCCAAGAGATTTCGTTCTCTCCGCCTTTTGTCTGCGAGCCTGCCATCGATCTGAGCGACGAACAGCTAAAGCGATTTGAAGGGACAAACTTCTGTTAGTTCAAGTTCAGCTGCTGATCTCAACAAATACGAGTGATCCGCGGTAATTGAGTCAGACATCGTCGATATTGGTAAACGCAAGCCATTCAAGTTGCTTCCGAATGACGCTGTTTACTGTTTGGTAAAGGCTTCTGAAATAAACAAATTTGCCTTGGGCTGTATTCATGAGCAAGCGCCTAGCGTCATTTCATGGCCCTTCTACGCCAACATCATCTCCCGTATCGCAAGTAAAGAAATCAGTCACCCCAGCATCACCATCGAGAGCTTCCGATGCGTCTATTCATCGAAAATTCAGAACGTTGCTCCATGAGTTGCGCTCGATCGCTAATACATGGGATGACATCGTCCTCGTTGACGGCTTGAAAGCTGCGCGAACCCTGGTTGATTCTCGCACTGAATTGGAGTGTGTGCTTAATTCCTTGTCCTCTGAGCGGTTGGTAATTATGGAGCACTTTAGCAACGCACTTGCCATGGTTCCTGCTGATACGCAGCCTGGGTCGCTCATGGTTGGTCCGAAGCTCGACGTGATGGATGGATGTATCACTCTACTTGATTCGGTTCTCATGAAGCTTGTGAGATAGTGCCTGTCCTGCGTCTCAATATAATAACGAGCATTTGCCAGTCGAAGCTATTGCGGAGAATGAGCAGTGTGCTCGATAATATGGAGGCTCTGATGTTTGAAGCGGAGAAGTTGAAGGGCTTTCAATGGTGCCACGAGGAACCTTTGTGGATTTCATGGCCCATCGAGAAATTTGGTAGGCCAACATTTCCTTCTCGCCATCACTTACTGACAGGGGGTTGCAGTGCTGTCTTTGTCTGAGCTAACAACTCCGTACCATCGATCTCTCGCACTTCATAAGGAGCTAGTCGACATCTTGCGCAGTCATACGGTGTCCTTTGAAGATTCTCGAAGTGCTATCAATCAATGGGTCGAGCAGCCTTTCCTAAGAGATGACGGTTGGGACGCAAAATGGGAAGACCTTTGTGAAGCAGAGGTTGAAAAATGGGACACAAGATAATACAGACAACTAGACAAAGTAATAACAACTCAATGTAATGTAATAATAAGACATCACGATTACAGGTCTTCCTCGTCGGATATATGGATTTCTTCGGCGTTGTCTGCCTGCTGTGGCGCGGACGAATCTTGGTCCTCATCTGCTCTTGGAAGAGCTGTCTTTTTGGCTGCAACAAACGCGGGGCCTCTTGCTTGCTGCTCTGCAGCAGCCATCGGGTCTGCTGGCTGAGCGACGGATGGTTGCTCCGAGGTACCATTTTGTTTCGCCGATAGCGTTTGGGCAGCAAGATACGATGCTTCGGTATTGAACTGGGCCTGGACACTCCGCTTGATACGAAGCATCTCTCGGAATGTATCCTCCGAACCCGTCTCAATTTCGAAGCTGTTCCACTCCTGCCAAAACTTGGGATTGACACGGGGGTCGCAGAATTGGGAAGCATGTGCATATATAGCGCGAGCTCGGTCGATTTCACCAAGTTTGCGTTCCAATGCTGCAAAGCGTAGACACATTTCAGCGGTTTGCTTGTCAGGAAGAACCTCGAGTGCGCGCTCGAAGATTGGGCGGGTGGCTGGTAGGCCATAATTAGCCGTGGCCTTTGCGATGTATATAGTGTACATCTGTTGTCATGATGTCAGCGAAGGCCCATGTGGAGTAGGACAGGTTGCAGTACCTCAAATTTGTCCTCATCGGCGACAACCTGCGTTGCACGCTCATAAATAGTCATGGCCCGCTTTGCTAGACCATAATCCTCTTCCAATTGACCATACATCAAGAACAGGGGCTTGCATGACTTCGGTGGACATTTTTCTAGTGCTTGTTCAAACAGGTCACGAGCTCGCTCCAACTTGGATCCTCCCTGAAAGGCGTTAACAAAACGGGAAAAACAAAAGTTAAGCACGAAAGCACGTACATATCGCTTCACGAACTTCGACAAATAAATATTCCATATTTCAAAGGATATGGGGAATGTGAAGACCTCTGTGCCGCGCTCGTACACCTGATTGTAAACATTTTTAAGATTGCCAGGAAGACAAATGAGATCAGATAAGCCGCACCTTGAAGCTGTCCTCCCAATATTGATTTTCTTCGAGGAAAGCAGCGTAGTTGACGATAACCTGGGCATTGGCAATCTTCAGATCCATGATCTTGTCATAGACAGCCTTCGTCGATTCAACGGTCCCTATTGACTCCTCAAGGTCAACATAGAATGACCAAAGCTTCAAAGATTTGAACAATCGGGCTTGGACGAGTAGTGACTGTCGGAAATCAGCAAATTTGAAAGGTAGTCCGCTGGAACAACCTCACATGGTCATGATAATTGATCTTGGTGTTTTTAGGAATGGCGGCAGCACGTTGCATGACTCTGACAGCCTCATCGTAGTTTCTAAGAGCGAACATTCAGCAAATCAGTTAAAAAACTAGATGATATTCCTCACTCGTGTCGAAGCTCCATCTCTGACCATTCACACCAAATGTCCGCGAGGTCCTCGACCGCCTTGAAATTTATTTTGGTGGCTTTCTCGAAGATTTTACGGGCGCTATCCAAGTCAGGCTCTGCCGAACCTGAGGATCCACCTTCCTCATAGAACTTGGCGAAATTAACATAAAGTCTATGGAGGTTGGCAGTAGCCTTGCGGGGATTGATAGTCTCCAATGCTTTGGTGTACGTGTCGGCCACCTGAGCACGCGTCAGACGAACCAATTTCAGCCGTCAGACCAGTGCTTACCTTTTCATCGTCCTCGCCCCAAAGAGCAACTCTCTTTTCCCATTCCTGAACGTCGTTTGGGTTTCTTCGCAGCAAAACGTCGTTGACCAAAAACGGTCTCCTGTCAATAAGAGCTTCGAACTCCTTCATTTTGATGTCCATCTCTCGTTCAGTCTCCTTTGCGTTTTCGCTTTCATCGTCATCTTCGTCTGGATTCTCGAGGCTTTCCATCATTGCATTGATTAATGACTCGCAAAACTCTGCATACGCGTCAAAAATCTGCGTGAAGTCCCTGATCGTCAATACTGTTGCGATGCCCGCTTCGAAGGTGCTAATTGCCCGATCAAACTCGCCACGTTTAATCCAATAAGTCGCGAGCCCAGTCCAGAGACGGCCAGCTTGGTCTTTATAAACTTCAAGGCCGTCCTTGTGGACGATGCGTTCTATGTTGAGCTTCCGTGGACTGAGAGGATCTTCATCCTCGTCGTATGCTCCACTAGCTGCAACCGGAACAGGGGGTCCACCCATACGCACGAGCTGCCCATCCACAGAGGCTGATTGGCCGTCTATTTGCGAAGCTTCCGCATCGGCTTTCGCATTCGCCTCATTGGACTCAACTGTGGCATCCACGTCAAACCCAACTTCTTCAGAGAATCGCTCGACAATATCAAGGAAATCTCCAAGAATCTGGTATGGGCTTTTCCCTTCGGGACTGACATACTCCCCTCGTGATGCTTTTCTTGCCAGTGAAAGCAATAACTTGGCAGCTTCTAGGGGCCGCGGCACAGAGTCTGCAGGAGAGAGTAGGATGGATGTGTAGTGTTCCGTAACGGTTGGATCAACAGCAAGGTAACGCCGGTAGACGGACACTGTCGTAGATCCGCCCTTCGTCTCGGCCCAGAGAAGATATCGAACCCATATTCGTGAATGTAGTGAAGGCGGCAGAGTACGCAGAGCTCGGTCAAATGTCCGACGAGCATGCGTGTGAGAGATGAGAGATGGGCACATAGGGTGGAAGAAGACGGATGTGTACATTAGCCACAATCTGGGTAGCTGAAATAATCATGCAGTCAGCACAATACACCGGTTCTCTGGCAATAGAGCGTACTTTGGGCAACCACATGAGGGCTCTTTCATATGTCGCAACCAGTGCTCTCCACTCCTCCCAACCCACAACACCATCAAGGCCATCCTCCCATGACTCCAGGTCCTTCTCCTCCTCCTCTAAAGCATCCTTCATTTCCGGTAATTTCTTCCTCCCGCCAGCCCTTTTCTTGATTACTTGTCTGCCAAGGACATAGGACATTCTCATCTGGAGGTACGACTTCCATAGTTTAAACGAGCCAGGAAACTGAGCAATAGCTGCTTCGTAAAGGTAAGTTAAACATTGCAATGAATGTCTAGCCAGTGGAGTCGCGAGTGGACCGAGGAGTGTCGTGGTTTCGTCGGGCAGGTTCGCGCGTCGCTCTGCCTTCAATTGCGCGCTAAAACCCTCTTTCGTCGTATGTATGGCAGTCCACCATGCACGAAAAGAGGATGGGTTTCGGAGAAGGTCTTCCTCGCGCTGAACATCCTTGATGGACAGCAAGTTTGAATTGGTTGTAGGCGTCGGTATTGGAAGCGTCACAGGAAATTGGGACGCCAGCAAGTCCACTGAAGTCGACTTCTCTGCAACCGAAGGCATTTTGGGATCCTAGTAAGATTCAAATGGAAGCTCAGAGCAGGTATATGTAGAGGTTGGAAAGAGTAATTATTTATTTATTTTTCGTTATCTAGTAGTTGATAACCGAACAAGTCTCATCTTCCCCAGCGCCCACACCGGTACCACTGCTGCGATGGTAAGAACCGCGTTCAGAATTGTTCTGCGCACATTTTGAATGAGCATAGAACAGCATAACGTCAAGCGTACTCGACAGACTCCTGAGGCTCTTGCCGAAAAGAAACAGCGAGAAAAGTCCAAGATCGAGGAGTACCTCATTTTAACAGACGATGTGCTATCTCAAGTGAGAATTAATCTTGCTTGTGTACCGTCCTCTTTCTGATTGGCATCTGTGTAGAAGAAGAAACGGGAGTGGAGCAATGATGCGTTTGAATTGACTCAGCGTTTGCTCCAGATCAACCCCGAATTCTACACCGTGTGGAATTACCGTCGGAATATCCTCCTCAACGGTATATTTCATCAGAGGTGCGCACGTACGAAAATATTGCGAAATGTCCTCAAAATCAGAGCTCTTGCAGTACTCCCGAGCAAATCAATGACATTCTCTCCAACGAGCTCTCCATGACCACTACAGCTTTGAAAGCAAATCCAAAAGTCTATTGGATATGGAATCACCGTCGCTGGTGTCTCGAGAATGTTCCAGACGGGCCGGAACGTGATGGGATACCGTCTATGGAATGGAGACAGGCAAATTGGAACAAGGAACTCTTTGTAGCGGAGAGGATGCTTGACGCAGATGCAAGGAATTGTCAGTCATATCACCGCTGCATTCGCGCATATTTGACACCTATCTCCTCTAGTTCACGCTTGGAATTATCGTAGATATGTCCTCGCGAACATGCCCACAAGAAGCCCTGAGACCTCAGAGTTGGCCTATACTTCTCGCAAAATCGGAGCGAATTTCTCCAATTTTAGCGCATGGCACCAAAGATCTAAGACCTTGGTCGGACTTTGGGAAAGTGGTCAGCTGGATCCTATCCAGTCGAGAGACGACGGTACGTGCCCTTTTCAATCAGATTGACTTTCTCGAGCTCTTTTTATTTTACAGAGTTCGAACTCGTGAGCAACGCATTATACACCGACCCAGACGATCAAAGCGCGTGGATATACCATAGATGGCTCATCGGTTCTGGTTCGACAACAAACTATTTCGTATGCAATTCAACATGGATTAATGTATCGAATAGGGACAAATAAAGCACAATTGGAACGCGAGATACAACTCATTTTCGAGTTGCTCCAAGAGCAACCTGATAGCAAATGTAGGCAGCTATGTTAGTTAATCTCGCAACTACTTATCCTTTACAGGGTGTATGGAGTCATTGGTCCACTATAAGCGACTTCTGCTCCAAAATCATTCCCCGGGTTCCCAAATCCTGAAAGAGGAGTGCGTAGAGTTACTTTCTCAGTTGATGGAATTGGACCCTGCTCGGTATTGTAGATATCAGGATTTAAGTGAGTTTCTTGTGCTGATGTGTAACGAGTGCTTATTGTTTTCAGAGAGGGACCTCGATCAGTAGCTTATCTTACTTGGTTTTCTATTTAATCTGTGTGTTGTTTGCGCTAATCGATTGTATTCCATTTTAATCTCTGCCTTTCAGTTAAGTTGTGAGTCGTGACTGTCTTGACCGCTAGGCTTAGCTCTCGCATTCACTGGGCTTCCGTATGCAACTGTCATGTACGTGAACAGTCTTCAAGGGACAAAGTCTTACGATTCACGACTCACGGGTACGACGGATACGAGTGGCAATCCGTGGCAGCACCACAGTTCTCATCAATAAGACCTTGGATACCTGAATAATTAATAAGGTTTTATCTTGTCGCACAACCAATTTGATCAGTCGCTTCTGCACAGCTCTACATGTGTGTTTCACACAATAACGCTGCTACATTCCGATGATCGATGACCCCTGATAACCCTTGGGCTGTAAACCTTTTCCCACTCTACTAGTATTCCCGACAGGTATTCCAGTGGCCTTATCCTTACTGATTGCGTTTTTCGGGTAGCAGGCAGACCAACCTGTCTCATGCACAGTAGGTGGGGCTCATCACCGGGCTTCTATCGCCATACTGACATGCAGCCTTCTCTACATGTATTGTTTCCGCGACGTGCCTTGAAGTGCACAGCATACCCGTAAGCACGACCTCAAGGAGCCTCAAGGAGATAAATTCCATCTCTGAGTTACATACACCCGGCGGCAACTCGACAGGTCAGAATATCTTGGCAAAATCATACACTTAATGTAGGTGTGTGATGTGCTGTCCATCCTTTTCCTGCCTCTCATGACAGTTTCCTCCAAGCCGACAGAACAAGACTGGCATACATCCAGTCTTCCGAGTCTTGCATATAACGCACTCCCGAATCACCAGGATGACTGTGACTCGATAATATCTTACTCAAAGATCACTCTTGAGAGTGGAAATGATTTCTACGACCGCAGTTTGACAAGTCGCAGATACGCCCTTGTTGGAGTAGCATGCTCGTGCATCGTCAGCTGCTGTTGCATCGTTGCAGGCACTATCATTGTGGCCTTTCTCAGAGGTAACGGGGCAATCCCAACAAAACTAAATACAAACCTGCAGAAAGAGATGCTGGTCCTCGTACTCAACCTAATCGTCACGTTGTGCACGGAGTCCACGGGCTTCGTACACAACATTGCCTTGCGCTCGGCGCTAGCCTCAGAGCGCCGGCTTCGTTTCAATACGAATCTGCGCCTTCTGACCGCGGCTCATGGATGGAGAAACCCAAACGGCGCCTTGCTTAATGTTATCACCGCTATTCTCCTCATCATATCCTACAACTCAGCCTCGCTTGTCATATTATTCCTCGATAACAGCGGTGACACTACGGGAAAAGCATTCTATGTCTACATCGCAGGGTTGCCTCTCCTTTTGTTGGGCGTCGCACTTCTTCTTCAGGTGATGATCGCCTTGTCAGGATTGCGATCTGTCAAAATATTGACGTGGAGCTCCTCCTCTTTCGATTTGACTGCCGCTATGGTCCACCATACACAATTGACGCCCGCTCCTTTCCGGTGCATGCGTGGTGTGTCTGACATGGACGTAGATGAAGGTCCAGCAAAGCCGTCAGAGACACAGCCATCCGCATGGCATGCTCATCCTAGCGTCCGGAAAGTGATAATTTCTCTTTGGGCGCTCGTTGTAGCATGCGCTGGATGGGCTACGCTCGTCATGGTCATTTCCAACAAGTTTGATGGAGGCTTGTTACCCAGCCCTGCACTTAGCTCCGAGTCGTGGTCGTTCTTCCCCAGCGAGCAGTACTCTAATGCCCTCGTATACGGGATTCCACTCTCCGGAGGTGTCAGTGTTCAGTGGTGGATTTTGTCCTTTGTCAATCTGGCGGTTGTTCAGGGACCATTGACAATTGGGCTGCATTGCTCGGAACTCATCGCGAATGTCATTCGAGATGAAAGACATTGGAAAAGTGCTACCGGAAGGAAAGGACTTAGAATGGCGACAAATCCGTTGGCGTCGCTTTTTTCTAATCCGCTCAGTCTTGTACTGCTCGTCGCAAAGCCTGCGCTACGTGAGTCATTTGTGTCTACCTTTTTGTCGGTGTAGACAACATCACCGATTATATAGACTGGATGTTCGGGCTTTCGTTCACTTTGCTTGCCAGCGGCGGTAACCAGACGCTAGAAATGGTCGCCATATACATGTTTACAGCCCAGGTTCGTAAATACGGTCAAAGCACGACCGCAACAACGCCCTCACACACACGCACAGATCTGGAACTTGTGTTTAGCGCTGTTCATATTCGCGTGCTTCTTTACTCTCATCGCATTACTCCGACCGCATAGCCCCCAGCCGGCTGCGTACGGCCACCTGCAGACGCTCGCCAACCTCGTGGACGAATGGTCGCCTGTGATGTGGTGGGGCCACAAGGAAGACAGAGCCTCCTATTGTCATGCTGGTAAGGTGCAACTATGGTCACGATAATGAAGCATTCACACGTTCACACAGGGACAAGTGATCATTCGCTGCCGCCTGTGAAGATGGACTGCGTTTATGCTGCCAGGCTGGGATCCATACATCTTGAACCCAGTCAGTGACTAATGACGCTGAGCCGCCAGGGCAGGGTTCCACGTTCAACGTTCAATATTTTCAATGACGACAAGCAGGCATGTTCTGAGCATAGAGATTGATCGTGTCCGTATGCCTTGTATTGTTATACGGATATTAGAGATGGAACGGCCGTCTTCCAGCTTTCATGCATATGCCGCATTTGAGGGTTATTTTGAATTCGCAAAAATGGTGTCGGGCGCTCGGCATTCGCCGGAACCTCTCACGAAGCTTCAACCATGTTGAGTGGACGCATGTGCCTGGAGAGGCTTTCGTCGCAGTCTCGAGTCTCGACTCTCCATCACATGGCGCTGCACTGTAGTGCAGCCACACGAGGTAGACCAATCGAAGGAAGCGCTCGTTGTGACCAGATGTGGCAAGCATGCACCGTGTCCTATCAGGATCTTGACTCGCTCAATCTGGATTCTGCATTCAGGGTTCACGCACGACGCTATCCATAGCGCTCAAACGAACGTTCTCGTCGGAGGAGAGGGCCCGATTGTCAATGATTCGACATTGCTTGTTGACTCACATGGGCATAAAAACCAGTGCTCAAGAAGGTTGTAGGTCTGAGCGCAACCCCAAGACCTTGATCAGAATTTGACAATGTGATGCAGAGAACACAACGAGACACAACGCCTCGAGGTCAGTCATGCAACATTTTATTCCCACGATCTTAGTTATGTCGGTGTTATGCACACAGTGTGATGATGTAATTCAAGCATGTTCGGTTGCGCACATATTAACGATATCAATTTTGTCCAGTGGAGGGGTGTCTTGCCTGCACGCACGATATATATAGTCTTCCTAATGCCTTCTTCAGCTAGGTACCAGCCAGCTTTCAATACTAGCTCAGCCCCGCTTCGGACGCCCGCTTGGTTATCCCACCATGACGACGTCTGTACACTCCACTTCTCAAGTTCCCCCAAGCTGTCGACCTCCCAATAATCCTACTTTGAGATTGGCGTTCAAAATATTGTGCATCATTGCAGTCTCCCAGAAGTCTCTCGACCATTGGAAAGACACAACGAGCAACGAATGGAAGGAGCATGTCAAAATGATGGTCAATCGCTTCCAGAATTCAAACGTCACTGTATGTTTGATATAATCCTTATGGGTAGCGTTCACCGACTGGGTTTTAGGCCGGGCTCGTACTCGCAACTACTACTCTGTTCCTGTCATCAGAACCTCCCATGGTTCGTTTGATGGCTTATGGCACCCCAATCTCCTACATCTTCGCCATGGTTGCATTTGGTGCTGCATTGCTCAGCGTCATATCCGGAGCTGCTGTGCTCATTATCTATGAAACTAGCACCACTCACAAAGACATGGAAAGCCTCAAGGTGAGTTCGCTTGTCTGGGCTGGCTCACAGTTTGACATGCGGCACAGCACATGTCGCGACACCAAGTTATCGCCCTGTTGTTGTGGTTGGCATACCCCTCAATATGTCTGTCATTCGCTACCTTCTTTTTGTTTGTGTGTAAGTAAGGTACTAGACGTATTTTGATCTACTGATGACGTATGGGTTTTCCTTTGGTGCAGCTATCTTCATCGCCTGCTTCTGGTCTGACAATATTACTGTCAACATCATAACTATCTTGGCCTGTTTGGCCTTCCTTGCAAACGGAGCCCTTACAATCTACGTTTACAGCGTTGTGGGCAAACAGTAAGCTAGCAACACTCTTGTTGGATCTGTCTTAATTGGCCTTGCAGGCCGGTCGATGACCGCGCAGGCTGTTAACAGTCATCACGCTAGTGTGTGGCCTGCATGCCTCCGGCTTCAATACTGATGATGACTGGGTGTGATAGTTGTAGACCACTCAGGCCTCAGGCCTCAGGGCTTGACTTTTGCCAAGAACTTGCTGTGTCCTTATCATATGTAATACATGAATATTTTACCTGCCTCGTGATCGCCCATGCGGACTGTCCGGAGCGAAACGTCATGGAAAATAATCATTCAGTGTCCGCATGTACCGTGAAAGTGCGGTATGTTTATGTAAAGAGAACCAGAAGGGACTGATCTGCATCAATGGGCGCAACACCGAAAGTAATATTTTGAACGAGATAGCTTCACAATCCGGTTAAAAGTGGTGTGGGAAAGACACAAACACATTTGAGGGTCCGGGCCTTGTGGGCTCAGTCTAATGCTGATCAATACCTATATTTTGGTTCACCTCATTTATATGACTTGACCAGTACGCTACGGAAGTCGAAGCTCGGTCAAGCGAACAAAGCTTCACTGTGAAGACAACGACAGCTTCGAAGAGAACAGACTGTGCAACGAGGACTCTGATTCAGAAATTAGATTCAGACGCTATCGTTCTCAACGGCCTTCGAGCTCTACTGCATGAATCTCTATCAAGACAAACGTTCACATATTCAAGTTGCGTCTTGAACTTCTTGAGTGAGTTCCCTGTGTATGATGCTGTGACCGCCGATGCTTACACTTCCGACTCACTACAGTTGCCTTGTCAAGGCAAATTTCTGTGGCATATGCGGTGTCGCCGGAAAGATATATCGAGATACTACAGCGGTGCACCCCCGTAGTAGTGTATAGGATAGCACAATCTGTCCAGCCATTTCATTTCGCCAGATGACCCCGTCGATGGCGGCACAATGAACAGGTCACTTTGTCGGAAGCCGTGGCGGGTTTTTGGAAGTGTACGGTTTAGGTTTTTTTTCAAGCGCTTACGGCGATGATCGCAGCTTACGGCCCTTGGGCTCATGTCAGAAACGCCGTTCCTTGTGGACAACCCTCGAAATGGACGCTCAATGAGTGGGTGAAGTCTGTACCCCTAGACTCCGGAAATTTAACGCCCAAGGCCCCAAGCGCTCATGTGAGTCGTGCACTCAGCATGGTCGCTGATCTTGCAGATTGGTTTCCCGATACATTCTCACAAGCATTGTTACCGAGTCTGGAACGACGGTGTCACATGTACACATATAAGCCTCGCCCTGCACATCAGCTCCAGTCAACAACAACTCAGCCCCGCAACGCTCACGTTATGAGCCTCACTATTGATAATACAACATCCAGTAATACTAGAGTTAACTCGGTCCCTCTGGTGCTGGCGGGCTGTCGGGCTCCCACTCATCCTATTATGAAGTCAGCGTTCAAATTCTTGTGCGTTGTTGCAGTCTCCAAGACGTCTCTCGACCACTGGAAAGATACAGGAAATGAAGAATGGAAGGAGCATGTCAAAGTGATGATTAATCGCTTCCAGAACTCAAACGTCACTGTACGTCTGATACAATCCGGTCTTTATCACCAACGTTCAACAATTAGGATTTAGGCCGGGCTGATACTCGCAACCACTGCTTTGCTCCTATCGTCGGGCTCTCCTGTGGCTAACCTGATGGCTTATAACACTCCAGCCTCGTACATCTTCGTCATAGCCGCATTTAGTGCTGCATTGCTCAGCGTGATATCTGGAGCTGCGGTCGTTGTCGTCTACGAGACTAGCGTCACTCACAAAGATATGGGAAGCCTCATAGTGAGTGACTCTGCTTGTCTGTGGTGGCGATGGTTTGACACACGCTACAGCACATGTTACGACACCAAGTCATCTGCCTGCTGTTGTGGTTGGCATTCCCCTCAATTTGCCTGGCATTGGCTACCTGCTTTTTGTTCATGTGTAAGTGAGTTAACATAAGTGCTCCTGTTGATGATTTACAGGATTTTCTTTGGTGTAGCTATCTTTATCGCCTGCTTCTGCTCTGGAAACGTCTCTGTCCAAGTCATAACGGCATCGGGTTGTTTGTCCTTCTTTTTCAGCGGAATCCTCACGCTCCACATTTTCAATTCTGTGGGCAGACCGCAAACAAATAACACTCTTGCTGAACCTGTCTCAATTGGCTTTGCGGGGCCGCAAAGCCCAACCGGAAGACATGGCATCGGAAGGGGTGTTGTATAATTCCAGCCGAGGAAGCAATGTATGCTGACCTGGTGTGGATTATTGTAGACCAGTGTTTGGATGCTGCAGCTAGTACGGATATTGGACAATGGACTCACAACTGGAGCGCTTCTGCTACTTGGGTTGCTACTCCTTTCACATTCAACCTTGATGTCATGCGTGTCAATCATGGCTACTGTTTCCAGGTATCTTGGATGTGGCAGATAATACTTAGGGCTTATCCGTAGGAGGACCGACCTGTGCCATGCTCCCGCTGATCAATGACTTATTGGATTTCCTTCGACGCAGCTCTCCTTATCGTCTTTTGCTTCCATAATTCTGCTCTACATAACGACCTTGGCATGGGCTGTTTGGCATTCTTTTCTCACGGAGTCCTTACGCCTTGTGTTGGTGGGCAGACATCAAGCTAGAGGGCTCTTTTTTTATTTATGTCAATTCCCCTTGCAGGAGCGGCACCCCTGCAACCTGCCACTATGGCCAGGATTAACTGACATAACAGGACTTACACAAGGTCGGACGCTTCTAAGTCGGTAATATTCAATATGTTGGTAAGCAGAAGCAACCTTTACATCGCTCTGGGACACGCAGAGTAAGTCACGTTACGTCTGCGCAGAAGGAAAGCGCCGCATCAAAACTGCTGCTGTGACATATTGACACCACGTGTATTTGATGTGATCAGAAGACCACGATAGGGGTTTGGGCCAAAGCCAGCGCCTCCGCGTCTGGGTGTTGTGCATTCTCCGCGAGTTGCGTATTATGATTGATCTTCTGTGGTCGTCGGGTAATAGCGGGCAATCGATCAATATTTTTCTTGTGGGGTCTAGGGTGTGGTTGTCAGCCCATGCTGCAGGCATGAAATCGTTGAGCCCCCTTTCATTAATATCCCCTGTCGAAGGATGATTCATTTAGGGAATTGACAACTTCTAGGAAGGCACAGCATGAGCATGATCATATCCGCTCTTTAGGTTTCTAATCACCATTGCGTCTTTATAAACACACAGCCTGGGGGAAACAGAGGTAAATCACACTAATTTAAAGATTTTTGGCCTAGGGGGAACACCACACACGATTGATGACTTTGAGTTCTCCGATGCTAATGTTATAATCGTTGCTAGCACTCCGGTTGCGTCAATAGAAAATGTATTTTGCATATGGGCATCACCAGAAAGACATGAAATACGAACCACAGATAATTACGCCATAACTGAGTGACCCATCCCCCGAGGTGTCATCTCAAACAAATCCTCGATTTCTTCCAAGCTCTTCCCTTTAGTCTCTGGCATCAAGAAATGGCAGACGGCCGTGGTGAACAACGTCGCTGAGCCAAAGAAGAAATACGGACCGCTTGGAGAAGCCCGTAGGAAAAGCGGCGCGGTAAGTGCGACAACAAAATTCACCAGCCAATTGCTAAGCTAATAGTAATAGACGTCAGATGAAGGCAAGCGAGGGGAGTACGTAACCTACCTGCTGAACAGCACATGCCTTTGCGCGAAGACGCGTGGGTATTATCTCGCATGCGTATATTTTAATAACCTGAGCGAGTCAACTCGCGTGCGGTTATAATGAATTCAATCAACCTACCACAGCCCATGACCACGAGAAACTCGCCTGGCGTACAGATCATTCAGTACGTTATAGGTAGATCGGCATGCGCGATACATACCACAAACATGTATATGAGTATGATGACAGCCCACCGCGGTCCTGTGCCGCTCAAGTATACCTGTCCGTCGGCTTTTCCACCATAGATCGCGTACAAGGTGCCGATGGCCATGAAGCAAGTAGCAATAGAAATACCGCCACCGATCAAAGGAAATCTTCGCCCCCACTTGTCGACCCACAGTTGGGCAGGTATCGTAAATATCAAGTTGATTATTCCAGAAACACCAGACGCAAGGAAAGCTGCTCGTTTTGATGTAAAACCAGCCTGAGTGAATAGGATCGGGGCGTAATAAAGGACCGCGTCAATCTAGAGACACAGTCCAGATAAGCCTTATCATCGGGAGTACAGATAAACACGTACCCCACACAACATCTGAAAAGACATCAGGAACACACTGAGAACACTCCGTCTGACATATCGCTTGTGGAATATTTCACGATAAGAAGCATGTTCCCGACTCTGTTCCTCCAGACTGCCTTTGATAAGGCACAGTTCCTCTTCCACAAGCTCGCTGCTAGCACGGAGTTTCTGAAGAACCGCACGAGCTTCCTCCATCCTCCCCCTCTGTACAAGCCACCGCGGAGAATATGGTATAAATGCCATCCCAGATACCAAAACCGCAGCCATACTTGCTTCCAAAATAAAAGGGGTCCTCCAAGCCAACCCACCCTCAATTCTCGAAGACCCATACGCAACAAAATACCCCAAAGCGATCCCGATAGTGATGAGCAACTGTAACATCGTCGCAACAGTTCCTCTAATCTCTTGTGGAGAAATCTCGCAGAGGTAAATGGTGACGACCGAGATACTCTGACCTTGTCCGATGCCAGTTATCAGTCGAGCGCATACGAGAACAGTCAAATTTGTGGCGGAGGCGGACATGATCGTTCCTAGGAGGACTACGATGCCTCCGGTTAGAATCCCGTATTTGCGGGATAGCAAGTCAGCTACGTAACCGCTGCATATCGAAGACAAGGAAGCGGAGAGGAGAATACACGCGACATAAATCCCGAGGACGCCTGAGGAGAGATGGCCGATAGAGCTAGAGAACTGTTCCATCTGGGTAATAGGACCAATCGAGCCTGGAAGAGATGATGATGACTGATTAGAGGTGCTCGTTGGCCCAGGTCCGAAATATGACTGCGTACCGGTATCCAGCCCCCACAACATTCCAGCGAGGGATGTATGAAGGGCAATCAGGTATATTCTGGTAGTCGCAGATACCATCGCTGAGACGGAGATTCCAGCGCAAGACTGGCGTCTGCCATAGACAGACGCAGAGTTGCGGCCGTACGTACATCAGACGTAAATGAGCTGCATGCAGAAGGCCTAGCTCCTGCTAAGCAGGGAGCACATTACAATCATGGGACGCGTTACTTATAGGTATGGCCGCTATAGCTGAGACGAACTTGTAGTAAGCATGTACGGCGCACGATACGTGATCATGAGACGCGTTACAGTTTATACTTCAATGGTCATGGCCATACATAGCTGAGACGAATAATGGCAAGCATGAACAACGCATGATAGGCAAATATTGCCTTGGCTAGGCACATATGTGCACGCGCAGGAGCTCTTCTAGGCGCACGATTAGGCATTTCCTTGGCCAGGCATGTCACGGATGTGCATGAGCGCTCCTCGGAGCAACGAACGAATGAGTCTGGCTATCTTTACTTCCGCCATGGCAGACAAGTGTCCAGTCGACCACGGCAGTCATTCTTCAGACCAGTCCTGTCCTGTCGACCACAAATCTCGTACAACATGGTCCTCTATCTTGCCAGGGAGCAGCTCTGCGCACCCAGCCAACGCATCTTCGCTCTCGACTGAACGGGAGGTCTCTTCGATACCCCGAACAGACAATGGTAATTGGGTATACCCGTCAGAGGCTCAGTTTTTTGCTGCCATGGCGCGCAAAAATCATAATCCGCATGCTCCAGATATGAAAACTATCATTCCTATTCATAATGCTGTAAACGAACGCGCTTGTCGGAGCTAATGAAATGGGAATCTGGGAGAGGTGGCGAAAAGTGCGGAGGAGTAAAGCTTGTAAACTTCAAGGGCAGACCTAATGACCTGACTCCAAAGGCTCGATTCATGACCTTGCTCGGGTATGTGATTCAGCCACAATTCACGCAAAGCACGCTGATTTTTCGTTTCGTAGATACTCTGCTCCCTTCGATCGTCATGACTGGGTGGTCGAACGATGCGGAACCCGAATTAGATACGTGATCGACTTCTATACTGGACGGGGCGCAGGACCGTCATCGTCAAATAATGTCTCTTTCTATCTCGATGTTCGGCCTGCCTTAGACAACTGGGAAGGGGTGAAAATGAGAGCTGAGAACATTTGGCAGGACTGGTTTGGAAGTGTTCACAGTAGCAGCACCCCATCTCAGTCATGATGCATGAGTATTATCCCCTACTTGCATGGTTTTACTAATTGTGAATACATATAGGACTTATACCTATGGTATGTGGAACGGCGGGGTTGATCACGGCCATTGTCAGTCAGCATATGTCGATCCAGCTTCCTCTTGACGAAGTACCAAGCCGAATCTAAATCAAACCCACCTTTTCTTTGGTACGTAGTCTCATCCTATCATGTTGGCGGGGGGATACTTAGTATGTTCATCGCAGTGCCCCGAACTTATATAGGGTTGATTTCTGAACACGTGACTAACGCGTCGCGATCGACTTTGTTGACAGTGCGTCGGCGTACAAATAAGGTTCAAACTGGGAGTATAAGTACTGCGTGTTTGTCGCTGCAATATCCCTCAGTCAGTCCCGCCATTACTGCCATCATCATATCTTTCACGACCCCTCTATTTACTCGCCATTATGATCTCTACTTCTACCATGACTCGCGCCGCGCGTGTTGTTATGCAAGGCTATCTTACAGCCTCGTTTTTCAAAGAAATCGTCATCGACCACACTATTCAGGTCGTGTCCGAATTAGAGGAGGTCTCCGTTAGCCTCGTAACATTCACTGTCTGCTTCTCGACAGGCGTCCTTCTTCAAGCCTCTGCCAAAGCTGCTCGACAATTCCTCAGCGATGATTTCCAACGCGTCCCCGCTCCCAAGGACCATACCGCTGGACTCGACGCATTTGCTGGAGGCAACATTTTGGACGCGATCTCAACAACCAAGGCTTTCGGAACACCAGCTCGGTCATCCTCGTCGCGTGCAGTGATTGAATCAACCGAACCCACCTTTGAGGCTCCCACCAAAGACTTATCGACGACTGATTCTGACACGACGCTCATAGCCCACGATGCGGAGTTAGCTGTCTCAGACGTCGAGTCGCTTGCTGACGAAAGCACTTTCTACGAGGTAGGAAGCAGCGTGATTTTTCTGACTTCCATCTGCTAATGCTTGGGTCTATAGGACGACTGCCAGGCTACAGCGCACTGCCTTGCAGACGATGAACCGGACCACACTTTGCACGTCGGATACGACCCACAATCTATCGACAATCTAATCAGAAGATTTTCAGCTATTTCTCTCGACGATGTACCCGCTCATTTATCAGCGATTTCTCTCGACAATGTATCTCTTCATTTATCATCCACCTCTCTCGACGATGTATCTTCTCATTTATCTACTCTTTCCCTCGACAATGTACCCACGAACTTATCAGCCATTTCTCTCGACAATGTATCCTCCGATTTATCCATTTCTTCTCTCGACGATGTACCGTCTCATTTATCAACTCTTTCCCCGGACGATGTGTCCTATCATTTATCCATTCCTTCTCTCGACGACGTGTCCTATCATTTATCCACTCCTCTCGACAATGTACCTTCTCATGTATCCACTCCTTCTCTCGACAATGTAACATCTCATTTATCAAGCATCTCCCCGGACAATACATCCTCTCATTTACCCACTCCTTCTCTCGACAATGTAGCTTCTCAATTTTCTCTCGACGTACCCTCCCAACTATCAACTATTGGACGACATCACACTCTACAAGACCACGCTATCGACATCCTACCTGATTCATCTCAGCCTCCGAAGCTTCGGCCAACCATACCTGTAATTCTTCCTCTCGACGGTTCCCCTCAGTCATCGATTTGTCATCCCCAACGCACTCTAGTACACGACCACTCTATCGACAATCTAATCAGAAAAATAGCAGCTCTTTCCCTTGATGAGGTCCCTTCTCGATTATCAACACTTCGCCCGCATCACGCTATACACAACCACGCTATCGACGCTCTACTGCCAACATCAGAAGCTCTTACTCTCGACGACGACCATGCTATCGACAACACAGAAGTTCTTACTCTCGACGACAATCACACTTTCGACGCTCTATTGCAAAGCCCAGACGCTCTTACTACCCTACACGACGACACTATCGACGATTTACTTCAAAAGATGGAAGCGCTTACTCTCGACGATAACCCCCATTATACTCTCAGTCCTCGACACTTACTCCGCTATGCATCTTACACGACGATAGCCGTTCTTGATCCTCGGAATTTCAACTACGACTCACCCTACACGACGATGCTATCAACGCCATACTTCGACATGTGGAACCTCTTATTCTCCACGATAGTCCCTCGCAGTCGTCAAAACTTCGACTACTAGCACATTATCGATATCCTACTAGCCGCTAAACTCCACGCGACGTCTACGAATGGTGAGTAGCCCACCCATATACTCTCACCTCCCTTACTAATGTTTCGCTGTTAGAGTCCCCTACGACCAAACGTGTCAGACATCGTCGCATCCAACACGTCTTCGGTATCAGAGGTCCCCTACGACCAATCCGATGACGCCTACTAATGGTCTCCCTCGCTTTCCCCTACGACATGGAGTCATTATCCACGAGGTCGAAGGCCCCCGCACATACTACGCACCCAACCTATCGCAAGTCTTCGATGAGTCAAAGGTCCCCTACGACCAAATCTCGACGACGCACCAAACGACAAAGCGGCCTCCTCCACTGTCTACTGCGACCTGGAAGTCGAAGGCCACCGCCACTGTCTCAAAGTCCCGCATATAGTCCGCCTAGTTGACCAACTTGGTCCCTTCGGATTTCCTTCACTATCCATCAATTACCCATACTACACAGTTCTTTTGATTTGTTTTCCCCTTCATTGGTACGATCATGGACTGTACATTTAGTTTATTTACGGACACATTTCTCCGATTTATGTTTATTTCATTGATATGTTTTATTCCCCTTCATTCATTTTCGTTTATTGAGCCTGTACGCACAGTGAATACAATCTTCTTGCATATCCTCTGAAAGCAAGACGCTCTTGAGGCTCAGAACATTCAACCATTACCAAGGCAGTAGCTATTGTATCGCCAGATTGCTCTGCTGCGAGCGGAAAAGGTGATTCCCCTGATTCTTCTAGGAAATGCCGCTCTCCAAGCTTACATTGTATTCTCCCACTCTTATTTTCTAAGCATGAATACAATCCGACACGACGAGAAACCTGTTTCACAGTTTATCGTTTCCCTCGTATTCGAACTTTCTTGGTAGGTGGTCGCTCTTCGGGTTCATCATCACTTTCCTCTTCATCGCTCCCTGGTGCTTCACTGTGATCGTCGTCGCTGCCACCCACTTCACTTATCTCCTCGTCTTCATCCCATTCATCATCGCCAGATTCGCCAGCCTCAGAGGCTTCCTCATCAGAATTCTTTTGATTCTTCCGCGACACTTGTTCTTTTTCTGCTTTCTTCCGTTGCACGTTGCTTTCTTGTTCCTCCCGTCTCTGCTTTCGCAACCTCTCCTTGGCAACATGAGAAGCCTTGAGTGCAGCAGCTTCGGCCTTTGATTTTTTGACTGCATGATTAAAAGATCAGTTTACCTTGCATTGCGATATGCTTGATATGCAACGCACCAAATTCATGATACAGCACAGCACGTTCCCTCCCTGGAACGCCCTCGGAAATTTGGATCAGCCGCAGCTCCATCCTCGGGCCAACTTCACTTAGTCGGACAGCCTTCTTTTGCCCCTTCTTGTTATTCCGACCAACATAATCATCCGCCAATGACACCGGCTCCCCGTCATCGCCAGCAGCACTCGAAGCTGATGATGCCGCAGACTCATACCCGTCGGTCCCTGGGCTAGGCTCCCCTCTTTTTCTAAGCAAGAAGTCCGCAACATCCTTCTCGTTTCCAAGGTCCAAGAACCCACTGGAGGAGTTGGCTGATGTTTTTTTGGGGGCGCCTTCGAGTACGCGTCGGACGCGCTTTGAGACGCCGTATGGTTTTACAGTGATGGAGGTCGACGGTTCCTCTGTCGGGGTTGTATACTATCAAGACGATCCGACGGCAGTTGGAGAGTGACATTGAGTTGGGGGATAATGGAGGGAAAAGATAATGGAAGGATTTCATGAGCAGTGGGAGATGTGGGGGTGTTTCGGGCGAGGGTGGAGGGAACGAAGAGAGGACGACCTGGAAAGATAATCATGGTTGGATAAGACTATCAGACTGATGACCGAAGTCACGATATATCACTTACCAATGGGGCAGTGAGATACTCCATCCCCATGCTTCGTGAGGATCGAGAAGTTTTTAAGATATCTTTCATCAAGCTGTATAGAGTGGCGACTGTACGTACAATCAGACGTAAATGAGCTGCATGCAGAAGGCCTAGCTCCTGCTAAGCAGGGAGCACATCACGATCATGGGACGCGTTACTTATAGGTATGGCCGCTATAGCTGAGACGAATAGTAAGCATGTATCATGATGGCGCACGATACGTGATCATGAGACGCGTTACAGTTTATACTTATGGTCATGGCCATACATAACTGAGACGAATAACAAGCATGAACGGCGCATGATAGGCATTCCCTTGGCTAGGCATGTGCACGCGCAGGAGCGCTTCTAGGCGCACGATAGGAATTTCCTTGGCCAGGCATGTCACGGATGTGCATGAGCGCTTCTCGGAGCAACGAACGAATGAGTAACCAAACCGATTCCAAGGGGTTGAGAATGTCATCCAATTATATTCGGAGAATTATCATGACATGTGATTCAAGCATCTGCACTACAACAAAAGCACGAAGTATGTATGATATCGAGAGCAGTCAGTAATCAGCGTAGCGCAGCAAACAAAAAGAAAAACATGCGTAAGAAAAAGAAATTTTCATGAGCCTATGTAAAAGCATTCGTAACATTTCATCGTCGCTAGCGGAAAAGAAATCGAGTAAAGGAATGTGCATCGTCGCGTATTGTGTATTGCATATGTTTTTCATATTTTCCGGCGAAAGGGCAGTAGACAACATCAACCCTCAAAGACCCCCCTGCGGCGCAGACACACTTTTCCGACCCAGAATATCCTGAATCTCAGAAATAGTCCGCGCCGCGTCCATCGTCTGGGGTCCACCAGGGAGAATTGCCAATCGCTGCTTGGTAGTGTTCAGCGTTGCTTTCACGTTGGGGACTACTCGCGCGACGTAAGGTGCGATCAGAGGTTCCTTCAAGTCCAACGTCAGTACCTCAGTCGCACATCACACACAAGGGGATGGGACATACGTTGATGTTCAAAACAGTAGCTGTACGTTGCATCCACCACAAAGACGACTTGAAAGCTTCATCCACAGGAGGCGTCTCCGCGATTATAGTAGCGAGCTATAAACACATCAAAAAATCAAAATTAATCAACAAACAAATTCCACGAAACGACGTACCCGATGCAAAATCGACAAAATAACAGCCATAGACAACGGCCCCTTCCTATCCATAGGCATCACAACCTCCGGACTCGACCTCGCAAGCAACTCCCTCAGCTGCTTTGGATCCTGCGTACCCAGAACCGCCATATACGTATCTTCCCATGCATCATGCTGAGCAGGGGGAGAGCGCTGAGACAATGGTGGTGGTGGAGGGGGTTGGGGTGGAGCGATAGGGTGAGACGCTTGAGGCGCAGCAATCGTAGAAGGATACCACGTAGCGTGCATTTGCGACGGCTGTGGTTGCTGGGAGAACGAACCGAGAGATTGACTGCTGTACATCGGAGCCTGCGTCGTTGGAGGAGGGAGGTTCTGAGAGCGGTGCATGCCTTGACTCATAGAGCTCATGTTGGAGACGCTAGGAGCGGGGGAACCGCTGCTGGCTATCCGATGACTGGCAGCCGTGTTGAGCGATAAGAACTTGACTTGGTCGGACAACATCCTGACGGAATGCTCAAGGTCCCTGATCAAAGACTACAGAACTCGTCAGAACGATCTCATCCCATAGACAAGACACTCACCTCCTGACTCCGCGCAGCTTCAGTCTGCCATGACATAGAATCTTTCTTCACATTCAAAATCTCCGCCCTCATCTCCCGAAGGATATCCTGGTGCATAGCCGAAGTCTGCTGAGAGTACGTCGGGATGATATTCTTCGTAACAGAGTCCTTGATGTACCGCTCGATGAGAGGGTTCAAATTCGTCGAGAGGATACTAGCGAAATGGTTCGAGATATCAGGGCGCAGAAGCAGCTTCTCAATCTCACTCGGAAGGCTCTACATACAACAAAGGTCAGAACCACCACTCCAATGAGGAACCAGGAGCACAACGTACATTCTGAATGAATTCCGTCAACCCCCTTCCAACATGCTCATTGAGAGCAGCTCGAACTTCAGTCCTCGTGATATGCTCAAGCGCAGGTAACACCGAGTTCTGGACTTCAGCTTTAACAGCCATCTCAACAACCCTAGTCGTATTCCTCGTGAGCTCTGTCGATATCAACTTGAGAATCTTCTCCTGTCGATTGAAATCCTCAGCCTGCTCATGGGCGCGCGCTTCTTCAAGCCGTTGGTCTGGGAAAACAAAACCAAGATCAACAAACTGCAAAAGGCATCTTATGCCCAACGGCTACTTACGTTGCTTATCCATCTCTTTTCCGATGAGCCGTCCTATACGGGTGTGCAAGCTCTCTTCGCTCTTCTTGATCTCCTTCGTAACGACCAGGGCGATGCCAGTATCACTACTGGCGCCCGCATCGCCTTTGAATTTCTCCGCCTCTTTGGCCTGTTCTCGATCCCTAAACGCGACGTTCTTCCCTCTTACATTCTTCCCCTTTGCATCGTGCGCACGGACCTCGTCGCGGGCGATATCAGCCTCGAGTTCTTCGGAAGGAGGAGTCCTGGTTCTAGCAGGGGAGACGATGGACGCAGACGGCTGTGTCACGGGTGCAGGCCCAGGCCCACTGATGGACACCGGCGCTGGAGGCATGTGACGGGTACCCTTTGCCTCCGCGGGGGCCGCAGGCATATAAGGGGGGAACTTTGCAGGAGCGTTCAACACAGCCGTATCGTACCACTCTTTCCTAATCAAGACCTGATCGACACCGGTGGAATGCACGGAGAACGCGACGAGAGCGAGGTCACCTGGGGGAAGTTTAGCAGCAACGCAAGCTGCGTGCGCTTCGTCGCCTGTGGGGTCTGCGTCGGCCGAGAGTATGACAAAGTGGATAGTCGGTTTCGGGCCGGAGAACTCGACGACTTGTTCGAAGAAGCCACCGCGAACGAGCTCGCCCGAGGTTGAGGCTGAGACGTCAAACCCGATGCGCAATGCAATGAGACTGTCGCGGCGGTTGTTGGCAACCCAGAGCGTCTGGATTCTGGAGTCGTAGTTGACGTGACCGAACATGTCAGGGTCTTCTTTGTTCCCGTTGACGAACTTGAATGTGGAGAGGACGTTCTTGGTGATGACGGAGAGGAGCTGGAACATGGTACCGTTCCTCCTCCCGATGACGATGCCATCATCGATGAAAGTCAAAGATGACGGGACATCATCGCCACGAACACGGTGGGTCCAGAAGGGCAACTTGTCATGGACGTTCCACAGCGTGAGCGTGGAGTCCTCGGAAATAGTAGCCAGTGCGAAATGAGGAACATCGAAGTCAAACGCGACCAAGCGCTGTTACAAAGGATGAGAAGACATCAAAAAATGAAGCAATAGGACTGACCGATGGCACAGAAAATACTTGAGAAATACGATTCAATTCAACTTGCGGCAAGGGCTCTCCTCTGAAAGTACGCGCAGCGTCCGCTAAATCAAGTAAATACATTTTGGACTCAGATGCCACTGCCAGAGTGTCGGGTTGCTTGGGGTGCCATTTCACAGAGTGTAGAGGGTCGGCGTCAGCGCTGGGGACGATACATAACAAGAGTCGCCCGCTACAAATACGATTAGAACAAGAAGATCACTAGCACTGATAGAACTCACGGCACATCATCCGTGATGACCTCGGGGAGTTCCCACACAACAAAACCACCGTCGGAGGTGACGCCTGCCAGTCTGTTGCCGTATACAGCCATATCGATGACCGATGTGGCAGGTGCAAAGACCGTCGGCAGCTGAAGAAGAGTGCGATCACCGCTTGATCGCGAGATGACGCGAACACGACCCTTGGTCATAGCATACGCAATCCAATGAGTGGCGCCGATGGTCGTACCAGGCAAGAAGACAGAGTCCTGCTTGACCAACGCAATTGCGGTAGATTTCACGGCGTCTCTAGGAGCCTGCACATCGTCCAGCGGCTGTGATACATCGAATACGATAGTTTGAGGTTGCGAACTAAGTGAGTGTAAGTAAAGGCACGTGTCAAAAACGTGGAAAGCTTGCCTTGGACTCGTATGTGCCTTTCCTTTGGCAGCACCTTTGCCTCTGCCCTCATTCTTCCAGGTGTTACGAGGACCGGGCGAACCGTCCTTCTCTCGCCTAGCAGGCGGCATGGGAGCCTGACCGAGAGGAGATTCCACAGGTCGTGGCTGAGGACGCGGCTGCTGGGCAGCAGGCTTCGGGGGAGAACCCCTAGGAGGCGAAGCACGGCCAGGCTTGGGAGGAAGAGGTGGGGGTGGGGGCATAGTGCGAGGTTGGACGGGTTGCTGCTGAGGGGTCGGCTGTGATTCCACCTGGGAATACTCGTCCGTGGTGCTATAAGGGTCATAGGTTGGAGAGGATGCCTGTCCAGAGGGGTAGGACTGCTGGGACCTGGTCAACTGGTCCATAAGATTCTCGACGGACTTGCGCTTTGGATCGTTGAGAGACCCGAGGGAAGCGGAGGTCCAGGAGTCTTCGTTTGTGCTGGATGCACTTGCAGGACCTGCGGGGACAGGCTTCTTCTTGACGGTGGAGGTGGAGTCAAGAGCATCAAAGGGAGAAACGAACTCAAACATAGACTTCCGAGGAGAGGGTGGGAGCTGCTGGGGCTGCTGAGGCGGCGGGGGGTTGTGCTGAAGGGTATCCCTGGGCTGTTCTTGTGGGATGTAAGGACCTTCATTGAGATGGTACGAGTCTCCCATGGAAGACTGCCCCATCGACAGCTGAGAGGGCTGGAACTGGGGGGTGGAAGCAGGAGGCAAGGTCGTCATCGGTGGTGGAGCGGGTTCGGTAAAATTTGAACGAGGAGCCGTACTATCATAAAGATCAGCATAAAAGGTATCAAGGAAATCCCAAGAGGTCATGGTGGAAAGATGGAAAGCGAGATGAAAAGAATTGGAAGAAAAGGATGCAGCCTCGTGTATGAAGTGAGGCGGGAGGACATGAAGTGTGGCCAAAAATGAAGTTGTACTGACCCCATGAGCTGTTCTAGGAGGATCTTTCCTTGAGTTTCGCTGTTATTTGAAGGGGATTGACCTGATCTTATAGATGAAGCGGGTGGAGAGGGGATTTGCTGAGACTGCTGAAGGGGTCTTAGAGAAGAGACGGAGGAAGCAGCGGGATATAGCAAGGAGAGGAGGGCGCTTTGCCTATCAGCTGGAGTAGTTGAAACAGCTGGAGCTGAGTGGGTCGAAGCATCATCGTCAGTGATCATGCTTGGAGTCGCAGGCGCAGAATGATTCTGAGTTGTGATTGACTGGAACAAGGAATCAATATGAGTAGGAGGTGTTATGGTTGGAAAGGGTTCTCTGGGAGGAGTGACGCTTCCTCTTGAGAAAAGCTTGTCGTGAAGATTGGATTGCCTTGAGTCCATTATCAATGAAGAAGCAAGCTATAGAGCACGAAGAAGAGAGGTTGTCCTAGCAAAAAAACTCGACTGGCCTCGTTGAACACACGAGGATGGCACGAGGCGGTAATCCAAAAAAAGTCAACCTTCGCACTGCTTTATTGTTATCGAACTCAACCGTACGCGCGTCACGAACCTGATAACACCATTCAACGGCAGCCCTCTTACATGCACCGTAATCTATACCAATAAGAATCAAGTCTCTCATCTAGCTATGGCTAGTCTAAGCCCACTAGGCCCCTTGACCAGAATTCAACTTGAATGATACCGAGCGTGAGAAAGCTGCGGTAACCCTTCTGCGCGTCACTTTCAAGAGCACCTCTAACACAGCTCACGACACGACCACAAATTTCTCTCCTCAACATGCCCTCCAAAGGATGGTTCAACCTCGAATCGGCAGGCGGTATCATCCCAGAGACCCAATTTTTTGAGGGGGACTCCGCTTTCAAGTTTCTCGGTCTCACTCGTACACAGAGATTATACGGCTTTGTTGGCTGGTGTGTTTTGTCTATCAACTAACCTCAAGGCTGCCTCAACATTCGCAGTCTCATCATAGGCTTTGCACTAAGTATACTAGGCAGCATCTTGCTTTTCTTGGGTCAGCTCGGTAGTTTTGCAGGTCAGTTTCCTTCTATTGCTCCAAGTTCACCTGTGACCACCTCCTTACAAAGTTCTCTACACTATCGGAATCATGGTGTCGCTCGTCGGCACCGGCTTCGTCATTGGAGTGAGCTTGTCCTCCTTATTGTCGCCCTTGACACTAACGTCCGCATAGTTTGCGTCTCAATTCAAGCTTGTGTGTTTCATGTCCTCCAAATACTACACAACTCAAACACTCCATCATAGATGTTCAAACCCGTACGAATCATCGCCACAGTTGTCTTCCTGGGCTCAGTAGGTCTCGTCTTCGTTGGTGCCTTTGTACTCAAGAACGAGGTCCGTACTCCTTTCCTGTACCTAGACTACGCTGACCCCCATCTTCCAGGTACTGTGCATCAGTAAGTTCCTACCAACCTCGCATGTTGCCGACCCCTAATGTTTTGATGTCATCAGTTTTCGTCATCATCGAATACCTCGCCTACACCTGGTACAACCTATCCTACATCCCGTACGCCCGATCAGCAGTGCTCAAACTCGTCGGTATGAGTTAATGACATGTATGTTGACGAGATCATGATGGATAATGCTTGATGACCCGTTGCTTTGCAATGATATATGATGTTAATCAATACATTTGTAGAATTCGTTCCCTCGGCCAGATAATCAATAATCAATGTGCTACCCGCACTAGAGCCTGGTTCTACACCGCCTTAGTCAAACTGGCTGAATTAAATCCCAAAAACGTACCTCCTCACCCCCTAAAGTTGTTCTTCAGCTCGCGCAACTTGGTCATAACAGCACTGGGTTCCTCTGCACCAGTGGCCTGCCTATAATAGCCAAATAAGCGCACGGCTATCATCATCGAAACACCGCATACTTTATGGCAGATTGATCCAAACGCATAAACACATTCCACTCCTTCTCATCACCGATGGTCGACAGACCAGTAGTCACCTTGTTCTCCTGTGCAAGCTTGATAAGACGATCGATACCTGGGTTGTTGGGTTCGACCGTCTTGGCGAATGCAACGTTACCAGCGGTATATTCGTGACCGTTGTATACGGTCGTGTCGTCTGGGAGCGTTGCCAGTTTGGAAAGGGATGTGTGCATTTGCTCTGCCGTGCCTTCGAAGAAACGACCGCAACCGCCTGGGGCGGTGTCAAGGGTGCGGGGAGTTACGAAACTAGCATAGACGTACCTAAGAACAGGGTGTCCCCTGTGAACACACCGCCGGCCTGAGACTTATTGCTGGTGTCCGTTACGTAGTAGCAGATGGAATCCTTGGTATGGCAAGGAGTTGCCAAGCATCTGTTGCGGTCCCGGTCAACGTTTGACTATGAAACAAGGGGGTTGGACTCACTGAACGTGTATGTTATCACCAACAGTAAACTCGCCACCATCTTCAACGAGGTCAGTTTTAGATGGCACATCAAATCCTCCATACACGGGGATACTAGGATACGTAGAAACCTTGGAGTTGGAACGAGGGTGAATCCACTACCATCAAATTTTTGCACGTTACCCACCAGTGTCTATCAAAGCCGAAACAACGTTAGGGTGATAGTGGACCAGTACAATCGGGAACAAACATGCCTTGTTTCCGCCGCTGTGATCTTGATGGTGATGCGTGGTGATCCCAGCGACGATGCTCACGCCTTCCTTCTCAGCTACAGCCTGTACCTTTTCCACATCTAACACATCCACCACCGCTGCCTTCATGCTAGGCTCATCGATGAGGAGGTACGCATAGTTATCTGCGCTAACGAGAACAGGTACGACTTTCATCCTGAGGGCTGGGATTGTAGATGAGAAATGCCGGATTGGACTACGGAATGCGATGGAACGCAAATGGAGCATATGTCATCCAAGGGTCACTGCAAAAGTGATGGTGATGGTCTGTCGCGGAGATTTAACAAACCTTGTCCAGATATTCTTAGTATGAGGTTTGTAACAAAGGCGTTGATCACGCGTGCGTGCCGGCCACCTCGCATCTCATGTACAGCCTTGGATAAAGGCCTGATGTGATGGAGGTCCACTTCTCACATGTCAAACTGGGGTGTTTTCCCTCCCCCTTGAGCGTCTTTTCTCTCTTCTGGTTTTGCTTATTTTTTGATTGCCCTGGAGTGCTGGTCATTTCCTCTTTGCTATCCGACTCCCACTATTAGGCTCTTGACTCCTGAGCGCTTTGGATGCAGGACGGAACTTGAGCAAGACTTTGTCTATTGTGAGTGTTCACTTGGATGTCTTTTGACTGGGTGTTTATGGTTGGGTTTTAGCAGTGTCTTTGTGGATAACAACTCGCGTGCTAATAACTTCTTGTCGTCGACTCTGTAGTACAGATGGCACCCAGCCATCCTAATAAACAACCACCCATCAGCATCGTCGAGCCTCCTACTTCATCCACCAGCACCGCCGAGTCTTCTGCTTCATCCTCCAGCACCACCGAGTATTCTCCTTCATCCACCGGCACTTCTGCTATACCCACCAGCACCCCCAACACTTCTGAGATACCCGCCAGCACCCCCGGGTATTCCTATCCCCCCACCACCACCACCACTACCCCCTCTGAACCAACCACCCCATCCAGCGCGACGACCGCGGTGTCACTCCAATCGGGAACAACCCAAACTCCTGCTGATCCAACTGCATCGCCAGCAGCGGGAGCGGTAGCATCATCATCAGCAGCAGCAGCAGCAGCATCAGCATCATCATACCCGGGAACAACGACCAGCGTAACAACTGGCTCCACCTCAAATCTTAACGCAGGCGCCATTGCAGGCGGTACTATTGGAGGAGTCGTCGTCCTAGCATTGCTTATCCTCGGCCTCATCCTCTGCCGTCGCGCTCAACGAAGAAAACACATCGCACCCTCTTCAGAATTCGCAGAGACCATCAAACGCGGAGAGCTGCCCGTCCTCCGCCTAGATTGCGGCGTAGAAATCGTACCCTCTGTCGTACAACATCACATCCCTCTGCCACTAAAGCAAGACTCGTATTACACAAGTCCTGCCATGTCGGATATGAAGTTTCCAGATGGGATGGGGGGTTCAGATGAGCAGTCAGTGCGCTACAGTTTAGAAAAGCCGCTGCAGCCTCTTCGGCGGCCAGTCCAACAAGATTCGAATGAATCTATGAAAATGGGCCAAGCCCCAGCACGCAGGGTATCCAGCATTGGCAGCTCGCAAGAGTTCTGGTCTCGCGATACAGGGAAATTCGACATTCGTAAAGACTATAGGTCCATATCCCCCCTTCCCGCAACCGATATCAGCTACGCGCCATTGATGCAAAATACATACCCCATGGAGCCTTCCGGCGCAGTAGAGACCTTACAGAACGCATATGCTGATCTGTGGAACCTCTCCGTTGCCCCAATCGCGCAATCACGGCCAGATTCTGTGTGGAACGGTGCGGGTACACAGCCATTGCCCCCGTTGATACCTGTACGACGTAGTGTGGATGTTAGCCAGAGGAGGTTTTAATTTATTATTAGGTATGGGTATCACCCGTGTATGTTTACTGAACCTTTTTGTTCGAGTCGTTTTTCTGATATCGCTACATGGTAGTCATCCACGGGGATTTATGTACTGATTTACAGTATGTTTGACTCTGGAGATCATGCGCGGCAGGCTTGGGTCTGTTCCTCTCCTGTTTCCAGCATCTTTCACCAAAGTCCGGCATACTACCGCGGGGGTAAGGCTCATGAACAGTTATTCCTCGCATTCGCACACCCCGAATATCTGGCAATACAAACCTGCGCCGGCGGCAGATGTGAAGGCAGATTTCGCACTAGGCAGTACCAGTGAGACAGCAGGATCGATTTTTTTCAGATCTGCAACTAAACATAGCGGATACTTCTTTGTTCCCCGATCATTTAGAAGTTGAGAGCATCATCATCGCCTTCAACAGATATAGCACAGTAAGACACCCGGCCGAAGCAATTTCTAGCACTATCGCTTTCCAACTCAAGCTTGTCTCGTTTGCCTGTCCCTTCATCTCCCATCGTATGGTCATATGTAGTAAAGCAGTGATAGATCCAATGTAATCCTATACCACCTTATGGCCATATGATAGCGACGTTCATAAAGCTAACTTATTTCTATCCCGCTTGATTTGTATTTTTGCCCCCTCATCTCCCATCGTATAGTAAAGCGGTAATGGATTCAATGTGAATCATGTGCCACCTTATGGCCATACCATAACGATGAATAAAGTCGGGCAACTTTCCAATATTCCATCTTCCCTGACTGCCTCGAGATTCGATCGACAGGCTAAAAGAGCTGCTTTGTGATCACGATGTATAAAAAGGGTTGTAGCATGGGACGTCGCGTCGCGTCTATGCAAAGAAAAGCCCCATGGCTGTCAGTTCTACGTTCACATATGGCAGCGCGTCGCACAGTGAAAGCCAATAATGCGCTGCATGACATCAACGCCTAGCGCCCCCGTATCATGACAACGGTGCCTGCAGAGGTGGCATCCCTATCGACGTACTGCACCCTTATGCTGTTATTTATGACCGAACTTGTTGATAGAGTCCTGGATGTTGGAATCAGGGTGTGCAAAATAGGGAATATCCTTGGCAGATCAGGGGAAACGAGTGAACTTGCCAGTGCTTGATCTGTGTTCATAAAGTCTTCACACAATAACTGCCGATCTCGGAAACCACCGTTGTTTAGAATGCGCACTGGCCTGGATGTTGAGGCGTTCAGATGATCAAGGAATGAAGTCTACGAATAAGGGACGTGCGCACCGGATCGTGGAGATATGTTATATCTGAAGCCCCAAAGGTCCCCCCTTGTGAGAGGCTTGCAGGCACTGCGACCCTTGGGCCTTGAGAACGTCACTGACAAAAATACTGACCGCCGTGACGAAGTGAATTTCGTATCGCAGGGTAGTCAACAGATCAAGTTGAAGATGATCTTTCTCCGCCATACGTTCGTGTCCATCAGGAAATTCCAGGCTGTCGTCGTGGCCAGCAGCTGGCCAATATTAAGCGCTGAGCAGCGAGCTGGCCAAGGCTTCAAAGCATCATGATTCATGCATCGCGATTGATATCCGTGGCAACTTGAAGGTTAATGCCAAGGCTAAAACCAGCTTATGTAATTATGTAATTGAAGTTATGATTCATATTAATAATTATGATGCAGTGTCGCTGTAGTAGGAGTTACATTCACTACGCTCGACTATGCTGGACCACTGCTCGATCTCGCACAAAGGTAAGTCCAATTATCTGTTTTAAGCAGCTGAACCTCACTATCAGTTGCAGGAGGTATTGTATTATGGTCACGCTCCTTCACGCCAGAAGCATCTCACTTGGCTTCTTCTCCCTCGTCTCCCGTGAACTCTCTCATACGTGAAGCATTGATCGAAGGCCGGACAGCTGAGGAGAAATACGAGAAGGACGGGTATGCAGTGAAGTGGACATTCTTTAATGATCTAGAGCTCATTTTTGTGGTACGTTGGCCGTCAATTCTGCCGCAGTAACTCGACCGACGTTCAGAAATATAGGTTGCCTATCACCGCATTCTTCAACTTACTTACGTGGACGACCTGCTAGCTGCTCTCAGATCACTGTTTATCAAGCTATTCGAACCATTCCTGACTAGTTTCGTCGCTTCGCTGCATGCGATAAAAAGCGGCAAGCTCGTGTCAGCTGCTGCGCGCGACTCTCACAATACGTGGAACTTTGCAAAAGCATTTGAAGGCTGGGATGGTGTCTTCGACAAGCTCTTGAAGGGATTTGAAGACAAAGCTGCACAGGTGCGCCCTTACCCACGCATATATATCGTAATTGCTCACTCCGAGCCTGCAGGAGCGGAAGTCTCGCTATAGACCAGTGGCCCCAGCTCTGCCTGACCCCAGTCCTCCTTCCGATGACCTCAGTACAGGTGAGCTTTTCATCCACTATTACAAGAATATATCCTTAAGCGACTTCAAGTTCCCTCCGAATCGTCGATTGCAGTGCAGGACGAGCAACAGATAGCTCGGAACGTCCAAGCGCTCAAGAATAGACTGCGCGGTCGGGGTGGCCGGAGGGGAGGACGAGGTGCGGCGAGGGTGGACTCGGGAAGTGGCCGGGACAGCATGCCAGCTTCAGAGTGAGTGCGCAAATAATCTTGTCTCAAACCAATGTTTTACATTATACAGCTCCGAGTCAACGAGTAAGAAGTCGAAAGGCAAGGCGCAGCGGAAATGGGGCGAATCGGCCCCGTCAGAAACAGAAATGGCCTCTTTGGACTTTAGCACCGACAAGCCTGACTCCAGCGCAAATGGTCATTTATCACATGACTTGCAAGCCCTCGTCGACAAAGCTTCTCTTGGAACAAGGACAAGAGATGGCCTATACGAGGTGAAAGATTGGGACTTTGGTGGAAAGGACTCCGAGTCAAATGGTGCTATCACCCGTGCTTTAAAGAATGAGGGTCCAAAGCAGCCATCGGGTTCATTGGGCGCTCTCAGTTCTTTGTTCTCCCGATTGACAGGCTCCAAAGTGTTAACCGAACAAGATTTGAAGCCTGTACTGGAGGGTATGAAACAACATCTTATGAAGAAGAATGTCGCCATGGAAATTGCGGACAAAGTTTGTGAAGGTGTCGGAGAGAGTCTTGTGGGGAAGAAAGTTGGAGGTTTCCAAAGTATGCCGTGTCTTGCATCTTTATGTCTCGTGTTTTTGACGCAGTTTTAGCCACCAGTAATGCCGTTCGGACGGCATTGTCATCTTCGCTCACGCGTATTCTGACGCCCAAGACCTCGACAGACCTGTTGTTGTCAATCAGGACTAAACTTTCTTCCCCCCTGCCTTCCGCTCAACAAAGGATGCCTTATAGCATCACCTTTGTGGGTGTGAATGGCGTAGGGAAGAGCACAAACTTATCAAAAGTCTGTTTCTGGCTCATCCAAAACGGTTTGCGGGTGCTCATTGCAGCATGTGACACTTTCCGGTAAGAGAATTTTAACGCGCAACTTGTGCTTATTTCTGAACATCACGTGAAGGAGCGGCGCAGTTGAACAGCTTCGCGTACATGTGCGCAACCTTTCCATGCTTGGCGTCAATGGCGCAACGAATAGCAAAGGCCGTGTCGAACTGTATGAGAAGGGGTACGGGAAAGATGCTGCGGGCATCGCCAAAGAAGCCATCGCATATGGTAAATAATTTTCCTGTTCCGAGTACATTTTCAGCTCAAGAATTCTGTACCAGCCAAAGATAACGACTTTGACGTCGTCTTGATTGACACAGCCGGGCGCATGCAAGATAACGAGGTACGCAAACTGGCTTTATAATTGTCACGACCCTAATGGGTCATTTTCTGCCAGCCCCTCATGCGCGCACTTGCCAAGGTATGATACGCGGTGGAGGCTTCTTTGAACGCCGTTGATGAATTCCACAGCTTGTCGCTGCGAATAACCCAGACAAGATTATCTTTGTCGGCGAGGCGCTCGTAGGCAATGAGGCCGTTGACCAGCTTACTAAATTTGACCGCGCCCTTCGTGACTTTTCGTCTGCATCCGGCTCGGGCAAGGGGCGTGGCATCGACGGTATGCTAGTGACCAAGTGGGATACGGTAGATGACAAGGTGCGTGATTTGCTTACTGCAGCAATGCCATCTGACACTCGTGCATAGGTTGGTGCAGCGCTCTCGATGACATATGTGACAGGCCAGCCAATTATTTTTGTCGGATGTGGCCAGGTTTGTTTTTTGTCCCAGTAATGCATAGCCAGCATTCTAACTGTTTTCACAGACATATACCGACCTCCGTCAGCTGAGAGTTGCGAACGTGGTACAGGCGATACTGAGCGACTGATATTCCTGATTAGTAATTTTGCTATGTACTTGCTATCTATATTGGATCAATACCAGTGCTGAGAATTAGTGCGGCTGGCAAGCAACGAAACCCCGGACTTTCTTCAAGCATGAGCTCGGGAGACCGCAGGACTATCCACATGCTGCGTTCACGGCGTATCTTGCCTTGATACTATCGGCTCTTGGTACGTGGTGCGTGCTAGTAGAAGACCCACGCCGGAGGACTGCGACGTATTTTAGACGTGGCTTTGGGACAAGACAGTTGGATAAAAGTACTGTCGCAGGAGCCCTTAGATGTCCGCATGGAACCTACACCATGATAGAAGCTATACGCTGTGGATAGAGGTTCCAGTGAAAATTATTAGACAAAACCAGATGCAGTCAAAAGTATAGCTGAAATTCAGAATCAGCGCTCCAATGAAATTAACTGCATGCAGTTTCAGGGGAAGTTACTCTGAAACATTCAGCACCAGTGCATTTTCCAGTGATTTTTATTGGAACTACTATTTACAGTATATAATTACATAGATCAGGTGAGCGGATGTGACTTCCGCGTGAAGGTCTAGTTGATAAGAACATGTACCAGACGACAGCAATACCACATAGAACTACACACCAATATGTATGAAAACCATCCTCTGCTCGAGCGGCACTTTTGTCATCACGGCATGTGTAGCACGGTTCAGTGCCCAGGCCGCCTTTGTGCAGTCTATGATACCGTCCTCTAGGTCTTCGAACATCTTCTCGTAGAAAGCTTCCACAACGTGTTTTGCGAGAGCGTCACTGACCCCCCACAGCGTGCCAACGACGCTCTTGAACCCCGAAAACTGGAGTCCAGCCGCGAGGTGGATGGCTTCGTCAGGCGTCTCCTCATCGCCGACGGCGGTATGACATGCTGACAAGAATGCGAATTCAGCTTGCGGAGAATTGTTCTCCATGATGTCAAGCAGCGTAACGGGTTTGTCTCTCATGGCGAAACATGAGTTATAAGGCTGCTCAAGGTCTTGCTTGCCGTGGCAAGCGAGGTGCACCCAGGTGTTGCACTGCAAAGCATTGAGCGCACCTGCACGTGTGGCTTCGTCTTTCGACATATTAGTGAACTTGATGTTGGGAGGAACGAGTGTATGGACAAGCTCAAGCTCGCTGTCGACAGCCGGGAGCACGTCGCCTTGCCCTGCGCCTGGTTGACTTTGTCCGATCGCCGCGAAGGAGGGAGTCGCACGTGTCTTCGTCGCCTGCCGAGCTCTAATAAGAGCTGAAAGTGTGGGTGTATATGAGCAGATGTAGAGATCCTCCAGGCATGACTCCTTCCCAGAGCGATCTGAGTTGATTCGGAAGGGGTTGGCTGCATGGAGAGGGATGGACGTGAAGGCCGCCGTCGGACACAGCCATATTCGAGACCGATGCTGCAATTTCAGGTCATACTGGAGGACATTAACGATGTGTAGCATGATCTCGTCCCACACTATCCGCAAGAGCACTCGCAACTTCTTCCTCGGCTCCTCTGGGCGCATACGAGCCGTATGCCGGATTGCCGTAGCGAAATCGTCCTTGAGCTTCTCCAGATGGGAGAGAGTGATGCGCTGGAAGCGAACGTGATGGGGCTCTCCTGATGTCGGGACAATGATGGCGCTGCACGAGTATTCGCTGGCAATGAGGATGATGACCGGGCCCTGGCGCGCTGCTGCTTGCAACTCCGTGTACGATGGCGGGAGCAGGAATCGCGAAAAAGCTCGAAGATTACGTATCTCAGCTACCACAGCTTCCCATTGCCTTGCAAGTCTCTTATACTCTGTCGCTGCTCGATCAGCAGCAGCTCGGTCTGTGCTGCCTACGGAACCCTGGGCATCAGAAAGGTGTTTGCTGAGCTCCGAGAATTTGTGAGCTATCTCGGGATTCGAAGACTGGAGGTCGTCGAGTGGACTCCTCAGGCGAGAGGCCAATGACCACTGTTGGCCACGGCCCTGCTCCACCAGTTCGACTGCGTGTCGTAGGTTGTCACGGCGTATGGCGCATGATGCTGCATTCACAGGTAGTCTTGAGATATCAAACTTGAATGCAGCAGCAGCTTCACGCCGTGAAGCCGGCGATGACCGCGTTCTCAAATGAGCATCCAGAAGCTCGAAAAAATTTGAGTAAGCCTCCAGTGCAGATCCATGACCATGTTGCTCCGCTACAACAGTCCAATTATATGCTTGACCGATGCGCTCTGGGAATCCTTGAGTGGGGTGTTGTGATCCCAGTCTAAAGTTCTCCACTGCGAGTGACAAATCAGCTGGATCGTGTTGTACCTCGTAACGAGCCATATGGCCTTGCTCCAGCCGCAGGTGGCTGAAAGTCCTGTGTGGGTGCAGTGAAGGCAATGCCACCAACGATTCATGGCAGACTTGAATGGCCTCCTCGATATCTTCATTCTTCCCAGTTTGCCTGAAACGAGAGCAGAGTGCTAAGCTCAAATTGAAAAGAGGCATATGGCGCTCTGGATGATCAAGCCGCGTTATCCGAATGGATTCGCGACACAGATTGATGGCCTCGTGAAGATCCTCAATGACGTGTAATTGGTCATATCTGTATTGGAGCGAATCGGAAAGGTTGTTAAGCGTGATGTCACGACATGGATGCCCAGGTGGGCGCAACGTCAGTGCCTCGCGATAGAGGCTGACAGCTCGGTTGATATCATCAACGTCACCACGTTCTTTGGAACGGGTGCGGAGGGCGGACCCTAGGTTGTCCAATGAGTGATAACGTCGTTGGTGCCCAACAGGACGCAGGCGCAGTCCTTCTTCGCACCAAGAGATGGCCTCATCAAGGTCATGTGATTTGCCTTCGTGATCGAAGCGGAGATGCAGTGAGAAGGCCAAGTTGTTCAGGTAGATACCATGTTCAGAATGTCCCTCGGGGCTCAGAGAGACGGCTTCACGACCACGCTGTATGCTCTCGTCTATATCATCACTACTGCCACATTGTTGAAAGTGTGTGCTGAGAGCCAATGAAAGCATGTAGAGTGCTTGTGGATGGAATTGGTGACCCAAAGGACAGAGTTCGAGCACGACTCGTCGAAGGTGGATGCCTTCATCAGATGCATCAATCGGAAGATTGTTGGATCTGTTGATCACAAAAAGGACCGCACTGTCTACAATGCCACGAAGGTAGGTGCCCTTTGGACAGAGGGGCAGTAGCTTATAGCATAGTTGCAGGGATTCACGAATATAGACAGCGGTGGGCTCCTTGCTGTAACGCCAGTTCAATGCGAAAATGAGATTATGGACAGATAATGTGTGATCTCCGTGGCCCTGTGGACGCAATGCAAGGGCTTTGTGGAAGAGGGAAGTGGTGGTATCAATGTCTTGAAGATCGTTTAGAATATAGCCTAGAAGGCGGGCCCACGCGAGGTTGGTGAGAGCCGCTGCATGGTCAGGATGGTCAACCGGACGGCGGTCAAGAACCAACTGAAAATGCTGTAAAGCATCATTCAGGTGAGAGACCGTCCTGCTGGACATGTATTCAGCAAATCGTGCGTGGCCCGCATCTGTCTCTTGAGCAATCTCGCAGTCTACGAGGGACTACGGTTGGTGTTCCGTCAGCAGGAGCTACTAGCAGAGGTCAGTATCACTCACATCAAATAGTGTGCCGTCCTGATTATCGTTAGTGTGTACAACAGTGACCTTCAGTGTGAGCGAAGGATTGACACCACGAACGGGTGGGAAGGACAGTTCTACGGAATGTGAATAGATACACATGAATGAGCAGCAAATTACTCACCGAATGGCTCATCTCCGTGACCGAGCAGCTCATCCCACGATGTTTGAAGTTTTCCAATGACTTCACCATTGCCAAGCATTCGGTCGACCTCGTAGGACGCTCTGATCTCCGCTGACAATGCAGGTGACTCATGGGATGATCTGTAAACCGAGGATGAGTTCTCGAATCGCGTCCGAAAGTTTCGAGGGAGTTTACAGGGTCACAGTATCTCCCCACGCTACAGAATCGTCGGATGATAAGACTCTGACGGCTGATTTCCAGCGTCTCCTTGAGTCGACATTGATGGACACGTAAATGCCTGCGGGTATGCGCTGGAAAGGCATTTTAAGATTTTTTCCACTGATGACTGGAGATAGAGCGTGAGGATCACAAAGAGATATGAAGTGATATGGAGCGATCCACCTTCAAGTGTGATTGATTGGCGTTTTAAGTTACTGGGCATGATGGTATAATGAAGCGAAATGATAAGAATCGAGGGTGGGCTTAGTGCCGGGCGGAATGAGTGGTACGAGAAGACAGGGGTGGGGATATGGGTACTGTTTGTCTGAGAGGGAGAGAAGAGGTTGAGGGATTAGTTGATGGCTGTACGTGTATTTGCATCATGTTGTTGAGGGCTGTTCAGCACGATAGACGCTGGTATGATTAGATTAAGTGCTGAGACCAAAGATGCATGCCGAGTGAAGAACCTGTGTGTAGGACACCAACATCATGCAAGATTCTGAGCGCCCTGTGGTGTTTGCTACTCCTGTACCTACGTCTCATTTAGCACACCATGGCAACATGTAGAATCGAGATTATTCGTAAGTTAATGCAAACCGGTGAAAACAGAAAAGGCTGAATGATTATATGAGTACGACCGAGCTGACAGTGCCATGGAAGGATGATTGAGTGTACTTTTGACCATGTGACGTCCGCAACCAGGCTTGCGCACTTGGAGTCTGCAGCCAGTTCATGTCCGCCCTGGGTCTGCAGCCAGTCATGCCCGCTGAGGGTCCGCGGCAAGTTTTGCCAGCGCTGTGTCTGCAACCAGGTTTGCCCGCCGTGGGTGTCCAGCCAGTCTTGCCCGCGCTGAGTCTGCAGCCATTTTTGTCCACCGTGGGTGTCCAACCAGTCATGCCCTCTGTAGGTCTGCAGCCAGTCTTGCCCGGGCTGAATCTGCAGTCAGTTTTGCCCGGGCTGGGTTTGCAGCCAGTCTTGCCCACGCCGGGTCTGCAGCCAGTCATGCCCGCCGTGGGCCTCTAGCCAATCCTTCCCCTCCTGGGTCTGTAGCCAGTCCTTCCCTCCCTGGGCGAGCAACCAGTCCTTCCCCCCCTGGGTGAGCAACCAGTCTTTCCCTCCTTGAGTCTGCAGCCAAGCTCGCCCGTCCAGAATTTCTAGCCAGAATTGTAGCTCTGAATTGCGATTTCCCCGATGCCATAGCAGATGTATAAGCCCCTGCATTAACTCCGGCGGCCGGACGATGAATGATAATGATTGTGTCAAACTCTGTGGGTCGTGGGGTTCCATAGCTTGACTCTGCTTCTTCAATTCCGAGAGCGCATTCAGCGGGGCCGAGCAATCGAGGTGAAGCGGTATATTGTACTTGAGGGAGGCTGCAGTTTGGACGGTGGGAGACATAGTCACGAATGGATGAGTGGTAAATATTCACGGGGAGACTGTTGTCGGTAGGAATATCTATGATAGACCACAGCTGTACCAGTATTCTCTCAAGGTCCCTGCCCTGACTGGGACCAAGAAGTTTCGAGATTTGTGAAATCCGCTGAGGATCTGCGAGGGCTGCAACAACGGACAAGTGTAGGTGGGATCAGCACATGTGGACAGGATACGATCGCATAGCTTGTACACCTCCGTCCCTGGTAGCAGTTCGCTCGTTAAGTCGAGCATGAGTTGAAGTCGATCGCGTGGATCATTGTCTCGATCATCAATGTTTCACCATCGTAGACGCCACGATGAAACGTCTGCTTGCTCGGCTTGGGCCCAGCCGCGTGAGTTGATCCATCGATAGCTGTGGAAATCAGGATGGCAACTTTCCGGGTCTCTAAAGGAATGCTTCAAGAAAATATACATGTCATTGTCACCGTCTAATGAGATGGTGGCAGCAACACCCTCCCCAGAAGTCTTCGCTGGGATCTCGAACACCGGCGGACGCATCTCTTCTGTCTGGACGTCAGTACAGAGAATATTGCGCCGGACGTGGGAATGCATGTTGGCAGACCATAGTACATGGGGGCAGTTGAATCAGCAGTTTTACACGTCAGGACACCCTGTAACTGATTCAAAGCGGACGTGTGGTAACCATACTTGCAGAAGGACGTGATGAGGGCAGGGAGTTTCACTAGATAAATACCTGGAACGAAGCAGTGAGGACCCATAGGCATACGAGCCAACCGTATTTTGTAAAGGTGTGAGCACCCTTCAGAAGTGCCGCATCTGAAACTCATGAGGACTGCAATTGCATTGTGCAAGAGCAACATCCGTGGCAATTGCTAATTGCTTCCGGGTTTCCCTGACATTACATGTCAAAGTCACATGATGGCATTGCCAAGCGCCAAGCGTACGTAAAGTGCTCCGATCGAAGCAACGTTGAACTCCAGTGCCAGTGGTTTCAACTTCAAACAAGGCCGTATGATATAAATCAAAACGACTTGGTGGTACCTGACTGGTGCTGTTCTATGATTATGATAGCCGATGGTGACCTATGTAAACGGGCTTGGTGGTATGTAACGTCTGTGGGAAATTTTGTGTAACTGACGCCTGTGGTATGTTACCACTCTTCCCCACAAGATGTTATGTAAAGAGGTGAGCACTTTCCGCCTAAACGGTTGAACATAATACTACATCAGGTGGAAACATGGAAAATGGTACCGCGATCGCATGGGGAAGATTTGCATTGTAATTATGTGCTCAAACGAACGTTTAGATTGTTACCACATGATCATGTTTCTGGTCATTCTGATCGTATGCCTGTGCTACTTCCGTATGATGGTCATTCGGAACTTCCGCGGTTCCCAATTCGGACAAGCCGCACTACTAAAAGCAACTTAACGTTGACTGCTAGAAGCCTCTCATTTTCTTCCTCTTAGCGGTACCCTGCCCAACCCTCGCTCTTTTTTCTCCCAAGCTTCGCTGGCATCTGCTGGCCCCCACGCTCACTGTACCTCACCTTCGTTTTATTTCGTATCATGCCACACGCTGCGTCTCTAGCAGCTGCCCTCCTTACTTTTGTCTTACCTCTTGTTTATGCCGCCACTTCCGACCAATGGCGAGGTCGTTCAATTTATCAGTGCGTTTATAAACCCATTTCCCCAACTGTCCCATTAACTTTAAATCATCGTAGAGTCATCATCGACAGATATGCTTTGCCCGAAGGTGCTGACCCAAATCAATGCCCCCCGGGGGACCGTACGTATTGCGGTGGGACCTGGAATTCGTGAGCAACGCACGCTCGTTTTTGTTTCACTCCTGACCTCCCACAGTCTTCGCCAGAATCTGGACTACATACAAGACGCAGGTTTCACTGCAGGTACACAATTCCATTCATCATTATCAACATGTCTGACTCGATATTAGTCTGGATTAGTCCTGTTTCCCAAAATTATGAAGGCCCAACTACCCCATACGGAGACCCCTACCATGGATACTGGATTGCGGATGCTACTAAACTCAACTCTCATTTTGGAACGTCTGACGATCTCAAGGCTCTGTCAACTGAACTGCATCGTCGCGGAATGTGAGTGTACTTACAGGCCAGTATTCACGTCGTTGAATCTTTCAAGGTACTTGATGGTTGATGTCGTTATCAACGATGTAATGGCCACGTCAATAACCCCGGATTTATCCACGTACATGTTCAAAGAACAGGTAAATTTACTTTTTCCGTATGCTACCCACAATTAATTGCTGAGTTGTTCATACGTAGTCGCAATACCATCCATACTGTGTCATAGATTGGAGCAACACCACCAGCGAGGAACAATGTTGGTTAGGTGACACCGTCGTTCCTCTTCCTGACCTCAACACAGAAGACCCAACTGTTGTTGCCGGCTTCGGTGACTGGATTCAGGATTTGGTTCAGGAGTACAAAATTGATGGACTCCGAATTGATGGTAAGTGTGTTTAAGCAGTCTTATTGTCACAAAATAATGAAGCCTTTGCCAGCTGCGAAGTAAGGCATCCCTCATCCCCCCCACTCACGCTAACTGAGGTGTAGACATATTAACATGGGGTTCTTACCCGTGTTCTGTGGCAAAGCCGGTGTATTTTGCATAGGAGAAGTCTTCGGCTCAGATATCGAGTAAGGTCCCAGCAATCGATCCTGCTCTACTTGACTCATGTTTGTATCGCAGCGGCGCAGCTATATACCAAGGACCTGATGCCCTCGACTCAATTCTGAACTACCCCATGTACACCGCACTCCTTGAGGCGTTCACCATTCCTGGGCCACAGAATACGAGTGCCGTCACAAATATGATTGCGCAGGAGGCAGCAAAGTTCAAGGTATGTGGACCACACTTGTATATGGATGTACTCCAATGGTTGTAGGACCCCACACTTCTCGGGAACTTTATCGAAAATCAGGATATCTCTCGCTGGGCGAATCTCTCTACCGATCCACAAACTTTATAGTAAGCACTTTCCCGTACTGCGTTCTGCAAATCCTGATCCTGACACGACACAGCAACGCCATGGTATTCAACTTCATGACTGATGGGTAAAAACGCATCGCCGCTTTCACTGACAAATCGCTGACGTTTTACAAGCATACCCATTGTGTATTATGGCCAAGAGCAGGGCTTTAGCGGGAGTAGCGATCCTGTAAGTTGATCCTGCCGATATATTTCAATGCGTCTTAACACCGCCGCAGTATAATCGCGAGGCGATGTGGCCTTCGAAATATGCCAACACTACAACATACCAACTTATATCCACATTGAACAAGGTATGCCATGGTTTGAATTCGAGGGCTTTATGTTGATCATCGCGCCTCACAGTTCCGTAACTTCTTGGTTAATACCACGCAATGGGCAACCACGCCGACACAGGTGCTCACAACATCACCATACGGCATCGCAACCTTGAAGGGGGATGCTGTTTCCATCATGACCAATATTGGATCACCCGTACGTGCTTCATCCGCATCTTCGATTTTTTCTGATCTTTCCGTACCCTATTATTAGCCCCAAAACATAAGCATTCCCGTGTATACCCCGTACCTTGCGAGCACGTCACTCACCAAGTCAGCCGCTTCTCTAACTTACCTCAGACATGAGAACTCATCCTATTATAGCGTACTGACCTGTCAACAGTGGCCAGTAGGCAGCAACGGTACCATCGACGCGCAGTATAGCCTAGGAGGCGTTCCTCTTGTTCTCTACCCAACTGTTCTTCTGCAGAATTCTGGTTTGTGCGGAAACGCGGGCTCGATTGCGACAGGTGCGACCAAGTACGCATCGGGGGCACTGCACACCCATCGTCCTGTTATATCTCTTTTGACTTTGTTGTCGTCTTCTTTGTTGGGTTTTCTGTCGTGTTTTTTGTAATGGTTTAGTAGGGACGCTAATGGATAAATTCTCGTCGACTGAAATTTCTCGACTACTCTCGGGAGCTGTCGGGCTTTGTGGGGCATTAGAACCAGTTCACCCTGACAATTAGGTGAGTTTAGTTGACTGGCGTGCGGTTTGCAATGCATTATATTCATTGGAACTAGTCGGCCATGGTCATATCGTAGAATCGAAATGCGCAGGTATCTAGGAGTGGAGTGCACTGAGCATGTGGCCTATGGTAGGACGGTAAGTGCTAATTCGCCTCGCCCAGTGGACCATGTACGATTCAGCACACGAGTTATAATTCGATCTCGATGTTGATTTGCATGATACTGAATCGAACATCTGGTTTGAGACTTTTCCGAACGCCCACGCAGAGGATTGAGGAAGTTTTTAATCGAGGAGGCTTCGAGTCTCAGTGAACATTTGAACCTGGACTGTCACTTCAACTTGACAATTGTTTGCCTCCGTGATGTAAATCTTGTGGTTGTTATAAACGGAAGCTATTGCCAAACAAATACTGGACACTAGATAACCATTTTCGGCAATGTGGTTGAATTTCAACTACTAGGAGCAAACCACAAAAGGACTCGTTGACGCGAAACTCATCAAGCGAGGCTGCGCCTACTGTATACATAAATCATTACTCCCGAAGGAGTATGCTACTATCTGTGAGTGTCATCGTGTCTGCAACCATATGAATGAGATATCTGGCACTGTTCCAAACTGAACTCCAGATATCTCAGTCTCTTTCATCCTGAACATGTTCGATCGTCACGAAACTGACGGTTGCAATTAAAATTTCAGGTTGTTTGTCTCACACATCACTCCTTGGACCTCTCATCAACATCAAGTCTGTCAAGTCACCAACATGTTTACGCTCAAGACCAAGCTCGTTTTGCGGCGCAAGAATGTGGGCTCCGGGTCACCTGCGGATGTAAAGCCTGTGATCGAGTCCAATTCGCCCTCTGACGATGCAACATCCCCTTCGAAGGCTCGCAAGCTTCGCTTCTTCTCCAATCTTACACACCTCAAAAAGATGTCTCTGGCTAGCATCTTCAAGAAAGACTCCGTCAGTTCTCTCCCATTGTCATGTGTTGCGGTCGACTCACTTGTTTACAGTCAGTCCAAATACCTCTGACAATGTCAACTTCTGCCACTCCAGACTCATCCAGACACACCCTGGCTGTCTCTGAAGATGGCTTCCTCCATCCTGTTATGCTCTCACCAGCTAAACATTGGGAGAGTGGTCCAGACTATGGGCTTTTATCCTCCGCCGCGCACAAACCTTCGAATCAGGAGGATATCAACCCCGATCCTCCTGGTAGCCGCATAGCCAGTCGCGTTACCAGTCTGCGAATGAGAACTGCTGAAGTTTGGGCCAGTATCCCAGCTACAGTGGAAGGACTACCAGATTCATGCGTATCCAGCGAAGCATCTACTCCAGTGAAATCCCAGATTGATTCCTTGGGGCACGACGAGACTACCACCGTCGAATCTGCAACAATAGACAGCCCGTCGTTTTCGTCGCCTGCTACTTCTGTCACAGCCGTGTCAGATTGGGGCCCGCGAGACTCGCTGGCAAATCTCAGCATGATAGGCCACAAACAGGAGCAAATACGCGTGATGCCAAAGGTTTGTTTGCATATTTCATGTTCTGTACCGGGGCTCATGACATTGTGAAGATATTACCTGCGTTGGATGTTATCTCCCTCGCCCGGCCGCCAGAGTTTCCACGTGCTAAACCTCCGTCTAAATGTCGGACGCCCGATGAGGACAAGTCCAACTATACCCCCGATTCCCCTGCATCTGGATGGGAGTTATCCCCTGCGATTTCAAGCAGCTCATCAGAACAACGTGCCAGTCCGCGAGCAGCTGGGCTCCTGGACTCACCCTCTCCGCGTCCTCGTACTGTACTGAGCACTGCCAACGCTGCTAAGCAATCTTTTCACTGGTTACCTGTCGTGCAGCTTTTCGCGAATTCGGACGAAGACACCACAACGTCCAGCATCTGTGGTTCTCTTACTCTGTTCCAGAGACCGCTCGCGACGGAGATGTCTCTCCGCCCATGGTCATGCGCCAAGATCGCGCGTGCTGAAACTAAGCGAGCGTCTCGTAAACGGGCTTCTTTACTCGCATATCTCGCTTCATAGAGGCTAGCCCTCGAGATGATGGCTCTGTCTCTTTCAAGAGGTGCGCCTCTGCAGTGTAATCTCGAACTCACGCTGATACATTCCTACAGGCAGAAACACTTGTTCAGGACTACACGGATTTCTCCTCTATCGCTATTCCCTGTCTTTTTCATCGGGATTATCATTTCATTGGATCACTCTATCGCTATTTCCTGTCTTTTTCATTCTCATTATCATTACATTGGATCGTCTTTGATCGATGTGCTCTGGAGCACATTATCGCACTAGTTTACTATACCTCGCCTACATCATGTACATCTTCTGCTCCAGAACTCACGCTGATGATTCCTACAGGTAGAAACACTTACTCAGGACTACATACGAATTTCCCCTCTATCGCTATTTCCTGTCTTTTTCATTCTCATCATCATTTCATTGGATCATCTTTGATCGATGTGATCTGGAGCACATTATCGCACTAGTCTACTATACCTCACATACATGGTGTACATTTCAATCTATCGCATACTCATCGTCGCTCGCTTTTTCGTTGCATACCCTTGTACACCATCCTCAAATTTGACGTTATCTGTCTACTCTGTAGTATAGATACGCTGGAATATACCTCACCCTGTCTGCGATTGTCGAATTTGAACACTACAGTGCAGCAATTGAGCAGCGCCGCGGAGTTTAAGATGTGGAGCCCACATTCGAATCCACCAGTGGATTTCCACCTCGACGAGAACAATGTCTTCCGGAACTACTGCACAAGCCAGTATACTACGAAGCAGCTGAACCAACAAAAACTGATATTCATGAGTATAGGACCCTACTTGGAGCTCGAGGGAGCAAGGTGAAGAAGCGAAATACATCCACGAGAAGGCGAGGCTTCCCCAAGGGGCTATTTATTGCATTACCTTTACTTATCGACTCTCCACAGGAGCAAGCCCAGCTCGCTTCTCTCCGCGAGGAGCAGAAAAACCGCTCCACAGCATCTAAGGACAATACCACAAAGGATGCTGCACCATCCACCAAGGATCGTGACTTTGAAGGCGGCTTTGGAGGACAAGAGGATTTGGAAGATCGGTACGCAACGACTAGCGGAGAGCACTAGTTTGGTTTGGGGCTGGGCATTGCAGGCGTCGTAAAGCAAGCATAATTAAGTGCGGTATAAGTACGAGCGACATGAGATACGACGACGTGAAAGAATACTATGACAGCCGGATAGTCATGAGTGACGCCGATATGCCCTATAACTACCCATCAAGTATGCCCGCAGAATAGTGGTCCATCAAGTACTAGTGCCTAGATACAAGTGAAAGACAGCAATGTTCAAGGAAAGGAGAGTACGTATATACCTGAATAATCAGTATGAGTATAACATTAGGGGGGTAATTCAACAAGTCAACTGATGAATGCATCGTCCTGCAGATGAAGCCCAAGAAATTTCGCAAAACCCAATATTAAGTCCGGTCAAATTTACATGAAGCGCACTATCCCAGAAATAATGAGCGGCGTTATGATTGGCGACGAGGGGATGGGGTGATAAGCGGCTCAGGAACCGCTCGTGCGGCGGCACCACAAAGGGGCGAAGGTGGTGAGGCGGTCCCAACCCATGGATTGAGATAGCTGCACGTCGCAATGGCAACCATCCCACTTGCGGTGTCAGAGGGATTCTGCCAGCCATCGCCAGCATTGGCGGTCTTAACAGAAGAACCAGAAGAGTAAGTGAACGTAGGAGGAGGAAGAGTTGCAACAGTTCCTGTGGGCGTGTAGGAGGGCAACAAGGTTACAGCACCGGCATTACTGATCTTGGCAGGCGGCCAGGTGTACGATGCAGTAACGGTCGCAGCAATCTGGCCTGCACCTGCCCCTCCTGTTTGCCATGCTTGGAGAGGAGGACTCCATATGCCTTGGTTTGCGCAGGTCCCCGATGCAACGCGAGGGTCTTTGGGCATCCACCCATTCTGCAGACCGAGTTGGTACGACCATTGTGGTGACTCGACGACACCAGAAACAGAAGAGTTTCCGATTTTCCATGTCCAGAAGAACCAGTTCTATACACATTAATTCATATGGGATCACCGAACTTCCAAAGCTTTCGCTTACCTGCAAAGCGTCCATACTGGCCAAAGCAAATTGCTCGATGCCAGATTTCATGGTCGAGTCCCAGTTCTGCCAGTCCGTCCACGGCGTGCAGTTCCCAACGACAGGCCAGGTTCCCGGAGTGTATGTACCCTCGTAACGTGTTCCAAGTCCCACGCCGTTAACATAAAGACCGCAGTCAGTGACAGCGTTACTAAATTCTCCGGCAGCTGTTAACCCGAATGCGCCCATGGAGGTGTTCATCATGCTACCCCAGTCAGAGCAAGGAGTCTGAGCATAAGACGACATAGGGGCAGCAGACTGGGAGTCGAAACAAATGTAAGGATGATCATCGAGAGCAATGCGGTCGGCATTCGGGAGCCAGTCGGCCCATTGAGGAAGACCGAGGAATCCGTCGTGGTAGGAAATGAAGGGACCATTGCCTTCCCCAGTACCCGAAGCCTCGCGGACGTAATCGTATGCCTGCATGTAGCTACGGTACAAATCATGTTACGTGACCGCGCGGTGTGCCAGAAGCAATACACTTACAACCGAGAGAGGGCATCCTGGCCTATGGAAGTCCCTTGAGGCTCGTTTGTAATGCCGAAAATGACAACAACATCCTTGTACTCAGGCTGAGAGATGAACTCTGCAATGATCCGGATATAGTCCAGTGACCGCTGAGCATTTGCAATACCCATCGGGCCGTAAAGAACGTTGACCGTCCCGAACTTGCCGGAATGATTCCATCCATTCTGGCTTCCAGGAAGCGCATGGAAGTCGAGGTTGATGCGAAGACCATACTTGCGGGCCCACTGAATAGCCTTCAAGAAATATCTAGAATTCGCTTAGCAAGGTATAGAGGATTGAAAGGATGATGTAGACATACGTCCATGAGGTCTTGGGGAGGAACGGTTCGCCTGATCGTACTTCAATCGCCCAGTATGGAAGGGGAATGCGAACGAAGTTCAGTCCTGCTCCAGCAATTTCGGCAAAATCTTGCTCCGTCTGGTATATATTCGGTTAATATCTTTATCTCCACCACTAACGTGAAAAAAAACTTACAATGAACGTTTGGTAATGTGTTTCCAGCTGCTGCAAACCGCCACCTGCCGATGTATCAGCGGCCATGGCTTCACTCAGTGTCCACTCATCGATTGCTTGAGGGCTGGCAGTCAGGTATTTCTCATAAAGAGCGGGTGCGCTGAGATTAAAATAAGTTTAACATAAGTTCCCAGCAGCAAGAATAGACTTGCATGAACTACAACGAGACATCAGTACAATGTGTGAGTCGGACTGATACCAACTCACAGGTTCCGTAGTAAGCCAACCACCCAAATTGACACTGGAAATAATGAGTCTCGTGGGAGGTACTAGGAACGATCAAGAAAAACATACCCATAAATCTTATCGATACCGAACCTGAAGGTCTGGTTGAGGGGAAGCGTCCATGACTGAGCCTGAGCATTGTTGTTGAATGGGTCTGAAGGATCCCAATACCAAGTACCACCAAAAGGGTTCGAGTAGGTGAAGTTGGTACCATCCTCCATCGTGATCGTGCTACCATCGCCACCAGTGACAACAGCCACGGAAGAGGAAGGTTGGCCGCTCGAGGTCGAGGATGAGGTAGGGCTGCTAGGACTGGCGGAGCTGTTGAACGATGATTTGGGCTTGATCACGACGAAATATATGGGGACAACGATAGCAGCCAGCACTATCACAGCTGCAAGAATCGAGCCAGCTATGATGAGTCCACGTTTGGACTTTAAGCGTGAGACGGTGTATGCTGACCGCTTCTCAGCAAGGTAACGGGGAGCGTCGGGACTTCCACCCTGGCGGATGTACTCGGGGTCATGGGGGTCATCATGATAGGCGCCAGAATGTTCTGCTCCAGGACCAGAAGGATCAGGGTTTAGGGCATAGACAGATGAGTTGGCAGCGGAAGGTGCGGTTCTGAAAGTATTTTGGGTATTTTGGGATGCGAAAGAATCTCGAAAATTGTGAGAGGGATCGTCGTACAAAGCCGCACCAAGAAAGCGTGGCTGGGCTGCACCAGCGGGAATATTGTCAGAAAAATAAGACATTTCGACTGGAGGTGTTTCGAAACCCGAAGCATGTGGGGAGGGAGGATCATGGTAAATTGAGTTCCTGGAAGGATCTTGAGTTAAGGGCAAAGGATCGTAAGGAATGTCCTGAGAATGTGCGGTATTACTGGAATACATGACAGGATCCGGTGGGGGAGAAACAGTAATTTCAGGTTGCTCCTGGTTGTCCATGAAGAACGTACGTTAGTTCGGTACAACAGGAATGAAAGTAAAGAGCAAACGTAAGGAAGGCTGCGCCTATAAGAATGTTGTATAAAGATTGTAACAGCCTCATGGCCACAATACGGATCTGATTGTCTAAATGAGCAGAATAGACTCACTTGCTAGGATCACGGTATCTGTCTGCCGGTGACTAATATGAAAGTCTAGTCAATGACGTTCACCAGGTACACGTTCGACTGGCCCACGAAACGAGAGAGGCCTAGAAAAGAATTTGAAAAGAAAAAAAAGCAGGAGACTTCAGACGTCTAGGAGGTGGAGGTTGGTGGGGCTAGAAATTCAGAAGAAGCGGAATTTGGCCGCGAGGCAGTGTGTGACGCGTGACACACATAGACAGTCAGAATTTTAATACTGCCTCCGAACAGTCGTCTCAGACTCATTAAACCACTCCGTGTATGCGACACTTGGTAATGTCAAATTGGAACTTGTCAGACGTGCGTATTCTTTGTGCCCGTCGTCAGGTCTGCTGATGGACGCAGCCTTGTGCAACTCGGCGAACAGTCGAGTACGATGATGCGGCCGCAAGTTGGTTCAAAAATACCGTCCAGTGGCCTCCTGGGATACATAAAAAGCCACTATCTGGAATCCGAACAAGGCGAGCCGGTCATTGACCTGGGCCATATAGACGCGCTATTACACATTCGTGCTCGCACGAGAATTCGAGAACTTCTGCCGGAAACCTTTGAGGAGGCCAGACGGGGATACACCAAGCACAGTCATGACAATAATTAATGAGATCGGTCACGGCATTTGTGGCGCGGACGACGACGAGAGAGGTGTCAAAGTTCGTGACCTGGTCTCAACAGCGCCAAACCGCTTTATATCGCGATTCACCATGGCTATCTTGGTGCGTGAAATTCGAAGCATCGAATTTGCAACTTCCCCTGGTCTTTAGCCAGCGCGATTCTCCTTCTATGGTCTGCCAGCTATCGTAGAGCATGTCTCAGGAGGCAGCTTACTTGGACACTCCTGGTTTTCCTCTCCTCCTGTATACCAATCATGCCACATTGATCAGGGCGCATCGATATTAACGTTCTGTTCTGTGATATGATTCAGTGGATATGATATTAATAGAAAAGGCAGTGGCAAGTCCGGTGCAAGGAAACTGAAGAGTTCAGCCTGATGTCGGCATGTCGTTATGTAATCTGTTATCAATAGGAGTCTCCAAGTGACAGCGCTCGCCGCATCCTCGGCCGCAGTGGCAAGCGTGACCACCACTTTCAGGGAGTTGCCCAAGATCAGTTTCCCAGGTACGATGAAAAAGTAGCGCATTCACTTGACAGAGACGTGGCATGTCAAAGCCACCTGCATCAACATGCATTCCAGCAGAATGTACGTATCAGGATTCTCATTACCTTCATTTCTCGAATGAACACGCCCAGAAACTGCTGTTGGCGTATGTTGCAGCAGCCATTGCTGAACTCCGAAACCGACATTCTGTCAATCCCGAGGATCACGACAACTTACGACAGGGGAACTCTTTCTCCATTGTCACCTGTGAATTTGTGAGATCTCATGACTAGCTACCCTCCGCCCTGCGCGCGGGCACTGGGCAGCCTGACCCCGGTCTACTGACTTATTTGCAGCAGAACGGCTCCTCGTGTACTCCATAGCTACACACTCGGAACGTCGTCACCTACGTGAGAGCTTTGACATGTTGCAAGATGGTCACGGTTTCATGACATTCGGTTCAAATTCGACTTTGAATTTATTTCAAGCCTATGACTCCCATTTGGATGCAACATCGCCATCGCAATCATGGCCTCATGTCCCCTGATCCACGACTTTCCTCAGAAGGGTAGCTTCTCAGATATCTATTCACAGATCAGAGAGATATTCGTGTCATCGAGGTCACCATGTTTTGGGGTTGTTAAACTAGGCGATTGCACCACTCTGCAAGGACGGTAGCCAACGGCCGAAGTCATTCGGACTGCAATGCGTTAACTTGTTTCGAGGCATTTCTCATACACTTATCCATCGATCGTGCTCAATACGATTTCTATTTCAGTGTGCTATTCGTGCGACGAGCAACAAACGATTCCTGGTCTCCCGTAGTCAGACCTTGATAGAGGAAAGACAGTTGTTCGAGGGCGATTACTACAAGGTAGAGGAAGGAGGTACCCTGTGATAAGAGGATAAATGTTCTTGACAGTTTCCACTCAGTCACTGAGTTCTGGGTCCAATCAATTAAAAAGGCATATCAAAGCGGCTAATCGTGGCCGTGGCACGTGCTCGACTCCCGGCGCCCGAGCAACACTACCGTCTCTCTGAGACCCCGCGGTGACCTTCGGGGCGGGTCCCTTTCAAGACTCTGGTAAGGGTATACGTTGCATGCATGCGCCCCCAGCATGACGCATTGACGGAGAGACAAATTTCTTGACTTAATATGTCAGGATCGGCGATTCGTCAATCGCAGATTGCTTTGTAGCTAGGGTTCTTCCCAGTTGCTGTCGTCTGTTAATTAGCTGAATCATGATCTTCACCACCAAAAACCCAGTAATTTCATTCCCAAGGAGTTGTTCTCTCGCTACGTAGTTGCCGTTCGACGCATACCAGCGCAGGACCAGCGCACACCTGTATTTATATTATGCTATTTTTCTCCAAATTTCCAGCTGTGAACTCACCGGTGTGCGCTCATGCCAAGACCAGATTTATATCTCTAAGCCTAGTTCAGCCTAGTTCCTCGCTGTGTCTGAAAATTTCTCGGAACCAGTGTAATCTTTTCGCTTTCGATATTATGGCACTATGTTATTCGTTTGTTTATTCGTTTGAGTCGGTTTGACGACGCACCAGACGACTGAACTGAGCTCTGCGTTGAGCTCGGACACGACGTATGAATAGAAGGCACTGGCAAGTCTCTGCAGCCTTAAGTGACGGTACCAGAGAAGTTAGTTTTAATATTAATGATGCGAAAGTCGGCGACTAGTGACGCGGGTCCAGGTGTAGCGCTCGAAAGCAAGCGGTAGTGTACGGCATCAAGTAGTACCTGCACCAATTCCAGCTCATCAAATATTTGGGTTGGCACGCTTTTCTAATATAAAGATCAAGTCGCCCTTCAAGACTACCATGGGGCACCTTGGTCTTTATTTAAACACTAGAAGTACTAGTCGGTCACCTGAATGTTTTGCTAATAATCTTTAATCAAGGCGACGTCTTTCCGTCACACGACGTAGGCACCTGCTCAACTTTGCATGCGGCGCGTACTAGATCGCCCCTTGTAATGCGATGAGAATTTCTCCAGCATTTCTCCATTACGTTAATACGTTCACGACCACTACTCTGGTACTCTTCGATTTTGTCCTCAGGGCATGTATAAAATCGGTCCGAAACCTGGCCATCTGCCAGCGTTTTCTCTGTCGCACTTTGCGGTTTCCACCCACTGGTAAGGCATGGTGCTCGCAAGCTTACTTTCGCTCGTCCTCAGCGTGATCGTGAGCCAGACCACCCCGGTCGCCGCACTAGGATCAGCATGTGGTGTGCCTCTCACTACTGGAAACGCAGCGTGGGGAGAGCCTTACTGGCTCGAGAACATCCAGCATCGGGGTATAGCACCGTTTGCACCCAATGCAACGAAATACCAGGTCTTCCGGAACGTGAAGGAATACGGGGCTGTCGGTGACGGTGTGCATGATGATACTGCTGCTATCAAGTGCGTAACCCTTCGTATCGATTATCCTCATAATGCTTATTTTTTTGTAGTGCTGCAATCTCCACCGGTACAAGATGCGGTAACGGGACTTGCGGATCATCAACGTAAGTCACGAAGTTGCTAAGATATCTAGTACACTTCTCGATGGCCCGTCAGAACTACTCCAGCAGTGGTCTACTTCCCGGCAGGGTGAGTATCCATGCATACTGTGAGGTGCTTTCTGACGCGCACAATCAGATCCTACCTCGTGTCTTCTCCACTTCAGGCATATTACTACACAGTCATGGTGGGCGACGCAAGAACACCCCCGACGTTGCTTGCCAGTGCTAACTTCACAGGAATAGCTGTAATCGGTGCGGAGTGGCCTCTTTAGTGTAATAGGATTGCCTAACAGCTAGTTCAGATGCCGACCCGTACGGTGCTAACCAGGCAAACTGGTATACTAACCAGGACAGCTTGTAAGTATCGTTCAAATCTCCTTGTATGCATGACATCGATTGCCTTTTATTATGACAGCTTCCGGTCAGCGCGTAACTTCGTCATCGACGTCACACGAATGCCTGCCAATGTCACGGCCACTGGTATCCATTGGCAGGTCTCACAGTCAACGTCACTGGTCAACGTGGTGGTCAACATGTCTACCAAACCTGGAAATAATCACCAGGGTATGTCATTTACTACGACAGATGGAACACTTACTTATCCCTGCTCCTAGGCCTATATATGGAGGATGGAAGGTAAGTAAAACATCTCTACGTGAAAAGGCATGATATCTGAACATTGACGAAGTGGTGGCTTTATGGGAGATATCGTATTCAATGGCGGAAAGTATGGTATCTGGGTTGGAAACCAACAGTGAGTATTTGATTTCGTGCTATTCTCCAAGTTCCGTAACACATGACGCATCTCTTCACAGATTTACGGTACGCAACCTCACCGTCAACGGTGCAGACACAGGTAAGGTACACGGTGCACACAAGTATACTGTACTTATATCACTTGTCTCAAGCTGTGTTCGGATCCTGGAACTGGGGTAATGTCTAATCTTTTGTTGTGAGCGCGCAATTGATGAGGTACAGGATGGACCTACCAACATGTTATAATCAATGACTGCCAAATTGGGTTTGATCTATCGAATGGTGGGAGTGGAGGAGAAGCGATCATTGACGCAGTCGTCACAAACACACCGGTCTTCCTCAAGACGCCAAATCACACAAATGTCTCCGTTGCAGGATCCATCGTATTGAATAACATCCATCTCAACAACGTTTCCGTGGCTGTTATGGAAAGCAACGCTACTATTCTTGCTGGTGGAACAAAGATCATTGAGTCGTGGGGCAAGGGCAACGTTTATACAGGAACACACCCGAACGGGACGTTCACACAGGGCAACATACAAGCCGCGTATAAGGACCCAAGCCTTTTGGACCATAATGGCTTCATTGTCAGCAAAGGACACCCTATGTATGCTGACTATTCAGTCGACCAGTTCAAGAGCGTTAAGTCAATGGGAGCCGTTGGAGATGGGGTGACGGACGACACCGAAGCTATTAAATCTGTACTCGCAAAGGTATCTTCGCACCAAAGTCTCACAAGATTTTTTTGCTGAAACGCGGGGCAGTACGCTGGATGCTACATCATATATTTCGATGCTGGCATCTACAAGGTTACCTCGACTATACAGGTTCCGGCAGGAACACGAATTGTAGGAGAAGCTTGGACCCAGATTATGGGTGCCGGCTCTTATTTCAATAATCAAGAAGACCCGAACGTTGTTGTGCAAGTCGGCACTCCGGGCTCGCAGGGCGTTACGGAAATAACAGATATCGTATTCACGACGCAAGGACCAACTGCGGGCGCCATCGTCGTGGAGTGGAACGTCCGCGATCCCTTTGGTCAACAAGGAGCTGCAGGAATGTGGGATTCGCACATCCGGTGAGTCTCTTTTAATCTCATTTGGGTTCGTCCCCTGATCTGTGTATGCGATAGGCTCGGCGGAGGCGAGTTTGAAGTTTTCTCACTTGCGGACAATGCCTTATTACTCCCCCTTTTGTAGCCAATGGGACCCACCTTCAAGACGGGGAGTGCCCTTCAGGAACCTATAGTACCGAATGTTTTGCAGCTTTCCTTGGTTTACATATAACCTATGGTGCAACAGCTTACCTTGAGGTGTGGTATTAAGACCCTGGCAACATACTCAGCGCACTGATTTAAATTGCTTTCACCAAGGGAACATGGGTTTGGCTGGCAGATCACGATCTCGACGGCTTTGACCAGCTAACCCTGTTCAGTGGAAGAGGCATTCTGTCACACTCTCAGGGTCCTGTCTGGATGATTGGTACATGTGAGTCCGCTCTTCTTAGGTCAAGACAAGGATATTGATTTTGAATAGCCTGTAAGCATTTGACCTTGGGCGATGCTCATGAACTTATAGATCTTAACACCAGCGGAACATCATGTGCTCTACCAGTTTAGTTTGGTCGGAGCAAAGAACCACTACATGGGTCTGATCCAGACTGAGACGGTAGGTTACTTCAAGCCACGAATTAAGCTTGCCTCTGATGCCTCTTCAAAGCCTTACTTTCAACCTGATCCTGCACCGCCGGGGCCATTCAGTATCTCTAGCGTTTACGATGATCCAACGTTTGAAAATGGCATGAATATGGCTTGGGGGCTCTCGGTGCAATCATCTATCGATATCATCGTGTTCGGTTCGTATTGACCGCGTGTTCATATCGTGCTTGCGCTTATATGCTCTCTTCCCAAAGGTGCTGGCCACTACAGCTTTTTCCAGGTGAGTTATAGCCGAAGCGGACCAAGTCGTTCCTAACCCTCGTCTCTCACCAGAACTTCAGCACGGCGTGCTTGGGCACCACTGCATGTCAAACACAGATGGTCAACGTCGACTGGACCTCTTCCGTCAGCATCTACAATCTGGCAACTGTGGGGACAACATACCAGCTTAGCATAGAAGGCGACGGGATTATCTATTTCGCCAACAACAGTGAAGGCTTTTCGTCCACTGTGACACTATGGAGCCCTGCGCGGGCTATCTACCCATAGAAATTACTCGTATACCCTTTGATTTATTCTTTAATATGCAATTGAGCCAAAAGCACACGCTGATCACGTGATCGCGTCATCCTAGAAGATTCGAATCTTGACTAGTCTGACTTTGTGTTCGTCGTCCATTTATATTTGCTATGGTCGACCGAAGGATCGATCGATCAGCAAAGGTATCAGGAAATATGCTTTTCAAATTTGCGATCATGGCCATGGCTGGCATGTTATCTATGAAGCTCTCGTCATTTTTCCAAGCAGCTGCTACCGCTGGCGCTGCATATTCGAAGAACATGGCATTGTCAAAAGATCTTCACCGCCCATAGGCTCTCATAGGACACGCTTGCACTATCATTGATGGGGACCGATTCTCCCTAGGTTGCCTAGTTCTTTATTGCTGGGTCTCACTCTGATCGAGGCATCGTTTAGCACCTGTACGTCTTGACTGTTTTCATCTACCGTTTACAGTGTAAACTTAGTTGTCCATGACTGCGTTAATATGCTGACCCTCTCTTCGAAGCAACAGCTTGTATCGCGGCAGACGATGCAACAAACAGGTCATGTTGTTGTATGATCAACAAGCTTCGTCTATCATTCGGGCTCATGCTTGAATGGTTGTGATATACAACACAGGAAGTCCCTCCTGACACTGCCTTGTTTTCCTTTTTGTCGAACATATTGGCATACTTTTGCAAATCGCTATGAAGTGAGAACGGCGTGGACACTTGAACAAGTCGCGCAAGGTTCAAGATCAGTAACTGTAGTTACCAGAACCGACAAAGACAATCGTCTCGATATCTTCTACCAAGCCAATGTTCTACTCGGCTGGCCCGTGGATCGCAGACCCTTTTTTCTTCTTCTATTGATATCTGGCATCTCCTCGATTGTGAAGAATGCGTGCTGTATGAAGAGGTCATCGTTTTTGTAAACGCTTACCCTAATGCTGTCGGGGGTATACCAAAAAAAAACCTCGAGGCCAGAAATCCAAGGCGTCAAAACATGTGCGATAGTAGCGATACAGCGAGTGCGACAACAGGAAGGAGTGAAAATGATGAGGGTATAGCGAATCCAGAGGTTTGCGTGTCAGGTCTTTTTTTGGCCGCAATTGTCAGAAAGTTTTGGAAAGAAATGGACGAAGGGCACATACGGGATGCCATTGTCGTCAGAATACGATGGACAAGTTTCATTAGTACTGCCCTGACGAAGAACAGAGGGTTAATGGTTAGATATATTGAAAGAGCGAAGGACTAACGGTTGGATTGCCAGGACAGCATGCACTGTATCCCAAATTAGCCACGCTCCCGAGAGCAGCAGCATGATTCCAGCCCTCCCAATTTGTGCAGGAGACTGACTGGTAGCTGATATTCCAGACGCCAAAGTCCTGGTTTCACGACAATTTATATAAACAACAAGCACAACGGCAATATTAAAAAATCGCCTCACAGTATAACCTTTAAGCCTGAGTTAATTTTGCGTGCGGGGGAGATCTTGAGCGCTCACCATAAAGTGGTTCATTTGAAGGAAAGAAATCATCTGGAATCGAAGATGATGGCCATGCGAGGTCAAAATTTAGGTAGTGACCACCACTGCGCAGTATGCGAAGATTAGGTACAGACCCCACGAAACAAATGTACTTACGCATTCGGCCCATTAGTAGTTGCATTGCACCAGCCGGAGTGAGATAATGGACATAAGTCAGTAACTTTTATGATAACTGAATTTGTAACGTTGGGGTAAAAGGGGGGATTGGAAAGAAAAGAATTTAGTAGGGTGAGATTAAAACATTGTCCACAAGCGGGGCCGTAAGATGTACTACTGCCATATGCCATCTGATTCATGGCAGCGGTTGGATAATTTGTGCTGGTGGATGTACACCCGCATGCTGCAACGAAGTTTTCGGGAAGGGAATAGTGTGTCATAGTGGCATATCCATCTGGCGAATAATCGATCCATTCAGAAGCCCATGATATGTGTGGTAGAAAGGAAAGGAAAGTGAAGATAAAGGACAGAAGTTGTGACAAGGGCGTCGCACTGGAATTGCTCCATGGGAGCATTTTTTTGAATTGGCAGGAAATAGTTAAAGAGGGAAGGGCAGCCTGAGAGCCTGCACTGAAACACAAGTTGTTCACAAGACGGTTGACTTGACCTATCCCATCAATGATCGGGCATTGGGCTATTTCTGCAATACACGTGACGAGGTCACGTGTGCGCGGTGTATGTAGACGCGTCGCGCCACGCCGTTTTGTTGATCCTACCATTAACACCTGCAACAGATGCAACTGACCAAAGTCAAACGCACTTACAGTTCTCGCTCGCGGCTATCAATTCCGTCTTCATCATCACCACCATCCTCGCCGCCGTCGACAACCAAACGCAAGCACCTTGGGGAAGGCACCGAAAATGAGCCTCCAACAAAGAAACGGACGACAACCAAATCTTTGCCTTCGGGGAGGCCAGAAAAACAGAAGCAAAGCGTCCTAAGGCAGCTCCATTTCTCTATCGAAACCTCAATTCTACGAACCTGCACAATTTGTAGCCTCTCATATACACGAGGCGCACCAGATGACGAGTCATTGCATCGTGCCCATTGCTCACGTGTGCAAAGGGGAATGGAGTGGGGCAGAGAGGAAGAACGAGAAGCAGAAAGACTCGGTGTAGAAGAAATACAATCTGCAGTGAAGCTGAAGGACGGAAAGAAGGGTCGCATTATCTGTTTTAAGGCGAACGTCGGTGGAAGAATTGGATCTAAGGTGAGCAGACCGCTTTATGCTTATAGCGCACTCGCACTACGGACTCTTATTGACGCGCCGAAGCTTGCGATATTACTCGAGACGATAAATCTTGCCCTTTCATCTCCCCCGCTATCGACCGACATTCTACAATCATCGAAGGCATACCTCTATCTAATACCATCAGTTACCAATGTGCACCGAGAGAAGATAGTCGGCTGCGTCATTGCTCAACGAATATCTACCGCCATGACTGTCGCCACTCATGCAGAAACCTTGCTTGAACGTGATTTCAATCAAGCTACTGACCGTGACTCGCCCCCGACTCACAGACTGGTCGCAGTCGACACAACCTCGGGGCTTTTCTGCCATCTAGAGGCCTTGCCTACGCCCCTCGGAATACCACGTCTATTTGTCTCGTCGGCACATCGACGGCAAGGTATCGCTAGCCGCTTGCTTACAGCTGCGGCCGCGACGTTCATCCACGGTTGTCCACTAGACCCTCTCAATGGCGATGTTGCATTTACACAACCGACCGAAGGGGGACATGCTGTCATGCAAAATTGGGGCAAAGGAGGCGTAAGAATATATGAGGAATAACATGCTGATCAAGAAGTGTGCAGTTTCTGACAGCCCAGCAGATTTGATACAACGTGACAGCAACGCCAATGTAATCGTATATTGTAATAAATTAGTCGCGCAGGGCCATTTGTCTGTTTTTTTGGGGGTGCTCTTTCCAGGGACGTCGTTTGCCCGGAAACAAAATTCACGATCCACATCTTTGTCTTCACGTTGCTTGCCCTTCTCAAGTCGAGTGACATGATTACTCAACTTGCGTCGCAGAGCACTGAGGCCCTCGCCACGGTACGCCACTGAATAAACGTCGCAATGGTTTCAAAGACATTTGAGGACCAACGGCTTCGAGAAAATGATATTGATCTCGTTTATCTGTTCGCACATCCTGCGGCAGCAGCAAAGTTTTATTTCATACACAAAGATACCCCTGATTAGATACAATTGCATGATCAAGAGACTAAAATTAGGAGACATCATGTCCTGCATCCATGCAACATTATTCCATCGAAGTGGTCACCCCGAGTCACACCGTGTTCAAGGCCACTGAGCTATACCGGTACCTTTGAGTTCTTCTACCACGATCTCTGCGCTTAGGTTGGGAAAGTGACCCTCTGTGAAAGACTGAGACCATGAACGAAATGCATTGCTAGTGGATATACTCTCAGGGAAAACTGTACATGATAGAGATGGATACATATCTTCGAAAATTCTTATAGATTGGTCAGATGAAAATGCGAAACCGTCTGCCGTGGCGCTCAAGCAGACACACCAACCGTCTGCGTGACATTGCTAGGAGGCGGCACGAAAGTCTGGGGCAATGTCAGCACATAATCACAATGATCGTGGGTAAGGGACCTCACCCTGGTTTTAATACCGCCTGCACTAGGTAAACGTGTAGATCCTGCGCTGAACCAAGCATCAACCTCGGCAGCAGCGCCTCGTCCCTCACTGGAACAGATTTCATTATTACTTGAATTTGAAACAAATAAAAATCCACGTACTTGATGCCCCATACAATCAATGACTGACCACGGCGACAGTCACCGGCCGCGAAGACACCCTCTACATTTGTCGAGTATTTCTGCAAGGATTTGTTGAGTTCAAGAATGAATAACAAATGTTGCGAACCGAACCTTTGGAGGGGTCTGCACGTTTGATCTGGCGTCCTGCTTGATACCCAGAGCTTCGGGAGCTTGTGACTGCGGGCCAAGGAAGCCAAGAGCTAAGAAGACCAGTTGCGCAGGGAAAAACTTCCCAGAGCCAGGCACCTCCTCCATCTTCCACCGCCCACTACTATCTTTGGTCCACTCAACTCGGACTATTCCGAGACGTGAGGCATCAGTATCTAATAAAATCTTCGGGAAGTCAAGACGCACCAGTATTCAAGCCCTTCAGCTTCCCAGCATCGTCGAGAACGAATTCCTTTGTGGAAATAGAGTATTCCCGTGGATCTAAGACATTGTAAGACAAGACGTCAACCGACGGCAAGGGCCACCCACCATTGCCAAAGTGCGCAGCAACTTCGGTATGTCCGTAGTCGGCACGGAAGATTCTTATAGAAGATGGAATCAGATCGATTGTTGCATCTCGTGAATATTGAAAACACCAACCTGGGCCATTGCGGCCAAGGGTTGTCTCTGCCACGCGAGCCTGGAGGCTTGGGTAGAAGCTCAAAGTTTGTCACGGACTTGGCGCCATGCCGCATGGATGTGCCAATGCAATCGTTTCCGGTGTCACCGCCACCAATGACAATAACATCTTTACCCCTTGCGTTAATGTAAGACCCATCCTGCAACTCTGAGTCCAGGAGCGACTTCGTGTTGAGCTAAAGAAGGCGTTCGAAAACTTTAATTTAAAATAGGCGATGCACGAACCTGAAGGAATTCCATGGCAAAGTGAATGCCGTCTACATTGCGGTTGGGAATATTAAGATCGCGAGGCCACGTTGCTCCCGTGCACACAATAACTGCATCATTCTCCGCTCGAAGAGCAGCAGCATCTACACTGACTCCAACATGAGCGTTCGGTATGAAGGTCTTGGAAATGATTAGCGAGACTATAAATCACAAGGGTTACGAAGACGCACAATCCCCTCGGCTTCCATCAAGTCCAAGCGGCGCTGTACGATTGTCTTGTCGAGCTTCATGCTGTTGTAGGTGAGTATCGTCAACAGGGTCAGATTATAACCGACTCACTTGGGAATACCATACATGAGAAGACCACCCATGCGATCGTTACGGTCATATACAGTGACGAGATGTCCTGCCTTGTTAAGTTGATCAGCGCATGCTAGACCAGCAGGACCGGAGCCAATGATCGCGACTCGCTTCCCAGTGCGGAAGCTTGGGGGATTAGGAGTCATCCAGCCCATCTCAAAGCCCTAATTGTCCAAAAAAAAAATAAGCGCCATTAACAATGAGGTACGTAGCCAACACACTTTGTCAATGATGGCGCACTCAATGCTCTTGATACCAACAGGTTGCTCGTTGATACCTAGTACACACGCGCCTTCGCAAGGTGCAGGACAAACACGACCAGTGAACTCGGGGAAGTTGTTCGTCATGAGTAGCCGGTTAAGGGCATCGCGCCACTGGCCCTTGAACACGAGATCGTTCCACTTGGGAATGATGTTTGAGATCGGGCATCCTGTGTCGGACTGACAGAATGGAACGCCACAATCCATGCATCGAGCAGATTGATACTTCAACTCGCTCTCAGTCAAGCGGATCGAGATCTCTTTCCAGTCTTTGACACGCTTTCTAGGGGGTCTGTATGCCTCGTTCAATCGGTGATACTTCATGAACCCTCGCGCTTTGTCCAACTTGTGAAGACGCTGTTTCGTGGTCGAGTCATCAACCGTGGAATCCTCCAGATCTGTAACAGCAGGCTCATGGCGTTTGGGAGGAGCATGAATCGTTGCTGGTTCCTTCGGAAGCAGGATGTCTTCTAAACCCTCCGACGCAAGATCAACTTGACTAGCAGTACGAGATGGGACCAAGTCGATGACGCTAAGCCTCATCTTTTCCTCCTTCTCTTTTGCAGCTTGTTCTTCTAATACACGCTTGTAGTCGAGTGGCATGACGCGAACAAAGAGCGGGAGCAGATGGTGGAAGTCATGAAGGACGCGATCGGCGACCTCAGAGCCAGTGTAGTGACGATGGTCCTCGATAAGGCCACGCAATGCGGCGATTTCACGCGGGTCACTGACCTTGCCAAGCTCTACCATCTCCATATTGACCTTCGATGCGAAAGTGTGAGCGGTATCGAGCACGTATGCAATGCCACCACTCATTCCAGCGGCGAAGTTGCGCCCAGTAGTTCCTAGGACCACAACGCGCCCGCCAGTCATGTATTCGCATCCATGATCACCCGTGCCTTCAACGACAGCGTTTGCGCCGGAGTTCCGAACAGCAAAACGCTCGGCAGCGACACCTCGGATGAAAGCCTCACCCGATGTAGCGCCGTACAAGCAAACATTGCCAATGATGATATTCTCTTCTGCTTTGAAGGTCGATTGCTTAGGGGGGTAAACAATGAGACGCCCACCAGACAGGCCTTTTCCGACATAGTCGTTGGCATCACCTTCTAGTTCGATAGTGATGCCAGGAGCAAGGAAGGCACCACAGGACTGTCCTGCTGAACCGCGCATACGAATATGGATGGTATCCTTCGGCAACCCTTCTTCGCCATAAAGTTTAGAGACGCGGTGCGATAACGACGTGCCGAGGGCGCGGTCAGTGTTTGTGACATCACACTCGATGTGGACTGGAAGTCCCTTGGTAAGAGCTGGTTCGGACTCGTCAATAAACTTGTTGTCGAGGCGAATGTACAATTTGTGATCTTGCTGACGAACGCGGTAAGTTGCAGCGCCCGGTCGCATCTGCCAAGCAGGTTTCAAAACAGCGGACAGGTCGAGGTGGGCAGTCTTGATAGTACGCCGCTTCTCATCAACCTTGAGCATATCAGCGCGACCAACCATCTCGTTGATGGTGCGGAAACCGAGCTTCGCCATAAGACCACGAAGCTCCTCGGCGAGATAATAAAAGAAGTTGATGACTTGCTCTGGCTGTCCAGCGAATTTGCTGCGAAGCTGAGGGTCTTGTGTGGCTATACCAACCGGACAAGTGTTTACTGACGGAAAACCGTTAGCTACAACCAAAGCTAAAAAGATGTAACACTTACAGTGACACTTGCGCATCATAATACAACCCATGGCGATGAGCGGTGTGGTAGCGAAGCCCCATTCTTCAGCACCAAGCAGACATGCAATAGCGATGTCACGGCCGGTACGAATCTGGCCATCAGTTTGGACGGTGACGCGACCACGTAGGTCGTTCAAGACAAGCGTCTGGTGTGTCTCCGCGAGGCCAAGCTCCCACGGTAGACCAGCATACTTGATACCAGTCCAGCGAGATGCACCAGTACCACCGTCGTGACCAGAAATGAGAATGTGATCTGCCTTTGCCTTTGCGACACCGCTCGCCACAATGCCAACGCCAACCTCGGAAACAAGTTTCACAGAGACGCGCGCACGGGGATTAGAGCACTTTAAGTCGTAAATGAGCTGTTTTAGATCCTCGATGGAATAAATGTCATGGTGGGGTGGGGGAGAGATAAGCCCAACGCCGGCGGTAGAATGACGAGTGCGAGCAATGGAGGTAGAGACCTTGTGTCCTGGAAGTTCACCACCTTCGCCTGGCTTAGCACCTTGAGCCATCTTAATTTGGAGCTCGTCGGCGTCCGCCAGGTAATTGGCAGTGACGCCGAAACGACCAGATGCCACTTGCTTAATAGCGGAACGCATAGTGTCACCATTTGGGAGCATCTGAGAGCGCTCTGCATCCTCGCCACCCTCACCGGTGTTCGACTTCCCGCCGAGACGGTTCATCGCGACAGCAAGCGTGGAGTGGGCCTCCATAGAAATCGACCCGTATGACATAGCACCTGTAACGAACCTGCGGACAATTTCATTCCAAGGCTCGACCTGCTCGATGGGAATAGGGGTGGCGCTTTCATAGCGGAAGTCAAGAAGCCCGCGCAGATGAACACTCTTCGTTTGCTCATTCGCATTACGAGCGTAAGCATCATAGGCAGTTTGATTCTTTTCACGAACGGCATCTTGCAGATTGGCAATGCCAGCGGGATCATTGATGTGTGCTTCGCCTCCATCACGCCAGTGGTACTCTCCCGATTCGGGCATT